GAAGATCTATGAAGCGGCCGAAGATCTATGAAGCGGCCGAAGATCTATGAAGCGGCCGAAGATCTATGAAGCGGCCGAAGATCTATGAAGGGCCGGAAGTTCTAAGATTTTGACGAAGGCGCCGTAAAGTCTCGTGTCCGCCATGAGGTACAGGCACAGGGCGAGGCACGGTCACTGTGATAGCAAACTTCAATCTCGATCCCGTTCTCGAGATAAATAGATGACGACGGCATTGACGGAATCGACGGACTCGACGCGCCAACTAGTGCGTGTCATGCTTTCGCTTTCCGAATCGGAATTAATATGAGGATGAGAAACTCAGACGTCATATTGACCAGCACGGGTTCCAAAGTAAATGAGGTGCGGTAGACACACGACTCGACATAACGAATAAATAATCTGTACCATAATTAACTGTAAGCCCGAAGAGCATATGACAGACAGACAACCCATTGATCCGGAAGACGTACGGAGGTGTCCAGCAATTTATTCCAGACCAACCACTTCCTGTACTGTACCACCGAATTGATAGCGCATCTTGATTCATGGACTCATGATTCGGTAGTCATCAATTTTCATCTAGCTACTACTGACCTAGCCAGCCGGCTAGCCAGCTAGTCATATCCCGCCGCATAAATACACACATGTAAGGCCAGACCTACTCGGACGCGCTCGACCGGCGGTGGTGCGGACTCCGACTTCTCACTCGCGGACTCTCTCCTGTTGTCAGGGGCACACGCAGACCACCATTCAGGGATGTCGTCGTGGTCGGCCCCTTCACCGTCGCCTTCTCGAAGTCCAATTCGCGCGTCTTGCGGTCGCCGCTAGTCGTATTGTCTGAACTGTCTGAACCGGACAGGCTCTCCAACTCGAACTGGTCAGTGGGAGGGTCTCCGTATGAATGTCCAAATCCATTGGTGGTAGTGACTCCCCCTTGATCATCTTGTTCGTCGCCCTCCTCCTCATCCTCGTCATCCCGCCTATCCTGCAACTTCTTCCCCCTCTCATACCCCACAAACAGAGCGTATAACCCAAAATCATACATTAACCGGCACACACCGGCCGCGATGAACGCCACCCCGAACCGATCCCCCTCGGCGAGCAAGCCGGTAACGGTGGGCCCGCACATGGCCGCCAGATTGCGCAACATGGAGGTGACGCCCATGACGGCGGTACGTTCCTCGGGTTTCACGACTGCGGCGATGAACGCCGACCGAGGAGCCTGGTCCATGTTGTTGAGACCTGTGCGGACAAGCAAGAAAAAAGCTGTGATCCAGAAATAGGGCGCGAGGGGGAACAGAAGCACAGCCGTCGAGGAAGGGACGTGCGTGAAGACCATAGTATTAATAAGGCCGATCTTTCTGGCTAGCGGTCCCGCGAAGACCGCGCCGATCGCGCCCAGGAAGTAGGATAGCGAGGTGACGTCGCCGAGCGTGGACTTGGACGGGTGGAATTTCACGTCCATGTAGTAGTTCGTGAGGGAGTAGGGTACCATGCCGTCGGCGAGGGAGTCGATGATCAACAAGAACCATAGCTTGTACATTGTGCGGCGGGTTGTTTTAGAGATCTGGGACAAGGCGCTGGAGAAGGCCGAAAGGGCGCGCGAGAGGCGGCTGGTGGGAAGCTCGGGAGAGCGAGGTCGAGTTGGTGTTGGTGGCGGGGATGCTGCCTCGACGTCGGACTGTGATTGCGATTGTGACTGGGACTGTGGCTGGTGGTGTCCTACCGCTTCGTCGGTGTCGGCTTCCTCGTGGCGCTGATCCTCTTGAGGCACGCGGGAGTACATCTCCTCCCCTTTGTCGCTCGCTCGGAGCTCGCAGGCATCAGTCAAGAGGAGGACGAAAAGAACGTTGACAATGCCCATGATAAGATAGATCCAGAACAGCGCATGGTAGGCATCGACGTCGGTCCAGCCGGGTCGCGCCTGCAGGTAATGGATGAGTCTGCCCGAGACTTCACTGCCGACACTCGACCCCAGAGTTGACGTCGTCACGTACCAGGCTAGGACGTCCGCGCGGGTCGTGGGTGTTGTGAGCTGTGACAAGACTGACCTAAGTGAGAGAACATTGTCAGGTCAAGGTTAACCCACTTTCAGCGGCAGTGGCTTACTCCTCAATACTCCGAAACGGCCCAAAGTCTCCTCCTGTGACACTGATGACGCCCAAAATCGCCGCAATAAGCAAGATCCAGAAATTCTCAAACACCGCAAAGACGAGGCCGCTCAAGATCATCAGCACCGACCCGCCCATGAGCACGCGCCGGCGCCCCACTCGGTCGGCGATCAGCGTGAGAAATGTACCCAGGAAGACATCGCCGAGCAAGGTCAGGGTCATAAAGATGCCGATCTGGTGGTCGGAGTAATTCAAGGCGGAGAAGAAGATGGCTATGCACGGTTAATCCAAGGAAAACCAGGGTGCTCCTCCCAGGAGAAGCCATGTACTCCGTAGGCCTTGGGGAAAGCCAAGAGGTACCTGTAAGTAGAGGACTTACCTAATATCAAGGAATTCGTGCCGTACGCAAACATCCGGCACGAGCGAGCCAAGATGATGAGCCACGCATTGCGTCCAGTCTCGTGGATCGAGACGATCCCAAACTCATGATAGAACCATGTGAAGGGGCGTAAAATCATAGACATGCCTTGGCTGAAGTGGGATTCCGCTGTGAGCCCGGAGGGGTCGGGAGATGTGAAGAAAGAAGGGAAGATAGAACTCTACTGACTGCTGTAATTAGGTTTTGGCGCGATAGTAGCGGTTGGTGCCCCCCAGGGTGTCGATCTTCTTGCCGGCCGCCCGGCGATCGCCTGACAAGCCACCGGCAAGCCACCCGATATCGGCTGTATAGGCATGGTGTAGGCGGCCAATAGCCATAGTCGAGACGTCGACGGGCGGCCTAACTCCGTCCCCACAAGGCTATCAGCGGCCCAGCTCTGATTGCGCAGCGTTATTGGCGGTGAGTTGCGGCTTGTCAGGAGTCGTAGCCTTGCGTGCTTCGACACCGCCATCACTTCGTGTCAGATAGCTTGTCTGCAGCGAGCAGTTCATGCTTGCGGCCTGCGAGTCTGTGCTGGATACGCATTTGAAGCACATGCTAAAATAAATACACAATTGAGTGCACTGTTGCTGGTGAGGAGTCGCTGTCACCTGTTGCTCTCAAGGAAGATGTCCCTGGAACGAGGAAATCTGCCAAGGTGATTTGAAAGCGGCCGTTGCGTTCAATCAATTGAACTTGGCCTTTCACTGCATGGCATGCCCATTGCCAGATGTGCCAGTCTCGAGCCCGCCAGTCCCGTCGCCATCGATATACGGACAGTTGGGCTTAAGCTGCATCTCAGAAGGTTCAGGAAATGAGGGTCCAGAAAGTGGGAAGATGCTGCTCTATCTCTCTCTTCCTACTATTGCGATTATTGGTCACTTCTACCAATCTTGAGCTCCTTTGCCCAACCCAGTAGACACGAGTTACCATACGATTCGACGGTGTCAAGGGCATTGAAGAAGCGACCAGAGATGTCGCGTAACACCACGACTATGGCATCGCATGCTCTGGCCTCTCTGCTGCCACTTTGATTTGCAGCCTTGCGAGACATTGGAACGGACGGTTCATCCTCCGGAGGTAGAAGGCTGTGTACTTGCAGCCGAACGAGATTGAGATGTCGAGATGGGCCAGCTGTAGGTAGGGGCCTGGAGCGGGTGAAGAGAACGATCTCGACTTGTTTTGAGATTATTTCCAACTCGGCAAATGATGAGCGACTGGGAGATCTTCATTCCTGGCTTGAACACCCTAGTGACTGCAAGTCGGACCACCGCCAGATCTGTTCGAGGCTACGTCGCTTGGAGGTCGAGCGATGACAAGTGCTTGGCTGTCGCTCCGTCCGCTTCCCCGTGTCTGACAAGACCATGGAACTGGAATGCATGATTCCAGAAAGGCTTCTTCCTGAAACGGCAGCTGCGCCGCTGAACGGTTATAGGCCTCCACCTCCCTTCGGTGCTTGCGGCCTCTTCTCTGTGGCGTCGGCGTCATGCGCACTGTGAAATGAAATCCGGAGGGGTACGGAGTACGAATCTGCCACGTCACCTTCGGCGAGAGCGACCTTTGGTAGCAGACGACGCAGCATTGGTGCTGAAACGCTTTTGGTCTGTAGATACTTGGGTTCCGAGATGATGCAGTGATTGGTGATGACAGATATGCAGGCCTTTCTGCTTATAGCAGGAGGACCGGGGCATTTCGATCTCAGCGAGGTGGGACTCTGTTACACCGGGTTGACTGTGAAGGTTCGTTTCAGACATGTGGCCGCTGCCTCCAGAGCACAATGCAGGGTAGTCAAAACCTGCAGATCCAAGTCAATATCTGATTGTCACTGGGGGAAAGGGATCCCGCAGTCTGTGAAGGACGGGCGGGAGCGTATGGGACAGCTCGTTGAAGCAATTCCGTGTCGTCCGCACATCGTTACTGCCTTGTCGCGCGGAATCTCCCTGGTCCACGTTTGGTGGTAGGTCGACTCGGCGTACCAAGCGACTGCCACTGCAACTCAATCATGCCGGGCAACGTCATCGTGGTAACAGAAGGTCATGGGAGGTGTGAAAGGTGGCTACCCGCAATCTGGCTGATCCTTTCGATATGACGGCGCGACTGGAGGAGCGAAGATTGGCACTTGACGCGGTTCGTCGAATGTGTACCACCAGTTTGCAGATCGCCAACATTGCAAGATTCCCAATCGAGTCTCACCGGTTGTACTCACCCCGTGACCTCTGAAGGTCGATCCGCTCTGCAGATCTGAACATTGCGAACCAATGCGCATGCCTGTCCTGCCAGGCTTTCCAGCCGTCATGATGCCGTCTCCCAGAAGGCGCGAATGGGCCGCATAGGAATTTGTTGAGGAACAATTTCGCCAATCGCGTGATCGGGTCAACCCAGGCCAGAACCGACCTTTGGTAGATTCTAGAGTTGCACGGCAGCCACGGGATAGCCCTTACCCAGGTCACCGAGCTACGGCCTTTACGGAGCCGGTCTCGCCCTTTCAAATATGACCCTCATAGGGCTCGAACGCTTGCGACATAATGCACAGCATGAGCTTGCATTGTTGTGGGCAAAGGTCCATTTGTCCAAGTCGGGAGTGTGTGACACAAGCCCTCACAACGGGACCATACGGAACTCTTGCCGTCAGATATCACGCAGCTCCATCCTTGCGCAGAAAATGACTGACGCTTCTAGATCCTCTTGGAACCGCTCCTTATCAGTCTCTGTCTTGGAGCGGCGACAACCCAGCGAACGCCGCGGTGCGGTCGCGGAATGATTGTACTAAGCTGGTGGTGTTGCAATACAGCGGCCTGCCCGTGGCCGAGGAATCTTCTTTGAGCTTGGTAACGGCAGTTCGGTACTCGGAAATTTTGCTATTGAGATGCGACCTCGAGTACCGGGGGAATGATGAATGCAATAGCACGTAACTTCATGCTTCTAGTGGGAACCAGGACGTCCGTCCTCGCATAAACACAAAAGATGGGTCGTAGTGTTCCCCGCACCCATTTCCGGATCCCTGCGCGCTCTTCCGTCTCCTGTCAGGACCTAGAAACACTGTGACCGTTATCCATACCAGGGACAGCATTGTGTCGAGAATGCGCCTTGGAAGTGCTCGCGTCTGCTTCAGCCGGCCTGCCAGATGTGGAGCACTTGGGGCAGGGACGTTCGAGATAACCACGTCCTCGGCAAGTGTTGCATATAGATCCGTTCCTGCAGACGTCAGCTCATCGCCTTCCATCTTTCCAAACTCTACCGAGGGGCGTATGAAGTCCCGTTCGTACTTGTCTGGGGGCAATACCGTGGGGGATGTCCAGCGCAAGCACGGCAGGTGTCAACAGACTTCGGATGTTGGCACATCGTGTTGATTGATAGCTGATCTCTCCGCGCAAGGACACTTCGATGACGTGCGGATGAAGGCAGTGGAGTTCCTGTCCGTGAAGGAATGGATGCGATATGGCGAGGATTTCGAAGAAGACTGAAGTTGTCGAGCGAACTGGCTCAAGTGGGTAGGGCAGCTGCATTATATATGCAATTTGACCGTTTTGCATCCGACCTTCTCCCGAAGAGACCATATCTCGCCAAAACGCTGGTAAGAATTGAAGGCCGGGTCGCCGTTAGAGCGCGTACCACGGTGACAGGAACCTGGGTAGGATTTCTGTTCGTATCTCTCATTCCACCAGTAGTTCGCTAGAGGGCTGAAGCGAAGTCGAGTACCACGTCGAATTGGTAACACCGGGACCGGGGGAGCAGAAGTTAGGCCGATCAGGCGAAGCCATCGAAGGCGTAGTAGTGACTCCCATGCTTGACATTCTGATCACTGTTTCAAGGCAATCAGGTTCCACGAAAGTGACATTTTCAGTGCAGGGCAACCCCAGCCATGACTGGAATCAGAGGCCAGTTACTTTGAGCTCTGTATCCATAACACCCAATCATCCAAGGGATGGGCAACCGGCTTCTTCAACTGTGTATTGGCCAAGTGCATGGACATGACAGCTTGCCATCATCTACCACGTGCCTCTGAAAGATAAACCGCATGGGAGCGGTTTGTACCCACTGAAATTTGTATTGAGCGGCAGAAGCCGTTGAATGTTCTCCTTCCGACACATCTTGAATCTGCGTTGTTGTAGTGAATCGGTGGCTCGGAATTGATGAAAACCGTCACAGCGTGTTCGTTTCGCCTATCGTTCCAAGGACATGGAAGTGGGACAAGCAATAAGGAAAAATCCTTTCGGACACGTTCCAGGAGTGTTCGGAGATGGGCCACAGGGGCACTACCGGCCTCGTGTAGCAGTACATGTAGGTCACTCGAGGGTGAGAGAGGGTGATATTGGCGGCGTGAAGATGCCAGATCAGGATAGCCGAGCAAAAGAAGAACTTTTTGTGTTACGTTCGAGCTGTTCGTTGCAGTATTCCTCTCTGCTTCAATTTGTATCCAAAGAACTTGTTTCCGACGACGCTGCCATGGAGAAGCGGCTCACCGTCCGCGTCAGCCTTAGGGCGAGATTGAATTTGCGTTAGACGAGTCGCCAGGCGCCATAAATCTTTGTCGTAGTCGATCCGCTCGCCTGAAGTGCTGTCATCATTGTCGCATTTTAAGGTGTACTACCCACAAGCGGCCAAGGGCGGCGGTGATTATCCGACAGGCATTCTGCAATCACATTACTGACAACAGGCCGGTCGTGATTATGACACCTGTAGATCAACCATCAGCAATCCTACGGCACATTCTGAAGACGATCTGGGGACGTTGGCTCGACGTCCTCACTTGGTAAGATTTTTGCGTTTAGGGGCAGGGCACCCGTTGTGGGGAGGCTGTAGGAATGGCAATAGTGCAGGCAACATGTGCCCTGAAGCAAGGCTGTTGTCAGGCTATTGCTCCAACATCGCAGGACGCACTGTACAAAACTCCCGATTGTGTATTGCAGTCGGAAACATCTTCCGGAATGCGCTAGCGAATAGATTCTCGCGGTCTGGTATAACCAGACAGACGGTTCTCAACCAGGAAAGGGTACAAGCGGAAACATCCGGCTGAGGGTAGCGCCTATGAAACAGGTTGCGCATGGAGGACAAGAGGTCGACAAACTGAGTGGCCAGCTGAGGATACCACCATTACCAAGGTTGCCAAGTGCGCTCAAAAACGACATGTTGGCACCCCCTATAGACCATAGCGTTGATAGGGTGGTTGAATGGTATTAGCCACTGCTTCAAGCAAACGAGGTATGCCTGGGCGTTGCACTGCTGCTAATATCGGTTTTGGCGACATTTGTATGATCAATCCAAAGAAGTGACGTGTCGAACGCCATGTTATTCAAGAAATAGCCAGAGCTTTCCGAAGATGGACATGGGGACTCGAGAGACCGTCACGAGGAGGGCAGGGCGTCCGTCAAAGAGAGCGCAAGTGACCTTGAAGGTCATGTTTGATTACACCTTGACGCAGCTGAGCGAAAAGAGCCTTGTCCAAGCGACCATGCGCTTCTTCCCGCACACTTACAAGACGTCAAATGCGTCAATCTCGAGGAAAGAATGCTCGAATTGGCATGACAGGAGGGAAGGAGGAGAAACAAGCCACCGGTGTGTGCCGCAGGCGATGGTCTGGCCAAGCACGGTCTACAAGGGTGTGACAATGCCTGAGGCAGTGGCCGGAGTGAGAAGATTGGCCAGGTCCGTGAGGAATAACAGAGGCAGGGTATGCTTAAGCATCGCTCGGAGCAAAGGTAGTTCAGACGTTGGCAGATAAAATGTTTCATGAACAAGAACTCAGGTCGGTGAAGAGACTCTGAAGAACAGATCGCTCACCTTAGGGTCGACACTGGACTACACGTGACTACACGTGAATGTGCTTGCTGAGCCGAGGCACAAACACCTACGTTCAGTGCTGCTTCATCGGCTTCGAGCAACGTCCGTATGGATTCATCCTTCGTGAACAGCCGAGTGCTTCGAGTCCTGAGAATAGAATATCAGAGCTGCGCGCCTTAGACTACTCTCTACTCCCGTTCTCTTGACAGTAGCCTCTACGAACATTTTCACGGCCTCTTTCACTGCATTCTCTCTTTCTTGCATCGCTTCGAACCATTCGCCCACGCGATGGCATTAAGAACTTTACCAAGCCTCAAATTCTTCAATGTGACCATACCAGCACAATATGTGGTCCATGTCGAGATTAACCGGCCGGAAAAGCTCAATGCTTTCTATGGACCCATGTGGGTCGAGTTGAAAGCCATCTTTGACCAACTGTCGCATGACCCTGATGTCCGGGCCATTCTGCTCTCTGGGGCCGGTGACCGTGCATTCACAGCAGGCGAGTAACACCGCCCAAGGCATAGATAGGATGATTAATCTAACTTCGTGTCTTTCAGGGCTCGACGTAGAGCAGGCGGCGAAATCCAATAGTCCACTCTCGACTGGGGTGCCCGACCCATCGAGGAAAGCGGCATTACTAAGGCGACATATACTCGAACTGCAAGACGTAATCACAAGCGTCGCGCGTTGTGAGAAACCGACTATCGCGCTTCTCCATGGATACACGTACGGCCTCGGAATCGACTTATCATCAGCATGCGATATGCGCTTTTGCGCCAAGGACACCAAGCTGTGCGTCAAAGAAGTCGACATCGGTCTAGCCGCGGACGTTGGAACACTAAGTCGGTTACCCAAGGTTGTTGGGGGCGTGACGAGCTGGGTCAAGGACGTCTGCCTCAGTGCGCGCCCGTTCTCAGCAGATGAAGCGCTCAAGAACAACTTTGTGAGCCGAGTGGTGGATGGCGGTAAATCTGAGTTGCTCAAGGAAGGGTTGGAGACCGCGAAATACCTTGCAAGCAAAAGCCCTGTGGCGGTTCAAGGGACAAAAAATATTCTCGACGCGTCTTGGGGAAGGACTATCGATGATAATCTCAATTACACCGCGGTATGGAACATGGGGATGTTGCAAAGCAGTGATGTGCAGAGAGCCATGTTGAGCGGCCTGCAGAAGAGAACACCAACATTTGAGAAGCTGTAAAGATTTCCTCCTGGAGACATATGATGCATGGAGTTCAGAGCTCCAAAACGGTGTTGCCTTTCCCCACGCTCATAGATTGGTCAAACTGGTGGAGGACACAATCAGCAGGGTTATTTTGTGCTGTTCCTCTGGCGACAGACAAGTACCAATATAGATGAGCTTCAGACAACACCAGCAATATTTCAGGAATGGCGGAGTGTTCCGTCGCCGAGCCTCTCACGTGACTTGTTTGCGGTTATGCGACCGGGTTGCCAGGCAGAAACCGAGGGCAACACGAGGAGAAGCATTAGCATCTGACAACCAATCAAGCTGAAACATCTACCCATGATGAGAATGCTCTGTTGCAGAGTTGTCGTGGCGGCAATGGAAGAGACGGTCGGGCTGGCTCATCTCGTGCGGATGATTTGGTAAAGCAAAATTAACGATGACTCGATGGAACGAATCGATTGCCACAGTGACAACATGATGCCATGTTTGAAAGACCATCATTCCGAGCATGCCGGCTCGTTGCTGAGATGCTCCGTTCGGAGGCTCTCAAGTGTGTCAGCTGCGAACAAGGCAGGCCCCCAAGGCTGCAGAATCTAACCGACGGGCCCATTCCCCAGGCTACCCTAGCAACTAAGCTTTGGCGCTGGCGTCACTTCAGGTCGAGTTCTGCCAGTGACGTCGACGATTGGGCGAGCACAGGGGGTTTGCCGCGTCACTAGCCGCCTCAGTTCGAGCTGGCCTGCTGCCCGCTTGCAAGCTCCGTCATTCAGCAGGAATCATCACACAGAGTCGAGCTCTTCCATCCTGTTCCGCTTCACTCCACCTGGGCACATAACCACCACAACTGGTGCAACCTCCCATCTACTTACTTACATACACTCTTCCTCTTCCCACGTTCTCGCCCCATCTGCGACGCCGCTGCATACGAGTAGTCAATCTCAAGTATCGATTAAGCGCATCGGTCTGCACGCATCCGACTGCCACTGCTACAGTTCGAGCCAGCCTCAATCCAGCCGTCAAGATGGTCTCCAGAATGCTCAACCTCATCCTGAGAGGGACGCAGGTAAGTTGTTCCTGGCAATGCTGTTCGCGTCGCAGTAACTGATCGTGGATTTTCTACAGTTCCTCTTCGTCCTCATCATCATGTCCCTCATCGGCAACGTCATTGCCATGGCCTTCGCTGGCAACCCGTCCCTCATTAACTACGATATGTTCGTGGCGGCCTTTGCGATGCTGTCGCTCTTCTACCTCATATTGATCGCCTTCAATGAGTCTTTCACGGGCCACCCCATATTTCCCGTCATCATTGACCTGCTCAATGTTATTTTCCTCTTCTGCGCCGCCGTTGCCATGGCTGCGGAGCTCGGTGTGCACTCCTGCAGCAATGACGTATGACTCGGTCCATCCTGCGTATGTATATCCACATTGGCTTACTTTTTCCACAGGCCTATACGCTACGAAATCACCTAACCAACGGCTCCAACGACAGAGCTGGTCGCTGCCGCGAGGAACAGGCTGCGACCGCGTTCCTCTGGTTTACATTCGCCCTTTGGACGGTCAGCCTGGTCTTCTCTCTCCTCGACGCACGTGGAGGCGGTGTTAACTTGAGAGGGCCCCTCGGCCGCCGTGGGGGTGGACGTCCTGCGATGTCTCAGGTGTAAACAGTTAAGCACAGGGATCACGAAATCCGCGAAAGGTCTCGACCCCGGTTCCCGCTCGTCTTCGTAGAGTATGGTTCGAGATACACTTCGAGCCCACCTGGAAAATGACTGCGGAATCGTCCTGAAGTTCCTATCGGTCCATCGCATTCTCCGAAGTATTTTGTGCTTTGTTGCTCATTCCGAGGAAATTGGTCTTCAGCTGGACTGGCGTCATCTGGGAGACAAATACCCGGCGTGTCAAGTTTTCTCTGCTTTGGCATCTGTCACTTTGCCGGTTTTGAGCCACTCTCAGTCGATCCTTACGAAGAAAAATAGCCGAACGAGCCCGGTCAGCTCGTGGGAACAGCCACTGTGCCTCGAAACGATATATGCAGGGGATCGGCCTGGAACAAACACGTCTGCATATGCATTTTGACGCCAGGCGCGCCCACGAAGACGAATATGCGAAAGATTTTTGCTGTATGCGCCTGCGAACCTCACGGCTTGGGAACTCTTAATGTGTATGATACACCACGGCATGATAGTATCTGTGGGAAGCGCAAGTTACTGCCAGTAGCTTTAGGTAGCTTTAATGAAGATGAGATGATAACAGGAAATCGCCTGCGTGTTTCCGTACATGCTGCGTGTGGCCTCAATGTGTTACTACACCAAGGCACCTCCCTATTTGAGCAGCATTTCGCTTCCATTCGCGAAACGTAATTGAGCAGCAACTCGGTTTGATTCGGAAAAGGCACCAAATCATGAAGGCGGGACAAATTCTGTGGCTCATAATTTACATTTTCTTTGCACAACGACGGAATGCTGAAGGAGACTCGCTCCCTATTGTGCTCACCTCCAAATCATACCTCCTCTCCACACGGCGCGTGCCGTGTCTAGAAGTGAATAGGCTGGCTATACGTCGCCATGGCGGCCTCCTTGAACGCCTCCGCCAGCGTCGGATGTGCATGGCACGTCCTGGCCACGTCCTCACTCGAGGCACCATACTCGAGGGCCAGCGTGGCCTCGGCGATCATCTCCCCCGCGTTCGGCCCGATGATATGCACGCCCAGGATGCGATCTGTCTCGGCGTCGCTTAGGAATTTGACAATTCCGTCCGTCTCCAGGTTGGTCTTTGCCCGCGAGTTGGCCGTGAAGGGGAAGGTGCCGACCTTGTAGTTGATCTTCTGGGACTTGAGCTCCTGCTCGTTCTGGCCCACCCACGCGACCTCCGGGTGCGTGTACATGACCGAAGGGATGGCGCCGTAGTTGACGTGTCCGAAGCCCTTTTTGATGTACTCGACCGCCGCGACGGCTTCTTCCTCGGCCTTGTGGGCGAGCATGGGGCCGAAGGTCACGTCGCCGATGCAGCGGATGTGAGGGATCTTGGTGCGGTATTCTTGATCAATGACCAGGCGCTTGCGCTCGTCCACCTCGATACCGATGTTCTCGAGGCCCAAGCCGGCGGTGTATGGTCGACGGCCAATGGCGACGAGGACGACGTCGGCGTCCAACGTCTCGTTCTTGCCACCCTTTGCGGCTTCAACCTCGATCTTGACACCGGAGCCGCTGGGGTCGCCCGAAGTGACTTTTGTGTTCAGCTTGAACTTGAGGCCTTGCTTCGTTAGGACCTTTTGGGCTTGTTTGGCAATGTCGGCGTCCATGCCGGGTCCGCCAATTTGTCCTAGGAATTCGACGACGGTGACTTCAGCGCCGAGACGAGACCATACAGAGGCCTATAAGGTGTATTAGTTACGGCATAAACTTTTGGGATGTTGCCTCCCTTACCATTTCCAGACCAATGATACCGCCGCCAATGACCACCATCTTCTTCGGCACTTCTGTCAGAGCAATTGCGCCAGTGCTGGTGACCACTTTCTTCTCGTCGATCTCGAGCCCAGGGAAGGGTGTGGACTCGCTACCAGTGGCAATGATGATATTCTTTGCCCGGACTTGGGTCTCGCCGCCATCGATGAGGTTGACTGCGACCGTGTGTTCATCCACGAACGCACCAGTACCCTTGATATAATCGACCTTGTTTTTCTTGAACAGAAACTCGACACCTTTCGTCAGCCCGGACACTGATTCATCCTTGGCCTTCATCATCTGGGTGAGGTTGAGTTTGACTTCGCCGACATCGATGCCTCTTTTTTTCGTGTCATGCAGGATCTGGTGGTAGAGGTGCGAGTTGTTGAGTAGAGATTTCGACGGTATACAGCCGACATTAAGACATGTGCCACCGAGCATTCCTCTCTTTTCGATACATGCTGTCTATCGACATAGTGTCAATCCCATCCACGGTGAGTCCTGGGCAAACAAGCGCACCTTTAAACCTTCCTGGCCAGCTTTTATTGCGCCGACATAGCCGGCGACGCCGCCACCAATGAAAAGGACATCATATTCCGGTGCTTCTGAAGCATATCCTCTCCGCCTCGGTTGGTTCTGCGAGACGATCTGGAAGCCGGGGGCTGCTCGGAGGTTCGCAGGGCCTAGCTGCGGAGCTTTCGTTGACAGCAACGATCGGCCACTTCGGGGGATGAGAGTCTTGAGCATTGTCGGGGATGAGAATAGTACAGGTAAACAATGAAAGGAAAGCGACCAGACGTCGCAACAACGCTACAGTCGCCGTAGAGAAGCAGGAAGGCGAATGTGCTGAGAAATTGTTGGTCGGCGAATCCGCCTCTTTGAAGGCGACGGATGGATGCTTCAAGTTGCAGCTCAAGCCTGAACCACCGAATCGGGTTTAGGGGCGCTGAGCGAATTGGGGAAGGCCCGCCGAATCGTCAGCCTCGCCTTTCGGCCACTTCACTTCACTTCACTTCACTTCACTTGAGCCTCATTGACGACTAATCATCCCGACTCATATCATGCAGCTGCAGATGACGCCCGCTGGATGCCATGCTGGCGGCGCCCTCCGTGATCATCGTACTCGCATACATCCTACACACGTGCATCCCTCTGATCTGGCTTCACCTGGAACGAGGGGAGCGGAGCAAGTTGCTCGAATTGGCCCCGAACTGCATAACCCCTTGAGTCTGCTCCAGGACAACCAGCATCGATCCAGTTTGCCCTTGGCTAGAAATGTGGACATGCACAAGCGTGGGAGGGAGGACGCAATCTGGATGCTTACACTCCCTTCCAACGGCTGAATGACATTAACCCAGGCTGTACGTCGCATAGCCATTCAGAAAATCTTCGTCCAGGTCCTCTCAGATCTCGTTCTTGGTAGATTCCACATCAGCCAAGCCCGCAGACGCTCTCCTCAAGTGCTGGACTCCATGATGTTTGATTGGAAAAATGCCAGGATTTGAAGGCCCCCATGCGTTGTCATACTAACACACCTTCCTTTCTATCCCACTCACAACTTACCTGGGTATGACTACAGGGCTTGGTGCTTCGATGGAAATCGCTGTTGACCAGCATGGGGCACTACCGCCGGTGAACGTGGTGTTTGCTTACCTTACCCCAAAAGTTGCATGTTTGTCCGACTGCTAACAGCACTGCATTCGCAAGAGGTCCATAAAGACTGGAAGTCACAGAAGCTCCAACAGTGTTTCGAGACAGACTTCGAAGCCATAGCAAGCAATGAAAGCAGGAAAAAGACCCATGCAGCAAGGACAATGACACGATACACTCGTCTTTCCATGGTCGACTTACGATCTACCACCAGAGCCAGCATGGTCTTTGCCTATCCTATCCTTTGATGGCGCTTGTCTGTGTTGAGCCGTCGGGATGGAGAATGGCTCTTAGGACAATGGACTTTTCAAGAGGGACGAGGATGAGACATTGCAGAGATGTATTGCCAACAAAGAAAGAGCTTGAAAAACTTCACAGCACGGATCCGAGGTTTTACCCACTGCGGTGACCTTGACGACGATGCGACTTCGTCTTTACTGCCGGACTCTTTTCGAACTTGTCATCGATTGAGACTGATACAACACTTTGTCTGACCTTTCATTCTTTTGATCAGAACCAAACTGAGAAATGGCTCCATTGAAGCCAGCGGAGAGATTGAACTTCTTCCTACAACTTCAACATCCTCTCAGAAACACGCTTCTAGATAAATACCAGGACAGTCGCCTCCAGGGATTCCGCAATCTCAGAGATCCGAAAGCTGCGATGGACCAACTTATGGCTCGCATCCTCACCTCGAACAACCCGACAGAAGTTGTCTTTCAAACGCCCCTACCAGCTCTGCCCTTCTTCTTCATCGACGAGCCCTCAAACACGCATATCCTCTTGCATGTCAACCGCGACACCCCTTTCGGCCACTTCTCAGCAATCCTCCGCGAAGCCTCTGCCGACATTGCGACTCAAATCAAGAACAACGCGTACTTGGACAATGGTGGAACAATCTGTCAGGCCTCAGCGACACATTTCACCTGGGACGACGGCCCGTACCTCTATCGTATCGCGACAGTCACACAAGGACCAGGAGGTCAAGAGCTCGTGGCTCGAACTGAATGGGAGACTCTGTACACCGGGACATACCTGGAGCTGTTCGATGGACCGCATGCCAGGCAGATCGGCTCGCGAGTCGAAATCCAACATACTCTCCAACACTTCAGGAGTCTTTCAGCCACCGGAGGAGACCCGCCGCCATCGCCGCCACCAAGCCCCGTTGCTGGCCGTCCGGTCGTGCGGTTGCCGCCAGTGTCCTCCCCGGCGGTTGCCCCGTTGCGCGTAGTGCCAGTGTCGAGCACATCGAGGGCTGGCGTGCTGGTCGTCGATGGTGGGGACCTCGCGTGGTACAACCGGGAGGCGGTGTTGAGGGGGTGGTTGAGGTTCGGGAGCGCCGAAGTCGTTGAGAGTGTGGATGTGTGGAGCGGGTGGTAGGGTGGGCTTGCGTGTTGGGCGTTGGGTATTAAAAGCGTGCTGTTCGAGGGAGGGAGCACCAGTGTACAGTAGTTGAGATGGGGAGAGAGCTGATCACAGACAACCAAACACAGAACACATGAAACGGACTGCAATGCGTCGCGTTGAGGTGATATGACATGCGTGACACGCTCCAACCCGCGCTACGCATCAACAATGTCTCTCTATTGATTGGAGTACGTCGACCGCCGATCGAAGATCCTGTCCGGTCCATCGAATCGACACACTCATCCCCACTATGACCATGAAGCTCGCTGACTCGCAGACCTTCTAAACGGGCACCCCCAGGGACTACGTACCAGTACCATCTTCGGCGTCTGCACTCTCCCACGGCGCCCTCCCATCATCTCGCCCCCTGGACGCCAACACGTTTTCCACTTTTCTCCTCGCCTTGGGGGAAAACCGGCCGAGGGTCTCCACGCGAAAGGCTCCCTCATCCCACCCCCTCGTCTCCCTCTTCCGCCTCAGCACGTCCCCCACGCCATACAGATCCCTTTCCCACGCGCCGTACCCTCTCAACCGATCCCCCTCTTCTATCTCGGGCATCCTTACCGGGTCAAAGGGCGGGTCAATCCCGATATACGTCGTGCGGGCGACGGGGAAGCGCACCGCAGGGACGTGTAGGTCCAGAAACCGCCGGCGTTTGAAGGCGTGGGATATTATCGTCAATTCGGTCGGCCATGTGGGGGTTGATCGTGACAGGTTGGCGTCTACGTCTGCATCCGCGTCCGTGGCTGTGGCTGTCATGACAAGGACTTGTGCCTGTGAGCCAGCGGTGTCATCTGATGCCGTATCTGAGGGCGAGGTGGAGGGCGAGGGTGAGAGTGCCTCAACGCTGGCGCCGCCAAGTCGTGCTTGGAGCTCTTGCGCAAACAGCGGGAACTGAATCAGTGGGAGGAGCACGTTCTGGTACGAGTCCGTTGCGTAGTGGTCGACGAAAATGCGGGGCCGGAGCGTGGGTGTGGATGGCGACGTGGGTGTGGATGTCGACGTGGGTGTGGATGTCGACGTGGGTGTGGATGTCGACGTGTCTAGACCGAAGAGGTTCTTTTCGAGGGCGACGGCCTTGAGGAAAGGAGAAGTCAGCCCGGTCAATCAGTAAGTCCCAATCATTCAGCCAAGTCTAAGTGATAAAGCCAAGGACTTCACGTCGTCCAGTTTCGTGGGAAGTGTGATATGAGTATCCCCTCCTTAGCACGCCATTTTCGCTCCCTCTGTGCTTTCCTTCCTCTCCCCACCGTTTTCGCTCCCTCTCTGTATCCGTGCCTCTGCAGGAGACCCGCGTGTCCGTCTTCATCACACAACCCTCCGGATTTTCGGCCAAGACGATGTTCTCCCATTGTATACCACGATGCAGTCACCGGGTATCCCACCCGACACGCTTTACTTTGCTCAAACACCATACTAGAACGCTTTCACTCACCAAGTATCCCTCCCCCTCACTCCGCGACGTCCTCCCCCTCTTCGTCGCCCCACCGCTAAACACGAGAATCGCGGTATCCGGATTCCTCGCGAGCTCCGCCACCCCGGCCTCGATATGCCGGATGTACGTCTCTGTCTCGCCCGTCTGGAACGGCTCGATCAGCCAGTTTGATTCGTTGGCGCATCCGTCCTCACTGCCGCCGCCGAGGTAGATGGCGTGGCAGCAGACTATGATGAGGTGGGTTGGTTGCGATGTGACAGTCGAGGATGGCATGGCGATGTTGAGTCAAGAGGGAACGGTCATATGGAACGGAATGTCTTCAGAGGCAGGGACATTCTCAACATTAATTACGGAGGAAAGTCTGATCAGCTGGAGCAAGTATACAAGGACAGTCCAGCACTACGAGGCCAGGTCGAAAGAGGATGACTGGGAGGTTTACTGTAGATCAGAAAGGGGGAGAGGATGCTTGGCGAGGCTGGCAGCAGACACCGGATTGCACAGGAGCAGTACCTGGTAGTCAACGGCTTTGGCAACGCATTACACAGGAGCAGCACTTCACGACTTCTGACCAATGCTATTACTGGGAAGCAAGTACCTAGGTAATTGCATGGAACTAGACTTGATACGTTGCCCTGCTCATTGGCTACCTATTTAGCTGAATAAACGCTCCAGTTCCCGCCCCACCCATGTCCACTGTGCTTGTCATGAGAGATTCTAACCGCCAGCTCGTGGGAACACAAGGAAAGATGATTCGTCTCCCAGCACCGCACCACGCCCATGCTGTCATTCACAGTTGTGCTTGTATGCCTGCTCTTTAGATAGGGAATCGAGATCGAAATCGGGGTTGGGATTGGCCTTTTGAAATCAAGGCGTGAGACCATGTGGCCGTACGCCAGTGTCAGAAATCATAACGCCATGGTGTGTGGTATTGTACAGGTGAAAGTACAATAATCATCCCAATGCTTGTCACGACTCATCCTCGTCGCCATGACGATAGGTGCACGAATCCCCCTTTAGACACTTGCCCTGCTGCCAAAACGTGCAGGTTTGAGTCTTGTAGTTGTACGGCTTTGCGTCGGCCTTTTTCTTCTTGTTGCCGCCTTTTCTGCCATACTCATCATCGATGCCGTCAGAGTCACTTCGGCCGTGCTTGCGCGACGAGTCTTCAACACCGCCGGGAAACGGATTGGGATTGCCGCCCATACCGAGCGAAAGTGCGTTAGCAGCCGACGCACCTTGGGTGCCCTGTTGCATCGAGGCCAGAAGCGCACTGAGGTTATTCTGTGCATATGGAGCAGTCTCGGTGGAGGTGGTGGTGGCGGCGGCGGGGTACACAGGCTGTTGAGTTTGACCTTGCATTTGTTGACCAAGGACTGACTGGAGGATTGCTTGGAGATTCACACCCTGGGCAGGCGCGGCTTGAGGCACTGGACTAGGCTGGGCCGGTTGAGCGAACATGCCCAGAGCCCGCTGGAGTTCCGGTGTGAGTCCTGCCGGTTGTTGCTGGGGTCTCTGCTGCGCGGCCATGGCTTGTGCGAGTGCGTTCAAGTCGATCGTCGATGAGGACTGAGGTACCGTTCGAACTTGTCGTGCTTGATGCGCTTTCTCGCGCTCGCGAGTCAGCTCGGTCGGCTCGCCAAAGGGAGTTTCGGGTTCGGCAGGCTCGAAATCGTCCTCCTCTTCCGTGGGCTCCTTGGGTGTCGGTGGCCGATCGGCCTTGGACGTGTAGATGGCCATGAGTGTGTCTTGTTCGTATTTGTCTTGAGCTTCCCTGCTCCGACTTTCAGGCTTCAGAGAGCCTCCGAATTTGGAAGAATTAGTCTTGTGTGGTGAATCGTCGCCAAGTGAAGGGTCTTCGAGATACGTGAAGTCCACTTCCGAGGGCGGTGTATACGGTTCAAATTCCTCAAACGAGTCCTCGTCCTCTTCGTCATCCAGGTCCTCCATGTTTTTGTGAAGCTTGAGCGCTTCACCTTCACGACCGCCGCCGGCATTGGCCTTGAGGCGGTCACCTTGGCCAAGCTCTTCATCCGGATCATGGGTGAAGAAACGAGTCTCCACGAGCTTGTCGTCCGCTTTCCACGTCACTCTCAATTTCCGTCGAGCTTCCTTACGCAGCCGTTTCATCTTTTGCTCTTCTGTCTCATGCGGAATTTCCGTCTCCTTCTTCACCTCCTTGTCTGGCTTCTTCTCCATGTCAAGCAAAACGCCTAAAAAGGACGACGAGGTTGCACTCTTTGCGCCGGGCGTAGGCCCAATGTTCCGCGGAGGTGATTCCTTTTTGAGGGTCCGCGGGGGCACAGAAGGAGCAGTGACTGGACTAGGCTTTTCCTTCGCGGCTGCCGCGGCGCGTTCAGCATTTGACGTGCCTGGCTTCTTGGGCACGGAGCTCAGAGCCGCAAAGATAGAAGCCTTCGGAGGAGCAGTGACCGCGATTTTGGATTTTGTGGTTGGATTGGCAGCAGAAGTACTGGCTGCCGCTGTTGATACCGCCGCTGCAGTCTTCTCCCCCGATTTAGCACGCTTAGCCGCCTCCTCTGCCTTTCTCTTCTCTTCCAGTCGGACAGCGAGAGGCTTTGAAGCCTGAGGAATCACTTTAACGACCTTCTTAGCAGCTGGCTGACTGGCTGCTTCACCCTCTCTGACACGCTTGATCCCAGCACTGACGTCCTTCCGTGGCCCTTCTGCTGGACTGCCAACAAAGCGAGGCGAGCCTGGCTTGTCAGACTTGCCAGCGGCAGCCTTCTTTGCTGAAGCAGCAGCCGCGTTGTCGAGAACGGTTTGAGCCAAAGTCTTAATGTCGGACGTCGCTTTCTTTGTTAGTCGCTGCAGGATCTTCGACAGCTTCGTCATTTCCAGCATTTCCGAGTCGAGCGTCTCGAAATTAACAACAAACTAACGACGTGAATTAGCAGTGTCTCGGCACCACAGTTGACAAGATTGCCATACCTTAAGAATCGCATAGGTAAGCGGACTGTCGAAATCCGAGACATTGATTCTGTCGAGGATGAAGGAGGATAACGCTGACATTGTGAATTGGTTTTCACCTAGTCTGAGCGACATTATCAGTAAATGTTATGGGACGGTATGTCGGATAAATGGTGCCATGATCGCCTCACGGCATGCCCGGCGAATCACGGTGGAAGCCTTTGTAGACTATCTATCAACATAGAGCTATGTATATGTGGATTATGCAATAGCCAAGTGCATTTCGGCCCTTCGTAACATCTTAGAGCAGGAATGACACCGAGTTGCCCACAGTTCAAGATAATGCAGATCTTTGCCTTACTGGGAGGCCTTGGTAGACTTGGGCGCATGTCACGGTGAATATTTGCCAGGCACACGACGGGAAGGGACATGCAAGAAATGACGGGATCAACATACCTCTTGAGAATCGCTGGATGGCTGTACTGTAAGGATCTCATCATGACCATTTCCAGGAGTTGTCGATAGCGCGCAACCTCCTCCTTCAACCCAGCAGCTTGTGCAGCCGTTGGCGAATTTGGAAGCTCAGCCTTTCTAAGCGTTTCGTTCTTGGTCTTCCAGGCATCTCTCAAACCTCGAATCGTGTCACCGTAGTTAGCAATACCTCCACGAACCTTCTCGGGATCAACTGGTTTGTTGCGGGGACTCCAGACAGCTTGTACAGCACGATAGAGAGCCCTGCCACGTTCATCGGCGGGCATGGACACGGCAAGTAGGGCTGGGGTCATCTCTGGAGGTTCCTCATCCTCGATCTCTAGCTCGTCATCAGAAGACGCGGCCGACCCAGCAGACTGACCTCCAGCTTGTGCAGAAGCATCCTTCCGCGGTCGACCTCGTGGCTTCTTCGGCGCAGTTGGATCTTTGGCGGCCGTAGACTTCGTTGCTTGCTCAAGCTTGGGTACGATCACCACTGTTCCCGTCAGCGAACGTCCAAAATCTGCGCGATTCTCCTTACCCGGCTGAGGTGATTTTGCGGAAGGCATCAATTGTGGACTTTGCAATGATCTTGGATCCACGGTAGGTCCAGAGTTAAAGTACGAAGACGGTAGGTAAGATTGTTGGGCTTGGAAAGTGTTGTTGCCGTTTGTGCCTGCCAATCGTCAGAGGAAACTCTTCGAAGGGGTGTTGTGAGCCTTACTTGTGTTCGTGGGCTGGTTAGCGGTCAACATGGAAGGATCTACGAAACGGTTTGACAGTTGTTGGCCTTGATCTTGAACATGGAAAGTGCCGAAGCGCATCATATCCGCGCTCTGAATAGCAGTTAGTGAAGAATCTCAAAAATTTTGTGCTTTGGTGACGCACCTGGACATGTGACAACTGTGACGGACGCTGTGCGATGCTGACGAATTGAGCAGGCTGCTGCTGTCTTTGTTGATAACTCTGAGTGGGAGTAGGAGTCTGCCGTTGCGGAATGTTCATTTGCTGGGGAGCGAAATGCTGAGGCGTGAAACCCATGGGCGACTGGTACTGATAACCTCCATCGAAACTAACCGGGGTGGGAGAAGGTCGCGTGTAGAATCTAGGATCAAACGTCGACTGATTCATCTGCTGAGAGTTGTAGAATGCTTGCGAGTACTGAGGTTGAGAGTAATTTTGCTGAGGAGCATTGTACTGGTGGATGTCTGGAGTATGCGACTGCCGGCCAGCACCTGCGTCGGATCTGGGGAGAGACGGCTGAGAGAAGCCTTTGCCAATTGCGGTAGACTCGAAGAGTTCGGGATCGAAAAAGCGGGAAAGGTCCTCTCCATTGTGAAGTGTTTCTGAGCCGGCATAGGACTGAATGCCGTCGAGCATGTTATATGATTGACCCTTGGCATGCTGCGTGCCATTCATGTTGGAGGATGGATTCATGGCGAAGTCGAGCATTAAGCGAGATTTGGAGAAGCAAGATCACGTGCGTGGTCGAGGCACGTGAGACTGACCAAACCCAAACGGTTCTGGGTGGCGGGAAGGAGAAATTTGGCTTATGCCGAGAAAAGTTGCCACTCACAACGCGCTCTCGGCTGCATGAAAAGGAACCGCGGCGACAGCCGGCCTGCAGCGCGATGTGGAATATGAGGGCTGTAGAGGTATCGTAGAGAATTAATTGCCGTTCCGGTACGCAGTGGGTTAGGTTACTCCGTATTGTGCTGCCAGTCCAGAAACCTGGGAACCGATGGTGGTGGTTGATTGCCTGGGCTTGCCTGCACGCAGAAGCCTGCAGTAACCGCCCGCCCCCTTGATTTTTCGCTTGTCTTGGAACAAACAACCCTCTGAATCCAGACGCACTTTTCTAGTATTGACCAGCCTGGAGGATAAGGCACTAGGTGCACTCAGTCCGCCCGTTAACGATGAATCGCACAAGACTGTCCAGAGCACTTTTGCGGGCGCGACCAATCAATATTAGGTGCTGCGCAAACACGCCACAGTCACGCCAATCTCAACACCCCGACTCCAGCCCATGCGTGATGCAAAATGGAAGACCATTCAATGTCACTTATTACAGACCACTGTCAAAGAAAGGCGAGGAACAGGATTACAGAGTGAGGAGAGGAAAGCGGGCGTTATCGTGGATAAGTGGTGTGTAAGGAAGAAGTGAGAGAGGAGTCAAGTGAGGGAGTCGAGATTGAATGAGAGGAATGGTTCTCGCCTAAACCCAAGCGGGCTGGCGCCTGGAACTAGCGCGCCGCAAATGACAGATTGCCGTCAGTCTTGCCAAGACCGCATATGCTTTGACCTGCAATGCCCATGCCAGCACCAAGTGCTTTGTTCACGGAGAGCCTCCACAACCCACTGTTACTGTTTCCTTCAAGATGCAAAGGTGTTTCTTTGCCGCGAGGCCGGAAAATTCACGATGAACACCCACCTACACCTACACCTGCACGCTGATCATCCGCCTGCGCACACATTCTCTCTGCCACCATGGCTACCCGGCCCCAGACGCTGCGGGATCGTCAGATAGGTGAGCCACCTGAAATGCTCCAACTGCCGCCTGCAAGACTCACCGTCCCCAGCATCTATTGAACGAATTTTAAGCCTGAACCACGATGAGTCCTCGACTACAAACGGCGACGCCACAGCGGCCTCTGCAACGCCGTCTCTTCTCAATGAGAACGGGGAGCCCATATGGAAAGTCCTCGTGTTCGACAACCTTGGACGAGATATCATCAGCAGCGTTCTACGCGTCAACGACCTTCGCAGTAGAGGCGTCACGATACACTTGTCCATACACTCTCCGCGATACCCCATCCCGGATGTACCGGTCCTCTACCTTGTCGAACCTACACAAGAAAACATCCAGCTCATATGCTCCGATCTCGCGCGGGGCCTGTACAGCCCGGCCTATGTCAACTTCATATCCTCGATACCGCGCCCACTTCTTGAAGACTTTGCCGCGCAGATGGCCTCGACCGATACGGCGGAAGCTGTCGCACAAGTGTACGACCAATACCTGAATTTTATCGTGGCTGAGCCGGACTTGTTCAGCCTTGGAATGGGGAAAGAGTCCTACTGGACATTCAACAGTGCAACGGTTCAAGAGGAGGCTCAAGATGCGGCCATTGATCGGATAGTAAGCGGGCTGTTTAGCGTCAGCGTCACAATGGGCTCAGTCCCGATTATACGATGTCCGCCGACAGAGCTGGCGAAGATGATAGCGACCAAGCTCGACCGAAAACTACGAGATCACGTCCTCAACTCGAAAGACAACCTATTTTCTTCAAAGGCCTCAGGGGCCAACTTATACTCCGCACCTTCAAGACCCGTGCTCATAATTCTTGATCGGAACATCGACCTTGTTCCGATGCTCTCCCACTCTTGGACGTACCAGTCCCTCGTCCACGACGTCTTAAAGATGCACCTCAACCGCATCACTGTCGACGTCGCAGACGAAACGAACCCGCAAGCAAAACCACGAGCATATGACCTCAACGCGAGCGATTTCTTCTGGGCGCGCAACGCCAGTGCACCCTTCCCTCAAGTTGCCGAGGATATTGACAAGGAACTCACAAAGTACAAGGCGGACGCCGAAGAAGTGACGAAAAAGACGGGAGTCAACAGCATCGAAGATCTAAATGACAGCGGCTCCGCCTCTGCCGCACACCTCAAGGCAGCAATAACACTGCTGCCCGAACTGCGGGAGAGGAAAGCCACTCTAGACATGCACATGAACATAGCGACTGCGCTGCTCAAAGGAATCAAAGATCGCCAACTCGACAATTTCTTCCAGCTAGAAGAGAACATCACGAAACAGACGGCCGATCAAATGCTCGCGCTGATCAAGTCCGATGACAAGGGCAACAACGCGCTCGACAAGCTTCGGATCTTCATCATCTGGTATCTGAGCGTGGATCGCGAACCGTCGAAAGCCGAACTCCAAGAATTCGAATCCGCCTTGACCGGGGCCGGTGCAGGCGCCGCCGTCGCCGCAATAAAACACATTTCCAACGTCCGCCTGGAAACAAAAGGAAGCATGCTCTCCTCAGCCGCGCCCACAAACACCTCACAACCACAATCCGCCGTCCCGCTCTTTGGCGGCCTCGGCGCCCTTTCCAAAAACTTCACCGATAAACTCTCATCCACCGCTCTAGGCACCACCTTTGGCAATGTGAACCTCGAATCCCTCGTCTCCGGTGTCAAGAACTTTCTACCTGCGAACCGTGATCTGACGGTCACAAAGATTGTCGAGTCGATAATGGACCCGCCCGCAGCGAGTTCCAGCGCGATCGCCAAGACCGAGGGATATTTATACTTTGACCCTCGCTCGGCGCACGCGCGTGGCATTGCCGGGTCTGCCACGTCAAGACCAGGCACAGGCAGTGGACCAGGTGGCGGAAGCCAAGCGGGCGTGAACCCCAGTTTCGGCCAGCGACGGCAGGGCTATTCCGAAGCCATCGTGTTCACGGTCGGGGGAGGCAGTATGGACGAATACGGCAACTTGCAGGAATGGGTCACGAGGACAAGCGGGTTGGGTGCCGACGGGAGAGGTGGCGCCGGGTTAGGCAATGCTCAAGCCCGTGCCAGACGGGTCGTCTATGGGAGTACTGAGCTGGTGAACGGGGAGGACTTTTTGAGTGAATTGGTGAGGTTGGGCCAGGAGTCATGAGGCTTGAAAGCCCGAGCAGCAGAGACGCGAAATCTCGGACTGGCACAAAGTAGGCAGTGTCAATCATGCCAGATACTCTGAATCACAGGAGCCTGACGTACCAAAGGGTCTTGAATACCAATCCTTCTTCCTCGGTATTGTCTGTGTGCCCCCTGAAGTCAAGTCTGCTACCTACTGTAGGTACTGCCCGATACTACGGTCCGACCTTGTAATCGCCTACCGAAAACATGCTCTGTGGTCTTTCGCCCACTTCACAGCTAACACAGCTATACCTTGACTCTCTTTCTTATATAGAGCGTTCTGAACAGTTGACCTAGTAAGTTCAGCGCTGTGTATAAAACGGCGTGCTGACGCTTCGAGTTGCATCAGATTTCAGGCTGCGTTCCGATAGACGATCACGAGGGTAGGGCTGTAGTACTGGCTCTGCTTGCCATCCAGAACCCGGTCATCAAATCCATGTACCTCGAGGAGAACTCAAGGAACGGAGCACTCGAAGGGCAAAACATTGATGGATTAGGCATACACACACAGCACACCCACGGGATGCTAGAGCGGTGGATTCACCAACGTTGTTCTACACGGGATATCCGCCCCTCCGACAAGCGGCAAGCGGCGCGACACAATTACCTAGGTACATAACATACGCATACATGTACTACTACAGTATATGACCAAATCCACCGCCCGATGCCATCGCGTGCCGTTCCCATTCCACCGGTATCGTCGACATTCATAAGACGTCAAGACCACCACAGTACACTATCGAGCTACACTACCGCGCCGTGATCAACAACTTCTGAGTCACCGTGACCGTTTCCGTCGCCGTCGCCGTCGTGGTGATCTGCGCGGTCTCGGTCTGCGTCTCCGTGACCGTCTGCGTCTGTGTCACCGCGGCTTGGATGTTCGTCACCGTGACGGGCACGACGGCGAGGCCGTCCGAGGCTGAGGCGGTTGATGCGTCGGGAGTCGGGCCCGAATTCGAGCTCGAGATTGTCGCCGACGTGGACGCTGTTGAGGCGGCAGGGCTAGCCGGCTGTGTCACTGTCGACGTTGCGGGCGCGGTGCCATCAGCGGCGGATGACGTGGAAGCCGTGGCGAGGATGGTTGGACTGCTCGAAGACGCGACGGTGACGGGCGTGTTCGGTATGCTGGCTAGTCCCAGCGGGATGGTGCTTACATTTACTTGTGTTGTGGAAGTCGAGGGGGTTGGTGGAGGGGTTTGCTGGGATACAGACGTGGACGTGGACGTGGACTGGGATGCAGGCGCCGATTGAGCCTCAGTGGGCGCAACGCTGCCGTTTGCGTCGGGAGTCAAGGTCGAGTACCCACCGATCGGGCCGGCGAAGGTGGGACTTACGGTGACGAAGACGACCGTGATGGATTGGGTGCCCGGTGTTGAGTCAGGTTCTTGGGCTCCCGTATCTGGAGAGGGTGCAGGCGGAGACGACGATGCTGAAGCTGGAGCTGTGGCGGTGACTTCGGCTGTGACGACAGAGGTCGCAAGGACGGTTACCTGAGCTTGCACGGTGGTCGTCGAGGCTGGCTGGCCTTGTGTTCCGGCTTGTGCTGTGTTTCGCTGGATTGCTGTTCCCGTGCCCGGGCCTTGGGATATGGTGTTTGCATTCTGCTCAGCTGAGGCGGTCTGCGCTGCTGGAGAGCTCTCTGCTGTGGAAGCGATTGTCTCTGGCACTGGTACTGCAGCTGTCTGAGTGGCTGGTTGGATGCTGGTCTGGGTTAGAATGCTCAATAAGCTGGTGTTATCTCCTCCGACACCCACGGCTGGGACTGCTCCGTTCTCTGTGCCACTTCCAGTCTGAGCAGGCCCTGTGCTGTTTGAAGTAGAAGTAGACGGTTCCGTCCCCGCGGCTTGTCCGGTGCTATCGTCTGTTCCGTTTGCTGCCTGTGAAGCGGCAGTGTTGCCTGGAGAACTCGCTGTCTGCGTCTCGATAGGGACCACTGCCTGTGTGGCAACTTGTGTCGCTGGCTCGATGGTTGTCTGGGTTAACAGACTTAGTAAACTTCGATTATCTGTGCCTCCAACGCCCACGGCAGGGACTGCTCCATTCTCCGTACCGCTCCCAGTTGGAGTCACTGATGCGTTTGGTGTTGAGGCCGTCTCGGTTGCGGCCGCCGCATTTGCAGGGTCTGTTGGAGCTTGGCGCCTCCACGGCGATCTGGGCGATAATGAAAGACCGTTGACGACATAACGCTTAAGAGGTTGGTTTGAATGACGAATTACATTATCTGGTCTGTGAGGACATTAGTACGACAAGTAAGCTCTGCTGGGCTAGACGTACCGTTGAATTGGTCCGGCCAATGCCGACGATAGCAAAAGTGAAAGGGCTACTGAGCAAGCAAGGAAATGCATATCTGATCCAGCAGAATCGCGAGAGGAAGCTGATAAAGTATTGAGGCTCGGTCAGTAGTGAGAGGGAGGACTCAACCAGACAAGACAGTAGTAACTGGTATACAACCACAAAGGAAATTCGTCGCAAAGGAAACTCCAAGTAATGCAAGTGAAGTGTTTGGGATTTATTCTGCATTGAAGAGACTTCGAGACAGCTCTTGACGTATCCCACCTAGTCGCGTGGCAGATTGCCATCTGGCTTCGCGCGCTCGGCGTCGGTCGCATATTGCGAGTCTGAAATTGTTGATTGAAACATGTTTCCTCTGTTCTGTGAAACCTGGGCGACGTGGGTGAGAATATGTTGTGAGAATTGTTCACTGTCAGGAACAACAAGCGGAGGGAGCGATGGTTGGTGGTGATGTGACGGACCAAACCGCCCTAAGATGATTCTGGGCGGGTGGAGGTGCCGCCAAGACAGGCCATTTAGAGGTGATCGATAGGCGGGCAGACGCCCGGAGAAAAATAAGCAGGCTTAAGCGGGCTGCTGCAGGGCCGCCTTGCGCCTTGCTCCTTGCCACCGAGCCGCCGCCGAGCTCTCCGCTTAGTATCTCGCTGGTTGTTCTTCAACGTTGCCAGCTTCATGGTCTGAAACGTGGTCTTCTCATGTTCGGAGTTGTCTAGATCAGGCAGGACCGAGCGCTAATGCAACACGCGCTTCTCGGTGTGTTCCTCGAACGACTGGATCTGATCGCCCACTTCGAATGCGTCCCAGTTCTCAAAGCCCATCCCACACTCGGAGCCTTTGCGCATTTCCGTGACATCCTTCTTGATGTTCTTAAACGAGTTGAGTGTGCCTAATAGGTGGTCAGCAAGCGAGAAGCCACTTTAAGATCAAATCCACTTACCAGTATAGATCACTGCGCCTCTCCTCAGCACTCGGATCTTCTCTGAGCGCCGGATGGTGCCGTTGGTCACGCGACATCCGGCAATCTTCATAGATCCCTTCTTGATCTTGATGTCGAAAATATCTCCCACCTCTGCTTCTCCCAAGACGCGCTGGGTGACAATTGGCGGCAGTTCTGCACTGACCTTCTCAGTGACATCGTCGGTCACCTTGTAAATGATGTTGTGGTCCAGAATCTGGATACGAGCAGCTGCCGCAAGTTGGCGAATCTCTCCATCGATGGGCTGATTGAACGAAATTGCGTACGCAACTTCTCCTGTTGCCGCTAGCATCTTGATGTCCGATTCTGTGAGACTGCCTGTAGCGCTGTGGACGATATTGGCGCGGGCTTCGTTGTTGCCGATCGCGCTGACAGCAGCAACCAGAGCTTCAGTGCTGCCAGCCACATCGGCTTTGATGACGAAATGCACCAGTTGGGCTCCCGAGGACCCTTTCTCAACCCAGCCTTCATTGTCCTTGGGACGTCTCTTGTAGCCCATGGACAGGTAGCCCTGCTCTTTCTCCCATTCGAGAACTTTGGCTCGCGCGACGGCGTCTTCCGCGCGCGAAGCGTTGATCGCCGCCATATTGTCCATTTCCCAAGCTGTTTCTTGTCTCTCCTTTCGCACAGCAATCGCATCCTTGGCTTGCTGTTCGTTCTCTGCCTGCAACACCTCGAGTCCAGCTTCAGGATCATCGCCTCGCCAACCGTCAAGCTGGACAGGAGTCCCAGGAGGTGCTTCTTCGATCAATTCTCCAGCGTCGTTTCTCAAGGTTCGCACACGCGCCCAGGTGGTACCAGCAACAATAAAGTCACCTGGTCTCAGTGTACCGCGACGCACCAATACCGTGGCCACACGACCAGTGATACCCACTCTGCTCTCGATGATCCAGCCTTCAGCAGGTCCATCGTTTTCGGCGCGGAAGTCGGCGACATCAGCTAAAGTGAGTATTGCTTCCTCCAGGTCATCCATCCCGCGACCTGTCTTTCCGCTGACAGGGATAGCTTGGTATTCTCCACCGAACTCCTCTACAACTATGTCATATTGCATCAAATCACGTTTAACCTGTTCGATATCGGCCCCAGGTTTGTCGACTTTGTTGATTGCCACAATCATCTGTACACCGGCCTCACGGGCATGCTTGATAGCTTCGATCGTTTGAGCCTTAACACTGTCATCTGCAGCGACAACCAGAACAACAATGTCTGTCACGACAGCACCTCTTCGGCGCATCTCCAAGAAAGCGGCATGGCCAGGAGTATCGAGGAACGTGATGTTGCGCTCCGACCCGGGCATTGTCACTGAGAACGCACCGATGTGTTGCGTGATGCCGCCATGCTCTGATGCCACCACATTCGCCTTCCGAAAGTAGTCCAGTATAGTTGTCTTCCCGTGGTCGACATGGCCCATGATGGTGACGACTGGAGGCCGAGGGGGGAACCCGGAAGGATCCTCTGCTGGCGGTCGAGGAAAGATATCCCCAGATTGATCGACTGCTTTAATCACGGGCTCAAACCCGTAGAGCTCTGCGAACATTGCGGAGGTGCTAGAGTCCAGGACATGGTCATATCTAGCACCTTCAAATCCTTCCTCTTCGAGCTTTTGTAGAAACTGGGGTAGTCTGACTTTGAGACCCTGCGCAAGCTTTTCCACGCTGACGAACTCGGGCAGAACGATTTCCGGCCGCGCTAATTGCTGCGCGGCTTTGGCTTGTTTCCCCTTCTTCTTTCGCCTTTTCTTTTCGTCGAGGAATTCCTCGGCCAGATCTGGGTCGAAATCAAAACCCGCCGAAGTGCCTCGTGAAACACTGCCCCTTCTCGCTGTAGGGGCTTTAGCTGGTCGTGATACCTGGAGCGGCCCGTCCTCCTCGATTTCATAGAGTCGAGCTCTCCTGTCGCGCTCCTTGCCACCTGTTGTTTTCCGCTTGCGCCAATCATCTTCTGTTTCGTCTGCAACCGGCCCATCGTCTAACATACCAACCTGCTCATCAACGTTTCCTGCCTGGAGGGGAGCCCCAAGCGCTGGTTGTGGACGCCGTTCCCGACCCGACCGTTGATCAGTTGACCCCTGAGGGAGGGCAGAACCATCCATGCCCGGTCGCCAAAGACGAACGTTATCACGAGTCCCCCTGCCATCCGCCTCTCTACTGGCCACACCTTGTGGCGGCCGCTTCGATGGGGCTGGCCCCATGGGCGTCCAGGCCTGTGGCTCACCAGAAGCACCCTCGAACTCAGGCTCTGCCCTCGGTGAAAGGTATTGACCAGGCCTCCCTATGGCTGCTCCTATTCTACTCGAAGGCAAGCTCCGTCGGCCGGTCTCGCTCGACGCTGCGTGGTCAATTCCGCGAGCCCTAAAATCACCGTGCGTCCTAGATGGTCGTGACGACGGTCCAGGCTCTTGATAAACTCGATCGGCAGCACTGATACCGCGGATTCTCGTTTCCGCAGGGCGTGTCCGCTGACCCCCCTGGTACCTGAAAAGCGACCGCTCTGAGTCAGAAGACTCTCCACGGCGTTCATACCTCCAGTTCTTCTCAGTTGGAGGACCGATACCATGATCTCGACCTCTGAAAGATGACTGTGCATCGGCCCGAGGTTGTGAGGTTCTGTTCTGAGTGTCTGGCTGGGCGCGACCCCAGGTCGCTGCCTGGGACCGCGGTCGCGCCTGGGACAGGATCGCAGATATCGAGTTGGGATCCGAAGGTCCAGCGGGACTTGCTTGGAGGCGAGCGTTCGAAGTAGAGGCGGCAAAGTGGTCAGGTATGGGTGGATTTGAGTCTCTGTAGACCATCTGGGCATTCTGAGGCCGTGGGCTCATACATATTGTGCAGTCTGATCTTCCCGGCTTGTTGACGTGGTTGCAACGACATTTCCAGCCTAGCAGTTCTCGTGCTGGAGGGGCGAAATCATCCTCCTCCTCTTCTATACGGGCTGCCGCTGCGCCGGCCGGGCGGTTCGAGGGTTTGGCCGCCCTGTACAGGCGCCGCTGCGGTTGCAGCGACTTGACAACGCGAGACTCGATGCCATGTCTGAATGCGCAGAAGAAGCAGATGTCTTGACCTTGCAGTAGCTGCACGGGGATTAGTATGTAACATGCAATCTTCTGTAGATGGAGGAACGAACCTTCTGCGCCACTGTCCTTCGCATACTGAGTCACTCTTCCTTCGACCGCGTCTGTGATGCTCGCGTTACTGCTGAATCCACGAGCAACGCCGACATTGCCTGATAACTTTTTGCCCGAGAAGTCGATCCCGGATTTCCGACGGAGCGTTAAAGCACGAAGCGCATATCATACGGTGTGCTGCACAGCATGCTGCGTTCTTTGTCAGCCTTGCCGTGCCTTGCAAAGATAACGACAACCAATCGATGCTTTGCGGCCCCGCCCGCTTTTCTCGGGGACAAAGGCGCATTGACAAATGACGTGCTATTCCGGCAGAAAATATATCAATGCTCCTTCGCTTGCTAGGGCGACGCTGTAAGTTTGTGGGGATGAGATAGCTCAGACAGGCGTCACAGAAGAGGAGCAGGTATGGCGGACGCCGTTGAGGATATCGAGAAGCACGAGGTCGAGACCGGCAGCTGGGCGAGGACCGCAAAGGATCTTTTTGCAGGTGCGGCTGGCGGTGTTGCTCAGGTTCTGTTGGGTAAGTGACAAAACTTCTTTTGGCTCAACTTTGTTGGCCACTGGGTGTCGAGCATGCATGACCAGCGACTTTGAGACGAACCTGGAAGATTGGCGTATAGGTTGATATGATTTCGACTTATATCCTATGGTTCAAGTGAAGAGTGGAGGCGAAACTAGACCATAAGAGCAAGGGCTGACACTTACTACAGGTCAACCCTTCGGTAAGCGATAATGGATTTAGTTATCTTGCGGAGCGGTATCTCACGACCTGTTCCAGACATCGTCAAAGTCCGCCTCCAAACAACGACAAAATACCCAAGCGCTCTCTCCTGCGCCAGCTCTATCCTCCAGAATGAAGGGCCCCTAGCTTTCTACAAAGGCACTCTCACGCCTCTAATCGGCATCGGCGCCTGTGTCTCCGTCCAGTTTGGTGCTTTTCACTACGCTAGACGAGCATTTGAGGAGCGAAATCTCCGCCAGAACCGACCGGCGGGTTTGTCTTACTCGCAATACTACCTGGCTGGCGCTTTTGCTGGCTTGACTAACTCCGTGCTTTCCGGCCCGATCGAGCATGTGAGGATCAGACTGCAGACGCAGCCACATGGTGCGGATCGGCTCTACGCTGGGCCTCTCGACTGCATCAAGAAGCTGTCCGCACATGAAGGTGTGCTCAAGGGACTGTATCGTGGTCAGGCTGTGACATACTACAGAGAAGCTCAAGCCTATGGTATCTGGTTCCTTACCTTCGAATACCTCATGGCGCGGGACATGAAGCGCAACAATGTCAAGCGAGAAGAAATATCGTCACCGAAAGTCGCTTTCTATGGTGGATTGGCTGGCGAGGCATTGTGGATTGCGAGTTACCCGTTCGATGTCATCAAGAGTAAGATGCAAAGTGATGGGTTTGGAAAGGAACAGAAGTACAAGAGCATGAGGGACTGTTTTAGCCAGACCTGGAAAGCTGCTGGGTGGAGGGGATTTTGGGCCGGCATTGGGCCGACCTTGGTGAGGGCCATGCCAGTCAGTGCGGGCACATTTGCTGTGTAAGTGCTCTTCCCCGGGTGACTTTGTGAGATGCATGATTCTAACTGTGGTGTCTAGAGTTGAATTGACAATGCGGGCGCTGGGATGAGGTCGAGTGCCAGAATAGTACAGTATTGGCTCACCGCGACGTGAGGGATCTAGGTATTGCCGAATTCCAATAGACATACAAAATGACTCATAAGTAGATGTGAATGTCACACTCATACGGAGCAGGTGCTCAGTCGCTCAAATGCATTTTGCCAAGGGTACGATGTGATAGCCTTCGCATCGTGAAACTTATGTACAACTCCCACGATCTGATAATCATCTGTAGGGTGCATCTGCTCGAGCCACAGCCGCAATTTCAGGCTCCCATTTGTCACCGTTGGCCAGTAATTTTTCCTTATTATAAAGAAGTTCTTCTCGAAACTCGGTGGCATACTCTGCGTTAGGTGTCTCGACAATGGCGTCCACCGGGCAGCTCTCCTGACACATGCCACAATAGATGCACTTCGTCATGTCAATATCGTATCGAGTTGTTCTCCTCGAGCCGTCCTCTCTTTCTTCGGCTTCAATTGTGATGGCTAGTGCCGGGCAGACTGCTTCACAAAGCTTGCATGCAATGCACCTTTCTTCGCCCGAGGGATATCTCCTTAGGGCATGTTCGCCTCTGAATCTGGGCGAGACGGGACCTTTCTCGAAGGGATAGTAGATTGTGTAGCTGCAATTCCGAAGTTAGTGTCATCTCCTGACGGACTCCACAGCTCGCTTCGGCGCGGTTTTCACATACGGTGGTCTGAAGAATTGTTCCAGCACGACATACATCCCCCTCAACATCTCAGTGAGCAGAAAGTAATTGCTGGCCTTGTCCATCAACTTTTCGCCTTCATCAAATCTCTTGGGTTTTGGTAGTCTGAAGCCGGCCGGGGGAGGCCCTGCTGGTAGGGCATTTCGAGGACGTGAGCTATGGAATTGAGCTGTGGCTGTGGCGCGGATGAAGGGTGACGATTCTGCTTGTCGAAAAATGGCTGCCGAACTCGTCAATGGCCGCGCGACCAGTCGCGATGCTGGACGAAATGACGACGCCATCGCCCTTAGGAGTCGCAGACTGCAGTTTGTCGAAGTGTGGCGAGCGCAAAGGGAAAGAAAGAGTTCAATCGAGCCGGCGAGGTCATCGAAGTAATGCGGATCTCAAGCCCGTTGATTGGCCGCATCGGCAGACTTGCTGTTTCGAGGGCAGCTCTGGCGACCCCGAAGCTTCGCTGGTTTGCAACTGCGCCTTCCGTCCAGAAATTCAATCATTACGCCAACAGACGCAAGCCTTCCTTCTTTGCGACCGTTTCCCTTGTCCTCCACATCTACCCATCTTCTTCAGGGTCCTGCCCAAGATGATTCGCGCAGGTGCTGTCAGAGCGCTATATGCAGCCACAAGGACCCAAGTGCCCCGACAGTTACCTGTCTTCCGCTCCCAGATCTCTGCCTCCCTACTTCAATCATCACGAATTGCTCCCTCATTCGTCGCTCAGAGTATAAGATGCTACTCAGCACCTGCTGGTCTGTCGAAGGACGAGGTCCAAGGACGGATAATGGACCTGTTGAAGAACTTTGATAAGGTACGCATCCGTGGTACAAGACTCATGTGATGTTGGCTAACACTTTGGCAGGTTACAGACGCAACAAAGGTACGCCAGCCTCTCCGGATGATGGTCAGAGCAACCCTAACTGGAGCAACAGATCAGTGGGACGGCGCACTTTCAAAATGACCTTGGACTGGACAGTCTGGATACCGTGGAAGTGGTCATGGCCATCGAGGAAGAATTCAGCATCGAGATTCCCGACAAGGAAGCCGATGCCATTCATAGTGGTAAGCCAAATCTGAAGCACTCTTGATTCCACCTCTGACATCGTTACAGTTGAGCAAGCGGTGACCTATATCATGGCCCAACCCGATGCACACTGAGAGGTCTTCTCCTGGGATGCTGGCGGAGCTAGACACGGATCAAGACTCGAAAAACATCAAGCATTGTACATTTTCCAGTGGTGAGGAAATGGATTGCCCTTGTACTATCATCACGGGATAATAGACCCTCCGGATCTCCACGATGGTCTTTGGACAAAATTCACCCTGTTCCGACCGAGGTATTTCTTGATCTATGTTCTATATCCCACATGGCCATCCGGACGCCGTGCCTATATAACGCCGGAGTTTCTCAGCTCGGTTACCTCTGTAGCATCATACCCTAGCTGGCCCAGGACCTCGCCGGTGTGCTCACCCAATAAAGGCGGCTTTATTCTCAGTTCCATCTTCGAACCCTCAAATTTCATGGCTGGGCCGATCAGCTTCAGCATATTATCCCTGGCTGCTTCGAAGTCATCAACTTCAATAACCATGTCTCTCGCCTTGGTCTGAGTGTGCTCTTCCAGGGCTTCCACAGGGTCATTGATTGCGCCATAGGGCAGTCCGCTCCCCTCGAAGATGGCCAGCCACTCCTGTTTCGTCTTCTCGCGAAATCTCCCCTGCAGAATCCGATTGATCTCCTTTCTATTTTCCACTCTCCCATCGTTGGTGTTGAATCGTTGATCCTGGCCCAATCCAGCAATACCCATCCTCTCACAGAATCCCTTCCACTGCCTATTATTATTCGCTGCCACAAACAACATCTTCCCGTCGCTCGTTTCAAATCCCCCGTACGGCACGAGGTTGGGATGTCCCAACCCCAGCCTCTTCCCTCTCCTCCTCTTCTCGGGCCCCTTGTCCACATCCAGATTCATACTCGCCAACCCCACGTTAATCAGCAAACTCAAACTACTCTCGAACAAACTGCCCTCGATCAAACATCCCATCCCTGTCCTTTGCCTCTGATTCACCGCCGCGAGGATGGCCCCATGCGCATACAACCCCGTGCACAGATCCGCCATCGCCACACCGGGCTTGACCGGCGGCCGTCCCTCCTCGCCCGTGATGTGCAACAATCCCGCCTCCGCCAGCGCAATCGCATCATACCCGGCCCTCTGCGCACTCGGACCCTGGGGCCCATACCCACTCACACCCGCGTAGATCAGCCTCTCACCCACGGAACCCAATTTCTTTAAATCCTCGTACCCAAGCCCCATGGCTTCCATTTTTCCGGGCAAGAAATTATGAACCACGACGTCCACGCCCGTGCTAACGCCTGTGCCATTCCCGTCCCAACCCCGCGCGATTAATTGCTTCACGATCTCGATCCCCTTTCTTTCCTTGAGATTGACCGTCACGGACCGCTTGTTGCGGTTCACGGCCGCGAAATACAGGCTCATAAGAGGGTGCTCGTCCTTCCATTTCTGCGATTCGCCCGCCGTGCGCCACTGGCGGGTTTCATCCCCGACGCCGGGCTGCTCGATCTTGAGCACCGAGGCGCCGTAGTCGGCGAGGATCTGTGTGCAGAACGGGCCGGCCAGGACGCGGGTGAGGTCCAGGATCTTGAGACCTGATAGGGGGAGGGCGCCCGTATTTGGTAGCGATGTAGATGTTGCTGGCGCTGCTGTTGAGGACTTCTCCCGGCGTTGATTATTCTGTTGGTGTCGAGAACATATCGTGAAAGCCAGTGGCCCCAGTAATGACTTTGAGCTTGCAAAGGTGTGCTGTCTAAGGGTAGATATGGGCCTCAACGTTGCCATTGTCATCGTCTTTGCTGAAGTCGATGTAGATGTAGATAAGATGTGGATATGGACATGAAAGGCTTCGAGACATCAAGTAATATGAGAACCACCCAGCAGGAAGCACGAAGCAACCGGACGGCAAAACTTCTTGTTGCACTGTCCGGCGCTCAGATCGATGATCCAGGTCCCGAGTCAGTCCTGCTGCGCTGCTTGGCTCTGCCCTGCTCTTGGAACTGAACCACTGGGTGTTGGAGCCCTACTTCAGGATGTTGGAGCCCTTCTTCAGGTTGTCTCAGCACACCCCAAGCACGGGAAACCATACCAGCACGAGTGCTCCGTATGTGGAGAGTGGAAGCTTGGGGTAGATTGCCAGTATCCCGTGCGTGGGCCGAGGCTGACGAGGCTCCTTTGCGGAGAATCGTATCCACAATGCTACAGTAACAGGGGACAGTGGCAGTTGACAAGACAACCTCGCCTTTAGCTATCTTCGAGCGGTTAGGGTGCCTCACAGTTCGACAGCTTTAGACGGTCTGCCTGGAGTCTGTGCCCATTTGCTACAAATTCCGCGAACAACAGACCTGGGCGTCTGCTTGGGAGAGAAACCTTCGCAAAGTAATTGTGACTGGCTCGGCTACGAACGCCAGGGTCTATTATTCATTGTTCCATATGCTTCTGTAACCCGCTGGTGATTCGTTGCTCCGTCGAGGACAGCTAGGAGCAGGCTGCCCGGTGGGAGCCGCGAATGAGGACCCAACCAGCAGCACGGAATCCTATGATCGAGCCTCTTTTTATATAGCGTCCTGCCACGCAACAGCTTCTACAACATGTCCGCCAAAAGATCAACCGCACATACAATCAGGAACGTATTCCACGCAATCAGACTCACGGGAAGGTCCAAGCTTCAATCACCTATCCACAACTCCTTACGCTGCCTACGCCCCTTTTCGTCAACGAGCTGCCACAGAGCGCGTGGCACGGAGTACCTCCAAAACCATGATCCGGACTTGACCGACACGCAACGAACGGTCCGTGAATCCATTGCGAAGATATGCTCCAAATTCGGCGATGACTATTGGCTGAGGGCCGACGCAGAGCACCGCTTCCCCGTGGAATTCCACCAAGCCATCGCCCAGACGGGCTGGTTGGGCATATGCATGCCCTCGGAATATGGAGGTTCAGATCTGGGCATCTCGGAAGCAAGCGTCATGATGCAGACGATTTCTGAATCAGGGGCCGGGTACGCCGGGGCGAGTGCCGTCCATATGAATATCTTCGGGTTAGAGCCCGTCCGGAAATTCGGAACCCAAGAGCAGAAGCGACGAATGTTAACGCCACTGATCGAGGGCAAGGAGAGGGCTTGTTTTGGCGTGACGGAGCCGAATACAGGACTGGATACTCTGAGATTGCAATCGGCCGCTGTGAAGGATGGGGATGCGTACAGGCTGAGTGGGCAGAAGATCTGGATCTCCACGGCACAGGTCGCAGAGAAGATACTTATCTTGGTTAGAACCACGCCGTTGGAGGAGGTGAAGAAGCCGAGTCAGGGGCTGAGCCTATTTTACACGGATCTCAATAGGGCGCAGGTCGAAGTTCAAGAAATTCCAAAGATGGGACGGGCGGCCGTGGACTCGAACACGTTATTCTTCGACGGGTGGGAGGTACCGCGGGAGGACCTGATTGGCGAGGAGGGCAATGGATTCAAGATGATCATGCATGGAATGAATGCTGAAAGAATCTTGATTGCCGCTGAAGCACTGGGGATAGGATTCGCGGCCTTGAGGAGAGCCGCGCTATATGCTGGGGAGAGAAAAGTGTTTGGGAGGCCGATTGGGCAGAACCAGGCTATCCAGCACCCTTTGGCGGAGAGCTGGATGGAGCTTGAAGCCGCTAGGCTGGTCATCTATCAGGCTGCCCGCATGTATGATGCTGGGTATGAGACGGGCGAATATGCCAATGCCGCGAAATATTTGGCTGCCGAGGCGGCTTTTCGAGCTTGTGAAAGGGCGGTCATGACGCACGGCGGGATGGGTTATGCAAAGGAGTACCACGTCGAGAGGTATCTGCGGGAGATTATGATACCACGGATTGCTCCTGTCAGCAGAGAGATGATCAAGAATTATATTGGAGAGAAGGTGCTCGGACTGCCACGGTCATATTGACGAACCCAGAACGTGATCTGCCATAAAGTGGTCCTTGGCTGATTGGAAGAGCCTGATAGGCTACTATTGTAAGGACATGTATAGGAGGGGTTGAGCAAGATCTCACACCTACACATCACCACGCGATGTACCTGGTGTTGGCTATCCTGGTACTCCTTCTTGCCCTAGCACTCGCAACTCCGGGAGTCGGCGAGCTCTGCTAGCAAGACAGAACTTGCTTTCGTAAAATCACAGGCAGATCGAAGTAAATCAGGCAGAATCTCTCTCACCTGTCGCCAAACAGTATTATGAGTGCCCGTACTGTGCAGCTGATGAGCGAGTCACAATGTTGCATCATCCTCGGGTATGCAGGACCATTCCTTGTACCAGCATGGCCAATCGATGTGCGAAAGAAGCGTACGAGTAGAAGGAACCAGGATTGTTATGCTATGCATCAACAGCAGTGCCTTGGGTATGATAATATTTCCTCGCGTGAGAAGCAAAACAAGGAGAAACGAAAGCGATTCGTTAAAGGCGAAGTTGTGGCAAGCCGGAGAATTTCGGTCACACTCTTGCACAGCCATACACAGCCTTACCAGCCTTGCGCTGCGCCTCTTCTACGGCGAACCATACGCACAGCCGAGTGTCTTCCTCGGCTGCGCCACACCAATCACATCAATCCCCAAGTTCCCAAATCCGCGTTTACTCCATCGATGCCATCATCCCCACGAGGATTTGGGTCCGTCGAGCGAATTCAGCAGGATTCCAGAACATTTACACCTCACTCACGTGCTCGGTTCCATACTTGCGAGCAAGGCTCAGGGGAGGCTGTGACGCTGCCGCGCGTTCTGTATGGCTGGGAGATGCCGAACGGGTTGCCTCTGCCTCCTTGTCCACGCACCGAGCCGAGTCTGCGTTGCTTCAGCCGCGTATGAGGTACGAGTAAATGGTACTCGTATTTTGCTTGCTTTTGACTATTCTGTTAGGCAGCATCGATCTACAAGGTGAGGGAAAAAGTTATTTAACCTTGAACCGCCCAAACAAGTCCGGGTGTCTCATTTCTGCTTCCCATCCCATCCTATCGCATCACTTGTACCTGTCCAGTCCAGTCCTTTCAAGTCAAGGCACCAAAGCATCAAAGACATAGAAGCATCAAAAGCATCAAAGCATCAAAGGAACAGTCCTCCCAGAACCCACACCCTAACAATCCCCTCGCATATCTTTTGCAACAACCTCCTCGTACAGCATCCACAACACACAACAACATGTCCGGCCCCTACGACCAACACTACGCTTTCACCAACAGCGGGTACGACTACAACAATAACAACAACCAATATCAATATCAATCATCACACCCCTCTGGCGGCTTCTCCGATCAGTCACACCAACCCTACTACAACTCGTACTCGCACTCGCAGGCGCAAAACTACTACCCCCAAACCGGCGGTGCAAACACATCATACTACAACGGCCAGCCCGGCGCTCAGCAAGGTTCCGGCCCCGAAGCAGAAGCAGACCGCGGGCTCCTCGGCGCTGCGGCCGGTGGCGCGGCCGGCGCCTTCGGCGGGCACAAAGTCGGCCACGGCGTTCTGGGCGCGCTGGGCGGCGCGATCCTCGGATCCCTGACGGAGGATTATGCCAAGAAGGGAAAGGGCCGCAAACAAGGCAAACAAAGCAAGCATTCACGCCGCGACGGTGCTAGTGGTACCCAGGGGCAGAGTTTCGGGTCGAGTGCCAGTGGGTTGGGGTCTGTGGCGAGCAGTTTCTTCAATAACCGGAAGTAAGGATGAGGAAACATTCGTCGTGCTTGGGTTGGGGAGTTGGGGCGCAGTGTACAGTGCAAAGCTACACGGTACGCACTACGGATCACCCACGGATGGATGAATGGATGGCTTTCGAGACTAGCGGGCGTTTTGCTGGAAACACGGTAGCATTGGGCATAACATTCCTACATACTGTGGGAACCCAGTGAGGAGTATTATACTGGATTTAAATGCAATGGAACGGAAATCAGTTTGTTTACCTGCCTGCCGCTTCTGGAGAGGTTCTCTACAGTATTTGATCTAGCTCTAGAATTTCTTAAGAGGTTCACATATTATCCAAGTCCCTAGACTTTCCACGTCCCTACATTTTCCATGCCCATCCCTACATTACTCATGTCCCTAGATTTTTAGTGTCCCTACCTCGTGCTGAAATGCCCTCGGCTTGTGGTGCCCTTTGACATGTGAATCGAGTCCGTCAAGAGGACCCATGTTGCCGTTACATCATACTTGAAGGAGTCTTGTCCCCTCGATTGTCTGCTGCTCCTGCTTCATTTTCCCGACCACCGCGGCGCAGACTTCGGCGCATGCCAACCAGCATACTTTGTCTTAAATGCCGACCAAGCGACAATATCAGGAGTGTGGCGCGACTTGACGTGTCGACAAGGTCCTGTATGAGTCTTCCACCGCCTGTCCACCGCTTTCCCGTATCGGTCGCGCCATGATGCCGTGGCTTGCCTGGAATACAGTAGATACGAGTACCCAAGGAACACCCCAATGGAAATTGGCCTCGAAGAATACCTGTACATATTGCCACTGAGTATCAAGTAGTTGGTGGGTGCAATGTTGTGTTTAAGGGCCGGGCGCAAGGAAACCGCAGGGTGGCTGTGGGTGGCTGGACTGAATCTGATCAGGAATGACTGCCGTCAGAAGCTGGCATTCGGCGAAAAGAGGGCACCGTCACTCCTCTTTCGTGCAGCGTCCAGGCCCCCATCGTGAAGGAGGGGATACTGTCACATTGTTCTGGAGTCACTCAAGCGAGGTATGTCAGACTCGCAAAGAACGGTAGAAGGCTCCAAGGCGGCTTTGTCGACACCCCTTTGCGGATAAAATCTTCCTCCAGAGTGGATGTGAGTACAGAGGATACACGCCCAGTTGCTTCACTCAAGATACCCCGATCCAGGTACAAGATGACACAGCCAGACGACCTACTCTTTGTGTTTGTTTATCGTCCTCTTGTTGTCATCCCTGCAGTTGAGCACTTGGATTTCGAGATCGTTTGGACCACCCGTACGCTCCACACCATCTCAATCAGTCAATCATAGGTTGCAGCGTACAGACCATCTCGGTGCTTATGACTGCACAATACGTACTTTTTAAGTTTGGAAGATCTCCCATTCAAATGCTGGTGCGGAGACTCCCAGGGAGCTTAGGTAAAGGTATGGCCGAGGCAAGTATGAGCCCTCCGACTGCACAAGACTGTCACCTACGCTTCTACGAACAACTCATCTACAACCTTGACCATGGCCAAAAGCTCAGATATTCACGTCCTCTTCAAACCTCTGTCGATTCAAGGCCGTCAAAATGAGACTCTAGATCTCCTTGCAGATGACGTCGACTGGACGATCATGGGCCACTCACCAATGTCGCGCAAATACACCGGCAAGCAAGACTTTGTCGACAACACTTTGAAAGTGCTTAGAGAAAGAGTCCTTACCGAGCCATTGAGGTTGGAGGTCAGCAATGTCATTGGGACCTTGGAAGGCGAAGGAGACGACATCCACGGCGAGGTGGCGGTAGAACTAGCAGCTGTCGAGGCCGTGTGTAAGAACGGGTTGACGTATGATATGCGTTATGCTTGGATCTGTAAATTTCAGAGGGGGAGGATTGTGAGAGTCCGCGCCTACCTCGACACCGACCTCCTTACGCGCGCAATGGAACAGAATCCATGAGTTTCAACACATACTAAGCATGAGGTACCGGAAGGGAGCCATGATGCGCGACACGAAAGCCCTGTGCCAGGTGTATCGGAACGCGAAGACAGCCAAATATGACATCTTTGGCGCACTTTGACCACCATGGATGCTCCGATATTTCCTATGCCCAGCCGGAAACTTCATAGGATCAGCATCACTGAGCCTGCCAGTTACTCAAGCCAGAAAGCCGCAATACCGCGCCTTACGGACGCAGACCCATCCGTATGATTTACTAATACTCATAAAATCCTCTTCCACTTTTCTTTCCCAGCCACCCAGCATCCACATATTGCCGTAGAAGCACGCTCGGTCGGTACTTGCTGTCGCCCAGCCCAGCATGTAATGTCTCCATGATGGCCAAGCAAGTGTCCAGGCCAATGAAATCGGCCAGCGTGAGCGGACCCATGGGCACGTTCGTGCCGTTCTTCATGATATTATCAATATCTTCCTTGTTCCCCACGCCGGTTTCCAGGCAGATAATTGCCTCGTTGATATACGGCATCAGAATCCTATTCGCCAGGAATCCCGGGCTGTCCGCCGAGACAGAAGCGACCTTGCCCATCTTCTCACAGAATGCAATCGCGGCCGTCACGGTCTCTGGAGAGGTCTGCAAGCCAGCGATGATCTCAACACCCTTCTGCACGGGGACGGGGTTCATGAAATGGGTAGACACCACCCGTGAGGACGCCTGCGTGTCTGTGGGATCTTTCGCCGTGGCCCTCGCGATCCGCGTGATACTGATGCTCGACGTGTTTGTGGCCAGAATAGCGTGCTTGGGACATATCTGAGCCAAGTCTGCGAATATCTTCTCCTTGAGGGAAGGGATCTCAGGGACGGCCTCGATCACCATGTCCACGTCCGAGAGATCTGAAATGTTCGTCGTAGATTTTAACCTTTCTCTCGTGGCTTTCGCAATCTCTTCGGTGATCCTTTGTTTCTGCACATCCTTTGCTAGCAATTTGTCGGCGAAGGCAAGACCCTTTTCGAGGGATTGTTGCGAGTTGTCGACGAGAGTAACCGAAACTTGGGCTTTTTGAGCGGCGACAAGTGCGATTCCTAAGCCCTAAGACTGGTCAGCTTCGAAAATCGGCCCTGTATTTGGCGCGCGTACCATCTGACCAGCGCCAATAACGCCGAGCTTCTTCACCTCGAATGCTTTCGAGGGCGAGGAGCTAAACTGGCGGTTGAGAGAAGCAAGCCTTTGAGAGGCGACCTGCGACTTTGACGACGCCATCAGTCTCGACGGCAACCTCGACAAGGCTGCCATAGGAAAGAGGTTGTAAACAGTGAGACTTTCAGTTGCGAGAACTTCAGCAATGGGAAAGCAGTGTTTTAATTGAAGCTGCAGCGACGCCGAGATTCCTCCTTCAGACCTGCGCCGTCCCTCGCCGTCATATTTCGGGGCGACTCGAAGCTCCAGCCGGGAATAGCCGCGCCGAGGTCCAAGTTCTAAGTAAGTGGTACGCGGTGCACGTGGAATTCTGACTCGTACGCGTCTCGACGCGTTCGAGCGTCACTGCAACTTTGTCGTGTCGCATCCGGACCATGTACTGTGTGCTCATGCATCCTTAAAAACTATGCACGACTGAACAAATCGGGCTCGATGGAGGACGATAACCCTTTCACCAAGGCTCAGACTATCGACCCTGAGGTCCGGGCCTATGTCTACAGCCTGGTCAACGCTGTAGGTTCCTCCCTCTATTGAGACTTGGACATATCTAACGCCAAGTAGCTAGGTGGAAGCAGCACCGATGATGACGGCCGCTATGTCCTGGGTGACGATGCCCTTGCAGTGCTACGAGACCTTAAACGATGGCTGAAACTATACGACGAGAAAAACAACTGGCTGGATGTCGCAAGATGTCTAGCCGAAGCGAAGCTGGTCGGAGGGGACCTCATTCCCATTCTCGCATCATGGCCAGAAGACGGCAGAGAGAACAGACTAAAAGCGAGGGTCGCGCTCGCGTGCTTAGAAGTCCTCGTCCCTCTGACTTGGCCGTTGGAAATTGGGGGAGAAATGACTGCCAACCACCACCGACATACACCATATATTCAGCAAGCCCAGGTCATATACAAAGCCGCCATCTTGGGTTGCGACACTAGTACTATCCTGCGCCAGGTGGTGCGGGTTGGACTGCCCTCAATCGCGGTTGCAAGAGACGAGAGGACAAGTCGAGACGAAGGCATCCTCAAGCTTATGTTGTACTTCTTCCGGAACGTCGCCGTCATTCAGCAGCTCCCGAATCTCCCGAGCCAAGGACTGGACATGGAAGTCTCAAGATCAGCCACTATTGAGGCATTCAGGGATCAAGATGTCTTTGCTGTTCTCCTGACTATCTGTTCCAACATGGGAGATGACTTCAATCTACAGGATGTCATCGTTCTGGATATCATCTTCAATCTTATCAAGGGTATTAATCCTAAGAGATTGTGGATGACGCAACAAGAACGGAAGACTCGTGGCGTGACAGACCTAAGTGCTGTTCTGGCCGTAGAGCAGAGCAAGGATCGAGACGCAAAGAAGCACCAGTGGAGCAGGCACGGCCGATTCGGAACGATGGTGTGGGTAAAGCGAGAAGGAGAGAAGATGTCAGCTGTCTCTGGCCAAGACAACTTGAAAGACGACCAACAAGCCCTCTTCAACATGGACAAGACGAAGAAGTGGAATAAGCCGCAGCAGAGACGCAAAGACCTCGACCACACCATTCATGACTTCGACCGTACGATACGCCTTACCGACTCAGCTGCCGAAAAGCTCCGTAACTTTGTGGAAGAGTTCCTTGATTCCGGCTTCAACCCTTTCTTCACGCATCTTCGCAAAGCCATTGAGCGCGAAGCAGAACGCTTGACTGATGCCAGTTATCGCCAATTTTTCTATGCTGTGGCATGGTTTCTCGAAGCCGAACGAGTACGCCGGGAGACGCGGAAGGAAGAGGTCAAGCCCGACAAAGTGTGTGCAGAATTGAACGATGAAAGCTTCTCCCTTGTTGCAGCCGTCCTCAACCAAGAAACATTCATTATGCTCAACCGATTCATGCAGATCTCGTTTGACAACAAAGAATGGCAGGATTTGAATGCGAGCATGCGCTGCTTCACCCAGATTCTCCTTACCGTGCAAGAGATGGCCCAAAGTCCTCTGGATGAAGACCAAGAGATCGCAGACAATATCCAGAACAGAATATTTTACGAGGAGACGACGCACGAGCGAATAGTTTCGATACTCAGAGACTACAAAGACCAAGGATTTGGCTACCTCGACGCCTCAACCGAGCTCTCGCACGTCTTCTTGCGCATGTTGGAACGATATTCGAAGGAGAATGTGGACATGCAGATACGGTCGCGGCGAAGAGCCAGGAAGAAGCGGAGGGTAGAGAGGAACCAAGCTACAGAAGCAGGCGATGATCCTGCCGCAGAAGACGACGAGTCTGAGAACGAGGACATCGCAGATGTCGTGCAAGTGTCCAAAGAACGGAAATTCGACTTCAACCGCTTCGCTACAAGGTTCACCACGCAGAACTCAGTCAACACGTTTGTGTCGCTGCTCACTTTCTACCGTGAACTCAGCACAGAGCAGCTGAAGAGGGCACATCGCTTTTTCTATCGAGTTGCATTCAAGCAGGATCTGGCCGTCTTATTGTACCGCGTTGACATCATTGCCCTCTTCTACAAGATCATCAACGGCCCAGACGGCCTGGAGAAGAACCATGCGATGTACATGGACTGGTCGGAGTTCTCAAGACAGCTCTTCAAGAAAATGTTCAGAAAGCTGGATCAGAGGCCCGAACTATTTGTCGAGATGCTTTTTAGTAAGATTCACGCTACCCTATACTACCTCGAGTTTGGGCAGGAGAAACAGACTGTTTCAATCAATCGTGCTCCTGCCGAGCTAGAAGTCAAACCTGCACCTGGGCGAGACATCAAGGAACAGATTGGGATTGTCGTGACAGTGCTCATTAAAGACGGCAAGACTGAGCTCGTGCAGTGGATCAAGAAGATGCTAGGAAAGGCTTTCGATGAGCGACATGCCTGGGAAGCCGAGGCTGAGGCACGGAAAGCGGCAATGGCTGAGACTGCAGAAAAGGAACGCGCCACTCTGCCTGAGAATGTCGATGTTGGCAAACCCTCGTCCATGACGATCCATCCTACCTCGGAGGACATCAAAACAGCGATGTTCAAGGATGGACGGCTGAAACTGTTGATGCGATTGGTTGACTTTGAGATGCTTGGAGACGAGGACGTGCTTGGGGCCAGCTGGATCGTACCTGGAAGCGTGTCTGCTGCTCAGCTTTCCGTCCACAAGGCCACTGTGGAACAGTACGAGCAGACACGGTGGCGTTCCGAGGACGATAATGAAAGCGCCGAAGACATGCTTCGCCGTGCAGGCAACAAGAACAAGAAAAGCTACGACGACGACGACGACGATGCACCCAGGGATGGGTTCATTGACGACTCTGAAGGCGAAGAGGACTTCTTATTCCCTGATAACCCCCGGCCGAAGAAATCAAAGAACATCATTGCAGAGCTCAAGGCCAGACGCAAGAGAAAGCGGGGCGACGTTGATGATGGCGACAGCGCTGATGAGGTCGACGAAGAAGCTGCAGCTCGAAGAAGAGCCAACCGAGCTGCGGCTGAACTGGAGAGACGCCGCAAGATCAAGAGTGAAGCCTACATCAGAGACAGTGAGGACGAGTCGGATGAGGAGAAAGATCGCCTATTCTTCGAAAACGAGGAGAAACTGCGACAGAGGTTTCAGGCCGACGTCGAGGCCAAGCTTCGCCAGCAAGCAGGGCAGGCCACGAAGCCTACAGGCAAGGGCAAGAAGTCGAAAGCAGCGGCGCAAGTCGGGGTGGACCAGGACAGCGATGATGATCTGCTAATGCCTGACGTCGACGATCAGCCCGAAACAGCGTCGTCACAGCCACGAAGTGCCGGAAGACCATCAGATACGGAGGAGGCAGATGAGGATGACACGCCCGTGTCGTCCCGGACTACAACACCAGACATCAGTATAGCTGGGAGATCGAAGCCCGAGGTGGAGTATAACCGAGCGCGCCCAGGTGTCAAACCCACCCAATTGGACGCGAGTGCGCTCAGCAGTGACGAGGATGAAGACGTGGTTCCTTCAGCGAACCCGCGTCAGAGAATGAGGGCTGGTTTTATTATCGACAGTGACGATGACGAGTGATCTATGAATATCAATACAGCACAGGACGTTCCTGTCAGAAAGCCAACTGTTCCGAACCGAGATGCCACTGCGGTTGAGTCTCAAGGCCGCCTTGCATGATGTTGTGTCCGACTGATGAAGCCTTCGTTGTCGTAGTCGTCGGTATCCGCCGAAATGTCAAGCCACAGCGCCGATTGGCTAGTGTGCGTCGCCCACTGGAGCCTCCTTGCTTCTGCTTCTGCTTCTGCTTGTTCTTTCATCTTTTGATAAGCACGACAAACACTTTTATAGACCTGATAGATTTCCTTTCTTGCTTCGTTGCTCCTCTCTTGGTCATACGCCGCTCCTCTGACATTTTCGGTCCCTCTTGGCGCTACTGGATCGTGCACCGGCAGAGACCGAGATGACGCAGAAACGAATTTACTTCGGGCGGTTCATTTCCACGCCGAGGCCCGATGAGCTTCTAATCAGGACAGGCGCCGTGCTCGTGGACAGGAGAGACGGTCGCGGTGTTATTGAGAAGGTCAATTGGAGTGTCAATGGCCCCAACGATGCGGTTAGCAAGCTTGGTGTCGAGGCGCCGGTGATTACGACCAAGGAGACGGGCTTCTTCTTCCCCGGGTTTATAGGTAAGTCTCAGGTGCCGGGGTTGCGCGTGACCACGACGTCACTACTTGCGACGTTGGCGCTCCTTGAAAGTCTGGATGAGAGCCCGCAAGCGGTGGTTGAACCACGGCGTTGACCTCCGCTGCAGATACTCACATTCACGCACCACAATATCCTAACGTTGGCATATTCGGCAAGTCGACGCTCCTGGACTGGCTAACAACATATACCTTTCCACTGGAATCGTCGCTGGGCAACCCCAAGTCGCCTATGTACCACGACTCAAGCTCACCTCCAGACCCGCTGGCACGGGCCAAGGCGGTCTACAATCGGGTCATCTCAAAGACGCTCTCCCACGGCACCACAACCGCATCATACTACGCCACCATCCACGTCGAGACGACTAATCTGCTTGCCGAACTCGCGTTCAAGATAGGCCAGCGAGCATATATAGGACGGGTATGCATGGACCGCCCCGAGACTTGTCCCGACTATTACCGAGATGAAAGCACCGAGCAGACGATTGCAAACACGAAAGCGAGCATTGAATTCTGCAAGGACCTCGACCCCACGGGTGAGAGGTTGGCGCATATCATCACACCGAGGTTCGCGCCCAGCTGCCTACCGGAGACGTTATCGCAACTTGGCACATTGGCCAAGAAAGACGATTTGCGGATCCAGACGCACATATCCGAGAACTTGAACGAAATCAAGTTGGTGAAGGAGATGTATCCAGAGCATGAGAGTTATGCTGGAGTCTACGATCATCATGGCTTGTTAACCCCGCGGACGATATTGGCGCACGCAGTTCACTTGAGTAAAGAGGAGATGGCGCTGGTCAAGGCGAGGAATGCGAAGATTAGCCATTGTCCGGCGAGCAATAGTGCACTGGGTAGTGGATTTTGTCCTGTCAGGGAATTGTTAGACGTGGGCATTGATGTTGGTTTGGGCACGGACGTTAGTGGCGGGTACAGCCCTAGTATCCTCGATGCGGTGCGGAACGCGTGTATTGTGAGTCGACATGTTGGGTATCTCGCGGGAGGGAACAGTCGATGTAATTTGAGTGTCGCGGACGGACTGTGGCTTGCTACAATGGGAGGTGCAAAGGTGGTGGGTATGGAAGGTCGGTTAGGCGGGTTTGAGGAGGGCATGCTCTGGGATGTGCAAGAGATTGTCCTGGGGGATGTTGACGAGTTTGGCGACGTGAATGAGACCGGAGTGGATATCTTCGGCTGGGAGGATTGGGAGAACCGAGTTGCAAAATGGGTATGGAATGGCGACGACAGGAATGTCAGGCGGGTGTGGGTGGGAGGGAGGCTGGTGCATGAGCGGAAGTGATAATTCGTACACAGTCCTGCGTCACGTGTATCTGACCAACAGAAAACGTCTCCAGCACGTGATTTGCCTTACATAATCAGGTGGGCATGTTTCTCAATTGCTCCGCCGTCGTCATTCTTGGTGATCGCAGCTTCTGGAGATCGCGAAGAAGTTTCCACGTGCGTCTTCATTCGATCAACAATGGTTGTTCATTCCTCATTCTTACCACCCTTTTCGCTGTCTCATGCTTCACTAAGTCCAGCGAGCGATGAGATAGCACTCCTGCCATTCGTTCGCCAAATAGGCGCAGAAGCAATGTCTGGTCCTCGTGACGGCCGATTGCTTCCTCCTCAGTCTTGAACTCCTCCAACGTGGTCTCCGATCCATAGCCCCACGAGCTTCAGTCCGGTCGCTGCGATGCATTCTTCCACCGCGGCCTCGAATGTTCCCGTGGGACAAGAGGCGCACTCGGCTGGAGGGGGCTTTCTCTATGCCTTGACGTCGCTTGTAACCTTCCTTCCACATGCTCTGTTATGGATCATAGGGTTCTGCACAATCACGCTGCCGACATGGTTGTTCACTCTGTTCTCCTTGAGCTTGACTTTTACCATGAACTTCACCACCCTGTAAGGCCCGCTGCTCTCCTCACTTAGGCCACAGCGCTGACATGTACAGTCTATTGATTTTCGTGGTAATAGGCTCGACCATCAGCTGGTTCATACGCTATCGTTTCCTAAACAACTACACACGTTTGGCTCAAGAGCCGCACAGGAAAGAGCCGCAGATTGATCTATTCCCCGATACCCAAGATGGAGACACAAAGCCGGGGCTGGCTAACTACCTCGACGAATTCCTCAGTGCGATCAAGGTGTTCGGATATCTGGAGAGGCCGGTTTTCCATGAGTTGACGCGGACGATGCAGACTAGAAAGCTCATCGCCGGGGAGACGTTGCTGCTCGAAGAAGAGAAAGGCTTCTGCATGGTCGTGGACGGCTTGGTCCAGATATTTGTCAAATCCCTGCGCGACAGCACGGATGGCAACAGCGCCGGTCAAATTGATTTGTTTGATGAAGAAGAAGGATATCGGGAGGGCAACCAAGGATACCAATTACTGACCGAGGTCAAGAATGGAGCGTCCATGTCCTCTCTTTTCTCAATATTGTCTCTCTTCACTGAAGACGTCAAGCTACGCCACGACGTTCAAGGGCCGAGTGGCACACCGTTTACCAACGGCATCCATCGGACGCCCGACTCGATCGTTGCCAGTCCCATGCAAGCGCCATCCACCCCGGGCATGACCGACGCTGGTCTCCAAGAAGATGGTGAGAAGCGCAAATTGCCTAGCGTTCCGCCTCTAATCCTGGGATCTGCCTTTGACGACACCCATTTCACCAAGAAGCACCAACCAAAAACCCGTCCTTCCGTTTCAGCTCACCCTGATATTGTGGCACGGGCTGTTGAGGATACCACCATAGCCATCATTCCCGCGAGTGCATTTCGGCGTCTGACAAGAGTGTATCCAAAAGCCACTGCCCACATTGTACAGGTCATACTGACCAGGCTGCACCGCGTAACTCTATCAACCGCACACCAATATCTAGGACTCACGTCGGAAGTGCTGCAAATCGAAAAACTGATGAACAAATACACGAGCTATGACCTTCCAAACCACTTGCGTGGACAAGCCCTCGATCGACTAAGGGACAAGTTCTCCAAAGAAAGAGAAAGAATCGGACCCGAAGAGGGTACAAAAGGGATCGCGCTGCATAATCCAACTGCGGGCCGGCGGAGGTCATCCAGTGGGTTGCGTAGAGATGCGGCCACGACAGCAAGGCTGAATGCGGCGAGGGGAGCGCTCACAACTATCGCAGCTGATGCGAGACGACCAGGAATAGGCGACAGAAACGTCAGTTCCGGCGATCTGCATGGTGCTTCGAGACCAAGCCAGAGACCGACAAGCTTCCATCTTCGATCGACTTCGAACTGGACCAGTATGGGAGCACCCGACGCCCGCAACCTGGACCTCAGCCCGATGACAACCCGTGAACAAGATCCGTTCCGACCCTCTCTGTTCGGCACAGATGCTCCACACAGGCAGGAATCCGTCAATGAAGATGCCTTATTCCGTGAATCTGTTTTGGAGTGCATGGCAAAGGCGCTTGGACTGAGCGATTCGATAAATCAGCCTCTAAGGGCAGGCCCGGCTTCAGTTGAGCAATCTCCACGGCTGGTTTCTTACGACGCCAAGCGACAGACGGCAATTTTCAACAATGCCTTTGGCTTCATAGATCCTTATGAAGGCTCGTTCGACGGGGATACCGAGTCCATGAGCACTTCGATGGCTAGCGCTACCGGGACCTTGCACGGCCGCACTTTGAATGAGGAGCTGATGGACGATGTGGAAATCGTTTTCTTCCCGAAGGGTTCCGTGTTGGTGGAGCAGGGCGAACGCAATCCAGGCCTCTACTACGTGATAGACGGATTCCTCGACGTCAGCATACCGGTCGAAGAGAAAGAAGAAAGGCATCACGCGCAGCATCCTGAACAGCAGAGAAAAGGCTCTCGAGACGAACCACTTCCGCGGCTTCGCAGGAGCAAGACTTCGACTTCTCGAAACCAGTCGTCTGCCCGCCTACCCGGTCAACCGACAGAGAACAAACGGTTCGTGCAGAAGACCTTGTTTCTTGTCAAACCGGGCGGCATTGCAGGCTATGTCGGCACGCTGTCTTCATACAGATCGTTCACGGACGTTACTGCAAAGACCGATGTTTACGTCGGCTTCCTGCCTCGATCAGCCTTGGAAAGAGTGGCAGAAAAATATCCCATCATTCTTTTGACAATGGCAAAACGCCTCACGAGTCTCCTGCCGAGGTTGATTTTGCATATAGACTTTGCTTTGGAGTGGGTTCAAGTCAATGCGGGTCAAGTGATCCACCATCAGGGAGACGACAGCGATGCCATATACATCGTTCTCAACGGCCGACTGAGAGCAGTGCGCGAGCTCGATGGCGGGACCATGCGAGTTACCGGCGAGTACGGCCAGGGTGAAAGCATTGGTGAGCTTGAAGTTATGACTGATGGAACGAGACCTGCAACACTTCATGCCATACGGGACACCGAATTGGCGAAATTTCCGAGGAGTCTCTTTAACAGTCTGGCTCAGGAGCACCCCAACATCACCATCCAGATCTCAAAATTGATAGCCCAGCGAATGCGGGCGCTTGTTGAGGCTCCATTAGAAGAAAAGGGCAGGAAGAAAGCTGCCTTGAGCGATTCAAGTACGTCGAGCCTGAACCTGCGGACGGTGGCAGTGTTACCGGTCACCGCAGGAGTGCCTGTTGTCGAGTTTGGCAACCGTCTGCTTGCAGCCCTGAGCCAGATTGGCGTACCGAGCGGCGTCACGCTGCTTAACCAGGCGATCATCCTGAGTCATCTTGGGCGCCATGCCTTCAATCGCCTGGGCCGGCTAAAGCTGTCACAGTATCTTGCTGACCTAGAAGAGAAATATGGAATGGTGCTATACATTGCCGACACGAGTGTCAATGCGCCATGGACTCAAACGTGCATCGCCCAAGCCGACTGCATCTTGCTTGTCGGCCTCGCCGAATCCTCACCCAACATCGGCGAGTACGAGCGCTTCCTGCTGGGTATGAAAACCACAGCTCGAAAAGATTTGGTACTGTTGCACGTCGATCGCTACTCCCAACCAGGTCTCACGAGGAAATGGCTCCGGAATAGAATGTGGATCAACGGTGGTCACCACCATATCCAGATGGCTTTCCGTGTCAGCCCTGAAGCCACGCCTCATGCACGACCCAGAAAATTCGGGGCCGCAATCAAGCAAAGCGTCCAAGTTATTCAAGCAGAGATCCAGAAGTACACCTCGCGCAGAGTCCGTCAGGCCCCGTTGTATTCAACAGACACGCCATTCAAGGGCGACCTCCACCGGCTGGCCCGACGTCTGTGCGGCAAATCAGTCGGTCTCGTTCTCGGTGGTGGCGGAGCTCGTGGTCTCGCCCACATCGGCATCATCCGCGCGCTCGAAGAATCCGGCATCCCAATCGACATCGTGGGCGGGACATCTATCGGCGCCTTCTTGGGAGCGTTATACGCCCGCGACGCCGACGTGGTGCCCATGTATGGCCGGGCGAAGAAATTTGCGGGCCGGATGGGCAGTATGTGGCGCTTTGCACTCGATCTGACATACCCTTCCGCGTCGTACACGACAGGCCATGAGTTCAATCGTGGGATATTCAAGACTTTCGGCGATTCGCAAATCGAGGATTTCTGGTTGCCCTTCTATTGTAACACGACGAACATCTCCAAGTCGCGCGCAGAGATCCACACCTCGGGCTACGCGTGGCGATATGTGAGGGCGTCCATGTCCCTGGCCGGTTTGATCCCGCCGATCTGCGACGAGGGATCCATGCTGCTTGACGGCGGGTATATCGACAACCTGACCGTCGCGCACATGAAGTCCCTCGGCACGGATCTGATCTTTGCAGTGGATGTCGGCGCCCTGGATGACGAAACACCACAGCAGTACGGCGATACGTTATCCGGGTTCTGGAGCCTGTTGAACCGCTGGAATCCATTCAGCAGTATCCCGAACCCACCTACGCTCAGCGATATTCAAGCCCGCCTCGCGTACGTGAGCTCCGTGGACGCTCTTGAGCGGGCCAAAGCCACGCCAGGGTGCGTATATATGCGTCCACCCATCGAAGCGTATGGGACATTGGAGTTTGGCAAGTTCGACGAGATTTATGAAGTCGGGTACGCTTACGCGAGGGAGTTCTTGACGCGATTGCGGAATGAGGGATCTCTTACTGGCGTGATTGATGCGTGGGTGGGAGCGGATACCCAGGGCGAGGAGGGCAAGAAGCTGTTGAGGGCCATGGCGCCGCGGAGGGCGAGTATATAGATGGGATACAGTAGATTAGAATGAGACGTGAGAGGTTGCTGCTGCCGACGGTAACGGGGTGAGCTGACTTAGCTGACTAGGCTGGCTTGATCTAAAAGTTGAGGCTATCGCTGAAATCGATGATGAGATCAGAGTCGAAGCTCTTAGCGTTGACTTCTCGAGACAGACGGTTCCTATACTACGGAGTGCACATTCGCTTGTGGTGCTCAGATCGCACTTGCGACAACCGGCCACTGGACCCTAATCACTCATGTGGTTACTGGTTATCCAAGTGGCAGAACGGAACCCGGACGTAAGCGTAAACGTGAACATGAGCATCAACGTGGGCATGAGCATCAACGTGGGCATGAGCATCAACGTGGGCATGAGCATCAACGTGCACATGAACAAGAAGTCCTTGGTAGGTCTCTTCCTCCCCGTGTTCGGCTGCCTTGGGTACGTAATTACATCGGCGGGAAGGTGTTGGCGTCATGGTAAGAATGGATGGTTGGTAGTCGCCGCGTGCATGTTATGTCTTCATTCTGCACAACGACTACCAACCATCCATTCTTACCATGACGCCAACACCTTTCCGCCGATGTAATTACGTACCCAAATCATCGCGGCTGTAGTGCCGACCATTGGCAGAGATTGCACTTCTGTCGGTGCAGACCTGCCACGGCCTATGTGATGAAAGCTCCCAAACACCGGTCGGTCGAACTCCGTCTGCTCCGCCTGACTTAGTAATCCATCCGCGGTGTGCGCCATCCTGGGGTGGATGGCACCATGGCTGCGAGCAATCGTATATAATACGTATGATAGACAAGAAACTGAAAGGCGGAGAGAGCCAGCCAGCGACATCCCGCATACAACATTGGACGTACTCGACGCCATGGGCTACAAAGACAAACTCGAGGGCCAGAACGTCGTCGTCGTAGGAGGAAGCACGGGGTAAGTGATTCAGCCGACATCAGCCTCGCACCCCAGCACCTCCAGCTTCCCCTTTCTTTCCCCTAACTCCCTCATATCTCACGACACGCCGGCTGCAGGATTGGCTACGGTGCCGCGGCGGCGCTCCTCGACGTCGGCGCCCGCGTGACCATCATCTCGTCGAACCCGGAGAAACTTGACGCCGCGGTCAAGCGATTGCAATTGACTTCTCCACATGTCAACGTCAAGGGCGTCGTCGCCGATGTGAGAGACGAAGTGGCATTTACCGCGACGCTCCTGTCGTTGGCGCCCGTCGACCACGTGGTGTTTTCTGCGGTGGACAACATCATCAGAGGCAAGTTGGCGGATCAGAGTCTCGAGGATGCGAAGGACTTGTTTGGCGTCAAGTTCTGGGGCGCCGTGACTACGGGCAAAGGTACATACGCGCCACGCGGAGAGAGACCCCATCGCCCTCGCCCTCCCCTACCCCGCGTTACAGCCTGAAGTTTCCGCCGCACCTACAGTACTGATCAATGCGAACCAGCCCTCATGAAACACGACATCGTGCGCCCGGGCGGGTCGTTGACCCTGACTTCCGGCACCGCCGGGATCCGGCCGGGCAAAGATGCAGCCATCGGCGGTGCTCTCAACGGCGGGGTCCTCTCCCTGACGAGAGGCCTGGCGGCGGACCTCTCTGCCAAAAAGATCCGCGTGAATACCGTGGTGCCGGGTCTGGTCAGGACGCCGTTGTGGGACAAACAGGGCAAAACGCCAGCGGAACAGGTCGAGATTTTCGACGCGGCCGCGCAGAAGTTGCCCGTGGGCTTTGTCGCGGGGCCGGAACATATCGCTGAGGCGTATCTGTATGCGATTCGCGCGGATTATACTACGGGCAAGTTGATTGAGATTGGTGAGTACGATGTCATGTGTTCACTGCGTTCGGCTTGTGGATTTCGCGTGCTGATGTTCGCCAGATGGAGGCGTCCTCCTATGAATCTGAAACGACTGGCATTGGCTTACATGCGAGGTGTCACAAAGATGTCGTCGTACCTTGAACGCTCCAAGTGGCATGGCACAGGCTGCTTTGTGTGGTCACTTTCGTGAGCGATTCCTTGACGGCGGATTCACTTCTCGCGCTCACCTCGAAGGTATCCAGCTTGTAGGCATGCTTGCTCTCTGGGGCCGTGGGCCCATGATCTGGATGACCAAGGGCGACTGACCGCTAGGCCTCGCTACGGATGTAAAATCCCAAGGTGCGGGCAGTTGGACACTAGGGCCGAAAAAGGGGATAGCATCGGAAGAAAGAGTAAGAGTGATGAGACCGCAACAACCAAGGAAGACGCCGATGCCAGCGATTTAGAATTTAGATCTCTGCAGCGCCGGGCACTACCCTAGGTAGGCTTCACGAGGTGTCCACTGTCTACTTGACCTTCGGAGAGATCAGGATCTTGATCTGATCGTCTTTGTTGTTGATCAATTCCTCAAACCCCTTGGACTGGGTATCTTCAAGTGATATCCGACTCGTCACCATTCGTTCATATCCTTTGAACGCACCTGAATGCAATTAGCAGTTGAATACACTGGCGGCGAAGCATCCAACTCACCCTTGCTCATCAACTCCATGACCTCCTTGAAGTCCTCTTCGTTGTAGCAGCACGAACTCCTGATGTTGATCTCCTTGAAGAAGAACATCAGGAACTGAATCTGGATCTGCAACGCAGTGTCAGTATCAGGGTAAATGTGGCCAACAGGGGTGCTAGACTCACCGGCTTCTCCCAGACAGCGACGTTGACATAGGTGCCCGAGTGCTTGAGGGCGTCAAAACCGGCTTCCAGCCCAGGCTGCACGCCAGCACAATCAAACACGACATCCACACCTTTGCCACCCGTCAGCTCTCGACAAACGTCGCCCACCTTTTCCGAGCGCGGATCAATGACCCGATCGACGACTTCTTTGTTCTGCTCCTTTCGTTTCGCGGTCGGCTCGCTCAAGAAGATCCTGCCCACCTCGTGCGCCCGGAGGATTGAAATCAGAGCACTGCCCACGGGCCCTCCACCCAGGATCAGCACGTCCAAGCCCTTCAAGTTGACACCCGCGACCTTGGCGGCATGGTGACACACAACCAGGGGTTCGATCACCGCAGCGGACTCCAAGCTGACCGTGTCCGGCAGGGGTAGACAATGCGCCTCTTCGACCGCGACAAACTCGGACAGTCCGCCCCCACGCTCGTTGTGGCCTCCTAGAAAGGCCAGCTTCTGGCACATTTGGTCGTTCCCAGACGTGCAACAGAGACACTGGCGGCATATGCAGTGCGGGTCGACCATGACGGCCTGGCCGACCTTCAACTTCGATCCCTCGGGGACGGATTTGAGACGACCACAAAATTCGTGCCCTAGAGTCAAGGGTTTGGGGTCCCCGGTCTTCGCGTCGACCGTTGACATCAGGACCGGCCCTGTGATGAATAGACAATACCTATTTAGAAAACCGCTCATCGACGCGACGGGTGCAAAACGTACCGGCGGCGTATTCGTGCAAATCGCTCCCACATATGCCGCACCATTCGACTTCGACGACACATTCTCCCGGCCCTGCTTCCGGAACCGGGACATCCTCGACGCGAATGTCTCTGTTGCCGTAGAATCTGGCTGCTCTCATGGTCGACATTGTAAGGCTTGTTCAACGCAAGCTCGGGAAGAAAAAAAGGACAGCTGTGTCACGGTGTACGAGTCTCTCTTGGATCGTCGAGTTCAAGTTAGGCAGGTAGAACTGCCTTTGGAAACTCGGACTGGTGGCATGGCAGCCAGCAACTCCATATGGAGAAGCTGGCCGGGGTACATCTGCCGTCTCCAACCTCGGCCACATGTCTCTTGCATCGTAACGTGGGGAAGAATCAGGTCCAGACAGGTGGGCATTGTTACGTCGTATTTAGGCCACGGCAGCTGCGACCCGCCACTGCCTATATTACTCAACTTAGTCTGACTGTACGCTTTACCTTCGGCAATAGGTCTTACACACTTAACTATGACGCCCACAATGCTGACGAGAGCGTGGGAGTTTGGGACGGTCCCCACGGGGTAACCCACTGGGCCACGACCGTATAAGATACGGGTGAAGCAGGCGAGCCAGGCAAAGCCAGCAAGGGGAACCGGACCCTTCGGGCTCGCCAGGCTAGTCGCGTGATAACGTGCTGCATTACCGCGTGCCATAATCACGTGACAGACGCGTTCTTCAATGCCCTAAAGACAGGTACGGAGCATGGGGCACGGTAATTTCTTGGATGCAGAGAGCTTGGAATCGGGTCAGCGCTGGAATTACTCTGAACGGCCACTCAGGCAGAGGCACCGATGGACGACTGCAATGTGAAGGGCGCAGGTCTCAAAGGCATCGTATTAGCCAAACAACGAAATGCGATACCGCATCTCCAAAGACAGTAAACTACCTAGGTACGTAGGTAGATGCAAAGTTGTATGCATCATGAAAACACGGGATATCAATATATGAACATGTCAATGTGTGTATCATGGTGACGCCTGACCTCGCAACCCTTCATCCTCTCCGTAGAAGCTCCAGTATGCAACAGGGGGATATCAATACAAGAATCTGCGAACATCCGAGCCCCTCTCAGCGCTCTAATATGACAGATGGCCTCTCTCGTGCACTTCGCACAAGAGTATCCTGTTACTGTTGGCGGCCGAATAGCGCAGGTCGATCAAGCAATCCATTATAACAGGCCGACAATACCAGCAGCGACAACCGCGACCATCAAGCCCTGGCTGAGGACAACAGGTCGTGCGTCGTTGGAGGCTGTAGCCGTTTCTATATCGGTTGAGCCTTCGGAAGATGAATCGGTGCTGTCGTTGTCGTCCGACGAGTCATCCAAGAACTCGGCACCTCCGTTGCCTGTGCATGTCTCGCCGATCGGGCAGCATCCGTAGACACCATTGTCCCCTTCCTGGCATACGGATTTGGACGTTTGGCATCCTCCCTCCAGATCAGGGCAGCAGGTGTAAGTCGAAGGTATGCAGAAGGCCCCGCACACTTTATCGCCTGATTCGCAAGCTGTCGCGTTTCCAGTCGCACGGGTGAGGAGTGTGTGTTCGGTCCAGGCAGATGCCAGGAGTGGTAAGGCGGCGAAGAAGGCGAATGAGCGCATTGTGAAGTACTTCGAAGTGGTGGAGATACTTGGTTCGTGTGCTGAGTTGAGATTGATGCTTCTCAAGAGTGCGATTTGTGGTTTGTGCTCTGTTGCTGGCGGCTGTGAAAGCGAATTGGATGTAAAGAGGGAATGCGCACGTAATAGTTGCAGGTGTTTTGCACAAGAACGATAACAATAATGAGAGGCTTGAGGGTATCAACGACACCAGTGTTGACAGAAGGAGGGGCTGGGGCAGTGAGAATAAGAAGCAGACGCACACGTAGGTTTGGGAGAATGATATGTACTTGGATTGGAGGGCCAACTGCAGTGTCGCGGTCTGGGCTGGTAACCGACAGCAGGGGATTTACCTTCGCAACCCACTTGGTTTCTGCAAGCAACGCAAAGGCTGAAAGCGACGGCCTCAATGGGACTGGTCGGTGATGACTAGCTGGCAGACAGACAGGTCAAGGCATGTGTAAAATTGCGCTCTCAAGACACCTGTCGCAACTTCTTGTCTGCAAGACTGATTAGGTTTACAGGGAGGGCTGTCGGGTGGCTGGGCTGGAACCAATAGGCAACACCAAATAGACTCTTGTGCGACCTGATTTAGCCAGGGAGGCAGGGTACGAGCATGTCCGACCCAAGGCCGCGGGCAGGCTCAAGCTTGGAGGGGCAAGCTCTTGGAGGAGAAAAAGTCGACAAGACTCGTGGGGGCAGAAGCGAAACACGACCAAGCCATTTTCCAGGGGAGAAGCGCCAGTTGGAGGAGAGGGAGAGAGAAAGATTGTTTGAGGAGGAACGACCAGCAACAAACAAGAAGCGGCGGGTTGCTTGGCGTGCGACCGCCCGTCGTTCGGGAGATTTGGCCAAGCGAGGGAAAAGGGGTCACTGGGAGTCGCTGGGGGCGCGCCTGGGGACCTGCAGCCACATGCACCCATTCAGCCTCATGAAACTCAGAATCCTCTTGGTGTCGCCAAGAGCTGCACGATCCCTCGGGCGCACTAACAGAAGTCCAGCCAACTCAGAATCATGTCTGTGGGAATTATTTTTACCACAACCATTATGACCGGAGCAGGCCAAAACTAGATAAGACTAAGTAAACCATTCTGCCAAGTCACAATCACCGAGAAAGTAATACCCCTCCTACACAGCACTGTGTAGAAAACCCAACCGCCTATGCAAACTCTTGCCTCGCGAAATACCAAAACATTCCCTGTGAGCCACCACCACACTCAGTCTTCCCTCAGTGTGCCTTTCTGCCGTCTCGCTCAGCACGCAGGCTCCGTCAATTACAGCTCCCGTACCCACTATCAGCAGCATCGTCGAGCGCCTGGTTCACCAAGGCATCGGCCTCCTTGTTCCACTCGCGGCCGACCCTCCAGAATCGCACAGCGCCCTCCTTCTCCATCTGGGTGATGGTTGCGTGCATCTCTCGGATGACATCTCCATGCTCAACAGGCGTGCCCTTTCTGGTCCTGAAGCCGTTGTGCTCCCAGGTCCAGATGTAGTCGCAGAGACTCTTTGCGACATAGTCCGAGTCGAGCTTGATGATCACTTCACGCCATCCGTCGAGCTCTCCCTCGCGCTTCATGGCCTGCACCATCTCGAGAGCTTTGTGCACTCCTTCGAGTTCGGCTCGTGAACTTGTCTGTGGAACGCTTTGGGGAAGCAGGCCGTATGCATTGCGATGACACTTCGGACCAAAGTACACTCCGTATGCGGCCCGGGAGTTGGGATCACTTCGATTGTTGCCGCGAGAGCCGCCATCGACCGATATCACGATCGTTCGCATCCGTGGTTGCCAATGAGAGCCTGGGAACGGGAAGTTGTAAAGACGACAGTACTTCCATTTAGTGCTGTATTTGACCAGGTGATCTGGGTCAAAGGTCTGTCGTCCATAGCGCCGAGTCTTCCTAGGATTGAAGTTGCGGCGTGGTCGATCCTGGGATGACTTCAATTTTGGCACTAAGACTACCCAAGGTAGGTTACGTACCATTTCGATCGCCGAACTTTCAAGCTGCAGGCGTCACTGCCGTTCTGGCTTGGTAGTTGAAGCTGGGGGACAATCAGCATGACCGGGGAAGCATGTCGGAGTTTTATCTCCATCTTCTTCCATTGTTCTGAGGGCTCGGATCTTGGCAAAGGTGTCTATCCGAGTGATCAAACGAGTCAAACATATACCAAACATAACCCTACGTGACGTCCACCACATTGCATCTGTTTAGCTATACAAATTGATAGCAACAAACCGTCAAGCGTGATGAGAAGGAGAGGATTTGTTTCGTGTTTGCGGGCCTGTGCAGCGGAAAGCAGATATCCCGAAACTACAGGTCAGGAAGGGGCTTCCGTGTTTGAAAATGTGTCGCTCTAGTCCCTGCACGCACGCAGTCAGCATCCGGAGTACATTATGAAGCGCCTATCTGCGTGGCTGTGAAGGACACGAAGCTCCTGGCCTGAAAACATGTAGTCACATCTATAGCCGGAGGTTTGACAAGCTGCGTAATGAGGAAAGCGGGATGAAAGATGACTGAGTTGAAAGTGAGGATGGAGTGAACGAGTTCCACAGTCGGCGTTCCTTAGAGCTCGCTACCACTGACTAGTGTTGCTCGATTTGGTGGGTTTGCCGAGAAATTGTCCTCGAACAGCAGCTTCAATCCAAACGGGGAATCTAGACATATTATTTGGATTGCTGCACCAGAGCATCCATGATCGTTAGACAGCTCTGCGCCCGCCATGGTAAGTTGTCCTCACGGCGATGTATGACAGGAGCTAAACTCGTCTAGGGCGCACAGTGTTGGCGCAGTCGTCGCGGAGGCTGAAGCGAGCCTATGCGAGCAGCATCTCAGAGGACAATCCTATATTCCGACCGTCAGAAAGAGATCCGAAAGGAACGACTCGGATACCAGGTCACCCTGACGATGTCTCGAGTATCCTCGACACGGTCGACCGCGCTTCGACGCCCGCCACCAGGGTGCTCGAGGATATGATCAACTCGCAACAGGAAGAAATCAGCGCCCTTCGAGCAGACGTGAATGCCCACGCCGCTGCTAGACCACCTGCCTCGAAGTCGATATCAACCACAACGTCGCCTGCAAACACGCCTGATTCCCTCCCCTTCCGCAGCCTCAAAGACCTGAACCGCCATCGCAGGACCATCCAGAAAGCACACCGGGGTGGCACTCACCTCTCACAAACCTACGATCCATCCACGATCCTTCGCCGTCCTCCCACTGCGGACGACCTGACCCTTCCCATGCTACTAGCAAATCAGACGCACCTCGGCCATCACACTTCATTATGGAACCCTTCCAACAGCGGCTACATTTTTGGCATCAGAGACGAAATCCACATCATATCTCTGGACATCACATACGCGTATCTCAAGCGCGCCGCGAAGGTTGTCCAAGCAGTCGCTGAGCGAGGCGGGATTATCCTGTTCATCGGCACAAGAGACGGTATGGAAGAAATAACTGTCAACTCGGCGAAGCTGGCGGAGGGATACCATATTTTCCACCGCTGGGTCCCCGGCTCCTTGACGAATGGTCAACAAATTCTAGGCAATGCCGCTGTCAAGGTCGTGGACGTTCATGACAACGAACTGACAAGATACAATGATCTCCTCTCCAGAGGCAATCACCAAGTCATGCGGCCCGACCTGGTCATCTGCCTGAACCCGATTGAAAATCAGGTATGCCTTCACGAGTGCGGAGTCTTCAACGTCCCTACGATTGGAGTCATCGATACCGATGCGAATCCGACATGGGTGACGTATCCTATTCCTGCGAACGACGACTCATTCCGGTCGATTGCTCTCATAGCCGGAGTGCTGGGCAACGCAGGCAAAGAGGGACAAAGGCTGAGGAAACTCAAGGCCGCCGCATCGGGTGAGGCGACATATGACATTACACTGGTGAAGGGCAAATTGCGCGCCTTGGAGGAAATGGCAGCATTGGATGTTGACAACTCGGACGGGGCGGCCGCCGAGGCGAAGTGAGAGTATTTCCACCAGTGTCTCCGTCTACCTGTAGTATAGGACCGAGGATGCGCCACCACCTTTACATACTAGCTTGATATGACATGCTGAATGTGCAAGCGTGACCCTGCAGAGTTGTTGCATGTACCATATAGTAACACGCTTCCAGACACATATACGCTCTGATGGGCACCATCCTTCTCGTGTTCATTGATTTTTTTTGGCATTCGAGTGCTTTCTACCGAAGGTCATTTACATGGGCCTTTCGAAATAGTCTGAAGAACATTAAGACTTGCACGCTGAATGGGCCAAACTGATGCCGGAACCCAAAGAAAGCAAGGCCGAGCATGTAGAACAGGCGAAACACACCACAGTTCGAACTTCTGTTTCACCACGAGGCCCGTTCTTTTCAAATCTCAGGGCATATCAGAACGGAAGCATAATACAGTGACTGACCTTGAGGTACGAAGGATTCCGGCATGCATGTATCGCTTCAAATCCGGCGCATGACTTATATTGCATATATTGACGTATACTTTGCGGACAGCGGAGTGCATGTGCGTATAGTACTTACTGGAGCGGTGTTCTTGTTCTGTTCGGATGGCGGATGGCGCACCTCAGAGATCACTCCTCGACGCAGCGGACGAGCTGACTTACCTTTATTCAACGCTAGAGCTTCCTCGTTCAGGGTAGCTTGGCTTAGCAATGTGGATGAACCATCAGATTCTCACTTACGTGCAACGTTTTCCCTCTTGTGAGCACCACCATGAGCGGGTGGACCCATGGACTGGCGCTGGGGTTGGTGGTATGATCGCGGCCTTGGCGGAGTAGCCGGGTCGTAGGGACGACTGTGTCTTCTCGAGCCAGCATTCCTGGGTGGTGATGGTGAGGACTTTGCCAATGCAGCCCATGCGGCGGCGGCAGCGGCGAGTCTCAAGCGGTCGGCTCTGGGCATTGTCGGTGCGCCTGGCACGCCGAGACCCATAGGGACGGATCCGATGTGGGCGGAGTCCCTCTTCGGCACGGAGCAGCAGTGAGATGAGCCCTGGATTGAGTCAGAAGAGCTGCTCAGCGCGGTCGAGAGCGCACCAGAATGTCTTCTCGCGGGATACGTGGGCTGCATCTCCTGCTCGCCGAGTTCCTTCATCAGCTCAGTTCCGAGATAGGAGGCGCCTTGTGCTTCGAAGTCTGCACCGTCTTCTAGGGTCAAGGTATCGACGTGGATTTCCTCGACGTGCCCGCCCACGTAGGAGCCATTCGCACCAATGGGGTTTGGCACGGGAGATACTTCTTCTGGAGGGGGAAATGTGGTCCGATGGCGCTCGGCTGCAGTAGAACGGGCGAAGAGTGCCCTTGCTCCTTTCCAGGTGCAGTCCGCGCAGACAGTCCCGACTACGTCCACCCGCGGGCTTCGGCGCAATGGACGTCGCTGCCGGACTTTGCAAGGCGCGTGAATAGGGCAGATTTTTTCCTTAATATCTTCTTCGTTGACATTCTTGACAAATACACGGCAGCAAGGACAGTACGGACGGGTGACGTAGGTGTAGCACATGGTGGCGGGGTGGTTCAAGTTTGTTGCAAAGGACTGGAATTATAGCACTGGGTAGTAGAGTCAGCTGGATCGTGCTTCTGGCACAGATGGTGGGAGGGTTATTTTTGCAGCAAATGGATATAACATGCTGATAGGACTTTGTCGGGGGCGCGAAGCGACTCTTATCTGGAGATGTGCCGGGTCGCCGAAGCGTTCCTTTGTCTCGAGGAGTTTAGTGTGTGATCAGTGGGTCCTAGGCTTTGTGAGTTTGCAGGAGGAACAATAGGTCTTGGTATGCATTGGCTTCGAGGACAAAGACAAGATGAAGAAGGACAACCGTGGCCTCGTGTTCGAGACAACGGGTAGCTTGAAGGAAAAAACGGAGTGGTTGAGCATCCCATCTGCAAAGTCTCCCGCACGCAAAGCAGAACCTGTCGTCTCGTCGGGATAGAGTCTCGTCGGGATAGAGTCTCGCCACGCACTTTCCCCACAAAATTCCATTTCTACGAGAGCAACACTGCTGTTCGCTTGTGCACAGGTAGTTGACGGGGTCGAGCAGGAAGCTGTTGGAGTAGAAAGCGTGCTCCAGCTACATCATTAAGCACGTGAGTACCACGTGATGTATGCATTCATCGACTGTTGACCCGCAGGTAATTATGCATCTTTCCCTCTTCCAAAGTCCGTAGCCCGAACCGATCTCAGACACCATCACTGGTGTTCATCTCTCAGCCTGACAGAAGCAAGTCTGTTCAACGTGGGGAGCCGGGGAGCCTGGCCCGCTAGTGACGACGAAGGATTTCCTCGTGATCATCCACCTTACGTATTTCGCCTTATCTCCGCGCTCTTGCCATTCGCTTATCTTCATCATCGGTTGCATTTGCCTTCTTGGTTACTGGTCCCTGCGCTCCTTATCTTGGGGGAGGCGACCAGCCTCTGTCATAGGCTTGATAGTGCTCGGCGAGGCTTTCGATGCTTATCAGCACACAAGGCACGGGCTGGAAGGCTTGCGACGCCATTGTGCATCGTCGAGAGAAATCTTACAAGCGCTCTTTATATATGATTTCAGCGCCATCCCTTCTCCCTGTATTCTTTCTGCCCTGATCCGACATCATCATATAGCCCTACCACCGCCCAACATGGCATCGGGCGAAAAGGACTACTACAATGAGAAGAATCTCGGTCCCGCCGTCGTCGAGCCTGCTCAAGTTGGTCACGTGTCCAACTTCAGGAGACGCTTGCCGCACTTCAGCCTTGAGGTTCGTCAAGAGGAGAGCAGCTTTGCCGTTACAAAGAGCGCCTCCAACGCCGATTTCGACCCGATTCCTCCATCAAAGCGCACATGGAACTGGGGGGCGTACATCGCCTACTGGATGGCCGATGCGTGGGCCGTCTCAAATTGGGAAGTTGGTAAGGACCTTGCGATGTGATCTGTCCGTTGGATCACAGAGAGCAACAATTCTGAGACTTTGATTGCGTAGCTTCTTCGATGATTGCCGTCGGCCTCAGCTGGAGAATGGCCATCGGCGCCTGTGTCCTGGGTAACTCTATCATGGGTCTTGTCATCACCGTCAACGGCAGAATGGGTGCCATTGTAGGTTGTGCCTCCAAACGACTGAATTGAGCTTATGTCGAATAGCTTCACACTCCGTTCCCCGTTCTGTCCCGCATGCCATTTGGTTACTACTTCAGCTACTTCGTTGTCTTGTCCCGCTGCGTCCTCGCCATCGTCTGGCTCGGGTTAGTGTGTCCAAGCAATGGCTTCACCACTCCAGGAGGCTGACTGTATATACAGTGTCCAAACGACGACTGGCGGTCAATGTATGACCGTCTTACTCACAGCAATTTGGCCGAGTTTTGCAAATATCCCCAATCACATACCTGCTGATGAGGGCATCACCACGGGAGGAATGATTGGCTTTTTGCTCTACTTTCTGCTTCAGCTGCCCTTCCTATGCATACCTTACACTAAGGTATGGCTCTGCAGCCAGCCCCGCTGATTCGTGGAGCCGGCTAACATCACCAAGGTCCAATACTTCTTCGCCTTCAAGAGCATTATTGCGCCCATAATTTTCTTTGCCATCTTCGGTGACACGCTACGCAGAGCCGGCGGCACCATCAGTAATAGCACGGTCATCACACGGGGCAATCAGATCGGCGGTTCAGTACTTGCGTGGGCCTTTTTCGGCAGTAAGTGGTGCTTGAACCCCGTCATCTGTCGACTCCTCTGACGCAGAGTGCCTTCGCAGATCTCAACGGAGTGCTGGGCAACTACGCCACCTTGGGCCTGAACATAGGTATGTGAAAGATGCCTCTTCATGCCTTCAATGCAATATTCACATGCACCCCACTCATATTTTCAACTACATAGCCGACTTTTCGAGGTACGCCAACAAACCCAGCGCTCAGAACGTCCAAGCCATCGTCATACCCTTCATCTTCAGTAAGTTCCCCAACCGTGATTTCTCATGGCGGTCTTGCTCACCGTTCGGATCATTAGCTATCGTTGGCCTGCTTGGCATCTTCACCGCTGCGGCCGCTCAGTCAGCATATGGCCATGTCATCTGGAACCCTATCGAAATCATCAATCTCTGGATGGAGTCTGGATCTCATGGCGGCCGTGCCGCTGCCGCCTTTGGTGCCATCGGCTTGATCATCGTCACCCTCGGCATCAACATCTCGGCGAATTCCATAAGCGCTGCCAACGACCTCATGTCTTTCTGTCCCAAGTACATTAACATCCGCCGTGGTCAACTGCTGGCCGCTGTTATTGGTAGCTGGGCCTTTGTTCCGGTAAGTCCGCCTGTCTCTTCGGAAAGCTACTATGGCCTCGCTGACCACAAGCACAGTGGAAAATTCTCGCATCGGCTGCAAAATTCCTTGCTTTCCTCGGCGGCTACACCATTTTCCTGGGACCCATGACATCCATTCTGATGTGCGAGTACGTTCCCCTAAATCCTATACCAGCCCCAGGTACCGCGATCCTAAGCACTAACTTGTTCACTGCAGTTACTTCATCGTCCGACGCGGTAATGTGTCCGTGCCAGACATGTACAACTTCGACGGCATCTATCGCTACTCGCCCAAGTTCGCCACGAATTGGCGTGCCGTTGTCGCCTTTTTCATCGGCTGCATTCCCCCACTGCCCGGCTTTGTCAACAACATCGTCGTGGCGGGTAATGGCAAGACCGGCGTCTCTTTGGGCGGTCAACACCTGTAAGCCTTTTTCCTTCCTTTCACTCCGCAAATATATACCTTGCCCCCGGACCGTTTGCCGCTAGCTACCCCGTACTTCCAAACGCAATTCAACCCGAGCAACGCTAATTTTTACCTCGCGCAGTTTCTCCATCGGCTATGTCTACTCCTTTGTCGCAGCCGGCGTCTTCTACTGGATCTTCAATCGCTTCTTCCCGCACACCGAGTCTATGATGGACCACCCGAATACGGGAGAAGACATCATCGCGGCCAACGATGCCAAGAACCTTGCGGAGCGTCGTGCCAGCGAGAGCGAGCGTCGGCCAAGTGCGGTTACTCGGTTCTTCCAAGTTTAGGAGGTAGAGTTCTAGAAGCCTGTACGACTTGGCCGTGATTGCTTGTCATGTTTGCAAGTGTGTGTTCGCATCATTCACACTATTCTGCGTGTCGGAGGAAGCATCTGTGCTGCGGCATTCGCGTGAGCAGGAACGTGAGACCTAGAAGCCATAGACCAACACAAAAACTATAGATTCGAATCGACATTGCTCCCTCGTATCAAATCAAGCAGCTCACAGGCTAAGCCGCGGTCCAATATTTGGTCTGACCGTTCTGCGGACGATGTCTGCTGCGGCTGAGCCTGGGTGCAGATATTCGATAGTACTAAGATGGAATACTGTATATTCATAATGCTACAGGGATCATGGCCCATGGGGCTGAACGACTCGTCCTGATCGGGGCCCATTCAATGTCAAAAGGGGATGAAACCCACGTGCCGGCAAAAGCCTAATAGCGCCTTGGCACGGTTGCAATCGCCATCGTCATCCATCGAGTTGTCGGTCAACAGTTCTACGAAGTACTTGATGCTTTTCACTATTTCCATCGTCGACAATACTCTGTAATATGGTGAGATGATACAGAACGGGTTTGGCGCCTTGTAACGACATCTTCCTGAAGGAATGTCTCGGCCCATGCTTTCTTTTGTTGGGTCGCACGGCTGATGCGATGTCCTTCACATGTCGAAGTCCTAGAACATCCGTCCCCATCCCCGTCCCATAAGGTAAGACCCACCACACACCCGGTGATGTGAGGATTATACTTGGCATTCCCAAGATTTGGCCTCAAAATCACACACAGATTGCCGGGGTGTAAGTTACTCAATGAGCATCGTCCGAGGTTAAGGCCACCTCACTGACTTACGGCACAGAGCTCAATCGGTAGAGCGTGTGGCTCTTAAAATAAGATCCAACCTCAAGGTTGCGGGTTCGAGTAAATATGACCCGTACCTGGGGGTTTAGCATGCATATTGATGAGTATTCAGGTCCCGCCTGTGAGTACTACGCCACCAAGATAGTGTCATCTGAACTAATAAGATATCAAGTCGGCTCAAGTCCGTTGATAAGACATTTCTCTTTTTGGTCTGTGGTTGGCAGGTTCTGCTGTTGGGCTGTTCTTCAGCATTCAACGTACCACAGTAACTTACTTAGCTGAGCTGAGCAGACAAAATCTTCTCGAATATGGCCTGGTGTCTCATATGCTCTTACCGACGATGTTGGCCCGTTCCGACTTTACGCCCTCTAGACAAGCTTTTTGACCCTGTATATCGAACGGGGTGCACGTGGCTAGAACCAAGGATGTTGCAGCTTTGCATTTCCTGGCAGACTGTTGGTGGGTGGTTGGCTGCCCCCGATTTATACACTGACTCGGGGGAGGCTATGTCAGATGTAGCTGTCAATATGGTGTTTATGTGGATGTTGGCTACTATTAGTGTATTTGCGTATGGGTACAAGAGTAGCTACATTCAGTACTATCATCGTGAGGCTAGTGTGAGACGAATCATGGAGGAGTCAAGGACAGGGAAACAAGATCACGGCGAAGGAGAGGCGTGTCGCGCACGTCCACTAACAATCCCAGCCGTATATTCCGTGCGAACAAGGGCCTCGCTTCGCTGCAGGTCCCAATATGTCTGAAGGGACCGAGACAATACTGTACGATTGAGCGGTCCTCGACACGGGGAGATCGGACGGAGAGGTCAATGCAGGCGAAAGCGCAGCTTGATTATATGCTTGAGCAACCTGAAGGGAATCTCCACCGTCTTTCACCGAAAGAATCGATCGCTCTAAGTACTTTTGCAAAGACCTCAGCAATGAGATAATGGCTTGACGGGCGTTGCTCTCCACTCCATTCATGGAGCAATGATCCGGTGCAAACGGAGGTTGACATCACTCTCAAATGGTGCAATGTCTTGATGAAGGCCAACTGTGGTACTCTGAGCAACATCTGCCAAGTGCCACCACAACGCCTGCGTGCCCAAAGTCACCTGTTAGATCCCGCTCAAAAGCCATTCAATCCTGCAGCAGGAGTGTCCACCTTGGACCATTCGTGCATCCCGATTATTAGGTACAGCCGCGGTTGTTTAACAGATCGGATACCGTCCAAGAAGCTCCCCCCTGGGCAAGCCCTATAACAAAGAGTCGAGTCGAGTGAAGACGCTCAAACATGCAGCAACAACCTAAGCCGTGTCAGTGGGAAGGAAGACGGCCTACTTGAATCCCCGTGAGATGGGGCCAGAGAACTCACCTCGAGTTGTAATTCCTTGTCGGGATTCTTCCCAACTTCGTCGGCAATCACTTGGCCAATATTTGCCCCTATACCTTGTTGTCCTCCTGCTCTTTTAGCAAAGGGCCACTGCGAGTATTCCGCCAGTAGTTCATCGACCTGCGCAAAGGCTCTTTCTCGTGCCTCGTGGCTCATGGTTACCAGGGCATTTTCAAGGACATTGGCGGCATAAGCAGCACAGACCATGCTGACTGTTCTCAGCATCCTGAAGTCGAGTTCAGCAGGCAAAAATTGCGACGGAGGTAGGACGACAGTTCGGTTGGAGCACACATTGCGTACTCGTTTTCGGATCTCATCTTTGGCCGCGGAGTCGACCACGGGGTGAGTGGCCATGTCGAAAAGGAGGAAGTTCCGTTTCTCGGTGCGCAGGATGCCTTTGTCGACGAGTCCCTTGGCGAGGCGTTCGCGGACTTGTTTCAACTGATAGCCGATCTTCATAAGATTCCACGTCTCGCCTGGACACGATCTTAGCGGCGGGCCGATTTGACGACACCTGTACAAACTCACCGCTCATGAGATCAATCCACGAGCTGACACTCATCTTCTCACTCGACTTCATCATCTTCAGAGCCTCGTCCAACAAGACTTCTCCCGTGAGTGTGTCATCTATGACCTCGATTATTCGGTCTGAGAGGGGGAACCGCCGTCTGGACGAGTCGTTTTGCATGCTGACCCTGCCTCGGAAAGCCAGCTCGATGACTATGCATCCTCGGAGAGCATAAGAGATGTTGTCGTTCCAGAACGATAGATAACCCTAGGTGACCGTTATCAGCATCCGCCCGTTTGTAGCCTAAACTTCTCCTGTTACCTGCTTGTCTTTCAGTCCCAGCAGCAAGACCTCTTCCATTAACGTGAGCTTGGGCTGTTTACTGCGCTCGGCGCTCTCGCTGATGTCTCTCGGATCATATGCGATCTTGTGTCCATTTTCGCTCGACTCGTAGGCGGTTTCGGGGGTGCGGTCAGGGAATTGCCTCGGAACAGGAGACGTGACACGGCTACTCGAGGGCTCGTCGTCCCCGTTTGGTGAAGTGACCGCCCCGCCTCCCGCACCGCGACGGCGCGTGAGGCCTCCTTGGGAGGCCATCAATATGTGGTAGTCGCCGCACAGATCTAAGATGGCAATTTCGCGCGTCGGAGTGGAGGAGCCTTTCACAGGAGTGACCGCCGATGATCTCGTGCCTGGATTTTTTACGTCGAACCAGGGCCGCACCCCGCGCAATTCAGTTGCTGGGGGGTTGTTGAGTGTCTAGAGCGCAGATACAGCGTAGGTGGTGACTATTGACGGGCGTAATATGAATGAGCGACAGGTAGTTATGATATTCACGATTCGAGAAACCAACAGTGTGGTCTGGACGGCAGCGTCTCAGCCCTGAACAGCAAGGGTCCTCCTCGTCGTCTGGCCGCTCAGCTCGCAGTCAGTGAACGCGCCAAGCTCAATCACGCTTCCGCCACTCACAACGCACGTCAAAATGTCACTAAAACAACGGTTTGATCTCAACTTCAACGACCATCTTCCTCTTCAGCCCTGGGATCAATCTCGCAATCACCTATAGCTTGTCTATTGATGCCTTGCACGACAACCTAGCCATGTGGATGAGAGTCTTGTGCTCAGACTGACCTCTGGCCCCTGCCTCAGCGGAGAACCTCTCCATGTAGCGTGTACCTTCTGCTTTTGCCTGTGTCCTCTTTTCTGCGCCTCAAGACCAGTGTCGCCATGGTCTTGACAACCTTTCCATTCCGCCATCCATTCCCATCACTTTGAGTGTCTCTTGGAACCACATACTTGGGTCTAAGCATGCGCGATACGCAGTAGGCGGCAGTCTCCGGTCCAGTCCCTTGCCACCTCCGCAACCCGCGAATAGCCCGACAAGACCAATCCTCAGTGTCCTGGTTTTACCCTTCTCGACTCTGCCCTGGCGTCACGCCATCCCTCTCTTCCCATTGGACTGACTGCGAACCCTGTTCCAGATCCCGCATAACGCACCCCATCTTCATGCTCAACTTTCGAATGGGGTCTCTCGCCTTCAAGAGCACGGGCTTACGTCCTATCTTTACTGCGGGGTTGAAGCATGGATGGCGAGGCAGTTCATCGATCACCGAAGCTGCCATGACTTCTCTCCTGCTCTTTTGCTTGTCTTGTCGCAAGGACTAACACATCGCACCTTCCAACGACGAGAGGCCGGAATTTCTAGCCGGACGGACTCGATTCCTAAACCTTCCGACATCAATTTGCCATCATATGTTGTTTAACTCAACACGCTGACGACGACTTAGACATCAACAATTTTCTAGATTAGCATTTTCCATCGTTTAGCCAGCAATCGATCGCATCGGAAATGGCGTCCAAAGTACCTCTAATTACGCTCGAGGAGCATTTCATCTCACAGGCTGTGGTAGACTATTACACGTCTCAAGGCATTGAGACCAGCTTACCGGATACAATGTCCCACATTATGACCTCTCTTCGCGAAGTTGGCCCCAAACGTCTCAAGGCCATGGACAACGGACGTGTGAGTCTACAAGTCATCTCACATCGGCCCAACACGATCCCTGTCCCACCAGACGTCTGCAAAGCGGCAAATGATGAACTATATCAAGCGATCAACGCCTCGCCTTCACCGGACCGCTTCGCCGCCTTCGCCATGCTACCCATGCTTCATCCCGAAATAGCAGCAAAAGAACTCGACAGATGTGTCTCTGAACTCAAGTTCGTCGGCAGCCTAATCGACAATACCGCCAACGGGCGGTTTTATGACGACCAATTCTTCTGGCCCATTTTTGCCGCGCACGAGAAGCTCGACGTCCCCGTCTACCTCCATGCCATCCCTCAACCCATCACCGAAAGCACCCCGTCGCCCGAGTTTCACGGGAACTACTCGGCCAACGTGTCCAACTTCCTCGCCAATCACGGCTTCCACTGGCACAGCGAAGTCGCCCTGCACGTGATGCGCCTCTTCGCGAGCAAGCTCTTCGACAAGCACCGACACCTGAAACTCCTGCTCGGGCACATGGGCGAAACGTTGCCCTTCCTCATCGACCGAATCCACAAGCTCGTCCAGAGGACGTGGCCTTCCGAGTCCAAACCCAGGCGCCACCTCCTGCAAGTCTGGCATGAGAACATCTACATCACCACTGCAGGCATGTTCTCCCTCGCGCCCATGGCGTGTCTAATCCACATGTGCTGCGCCGACAAGGTCCTGTACTCTGTGGACTACCCATTCTGCGCGCACGAGGACGGCGTGAAGTTCATGCACGCGCTGCACGGAAGCGGGATGATAAACGACCAAGACTTCGAAGCCATAGCGTACAAGAATGCCGAAAGGCTCTTAGACGTCAGGATTCCCAACGGCAACGACGTCGGGCTGGAAGTTGATTGGGACGAGTCCGGCGCGGAGGGCGACCGGAGGCGAATGCCCTGGTTGACCGCGATAGATAGTTCGAATAGCGTCAACGGCGATGGATCCGCGTTTCCTCACAGTCCGCTTGACACGGTGCACGAGGAGAGATGAGTGTTATGAGGATAAGGGTGAGGATGAGGGTGTGTTGATAGCATGAGAAGGGAGTGTGTCGATGAGAATGACACGGAGCACTAAATTGGAGAGAAGAGGTAGACTGTTCTTTCGACCCAACGAAAAGCAAATTATCCACCCGCACGCGCACCCGTATGGTCCGCCACGTGAGCGTGAACAGGCGGGATACACGAAGCACAACCGTTAACATAGACACACTGCGCGGATACCCCGTACACTAGGTACTCCAAATTATGGGTCCTACAATGCCCCTGGTAGTCCTTTCCCCATAAAGTCACAGTTCCCATACCTTTTCTCGCGTGCTTGATTTTCGGAGCGTGTCGTGGTCTGCAATTGTATGCGATGTGTATGAGGGCCCGGGAGAAGCCAAATGATAAGATACGTGGAATAACGGCCAGTTCATCTTATATGCAAGTCATATTCATGCGTCAAGAAACAGCGGACATCCAGATGTAAGTTAATCCAACCTTCATGGGCGCTATGTCCAGGATATGTGGCCGAGTCCCGCATATGCGACAACCGATTCCGTTTATGTCTGGCCTTAATGTACACATCCTGTACAGACTATCGCGGCCGTTGCCCCTAGAAAACCATCAAGCCGCCGCCAAAGACGAAACCCAGGACCACGACACCTGCAGCCAAAATGCTGGTCGTCTCCATAGAGGCAGCGCGGAAATTGGCATGACCAGCATTCGAGTCACCACCCGAACCACTTCCACTACCCGATCCAGACCCGGAGCCGGAGGTGCTGGTCGCCGTCGCAGGGGTCAAGTTGAAGGTCGCGCTCCGACTGGTACCTCCACCGAGCTCACCGGTCGCCGTCGCGGTCGATTGTGTGATACGTGGGATACCGGTAAAACTCTGTGCAACACTCGCTGCAGACGCCGTCGACACGACATTAGGGATACCGCTGCTGACCTGGAATACCTGGACGTCGCTGTCGGCTTTGCTCGAATCGAAGTTGGTTTGAGCGAGACCGATTTGTGCGTTCTCCAGATCATAGACAACGTAGGCGCTGCGGAGGAAGGAGTCGCCGAACAGGATCGGATTGTCCCCGGCGGCTTCAATAGCGAATGAGCAGGCGGCATCGCCATTGTCGAACTTCGGTTGGGAGCCGTCCGTTGTGAGTAGAGGAGTCACAAACTCGGAAAGAGACACGTTGACAACTGCTCCGCCTTGACCACCGAAGGTGAAGGTAAAGGTCAAGTCATCGTTAGCGAGTGAGCACCTGACAACGTTTCCGAATTGCGGATCGGTCAAAACTCCGACGCCCTGGTCCGTTGTCAGCAGGCAAACACAGTGGTGGGGGGGAGGAAGCATTTATAGAGAGACATACATTGAAGATACTATTGGCAATATCATCAGGTAGGAGAGTATCGGTGGTTCCGGAGTCAAGGATGGCAGGCTGGGGGTTGCTTGGTGAGAAGTCAGAGGTCTGGCCACTTCCGTGGACGGTCAAACCGGTCCATGCAACGGTGAATGAGCTGATCGTCCCAGTCTGTTCGTCAAGCTGGATGGGCAGAGAAACCAGGTCGCCGTGATACTTGTTTGTGTCGACGCCACCGAACAGGATGACTCCAGTGTTCGAGTCGAGGTCGTCCAGCCATAATGAGTATGCCAGGGTGTTGATCTTGCCCTCATTCTTCATGACATTGATGACGTTAGGGTAGGTGAAGCCATTGAGCACGGCCGACGATTCGCCAGATTCAAACCCAATGCCCATGATGCCAATGCCTCGCGTGTTGGCTTGCAACGCGGCAGCCATGGTCATGTTTGTCAATTGTGTTCCACCAACATTCAGGACATCGGAAAGGTATGCACCTGCGATCTGTGTGCCATCGACATACTGGATCTGGAACTCGGGTAGGTTGGGATTAACATAGGTCGAGGAGGCGGTAGCATCGTAGGTGCCCAGGGGGCAGTTGTCAGGATCTTGTTGGCAGATGTCTGCCTGGACAGCAGGGAACCAAATATCCGACGAGCCGGTATCAATTTGGAGCGAGAAGGGTTGAGGAGGAGTGCCGACTGTACAGTTGATGAAGTAGAGGAGGATCTCGTTGTCCAAACCAACTGAGATGGTCTTGGTCTGCCTCCGAGTCAATTTGTGGGGTGCATCCGCTGCTGCCATGCGCTTCTTCTCAAACTTGAAACCAATCGTCGCTGGTTCCGGCGCCGCGATGACAGGCGCAATCGAGGCAAACAGCGCTGCTGCTCCGAGAGCAAGACTGAACTTGCCCATGGTGACGGCGGCGCTTAGGAATTGGCAGCAGAGGCGAGGTTCTCGGGTACGAGTCTATCTGAAGCAGCAACGAGAATGAAGGAAAGGAAGGAGAGACGGTGAGCAGGACAAAACCAAGAGTAGAGACGCTGACGCAAACAAGAGTATGAAGGTTTTCAAGATATACAAACCGGTTCACCAACACGCATCTTCCTGGACTGCGCCTCGTCAGAGGCTCAGAGGCGAGTGCTGGCCCAGGAGACGGAGACAGGGCAGCGGAAGACGACGCGACACGCAGTCATAGCCACAGCAGCAGCCAGTCGGGGGCCACGTTTATCGAGTCTTTGCGACAACGATGACATATGACCAAGTTTTAAGGCGCAAGAGAGAGCGATTTACTGGGGAATAGCTTGCCCGGAGCACGAATCATGTTGCACGATTCCACTAGCCCAGCTCCTTACTAACCCACCGGATCATCGTTTGCTTCAGCCTTAGCCTCAGCTCCTCCACCTCGCAAAGCTTCTGGGTGCTTGGAACTTCTTATTTTGCTCGAGCCCAGGAACCGCTTCTGGAGTGGTGATGGAGATATGTTCCTGATACATGGAGCTCTACAGCTCTATTGCGGCTGTGGGAGGACTTCGTGGTGCAGTGGGCTGATGCCTGGACACTTTCCTGCACAGTCTGTTTCAGCGGTTTTGCCCCCTTTTGCATCAAAATGGACAGAGGCACCACGGCATCACAAGATTACTCGAACTTGTCGCTGAGGCGAACCGAAAGGAACCGCGCTTCGCTTGGCATCAGCCCTGGACCCCAAATCGGGCATCTTTTTTGAGCTCATGGTTGCTTCACTCAGCTTCCTTCGCTGATATCGCAATCGCCAATCACAGTCATGCGGAGCCAAAGCATTGACATATTGTAAGCACCATTTGCTCACGGCATGACCACATGATTGCTACTATATGTGCTTCGGTGGCATGCTGAATCTCTGCATCTCAATCAAACGTACTCGTACGGAGTACACGCAAGCAGTTTCGCCACGGGAGGAAGGACCTGTGGCGGTGCAACGTTCCGGCCTATCGCGTGTCGTTCCTCGCTCTATTGCCGCTGGCAAGAGTTTCTACTCTGTGCCAGATGCGAGTTCAAACCTAGCAGTGTACGGGAGTTACTCGTACATAATGACACGCAAACAACGTCGCACTCGTAATGCTCTCACGGCCCATGCGATTTGTCTGGGCCAAAAGCAAGCCTTTGGTACAAAGTATGTACAGTTCTGAATTAGCTAATAACGGCTAATGACAGCCTCGAGCGGTTACTTTGGGTCTACAGTATCCCATATCCACCAGAACTCCTTAACATCAGCAACTATGCCAACAAGCTTAAGCCTTTGGTTTCCGCGCAACCATCAAGTACATAGGTGTGAACAACTTCTGTTTTCCACCGGCAACCAAGCAATCAGCAGCCAACGCCAGGCTATCTGCCGTCTTCTGCGTACCATGAGGCATTACCTTCAGGGTCTCTCCTAGGCCAATGAATCTGTGAATGAGACCTCGTCCCCACCAAGTCATCCTGGCAATGGTGAAAACATCCCCTAAGGTAGCCAAGTATCGCCAGTCTCCAGCAAGAGGCCAGTACCACGGGATGGGATCTGGTCTGTCTGCAAGGTCTTCGTGGTACTCTAGCTCGAACCCAGCGGCTTTAATAGCAGCCAAGCCCTCAGAGACCGTGACCATATTGGAGATACCATCGCCTTGCTCTATTCCAAGTCGAATCTCTCGGTGCTCCGGGTCTGCGACCACGTTAGAATCTGCTTTCAGCACACGGACTTCTGGCGATGGATAACTCACTGTTATTGTCATACTTGTCAGTCATGAGCCATTCGTAGACTCCAAAAACGCCACCAGGTTTGAGCACCTTGTAGATCTGCTCGTAAACTCCCTGCAGGCTGGGAGCGTGAACTGTGGCTTCAATGGCATAAACTGCATCAAAGCTGTTTTCAGGGAAAGACATCTGCATGAAGTCGCCCTTGACGGCGGACCACTTGTCCGCAATGCCCTCCTTCTTTGCGTATTTCAATGACCGCTCAATCTGGTAGTCGTTGTTGTTCAATCCCACAACATTGGCTCCTGTAAATTTGATAATTTCTCGCGCTGGCCCACCAACACCGCATCCGACATCCAGCACACGCCAGTTTTCTTGGATGCCCATCTTCAAGGCTAGGTAGTGTTCGTGCCGGGCAATGGCCTTGTAGAAAGACTCGCCATAGGCGTAGCGGCAGAAATGGAAGGAAGTACCCCAGCCATATTCGTAAAGGTCAGTGGCGAGGTTGTAATAACTAGCCACAGTCAGTGTGAGATCGCGGTTATACCGAGGGAGCCGGATCATACTGTCTTGTCAAGGTAGCATATTCATCTCGTCTGGCTTTTCGAATCTCCTCGGTCTCTTCTTTGGCTGCCTTGTTGTCCCAATGCTTAAAGTACTCGTCGACGGCTGCTTTCTGTGCCGATCTGTCCTTTTGGCGCATCGCCATAAGTCCACCTTGGGCTTCAGATGATTTGCCGTGGAGAGCCTTGTTGAAGGCGGCATCGCGGGCGTGGTCCTCCTGCTCGAGGGAGACCGATGGAGAAATTGCGGAGGGAGCCATGTTGAGATGGCGATGACGTCCTCGAGATGAAGACAAGATCAGGAGAAGCAACTGGACTGGAAGACAATTGGAGACTCAAGCGCCAATATAGAGAGCGACAAGCGGTTGATGAAGCAATCCTAGTAAATGAGCGGTGTTGCAGGCGGAGCGCATTGAAAACAACGAACGACCCGGATATCCAGATCAAAATTTTGGGACAGGCCAATCAATGTCGGTTTTCTTAGCCACTAGCCTGGTCTTGGCAGGGGCATGTCCATGGAAATGGCGGCTCCCGAGTCTGGCGATCTGGAATCCTTCACGCCACCGGGACCGAGATCTCTCCAACGCCTGCACGTGAAAGTCCGGCTGACCTTCCTCTCCGTTCAAGGCTGGCATTTGAGCCCCGCTGGTTTTGTCTTTGCAGCGTCATATTAAAAATCACCATAAGCTAGCAACCGGGTGCTGTTATCCCTAAATATCTGGACTCAACTCCCTGCTGCTCGGTGTCAACCATTGCCCTGCACATTGTTCGTACAACCTACCCGCGATTGTGCCAACATGGCTCCACCTCAGATAAAGCAAGATCTGAATCGGTCGGGCTGGGAGACGACCGACTTCCCATCCAGTTGCGAAAACTGCCTGCCCGACAACCCTTATGTTCAGATGCTGAAGGAGGAACACGGCGCTGAGTGCAAGATCTGCACACGACCATTCACGGTTTTTCGGTGGAAAGCCGACCGAACTGCAAGAACGAAGCGAACAAATATTTGCCTCACGTGCGCGCGACTCAAGAATTGCTGTCAATCCTGCATGCTCGATCTATCATTCGGCTTGCCCATCACTGTTCGAGATGCCGCCCTTAAAATGGTGGCCCCAGGCCCGCAGTCCGATGTGAACCGTCAATTCTATGCGCAGGAACACGAGAAAGAGATCGAGGAAGGTCGAGGCGCAGTCGAAGCATATGAGAAGACAGACGAGAAGGCAAGGGATCTGCTCCGCAGACTCGCCAACAGCGAGCCATATTACAAGAAACAGCGACGGCTGGAAGCAGAAGGAACTCAGTCCGAAGAACAGCCAAAGCAGCAGAGACAAAGTGGTTATGGACCGGGGCCAGGTCCAATCCGGACTGCGGACTCCAGAAGAGCCGCTGCGCAGCGAGGCACCAAAACAGGCCCAGGCGGAGCCAGACTTGTCACCGCAGCTCGACCACCTCAACCAGAGGACTGGTTACCCCCTGCCGACCCCAATATTACATCGCTGTTCGTTACCGGCGTCGAGGATGACTTGCCTGAGCATGCCATCCGTACCTTCTTCACTCCCTTCGGCCAGCTCCGTTCAATCGTTTGTTCGCACCGTGCGCATTGCGCATTTATCAACGTGAGTCCTTCCCAGAGCCCATGTTGGGCTACTCGGTCCCCGGGTTCTCCTGACTCAGGACTTATATGCTAATTGTGGAGCAGTATGCCACCAGGGAAGCCGCCGAAGCCGCCGCCGCGCATTGCCAAGGGAAAGCAGTCATTCAAGGATGTCCGCTGCGGATCAAATGGGGTAAACCGAAGCCCCTAGACAATACCGATAGAGACCAGCGAATGGCATGGGCCAGGGAGGGTCGAGACCAAGCCGCTGCCATCAAGCAGCAGCAACAAGGTGGTCAGAGAGCTATTGCCGCCGGAGATCAACAAGCTTTAATCGAAGGTGCTGGTGAAGAGGGTGACACTGCTAGTTTCATCGTTGCACCTCCGCCGGGTCAAGGAGAGGCCAAATATGCTAGCTTAGCTGGGGATTGAATCGTGCAGTTTGTGGATGGTGTTGTACATTCTTCAGCATGGCGTTATGGGGAACTTTTTAAACGGCATAGCAAGCCGTCACTGGGTATCATGATGTTGTACACAAGTCCGAACGAGGCAGTTCTTTGTCGGTACTCATAGGCCTCCAACCTTGACCTTTCCACCAGGTGCCAATGGATTCTTGACTGTGTCATTGTCGCCTCGCTCGGTGTCATTGTGTATGTTGAGCTCTGTACTGTCTTAGTTTTGTGCTCACAATTCAGTCTTGTCCATACATACTTATCACATCCGACCCTTCCACCCTCTTCCCCTGCACGATATTGTGCCTTAGTACCGTAGCCACGCCTTCTGCATGCTGAATTCCCTTCATAGCTTCCTCCGAATCGGCATCTAAAGACTTTAAGTTGTCGAAACCTGTCCGTGCCTGGGTTCTCGCAGCATGAAGCAAGTAATAGTCCTCATGGAATGCTATGCGGGTGGCTCGTAGGAGGTGTCGATATGCTGAGAGTGCCATTGTTCACGGATAGGCGGCGCTTGGAGCAAAGGTGCGTGGTTAATAGAGGCCCTGAAAATCAGGACTTTCAAATGAATTTGGAGTGCGAGATGGTGCTGTGCTCAACACTTTGTACAATGACTGTCAAAGGAGTTGGACTGGTCGTCGACCCGGGTCTCAACAAGCTGCGCAAAATTCCGTAGCCTTGGACTGTCGGTTGGCGCCGTCCGCATCAATCTGTGCAACGACATCTGCGATGACGCTTCATATGGACTGAAAATCTCGCTCTTCTAAACAACCTTCCACGGATCTCGGGCTTACTATTTTCCGTCCTCCGAACCACACATTCCGCCAATCAAAAATGGCTGGACCTCCGCTAGAAAATTATTCTGGCTCTCCGAGTCCTGAACTTGAATGTTCACCTTGCCCAGCAACCTTCTGGACCTTACCAGAATCAGGACCAAATCCGCGCTCTGTGGCACTCAGATACTTGACTGAGAAACCCGAAACTCTAGCAATGGCGGAAACAAAACTTGTCCCGGCTCCTGCTGCGGACTGGAAAGGCGACAGCGATGAGAACCCCAACTTTCGGTCCCTGGGCAAATTGTCGCCGCCAGTGATGCGCAAGATCGAGCCCTATGGAGCCTCCTTCCTTGCCTACGCACGTCGCAAGCGCCATGGACGCACTTTCAGCGAAGACGACCGTATCCGTGAGTCTCAATTTATTTCGGTCAAGTCATCCCAGGCGCTAACAACCATGCAGAAGCCCTGTCCAAGGTCAAGAAATCCGAAGACGACGATGACGGCGAGATCAGCGAGCCAGAAGACCCAATGATGCTTGCCCGAGACGCAAAAGACTGGAAGGTGAGGCTCAACTGAAACCTCGTCCTCCTCACTAGCTAACCACTCGGCTCTGCAGGGACAAGATCACTACGCCGTCCTCGGCCTCTCGAAATACCGCTACAAAGCCACCGATGAACAAATCAAGAAAGCTCACCGCAAGAAGGTCCTGCGCCATCACCCCGACAAGAAAGCCGCGGCCGGCCAGTCAGACGAAAACGACAGTTTCTTCAAGTGCATTCAGCGCGCGCACGAGATCCTCACAGACCCTGTCAAGCGCCGTCAATGGGACTCGGTCGATGAAGCCGCAGACGTGGAACCACCCACCAAGAAAGACATGCAGAAAGCGGGCAATTTCTACAAGAAGTGGAGCCCCGTCTTCCAGAGTGAGGCGAGATTCAGCAAGAACACACCAGTGCCTATGCTCGGCGACGAGAATTCTACGCAGGAAGAGGTCGAGGCCTTCTACGATTTCTGGTACAACTTCGACAGCTGGCGTACATTCGAGTACCTGGACGAGGACGTGCCCGACGACAACGAAGGGAGAGACCACAAGCGCCACATAGAGAAGAAAAACGCCAACGCCCGAAGGAAGCGCAAGACCGAGGATACCGCCCGTCTCCGCAAACTTGTCGACGACTGCCTGAGCTACGACGAACGCATCAAGAAGTTCCGCAAGGCCGCGAGTGCCAACAAGAACAAGAAGCGTCTGGAGAAGGAAGCTGCGGCGAAGCGAGAGGCCGAGGAGAAGCAGAAGGCCAAGGAAGAAGAAGAACGCAAGAAAAAGGAAGAAGAGGAGAAGGCCAAGACTGATAGAGAGCAGTCGAAGAAGGCGAAAGAGGCTGCGAAGAACGCGGTCAAGAAGAACAAGCGTGTCGTGCGAGGAGCGGCCAAGGACGTCAACTATTTTGCCGAAGGCGAGCCAAGCCCCAAGGCCATCGACGATACCCTCAATGATGTTGACAAGGTTTTGGCCGCCGTTGATCCCGACGAGCTCGCGGATCTAGTCTCCAAGTTGAACGTGGCGGGCAAGGACGCTGCGAAGGTCAAGGAGGTCTTCTCCGAGACAACTGGCGGACTGGTCGGCGCTGGCAAGCTGAAAGAGGGTGACTTGAAGGTTTTCAAGTGAGCGAGAGCGAGCGAGCGAGCGCGAAGGGCGTCGACTGTATTAATCGAAAAGTGCATACCCTCTCTTCCTCGCATTCAAGAGGCGAGATCTACTGGATAGAACAACGAGTCATCCTGGTGCTGCCTTGCCAGTCACAGCGCTGCAATGAAGTGCATCGAACTGCATTCTCTCAGCCTTCTCTCCTCTTGTTCCCGCTCATACTGTGCCTGTTTGCACTATTGCCACGCCTGCTCCTTCTCTTGCTCCCACCATTCTAACACTACCGCAAAAACGATATCCCGCGTGACTTCCCTTCGTCTCTCTATTGGACTCCCACCACGCATGAGGGCACACACTTGTGGTGCTCACTGAGTAAGCTCAATTGAGAGAGACGCTCACGACGAGCATGAAGGGCAACAAGTATCCGTCGGGACATGTTCACTCTCGGTGGTGCCCTAATTGACGCTCTTGGACGCTCGCCTATATTGTATAGGTCGATCTGTGTTTGAGATTCCGCATTTCGTCTTTTTTATTCTGATAGGAAAGGGGGATTGCGGATGGGTTGCTATTGCTGCGCCAGACCCAGTGGAGTACTTAGGGAGGTTCTTTCCGATGGAAACATCTGTCCCCCAGCTCGGTCCATAGCGAGCTGGGCATGGGAAAGGAGACCAGAACGTCCGTCAAGCAACACGAACTTCGCGTGCCATGCCATCCCAATCCATCCCGTATTTTTCTTTCTCAGGTGAATTTCTGTCTCGGCACCTCCGGGACCTCGCTCTTCGTGACCTTGCCGGCGCCCACCATCCGCGCGTTGAACTCGTCCAGTCTGTCCAGCGGCAGATTCAGAAACAGATGCTTGTTCTTCCACCTGACTTCACTTTCGATGAATTCCTTCTCCGCAATGCCCCCGGCACCAGGCGGCGGCGGGGGTTCCGTGATCTTGGTGATCAAATACGCGGTGCTCGCCTCCGCGATACCGTAGATCAGCACGCCAAGCAGAGGGACCTTGACCATGACGGCAAACGCTGCAGAAAAGCCGAACAGCACGCCGGAGCGATCGACGAACCAGACGCGCTTCTGCTGCTTGGTGAACCGGATGCGGTGGAAATACGGCTCCAAAAGCCTCGACATGAGGCTTCGACTCGAAAAGTACGTCTGCAGGAACTGCACCATGTAGTGTTTCGGGACGATCAGGCCGGACGCGAAGATGATGCCCGCGGGCACGGGGCCCACGGCTTTATTGAACGTGTAGAAACTCGCCGCGGGGAGCACGAAGCGGCCGATCCCCGGGAGGAACGTGAGGAGGTAGACGGCCAGCGAGATGGCGGCTCTGCGGCCGTATTTTGTGAGAAAGAGCACCACGCCGTCGAGGAGGGAGCGTTGTTCCTTTTTCTCGCGCTCGCCGTGCGTGCTGTACATTTTCAGGGTCGGGTAGTACATCGCGCGCAAGGTGGCAGGGTCGTCTGACTTGTGTTTCTGGACGTATGTCGTGTCAACCCATTTGAGCGAGTCCATGAACAGATTGTCGAGCGTCGGCGTGATGGAGCTCATGACCATCATGAGGAAGAAGGGGATTTGTAGCACGGAGCGCGATATGAAATCCAGGCCGCCGATCAATGTGTCGTCCCAGGTTTCATGGTCCAGGTTGACGAAGATGGATATTATCCAGATGAAGGCCTTGACGAAGTAGATGGGGATGTTGAGGATTATCCGGATGGCGAGGCCTGCGCAGACGGCGAGCGCGGCTTGTCGGTAGTGGTCTGTGGTGAAGAGGCCAGGATTCTGGAGCGCGCGGTGGGCGCCGACGAAGGTCAGTTGGGCGCCTCGAAGGATGGCGTTGGGATCGAAGTTGGACATCTCGAGAGATGTGCGTGCCACCCAGTGTCGGTGTTGGGGATGAGTGAGCGTGATGCCGGCAGGAGACGAGCTCTACTTGAGAGCACACGACATTAACAATGGACAATGTGCAATTGCCTACTCCGTAGAGGAGATGACGACTACTTGCTACGTCATTGGCCCCATCTTGCGCAAGGCTGAGATTTGCTAAGCGAGGCTAGGTTGAAGTAGGGGCATCTTCACCGGGCGCTCAGAACTACACTTCCAACGTTGACTACGGATTGTATATTATACCGCGCCTTGACTAGGCGATTTAGTGACTGTCTTTCACTTGATACGAGTTTGAACCACCATGTGAGAAGCCTTTTCAATATCCTGAGGCAGCTTGGATTGCCCTCCAAAAAGGCTCGCTTGCGTCCGAAATTGAATTGCAAACCATTTCACGTCCCAGCTCGAGCTGCCAATCGAGACCGAGACAAAGGCGAGGAAAAGGCTGTGCCCATGCCTTGTTCCCCGAGGGCGCCACGGCCGATCATTCTTCCCCAGAGACTGTACACTTTATAATGTGAACCTGTTGGAGTAGTCGCAACAACTTACCTATTCGCTGATTATCCAAGAAAGGTGTGGCGGCCACCGTCAGGCCCAACTCCGCGCTCTGCCGCTGGAGCCCAAGGTGCTGGATGTTGAGTCCTTGATCAAAAGATAAATTCAATATGTCAAAGTGTGACATGCCCAGCTTCATGTGTAGAGCAAAGAAAGGGAAGGAGTATTGTCGGGAATTTCAAGTTATGCAGGTACCCGGATTAGGGATCATATTGTCACCGCATCGCTGACCGCCAATCGGAGACTTTGTGACCAGCTCACTCCAGCAGTCTCCTGTACTAAGGAGAGCACGGTGTGCAGCGGCAGAGATATGTGGACGACCGCTGCCCGGTACCGGCCCGGTGTTGCCTAAATCGGCATCATGTGGACCTGGAACATCCACCTCACCGTTGCCGGTGTGGAGCGACTAGAGAGTATGGACGAATGGTTTCCCAGCTCCAGCGATTCGATGAAGGACACGGACCTTGTTGAGAGAATATATCTTCGGGGTGGCAGTCATCGCCAACTTCAGCCTAACCGGCGGTCTCAGACGGCTCAAATCCTGAAGAGATATATCATATCAACCACCCCTGGAATGCCTCGGTATGCGACCTCATGATAATGGCCAGCGATGAAGATCTCACACAGTCCTCTAGAACGAACAGAGAGCATGATACAGCAATAGATGCTGACCACAAGAATGCCAACGAGGCCATCACCATATCTGCGCAAGAAGCGCCTTGTCTGCGAGACAAAGAACCGACGCAGAATGACATCGAAGCTCAGAACTCAGACGCTCTAGAAAAGACCAACAATGTTAGTCAGGATCAAAGCCAGAAGGCTTATACCGCCTTCTCCCCGAGCGCCAAATGGTTCATCGTGGCCATGACTGCCATGGCGTCGTTCTTCTCGCCCCTCTCCGGCCAGATATACTACCCTGTGCTACCCATTCTGACAGACGCGTACCATTTGTCTCCGAGTCTGATCAATGTCTCGATCACGACGTATATGATCTTCCAGGGCCTGGCGCCCAGCTTCATGGGCACGTTCTCCGACGCCAGTGGTCGCCGGTTGGGATATATCCTCGCCTTCACCTTCTACACGGCCGCGAACATCGGTCTCGCCTTGCAGGACAGCTATGCCGCTTTGCTGGTTTTGAGGTGCCTGCAGAGCGCGGGCTCCAGTGGCACCATCGCCTTCGGATACGCCGTGATTGCAGACATTGCTACCACAGGGGAGCGGGGCAAGTATTTTGGCCCGATGGCAGCGGGGGTTTTGACGGCACCGGCTCTCGGTCCAGTCATCGGTGGCCTCTTGACGCAGTATCTGGGATGGAGATCTGTCTTCTGGTTCCTGACCATCATCAGCGGCGGCTATCTGGCCGTGTATATCATCTTCATGCCCGAAACGCATCGGAAGATCGTCGATGATGGAAGTACCGTCCCGCAGCAATGGTGGCGCCAGTCCGTAGCGCAATACTTGGACTCTCGACGCCGGCTGAAGAAGATGAGTCCCCAGCAAAGGATCGAGCACGAGCGCACCCGGCAGGATCTGCTGGCGCGGGAAAAGGGGACGAAGCTCCGTTTTCCGAATCCGCTAGAGTCGTTCTTCATTCTCATGAACCCGGATGCGTTCTGTCTTGTCTCATACGCCGGCCTCATGATGTTCACAAACTTAGTTTTGATGACGAGCACGCCGACCGTGTTTCCAAGGCTGTACGGACTCAACGAGTTACAAGTGGGCCTGTGTTTCTTGTAAGTCGAGCTCCCTTTCTTAGGGGTCTTCTCGACGCTGACAAAGGCTTTGGAGACCACTCGGCGTGGCTGCCGCGGTGGGCGCCTTCTGCAATGGCCACCTCCTCGACCGCAACTACAGCCGCATCGCTCGAAAACTGGGACGCACCGTTGATCGCAAACGCGGCGACGATCTTCGCGACTTCCCGATTGAGCGCGCTCGCCTCCAGACCGTCTTCTTCGTCCAAGCACTGCAGGTAGCGGCTCTGCTGCCTTATGGTTGGGCACTCGAGAGAGGGGCCTCTCTCGCAGTGCCGCTCGTGTTGCAGTTTCTTCTGGGTTTCTCTGGGGTAGTTGCGTCGAACTCGGTCAGCACGCTCCTCTCCGATATCTATCCAAATAGTGTTGCGACGGCCTCAGCAGCATCAAACCTTCTCCGCTGCCTTTTGGGTGCTGTGGGCGCGGCGACTGTTGATAGTATGCTGTCGAGCATGGGGCTGGGTTGGTCTTTCATCTTCGTTGGCCTGCTCATGGCAAGCGCGACTGGGTTGTTATGGGCTGAGCTGACGTGGGGTATGGGCTGGCGGCAGAAGCGGTGGCAGAGGTTGGAGATGAAGCGACAAGCCGAGGAGGAAAAGAAGGTCCGGAGAGAGCAAATCAAGGATGCTGCCGTATAGAGCTATCTTGGGGAAATAAACCGATTGTCCTGCCATCCTTTGACTTCGTGCGAGGAGATTTCGTGCGCCTCATGATCTTTGAGCACTGTAGCTAGCGTTGAGACATGCATGAGAATGCTATATGGGAAGGGGGAAGGGTGGAGCATGGAGCCGAGACACGAAATCGCAGTGACAACCACTTTCGGAAAGTCAGCGAAGGCTCTTCATGGTAGATCAAGCACCGTGCATTCTTCTGCATTATGGATGGTTTGCAATTAGGCAGTTCTTCGACATTTGCTGATGAGCATAAGGTGAGGCATCCGCGCGGGGTTGTCGATGCTGGTAATAGGTACCCTTTGTTGAGGCGTACTCCGTACATGGTGGGTGTATGGCACCATGGCTGCCAAATTCTGAGCAATCCCCGCATACAGAGCTGTCCAATACTAATGATCGAGCTGCAAACCATTCCCCTCACGGTGAATAGTACTCCGGCCCGCCCAGGAGCCCTCGGTAATACGAAGATGACTGGGGAAGATAAATTGTCCTGATCCCTGGTATGTTCGCGAATGCTTCGTGTGATATCGATGTAGCTTGCAAATCACCGGCCGCATTTTCACACTGTAATTTTCCTCTGTTCCACACACCTCAATATGGCAGCGCAATATCTCAGCAACATCTTCTCGCTTGAGGGCAAATCAGCCATTGTGACGGGTGGAACGGGAGGGCTTGGGTCGGCGTTGGCCACCGCATTGGCTCAAGCCGGAGTCTCGACGATAGTCTCCATTGAACTCCCCAATGATCCAATGTCCTCAGACCTGAAATCGAAGATTGAAGGTGTCGGCGGTAAACTGTTGCAGTTCCAATGTGATCTGCGGAATGCAAAGAGCCTTCGAGAATGCTATCAATCAGTATGGGACGCTGGGGTAGTGCCCGACATATTGCTCAATTGCGCTGGCGTCATGCGGCGTAACCTCTGCGAGAATGCAACTGACGAGGAGCTTGACCTGGTAAGGGAATTTCTGCCAGCGTTATCCGAGTACTTACCTCTCTGTAGCTCCTAGAGGTGAATGTAAAATCATTCTACATCTCCATGCAAGAGTTCGGCCGGAAGCTTCTCTCCCTCGGACGACCGGGTAAGATCGTCAATATCGCCTCCGTCACTTCTTACCAGGCTGGGTTCAATACCAGCGTCTACTCGAGTACCAAAGGTGCCGTCATGCAGATGACTAAAGCTTTCAGCAATGAATGGGCAAGCAAGGGTATTCAGGTCAATGCAATTTGCCCAGGATTTATGAAGACCTCCATGACAGCGCAGTACCAAGGGGATCAGAAGATGGTGGATTACCTCATGGCTCGAGTTCCAATGCAGCGATGGGGAGAGCCTCAGGATCTGGTGCCCGCGATGTTGTTCCTGGCTGCTCCAGGGAATACCTTCACTTCGGGAGCATGTTTAATTGTCGATGGCGGATATTGCGGCAAATAGACCTAGGCATAGAAGATCTGAATATTCACTGGGAGCTTTTGGTCAACAGTATCATCGAGACACGGACACCTGTTCTTCGCTATCCTTCGCTTTCTCGCGCTTCCCAGGCTCCGCTTGTGAATGTCAACTTGCAAAGTCGGTTTACAATGCAACTCCGAGAGCGGCTATGCTCGGTGTTCTGAGCATTGTATTTTCTGCGGTGGCGACCGAGGGACTCGTGAGCCTTCAAGGGCCGTAGGAGCACACTTGAGTGAAGACATGTTGACGATTGTGCGAAAGAAGACGCACGATTCCAGAGTGGATCTCACGTCATCTGGGTTTGTATGCAACGCTGATAGGTCCGGCATGTATGAAGGGAGGGATACGAGGTCTGATGGTGGTCTTCATATTGTTCATCCCAAGGTCCTGGCGGGAGTGGCCGACTTTTGCCTTTGACCAGGGATTCGATCGTCTTTGAGGGCGACTGTCGAGGCGCACTCGGCTCTCTGCACAGCAGCAGAATCGGCGGAAGGCAGCATGGCACCAGTCCCTAAGAGGAATAGGCACGTACACATCCACCCCGTCTGTCTAGCCAGTAATATCTGGGGTGGTTGCCAAGGCTGCAGGGATGATTCGCTTGGTCGCTGGTTCCCTCTTCAACGCAACCGCCCGCAGCCAGCAACGCGGTCAGTCACAATATGTAGCTAGCTTGGTGAAGTGCAACTCGACAGTTATACACCCTCGATATAGGCCATAATCAGGATCTCCTGGGACCTTGCAACCATTTAACACTGTCCTTGTTCGATATCCGCTCCACCAGGCCAATGCTGTCTCTAAACATGCAGCATGGCCACACCACCAACATCCTATGGCGAGCGACCCCCGCTGCAGGGTTACCGAAGATCGTTTACTGTTCCTTCGCGACAGCTCTCCCTTCATGAGAGAGCAGGTCTGGACCGATCCGATGCCGACGCAGATATCCTCTTCTCTCATCCAAACGCGCGCATCATAGCCTTTTCGCCTCCCACAGACTCGATTCAGACTCCGAGTAAAGATACTCTGCCCGATGCCGATTACCCCATCGACGCTGTCGAAACCCTGCCATGGCGGTCGCGCACCGAGACTCTAGCTACCAGCGGGCTCATAAGGATTGAGAAAGTCCGAGGCTCGAGCCACTTCCTCAAGTCGGCGGACCAGAAAGTCATCCATACAATCATGCGCAATTCACAGTGCTGGTGTGTTGACGGAGAATCCAAATTCGTGCTGCGGAGAGGGAAGTTCATGTATTACCGAATCGAGCTACCGATAGAGACGGAAGAGGACAAGCAGAAGGTCGAGGAGTTCAAAGCGGCTTTGGCAAAGGTGCTGCGTTTCGAGCGGACACCATGCCCGTTCAAGCGCGCTTTCCACGTGGACCTACCAGACGATGCCATCACACCTCGGAGGAAAGGGACCTGGAAGAGGCGGCAGCCACCGCAACCGTCAACGCCCAATACCGACCCTCTGCCGTTGAGAAAGACGAAGAATTCACGAGCCTGGAGTTTTCAAGCACAGAATGAGCCTAGCCCTCTTCAGACGTACGGTCGGCGAGGGTCGGATTATGGTTATAGTGCGAGTCGAGGCTCGTCTCAAACACGGCCGGAAGCAAACAACTATCGGTGTTCCACTCCTTCCAGTGTCCTCTCCAGCGAGGATGCTTACGACAGGGACCGCGAAGGCGGGTCTAGCGAAGATGGGCTGCAGGGAGAGGAGACAAACCACTCGCAGCAGCCTGATGAGGCTTCAGTCAATGGTTCGGAGCCGGAAGAGCGGGTAGATATTTCTGGATTGGAATCTCCAGATGGACCGGTTGCGACAGGCGAAGGTGATCAACCTGAAGAGGAAACCGACGCGTTACCTCAGCCTGTCGAACCTCGAGCCACCAAGACTCCAGCAATGCATGATACTGATGCCACAGCGCTGTCAATACCACCCGAGACAGAAGAGTTAGATGGCACAACAGCCAAAGAACAGATTCCACAGGAGTCACTGGGAGGCCTAGAGAATGAGGTCGACGGAGAAGGTTCTCTTTCACCAGTGAAACAACTTCAACAGGAAGTAGAAAGCAGTCCGGACGGTCCAGAGCAGACTTCTGTCGCTGGGGCAGTCGAGCAGCACGTTAAAGAGGATGCGGCATCACCACCAATCGAAGACGAGCCAGAAGCCCGATTAAGCGACACCAAGGTGCTGATGATCGATGACACTGGCACCGAAACACCAAGCGATACACATGCTGAAGAAACAAAGTCTGAACCTGCTGAGGTTATCACTGCTGATCACGACGACGATGCTCTCAGTCGAGTCTCAAGTGTGGATTCCTTCTACACCACCGACTCTCTAAGTCAGGACAGGCTTGCCGAACATGTCCAAGCCACCGACTTTGAGAAGGGAGAGCACGCTGAAGGCTTTGCTCCCTTCTTCCTGGGCCGCCATCAGCACCAAAGAGGTCTGTCAGAGATGACAATAACGGCATCTACCATTGCGTCAGAACAGAGTCCTCAGAAACAGCGACCCTCAACTAGTGACTCAACACCAGGACTTGCACATTCATCCACGTCTGACTCGTCCTGGCCTGAAGTACACACACCACCAGTGTCGCCCATCAATGAAAACCTACGCCGCCGTCTACAAGCGAAGCGATCGCTTTCCCCTCTTCCACCATCTATAATACTTCACTCTCCGTCCACCTCGCCCACAAGCCCGAACTACGGCTCCCCATTCACAGCACAATTCCTGCACAAGGCTGCGAACGTGGCTCTCGTCAAGCCCATCGAAGCGGTCGTGTTACTGGTGCATATCCTTGCACGGATAGCCGGCGGCGCGACACTAAACGATCTATTCAGCGGCGACCTCTTCCGCAGACCCAGTGAACGCGAGGAAGGCGTCCACCGCCGGAGGACGAGCTTCCCAGACCAGCCTGCTCAGCCGAGGGACGACAGCGAGGAAGAAGAGGATGACTTTGGTGTGCCGATTAGGGGCAGGACAAAGAGTGTCGAGACGACCCCTGCTAAGGCACCGCGGAAGAAGGTGGAGAAGGACGCGGACGCCGATTCCATCTTCGATCTGGATTAGTGCTCCGGAATGAGATGGTGAACACGGTCGTCTCGTCGTATTCAGGTTGATTTTTGTCAATCTAAGCGCGGCGTTTCTTGCTTGTCACGTTTTGGCTCTTTGGTGGAGGTTTGCATAGTGTAGCGGGGGACCTCTTCTGCGACATACAAGCCTTGATGATACCACCCAGATATTCATGCCTTTTAATCCATCTGTATTCACCCCGTCTTCGAAACTCGGTCCTGTCCTTGCGTGACGGTGACGGTATCCCCACCACTAGTTGCAGCCGCACGCGACCATCCGCAAACCTGGTTACCTGGTCTCGCGCGGTCCATAGATGCTGGCCTGTCCGCATATGCCGGCCCATCGAACATTGGGACGTTCTCGTATACCATTCCCGCATCCATCAATCGACGATACCTCCCGCCACCCACCCTCACGCCGCCACACCAGTCTTCCCCTTCTTCTTCGCCTTCGCCCGCTCCTTTGCCTTTTTCTTATCCCGCTTCCTCAACCCCTCCATCCCCTTCTTACACACGTCCGCATACCGCGCGTAGAAGGACTCCAAGTCCGACACGGCCACCACGGTCGCGAACCTGATTTTCGGCCGGGTGCTCGAGTCGGCTGCCCTAGAATTCGACTTTGAGACCTTGGAGGCCGAGGTGGCCTTTTTAGGTCTTCCCACGCCGTTGGTCGCGCGGATGAGGATCTGTGCTGAGTCCGAGTCCGCACTCGGCGCACCGGTCGACGAAGAATCAGGATCAGTGGGAAGAGGTTTCTGGGTGAGGTAGATCGAGCCGTGGGCCTGCGCGTGTGTGGAGGTGAGGAGCGTGCTTAGGCGGGCGAGGAACTGTAGCCCACCGCCATCGGAGACGGTCGTCAGTGTTTTGGCCTTGGCCAGATAAAGCGAGCGGTTTAGTTTAGGACGGGTGGAAAGCTCACCTCGTCGTTTGAGAGTCTATCTTGAGACATTCTCCGTGAGTGCTTGGTTGTCCTGAAGGACGGAGTATTGCTCAATGGGATATTGTACATTGTACAGTATGTGGGGGACAAGGACATATCTCTCGGGATATCTTCGGCTGAATTCTCCGCATTCGAGATAATTTCTTGCGGCACCAGCGGCGCACCCTCGAGACCCTTCACATGGACACGACTCGCGACCTGTTCATCAACACAACTCCCAGCTTCCTTGGGACTTTGTTCTAGTAAGGTTCCCGCTGATCGAGATGGCACGTCAGAGCGGCGGCTCTGGGAAAGGTGTCAAGTTGCCGTTTGCGCTACGGCAAGAACTAGGAATCGAGGGATATTCGCGCGAGGGTGGCCGTCGCAGGCAATATGGTCCAGTAAGAGGCAGGAAGGATCAGCGCAGGGCGTTGCGCGTGGAGAAGAGACAGAACAAGCGCATACGGGGTCCGAGACCGTCCGCGACGGAGGAGGAGTTTTCGGAGCATGATGTGGGCGACGACGAAGAGGAGGACGAGCCACTCCCCCAAGCCAGGCCTGTGAAGACCACCCGACCCAAGACTGATACACCGAAACCTATCTCGAAAAAGCCCCTGAGACAACCATCACCCTCCCCAACGCCGTCAGATCTACCCTCTATTCCTAGCTCGCGGTCGTCTTCGCCGGGTCTGGTCCTTGATGCAAGTTCCCGTGCTTTTAGAGATCGAGCAGCACAGGACGAGGCAGAAATATCTGCGCTTGAGAGGAAACTCGGTTTGAAGAAGAACAAGACACCCAAATCTTATACTGAGGATGGTTTGGACGATCTTCTTGAAGGGTTGGGCGACGATGAGAGGGGCGCGAAGAGAAAATCCGAATCGAAGGAGTGGTTAGAACGAAAGAGGCGGCGGACTATCGTCGACGAACGGCGTGGCGTTGAAGATGACTCCAATGCCAGCGTGAGTGGGAGCGACGAGGAGGAAGGCTTTGACATCGACGAAGACGACGAGGCCGATACTCTCGAAGACGATGGTAACGAAGACGATATCGACGTTGACTTGGACGACAATGTCGAGGCCGGCATCTCAGATGAGGAAATAGGGCGAGACGAAGCCGATTCGTTCGACGGGTTCGATCTCGACGAAGAGTCCGCGCCTTCTCAGCCAAAGAAGCCCCGTGAAAATCCCTATGTGCCGCCAGTCACTCCTAACGCGTCAACCTCCAAGTATATCCCACCGTCTTTGAGGAAAGCACAGGCTTCGGAAGGGGCAGTCCTCGAAAGGTTGAAACGACAGCTGCAAGGCCACCTCAACAAGCTGTCCGAAGCGAATCTGGTGTCCATACTGGGGGAAGTTGAAAAAGTCTATCAGTTCAACCCTCGGCAGGATGTCACGACCGTGCTGATCGAGCTTCTCTTGACGCTCTTGTGCGATCGGTCCGCCCTCCAGAATACCTTTGTCATACTCCATGCTGCGTTCGCAACTGCGGTGTATAAAGTTGTGGGGGTCGACTTTGGTGCCGAGCTATTGGCCCAGCTGGTGGCGCGGTTTGACCAGTATCGCGACGACAACGCTGGCGGAAAGGAGGCACTCAACCTGGTCAGTCTGCTGGCAAACTTATTCACATTCCACATGATCGGCAGCTCGATTGTTTTTGACTACATCCGCCTCTTACTCGAACGGCTGAGCGAAAACAATACAGAGCTCCTGCTACGACTGATCCGGGATTGCGGACCCCAATTACGACAAGATGACCCATCGTCCCTCAAATCCATAGTGCAACTCATGCAAAAGGAGGCGGCCCGCATGAACTCTGCAGGAGAACAGATGAGCGTACGTACAAAGTTCATGATCGAGACGATCACGGACCTCAAGAACAACAAAATGAAAGCAGCAACCAACAACGCAGGCCTTTCCAGCGAGCACATCACACTGATGCGAAAGGTTCTGGGCTCTCTCAACGACAAGCGCAATGTGAGAGCGTCAGAGCCGCTCCGGGTCACCAGAGATGACATCAAAAACAGCGACAAGAAAGGAAAGTGGTGGTTAGTAGGAGCAAGCTGGAAAGGAAACGAGCCCAATGCAGTATCTGAAGACAGCACCGACCCTGTAACTCTGGCATCGAATCAGGTCCTCGATGACGATTCAATCGACCTACTAGCCCTGTCCCGCCAATATGGTATGAACACAGATGTCCGGCGCTCTATCTTTGTTGCTTTACTCTCGGCTGTCGACTATCAAGATGGCCACATGCGGGTTTTGAAACTTCACTTGAAGCGCAACCAGGAGCAGGAGATCCCAAAGGTCCTTCTCCGCTGTGCTGCTGGGGAGAAGCCGTACAATCATTACTACACGCTCGTGGCCAAGAAGTTATGTCTCGACAAGAAAATGCGCAAGGCCTTTCAATTCGCTTTGTGGGGCTTTCTCAGAAGATTGGGAGAGAACCCTGATCTTGATGACGACGAGGAAGATCAGGAAGCAGAAGATGTCGACATGACCGAGATTGCAAATCTGGCGAGGCTCTACGCTCACCTGGTACTGGATGGGGCAATACCACTTGGTGTATTGAAAGTGTTGGATCTGGTATCTGCAAAGGAGCGAACGATCATGTTTGTCGAGTTGATGATTGCCATCATCCTCATCGAGGCGCAACCGACCACGTTGGTTAAGGTGCTGGAACGGACGGCCGCCGATACGCCACAGCTCGTCAAGAGGTTACAGTTCTTCATCAAGAAGAATGTGAAGACGTCAGACTTGGTCGGGAAGAAGGATCACAAAGCGGTCAGGCAAGGTTGTCGAGTGGCCTTGGAGACACTTGGCAGATTGCAAATGGCTGATGAAGAAACCGAAACCTAACGTACATGTGAGGCAGAGGAGAAGGGCACTGACCTTGATTTAGGCTCCTGCGAGACTCGACTGCTCTGTCCCTTCGATGCCACCGGATCCAGGAGGCGGAGCATAATCTCGTTACGGACCTCTTGTATGAGCATGACACCTTACGAATTATCCAGAGGAGAATGACGGCGGTCTAAACCAGCAGGTCGATGAACGCATGGACCACTTTTGCAAAAGTACATTGAGGCTCTGAAGGCTGCAGAAGCTGATGCTGATGGTGCAGAGAATGCGGCGAGAGAGTCGATTGACCGAATGGAAAAGAGGATGAAGCAGCTGGAGAAGCGTTTGGCTCAAGAGGAGCATGCTTGGACTGGATGTTGAAGGACCGGTTCAACGTTCTTGACTGAATCCGCTGGAACGTACGCTGCTGGCAGCCACTATGGCACAACCCTCACGCCGCGGCTCCCTATGGGATTAGACCGAAGTGGTTGGGTTGCGCCTGCCGACTGAACTCACTCTTTGGCGCCTGAAGAGCAGAGTTCCCTTGTGCCTTGCTTTCAACCTCACGTCTCCATCACTTCGCACAGCATCCGTCCCCGCTCTTTCGCCCATTCGATGGCGATCAAATTTGGTTTGCCATTTTCGATATGCATGCCTGTACCAGAGGTAGCAGCAGAGAATCGTGCTGGCAGTCAATGGCACAGCTACGGCCCTGAAAATCCAGAAACTGTCCGACACGTGGTCGTTGCCTCCGTCACCGTCCGGCCAGTCGAACATGCCCATACTGAACATTGTTGCAACAAAAGTGGGAGGCAAGAATATAGCTGCGATGAAGGTGAAAGTCGACATCGAGATGCTGTCTTGCTTTGTGGAGCTTGCGACCTCGAGATTAATCAAGGCAACCCGCTGACCAACCACGCTGAAAAGCAGTTCAATGTGACACTGGAGCTTGATCACCCGAGTCTCAAATTATCCACACAAACTGTCAATGCCTGATGCAATGTTCTCCACGGAGCCTCGCAATTCCACAGTTGCCACTTTTTGCATGAGGCTTGGATCGGCCACCATCTTGTACTCGGTCTCAAGCAGCCAGCTAGCAAATGAAGATAGCGAGGCCGAGATGCCCAACAGTAACTGGATCCGATGCAACAAACTGTGCAACTCCCTGGTCGCCAACCCCACGTCGATATCAAGCGGCCAACTCGATTGTTCGCAGGCATCGTGTGGCGATTCACCCCAGGTCACGCCAACGCGATCCTCCACTTCAATCGAGCGCTTTCTGACGGATTGGCAAGCTCTCACCATTCGAGTCTCGCACGCATGCAAGACGACCGCAGGCAGAAGCAGAGGGTTGGTCCACAAGTCTGGAGTCGATATCAACGGTGCGACCACTTGCTCCTGCTGTCTTCCAAGGCCCGTTCGGCCCCTGTCGCAGATTCTCTCGAAGACAATGCCGTCGCCACAAATGAAGGCGTCCATCCAATTGCGCGCCACGTCGTATGTGAGCGAGAGAAGGCAGTTCGAAATTTCCATGTGTTGCATGACCTTGAGGACAATCTTGACTTTTGTAGTCTCCCCGTTCTGTCCGATCACTTTATGCATCAGGTAGCTTCCCCCTTCCCTGAGGAACGCTGGGATCGTTTCTTCGTGCAGGTCGAACTCTGCTTCGATCGGCTCGAACGCATCTCGATTGAGTGTCATTCGCGGCGCGCATTGGGTCTATCGCACGTCACCAACCGGATGCCTCCTTTCAGAGTCCCGGCCTCCTTCGGTTTCAGAGCCTCATACTGTCCTTGTACCTTGAGCCAGCGCCATAGCCTGGCATTGAAATCGTACGGTTTACCCGGCTGATTGTCATCGTCAAGGCGCGCCAGCCTGAAATTGTGGTCGCGCTCCACAGTCGTCACGCCATCGTAACTCCAGCACTCCAGGATCTCCAGGCAATTGGACGCATACGGCTTGAAATGCTCCCTATACAAGAGGGGGAGACTCCAGTGAATCTGTTCGATACACTCACGGCGTCGATATCCGAGCAGGCTTGTCGACTTGCGGCCCGAGCACAACGCGTCGATGAAGCCCGCCTACCCCAAGAACGTCAATTATGCCAATTCGGCCGCTGGTGGAGTAGAGAAGTCCCAACTCACCTCAAGTGCCCTCCGTTCGGGTTTGCCAATGCTCCGCTCATGCGCCGATCTGCTGATCTTCAACACCTCGAGGAGCGTATCGTTGTGGCCTGCGCGCGTGAGTGGCGGGCTTTCGTTGACCTTGTGCCTCGCTACTTGAGGTCTCTTAGTCCCAGCGATTGAGGGTAAAGACATGTTCGGTGGTCGGCACAAGGCTGAGAAAATGCGGATCTTTCTACTGTATCCTGCTCCCAAGACCCAGTGGGCAGACCATTCAGTGATGCAGAAGCAACACTACGCGGAGAAAGGCACGGACACAGTCATGAAGACCTGATCAGGCTGAGTTGCAGTTGCTCTTGCACCAGAAGTGATCCAGGGACACCGAGGCCATTTTAACGGCCACTGGAATAAGGCAAACCGCCAAGGTAGGGGAAGCTGCTCCTGACATCCCTATGTCCCTATGCGGGCGAGGATGATGTCGCCAGGTGCTGGACCCGGCATGCCAGAGGACCAGCGCCTGGCCGAAGGCGCAGCTCTTGCTCTGTTCACTCAGACTGGTAGATACCTACATTGGATTAATGCGCGCCACCGTGTGCTCGCTCTTGCATCCAGCGCGAAAATGGCATTGTCCTATTGGACGATACGGCTTCGCTAGTATCGTGACGCCACCCTTATTGGTCGCATCTGTTAGCGTTTTTGGCATGGCTACGACATAGTTGGATACTGTAGTCCGGGCAGTCACATCTCAAAGGGGAACTCAGGAACTTTTGCAGCAGCACCCGCATAACGCAAATACGAGAGCCTCATCGCCACGCGGCGCCTGGTACCTCGACGGGCTTCTGACCAGCTGCTTGTAAGTAATCCATGAACTGTGGTGTTATACCAGAGTCAGCACGGAGCAGACAACAACGAGTCGAGGGCCTTCAACCCACTCAGCTGGGTAATGCCAGCCACCATCGAGAATGGGGATCCATAAAGTCGACATGGGAGTGATCATTTATGATTTTATCCCACCTTGCGGCTCGAGAGTGGGCAACCGTATGGTCGACATGACCATGACCATGATCACATGTCGCGCTTGAGCGAGTCGTCCGTCTACTCATAGACGACCCCCGTAGAAATTCAGGTTACCCCGTATGGACTTCGTGGGGATTGACGCGGGAGATGATATCACAGGGCCGTATTTGTCGTGCAGTTTCTCGATCTCGAATGCGTAGTGTCCTTTGAGCATGACGTCGTGGTAGAATCCATACCCGGCTGTTCGGTCACCATTGCGTAGATTCCTGCAGTGTGGGATATCGCATGTAGCAGGGGATGGGATGAGTGCACCGGTACTTGGGATTGGAATTACAGGGTGGAGGCGTCATTTTGACACCAACAGGTGATCTTGGCTGGCGGTGGGCTGCGAAAATGTCAGACTGGTGAAGCATACGACCTGTACGTTGCACAAGCTGAGGCAGGTGTGTGGCTAGGAGGACGCCGATCGGGTGTGAAGCCCAGGAGGAGATGGTCCATTGTGACGGGAGCTGTGTAGTGTAGTGCTTGGCTGGTATCGGCGCGACGGAGGGGTTAGAAGTTGGGCTGTGAGCACAGTTGAGCCAATGTCCGCTTTGTGAGGCTTCCATATGCCACTCGGGCAACATGTTCAACTCCTTGCATGTGTGTGTGAAATGGCAACATTACGAGGTACGGAGTAGAGGATGATGAACGACCCCTCCGCCAATCAACATCGGCTGTTGGCGCGCCTCCCTACGTACAAACCCCGTTTGGCCGAGAGGGGAGGCATCCATGTAAATCTTCCACCACTGGCCAACGCGTTACAAGGGGAGCTCGCCAGCCTTCGGCCGTGTTGCAAGCCGTTGTCTTGCTCCAGAGGCCCGCCGTTGAGTGATGATACGTACCGCCCGCTGGCCGCGGTCTTGCCAGTGCTCCCAGTTCTGGTTCAAGACCAGGAAAAAGATGATCACGGCCGTGAGCGGAAGGCTGACGGCGAAGAAGACCCAGAACTGCGATCTCCCGGGCCGAAAGTTGTCCGCCATACTGAGCATCGAGGCCACTAGAGTAAAAGGAAAGATGACCGTTGCCAGAATACTCAGGGACCAGCCGCTTGCACTGTCTTCGATTGCCTGGGACGCCGCCCTCAGTGACGCGATGTCATTCGCGACCGTGGAAAGGTTATTGACTCGGTCGCGCAGTGGTCCCAGACGCGATGCAAGCACTTTAAAGTCCTTCTGTGCGTCGAGTATGGCGCGCGGAAAGGCCTTCGGCCGGAACCTCACAGTCGAGGGACTTTCCGAGCCGTTCGAGATTCAGCGCCATGTTGGCCTCGAAGTAGATCATTTTCCGGCGGAAGAGTTGATGTTGTGGCTGGCCTCGACTACCTTGTAGAACTCGCGCCGCCAATCACCAGTGTTCATGTGCTTCGGTCTGGTCGCCGGGCTGTCATCGCTGAAGTACTTGCTCTGTGCCAGCGCGGGGGAGATCAACTCCGACGCATGTATCCAGTGGTGACCGATGTACTTAAGGATATGGCTTGCTGAGTTGACGGAGCTCTCGCGCACATTCCGGATCTCTTGGTCGGTAGCAAGGTTCCTCCAGTAAAAGACGGTTTCCTCGAAGGGGCTGGTCAAGTCTCTCCCCTCGGCATTCGCAATGATCTTGAGAGTCTTCAAACGCGTGGCTGACGAGAACGAAACCGGATACAGAGTTGTACAGCCTTTGTGGTACGGCTGGCTGGAATGTGTGGTCTTTTGCAACTTGAAATCCGCGTCCGGTCCTTCGGCTTCCCACATTTCCCCCGGACTACCATGTTCTTTTCCACGGAATATGTAGTTGAATCGACGTTCCTGTCTCTCCCCGTTCTTCACCGAGCCCTTATTGGCTCTAAAAATATTCATGGGGGATCGACCAGCAGGATAGCTTGTGGTGCGTAAGCGATTGAGTATCGGCATGGTTGTAATGGAGCTCACCGTTCCAGCCAGAATTAGGTGATGCGTCCTCTTTCTGAGAAGTCCAGAACGAGGCACAACGACGGGAAATAGCCACGGACTCGTCTGTCGGCATACTGCGCGATTCCACCATGACCAAGGGCTCGTAGCGTCTTCGGTTAATGGCGACAGTCATTTGCCTGCTTAAGAGTTTCAAATCGTTCTCACGGCCCGGATCCGGCTTGCGAAGCTCATGATAACGAACTGTGAAGGACGTTTCCGGTCTATTCAGCGATACCAGTTGACGGTGTCCGACGGACTGGATGTCTGTAAAGTCCCAAGCACTGGTTTGTTAGGTAAATACGAGTGGGTCGACGCCTAGATTGCTTCTGAGTAGCTCGATGAAGTCAGGTGCGAGATCTTCGAGGATGTACAGGCGGCAGGCGCCCGTGTCATTGGTGCCAGCTTTGAGCCTCTGAAAGTGTAGGTGCAGGTCCTCTGGGAGATCGAATTGGTCATGACTGACGTCCCCCGTCGGCAGATTCCAGGACGGCGCACCGCCCTGGAGAGATCCCGTAGTCGCTGTTGAATGTAGATTCCAGGATCTGGCGTCCCTGGTCCTTGAACTCGGCCAGCTTGTTGAAGAGCTGCCCAAGGGCGGGATAGGCGTCTTTGAGGCTGTCTACCCAGGAGAGGTACGCTGCCTGGTTAGGACCACTGCTTGAGGCCATTGCTTCTGGTAAACCGCTTCGCACATTAGAGTCAAGAAGAACGAGTGTTGCAATACACAAGTCGTTCTGGCTCTTTGGGCAAGTCAAAGCTTGAGGCTGAAGAAAATCGTAAAGTGTCACCGGCACGCCTGACTAACCTGCCTTGCATGAGGCTGAAATCGAGATAGAAGAATCGCCCTACACGACCGCCTCTAGGCAGTCTAGCAGACTTGCTCTGTCGGTGAGGCTGATGATCGGCGCGCGGCCCTGCAGGCGAACCAAAGCGGCCTTGAGCTCAAGCCCGTATTGCGAATGCAGGCACGAGGATACATGCTGTCATGGCCAGCACGTACGAGGAGAGCGAGCGTCACGATAACAGCCAAAAGGGCTGCAATGCCTTCGCTACCTTGTTTTGTAGATTTTCAAATTAAAACTGAAGAGAGAAGAAAGAGGAGTAACACAGTAACAAGTCATAAAGACTCGAAGAATGGCAAGTGCCACCAGTCCCAGTCGGGCTTAGTGCCGTCGTGTGACACATGCTGTAGGCCACTAGGGGAAGTAAGCCATGTTAGGACATGAAAGAAGTTGTGTACTGCTGTGGTGCGCCTGTTGGTGCTCATGTCAGCCGAAAGCAGAGACTATGGCGGCGAACAACCTTGAAAGCACATATACATAGTCCTACTTGCCGTCTGTAGACACCCATTTCACCTTAGAACCGCTCTGGATGCCGCACCTGATCGTGATCAGTATGTGTGAATCCTCCACGTTCACCCTGATTCCCATTGCCAAGCACACAATGAACAAGTCCGCCTTGAGCGTCGACTACCCACCAACGGGGCTACTCTCTTCGGAGTCCATCGAGAGTCCTCAAGCATGCCTTGTCCTCTTCCGCGGCTGCTGCTCTCGGTCGAAGGACTCACCGAACCGGCGCACGGATGGATTTGGTTGATCCTGAACGGCTTCCGATTCTGTCCGTGACTGACCGGTAGGCAGCTCCCCGCCAGCGTTCGGCGCAGCTCTCTTCCTATCTCTCTGTTCAAGTGCTTCTACCCACTGCTGCTCTTGTCTTCGACGTAGTGGACTCGGCAAACCAGCAGCCCCAAAATCCATATTCCGAGGCGCATCTGGCGGACATAGCGGGCCCCACTGTCTGGGCGTCCACAGAAGATGTTCTGCGAAGTCAGACCAGAAATCCTGATTCTTGCGAAAGTCTGCACCACCGTCTGCTAGGTCGTTGATCTGGTTCTGTTCAAATGCCACCAGAAGTGGCGCTAGGTCGCCGGTCCGTTGGTACTCCGCTTGCGCCTGCTCCATGCAGTCACGCATGCCGGTTTCAATCTCTGAAAGCAGACGACTAGGCGGTGGTCGGTCGCCCGGCTTCATTCGCAAGCATTCGCATACCAAGTCCCAGAGTTTAGGACTGTATCGTTGCTTGGTCACAGGATCTGGCCGTTTCATGATATTCGTCCCGTCAAAGGCGCGCGCTGCCGCAGTGCTGCCGTACAGGATTTGATTGACTTTGTCGCTGAGTAGGTCCATCTCATTCAGAGTTACTAGGTTCCACATGACAGCGCCAATGGCCCAAACGTTCGCTTCCTGACGGATCTGGTGGTATCTCCGATCTAGGCCGATCTTCTTTTTCAGATCCCTGTGGACGTCTTCCTGGAAATAGTAGTAACGATAGGCTTTCATCTGACTAATGCGTTGTTCCTGTATCGAGTGAGTTCATGACCGGCGTCAGAGCGGATCGTGATGTGTGCTTACCGGAGGCTGCCAAAACGGTGTGCCTTTTTGCAAGGCCTTTGCATGGTTCCTATTTATATCGCCCGCGTTTGTAGTGGTGGCCAGTCCGAAATCGCCAATCTTAGGTTTCGGATACCAAACGGTGTCTTGATCTTTGGAGGGATTTGTGGCGAGGAAAATGTTCTCCGTCTTGATATCGTTATGTAGAAGATATTGGCCGTCAACCTGCTGTCCAAAGTCCAAGTGCCCGAGGCTTCTCCACCTGCCTCTGACAAAGTCGAGATACCCCTTGGCCAGACAGTGGAAAACATGCCACAGGAAGAGCTCGGGAAAATATTTACTGCGATCACCGTGTCAGTAGTGGCAACGGAGAAGAAAGCCGCCGCAGTAGTAAGGCTTACTTCCATGCCTTGTATCTCAACCGCAGGGCTTCCAAGGTCCCGAATTCGCAAAACTCCGTGTAGTATCTACAGTAATTTTGGTCAACTTGATATTGCCGGAGACGTACGAGCACGTCTGAGTTGAGCTCATTTGTCTGCGCCATTATTGCGGCTTCATGGGTCAGGTGCGACTTTTTCGACTGTGCAGGCACAAAATGTTCGGGGTTCGCTTCGGTGATCTTCAACACAAAGGCCTGAACAAGAATGTTGTCAGTCGTGTGTCGGAAGTAGTCGGGACGGTTACTCACATCTGTTCGCTCTTGCCGTCCATTCATCTTCGAGTACAGTGCGACCGCGCCAAACGAGCCTTTTCCCATGGGCCGCTCAAACATCCATTCGTCCTCATCAGGCAGATTCAGGGAAGAGAAGAAAAGGTATTTGAACCTATCACCAATGTGTCTTCTGCGACCCCGAAAGCTGCTCTCATGCCAACTGAAAAAGTGTTTGATCGGAGAGTCTGGGACTACCTGTCGCTCTGCCGAATCTTGGAAGAAGCTTTGCAAAACATCTGTATTCCAGTCGACCTGGAAGCTGTCTAGTGCCATGCTGGTGGCAGATATGTGGGTTTCGTTGAACTAGTGTTGACCGAGGGTTGGAAGCGGCAGCACAAACACCGTAGTCAAAGGGTGTGAGACTATGATACCAACGTCCGGATCAGCACGGTTGCAGATGCTGCACTTGTTGGGGTCGTGGCCACTGATGTTCTTTCAGCTTCAAAGAACCGGGTCGCCAAACGATACGCTGCAAGCCGGATTCGGAGGATGTCAAATTCATTGTTTCCGCACGCTTTGGCTCAGGTTTTGAGACTCGACGCAAAGTGGCCTTGTCCATTGTGTCCATCGAGCAGATGTGCCAAAGCCATTCCCATCCACGACACCGCGGTTGCTCAGATTGATTAGTACCACCCTTAGATACGCACAGGGCTCGGCCTTGGGCATCATCACGTGCTGGGTGCCACCTTTGTGATGTTGATTAGTCATCATTCTTTCGCGATGTATCCCGACCAGTGCTCGATTGGAGGACAGTGTCATTCTGCTTCTTCCTCTAGTGCTTCCAACTCGGCTTTCTCGTAGGCCTCCATGATCTTCGGATCCCACAGAGTTGTGCCCTTGTCCGGTATGCCGTGCTTCATGTCCTTGAAAACAGGGCCAATGCAGTTTTCCCAGCGCTTTCTCCGATCCATGAGCATGCGCGCAGAGTCGCCAATGTCTCTCGCTCTGCTAACACTCACGGCTGTGCCGGGCGCCCCAACACCGTGGGTACCGGCTTTTGGTTTATTGGCGCCCGGACCACCCTTCTTCGTCTTGCCGAGCGTCCGCGTGCGCTTCAGATAGGCTTGCTGTACTTGGCTGTCCAGATCTTCGTGAATAGTGCTGTATTCCTGGAAGGCAAGTCGCTCTTTTGCCAAATCCAGCAAGCGAGCTTTGCGAGCCCCGTTGATGATCATGACTCGGCGAAGTTCGGCCTGCAGAAGGCGCAACCTCTCACTAATGTCGTCATCATGGTGAGCGTCATAATCTGGATTTTCATCCTGTCCAAGTAAGCCTAGGTGGCGGAGTTCACCTTTAATCCGTTCGTCGCTTTGTATGTAATCTAGGCGCTGCGAGATAGAATTCTTTGACGGAGCTTGATCGGCAACAGCAGCTGCTGGGGGCAGTGGCTTCTCGGTCGGGTCATGGCCGTTGGTAAGTCCATCCAGGTCCATGGTATCATTGCCATCACCCATGAATGAATTTAAATCACCAATACCGTTGACGTCGCTGGGTGGTGATCGGTGCTCGAACTTAAGCAGAGACAAAAGGCGACTTGCCAATGGGCCGGTTGAAACTTGGTCTGTATTAAGGTTGTCATCGTTGATTTGTTCAAGATTTCCTCGTGGATGATTGAGTGGGAACTTGTCACCACTCTCCACTGATATTGTCCCCGTGTCTTCCTCCGCCCAGATCTCCTGGTAGGAGCGTTTATTGCGCGGTACTGCGAGGAAGGGAGTCGTGCGGTCACCCTTTCTCACGGTCAGCCCAAGCACTTCCAGAATACTAACTGCTCTCTCTGCACCTACCCTCTCTCTCAACCAGGCGATATCCTCTTCAGTGAGAGGCCGGACGTACGGCTCAACATAGGCTAGGAAAGTGCTTGCAGCGATCTGGTTGGCTGGCTTGGCGGTGCTGAAGTCCTTGTCAGGAGGCGTGCCTGCGATCTGATCACTCAAATCCTTCGTCGGAAAAGCGGTAACTTGGTATATTTCTTTCTTTTCTGCGTCGGACATTCCGGGAGTAACCTCTCGAATGTGGTAAATCACTTTGTCCGGAGCCAGAGGATCGGGGAAGAAACCTTGCTGAGGCATCGAAGGCTGCCCGTGGATCACACGGTTTTCCTCAGCATCGGACATAGACACATCCGATTTAGCTGGCGATGCGCGAGCGCTTGCAGCAACAGCAGCGTCTGGAGAGTCTGCAACCTCTGACAATGATGACGTGCCAGGACTGAGCTTTGTCTTCTTCGATGGTGAAGGACTGTCTACGGGCGCAGATGTGGCATGCCCAAGCTTGGTTTTGGAAGACTCATCTGGACAGTCTCAGTCAGCGAATGCTGTGGGACCTCGTAATGGGGCTCCACGACGAAATGTGCCGGCTCAATGCCAAGGCGTGAAGATACCGATAGGACATACCTTCTTTCTTAATTTCCACACTATCATAGGTCTCGGGTCTGTCTTTACGCTTCTTCGCCTTCAGATTCTTCTGAGAGGTCGCCTCTTCCTTGCGCGCCTTCGCCCTGCGAGCCTGCTCTGCCTGACGGTCGTGATCCTGCTGGTCCGAATCCAAGTCTTTCTTCTGCTCGTGGATCACACGAATAGCCTTCTCGCACAGTTCGGCGCGTTTTTCCGCTGAATCGCTCAGATGTTTCAATTGATCAATGATGTCATTCAGCGACCTCGGCTCAAGCCTCGAGCCTTGACTCTCGAGGTGGTCTATAATCTCTGCATAATTGGGCTTCGCTGGGACCAGAAGTTTGGACATTTCCAAGTCAAGTAGAGGCGTGGTCGTCGGTCCGGGAGGGGCAGTGCCTGCACTGAGCACAGAGCTCGGCGTCGTGTTCCTGCTTCGAGACCGTTGCCCATCTCGCATCTTGTTCTTACTCTTACTGGCGCTTCCTAAAGGAGGCATGTTCGACGGTATCTTGTCTTTGGTCAAGGGTGTGAGAAGGGCGTCATTCGGAGGCGCGAAGACGCTCGAGGCTTACGTCGTAGTGGCCGAGTCCTTAATTCTATCCGCAGCCGCAGTAGCCCTCGTTATCACTAGCAGAGTTCACCGACAACGAAGGCGAAAAGAAGGGTCTTCAAAAAGGATTCTGGCTCTTCGACTGCTGTACTCATCAACACGACGTTCAAGAGACCCGGGCGCAGGCACAAGTCGACGCCAAGCTCGGATAACATGCCCTTTTTGTGCTCTCAGGGCTGAACGGGTTGGCAAAGACCCGGCCTCCCGAAATAAAACCCCACCACCCCGGTTAGCGAGCCTAGCCGGCATCTGGAGGCCTGTGCTCCTCCTGAGACACGCAGAAACATGCCCCGGATAGGCGCCTCAACCATGGCACGGCCGATACCCTGATTTCAAGAGGCTGGAAATCCGCACTTGAACGATCCTAGTCGCCACCCACACTCGTATCAACGCCCGCCCAAGGCGGTGCGGATCCCACATCTCTGCCCTCGGGTCGAAGTCGTCACTACTCTGTATCTTCCCGCTGCTTCTACCTCAGTATAGGAACGTTTCTACCAGATTTCGCCATCGCTGGCAGTCCTTTGACAGAAGCCTCCAACCCAGGACGTTCATGACGACGCAAACTGTAACCGAGGGACCATACAGAGCTCTCTCAACGTAGCCGTGTTTTCCGACGGTTTCAGCACCAAGTATTTCTTGCGTCGCATCTCCGTGACCATGCACACGGCCGATTGAGCCTGCGCAATTCTCGAGTACTTTGCATTCTACTTTTGGACTACTGGGTAACTGGAGCCATGTGTGAGTCCAAGCTTGATATTCTGTCTTACACAATAGGTGCTTACCTGCTCCACAGCCGCACAGGACTTCGGTGTTGTCGCAATCGTGCTTCCCAACCCACAATACGACCCCTCAGATCGAGCGCAAATCGTCAATGTAGGGACATAAGACGGCTGCCCGGTGATACACACACTGACTTTCGGTGGACAGGACTCATTCGGATTTGCTCTGAGGGCATCAGGCCTTATTCGCACCCTGTCACCCAACAATCCTCATCATTACGACGCCATTCAGGGCCTTCTATACTCCCCCACTCTTCCGCCCTCGAGTCCCTGTGGCAATGCCACCAGAGCCCTCATACCAGCAAACGTCACGACTCTGGCTGAGATTCCCCCAGGCGATTATCCTCTGATTGCAGTGGCACCGTGGACAGAGCCAGACTGCGTCAATTCTTACCTGTCTGTCATGCGGGCCGACGAGGTCCGAGGAGCAGTCTTCTTCCACCCTGACAATTCCAGCGCACTGCCTCCTCCTGTCAGCGACCCCTCCTGGACCCTGCGTGACGGTGGGCAATGGAAGTCTATCAATGGATATCCAGTCTACGCAATCCCTGGGATGCTCGGTTCCTTTCTCTTGAATGAATTGGCACAGTATTCGGGTAACATGTCAGAAGTACCATTTGGGGATGAGCTTGTCACCATCTACAATCCCCACGATAGCGTCAGGCTATACGCACGGATGGACGTTCACACCCGGGCGGGCATACCGTCGCTATGGGTCTTCCTGATAATCGTCCTAGCCATCCTCCTCGCAGTCGTCTTGATGAGCTCGGTTATCATGCATATAATTCAACGCCGGCAACGGCGCATTCTCCAACGCCGAGTCGCCGATGGTGAGGTCAATCTTGAGTCGTTAGGCATCAAGAGGATGCAAGTACCACAAGAGATATTGGACAAGATGCCTCGATACACTTACACGGCCAAACTGGAGCCAGAAGGCGACAACGGAAACGCCGCGAAGCATCCGGGCGAGTCCGAGGCGAGTGATGCTGTCGGACCCACCTCTCAGAAGGTGGCAGATCCCCATACGAGAGACGTCGGAAGTGCCATTGGTCCGACTGCCGCAACTCATCAAGTCGCATTCTCTCAGTCAACGTGTCCGATCTGTCTGGACGACTTCGTTAGTGGAGAAACAACCGTTCGCGAACTCCCCTGTAATCACATCTTCCATCCCGAATGCATCGATCCTTTCCTACGCGATAACAGCTCGCTCTGTCCGTTGTGCAAGAAATCCTCACTTCCAGCGGGATATTGTCCAGTCCAAGTGACAAACATCATGGTGAGGAGAGAAAGATTGATGCGGAGGGTGCAGCAACGGGGTGGCACAATTCATGTATCCACCCCAGCCTCTCGCATCGTGACGAGAGGCCGTGGGCTGCGCGCCATCTCAATTCCTAGACCAGCACCACGCATAGATCTTCAGATATCACCCGACCAGGAAAGGAATGCGGGTACGGAGATGGATTTGGTGCCATCTGCGCGAAGACTGACCACGGTTGAGGATGAAGTGCCTGCTGATGTACGCGCCCAAGGCGTTTCTGCCAGGCGGGCATGGTTGCGCGACCGAATTGCCCGCAGACAAGCTCGGGACTACCAGCAGCGTGCTGATGAAGGGCGCGTGGCGGAAGCGTCGAGACCTCTGTGTAAGTCCCCGTGCCTGCTTCGATCACGAATTGGTCGCTAACTGATTACCAAGGGCGCCGCGCTGCTGGCCGACTCTTCCCCAGTCTCTGATCCGCCCTGAATGTGCAATGATCTTGTCCCGAATCCAAGTTTTGCATAGCGATTGGCGTCTCTGAACAAAAGTTGGCTTGTCGGCTTAGGGTAGATATGTCTTGATGTACGTTTTTAATATGATGACAGAATGTTTGTGGCGGACACATGTACACCTGCATTGTTTCTGAGCATCTTTTTGGTTGGTATGGGGCAGCGCGGCAACAGCAGGCATGATTCAATCAGGGTTAGTGATAAGGCTCATCGACGAGCCCCTCAACTAGCAAACTTATCATGCTTGCCTTTGACTCTGACATCCAGGACCTCCTCGTAGAAGTTCCCTTCCTTCCTTGCTCTTTTCAGCCGCTTGACTTCATCGTCGTCGAGTCTACGACCGACCGCCTGCTCGAGTTCTCTCCGGCTGATCTTTTCCTTTGCTTTCGTCTCTTTGTTCTGTTGCACCCGAGGCTTGAAGCGCGACTGCATCCTGACAATGAGATGTGTAGATTCCGAACCAGCCTCTCCATCACCGCGTAACGAGATATTGACTGCTTTCGCGTTCGCCTTCGTCTCTGTAAGAGCACAGAGATACCGCCATCCTTGCTCACCAGGCTCCTTCTTGCTCGCGGCAGTCCTAACCCTCCATCGGACTCTGTCTTCCAACTCTTTCTCGCTGACCTGCTCAACAACAAATCCCTCTTCCGGGCCTCGGGCCTCCCTTCGGGCGCCGAGCACACCCAGAGCGTCACAACTCAAATAGCCGCCATGACTGCCTTTGAAACTGATTTCCCCGGTGCCCGCCACGGTTGAGGCGACCCAGACTTGTCGCACGTCATGCGGCTCAGATGTTTCCGGTACATTCTCGACAATGTTTTCCACAGGCGAGGCGAAGACGTTACCGTGCGCATCGCACGCTAGAGAGGTCGGGGGAGCAGTGGGCAAGACTAGCAGGACTGGCCCTGTGAGGTCCGACGGTTGATCGGGCGTCGTCCAGGTCTCGTCTTCGGCGGATGGGTCGGGGTTCTCGGCAGCGACAACCGACTTGGAGACGTCAATGTTGTCATCGTCGGTCCGGTGCTTGCGCTTCTTGCTAGGTTTTTTGTCTCCTTTGAAGGAGAGTGGTTTTACGGGCATCGTCCAGACTGACCCGCAGAGGAGACCGCCGGACCGCAGAGGCGTGTGCTTGCGAATGAAATGATAAGAGATTCAATGCGAGAAAGGTACTACTTGATATCCAGTAGTTTGCCTTGATTGTTGTTGCGGAGATGCACATACACAGTACGGCCAAAGCACAAGGCTTCGATATTCCGCCGTGTCCCCAATGACGTCGTAGGTGCGTCCTGATTGGGCGATTTCCACACTCCTCAAGCATCCTCCGCTCAGGGTCTGGACTCTTGTCACACCAGGGCTTGATTCATCACCCAAAGACTCCAGGTGAACTCTGCTCATTAACGGAACAGCAAATTGATTACGACTAAGCCAGAGAAAAGGCGAAAATCTACGGCAGTCACAAGAGCACTATGGTTGAAGTAAAGAAATATCATCTTCCCCCTACATCTCTTGTCCCCAACTCACCACAACCGCTGCTCCACTACCCAGGCCTTTTGTCTTCAAAATCAGCAACTATTTGTGATGACAGTATAGCCATCAAGGCGCACGATCTCTTTTCAATCAATGGTTGGGAGACACAATGGATCTTCCGCTACGGTCCAACACAGACCTCTCATTACCACTCTGGAGTCCATGAATGCATGGCTGTCCTGACTGGTACCGCCAAAATTCGCTTCGGGGTTGCTGACACAGCAGAAGACATGGAAGAGAACACTCATGGCCACGGCAGAGAGGAAGGGGGGATCGAGGTCGAAGCTGGTGTAGGCGATGTTTTCATCCTCCCCGCAGGAACAGCGCATAAGACCTTCGATACCTCTCCGGTGAAGGAGTTTAAACTGCTGACTCCTGGCGACGGTCACCATATCTTAGCCAAAGGATCAGATGTGAGGGAAACATTGGCACACGTCCAGCTGGATGGGTTCACGATGGTCGGCGCCTATCCCAAAGGCGGAGGGGAATGGGACTTCGCTAAAGGTGGCGAGAATCAAGGTGAATACGAGAAGGTCTGGTCAGTTCCCAAGCCTGAAAACGATCCTGTTTTAGGAAAGGCGGAGGAAGGGCTTTGTGGCCAGTGGCGGTAGAGCACATTCCTCGGTCCAGAAGCCTCAATTGCTAGCAACAGAAGAGCCTTCCATGCGTGGTTCTCTGGCCACTATGGACTGGTGTCCCATCAAGGGCCCCTTGGTCCATAGCTTGTACTGAAAAGTGTGCGGAGTACTGTAAGACGGTCTACTAAATGAGACTGTGAAGGGTGGTCCGACGCACCCACCACACTTTTCCTTGGGTCTAGAGAGAGACCAGTGAATGCGCCAAGTGCAGCGGCCATGTTAGCGAGCAAATCTAATCAGATTAGATGAAAATTTTTCATCTTGGCTCGCGGGAAACGACAAACCAGAGCTCAAGCTCATCTTGCCTCGCTAAGTCTTCGAAGCTTCTTCCTGCCGTTGGATCCGGAAAAGGTTTGGCCGCCCTGTCTGGAGAGGACTGGCATGTGCGATCTAATCTTATCGCGCGGAAGATACGGCCCATTCACACTCTGTTCACCCCTGCTCATACCACTCGTCTTTGAGCGGAGAAAGCTCGCCTTCCACGGTGTCTCGCTCCTTCCGCTATCCTAGACACCCTGGCGTGCGCCACTATCCACTGGTATCTAGTACCTCGTACCTGATAGCCGACATCGGATGATCCTATCCACATGGCTTCTCGGGGCGAGCTCTCGTGTGACGCCCGTAGCTTGAGCTCCGCTTCGGAACAGGTCTGGGTACATATGCCTCGCCTTTGCAACACGGTGCTAGGCTCCGCAGGAGCTAGCGGAAGAGTTATAGAGTCTACAAAGACTCGAGCCGTCTCCTCTTCCGTCTTTGCAGCCCTACCACCTCCTCAAGCAGCAGTGAGACAAAGATCTTGATAGCGATGGCAGGGCTTTCCAGGATCCGACCTGGCTTCCGGCGAACTGAAACAGACGACGCCACCACTTCTGTACAGACGGTGCCGCTCGATTCTATCGCGACAGACCAGAAACAGCCTGCCACAACCAGTGCAGAAGATGCTGCTACAAATGATAGTATTGCGGAAGCTCTAACGAAGCTGCCCATCCAGAATGCTCAGCGAGGTGTACAAGATGTCGAAGCGGTGACCTTGACCTGGTCAAAGCAATCTCTGATCGCGATCTTCATCCTGTACGTTTCCTCCTAACTTACCGCATCCTTGACCCGTATGCAATGACATGCTGATATTCTGCTGACTGTTTTCTCTCCATACAGCATGTGGCTGCTCTACTTTGTCAATGCGTTCCAATCCTCGATTCTGTACAATTTGGTCCCCTTCGCGACAAGCTCTTTCGAGACGCACTCGTTACTGACGGTCATCTACATTGTCTCGAACGCCATGAGTGCCGCAGTCTACATCCCCCTCGCGAAAATGCTTGATATCTGGGGTCGAGCTGAAGGGTTCCTGCTGATGATCGCCTTTGCCACCTTGGGGCTAATCCTTATGGCTGCCGGAACTGGTCTTTCGACATTTTGCGCAGCGCAAGTGTTCTATTCAATCGGGTTCGGAGGCATGATCTACAGCATCGATGTCATCACGGCCGACGCATCGAAGTTGAAGAACCGCGGTCTCGCCTACGCTTTTACAAGCTCTCCTTATATGATTACAGCATTCGCTGGTCCCAAGGCTTCGGACGACTTCTATTACAATATCAGCTGGCGCTGGGGCTTCGGTTGCTTTTCCATCATCTTGCCGTTCGTGGCGGCACCACTGTATTTTGTCTTGAAGATCAATCTGCGAAAGGCGCAAAAGCAGGGTCTGTTGTTACGGGAGAAGAGCGGCCGGACTTTGGTGCAGAACGTTTGGTATTATATCCAGGAGTTTGATGGTAGGTGGTGATCGCTTCTCTCGAAACTAAAATATCGTTGAACTGACCTTCCCGCACAGCTGCTGGTGTGTTTCTCTTCGCGTCTGGCTTGACTGTCTTCCTTTTGCCTTTCACCCTGGCGGATACGGCGCCGCATGGTTGGAGCACAGGCTACATCATCGCCATGATCGTGGTCGGCTTTGTCACTCTCGTCCTTTTCGGTCTCTACGAAACGTACCTTGCAAAAGCGCCATTCCTGAACGTCAACCTGTTAGCGAACCGGACCGTCGTCGGCGCCTGTCTCCTCGACGTAACGTACCAGATCTCCTATTACTGCTGGGCCAGTTACTTCACGTCTTTCTTACAGGTGGTTAACAATCTCTCGCTGGCCGAAGCCGGCTATGTGGCCAGCACATTTGACGTGGTCTCTGGTTTCGTCCTGCTGTTTGTCGGCATCCTGATCCGCAAGACAGGCTACTTCAAATGGTTGCTCTTCGTTGCTGTGCCGTTGTATATCCTTGCTCAGGGCTTGATGATCTACTTCCGCCGTCCAAATCAGGGTGTCGGATACCTAGTCATGTGCCAGGTCCTCATCAGCATCGGGGGAGCTATATTTATCATTGTCCAACAGGTTGCCGTCCTGGCTGCAGCAGACCATCAACATGTCGCGGCAGTGCTTGCCCTCTTATATGTTGTCGGCAACGTCGGTGGTGCTGTGGGCAATACCATCTCCGGCACGATATGGACCAACACGTTCTACAAGGCTCTGGAGAGGCACGTGCCGAATGTCAGTCTGACCGAACTGGAAGATATATATAACAGCTTGGATGTGCAGCTCAGCTATGCGGTCGGCAGTCCCGAGAGGAGAGGCATTCAAGAGGCTTATGGATATGCGCAGACAAGGATGCTGGCCGCCGGCACAGGGATTATGGGCCTGTCGCTGGTGTGGATGTTCGTGATCAAGAACATCAATGTTGCTCGGATCGAGCAAGTCAGGGGCACTGTCTTCTAGACGCCAGTTGAACGCTCTGCTCGTCGTGGATACTTGGCCAGTTTGGGCCCAGGGTCCAGTGCTGCCGCCGATGCAATTGCGGCGGCGGCAACATTCGACGTCCAGGAATGGTCCGCTCACCATTCCCAAAGGGCATGTCAAGGTGTAGTGAAATATGGCCTAGCGACAATCGAATTGTGGTACGCCGGAATCGGTGGGAGAGCAGCCATGACAGGTGTTCGAGATTTGCCTGTGCTGACATGTGTAACGTTTCGTCCCTGGGATTTGTTTTGCTTCTCCTTGGCGGCACTGCTATCATTTACACCTTCTTTCTCCTTTCTTACCTCCACCTTCCCAAGCACCAATAATCCGCCGGAAAAGCATAGGTACTCACTCCTTAAGACGCCCAACGAAGTACAGGGCGTTCGGCATTGCGACTTGCTTTCTAGCATCCGACAAGGAGCGCCACCTGAACGTCCCTGACTACGGCACAGAAACGCCCATGTTTTTGGAGCTGTGCTCAAATTCTCGGCATAAGCAATGCATTCCAACCCTGGATTGCGCACAACCTGAAGGTCACGGACATATGATGCGGCTCTTCCGCACTCACCCTGGCAGCCGCCGGCCATTTCCCTCTTTGGTCGTGTTCGTTGTACATTACACCGAAGCTGTACCCCAGGCGATCTGCGCTTCTCCGCAGACAAGGTCGTCATCATACTGGTTTCCGTCTCTCCCGACCTCCCAGACGAGGTCCTCAGCCATCGAGCATGCTTCTCGGGAGATCTACTTCACAGCTGAAGCTTAGCTCAATCTTGGCAACCTTCCTAAATACTGCAGGTATACAAGCAAAGGGAACACAACGTTGCAATCGAAGCTTCCCCCGCATTGTGCGGCGATGAAGATGTCCCGACAGGTGGTCGCACAATTTGGTCATGTGGAGATCGGGTGTGCAGCATATATAGAGATGATACCGTGGGAGGGATTCATTGGAACTCCTTGTGTGGCACCTGAATAGGAGCATGTTGCGCATTTGCGCTACGTCTCACCTTGGTCATGAGGCTCTCAATCGTCTGGGCTCTGATCTGGGCGGCCGCCCAGGCTGCAGCTCTTGCGGTCCCAGTTCACGATGTTGGAGGGCTAAAAATCATCGAGCACCCCGATCCCGAGAAGCGGCAGCTTCTACAGAATATCGTCCGTGTCCCGAGCCACGCCTCAAGACCAATTGCTGACATCGTGTAGGTGACATGGGATAATACGTCCTTGTTCATCCGAGGAGAGAGGATCATGATATTCAGTGGTGAATTTCATCCTTTTCGGTATGCCGTCAGCTTGTTCGGAGGTCCTTCTGGGGCAGCCACTGAGTGAGGATAACTAATTCTTGGTTCTTTCAGTCTTCCGGTACCGGCCCTGTGGGTGGACATTTTCCAGAAAGTGAAAGCTCTCGGGTTCAATTGTGTTTCGTACTATCTCGATTGGTCTCTGCTGGAGGGCAAGCCAGGCGATTTCTCGGCCGAGGGCGTCCTCGCACTTCAACCATTCTATGATGCTGCCACTGCCGCGGGGGTCTATCTCATCGCCAGGCCAGGTCCTTATATCAACGCAGAGGCATCAGGTGGCGGATTTCCAGGCTGGCTTGCGAGGCTGCGTGGCCGACTTAGGACGACTGATCCAGATTACATTGCAGCCACACAGAAGTAGGTCATTCTATTATGGACAGAAGCAAGACTGATATTGTCGCGCAGCTACGTCCAGAACGTTGCGAGCTCCATTGCGAGGGCCCAGATCACGAATGGCGGGCCAGTCATCCTGTATCAACCGGAGAACGAGTACACAGGCGCATGCTGTGAGGTCGAGTTTCCAAACGGACAATACATGCAGGGCGTGATAGACCAAGCTCGTTCTGCTGGTGTGGTGGTGCCCATGATCAGCAACGACGCGAATGCTGCTGGGCACAATGCTCCAGGCACCGGTGTTGGCCAGGTGGATATTTACGGGCACGATAACTATCCTCTCGGGTTCGACTGCTCGCATCCTACTGTGTGGCCTGATGCGGGCCTTCCTACGACCTATTGGCAAAGACATCTCAACAACAGTCCTTCGACTCCTTACAGCATCAATGAATTCCAGGGAGGCTCCTTTGACCCCTGGGGCGGGCCGGGGTTTCCCAAATGTGAGGTTTTGGTCAACTACGAGTTTGTTCGGGTCTTTTACAAGAACGTTCTTGCAGCGGCGGCAAAGATCTTCAATCTGTACATGATATTTGGTGGTACGAACTGGGGCAACCTTGGCCACCCAGGAGGCTACACCTCTTACGACTACGCAGCTGCGATATCGGAAAACAGGCAAGTTGACAGGCAGAAATACTCCGAGATAAAGCTGTTGGCCAACTTTGTCAAAGTATCCCCGGCCTATTTGACCGCAACTCCACAGGAAATCAATACAACCGCCATTTTCACCGATACGTCTGATCTCAAAGTCACATCTGTCGCGACCAATGGGAGCATACCCACCTTCTACACCGTCAGGCACTACAACTACTCCACCCTAAGCTCAACCTCGTATAGGCTGTTGCTGCCGACGAGCTCTGGTAACTTGACCATTCCTCAGCTGGGTGGCTCATTGACACTCAGTGGTCGAGATTCAAAGATACATGCTGCCGACTATGATCTTGGTGGCACAAACTTGCTGTACACCACTGCGGAAATATTGACCTGGAAGGTTTTCGGCGAACGTACCGTTCTCCTAGTATATGGAGGCGAAGGGGAGCACCATGAGCTTGCTGTAACAACGTCGGCTGCACCCTCAGTCATCGAAGGCGAGGCCGCCAGTGTCACGACCAAACAAACCGGATCTACCGCCATTATCGCATGGGACACTTCCTCGACTCGGCTTGTTGTGCAAGTTGGACAGTGCGAAATCTATTTGTTAGGTAATCATGAGCGTCTGTCCGCTGACTCCGTCCTGGAAGTTGACCGAACCATGCAGATAAAGCCTCCGCTTACGATTACTGGGTGCCCGAAGTATCCGACGGCGAATCCAACAGCCCCTTCACGACGACCGAGTCTATCAGCACGTCCATTATCGTCAAGGCAGGCTACCTGGTTCGGCAAGCCTATGTGCAAAGCAGCGAGCTTCACTTGACTGGTGATTTCAACGACACTACAACCATCGAGGTCATTGGGGTCCCCGAGTCATCGAAAGCTTTGTACATTAATGGTGAGCCCGTTCAGTACAGCGTGAACGCGCGAGGCGACTGGTCCACGCGTATTACTTACCAGGAGCCGACAATTACTATCCCCGATCTAGGGAGCTTGGCATGGAAGTATGCCGACAGTCTCCCTGAGATTCAGCCTGGCTACGACGATTCTGGCTGGACATCTGCCAATCTCCGGTACAGCAACAACACGGTCAGGAACTTGACGACCCCCACGTCTCTCTATTCTTCGGATTACGGCTATCATACGGGCTCTCTCATCTATCGAGGGCACTTCACCGCCAAGGACACGACCGCCAACTTCTCGATTAACACTCAAGGTGGTTGGGCTTTCGGGCATTCGACCTGGCTTGATCAGAGTTTCCTGGGCTCGTATGCGGGCGTCAGCACCCAGAACAACACCAACGCTACTTATACGTTGTCCGGTCTCCGGGTGGGCGCCAAGCACAACATCACGGTCCTGATCGACCACATGGGTATGGAGGAGTCCGGGACAGTCGGGGCCGACAAAATGAAGACACCACGCGGAATCCTCGACTATGCTCTTACCGGGTACGATAAATCCGCCGTTACATGGAAACTGACAGGAAACCTCGGCGGCGAGGACTACGTTGATCGAAGCCGCGGTCCGTTGAACGAAGGCGCCCTGTACGCTGAACGACAAGGGTGGCATCTTCCTTCCCCACCAAGCCAGTCATGGGAATCTCGCTCTCCCATGCGTCCCGACGGAATCACAGAGCCTGGGGTGGGCTTCTTCAGCACATCCTTCGACCTCAACGTTCCCACGGGCTGGGACGTGCCCATGTCGTTCGTCTTTGGGAACGACACCACACCTCCCGTGCCGTACAGGGCGCAGCTGTTCGTCAATGGCTTTCAGTTCGGCAAGTACATCAATCACATTGGGCCTCAGACACGATATCCCGTGCCGCAGGGGATTCTGAATTATTACGGGACTAACTGGTTGGCCTTGACTTTGTGGGCTCATGAGAGTGGCGGAGCTGGGCTGAGTGGTTTTGAGTTGGTATATGACCGTCCCATCGCGACGGCGTTGAGGGACATTGCTTTCGTGGGAGGTCAGGCATATGCTCCTCGACCAGGAGCATACTGAGCTACGTACCTGTGACAGTACTTTGACCAAATGATATGAGGGCCCTGATCTCCGTGTTTGTCCACGCGCCTCGCCTCCGTTACAGTTTCGTGCGCAACAACCGCTACGAGGATTTTGCCTTCAGCGAAGGCCAGCTTGTCGACTTCTTCTCTGCCATCGAATTGGCAGTCTCCATGTCGGTCGCGCGCGGTGCACTCAAGGCGTTTGCTGATGTCTTTACCAAATACGCAGCAGGAGAGTCCCTCGGCAAAAGAAGACCATCGGTTTCCGTCCTCGAGTGTACCGCTTCATCAAATCAGCATGTGCTGACGAGCATCCGCAGAACATGCCAACGTCCACTTCAGATCCTTTATCTTTGCCGCTAGCTATGCTGCGGTCGACCAGCTTCGTCTCTTGCTGGAGCAGTACAAGGATCCAAGAAGCGCTTGGTCCTGCAACTTGCACCTTCAAGGTCTTGATGGCTCATGAGGGGCTTCTATGACCAGATTGAGGTCCGCCTTGGCTTCCAGCTGTGCCTCATGAGGGCAGGTCGCGGCGAATTTGCGTACAAGAGCAGCTTCCTCAAGGTCCAGGGTGGGATTCTTGCGCGGTCCCGGCGGATCCTGGCAGAAGTGTTCGATATATGCAAGAACAACATCGGTATTGCCCGGCCACAGGTCTCGGGATTGATCGAGCTGATCAGTCTCGTTGACGCCATCAGGGCCACGGTCGCTTTGCCTGGCTGCTCAATACCCTCTGGACATCAAGGGAGGGGGTCTCTCTTCAACGAGAATAGCACATTAGCAGTGTTGTCTGTTCTCCCATCTATGGGCTTCTGGCATGATGAGCACCGTTTCCCCCGCCACACGTTTGTCTCTCCAACCGTGCTCGCACAGATTCAATCAGTATTGGGGTGGCAGGTGCCGTCCTGTGAAATATCGCCGTGAGGCTGTCGGTGCCTTCGGTGGGGTGACTGTTGACTACCACGGTAGGGAGTATTGGTCGCGTGAGGGGCAAGCGTCGGATCTCGTCCCCTTCTTTAGGGTCTGGGCATCTCTAACCAGTAACTTAGGCGTGCTTAAGTTTGCCGTTAGGCGTGATTCGTAGGCGCACGGTCCCAGTAACTGCGGCACTGATCGGAGGCCGCCTAAATTAAACTCACTTGTGATGCGATACGAAACCTTGACACATCCCAGCAAGTCTGTCGTCCTCAAGCTTCCAAGAGCGCACACTATTATCAAACTGATTGGAGATCCATGTGCTCCGCACGATTTGTTCTCCCATCTTGCTGAAGCGTGGAGAGCATCGACGATAGCGCATTATTCAAAGCGATCCCAGCCGAATCGCTCGGTGGCGAAGGTGGCGATCCGGGCGCACAAGTGACACGCGACACTAGCGAAGAGGAGGACGACAACGGACAGAACACTGATGAAGAGGAGGATTACGGAAAATAGGGATCTCAGGTCAGCGCCTCTGTACTCCGTACAACACCTCAAGATCTGAATGGACTGGCAGGAATTGCAGCCAGGCGCTCATGTTGGCCTGTTCTGGGCATGCTCCCTTCCCACCACTCACAACATTACGGATCGAGCGAGTTCAGTTCGCTATGCACACGTCATGCCACGTTCTGGGTCGGCGCTGTCGTGTGAGCGAGGGTTGGACAAGTCTTCTAGAAGATTGCCACTCCAGCCGAGGTCAGTACGTATCGCCCCGGAGAGCTGTCTTAACAGGACAATAATGTCCGGTTCAAGCCAACGCTCATTGGACGTCCGTCGAATTGCCGTCTCTGTGTCTGTGGCTATATCCCCGCCGGCTCTCGCATCCAACCTCCTCCAGCGGCTTGAGCGGGCTGGGGACGGCGGCCTTGGCTGATCCCGCCCAGCCTCGGCGCGCATAGGCGCTGACCTTCCACGGGAGAAGAAAGCGTCGAGCACTCTTGTTTTCGCTAATCTCTCTATCTCCCTCCGCTCCTCCTCCACACCATCGCCGGCTCAAAGCGTGGCCATTGCCTCCGCCCAGTCTTTTATCTCTTGGTAGTAACCTCTTGGCCTGCCCACGCGGTCGATGCCTTCCTTTCTGGGTAAAATGCATTACCCTTCACAATGGCCAAGCAGCGGCCATGCTACATCACAGATCCCACTTGCCTCAAGCTTGTGGGAGCTCCGACAGATTGACCTGGGAGACTCGACACACCGAGAGATAGCAATCTGGGGCTCCTCGAGCCGATCAGTTTGCCTTGACTAACCGCGATGACGGTGGGTGGTATTAAAGATCGCGCACGTCGCATTCCCCTCGTCGCGAGTCCTGTTCATTTCTGCTCTGGGTCTGACGGGCCGCATCAGTCGTGATTGCAGACCAAGTTGTTTCTCGACCACCGTGTCGCTCTTGTTCGTCACTGCCGTTTCCTCTTCGATTTCTTCTTCACAAACATGGCTTCCGTTGAGCCAAAGGGGTATTCCGCTACCCAGGAGTCTCCCCGCGACTCTGAAAAGGGTATGCATGTGGCTGCACCAGGACATGGCGACGTGCCAGCGAACTTCCGTGAGAGCGATTTTATGACACGGAATGGCTTGAATGCGAAGAGCTTCCAGAGACGTATGTTCTCCAAACCAGAGTCGATTGGCAGATTGTCGCTAACAGGCTGCGCAGGTGACTGGGGAACCGGTACTCATGAGCTGGACCGCTCGATGAAGTCGCGACATCTGAACATGATTGCCATTGGAGGTTCCATTGGTGCTGGATTCTTCGTCGGATCTGGAAGTGCATTGACGCGTGGTGGTCCGGCCTCGCTGCTCCTCTGCTTCCTCATCACCGGCGTGATGATCTTCAACGTCGTCTATGCTCTCGGCGAACTCGCCGTCATGTACCCGATCTCTGGTGGCTTTTACACGTACTCGGTTCGCTTTGTAAGTCGCGGTCGATCACCGTTAGGAACAATGCAATGCTGATAAATGCGACAGATTGACCCTTCGTGGGGTTTCGCCATGGGCTGGAACTATGTAAGTGTCGGCCCGCGCAATCGATATTGGGCGTCGGCTGATTACAGTGCAGGTGTTCCAATGGGTCATTGTCCTGCCGCTCGAGTTGACCGTCTGCTCCTTCACGGTACAGTACTGGAATAAAGACATATCGGTAGCAGTCTGGATTACCATATTCTGGGTCTTCATCATCTTCATCAACATCTTCGGCACCCTGGGCTACGCGGAGGAAGAGTTCTTTTCTTCCGCATTTAAGCTGGTCATGACAGTCATCTTCATGGTGGTCGCGATTGTCTTGATCTGCGGCGGTGGTCCCTCAAGTGGCATCTACGACGAATACTGGGGCGCACGCCTGTGGTACAACCCAGGGGCCTTCCAGAACGGATTCCGTGGCTTCTGCTCCGTCTTCGTCACCGCAGCGTTTGCGTTCGCCGGCACCGAGCTTGTGGGAGTGAGTGTTACACGCTCTCTTTTGAGCCACGAGAAGGCTAACAAATCCGCAGTTGGCTGCCGCCGAATCTGAAAACCCGAGCAAGAATCTTCCCGGTGCCATCAAGCAGGTCTTCTGGCGTATCACGCTGTAAGCTTCTGTTCAACTCCGCTCGAGCACCGCCCACTGACTGCGCGATCTCTAGCTTCTACATTCTCGGTCTCACCTTTGTTGGCCTTTTGGTCTCCTCCACCGATGACCGACTCCTCAACGCCTCCAACCCGTACGCCGACGGCACCTCTCCATTCGTGCTTGCTCCCCTGGACGCGGGCCTCATCGGCTATGACAGCGTCATGAACGTGGTCATTCTCGTCTCGGTCGTGTCCATTGGCGTCTCCTGCGTGTATGGCGGATCCCGAACATTGACCTCTCTGGCCCAACAAGGCTACGCGCCCAAGATCTTCACATACATTGACCGGTCTGGTCGACCGCTGCCATCCGTGACTTTATGCCTGGCATTCGGCGCCCTCGCTTACATCGTGCTGGCCAGCCAGGGCAGCGTTGTGTTTGACTGGCTGCTCGCGCTATCTGGTCTTGCCACCCTGTTCACATGGGGGTCCATCTGTGTCGTGAGTGCCTCTGTCGCTTTTGCGCTACCCAAGAAAACCGTTTGCATGCTAACGAACCATCTACAGGCTCATATCCGCTTTCGCGCAGCCTGGGCGCACGCCGGGCGCACCCTTGACGAAATCCCCTTCCAAGCGATTGGCGGCGTGTACGGGTCGTGGCTCGGCCTGTTCCTCATTTTCATCGCGCTCGCGGCGCAGTTTTTCGTGGCTATCGCGCCTCCCTTCACCACCGAGCTCGCGAGCGCCGAGGACTTTTTCAAGGCATACCTGGCTTTGCCTGTCGTGCTGTTCTTCTGGGCGGTTGGATATCTGTGGAAGAGACAGGGGTTCTTGAGGCTCGACCAGATCGACCTCGACACGGGACGGAGGGAACATGACTGGGACACCATCAATGCTTACCGAGCTAGGCAGAGGACCTGGCCGTGGTGGAGGAAGGCGTTCAGCATGGTCTTCTAGCGGGAGCCTTTTGGGTGTAAGCTAAGACCCGACTCGTGTCTGTTCGAGACACAAGACCTCGGATAGGGCATCGGAACGGGTATATAGCATAGCATAAAGAGCAGAGAAAGGAGAGCACCCTGTGGTGTGCACAGACATTAATCACTCAAGGCGCGAACGAGTTCAAGTTGCGCATGTGCTGGCATGTTCACTCCGTCACACTCTCATCTACCGAACCGTCAGTCGCGTACGAATGTCAGAGTCCTTAACAGACGTGATGGCATCTGCTCTGCTCTACTCTACATGCCACGGGCCACCTGTACCGTACCCATGACAGTATCCGGGGCTGCGAAAACGATGACGGAAACATTTCCTCTTTTTGGGTTCTTCATGCTCGAAAAGCAGATCATGACGCAATGAGAGACGCGCGAGGTGCTACGCAGTAGGGTTGGCTTGGCTGACGCGTCAGTGCGCGGCTATCGTACCTAGTCTAAGACCTAATTTGGTTAGGTAGTGATTAGCTCGTGCTACTGACCCCGGATTTCTGGCCCACGATGTAATAAACCGCCGGGCCATGGAAGAAAGCCTCGAGATGTTACCGAAGTGTCTGTTGCCAAAGTACTGTGGATGAGTCCTCGACCGGACTATGTACTGTGGATCAGTCCTCGGCTGGGCCATGAACTGTGTAAGCACACACGGCATGGAAGTCCACTCCGTCGTGCTTGCTTTCTGGTTGTCGATGCGTTTACCACCATAATTATCGTAAATATGGCCATCACAACATCTTTGAACTTCGTCCCTAAGCAAGGCATGTCAAACCTACATTAGGCGCAAGAGGAAGTACATCGCGTCCCTCGGGAAAGCAGCGCAAAGGCGGCACTCCCAAATTCGTGGGACCAACATCTACGCCTGCATGGTCCCCCGAACACTGACTCCTGTTCCGCTGACGCAGGGCCTAGATGCAGTTGCTATATCGCCGACGAGATACGTCGCCTTCCAGACCGTCTACTGGAGAGACGATACCACCCCTTTATCCAGCTGAACGGTTTCGAGTGAGGCTTCACAAGTACTGCTATTCCGCTGACGCAGGGCCTAGAAGCCGTCCGCTATATCATCGGAGAGATGTTTCGCATATCAAAGCTCGTGCTGAACAGGCGACAAACCCCCGTAAGCCATGCTAAATGGCTTCGACTCAAGCTTCGTACAGATCTCGACTTCACGGCTACAGCGAGAACACGGACGACAGAGGGGTCACCTTTCAACTACCCCTTCCAGAGATAGTGGTCTAAAACTGAATCTGAATTGGATTTCAAGTCTGGAGACCATACAGTTGTCAGAACCAGTGACAGTTCTACAATCGCTGATTCCCTTCTTCATTCGCCGTTCCGTTTATCGCCGATGGCAAGACCGGTACACCGAATAGGTCGTTGCGCTCGGAATTTGCCCTTCAGCGAGAGGGGCGCTGTGTTCTGTGGACACTCAGCTTCAGACCACGCCACGCGACTTGACGCTCTGGCACAACTGGATCCTGGTCCAAAACTGTTCGCCGCGCGATTCCAGGGTCCTGTCTCATTGAAGGCATGTACAACGCCTGGACACTCGGGCGTTGCACACACCAGCTCATCGTTACGCGCTTCCGTTCCATGCAGAGGGCGGTGTATGGCTCGCTTCGAGCGGGGAGGAGCGCAAAACAGCCTGGAGTGCTGGGGGTAATACGAGCGCCGGTACTGGTAACGTTGTTGACGCCGACGGCGGCAATACAGGAACTGAGATCATGGAAGGAGTTCGCGCGCGAGTTTGCAAGAGCGCCGTTCGGCCCCGGACTTGATTTGTTCCCGATGCTGCTTTTGGTGTCTCATTCGTGGGAATAAGTCAGCGGAAGATCGATCAACAGGGACCATTTGAGGGGGAGATTGACCGTTGATCACGACCGTGTCGTACAGCGTGTCGATGACCAAAGGTGGGTCGGGCAGCACACCGGGTTGACTGAGGGCGACGGTAACGCAGTTACTGTGAGCTATGGACATTTCTCTACCTACCAGAGAGTGCTCCCAGCAGAGAGTGCTCCCCCCAGAGGGTGTTCCGCTATCAAGGGAGAACAAAGCCCGCCCTGAGAAGGTTGCCTACCGATGCTCATCCTTCCGGCCGAATAGAATCATCTCTGGTGTATCCGGTCCACTCTCCTGGATGTGCTCATGGCTGATGTAATTATACTCTGCCACACGTACGGTCCTGGCAATCGAAGAATGACCTCGCTACGAGCCGAAAACCTCATTCATGCTCCTCGCGCGGCACAGTCACCACAGTGCCACCCTCGATGGCAACCACAGCCTAGCGAGACAGTCTATCGACCCTAAACAAGCCTATACTTCCGCCCGCTGGCTAGATCTGCCGACGTGAAAGACTCAAAGGTAGCATAAAACGGAATCGGACATGCCGACCGAAACACCACGGGACCAGTGACCCATTTCGTAGGAGGGGCCGTAAATGTAGGTTGGCTCGTTCGATGGTGGGAGGATATCATATGAATCCTTGGGACTAGGTATGATATTCCGTGTCCACTGCATCGCGGGCTTGGTTGGAGCGAACGAGCATGTGTCAGTGGCACGACCTGTTCGAACTTGGACTTGTCGTTTCACTCGCTGTTTTGACCCGAGACATAAGCGAAACGCCGGTATGCTGCTTCTACTTCTGCTTCTGCTGTACTGGTGGCGTCTGGCCGGGACCACGTCCGTAACCATTCTCCACAGTGCGTAGTCCGTAGTCCGTGGTCCGCAGTCTGCATGCATGCGTGCGGCTACGTTGTGTCGGGTGATCGATGCAACCGAGTGTGCCGCTAGTTCACAGGCACATATCCAAAGACACATCTCGTAGCTGGTCGAAGAGCGCGACACCACCGCCACGTCGACAGTCAACAGAGAACAGAGAACAGAGAACACCAGTACTCTGGATCGTAGATTTCCAGAATCCCATCCTCTAATTATCCACTCCATCTATACCGCAATCCCACAGTCTATCACGATATTCTGGCCCGTAATCGACCTACTCAGCACCAACGTCCTGATCTGATCCGCCACGTCTTCGACGGTCGCCGTGCCCTTGAGCGCCGACTTCTCCACCGTAGCCTTGACTTTTGATTCGGGGAATTGGTTGCCCCTAGACACAATGTCAGCCCGCTGACACACTGATACGGAGTTCGAACACCAGAAGCAAAGCAAAGCATGCGCGCATCGGTGGCCGCACTTCGCACTTTGCACTCCGCACTTCGCTCGCAACTGTTTGCAAAGGAGACAAAACTCACCACTCGGTCATCATCAAGCCCGGACTCACACTATTACACCGCACCTTGGCCCCACAAATCAACGCCAACCCCTTTGTGAGATGAATCTCCGCGGCCTTGGTCACGCTGTAGGGCAACGAACTCCCGGAGGGCCTCACACCCGCGAGACTGGCGACCGTGACGAACGCGCCGCCTCCCGCCTCGGACTTTTCGAGATGCGGCTTCGCCGCGTAAAGCAGCCACAGGTGAGACTTGACGTTCACGTTGAAGCACCGGTCCCAGTCGGCCTCGTTGACCTGCTGGTCGATGTCGAAGAAGTTGGTGAGGCGCGTCCAGCCGGCGTTGCTGACCACGACGTCCAGGCGGCCCATGGTGGCGACGGTCTCGGAGACGAGGCGCTCGATCTCGCTGCGCTGCGAGACGTCGGCTTTGATGGCGTGGAAGCGCGGCTCCTCGGTGGGGGAGGAGTCGGCCGCGGCGGGAGGGATTTGCGACGCTTCGCGGATGACTTGCTCGGCCTTTTCGGCGCGCGAGTGGTAGTTGACGACGACGCGGAAGTAGGGGGCTAAGGCTTTGACTGTGGCGGCGCCGAGGCCGGCGCTGGAGGCCGTCACGAGAGCAACTTTTGCGGACATGGTGAGGGGTATAGGATGATGGTTGCTTCTGACGGTGGCGAGTATGGTGGGAGGTGTGGCTTCTGATGTTGTGTCCACGGCGAGGCGGTCGATCGAAGAGACGGCGCGAACTAGGGTTGGTGAGGTGAATCAAGTGAGGCTTCTCCAAGTCCTTTTTAGCGGAAGCGTTCGTTGAGTCCACGGCGGCTGATGCTGGGTCCGTTCGCGGAGTAGTTATGGAGTATCGCCCGGCGTTGATGGCGGAATGGTTCCGGGTCGATCTCGTGGAGTCTTGGGCAGCCGTGGGCTGCGTGGGGTACCTATGCAGACACGGCAGAAACTAGATTGTGGGGTATCATCACGACCACAGAGCTCGATGTGTCCATGACCATGCCATGTCAATTCCACATCTCACGGCCTTGGGTGGCATCCAGTCCACTTGGTGGTTAGATCAGTCCACACTTCGGCTCGGACACCAAGTCACAATATGGCATGGCATTGCACCGCACGACGGCAACCTGGTTGCCGGTGGCTGTCTCCTCGGGACCGCAGCATGACTGTCGCATCGACACCTACATGGTGCTTCTTGGCTAAGTATCTTGACTCTAGGTGGCTGTGCGGTACAGCAATCTTTGCATGTAGTCTACAGTACACAGGAAGACCCAACGAATGGTGAATGAGAATAAGACGGATACCTTCAGGGGCGGCAGCCTCGCGAGACTGGCCAAGCCACACGCTCGCGCATCAAGTTCGACATCCTTTCCGACTTTAGGCCAACTACCGCAGACCACAATTGCTATCGAGTCACAGCCCGTCATACGCAGATCAAAAGCTCATATTCCATTTTCAGTTGGTATTGTCCGCCACTTCTTCCCTTTTGGTATTCACGACGCGAGCTGCATGGTGCGAGATGAGAGTCGTGGTCCCAGGAGCACAGAAAGAAACCACGAGAGCGCTTCAGGGATCCATAACACCAGAGTACGCGGTGACCTGAGTCTTGGAAGGAGGCTAACACGGATTTGGTGGTTCGCCTCGGTACCAGGCACGTCTTCTGCTTCTTAATGCACACCCTCTGGCTCCTTGATGAGGCTACTCCTCGCCGATCGTGGGGGAGCTATCATCGTTCACTGGTGTGCCTCCTGAGCACAGCGCTCCCACAACAACAGACGGTAAGGGTTCGAGAGAAAGGCAGGCGTCTCGGCTTGGAAGTTGAATATGTAATAAATAGGGCCACTTCTGACGGGGGTTCTTGGGAAAACCTACCTCAATCTTAGTTGCCTTCCGTTTAAGTCTGATGGTAACAAGGTATGCATCCCCGACTCACAGGTACCCACATGACACATGGTTCGGATTGTATTGCTCATATCGTAAGGGAGGTGCAGACATGGATTGACGAGCAGGCGCTTGAGTCTCCAGCAATAGGGTATGCAAAGACAGCTATGAGGCAATCCGGCAGAACACCGGCTTCAATTGATAGTCGTATCTCAAGAATAGAAAGATGCCAATGTCGTACAACCACGCGGCGCTTAGGAGGTCGACCTTGCTGCGCCATTCTTCCACAATGCAGTACCCAACCATCGTCTTCGTGCCTCAGTCCGCACCTGCGTGACCGCCTTGGCCGATTTCTTGTTCATTCTTGATCTCTTCCCACTCCCCACTACCGCCGTTGGTGCCACCCGCAAGTCTCAGCTCCCAGGCCTGATTTCGCATGCTGGTAACCTCCATCTCCAAAGCTCCGATCTTCGTGTGCAGCTCCTTCAGCTTGGCGTCCGTGTTGAACTTCTCTTCCATCTCTGCGATGTCCGTGCGCGCCTGCTGCTGTATCTCCTTGGACTTGGTTGCCTCCAACTTCAGAACAGCCGTGCACCACCCACAATCAGCTGCCAGTGGTGTGTGAGGATTTCTCGAATGAGGGGCATTATGTCGGACGGTGAGTTTCCCACAAGACAGTCGACCCCAAGGCTGAGGCTTATCGCAATGTTTCCACCTGGAGGCGTTCCCGGGGATAAAAATCGAGGCGCAGATTGGCTCGTGGTGAGGGTAAGGGCAGGTGTCGAGTTTGAACCAGCACATTGCGGCGGTATCGTGGGGAACAGTGGTAGAGGATGGGGTTGTTGTAGCTGTGAGAGATTGCGGGATTGCGGTCGGCTGATGAGTAGAACGGGAAGCTGACCTTCTATGAGCAGGTGAGAGCAAATATACTCGCAATGGGTCCGAGATGGAGGTTTGCCTGATTGCTGCTGTGAACGAATGCGCCGATCTGTCTGTGATGTTATGAAAGGATGATTGATCAGTCTGGGTAAGTGAAAGCATAGTTGGTGATGATGAGTGAATAGAAAGAATCTCAAATGCTTCCCATTGCCGCTGCAGAGCGAAGCTGCCACAACCGCACTTTCTGTCCAATTCAATGACTCCAGGCAGGCGTAACTTCATCAACCGCTTTTGTCTGGGCGAAAAAGCACGGCACACGATAGATTGTGGCGAAATCAGCAGATCCAGTGCGCCCGCAGTTCTCCAAAGTGACACCTTCCTTGTCACCTGTGATCGCCAATTGTCACAGATACAACCAGTCATCTTTCCACTCAGCATAGACTCGGAGCTCTTCTCTTCGGCGCCTTGCGCCTTTTCTTGGATACGACCACGTATATTCATGGTATCGTCAGTCTTGAAACAGTGCCAAACTCATCAACAAGCGAGGATTGCGAGACCACATCAAGGACTGAGATAGCAAAACCAATATTGGTCCAAGTCCCACAGCCTTATGCCGGTAATTCCACATACACATCAGCAAACATTCCCGTGAGGAAGACATTCGTCCGGGAAACGGCAGCCTGCAGGCCTGATCTCCGCCAGAAACAAGCTCCTGTCACCCACAAAAGCAACCTTGAGATCTGCCATCAACATCCTGTGTCCATCCACCTGAACCCCAACATTTCTACCACTGTTTGAGGTAGCGACGATGTGCTACGCGATCAAGATTGTTCACTTCGGCTGCCTTGGAGGGGATCAACATGTTGAGCATGCCGTGGTGAGATGCAAACCCGGGCTGGAGTACATAATGCTCACGCCAATCTCTAAGGAGACGTGCAAAGGCACCAAGTTGGTAGAGGACTGGAGGATGGATCCATGTCGTTTTTGTAAGGAGTACATGGAGAGCAGGAGACACTCAGGGACGTTAAGTGGTCGCTCGCGCTCCATGTCCTTGCCTACAAACGGACCCAGAGGAGCAGAGGAGAATGCTGTGTCGACGGACGCCGAAGGGCACACCGTCTGAGGGAGAGCTCTGTGGTGACAGACAGCCCAGCGGGCCGGACACTGAGAACAAGAACGCCACTCCATGACCGCATGTCATTGGCCACACCGTGCCTGTGCTGGGACGGCATTGGCTTTTCGTGCAATTGATTGTTGACCAAGAGCTTGATATGCCGTGATTTTGCGTCCTCGTGTTGATAGGAAACATTAGGCTTGTTATACGTCTTTGCAACTCGGGCGTCGATTCAAGTGGCCGGCCTCAGGCGAAACAGCAAATCTTCGCTGGTGCAGGCAAAACGTTTTCATATCCTCTCGCTTATCCAAATAGCTCCGCGACATCCATATCGAATGACGTCTGTCAAGGGCTGGTAAGGCTGCGCTTCCTTCGCATCATTCTCAACAGCATGGTCTAGATGTTCAAGCTCCTCATCTCGTATCCGCTTTATTTCATCGATCAACACTTTCAATTCGGGATCAAGCCCCTCGCCCTTCTCTTTCAGTTCTGTCATCCACTTGAACAATTCCCTGACTTGCCCATTGTAATGGTTCCCTATTTCCGTTTCCACGGCCTCGGTGCATGCCATCGCCGCTTCTCTTCCCATCATACCGGTTGTCCAGCCTAATACCGTCGCAGCAGCCTGCCAGACCGGATACATTGCAGTGGGACGAATGCGGTGCTTCGCAAGGAGTCCGTTGAAGACCTTGAAATGACCGGCTTCTTGGTCATACATGTGTCTCATGAGCGGGCGCAGGTGTGGGTGTGCCTGCACTATGGGAGGTGTCTGGGCCGTGTAGATGAGGGTTGCTGCTAGTTCACCAGCCTGATTTACACGGAGGGCACGATCGAGGAATTGCCTCTGCTCTGGGGAGAGGTGTATTCTCGGTCGGCTAGTATCTGAGGTTGCTTCCGAGGGAGCATTTTGCGTTGATGCATGACGGAGGGAGATTTGTACGGGAGAGGTCTGCAACGTCTTCGTATGCTTCGCGGAGCCAGAGAGGCCTCGCACGGTGTTTCTAACTATCATCTTGGCTCTCGACTGAGCAGTGGCAACCAAGTACTCAGCCTAGTATCATGCCAGGAAATGGTGATGTCTTGTGCGAGTCATGTATCCAGAAGGTCTGCCGAGACCGAGTCATGAACATTTTCAACTACTCTCTTTCTCCTGTCAACATGCTGCCGCCTTTCTCAGGGCGCCTTCGTCTTCACCAGGATTGAACATATAAATCATTTCAAACTCTTTAGCCATTTGAAACATTGACTTGTCCTCATTTGGCGTTCTTCTAGACTAGACCTGGCTCAAGCGGACAATTGGACGACTGGTGGACCCGCGCCCTTTTCGCCCGGACCTCATCGACAAGCAAACCTCCGGCGCGACGAGCTTTCGTTCCTCAATCCCAGACAGTTACTTCTGCTCTGAGGAACCGTTCCACATTCTCTGTACAACCTCGGTACAGACGACGACCGCCTTGTCTCCAAGCGCAGCCGACAACGCCTCCGGCTTCAGGACTGCCTCATCAACATGGCCGATCTCGATGCTGAACTTCTCGCCCTTGCCGGAGGTGATTCCTCGGGCGAGGAGTCCATGCCATCTTCTCCCAAAGAAAAATCCCCTTCACCACCGCGTTCCAAGAAACAATCTCGAGAGTCCCCTCCCACCGAGGCTCGCAAGGGCGTCGCTAAGACAGTCAAGAGAACGAAGCGCCGCAAGACGTATTCTGATGACGAAGATGAAGTGTACGGTGCTTTCGCTCATGGCACAATCGCTCGAGCTGACCTGTGCGCGCATCCAGATCTTCGCTTTCACAACACTCCGAATCCGCCTCCATGTCCCAATCCGACTCGGAGGCCGACTTTGACCCTGACACGGACGACAAACCCATCTTCCCTTACGAAAAGCTCTACTACGATGCGACAGACAAGGCCCGCATTGAGGCGAAGCCCGAAATCGAACGCGAGGAGATCCTAGCCCAGCGAAGCGAACAAGTTGAACGCCACGAACAAGATCTCACACTCCGACGGCTAGTTGCGCAGCGTGCTCGGGAGGAAGCGAAAAATGCCGCAAAGAATAAGCGTAAGGCCAGTGCAGCAGATCTCGAAGACTCCCAAAGAAAGAGCACCCGACAGCGGACAAAAGTCGGAGGTGGCCGTGTCGGCGAGGCCAGTAGTGCCATTGAAGCGTACAAACGTCAAAGAGAAGAGAAGAACCTGCGCGACGAACAGCGGAAGAGAGGCGAAACCGTAAGGAGACTAGCATCACCGAGGGACAACTTCAGCGATGCAGATGCAGAAGGCGAAAGCGACAATGACTACGACGATCGCCGATACAAGCGAAGGTCACCCAGCCCGCCCAAGGACGAGCCAATTGCCGAACTACAAGACATCCAACGAGCTCGTGTCGGTCGCGATAACTTTGCCCAGGTCTGCTACACACCAGGTTTCAAGGAGGTCATCACCGACTGCTACGCCCGCGTTTGCCTGGGTCCAGGCCGCACTCCAGGTGTCAACGAATACCGTCTCTGCCTGATCAAAGGCTTCGCCACCGGCAAGCCATATGCCATGATCGGCTCTAACGGCAGACCCTTTCCTGTTGACCTGTACATCATAGCTGCCCATGGCAAAGCCGAGAAGCAGTGGTCATTCCTTGAATGCTCCATGCAGAAATTCACAGATGCCGAATGGCTCCGGTACCGCTCTGTCATGGCGAACGACGATCTCAAGATGCCTACCAAGGCATTCATCAATTCGAAGCTAGACCAGATCAACCGTCTGATCAACCACAGATTTACTGACACCGACATCTCAGCAAGAATCAAAGCGCAGGCCGATTTGACCGAGAAAATCACCCGCGCAGGAGAAAAGGCGGATCTCAGAGAACGAATTGCGGAAGCTCGCGCTGAGGGACGAGACGAGGCGGCCGAGGACCTGGAGAATCAGCTCGCAGCCATCGTACCCATGAAACTGGCCTTCGGGACAAGCTTGGACAAGAAGGAAACATCCTACGTGAATCCCGAGCAAGAGAAACTTGCGGAGCTGAACCGTCGGAACCAGAGGTTAAATGCCGAGAATGTCAGGAAAGCGCAGCTTGCGGAGATGAGGCAACGAAAGGCGAAGAAGACGCTCGCTCCTGGTATCGACGAATTGTTCGAAGGTGGAAGTGATATCTCCCGCGCGGGGACACCTGTCAATGGAGCCGGGACACCGAAGCTTGGACCAACACTTGCTGCGGCGGCGGCGAGCATTTCGCGAGCGGCGTCGCCAAACCCGCTCTCCCTCGCTGTGAATAGCACACCTCGCAGCTCCACACCTCTTGCTTCGAGTGCTCTTAAGCCTGTCCTTTCGCAGGGGCAACAGCAGCAGAAGAAGGGAGGTCTTCCGACCATTCGCAAAGCGGCTTTGGATGATGAAATCATTGCGCAGATGGATCTGGGGATTGATCTCGATATCGATATCTGAAGTGAACGGATGTGGTTGTGTATGTGTATTGGACGGGCGCCATCATTACCGTCATACAACGACGCACAGACAGGGACTCACTCCACTTGGACAGCTTGGGTGTTCCGTTAACGTCAGCCTGCCGCCAGGCTGATTGAGAACTAGTGTACCAGTATAAGACCGAGACCGACGTGACCGGGAGGTCGGTCTGCATTGCGCTTTGCGACCATAGATGTCAATCACTGGCAAGGGGAAATGCTACAGCAACCTTTCACGTTATCGTATCTAACCTTGCCACTTTCCCTAGTGTCTCAGCGCATTCGACCTGCATGTGCTTAGGCATCCTTGGAACACAGCGGCGGAGACTGTTCGTCGTTGTGGAACGCGTGCGCTTGTACAGGCCCCATGTCCCGATTCTTCCCGTTCTCTCCGTCACTCAACCTTCGACGAGGAGAGTAGCTTCTGTGCAAGGGTTCCGAGTGGCATTTCGGAGTGCTTCGAGCGCCTTCAGGCCATGGCTCGGTGGGTGGTGGCCCGTGGGAAACGATCGTTATCGTACCACGTGCGACGAGTCTCGGGCTGACTTTCAGAACCTTGACTTATGCTGATCTGATCGGGTGTGTGTGGACCGCTCTCGTCTCTTCCACGCTTTCGTCCTTACTGATTGCTCAAGTCAGAGTATGCCCGCATGATGACATGTGATATACATGGGTATCGTATACAAAGCAGTTTCACTTCTCTGCTATCCCATCGGTGTCCGATCGTTCTTCGAGTATTCCATGACCACTCAATCACCTTCCTCTCTTTGCTCATCGATGTCGTGGTGAAGACGATACAGCTCTCCCACACCGACTCACTGAGTCCCCTCGCTCGAGTCTTTGGTCTCCCCTTTCCTTGCATATTTTCTCTCCTTGTCACTCTTCGATTCGTCTTTCATGTCATGTGCGCTCGTCCTCTGTCCTTCGAGCTACCTGCTTGCTCGTGTACACAGTATCGTGAACCATCTCCTAGCAGAGTTCTTCTCACGGAACTCGCCTTGCAGTAACTCAGTCGGACTCCTCCGGAAACTTTTTCAAGTTGAAACGATAGTTCTGATCGCCAACTCCTCTGCATTCCTCACCTCAACTTTATCCTTCAAATCAAGGATCGCTAAGCCGCTGAGATACACGAGCCTTTTCTCAGGGAAGTCCCGAACTCCGGCGCAACAGCGCATATCTGCCCAAGGATGTGCCTCTACAATTACTCAACATGCCGAGCGCACACGCCGCAAACTCTTCTGCGGAATTTAACGAAGCCGTCTCCCGAACGCCTCCGCCAGGGTTTAGTCCGCTGTATATGGTACCAGGCCTTGGCTGAGGCTTGGCTCACCGATGGAGGTCTTAAGTTCACGGCGACAAGGATGTCTGTCCGTACGTGATGATTCGGCATGACGCTACCATCCTGCAGGAAGATATCGAGGCGATGTCCCAGGCCGTGCTTTTTGAGGGTCTCACGCATGACGATCGCGCGGCTGTCTGGCGTGCTGGCAAGTAGTCTCCTCGAGGGACTGGATGGGAAGAATGCCAACGGACGAGGAGAAATTGGAGTATCTTTACACTTCGACTTCTGGTCCCGTGAGAGAAGATGGAGGTACCACAGGTGGAGTTCATGACAGTGAAGTGCATGGCAGGTCTCCCGGGCCAGAAGGTAAGAAGACGAATAGAGCCGACGTCGTAGCCAGATGGACGGACTAACGGGCGGCGCAGACACAGAAGGCGCAACAGATGGTAGGAAGAGGAAACTCCGAGACGACAAAGAAGCAGCGCCGAAGCAAGAGCGTGATGTAGAAGCTGAGCCAGTCGGAAGCCTCGACGTCAGGCCGTCGAAGAAATCTCGAACGGGGAGTACCAGGAGCAACGACCAAGATCGACGAGACAGCGCCATGCCGTCCTGGCCTTGTTCGCGCGGACGAGGCTCGTCTTTGGCAGGAAGGCCCCGGATTGTATGCAACTCGGTCTCAGCAGAACCGTCGAGCTCGAAGTCGGGCTTCATCAAAAGAACAGGCACGACAGGGCTGCCGACTGTTGGTGAAGTCATTCCGCCGCGACCGGACCAAATCAATAAATCCGAGTCGGAGACATATACGATTTCCCCTATGGGCAATGGCAGGAACTGGAACCCTTTCAAAGACACGATGTTCTGGGATCCGGCCGTGAAATCAGCGAGCGGAAGGAAGAGGTCGGTACGTGCGCAAGAGCCCCTTCAAGCAGCGAGGAGACAAATGGAATTCGAACTCGAAGCAAATTTGAATCAGCTTTCAGCAAGGCCATCCACAGAAGCAGACAATATCTTAACCAGCGCAAGAGGTACCGCTGGCGGAGGGGCAAAGACGCGGAGTGAATCGACGAGGCCTCTTCCGTCCAAATCGACCTCAATGGGCAGTGATCCAGATGAGTTGTCCTCAAGCGACACGTCCGACTCCGAGGCCTCGAGCTCAGCCACGACCGAAACATCTCCACTACTTCAAATCGACCGCGGTGAATGCGAGGTTCTGCCACATGAAGTGACGAAGCTGCGGAAAGAGAATGCACGGCTCCGCATGCAGTCAGCCGATGCGCTTGATTCGAACGCCGCCGCGTCTCGCAGAGAGGCAAGTCTGTTGAGGCAACTGAGCTGGTACGAAGGTGCTGGAGAGCGTGATGGACAAGGTGGGGAAGAAGGCCAAGATAACGGTGAAGTGAAGGATGACGACGAGAAACGAAGCAAGGAATGAGCGGACCGATCGGTTGGAACGTACGCAATCGAGGACGTGACCGCAGGGTCAACGGCATGTCTGTGAAAGGCGTGAGGATGTCTCACATGGAGGGAAAAAAGACGCGGGAAGAGGTCGAAGTAAGCTGAAGCGCATTGCAGAGCCGATGAAGTGCAGTGGACGTGTAGCAGAGTTTAGAAAGCGCTATGTGCGCAAGGCAGAGCTGGGAAAGTGCTTTGCGCTCAGGGCAGAGTTGGGAATGTGATATGCGTCTAAAGCAGTACCAAGAAAGTGCTATGCGCCCATGGCAGATTTGACAAAATGAGAAAGGTGGCTGATATCAAAGCATGATCCTCTACTACTTGGATCTGCCCAGGCACAGTATTGCAATTGGGACAAAGTGCTATCTATCTATGGCAGGGTCAGCAAAGTGCAATGTCTAGGAGAGAGTATATAAGATCTGATAAATGCTGCGCCGTTACATACGCAGAAGCACTCCGCACCTTCTGATATAGTTTATCTGCTGAACTGCAAGGTTGAGAAAGTCTTGAAGACTCTGTAGCTTATTAGACTATGTCTCCCAGGAAACAAGATCAAGGCGAGGGTGAAGTGAAGTGAAGCGAAAGTGAGGATGAAGTGAAGTCAGGTGAGGTGAGGTGAAGTGCTCTTCGGGATACGCTAGCTATTTGCCTACGAAGTACGAAAGTAGTTTCCCCGGCATGACATCGAAGGAAAGAGTTTGTTTGATGACACAGTACATCGTGCAGATAGCGCTCTAAGTGCTGCCATGTTTCGACCGGAAGAGTCCGTCGGTAGACAACTCTAACTGATTCACGAGTCTCTGACAAGCGAACGGTTTCAGCGGAGTGGCAGTCGACGACGTTCTGGGCAGCCCGCTCTCCTGAGGTAGTCGGTAGCTCAGCCATGGGAGCCTGGTCACAGATGTCCTTGTTTGACGGTCCTTCCCTTTGCAGGTGGAATTTCAGACCGGCGTAGCCAAGTACTGGATGCCCACGACGAGCAGAGATACTGGCGAAAGGCTTCGGCTGGAGATCTGTAATCTTGATGTGAGCAGTGGCTAGGAAAGTAAAGAATGGTCAAGTTCAAAACGTGCAGCGCTTTTGCAGGTTGTCTTGCACATCACCATATTTGCCCATCTTTGTCATCAGCGCATCTTCGGGCAGTCAACTTGTGGATTGCGGCTTAGCAGTCCTCGCATATGAGCCTGAAGCACGCTCATCACGTGCAAGAACCCATTACATTTCGGTTTCGGGCCGACTGAGAAGTACGCTGGGATCGGTATACAGTGTAAAGGGACTGATCTGTACGGGATCAATTAACTGAGACTCCACGTTCCCAATAGTGAGGTTCGTTCTCGCATCTTGCGAAGCCACAGATGGACCAATTGAAGAACCAGCAGAATACCTGTTAGGTTCCAGATGTAGTTCCGTGGGTCTAGAATAGCGATGTTCTGATAACCAACGCGGCGTCAGTGTCCAGTCTGAAGGCTGTCACAACGGCGCTTGTATCTTTCAACGGAGTCGCTTCTGTAACGACACGTTGACAGCTTCAGGAGCAGAAAATGCGCGGGTTTGAAGATCAGGCTGTCGAATTTCAGGAGAAAAAGCCATCAACCTAGCCGCAAGCATGTAGCAATCTCACCATAGAACGAAAATGCTCGCAGGGAGGATGTCCGTGTCTTGTCCGAGAATCTTACAGCCATGGGGCACCGGTGCTTGTGTTGACATATAGGCCGTACGGTGTTCGCAGCCAGCACCAAGTTTAGTCGGTAGGGGCCATGTCCTGGGAATCCACGGGGGGTCAGACCAGCAAGCTTACCTAGGTATGGTCTGCACTGAGTTGGGCTTTCCTCGACAAGGTGCGACTTCGCTAATATGGACTGCTGTCGTCCGTCGATGATGTACCTTGCAAGACAGAAAAGAAGACCTACAGTTCATTTCGTAGCGAGCTGCTCATCTCGAAAAGCGGCCTTTCACGTTCAGTCGTCGGTCAGCCGGAGTTGCTTGTACTCGGCATCCGCATCCTGCGCTTGCAATGGGTGTGTCAGTCCATAGATATGTGTAACCACTTGATCAAAACCAGCATACGAGGAGAGCGTGTGGTGCCACGGCTTTGTGTTTGGTTCTGCAAGTTATTTTGGCTGCGTCCGGAATGCGGCAGTCGACAGCTTAAGGCGGACCGTACCGTCTGTGAGTTGACACATGCTGTCTCAGAGCAAGGTTCTGCTGCCCACAGTATACCGACATGTGCATCGAGTCGAATGTGGCCTGCTCCAGGGATGATTCATTCCAAGGTTCCGGCAGCATAATTGGAAGTGAGATAACTGTGGATGGCCTAGGATGGCAACGGATGAGACGCAATCCCGTGCTGTGCCATGTAGTGGCTAGAACCGGGTGGCCAGGTACCGGCAGAGGGCTGTGTATGCTCTGATACACTCCTGGTGGCTGTGAGAACTATGTGTTATCAGAGCGAAGTTAGTCCTTCATCGGTGGCTGACAAAGGCATCAATGATCTTGGTGATCTGTGAACCCTTTGGCAAGAGGAAAATGATGTCATATGCCGTGGTCCTGCATGACTCAAACTCGTGCGAGTAATGAATAAGAGGTCAAGCAGCAGTCACCACCAGACTCCAGCAGCTATCGTTGTTCTGAGTTCGTGCTATGCAAACCCGATAAGCACGTCAAGCAGCACTTCTTGAAACGGCGCCAGATACTGCTATGATGTCGTGACATGACTTGTTTGTGCAATGCGACTGGTTATTTCGAAGGCAAGCAACAGACAGCACGTCATTCTAGGCTCGGCTCTGCTGAGAAGGGGGGCCGACTACGTACCTCGCACCTTGGTACCTGATGTTCAGGGCGAGCACCCAAAGGCAGTCGATCGACATTCTGCTAACGCGTACAGTCCGTAGCGAAGTTTCGTCCTTGAAGAGGCTAGAAGCGGCAAAGGAAGTCGTGGAAGGACAGGGAAAATGATGTGCGAAGAGTGGCACGAGTGTGATGCTGGATGCGGCTCGGGTAGCAGACGTTGTGTCACAAAGCAAGTCCTGCCTATCGATAACCATCCTCAACCCCACAACATGTTGGATGCAACCCTTGTTACAGGTCGACTTTGCTCACGTCTACTTCACGAGGTCGGAGATTCTGAGTTTTGTGATCGCACAGTGGTAAATGATATGTGAGTAAAGACTCAGCTCAGGAGTGAACGTAGCCTGTCAGGTCACGGTCATGCACTCATGGCGATAATGGTTGTGCAGCGTCGTACCTCCAACTGCCAGTCTCATGTACCCGGAATTGGCGCTTTGCAGTGCACTTCGCAGACAGGATGGGCTTCCTCCACAGTATACTTGCATGGCGCGATTCGGCGGCTTTCCATCATTTGCTAAGATCGACGCCAACGTCGAGGTAGGGCCCAATGGAAGATCGCCAAGAGGTTGGACTACGGGCATCGGTGCCAGATTCCATACAGTACTTCGGCTCAATCAAGCCATCAATCCAGAGTCGCTTCTTCGCGAGATACACTGAATATGATGACAATACTCCGTGTGTCAATGAAACCAAATGCAACGACTGATATGAAGGGGCGCTTTCATCGTGATTTTCGTGGAAAAAAGCAAACTTTCGAAGTTACCGAATAGGTCGGAACGGACACTGATCCAAGTCCACCTCGACAGTAACCTTCCCTTTCTGGAATTAGCATGGCAATTGATCAATCAACGGTTACGAGTAAAAGAGAGCCGACTTGCCAGCTGCACGACTTGTGGATCCGAGTAGCTTCTACAAGGTAGCAGCGTAGGAAAAGTGATCCTTCCAAGGCCAGGGCTCTACGAGGGCTGTCCACCTGGTGCACTCGTACTCCGTATGGTGGTACATGAGCCATCGCAGGCCGGTGCGGGTACGCACCAAGAAAGGGTAGTAATCCTCATGTTTTCATCGAGCGGGATGATCTCGTGGAAATTGTAGCTACGAAACACGACGGCATCACGGAGATGTCAGTTAGGTTTCGCAGATAACTCGTAGCAGTTTAACCGGTTCCGAGATCAGCTCCGTCGCGTGCATCGTGCAAATGAGGTTCAGTTGCATTCCCAGATGAAGCGACAAGACAGGTGGCAGGACATCACATATCACTTGCAGTGCAGTACTCGTGCTTCCCGCCGAAGTCAATGTCGGCGTGTCTCTGTTGAACTTCCGGCCGTGTCAACGAAGCGAGGGATGGCGAACCTGAAGAGGGCTGCTCGGTGGAAGAGGCATCTGTCTCTCCGAGGCGCCTCTTCATTAATGAATCAAAATCATTGCGAGGCGCGGGCTGACCACATTCAATATTCGCAGCCATCTAATTTTTCGTCGCTGCAACAGTCCGGGACACAGTACGGAGGATCTCGCAAGAAGCAGCATATTACCGATGCAAGGACAAGGGTGGTGGCGGAGATTTTATCGAAACTTCTCCAATTTGCTCCGAGATGGCCCTGTAACACCCATACCCTAGCACTCCACCTAGCTGCCACCATGCATCCTGGGCTAGCCGAGATTGTCGTTGGTGTTGACAAGCAGGCTTCCCCAGAATTTGCTGGACGCCACCCTCCAATCAGTGGCGGTACTAAGTCGCCTTGAGTTCGCTTGGCTCTGTTTCGCAACGGTGTCTTTTCGTCCGTGTCGCCGACGCCAACAACCCATCTACGAGCTAAGTACGGAGTATCGAATGTCCGCCACAAAACGATGCCCAAGCGCTCGGTCCACAGCCCCTACTTTGACGCGGTCGAAGTAGTATGCGGGGAATAAAGTCCCTTGAGAAGGCGCAAACACTTTGTAAAGACCCGTGACTTGGCGAAGTAGTCGTCATTATTGCAGCACGACCAGAGGCAGAAGTCTGGGCAACATGACCTATTCTGCACAATCGCGTGACCAGCAGTGGTAGCATGATCAAAAGAATTGGCCCTTTCAGATGGCGGCGGAGGTGCAAGCAGGCTACGGAGTACGGACTCACTCTTTCGTAGCGGAGGTCGCGTTGAGATACATCCGCATCTGTGTTGACGGCAGTGAGAGTGGTGGCACTGTCAGGTGTAGTCTGGCACGAACCTTCCGATCATTTTTCGGAAGCGTTTGCAGTAGGATTGGCAGACGCGGCTGTGGCGTACTTGAGTACACAGTACTCCGTACTGGGCACTCAATTGCTTGAAAGCCAGTCGTAGGAGGATGCCCCACGCCACGTACTCCGGATGCGAGTACGGAGTACTCTACACGGAGATAAAGCCTTCAAATTGTGAGCTGTTGGGAAGGTACTCGTACTCCATACTCCGTCCTTCCGCCATCTTGCTTTGCAACCGACGCGGAACAGGCCATTCACCCGGGGGTTCATACTCCGTACCAAGAGGGAAAGCCACAAGACACGTCGTCACGACCAGTGGCGACCGCTGCACCAACAAATTCCAGCATCATCAAGGAGGTTGGCAGGCCTCTAGATGTTCTCTCTCGTCGAGTCCCATGACGAAGATGAGTTGGCTGGTGAGTGCCAACTAGACCACTGCAAATCTTGAAGTCGGCAAGTCGGTGGACGGGGAAAAAGCACCGACACGCCGGCGCTAAACCTCAAACTTCGCACCAGCTACTTAGGCAGCAGCCAATCACAACCGGCACACGCACCATTGCATCAGTAAGTCGCCGCCAATTAGTTCTCCAGGCATGTATAGAGGCGCTGGAGAATGCATACCGTGCCCGTACCTTGCTTCGAACGTGTTGTAGGAGTTGGTGATCGAATTGTTAACTGTCTTCTTGTTTCACTTTCCCCGGACCACAAAGAGGGTCACCCCAAAGTCTCAACCACGGAGGTCTTGCCGCGTTCGATATCGCCTTGTCACTAAGAACGAGGATGGGCGTGAAGGATGAATTTGTCCGTGTCCATATTGCGCTTCAGGCATCGAACTCTGCCGCAGTAGCCACGCGTTTTTGAACATAGAAGGGTTAGTACGGAGTACGGAGTACTGTATACGGAGTAGGTGCAGCACGATGCCGCTGGCAAACGCTAGAGTTCGCAAGTCGTAGTGGCCGTTGCAAGTTTGCCCCTCCGTGCCGGTGGCTTTTGCAAAGACACACAATAATAATGAAGCCTAATCAGCCAATCTAGGGCGATCACCTGGCAATCTCATTTGACAGGCTTAGGTTGATATCTTTTTCAATCCCATGCTTGTAGTCGGGATAATTGAGATTTTGGCAATCACCTGTCTCAATACTCCGTACGAGTATAGAACACGCGAGACGATCACGGTCCGTAATGTGACACGCGAGGTGAAATCTGTTCCTGGATTGCGAGACGTGACTCGGGAGTATGCGCATTCTCTGCTGATCGAATTGCCGATCTATGAGGGCTTTCGCAAAACTTTGCAGGGCCACGAGGTGAGCCAAGAGCCGCGCCTCCACCTAGACCCGTCATTTGAAAGAGGTTGGATAGAATAACGCCGGGTTCGGTAGTGAGCCAGGCTTACCACTGTACTTTGAACCTCGATTGGCGCGCTGGAAGCGACGAGGCATCAAGCACATCATCAAAGCGCATGGTGCTGAGTTCGCTGACCGACTCGGTAAGAGCGAACGACGCAGCAGCGGCTGACTGGGCTGAAGCCCTCAACTGACAACCTACGGCATGGGCACGCCGTGACTCGGCGAGTGCGTTTCTTTGGCGCCTGGGGCAGAGGGACCGGCTAGAGCGCAAGAACACTAGTGGAGACTGCGGCATGGGCGTCCGCCGCCGACGCATCACCAAGGGGGCTTGGGGCTTTTCACTTTGAGCCGAGCTTTTGACAAAGCCTGGGCTCGGGGCAGGGGGCAGGGAAGAAGCGACAGCTGACCAGGATGCCGAAGCACAGGAGTGGAGCACGGTGGTTGAGGGTTCCGCGTCACCTGGGAAAGGTGGGCAAGGATGGACAGGGCCCATGGCTGGCTGCGTCAAGTCCAGCAAAGAATGCATCGAGACTGGCCGGCGTCGCCACAGGCTCAGAGCGTGACCGGCAGGGGACCCAGTTCTCGCATCTACGCTGTGCCATGGGCCGCGCAACATGTTGTGGCAACTTTCGATCCTGCCTATCAAACCCCATCTTGCTGGCGTGTCGGCAAACTCCCCCGTTTCAGGATCCGGGCGTGTATATACTCCATCCCAACGCCCACCACCCTCCACTGCAGAAGTATACACACACAATCCCCTTCCACCATCTCACGGCGATACCATTGCTCGCGAATCTTGCTGCACTGCCTAAAAAATTACAGAAGCTCCAGTTCAGTGCCGATAAACTCTAACCTGCACACCTTACCACCGCTTCACGAACCTGACACACCCGCTGACTGTATTCAACCTTAACTGAGCGAATTTCCCTGCGGGTCTTCTTCCGGAACCAACACCAGAAATACCACACCACCAATCCGGCGTTTATTAAGCGGCCGCTCCTCTCTTTGTTCGACGTCCTTTCTCTCTGTCACAATGACAGACTACCACTACCCTCAGTCGCCCACCATGTCACAAGACAGACATATGGGCTCGCTGGCCGCGGCCCTCAGAATGAAGTTGGAGGACTTACCACAGCTCAACATGGCCAACCTCAACGCACACCAGCATAAACGCGCATCACTCGAAGTGCCGAACTCAGCATCATCATCATACTCGGCCTATTCCTTCAGCTCGAGAGCCTCAGAGGACACCGATGTCACAGACCTCACCGTAACGCCAACAGCACGGTCACGGTCCAGCACATTTGCAAGCACATTCGACGACTCAGAGCAACTACCCTCACCTATGCCGCACTCAGAGCCTTGCAAGCCGCCCTTGAAAGTTGTCCTCGGCACTGCATCAGTCGGCTCGCACTTGTCCCCTCTGGCAAAGATCACGACGGTGGAAGATGCCTCGAAGTTCGTGAGTTTGTTCCGGTCAAGAGGATACTACGACATCGATACTGCACGAGCTTACCCCGTTGGGCGAGGCGGCACTTGTGAGAAACTATTGGGCGAGGATGAACTGAGACTGTCAAAGTGGGCAAACGTCTCAACCAAAGTTTCGAGTTTCATGCCTGGGTCACATCGGGCAAAGAACATTGCCATGAGCATTGACCGGTCACTGGATGCGCTGAACACCGACACCGTCGACATCATGTACCTCCACGCGCCCGACCGGGCCACTCCGTTCAAGGAGACTTGTGAGGCCATGAACAAAGCATACCTTGAAGGCAAGTTCGAACGGTTTGGTCTCTCCAACTACTCAGTAGAGGAGGTCGAAGAGATCGTCCGCATCTGCGAGGAGAACGGCTGGGTCAAGCCGTCGGTCTACCAAGGCCAGTACAATCCCATCTGCCGAGGCGGCGAGGAGAGACTGTTTGAAGTGCTTCGGGAACACAACATCGCCTTCTATGCCTACAGCCCTTCAGCCTGCGGGTTCTTCTCGAACAAGGTCTCACGAGCGTCCACCAAAGACAAGAACAGCCGGTGGAACATCGCATCACCGCTTGGAGCCAAGTATGCTGGCGACTACTTCCATGACCCCCTCTTCGCCGCCGCCGAGGTCGTTCGTCAACAAGCTCGAAAGTACGGCATCTCTGGGCACGCCGCTGCTCTACGATGGACGACCTGGCATTCCCAGTTGGGCGCCGAATATGGCGACGCTGTCATCATCGGTGCTTCCAAGCTCTCGCAACTGAAAGAAAACATGGACATCCTAGAACAAGGGCCTCTTCCCGAGCCCCTCGTGGAGACCCTGAACGGGGTCTGGGAAGATGTCCGGGCTCTCGAGAAGGGTCCCCGCTTTTCCTTTGTCTAATTGTATTACGAATTGGGACGGCGAAGAAACAAAGCACGTTTACTGGTTATGGGACATGCAAAAACGGCACTCGGGATGATTACGGTATGGTTGGTGACCTCTGCGTTCGGGGTTTGCATTTTCGGCAAGAAAACTTGACTCTTGACCCTTGACCTTCGACTTCGATCCCTCAAGTGCTGAGGTGGATCTGTTTTTGGACTTTTGGACACGGACGTCCCTTTGTGATTGGACTGTTCGCTGTATGTGTGATGATACCCAATGTGGCTATATGTTATTTTGAGCAACAGATTATGGACAGTGTCCTTGCCGGTCTCTGGAAGACGCAGGAGGATGTCATCGACCAGTCGTGCTGGCCATGGAGTGCGTCTCCCGTACACCCAAGTCAGACGCATAGTGGTTGGAGGTGTGGACAACAACCACGATGACTTTGATAGCAATGGAAACCCCCTTGTTTGGGACCTGCATTCGCAACCATGAACATTCCGTCTTCTGAGTGCCTCCTGCCCGCCCTCCTTCGGTGCAAGTGCTTACGTTTTCGTTGCCCGCGGCTACACAAGTGGGCAAGACCAGCTCGAGTGTCTGCCACTTGACGCCTTCTGCTGCAGCTAACTCCTACGACTTTCTACGTAGCAGTGAAACTCCACCCAGCACGCATATTGTCTGGGCAGATGTGTCTCGAAGCACCCAATTGAGGCAAGTGACGAGTGGGGCCGGCCGCCCTCTGGTTGGTGACCGTGGACAGAGGACGTGAGGACCTGAGGTCAAGAATTCAGCATCAGTGGGTGAGAGCCTACTGTATGTCCACTCCCCTCTAGACGCGGGCGAAATACCGGCACCCAACCGCCCTCCGCTCGAGTTAAGAGTTGCGAGACTCAAGACAACACGAGCGTGCCGCACCGCTAGCAGGCAGTTGAAGCAGTACCAACGAATAGTCGTGACGATATCTTGCCAATCGAGTACGGCGCGCACACTTCGGTGCGAGAACCACTCAATTCAGCCTGGCTACACAGTTGGATCTCGATACCAAGCCAGGATCTCTTCATGACCGAAGACAAAAAAAAGCAACTGGTAGAATTGTTCCTGTGGCCCGTCAAGAGTGATCACATTCCTGTGAGGGGACGGGACTGTGCATGGTTGGTTCCAATCGGATTCTTTGGCCTCCAACATGCAGAGAAACTGGTCGAACAGCCAGCCAGTGAGGCGGGAATCCTTTGTTTCGACACGAATGGTGGGCCAACAACTGCTTCTCCAAAGTTCAAGTGGCGACCTCGTGAAATCATTCCTTGTAAAGCGATGCCTCTCGTCCATAAAGGAAATGATAGTCGCTCTTTGCATCCTGCGGAAACCGGACCCGAGTCAACAGTGGTGTCTACCGGCACAAGCGACATGAGGCATCAGGCGTCCACCACATCATTGCTCTCAACGTCTTGAACACCACCGGGAACGCAAGGCCCTGGACACCCGGATCGTGAATCAGACGTGGGTGCCCAGCAGTTTGGTGGTTCCCAAAGACATATCATGACGCAAACCTCTCACCTCAATGTCAGCCGACCTGACACCTAGAAGACCTCGTATAGGTCGGCTGACGGGCAGACAGTCAACGGCCGCTTTGCGAAACATGATGATCATTCTCAGAACGAGTATTTTCGCGAACACGCATTCACAAAACGACTTCGAGGGTGAGTGGCCTGAGCACGGTAGCGAACTAGCACTCCACTGGCTACCTCGACAGTGTCTTTTGTAGGAAAGATGCTGTACGAGCTACGAGCTACCGTACGAGAACTGCAGCAAAGAGATCGGCCGGGCCCCATCCACGTGGAAGAGGAATGCCTCGTGCCGCATTTGCCCACGGTGATAGACAGCTAATATGCCCGAAGTGGCAAAGAGTCCTGCGGTCTTTCGCGTGGCACTGGTGGCGCCATGGAATACTTGAGACACTGCCATCAGCTTGGGATTCGTACGAGTACACCTTACATGCGCCGTGCAGCGTAAGCGAGAGTGCGAAATCTCAGAAGCCAGTACTATTGACAGCTGCTTTCCAAGAGCCATCAGAAGTGCCAATGCGTACGACCGGATTGAGGGGCAACTCGGTCAAGTGCCCGCGCAGTTTGGAAAGGCGGGAAGACCCTCATGCTTACGCCTAAGCCCTCAGAGAACCACCTGTCAGGATTGGGCAACACTTCTTCTGTGGCTGACTGAGTCGTTTCAGCGCGCTGCACGCTGGAGCCAGGAGCCAGGAGCCAGGAGACAGAAGGATGAGGGAAAGCCACAAGATTCCTCATTCGCAACTCATCCCAATCTCAACCATTTCCTCAGGCAGGAACAATTAGCGCCCTCAGTGTTGACAGAACAGACGACGAGTAACAAACTGCCTCATTGCATCACTCCTCACTCCTCACTCCTGCAGGGGGTCTGGAAATGCAAGAATCACTTCACCCTTGTCCTTTTCCTCTCCGGCGTCATGGAGCTTCTATCTCTGGAACCTCCTGCATAGTGCATAGGAGGTTCTCTGACTTTGTCGTTGCATGGCGTGCAGGCACGAGGCCCCCCGAAGACCCTTGTGGAGTGCCGATTGTGGACTGTCGACTGTGAAGCGTGAACTGTGTGCAGAACCACAGAGGGGCAAACGGATGACAAGAGGCTGACAGCAGCTCTACCATTATCGATATCGCTATCGATAGAGGGGAAGCGACAGGGCGTATCGATAAGTCACGAACTCGGTGCGCGTATCGATAGCAGATTACTTTATCGGCTCGCTTACACAGTAAAGTGGGTGTGAGTGGACCGTCTGTAGACGAGGACCGACCGCTAGATTTTCTGGGGGCGGTCTCGCCGTCTCCTCAATGGCTGGTCCGTGGCGCAGCCCCAGGGTCGGAGGTACCGAGTGCCTGTACACAGTAAGCTCGAGTCTCCATCCACCACAATCCTTCACAGTGGTCTTCAACTTCAGACGTACGAACACAGGGACTTTTGCGTGCGCTCATTTGACGAGAGCACGACTTACCGCACACAGTGATTATTCGATGACCACCGCAAGGTCGCCAAGCGCATTGCATTACCCACATTACATATCCAGCACCCGAACGCCGGATCGAGACGTCAAGACATTGGGGGCTTTGCGGCACAGGAGCTGCCAGCAAATTTTGCCTCCATGCTGAAATACAGACGCCTGCGAATGAATTATCATGAATGTAGGTAGGAACCAGAGTTCTCTCTGTCCCATCCTGCGGCCCTATGTGATCTCGAGAATATGCCGGTTGATTCACGCCTGATGCCCGATGAGGCGCCTCATACGAGTACTCTAATGGGAGGAGCTTACTACATACGCAAACGGATTCATATACACCCTTACGCACGTACCGATAAACTTCGGACCGTCTGCTAGGCAGGGTACCTTCATAACGCGCATGAGATCCTTCGAGCTGACGGTCCCTCACTCAAATCACCTAGGCTCTCGGGTGTCAGGTGCTAGGTGTCAGAACTTCTGTCAAAAGTCATCTTCTCCACGTTTACGACGACTCCACCTACACAGTACACAGCACTGGATAGCTCGTATGAGTACCTGAGATGGAGAGTATGCAAGAGCATTTGCGGCGGCGTCTAAGTCTGTGATGAGCGCTATCGAGGGTGTGCTTCCTCCTGTGCAACCACCCCGATGCTCACCATGCTTCTCTTCCTCCTTCTACCGGTACGTGGACACGCTATCTTACTACCCCGTGTACACATCAACACCAACAAGTACTGTGTACATGTTTATGTCTCAGTTGTACACCACCATGAGCGAGCGAGTGCATTTTTCCGCCCGCGGCGTGAGTGAGTGCGTGGTCAACCACCTCGTCAGGTCAAGTGAAGTTATTGCAGGTGAGGATCTCTCGCGAGTCGGCAATGGCGGTCCGCCATTGAAGGGCGCATATGCCCGGGCATCTACCGCAATGCGATATTCCAATCGCATAAAGTACGCAAGATCGCCTACTCGCACACTCGCAGGCAGGCAGGCAGTAGGTAGCCAAAGGCAGAATCTCCGGTTCTCAGCCACCACTAATTACCTCGTACCTACCTACCCGCCTACCTAGCTATCCGTCTGGTCCCTATTTCGTGTCCCTCCAGCCACGGCCCCCGTCCTTGATCCCTCTCAACTACGAGTTGATGCCATGCGTACGTACGTATGATTGATAGATCTTCCCTTCTTCTCCCGCCGCAGTCAGCATTTCCCCGTCGGGTAATTAATTGTCGTCGTTAGCGTACCAGCAGACACTGGACAGTATTCCTCCGAGTAATGCTGCCGAGCAGTCCCGAACCACGGACCTATTACGAGTAGTGACCGGTGGTGCCAGGTGGTGTGGCAAAGGTCCCTGCGGCCCCCGGGCTCGGGCAGAGCAACGTAGTCGCCGTGGCGATGACTGCCTCATGTATGTATGTGCGTAGGTACAGTAGTGTGTGCGGCCGACTCGAGCCGGGTGTTAGGAGTTGCAATTACCAACGGCGACCACAAAGCTGGACATGATTATTGCACTCACGTGTATGGCTGTGTAGATCATCATGTCGATCTGCCCTTTCCACTGTATTGTATATCGACGCCATGTCATGGAGGTGAATGGGTGAGGACCTCGTTTTGGTAGTCTCCTCGCCGAGCCGATCAGCCTTGCTTGCGGGCCGGTCGATCTGTGTGGCGATCTGTGTGGCAATCTACTTGTTCGCCCACAGTATTCGTCTGCCCGAGTACCTCATACACCACTCTGCATATGCTCAACTTCGCGAGATGATGCGTCCGTTCGCAAGAGATACTGTACCCTATATGCGCCCCGCGTGTACGAGTGCGAGCATGAATCCAGAGTGCGAGTATCAATCCGCGGGTAGACTCGACTGCGAATTTGCAGCTGAGCACGACCCCGAGCTCAAGCCATGCGAGGGCAGTCACCGCGAAAGATCGTCCCGGCGCCACCTCTCCGTCTCCTGTTTCGGAACTCCATCGATGTCGCTCGCATTGCTCGCATTGTTCAATTTGACCGGCCTGTATAATACTACATAGTACTGTGCGAGACCATGGGAGTAGTGCGCATGCTACCTACGTGCTGCGGCGAAGCACGAGCGGACAGTCTGGACACGCTCCACTACACAGTAATTACCAGACCGTCAGGCAGTCAATCGCCAACCGCACCCTGGGACCAAAGTCGATGCAATCCAGTCATTGATTCGCCACTTAATGAGGGACTCGCTGGTGGCCTGATCGACTCCTGCACCCGGCAAGTGGCAGACATGTTGCCTTGAGGGTTCATTCGCATACTTACTGGTGCCCGATACGCGCATTCGCGACTTGGGCCTCGTATGGACAAAGACCCTGCGCATCCGAGTCCCAGGGCCCGTACCAGTGTCGGTTCCCTGGCGCAGTGCCAGCGGGCTGGCAAGGGCGACGGACAATGACAATGACAATGACGTCGGCGTGCGTGCCGAGCCCCAGGACGACGGACTACTACGTACGTATCGTATGAGAGATGGATGGATGTGTCCCGCTGGCCGTGTTGATGTCTGTTACGATTATGGATGCAGCGCCAGAACATGTTCACAAGGTCATCGTCACCTCGGTGATGAGCAAAGGTTAAGATGACGAGACCAAGATACCGAGACTGGAAAAGGGGAAAGGGAAGAGTACTTGGCACCAGGAGTTACATGCCTACTCGGACGTGTTGAAAGACTTGACTTTCGTGGTTCTTCTGTGTGTCCCCAAAAAAAGGTGCGCTTAAAAGTCGGACTACGTACAGTCTTGTGAAAGGCATAGCTCAGGGGAGTCAATCTGGTTCTATGTACGGCGGAAGGCATAGCTAGCTACAGTACGAGAAGCCATTATGGTTGTACTCTTCAATCCGACTTCCCTCTCATACGAGGTACCGTAGCTTGAGTCTGTCTTCGATATCACGACTCCGCATGGTCGCGGTATCAATCATGCTGCCAACAGCTCTGCCCGTGGTGAGCTTGGGCCTGCACTTGCCCTCGAGCTGTGTTCCCAATATGGCTCGGCAGTTCACAAGGCATTGCATTGCACACCGTGATGCCACGTCATGAACCTGACCTGCGGACTACTTCCACGAGTTGCGGTCTCTCAGCAGCAAAACAAGACCAAGGCCACCTCATTGAGGTCTCGCTGGCATGTTCTCTCGCTCTCTGCATCGGTGTAAAACGCAGCCGGTTTGTGGGCCTGGAGCAGGAAAGATTCTGGCGTCTTCAACCACAGCTGGATCATGATCCTTCTTCCCCTATGCCTGATAGCAAACAGCGTGCAGTAGCGTCATTTTCCAAGCACATGGGCGGACAGTTGATTCTTCTTTATGCCCGCTGATCTTGAAATGGTGCAGTGCCTCGTGGGTCTTTCTCACCCACTGACACAGGGCATGTCAATGTGCTCTCGTGCTCTTGTACTCTGCTCCCCACGTATCGTGCAACCTCCCAGACGCCACGGAGACACAAAGGGTCTTCCAGAGTAAAATTTGCTGCCAACCCTTCAGGCGACATGACACCGCTTTCTTGCCACCCCCAGATTGTTTACCCTAACAAAGTGTACTGTTCCGCGCTCACCGATAAAAACATGCCAGCGAACAAAAAGTGACACCACAATGGTTGTGTCAGCACAGCTAGAGCTCACAGACTCCAGATCGAACTGGCAAGGTTGGGAGACGCGGGAACTGGAAATCACTCGATGATGCCTCCTTTGGCCAATATCAGTCTTCTGTCTGGGGAAGTCGCACACGCTTGACACGGTGAGGGCTTGAGATGAACATTGCAGGGACCGCGTTGGCGGTCTGGATTGGCCTGTGGAGTGGAACAAGTTGGGGATGGCTGTACTTTGCACGCTCTTGTTCCGAAGACCGTGGCACAGCGTCATTCTGGGAAGTGCCCTGCTATTGCTGCCGCACACAGAGTTGCCGTGCAACGGTGGACGACATGAAATCTGGAACGTGACTAGCGAGGTTGGCAAGGGCGGCGAGCCCTGCTGTGAAGCATGAGTGGCGCCAGGCTTTGCGCGTGGTACGGCGTAAGGGGACGAAACATCAAGTTATCCCTGCATCTTGGGCTGGCCACGGTCGTCAATGCTCATCCCAGTCCCCATTCGTATGGCTCCTCACTTTTCGTGGTGACTCGAATGTCCCCAGGTTGAAATTGGCAGAGAGACACAGCCTCTGTCGAACATGGTACGGGGCAGACTATCAGCACCGTCTGTCAATGTGCCACTTCCGCCACGCGCTGCAATCAACCTGGCGTGGTTATAATACTTACCTGAACAAGGTTGAACACTGATGACTAGAGCTGTCGGACTGATAGCCTCATGCTGTCTGCACTCCGGTCATTCCGGTGGCGACCAGCAAATAGACCTCAAGGAAAGAATTGTCATCACGACAAGTATCGAAACAGAGACCGGCCCAGACGCTTGGACACAGGCTCGCCTTGGAATTTCATCTGTTTGCGCTGTGCAACATAGGCCTGGTATTCTCGTCAAAGCCAGGTCATTGTAGAACGGTCCACCACTGGTCGCGCCAACCTCGCCAGCCACAGTCCGGATTGTTCTTGTGCCCCTTGGAGATGTTTCTTGTCTATGGACTGACTGTAGACGCAGTCGTGAGGATGCTATTCCACCGCAGGAGAGCGCAATCCTGGCGCAGCGCAGCCTTGCCACACGTCAGTCAGAATAGAGCATCCACAACATCAGTAACACTGCTTTTGCTTCTCTTCTGCATGTGAAAGGGAGCGTGTCAGTCTGTCAACCTCGGGGGCAGACAGTCGGTGCGTAGGGAGGGCTGCAGTCTCGTTGAGAAGCCACACTCAGACACAGCATCCTGCTCTTGTCCATGCAGCCCTATCCCGAAGCGGGCTGGGCCAGTCCGAAACCGACATGGGCAAGAATGCGTGGCATGCATGGCCAGAACAGGTCGTGATGAGGAATGCGCAAAGACATGATCCATGGTCGAGACTAGTTGGGGCAAAGTGAGCTGCTGAACAGCCCAATCTGTGGTTGGGAATGCAGGAATATACTAGTATCAAGCCTACTACTGCAGCATGGCCGAGTCGATGGTTAATTAAGCGAGACCGCGTAAAAAGTACGATCCAGAACGATTGCCCGCTTGGGAAGTGGAAACCGAATTCGTGTCGTTAGGCGGCACGGCGCATCTTCAGCCGTGTGTGTGGACAGCCAGACTGGAGAGGTTTGTGGCTTGCATAGATGTTGCAGACACGAGATCGTTGTCAAACAATGGGTGTGCAGGTCAATTGGTCTGAAGTGGCTGATTACCGACGAGCTGGAACCGAACAAGGTTTGAAGACGCTTCAGGCTGAGAAGATGCAGCCGTCGGGCGGCGTCTGTGTCAAGCACTCAGTCGAGCGGTCAAGCCCTCAACGTGAACGTGGAGGAGCCGCCCCGACTCTCCAAGAAGCGGGTGTCTCACATGTTACAGATCCAGAGCTGGCGAGAACGAGCGGGGTCAAGAAATTGTCTTTCTCGAGGCTGAAGCACGTCCGTAGTCATCGGGCGTCGACGACGAATCACAAGAGAGAGCCATGCAAGATCAAAGATGTTTTTCTTCCCTGCCCGAAGCCAACTGCAAAATGCACTTGTACGGGAGCCTGTCAGTGTTGGTCAATGCCACACAAATTCCGCAGACCGCGCGCCAACGAATCTGATGGTTGTCAACTCATGTTCTGCACTGTCTCCATCACAGCCACATCAGCTGGTCGTTGGCGGATGGGCAGGTCGCATGTACAGGTACTCCTCGGAGTCTGGTGTCTCTCTGGAATCTAGGCGCATGGCATCTTCAGAAAACTTCACTTCAGCAGAGTTGACCGGCTCAACTGAATTCTCCCGGGCATCCATCTCCCCAAGATCCTTGACGGCATAGACATGACGGGCAAGATGAGTACCGATAGTGTGCCAGACTCCGCTTGCATCAGGGGAAAGTGTATCGGCCACTCCGTTTTGGTAAGACTCCTGAAGAGCCTGTTGACACATGCGCCACATCGACCTCTCTCTGTCCCTGGTACGTGCTGTGTTGCTCTAGAGAACACGTCGCCTTAGTCTCCACCCATAACAGAAGGGAATGGACTTACGGTGCCGTCTACCCAGGACAGACCAATGGTGGGCAAAATGAAAGGAGGAGTGAGCGCTCTGGGACCCCTACGCAACGCAGCTGCATCGTGCACGGCTTGTGGTTCAATCCAATGGTAGGCTGCCATGATGCGCGCAAGGTCGGTGATACGCCACCAAGGACCACACGAATATACACCCTCAGCCGATCGGCGACGGACCTAACGTTCGGCGAAAACGACTTTGATGGCCATGGTGCCCGCATTGATCTCAGCTGTCAGCTCGTTTCTCAGTATAATACACGCTGCTAGTGCTCGCTTGCTAACGGCCCTCAAGTACCCAGCCGCCTGATTGAGACCAATGAAGGGAGCCCTGTCGCGGTCTGGGGTCTCGTAACGAGGACCGACATAAATGGTAATGGTAGAACACTGGTGCCATGGGAACCCAATGAAAGATGCTAAATCTGGCTTGACGTCGCTGATGTTCAGAATCCAGCAATCGCCTCTTTTGTATGCTGGCGGCTCCATTGGTGGAGTTTCGTAGCAGGAAAAGTCAGGTGGGAGTTGTTCGGAGCTCGCCATGATGGATAGTCGGTGGACGAGATCAGAAAGCCCTAAATGTTATGAATGCGAGCAGCAATCGAAGATACGCGCAAGTAAGATGATGCTGTGAAAGGACTGCGAGAGATCGAGGGAGCAGGTTGAGTGACAGGGTTGGGGAGGACTATTTGAAGACTGTGTTGCAAGTGGGAGGCGCGCCTTTCGCGCAGATAATCTTGAGGATCGTCGGCTCTAGCTTTGCAAAGTGCATGGCGCCTCACTCAAAGACCTGGTTGAACAGTATGTATGGCTAACCACAGACAATTTCTGTTGCAGCTGCGGCAAAGGCCGGATTCAAGAATAGGGCCCTGTGGCCGTCAACGCCGATGATGCTGTCATAGTCATCGGAATCAAGATGGACACTTCCGGCGCAAGGGCCACTCCGTGCTTCCTGCAGTGGCCAGTCTCCTCAGGTGTTGGTATGAGTTGTGATGCTACCTACCTAGGTATCGTTGCTGTGCAAGTGTGATGCTCTCCAGGCACAAAGGGATCACGGCAAGAGCCGTCGTGCTCGGGCGACCTTCTGTTCAAGAATGATATCCCCGCTAAATTCCCCCTCAGGCACCGACCAGCTCTGATTGGTTGACACGCCCACCGCCGCGGGTGCCCGCCATTGAATACAGAAGATTCAAGAAGTTTTGTGCGAGACAAGCCTCATTACGTCTCACACCTCTCAGTCTGCACCGCTTCTCGAACACTAACACCAGTCGCGAACAGTACACCTACGCCGGCTTTCCACTAATCCGTGCGCATTTTCTTTTCCAACGCTTGAACCTTCGGGACCGATCGCAATGGCGGAAGCAAAGAGTGGTAAGGCTCACCGATGCCTTTCAAAGTGAAATCGGCATGGCCTGACCCAGTCTTTGTGTAGGAAGACCTAGAGTCTACTTCGACATCTCCATCGGCGGTAGGAAACAAGGCCGGATCGTCCTCGAGCTTGTAAGTCCACGCCATGGCCTTACTGTGAACCAGCCAGTCTAACACAGATCACAGTACAATGACAGTATGTCACTCTTTTCTCGCTCTCCTCTCACACCTCACTGACGTACCTCCCAAGTTGTACCGAAGACGGCCGAAAACTTCCGTGCCTTATGCACAGGTGAAAAGGGAATCGGGAAGCAGGGCAAGCCGCTGCATTACAAAGGTGGGCAATCAGATACGGTTGATATTGCGCGAGGCTGAGCCGTGAGCTAGGGTCGATCTTCCACAGAGTGATCAAGTCGTTCATGATCCAGGGCGGTGACTTTACGAGAGCCAACGGCACCGGAGGCGAGTCAATCTACGGTGAAAAATTCGACGACGAGAACTTCGAGCTGAAGCATGACCGACCCTTTCTACTGTCCATGGCCAACTCGGGTCCCGGCACCAACGGATCACAGTTCTTCATTACCACCGTCCCTACTCCACACCTCGATGGCAAGCATGTTGTTTTTGGCGAAGTCATCAATGGCAAGAACATCGTCCGCACAATCGAGAACTTACCGCTTCAGTCAGACAAGCCCGTGGGCGGTGACGTGGTAATCGACGATTGTGGCCAGCTCGAAGGTGACAGCTACAACTCAGCCACTCAGAAAGTAGCCGATCCCACCGGCGATCCATACGAGGACTACCCGGATGACCAGGGCGAATCATTGAAGGGTGAGGAGTACTACAAGATTGCGCTGGATCTCAAGGACTTCGGCAACAAGGCGTTCAAAGTCGGCGACGTCGAGACCGGCATCGAGAAGTACCAGAAAGGCCTGAGGTACCTCAACGAATACCCGGCAGCCAACGACAACGATCCCAAAGACCTTCAGAGCAACCTAGACCACCTGCGATTCACGCTGCACAGCAATTCTGCACTTCTGGCCGTCAAAGCCAAGCGCTACGAGGAGGCCGAGAAGTGGGCTACTTTTGCCATTGACGCTCCTCCCAAGGATGCCAAGGACACGGACAAGGCCAAGGTATACTTCCGCCGTGCACAGGCTCGGGTGGCTTTGAAGGATCTGGAGGAGGCACTCAAGGACTTTGAGCAGGCGTCCAAATTGGCGCCCGAGGACGCGGCGATCAAGTCTGAACTAGCGAGGACCAAAAAGACACTGGCGGACAGCATGAAGAAGGAAAAGGAAAGCTACAAGAAATTCTTCACCAGCTGAATCGGGGAACCGGCTGGAGGAGATTACAAGCCCGATATGCTGGTTGCCTGGCATGAGGGTGTGGACACAGTGGTCGGTGCAACATTGGACGGTGGCATTACATGACAGGCGTGCTGTAAAGGAGCGACAAGCCCTTCCTGGGAAGCGTGGTTGGCGCCTTGTCTGTTCAGCGTGCGGTTTTTAGTAAAAATGGCAGCTTGTCAACTGGTCCAACAAACGATATTATGATCCGGTACAGTAATCACGCAACGTGTCCACTATCGTATCACGCCGAGGACATTCACCCAGTGATGATCAAACCCAGCTGCCTAGGTAGTCAACCTAGCAAGTCTTTCGCCTGTATTTCACCTGTATCAATGCTTGTTTGTTGGCAGCAAGGTCAAGGCTGACTCCTCCCTTCTGCGTTGCCGCTCGCCATACTACCCGTGCTCTTCCCATTCTTCATCTCCTCGCGCCAAGTCTGTCTCTCCTGCCCGGCCACCCCAGGCCCCTTGTACACACTCCCATACGGCCCCGACGCCCAGCTCTTGCCCTCCCTGGCCTTCTCCGTCTCCAGCCTCCCCTTGGCGCTAAACTTGCGGCGGTACCACTTCCCGTACACGAGCAGGTAGTACAGCCTGAAGGCGAGAAACGCGAACTTGTCGTGCTCCAGATCCTCCGGGTAATCGGCACCCAGATCCACTGCCGCCGCAATGCCCGCCATGATGGCGACCTCGTGCGCGTTGACGAGCGTCCACGAACTCGCGTAGCGCACGCGGTTGCGGCCCTGCAGGAACATCATCCAGGGCACGACGAGCACGTAGTGCGTCCAGCTGTGGCAGAGCTGGTGCCACCAGTCCTTGCGGATGATTTTAGTCTCGTCGATCTCGCCGTCGCTCCACAAGTGGCCGTCGCGCTTCTTGTTCAGGAAGATCGTCTGGAAGACGTGGCTTTCAAAGGGCACGTTCTCGGGAAATTGGCACTGGTAGTTTGTCGTGTCGAAGCACATTTCCAATTTACTAATGTCCTGCGGGTACATCTTGATGTAGTACATGGGGCGGAAGTTCTGTTTGGCGTACTCGATGCGCGAGGACTGGTCGTCCTTGCCCGTCAGGGATGTTACGCCGGGCGTGGCGGCCGAGTAGAAGTTCTCGTAGTGCTTCTTCATGTAGTCCGCGTCGGTGTGCGTGATGGTGATGTCGTCGGAGAATTTGGCCGAGCCGAGCACCTTTCGCTCGCGCCACGAGGACGTCTTGCTGAGCACGCGTTTCGCCGTGTCGGCGAGGCAGCAGAGGACGAGCTCGTCGTAGTGTTCCTCGAATGTTGGGGCGTTGGGGTCGCCGAATTGCGCGTTGTGGTGGTCCGGTTCGGGCGTGCGGTGCTTGAGACAGACAATCACGCCGCGCGACTTGGAGCGGTGGAGGACGCTGACGAGCTCCGTAGACAGGCGGACCGTCACGCCCCGCGATTCCAGGTCTTTTTGCCACGTGGTGTAGAAGTCGCTAAAGTTGGGGAAGACGACCATGGGAGGCAGGTTGGAGGCGATGCTGAGTTTGTCGTACGGGTACCACATGCCGTAGGTGGGCGAGGTTATGAGGCGTTCAAGCATGATGGAGGGGACATTCGGTGCTTCATTGCCGGTCCCTAAGAACAGGGCAACCATGGGCAGGGCGACAGTGTTGGTGAATTCCTCGGAGAAGAACCATAGCTTGAAAAAGATCCTCATGGGGATCAGGGCGAAGAAGATCTCGAACCAGCGCATGAATCGGATGGCAAAGTGGAGTCGGCGGACTTCGCTCTGGTGCTTCTTGATCAGTTCCGTGGGAAAGACGTTGGTCCAGAACGTTTCGCCCTTGCCGAAGGATACTTGCAGGTTGACAAGGTCGGCATGGTAGCCTTGGCGGGCAAACATGGTGAGCGTGTGGTGGAAGATGAAGCTGCCGCCCTGGACGCCCTGATTGAACCAGCTTGCTCCGTGACGATCCTTGTCGAGGGGGCATGAGAAGGCTTGTCCGCCGCAATAGTCGACGGCGTCGATCAAGGTGACGTCGTATTTCTCAGGATGTTGGGAGAGGTGATGGGCTGTGGCCATCCCGCCAGCGCCTGCGCCGACGATGAGAACCCTCTTGCGACCATCTTTAGTGTTACCGACGGGTTTCTGAGACATGGCGGCAGTGGTAGCGGTAGAGGGTCGACCCTCGATATCCTGGCGGAAGGAAGCGCTGTCCATCAACAAGAGATGCTACCAAGAAGCACAACCGGGAGACAGACGAGCAAGGCCTGTTCCTGGCTATATGTAATAATGGCGTGCAAGTCAATGGAGCTGTGGTGGTTGGCAAAGTTTCCATGATCCGTCCATTGTGGCTTGCGACGTCATCACCTCGAACTTTTGTTCATCCCGTCCAGGTCTCATCTTGAATCTGGTCGCATGCAGATGCAGATCGATCTTCGCAATTGGGCGGGGTCGCATTAGTTCCGATCGTTCCGGCTTCGCTAATCTGGGTTATTCGCCTTTCTTTTCCTGCTCGGGCCTGAGGTTGCTGTACTGTTGCTGGTGTTGTCAATCTGGTTGTGATTTTCGGGTGAGGATGTCTGTTCCGCGATTGTCGGGGAGTCAGCTGCCCGACAGTCCTTCCCTGACTGCAAGGCCTTCACGAGTCTTCCGATAGTCGTGAGATGCACATCTATACCAAAGCGTTCTTTGAGATTGTGCTGGACAGCCTTCCGCTCGGCGTCTGGGTAAGTTGCAAGGTATTCCTTGACGCCTTGAAGTGCATAGTCTGGTACCTTGGGTGGCCGGCCCCTCGGACGCCGGTTACGATTCAGTATCTCTGGATCAATTACACTGCGGGTTTTCACCTGCGAGATAAATGGTTGGGAGACACCCAGAGCATCAGCGATGTCTGACGGTTTGACGCCGGCAGCCAGTTGAACCAGGACCAAGTTCCTGACTTCGTCCGAGTACCGATGATGAGAACCACCTGAGACCATGGCGAGGTAGTCGGACGCCGATTCCAATTTACATAGTAAATGCCTTCTAATAGCCCGGCAAGCTTATGTAGCTGTCGCTATCGATTCCAAGTTTACGTGTAGAATAACGACGCGTTTTTGCATTTTTGACCGTAAACAGAAGGTCGGCCGATGGCAGACTCGCTTCCTCACTCTTGCCTCAGATCATGCTCCCACTGAGCGCAGCTTCATCCATGACAGCAACTACTGACGAACAGGTAATGGTTGCAGCGAGAGGACTCTCTACCACTTGCCAGAATCGAAATTTTACCGTCCAACTTATCTGGAACCCCTCCCTGAGCCTGTGTCCGAACTTGTGCCTACCTTGGAAAGTCTCATCCCCGAAGCTCGAGCCTGATTGAGCCCAATATGCTATCACACGCGACTCACGCTGAGCGTGGAAAACGGTTACTTTCAGGATACAAAGAAACCTCCATCGCACCGCGTCGAAGTACCAGAACTTCTTCCCGTCTTCATGATCGGTTGCATTCGCCGCTGGAGACTGCGGCCGGGTTCAGCACAAACCACCAAACTCAAGAGTTGAATAGCGATGCATACTACAGAGAGTAACATGGTGAGCTATTACAATATTGCAAGAGCACATTTTACCCATGGATGGAGTGGCTTTCATTTCTAGCTTCATTCATGCGGCACTCTCAATTAATGTGACATCCCTTCATATCCCAAAGTCACCTATTTGTTCCCTTACCTGTGGTGGCGGCAGCAGCAGCAGCAGCACAATTTCTTCACAGTGACCGTGTTCTAGCACAATCAGTAACTGTGTCATTACTGCATTCTCTCACTATTTGTTGTCACAATGTTATTGTGTTGTTGACCTCTGTTGCCATTCGAGGCAATGGAAATGAGTCTAAGTAGTGACTCCTTGGGATGTCCCTTCAAGGCAGAAGGCAGGGGGTTGGATTTACAAAAGGTCATACCCATCTCTTCGCAGCCGGAGAACATTATATCGATCGAGGGCAGATCTACCACGGCTAGAGAACCACGCAAAGTGTTCGACAGGGCCCAGCAAGTTCCGCCCTGTCCTCCTCCAGTATTTCGCTTGCGCAGATATGGGTGCAAATATGTCGTGTTCAAACCCGTCAGATGCTCAAGAAGGACCTTTCGGAAAGGAATGCGACTGCCACATACGGGTGATACGAAATTTTTGCCGCACATGTGATGAAAACGGCATGAGGACTCTGATCCCCTCTACATCTCGCAGAGAAAATCCTCGCAAGTTTTGGGTGCTTGATTCTACCTGTGAAGGTCACGGCAGATCCCGGATAATAAGCGACGTCCGAAGCATCAAGAAGCTGCTGCCATATAAGGGCTGTAAGTTTTCTCAAGCAGAAGATCCAGACGCCCTGGTGATGGAGTCCACAATTGCTAATGTGAAGCAGGCAAGACTTGCAAGAAGAGGTCAAAGAACTTTTCGCGGCTATCAACTGGCAACTCCGTTCGCTGAGGCTCTTCCGATCATCCTAAGGAGCTCTACCAAGCTCCAACATGGTGACCGCTTGGCCCGGTCCGTCGCAGATGTCAAACAAGTTACTTCTTGCTTCTTCCACTTGAGAAAAACAGCACTCTACGCCAGCCCCCACCGAATGACGTTGGTAGTCTGATACGAGATTGGGCGACGTCTCCGCGTAACAGCTGTTCTGAACCGCGCTCTCCCTCCCTCAGAGTCGCGACTCGCGCGCCCCAGACCGAAGCTTGCTCAGCTTCAGAGCCTCTCGCACACCCAGGTCAATCATGACATCTTCCGATCCGCCGGGGACGATCAGCGCAATCACACTGCGCGAGATGGCCTCTATTCTTGCACCCTGACCACTCTTCGTAAGGCCGAGCCTGTTTGCCGTCAGTACCGCTACCAATCTCGCGAGCTCACTCCGCTCGCTGGGATGACGGCACAAAGACAAGGAACTTGCTGGTACTCACCCGCCCATGATCTTCACACACTCATCCGCCACATATTTCACCACCATGCCCGCCTCGACTTTAAGCAAAGCCGTCGTCCCGCCCAGCAGCCTATTCCCCTCCTTCTCACCAAGATGATCCAGCTCATATACAATTTGTTCAACCCACGCCTGCAGGGCCTCGACCTTCTTCCCGCACAACCCCAACTTATGCCGCACAACAGGCTGCTCGATCAGCTTTCCACCAAAGACATCCCTCTTCTGCGCCCACGCGAACGCATCTTCCAGACAGATGCGCGCTCCGCGCAGGGCCTGGAACGCAATCCACAGCCTCTCGTGGTTGAAATTGGACATGATGAACTTGAACCCGCCGCCCTCTTCGCCGATCAGCATGTCGGCCGGCACTTTGACGTCCTCGAACGTAATGTACGTGGTGGAGCTCAGTTTGCCGGCCCCAATCTCGATCCTGCGGCACTGGATCCCCGGTAAATGGCGGTCGATGAGGAGGAAGCTCAGACCCGCGGCCCCGGAGTCCGGTGGTCCTGTCCGCACAGCCGTGCTGAAGTAGTCGCTGAACATGCCGTTGGTGATCCACTTCTTCTCGCCGTTGACAATGTAGTGCTTCCCGTCGGCGGTTTTCTCGGCCGTGGTGGTCAAATTGCGCACGTCGGAGCCCGCGCTGGGTTCTGTGATCGCGAGGGAGATGCGTTTCTGGCCCGACAGGATCTCCGGGAGGACCTTGGCCTGCAGGGCTGGGGAGGCGAATTGGCGGATGGGCGGGGCGCCGACTGTCTAGACGATGGAGACTGGTCAATACAGAAAATGACACCCGAGTATGCTCTTGAACGATGGGTAAACTGTCACAGATGTGATGGGCCTAAACGCTCCTCTTCACAGGGGAGGATTGAGGAGCCCACCGCAGACAAGGTGGCCGTACAGTACAACACAGCACAACACAACAAGGTCATAGGAGGGCCGGAAGACGTGACTTGACATGAACGAAACGAACGAAACGAAAAGGAAGATCGACTGACTCAACTTACCAAACCGACAAAAATCGAACTGACAGCTCCCCCTCTATACAGTTCATCCCAGAGCACGAGATCGTGAAACCCATCCCATTCCTCCGGCTTGATGTCCCCAATGATGGGATACTTGCCCGCCCATTCCCTGGGGATCGCCCTTCCGGCGGCAATGGGCATGAGGAGTCCATCGGCGGCGCATTTCGCGTATACCTCGTTGGGAACCTCGCCTGCGGCTTCCCATTCCTCGCTGCGAACGTTCTGCGCGGAACAAAGTCAGAACGGAGCCTTTCACCCTCGCGTCGTCGCAACCGGAATAGAGGGGAGGGGCCAGGGAAAGAAAGCTGCAATGGCACGGCCGAAATAAATTACAGTTTCCTTGGGGAAGAGAAGAGAGCTGCAGCGGAAGAGACGTGCGTATGTGAGGGTATGCGTACCTCTTGGACCCATCTCCTCACCACCTCGCGCAGACGGCGATGCGAGGCCTTATAGTATGGCGATGGACGGCCCGTGTACCTACAGTGCATGGACTCGTCTTGTCAGCAGGCCAGTACGTCCAGGGTGTGTTTTGTAGCGGGACGGTGATTTGCTTCCTCGGGGCAGGGCGACACATAAAACGCACCACGCGGGTTCCGCAAAGGGGAGCGGACTGCCGAAGTGGTCGGTCGGCATGGTATGGTATGGTGCTCTGCTGTGCTGTACTGGCTCGTTCCGGGCTCGATATCGAGTACTGTGGCTATTAATGTGATTATGCGTGATTCGTGCCCCGTGCTTCGGTGCTGTCTAGTTAGGGACTGTATGCGGTTGACTTTCGGATGGTACGGGGTTTGCTGTATTTGATCGTGCTATGTGATGGCGCCTCGTGTTGGGATACCGGCGCAATGTCCGAAGACGAGGTTTAATCAAGGGGTCCAGTGAGGTGGATAGATTTCTGGTCTGAAGCTACTCAGTCTTGGAGATTGAGTTCCACGATGGGCACTCAGCATGCATGTATTCAGTGTATGTAATTATTGCTCGCGTCGACGGTCGCACTTACGGTACCCTGGCGCGGCCGGCACGTTGGCTGCCGAGGTTGTTTCTGGCCGGTTGGAGCGTTTACAGTACAAGTGTACCAATCGATGACTACGATAGCACCTCCTCTAGCTCGGTAGGTGGCCTTGCTCCCTGTTGACCGACGCCGAACCCCACATTCACCGCCCTGAATCCTCGCAGTTTACTCTGTACCTTACCGAGCCTTGGAGGTGCCGAACTTGGGCTGTCGAGTGCAAGACATCAGTTTCTTAGTGTCAGCCAGTGCCAGCCTGGACAAGAGCGAATACAGGGCCGTTAGGAGGCCAAGTCGGAACTAAGTATCCGCTTACCCTAATCTATCTAACCTCGGTGGACTTGGAAGCACGATATCTATTAACCACAGCTGAAAGGTTCTTCCGCTATGCTAATGCAAGGAATCACTCCGACAAGGTGAAGCCGAGGTTCAGCAAAAACAACAGCCCCAGCATCCTCGAACCTTTCTTCACGTCATCGTCGTCTCTCAACCGGACGGCTTCGTGTTCCAAGTCCACGTGCCTACTGGGTAAGTCGCGGGGTTGAACAGCCCGGCCGTGTAATTCATCACCGCACCCATGTTAAGCTGGGTGGTGTCCATCACCATCTTGGATCCAGGCAACACACAGTCCTGGACGCCCGCGCAGTAGGTGAAATACTGGCTCTGACTGCTCGGATCGCCTTGCCCACCAACTGTCTGTCTCAGGCCTTCGTCTTCAAAAGCCCCAGAGGAAGCCCCCGCGCTGAAGAAGTAGGTTGTCCATACGCCGGGAGAGTTGGTGTCGTATGTCATTACCGCGTGGAAGACGTTGTTGTCTTGGCCGTAGTGGGAGAAAAACCACTCGATGCTGATTCCGTAGCGGCCCGCGGAGATCTGGTCGATTTGGTAGTATATGCCCTGTTGGGAGGCGCCGATGATGTGGCCGTACGACCAGAACGGGGCCAACGTGTAGCCCGGAAGATTGCCGGCCGGGAAGGACAGAGGAGACGAGTCACTGTTGCGAGACAGCGCGGACCAGGTGTTCTGCGTGGACGCCGTGACTGCGAGATTTGTGTTTGTGAACCAGAAATTTGCCGTCACCCACAGCGTGGTGGTCGATTGACCGAAGATGCGCCATGCGTAGCCTGGTAGGACGCTCGACAGGTCCAGCAACGTGGCGTGGTTGGTGTCGCTCCAGTAGTTGAAGTATGTATTTGTACCACCGGGATAGTCGCGCGCTGAGCCTGAGGTTATGGGACCCACTTGGAAGGGCACTGGTCGAGCGAGGTACAGTTGCAAAGGCTGTGAAGTGGTGGGGCTGCCGTTAGGAGTGAGCCAGCGGCCCGAGTGCACGCCGTTGGTCTGGGTCATGTTGGTGGTGAGTGAAAGACCGTTGCTGACACGGCCAAAGAGAGTGCAGAGGCCAGATGAGGCGGACCAGGAAAAGGCGGCGCAGGTGGAGCTTTGCGCGGCGGCAACGTCGCATTGGTTGGCACAGCTGTTGTAGGTAGCTTGAGTGGTTGCGCCGAAGGGATTGTTGCCGGGGTTCGTGTAGTCAGACTAATCATGCTTTTCAGTATATCTCCGGCATTACTGACGATGGCAGTCAACTTACTGCGCACTCGATATCATAAATACGCCCCTGTGCCGGATTCACCTGTAATTGGCCACCTGGAGCATTGGTTAGCTTCTACGGCCCCCTTAGACTGAAGTGAAACTTACCATAATACTTCGAACGAAGATTGTTGTCGCAGACTGGATCTTGAGGGTAAGCCAGCGGGAAGTTAGCTGACGCCATCTGCGAAAGATCGTTGACCGGGCTCGCTGAAGTGGTCGCAGCGGCTTGAGCCCGAGTGGTGGTTGTCGATGACTGTGTTGTGACCGGGTTGGACGTTGCTTGGACTGCTGAAGTTGAGACCGTCGTTGATGATGAAGTTGCGGAGCTGCCACACAAGAAGCTCGGGTCAGTATAATCGGTGATCAGAGGGTAGCCAGCGTAGAGCAACCGGGCGCTATTGAATGTAGCGTTGCCGCGTGTGCCACAGGTAATGGAAGAATATAGGTAGCAGTTGTTGGTCGTCCCTTGACCAACTGGGGTTACCATGAAAGTCACGCCCAGGCAACTGTTGGCTCGGAGAACATTCGCATACTGACATTGATTGACGCAGTCATTCAGATCAAATATCAGCAGAGCTTGCGACGTCGACCCTGTAAATTGGGTAGAGCATTCAATCTCGTAGTTGGCTGAGTTACCCAGGTAATCGTACTGGTAGCATAGAGGGGAATTGCCTGGACAGATTGTCGATGCATCTGTTGGAGCGGCTGGACAAGTAGTGGGAACATATGAGGTTGTGGTGGTCGCCGAATTTGCCACAGATGACGCAGGCACAATGGATGATGAGATCGTCGGGGTCAGAGCATTCTGGCTCGTAGTGGTGCTCGGTAGTGGGTAGGTCGGGTCACTGATCAAGGGATAGCCAGCGTAGAGCAGGCGCCCACTGTTCACATTCGCATTGGCAACGGTGCTCGTGATGGCAGACATGAGAAGGCAATTGGCGCCTGTCCCAGCCGATGTCCCAAGGTAACTGACACCGACACATCCAAAGGGCAGTGCAACGTTGTAGTTGGTACATTCGCCAATACAATTTTTCAATGATGTTTCGATGGTTGAATTTCCAACCAGGACAGTACCCTGTAGTGCAGTAGCACATTCAACTTCATAGCAGTAGCCATCGCTGTTGGCGTTCAAACCCTGATGATTATAGGTGGGACAAAGGTCAGTCGTGGTCGGTGTGGCAGAACAATAAGACACTACAGCTGTCGACGCAAGGCTAGCAGTGGTGCGTGATGATGTGGTTGTCAGTGTGCTAACAAGCGTCGTACTCGACCTTGAGGTCGCCTGACTGGACGTAGCTGAGCTTGTAGAGACCGGCCGCGATGTCGATGTAGGATTGCTACCGGTTGGGGTGGCAGACGACGAAGACGGGCTTGCAGCAGGAGAAGAGGTGGCTAGATTGGTAGTGCGAGAAGAGCTAGCCGGATTTCCAGCAGGCGAAGAGCTCACAGCACTGGAACTGGGAGACGAAGTGGCCGAATTCCTTGAGGTCGACATCGTGCTCGGTGGCTGTTGGGCGCTCGAAACTCCACTCGGGGACGAGGTTGCAGCACCACCAGAACCGGGGGATCCCGCTGTTGACGACACCACAGCAGGCTGACTGCTTTGCAAGCCTCCGCCACTGCTGGATGGGGTACTCTGGTGAGTGCTCGTTGAACTTGGGGAAATATTCATGCTAGTGGTCGGGTTGCTGGATCCCTGTACGGTCGAGGTGGAAGGGGAGATTGCGCCATTCGCAGCTGTGGACATTGTAGACGCCGGAGGTGGGGGTCCAACTGTGGTGGATGATGCTTCTGCACTCGAACTTGGTGTGGTGCTACTCTCGATACCAGAGAAGACGATTTCAGGGGCATACGGCTCGTTGACAACGATTGCGGCCTGTGAGAAAGAATTCGCTCCCCTGTTTACTGCGGGGATAGAATATTTGAGATGGCATGGATTCCCGCTCTCAAGCTGAAAGAACCGTTAGACATGGGCCGATACAAGCCAGCTAGACTTACAATGTCAAATTCTACAGCAACACACTGGCCTTGCGAAGTAGGGACGTAAGACCTGCACGCATCGACGCATTCCGCAATATCCGAAGCGGGGACAGCATCCAGATCATAGCCTTCGAGATCCGTATCGCACAGGATCAGGTAATTGTTATTGACGGTGCCATCGAATGGGGAGCGATCGTAGCAATTTGGAGTACCGGTCGTTGTTGGCGCAGGATATGCCGTACCACTTGAAGATGGCAAGGGTGCTTCAGAGCTCGAGGAAGGTCCGGCATAAGGTGAAGAGCTTGTCGTACTGGATGGAGAACTCGGTCGTGTCGATGACCCTGAAGCAGAATTGGATGGCTCTGGGGTCGAGGGAGTAGTCGAAACAGAGATGATTGTCTCCGGTGGTGAACCTGTGGTGGTTGGGAATCCAGAATTGTCCGGCGGCGATATACTTGATGAGATAGTAGGCATATTGCCTGATGTGGATTGTGGCAAGCTTGTCGTCGAAGAGGTGGCAGATGGGTTGACATCTACCACAGGAATAACGCCTAACTGAATGACCGTGCAACCTGCTGGTGCCGCTCCGTCGAATGCTGCCACCATTGTCGAGCCAGAAACGCAGAAGATCACACGCCCACCAAGAAATGCATCATTTATCCACGCCAGAGTCCTGTCGAGGTCGATAAGGAATTGGGTAAAGATCCGCGAAGCTCTTTTCATTCCTGGTGTGTCAGATGAAACTGCGAACGGCTGGAACGCGACGTCTCCGGAGGTGGACACATAACCATTCCCAGCCATTAGCTGCCCAAAGGCGTTGACAGAAAAGTCTGCGGCTTGCGAAGAGTCGCTGGTGATTGTTCCATCGGCTCTTAGGTAATCAGTGTTGCCGTTCAATGTAAAGGCAAGAAGAACTGGCGATCCTGGGGTAATGCTGTATGTGTGTCAGTTTCGTCGCTGCGTAGCGCCAAAACAGGTCGTACCTAGGTGTTGTGGACGCGCTGGTAGTGGCACTGCTACTTGTACTTGAACTCGGGTAGACGGCAGGACAATAGCTGACACCAATCGAGATTGTCGTGCCATATCCAAAAACCGGTGTCACCAGCTGCAACGCTACAGCAGCAGTAGTCAAACCCTTCCACATCGTATTGTCTGGGCCCTTGTGCCGGTTGCTTTCATACCTTAGACTCGAGACGCCGTGACAGCGACGACAGATGGAGATTTGAATACATCGTACAGATACGACGGACTCGGTGGTCCGTGTGGGACCTTGCACGCGACTGGAATGGTAAACACGAAATAGGCGGAATGTCAGCCTCGCAGCAGATCAATTCGTGTTTCTAGTTAGAGCATAGCTTGACACTGGGAAGGATGGCTCGCATCATTGTCCAAACCTTTGTGTTAACGCCAACATGTCCTGCCCGCCTAAGAATTTGGGCGAAGTGGGGGCTCCTGAGCAGAGTCCATGAGCTCGACGCCATTGTAATATGACGGGACAAACAACAATGGCGATGGAGCAGCAGGATCTCGACTCTCCATTCCAGCATTCGCAGTAGAGACCAGTCGATCTGGCATATTCGACCTCGGAAGGTTATTGAGAGAGGGAGCACCAGGAGTAAGAGGTGAGAGAGCCACATTTAGACGTGCCTCGCGTGAACAGGAGAAATGGTGGCATCACGTGCGTCAGGCTTGGCGCCGCCCCACGTGACCATAAAGGGAGACCACAACTCCCTGCTGTTTAATTACAATCGTTCGCGTTTGAGGTCGACCCTCCTGTGCTCGTACGACAACAGTCAAAATGCTGCAGACAGGAATACAAACGCTGTCCGTTGACTCGGAGCTCTGCGGTGATTCATGAAACACCGAACTTGGCGCCAAGACCACATCCCATGTCATTCCGCTTCTTGGATCTCTTGGACTCCTTTACCGCCAACCTCCCATCCATGCGTTGTCCTCCCTGCGCCGTTACTACCTCACGCGGTCACCCCGCACTTTGGCCATGCTCCCTTGTGAGCGCCCCAGAGAAGGCCGAGCTCTCGCTTGCAGAAGGACAAGCGACAGGCATTGCCTCTGTCGAGGTAATATCGCTTTGACTGCTCGATGTTCTCCGCGTCCTTCGCCACGACAGTATGCACGATGCCAGAGAACGGGACCTCTAACTCTGTGTTTCGAGCCGTCTCCTCCTTGGCGGATGGGGCAACTAATGCGGCCGCCGGCCTTCGAGCGGATATATGAAAGATGTCGGCGTGATACCGGTCTCAAACCCACCCGCCCGGAAAGCCAAGCCATTGCTGGACTGCGACCAATCTGCAGAGTCCGACCATTTGTTGATTCGCAATGATAACCGAGTCGAAAGGACATCTCCAGATATATGCCGGGGCCCCATATTCCATCTTCGTGGTGTGGGACTTTCCCTATACGCAGATCGACCTCTCGCAGGGAAAGGAGAATCGCCGAATGCCACGCAATTGTGGGATTCACCCATCTTATCACGACTGCAGATCCCTCTGTGGCTCTGCAAACATAAGAAGGTATTGGACTCTGGTATTTTGCACCATCGAGCCTGTGTACTTCCGTTTTCTTTCTCCCTACATTGATAGTGTGCATCCACACTCGAGTCGCGACACGCACGATGTTCGGATCTAAGGACTCCAGCCTCTGGGCTAACAGGAAATGCCTCTTCATTTGCTGCATCGTCTCAATCGCGAACACGCAGTATGGCTTCGACACAGCCGCTGTTGGAGGTGCGTTGCAGTCTCGAATTCCACTTGGGTCGAGACTCTTACATTTTAAGTAGGCCTCCAAGCAATGCCGGGATTCTTAAAAGTGTTCGGATACGAGGACCCTGAGAGCCCAATCGGGTACAGCATCGACCCGACGTTCCAACAACTCATCAGCTCGCTCCTCACCTTGGGTTCATTTCTGTCCTCTCTGTTAGCAGGCTCCTTTGGCGCGTTCTTTGGCCGCAAGCACGCCATTTGGCTGGCTTGCGTGTTGAACGCCGTCGCCGTTGCCCTCCAGATCGCCACGACGGCCAAGGGCGCCATCTACTTCGGCCGCCTCCTCCTGGGCATCGCCAACGGGTTTCTCGTGACGTTTTCCAACGTCTACACGTCCGAAGCCGCGCCGGCGCACCTCCGCGGCGTGATTGTCGCGCTGTTCGCCTACTGGGTCAACATCGGCTCCATCCTCGGTGGCACGGTCAACAACTTTACAAAGACACGGATGGACAAGTCGTGCTACCAGATCCCGCTGGGCTGTCTGTACATTGTGCCGGCCATCCTGGCCATCGGCCTGTTCTTCGTGCCCGAGAGTCCGCGGTTCTTGCTGCACAAAGGCAGAGACGCCGAGGCGAAGAGGTCGTTGATCCAACTCCGCGGCTCCGCACTGACGCCCGAGGAGCTGGAATACGAATGGGCCGAAATGGTACGCGGCATGGAAGAGGAGAAGAAGACGGCCAAGAGCGTCGGCTGGATCGACATGTTTAGAGGCATGTTTTTACTTGGCTCCCCCTTTTTGCGGCCACCTCCCACTGACTGTCAGAAAGGCACCGACCTCCGCCGCACGGTCCTCTGCTACTGCATGATCGCCTGCCAGTCCGCGTCGGGCATCTGGTTCCTGATCGCCTACCAGACGTACTTCCTGCAACAAGGCGGCGTGACCAAGCCCTTCGAGTACACCATCATGACCAGCTGCGTCGGCTTCATCGGCGTCAACGTCGGCATGTTCGCCATGCGTCATCTCGTGGGCCGTCGGGCCATCCTCATCATCGGCGCCACGGCCTGCGGCCTGTGCCAGCTTTTGCCGGCTGTCACCGCGAGCGCGGGCGTTTCGCCACGCGTGCAGGCGAATACGCTCACGGCCTTCATCGCGCTGTTCAAGTTCTTCTACAACGGCTGCGTGGGCGGTGCTTCGTACCCCGTGGCCACCGAGGTGGTCAGTACGCGCCTGAGAGCCTGGACCGTCGGCAGCGCCACGGCGATAGGGTACCTCCTGGCGTGGCTGGTGAGCTTCTGCTCGCCTTATTTCATCAATCCCGCGGAGTTAGGCTTGGTAAGTGGAATGAAGGAGTTTTTAAGTTCACTCCCCTGGCGGTGTGACGGTTCCTGTACTGACAGCCTTGTCCCCTTTTAGGGCGCCCAATACGGCTACATCTGGGCGGGCAGCAACTTCGCCTGCGTCGTCTTCTTTTACTTTTTCATGCCAGGTAAGTCGCGCACGGCACGGTCCGGTCTCTGGTTATTATTGTTGAGGAGGGCATAGTATTCCGTGCCTCGAGTATTAAGGACGACGTTCCGAGGAGACCACGTCACTCGAGCGGTATACTAATCTCTGTCTCTAGAAATGAAAGGCCGCTCCCTCGAAGAACTCGACGAAATGTTCCTGAATCGCGTGTCGGTGCGCAACTTCCGCAAATACGTCTGCCATTTGCGCGAGGACGTGGAGAACGACGTGCTGAAAGGCAAGTTCGGCGGTGAGGACGATGAGAAGGTCGTGGCGATGAGTCATGCGGAGGAGGTGGGTGTCGAGAGACGTCAGAGTCAGGATGCGAGCAAGCAGGCATAAGGGATAGGTTATAGAATGTAGGATGTACATGTGGATGTGCATTGAAGACAAGCACATGAACCTCCTCCACAACTCCCCAGACGTTGTGCCTGGCTAGGAACGGTGATTGTTGCGTTCTCCAGTACAGTGTGTTCCTTTACTAAAGTCACCAAGGCTGCGTTGACGCATGTGACTCGAATTCAGCAGTCCGCCCTCCCCCATGTCCTAGGAAAGGGGACCACCTCGCGCAAGTTACTCACGCCCGTCAAGTAGGCGACTAGGCGGTCGAATCCCAGCCCGTAGCCTCCATGCGGGCTGCTTCCAAACCGTCGGAGGTCGGCATACCACTTCAAGTTGCCCAGGCTTTCTCCGGGCCGAAGAAATGGATAGCCATTGCCATTGCCGTTGCCGTTACCATTCCCGTTACCATTGCTGCCTGGTGTCGTTTCCACGTGCTTCAGGAGCCCCTTCTCACGCATAGAACCGATAAGCTGCTCTAGCCGATGCTCTCTCAGGCTCCCACCGACGGTCTCGCAGTATCCGAATGGAAGGAGTAGGTCGAAGCACGCGACCGTTGCTCGATGAGCGTCCCCGTCTGTGTATTCTGCAGCTGCTATCGCCGAGGAGGGAAGCATATAAAATGGCTTGACAGCCTTGGGGTAATGCGTCACAAACACTGGCTGGCCGTCTGCAAGGTTGACCACTACCCATCGTTCATGCTCCAATTGTAATCCCTGTCCCCACCGAGGTCGATGGACGAACAGCTCTCCGTTGCTCGACTCATACGCTTTCTCGAGTGCGCTCATCGCTGATGTATAGTCCAGGACGTGCCAATTACCCAGTAACCTCTCCCATCGGACGGCTAGATCGACAAATTCTGCGTCGGTGGATCGATGCTTCTGATCGGCGTAGTATTCCAGGAGCTCCTGGCCCGTCTGGTGCGACTGGAGAGAACGCACCAGATGTTTCACGAGGTTTTCCACCCGCGCAATCAGCTCCTCGAATGATACGTGCCGATACTCGGCCTCGAGCATGTAAAACTCTGAAAGGTGTCGAGGTGTGTCGCTCTCTTCGGCACGGAATGTCGGCGAGAATGCGAAAACGGCTCCCTGCTCGGCGGCGTGCGCCTCGAGATGTAACTGTGACGAGACGGTCAAATATTTCGGCTCCCGGAAGTACATCTTCTGCTGCTCCTTGGACGCTGCCTCGCTTGTCCCAGGCGTTTGGCCATGACTCTGTGGGGAGATGGTGAAAGCTTCGCCGGCGCCTTCGCAGTCCGAGGAGGTGATGAGAGGCGGCAGCACTTGATAAACTGGGTTTTCGGCGTGGTGGGAGAAAAAGGAGCTGATGGAAGAGATCAGATGGCTTCGAGTCCGGTTGACCAGCGAATGAAACGCCGTGCGCATGCGTAGATGGGGCACGGTTCGCAGGAAATCCGTCGACATGGACTGTTTCTGGATGGGATTGTCCTACCGTTGCAGTAAGAACCAGATGGCAGAATTACAACGTTATAGACATACAGAGGTATTGCCTTCGCCTATTGTCTCGATATCTTCCACCCTCAGTTCGTGACTCTGCCCGGCTCCTTGAGATGGGATCCATTTTCCAATAAGCGCGACATATGCCCCATTGGTTATGCTGAACCCGCACGTCAGATGTCTCCCATGCTCTTTGAATCGCATCTCACATACTCCTTTGCTAGCTGTGGATCTGGAAACACGGCTTGGATGTTCGCCAGAGTCGAGCCATCGCCTATCCGAGCAAAAGCGACCTTCTTTTGTTTCCGGATGCTGCGGACAAGGCCCGTTACTCTGATAGGTTTGTCGAGCTGAACTTCATGGGTTCCTGCTATGAGTCTCTCATGAGGGACGGTTGGCGGCGGTGCTGTTGTGTCCGTTGCCTTCTGGTCATGAAGGCCTCGCACGCCCAACGAGGGGACGGGGATTCGAGTCTGGGGAAAGGACAACCTTAGGTGCGGAGGGTGAGGGAGTATATCGCCCGTGAAACGCAGCGGCGACTTCAGAGTACGCCATAGCATCACGCACACGGGTAAATAGCAGCATACACGGCGAGGATGTTCACCTGCGATACCAAAAAAGTTGGCGCGACCAGAGCAAAGCGACGCGACTAGGCGCGGCGCGGCGAAACTATTCTCCCGTGCCCCTTTTCTCTATGCTACAGTATCAGCGAGATGGCTGCCTATGCAAGAGTACACCAGCTACGAACGCATGGTGCCTAAGCCAAGAATGATGGTCTTCTTTTCCAGCCTCAGCGCGGGCATGCGGCCCATCCCCTGCGAACACTGAGTACATGTTTACGCCTTGAATAAATGTTGGAGACGAAAACCAATCTTCACGCTTGTGGCCGCAATTCTCGACATATATCGACCATCAGCTGAGATGGAGCAAATAGCCGACCGTGCCTGCGACTACAGAATTCCAGAAGCATCACGGTGGGAATGAACGCATGATGAGCTCGAGAGATGAACAGATCAAAGACCATGCCCTACAGACACCGCAGGAGGGTGGAGAAACAGATGATCACTTCTCCCCGTCTCATGCTTCCTGACGGGTGAAGTAGACAAAGATTGTTCGAATTGGACTCATCAAAGGAATGGCACAATCGGAACTATATCGGCCAAGGTACCGTACCGACCACAGTAAGCAGACCATAAAAACGTGGGCGTCGCCGACTCGATCTCTTTCAATGACCTGGGAAACGTTTTTCCTAGGCGGCTAAAATTCGCTTCCACCGTCCAAGGCTCGAGCTCCTCTCCTTGGCCCGTGGTGTTGCTGTGGCAGTCGTCTGCTGGAAAATCGTCGCTTCGGTTGCCGCCAGGGGAAGGCAATGGCCAGCGGGCCTAATACCCCCATACATACTCTAAAACCTTGATCAGGTCACACACCACGCAGGTGGCAGGACTCTTACTCAGATTCACGATGGAATCCCCGGTAATCCTCGTCCATCTGCCCACGTGGATGTACATGTCACACACTGGAGACCCGTTGCAGTCAGGCTCCGGGGGTGACGGCCGTGAAGATACGTCGGACGCGCAGGGAGATCTGGTTGCTCGTCGTGCGCATCAGCTGCGTGGAGAGGCGAGCGGCAGGGACGGGCCTGGGAAACGCCAAGGCGCCGTGGGCGACGATGAGGTTGAGCGTCCGTGGGAGTCCATCCTCGACGCGGGACTACGTGCCGGCTTGCAGCCAGAGGCCGGACAGCCGTATTGGCTGAGACGGCTAGGTTAGGTTGGGTCAGTATCCATCCGAGTCAGAGAGGGTCAAGGTCAACACACTGCTTCGTTCCCCTGCACGCTGATACCGATGGCAAGAACGAATGCGGCAAAGGCGACGGCGACGGCGACGGCCGAGGAGCGCAACTCGTCTTTGACGGACACTGTGTGCTTCAAGTTGAGCGGTCAAGAACCGGCGATAGTCTTCCAACTGGGGGGGAGGAAGACGCCTCCACTGCCGAGTAAGTGTGGTTTCCTGAGTGGCTGCCCTGTTCGTGCTCCTGATGGTGGTGATATGCAGCATGGATCCCCCACTCTCACGTCCATGGTCGTCTTTATATCCTTCGCCTCGCGGTCGAGATGAGGCTGCGGCACGAGATGATGCGCAGTACGCGCAGAGGCACAGGCACAGTGCCATGGCCGCGGCCACGCTGTTCGTCCGTCAGGAGCTCACTCGCTCTCTCTGTGTATCCAAAGAATTGCCGACCCAGAGGTTGGTGCTGGACTGCCCACACGCAAAGCTTACCAGGCTCTCGGTCCCGTGGGAGTCGAAGAGGACATTTGCACAGCTCTTGTCCGCCACGGTCCGGCTTTGGGTATATATCCCGGTGTGCATGCCCAGGAGCCACGCCGGGGGGAGAGGCATCGTCACATCACCTCTGACTCGTGCGATCACGAAGTTACCCGAGACATCGTCACGTCACCTCTGCCCCGTGTGATCACGAAGTTAAGTTACCCAATGCAGTAGGTGCAAAAGCGGTCTGCGCAGGTCTCTCACACGGACTAAGCTGCATGAAGCAAGCAACCTCGCCAATGGGGCCCCCAGTTACTGCATGTGGAAAGTGTTACTCATTCCACGGTTGGTGTCAGATCATTGTCCGAACGGAGAAATAGCTCAGGCTTCAGTCCTGTAGCACTGCACTGCACTGCGTATCTTGCACCCGCTGCTTGCGAGCCCCTCGTCCTGTCGAGTTGTGCTGTTTTGATGCAGTAACATGTTGTATTCGGAATCCTGCATCCAGGAATCATGGTGCGGAAGGCCGCGAAGAAGCAATACTGTGTACTGTAGTAGTAGTATGGCCCAATGTCGTGGAGGTAGTGGGCACTTCCAGTCCATCTCGAAGACGCCAACGGCTATGTCACCAAGTGCACAGTGATGGATGGGTCTTGACGAAACCAAAAATCTGAGCTGAGCCGCAATCAGAACATCGTAAAGTATCGCTACAGTACTGTGCTTCAACATTGCTCCTACATATGTTGATTGATAGAGTATGCTACCTCGTACACTAACTCATTCTTCTCTCCTACACTACTTGTGGACGTAGCCGTACCAATTGATCGCAGACATACAGTGCCATGCTGCGCTGGAGACACAGTTCATCTTGCCAGAGTCTAATGATTACCGCATGCCCTCCAACCCTCAATGCGCGACTCATCGCTAGCACAGAGACGAAGAAATATCGCTCTTCATAAGAGATCGTAACTCATGCACATAACTATGCATATGACCCCTCTGAAACAACCTACAGACCAGACCAGACCGTTGGCGCCGAATTTGATGCGATGAAACGCTTGACTTTTTTCATGAACTTGAACTGCCCGCAATGCAGATAACAACCACTCTTCTCAAAGCATGGCATGGCATATGGGCTACACCTTAGCGAACACACGATCCAGCTTGCTTAGTGCCCTCTTGTCTTCCCGGAACCCCAACTTCTCACTCGGGATATCTTGTGGGGGCGCGCCATTCTTTGTGCCCCCAGGACTCGTGCTCCCTTGTCGGTCCGCTTCTGCCTCTGACGCTGATGCTTTTTCGGCGGGAGGAATATTTGTGGTGATGTTGTGCACGAGCGCGTTGATGGTGGGGGCTTGGCTGGCGCTTACGCCTACTGCAGTCGTGTCAGAGGGCTGAGCCGTCGACGTGGTTTCTTCTGCTTTACTGCTAGGCACGCCGTTCGCTCGAGTGTCATTCCCGTTTCCATTCGCGGTCGCCGTCGCTGTCAGTCTGGGGTCGATCTGTAGTCCCGAACCAGCATTCTCGACTGGCTGTTCGGGCGCCGCTGGGGCCATGGGTGGTGCTGGCGCTGGACTCGGCTGATATGCGATAGGCGGCTGTGTTATGGAGTACGACGCGGGCGCTACCTGCCCCGCGCTCGACGGTGGCGGCGGAGGCACTGAACCTCGGGACTCGGAATTGCGCAAGGGCCGCTGGTCATAAGATGACGGAGGCGCATGGCTCATGTGCAGAGCGTGTGGGGAATGATAAGGAGGCGCGCCGTATGCCAGCGGAGGTAAGCCGGGGTGGTGGAGGGGATAGGGCTGAAGGTGGTACCCTGGGGGTGGTGTGTGCATCGGGCTGATGGGGTAGATGTACGCTGCCGGGTGAGGAATGTAGCCCGGTGGCAGGTACGCTGGTGGTGAGGCCGGGCCTGGTCGGTGATACCCCGGCGCTCCAGGACTCACCACATAGCCCGGCGCTCCGAGCATCGGGGAGCGGGTGACAGCAGGGACGGATGATTGATCGTTGATGGTCGATTCTGGATACATGCCTTTGGCCGGTGTGATGCTGGCCAGACTGGGATCAGTACTAGGTTGTCGCAAAACTTGGGCAGTTGGATGAGACCGCGAGTAGTAGCTGATCAGGTGGAGATGTTGGCCAGTCGAAGTCGTGATGCTGAAAGACTGCTTCATCAGCCCGTCAGGTTTGTACCGGTACCCGTCAGGACCCTCTTCCCCGTCGCCGTCCTGCGAAGTAGCTTCGTTCCCGCCTTCGGGGGTCTTTGCGCCGCGGTTTGCATTATTGGAATAGGAGTTTCCACCTCGTTTCCCCTCCATCTCCCGGTATGTCAAGAAACTGCCTGATACGCGGCTCGCGCTCCAGCTCTTGCCATCGGTCCACCTCCGCATCCCGGCTTCTCTTTCATCCCAGACAAATACTGATCCCGATCTGATCGACTGTCGCTCCTTCTCGGATAAACGTCGTTGGACTCGAGGCAGAATTCCCATTCTACAGGCTTCGAAGAGGATAATGGCGTCCGTCGGGGTACGGACCAGCCCGTTGTATGTCTCCATTGCTGCGCACAGGCGGCAGCAGGGCTGCACTTAAAGATCCGAGCGTGGATGCTGGAGTTAACGTTGCAGCGTTGATCGCGGCGGGCTGAATGCGAATTGTGGAAACACTTCAGCTCGCCGCGTACATTTATGGGTGACGGGCAACCTTCCTCGGTCGAATGCTAGGCGCGATCCTTCCTGCTAGGCCTGCTGTTTCGGCACCACTGCGCGAATGTGCGTGCTCGTTCTTAGGGTTTCTTCACAAGTTGCAGACTTCGAGAGACAGGTGAATGTGAGGGGTATGGGATTCGGCTGTCTAGACGGGAGCAAGTATTGAGAGAGAGGTAGCAAGGATGAGTCGCCAGTAAGAACCCAGTTCCACAGACGAGACGAGACGAGAGACAAGAAATGCCGGGAAATTCAAACAAGACTTTTGACAGAGGAGAGGAGCGGAATGGGGTCTGTGCCATGCGAATTAAGGCTTGTGGAAGGGAGTGTTACGACTTCGGCTCTGGGCGGACAAGCCTTTGGTTACTTTTGTACCGCCGATTTGAGAAACCTTAAGGAAGTAGTGGGAGGGACTCGCATCGACCTTGTGCCCGGCGGTGGACCCCATGGTGCTTCGTCTTGCCTATCCCAGCTGCCCGCTTCCTCTGCGGGTCAAGCTTGGGCACTAGGCTTATGCTTAACCCGGCGTCCGAGGCACTAGCTAAGGGCTGGCCAGTGGCCGCTAAATGATTGATCGCCTCCCTGCAAGCGAGCCAGGTGTGCTCCCGCAGCGTTTCCCCGAATCGATAACCATGAGAGTAACTCTAATCCCGCAGATTCGAGCGCCGTAGTTTCGAACTTCTACACAGTATTTGAAGAGACGATCGGCGGACGTGTACTGTACAGTGCATGCATCGGACGCCGGTCGCTCTACAAGTACGGAGTACAATGCAAAAGAATGCAGCTTGGTGTGTCCACTGCTGTGGCGAGCGTCTCTTGGTCCTCGGCGTCTGCCTAAAAGGAGGGAAATTGAACAAGCTTCTTGGGTCTTGGGATTTCTTGGGCGGCCTTGGTATCTCGGTGTGCGAGCCAATAATAAATGGCGTCCAATTTTCGTCCACAACCCGGAGCCGGTCCAAGTCAAGAACGGGAATTTCCATCATGGCATTAACGCCTTGGACATTTTTCTTAGTCAAACCATTTTTCCTTGGCGGATGGCACAGCCGGGACGGGCACCCACAGGAGTAGGTCGCAGTCTGCATTTATTCAGTCTTCATCTCTCGAGTGAAGAGGATCGATCAGCTTACTGTTGCCCCCACGAGTACAGGATGAATAAGAGCCTGGGAAAAGAGTTGTCTCCCTATTCTAAGATCTCACAGTCTGCACCTCGGCTACGAGAAACACCTCCTTATCTGGGCCCCAAGACCGACCCGTCAACCCGAATTCTCATCTGGCCACTCAGCCACGATTTTGGAACGGCCAGATCGCCTCTTGATAAGGACAAGAACTTGGCAAGAGGCTAGCAGGACGCCAAAGGTCTTGGTGTTCTTGGGCTTTTCTTGAGGTTTTTAGTTTCGACGACCCATGGGATGACCGCCTGTTCTGACTCGTTCATGGGTTTGCTGGGCGCCTCGGTGTTTGCGTAACCATGTGTCCCGGCGTCGCTGGCGGGTCTCCCTGGAATGCTTGGTCTCCAAGCCGATTCAAAGGGTCGGAATCCACCTTCTCTTGGACACAAGCTGATTTTCCTTATTCACCGTCGGGACGTCAGCTGCCCCGGCATAGAGTATGATTGCCGTAAACGCGTACTTCCCCTCTGAAGGCTCATTTGGCTCCGAGTCAGCTGGGAGCCTGCCCGCACCGAGGGCCTTAGCTTATGCTTAAGCGTCATCTTAAGCATGATTCAAGCCACCAAAGTCAAAATTGCCTGGACTCCAAGCCAAGAAGTGTTAGTCTGTCGTCGCACTTGGCGTGCTTTGCTGCCAGAGATCATCCAACCAGTGGTCAGCAGAGCCGAGCGAGGTTACGTTTGCACACTTCCCCCTCCAGACGCCCTGTCCTACTCGCACGGTTAGGCAGTGCCCTGCACCCTCGGTAGATGAGTGGGCCTCATTTCCGAACTATCGAGGCCGATATTCCGAGCTCACCGGTCCTAGTCCGCCTCGAAGTCTCTGGCAGTCGCTTTCTGTGGTGGTTGCACGTCCAGACTGGGTACGAAGAGACCAGTCGGACCCTAACGGGCAATGGTGGAGCGGGCCTGTCTGGGCGTGAACTCGCAACGTGCTCACCAGAGCTTCTTCAGTCCGAACACACAGTACTCTGTAGTCACTCGCGAACGAATGATGGTGAAACGGACTGTGTAACTCTCGAAGGCCACCTAGCTGACTACCATCTGGGCATTATGGCCTGTGCCGTCGCAGCGATCTGCAAGGCGAAAGGTAGCGATTTGTGAAATCAAAAAGGGCTCCCATGTAGAATATCTGATATCGTCCTTACTCCATTACTCGTCATATTTTCCCTGTGTCAGGGCCCTACCCCATTCTTCTCCTTACTCTCACGGTTGCTGTCAGGGGAGGGACCAGACTTGTCCCAATCCATTTACTGGGAGGCCGCTCGTTCAAATGCTCGAATTCATACTTGGTCAGCATATACGCTAGCAGTAACTTGAGCTCATTCGCCGCAAAGAATCGTCCGGGGCAGGCGTGCCTTCCGTGGCCGAAGGGGTGATAGGTAGGTGAGGTGCTGACGAAGGAGAGATTTGCTTTCTTGATGTAGTCATCCGAGTTGCTGTTGCTGCGTTGGTGGTTTGTGCTCGTGGCAGTGTGTCCAGGCGAGTCTTTCCCGTCGGGGCTGTTTCCAAACACGTTCGGTGCTGATTCGCGCTGGATCGAAAAGCGGAAGGGATCATACGTCGCTGCATCTGGGTAATGTTCTGGATCGTTATGCACGCCATTTGTGGGCACGGAGACATAGCTCCCGTATGGACAGAATGTGCCGTTTGGAGCCGTGACGCCCTCGGGTACCATGACCTTGCGAGAAAGTCCAGCTCCCAGGAAGGAACCTATGCGAGAGGATTCCCGCAGAGCCGAGTCGGTCTTGTACATCTTTGCGAGGCCCGATTTTGTCCACACGCCATTGTTGGCGGTGGCCACGGAGGAGGCTTCCTCACGCAGGACTTCAAGATACCTCTTGGAAGGGTCGGAAGCAACGAGGTCGAAGATGACATTTGTGATGCTGAATGTGGAGGTGTGAATGGCTGCGAAATTGACAGCCAGGAGTCTTTCAGCGATGATGTCTGGGTCGTGTTCATAAGGGCAAGGGCTATCCCTCGCTCGTCGGATTGACCATTGCAGGAAATCATTCGCCTCGGGATCGCCAATTTTCTTCTCTAGCTCGCCGTTCTGGCCGTCCAGCAGCCTCTGACGCCGCTCGATCTCGGGTCGTACGAGACGCGCGAAGCCTTTTGTGTGACGTCGATTTGGTCGTGCAATGATGAGAGAAGCAAGGGGCCGCAGGAAATCAGGGAACGGCCTTAGCAGAACGGAGGCGACGGGAACAGCAGAGGCGAATCCAATGCCATGTTCCAAAAGGGCCTTGTCCCGACATAGCGGCAAGCCCACGAACACGCGGTTGCTTGTCCGGGCAATGATGAGCTTCATCGTCTCGAATGGGCATATTTCCTTCCACTGGGTTGTGTCAGTGCCCCAGATGTCGTCGAATGCCGTCGCTAGCTCATCCATGATGTCTGTGGTGAGCGTACCCAGTTGGCGCGTAAGGTCACTCCTGATGGTCTCATGGTGCAGGGGCTTATTCACCACGAACGGGTGGACGAAGGTATAGTCTGTTTGAAGAATGTCCTTGTGGTCCACGGCGAGGACGGTGTCGGGCTGATTGATGATCCATGTTATTAGCGAGGCCGGGAGGATGATTTCGTCGCCGTTGACTTTGGCTATAATGCATGACTGGTCTTTCTTTGAATACTGCGACAGGTCAGCGAAGATACATGTGGAATACCTGAGAAGCGGACCCACCTGCTGGTAGGCTTGGTGAATTGCCTCTTTGTAATTGACTGTTGAGCGTATTCTGGCTCGCAGTGTCGAGAGCCACTCGCCTTCTCTGGTGTTGAGCCACGGCAGGTCTGGAAGATTCGGGTTTCGCCGCCGACGGTAGAACGCAAGACCAAGTACAACGATTAAGATGCTGGCCAGGACGTAGGGCCGAAGAAGGTATGCAATCATGGCTGAAGACAGGTGTGATTTAAGGAAAGGGCTGACAGTCGGATTTGTAGGGCGGATCGCTCTTCTTTATGCTGTACGCTTGGTGAACTATTGTAAGTGGTATGCAGCGGTACGGCCAGCACCCGCGAGTCGCATCGGCAATGGTGCGATTGGTGTCGAGAACGAGCTGATAGGAGGGCCAATAATGAAATCACGCGCAGCAGGCAGTGTTCAGGTGTTGGCAGATCGGTTGGAGGGCATGTCAGCAATGCAGCAAGTGCTGATGGCTTTATTTGTGTCAGTAGGACGATCTGTCACTACGAATGGAGGTAGGCGCAACGCATTCCACCCGAACGATGCAATTCATGAGCCGTGGTGGCTGCCAGTAAAGGAGCGTAGTATCGAACCACAGTCGGCATTGCCATCAGCCGCATTCGATCTGGAACAAAAGGAATTCGAGGCATCCGGGCATCTCGCTTCGGCCTTCGTCTTCTAGGCTCGACTTGCCCTTGCTGCCCGTCTATTCACTTGTCTTTTCGCTTGGGATTGCTTGTCCGAGGCTTGATGCAGGTCTTGTGGAGATGATTGGGGTGATGAGCAGTCACAGATCGTGTTTCCAAACAGGAGGCGAAGGGTCGAAATGCCGGGTGAAGCCAGCGAGCGATTAAACCGTGTCAAGGAACGGGGGTTTCCTGCGCATGAAACGCGTGAGCATCATCCGTGAGGCGTGTCTCAGAAGCTCCAGTGGAAAATTGGGGATAAACTCCCTTTCGGGGCGCAGCCTAGCCGGCGCGCCTATGAAGCAGATCATAGCCAGACCCATAAGCACTCGCAGGCTCTCGTAAACTAAACCGCTCCTAGAAGCACCTCAGAAGCACTCCAGAAGCCCCTAAGGGCCACCTGAAGTCATCACGCACCTGCCACCCATTGGGCCTTGCAGCCACAGCAGCCACCACAGCCACAGACACGTCAACCCAAGCACCACGCAACGCGACTTCCCCGCGCCCACACAAACAAGTGCAATGATTCTCTTCGAGTGTATAGTGCAACGACTTCCGCCAACAGTGACGACTCTGCCGAGATCTCCTTGTCATGCGCCGTGAAGCCGGATACCACCGTGCCGCCAATGGCAGACCCACGACTGAATCGCATCGAAGGGACCTTGACATCCCTGCTCGAGAGTCTTATTCCACCTGGCGCCGACCAAGATGACACTGATGTCGAGTTCCGCATTGACAGCGCTATCCAAAATGCAAAAGAGGTCGTGCTGAGTGCAGACGGTAGACTGCCTCCGGACACAAACCAGGCCCAAGATCTGATCAAACGGAAGCTGTTGCGCGAAAATGCATCTCCAGAGAAGGCCGCTCGATTCAGTAACCTCTACTCGAGGCTGCTCGCCATCCCCGTCCTCAACCAGAAATGGGCTATTCTCTATCTGCTGTACAAATTGTCCGACAACGCTCACGCCGAACCGTCTCCTCGAAATCCACTGGCAGACTCCAACCAGCTCGCAAACATTCCACACCGTCATACCTTATCTCCGGAAAAGCCGTTTGTGGCAGATGAGGACGAAGAGGAGCACGAGCACGAGCATGACGGAGCCGATGTACTGCCACCACAACCATCGTTGCGCAGAGGTCGTGCTTTCTCAGCAAAAGTGAATCAGCCCGAAGAGGAGGTTGGGGTGGCTGTAGAAGAGGAGGGCAGCCAACAACCGCAGGAGGCGGACCAGCAACAGCAACAATCACAGCCACAACAAGCGGCTCAAGCCACGCTGAAAGCACGAGTAGTGTCTCCCTCCGAGTTGGATCTGCTCCGAGATTTGCCCTTTAATCTTCAAGGTGTTTCCTCTGCTCATCTCGACTTTATCGACACGACATGCCTGAAACTGCCCGCTAGTCTGCCGATTCCCATCCTGTCTCTGCTCCATGCACTCGCTGAACCTTGTCTGCTGTATCGAGGGTTGGCGGAATACGCCGCTGGTCAAGATGGAGGCCTGATTGATCAAAGTCTCCGTTCAGCCATCAACAATGAACTTCGCTCCTATTTAAGTCTCGTGGCATCGCTCGAAACCGAAATCCGACAAGCCCTGGCGACTGTGCAGAAAACCCAGGATCAGCAGTCCGTGCGCTTGACGGTTGTGACTTTGAAGAGGTGTCTGATATGGACCAGGGATGCGACTATGGGTCTGCGCCTCATGAAATTGATCGTTGAAGACTCAAAGCAGAAGCGAGGCGGCCAATTGTTATCTCTCATCCACAGTCTATCCTCGTCCCACGGTGATCCCTTCGTCGCCTCATTCGCCGAGAAGATTCTGGCACAGGTGGCTCGCCCTTTTTACGAGATGCTCAAGCATTGGATCTACGACGGAGAATTAATTGATCCTTACCATGAATTTTTCATAACAGAACCGGATCCGAACTCTCAGCCGGCCATCGATCATAGGCACGTGGCTACCTCAGTTTGGGAGGAGAAGTACAAGCTCGACACGGCCATGGTGCCCTCCATCATATCTTCCGAGTTTGCCAGGAAAGTTTTCCTCATTGGCAAATCCCTCAATTTCATCCGCAACAACTGTGGAGACTCTGACTGGGTTATACAATACTCGAAGTCGAACTCGAGGTCTTTGGACTATGGGAACACCTCCAACCTCTCTCAGTCTATCGACGTCGCCTACCGCACAACCATGTCCCGACTGACTAATCTGATGTCGACCAAGTTCGGCCTGTTTACCCACCTGACAGCGATAAAGAAGTATATGCTGCTGGCGCAGGGCGACTTCTTTGATCTACTCATCGAGTCACTAGCTCAACACCTGGATCGGCCGGTGAACTCGATGTACAGACACAACCTCACCTCCCAGCTCGAACACGCCATTCGACACTCGAATGCACAATATGACGACGCCGAAGTCCTGCGCCGGCTGGATGCGCGTATGCTTGAGCTTTCTAGCGGCGAGATTGGATGGGACTGCTTCACTTTAGAGTACAAGATCAGCGCCCCTTGCGACGTTGTCATCACCCAGTGGGCCAACACACAGTACCTCAAAATCTTCAACTTGCTGTGGAGAATCAAAAGGGTCGAATACTCTCTCGCCTCAACTTGCAAGCGCAGTATGACTGGGGGTCGAGGAGTGCTGGCTGCCGTCAGCGACAAATTAGGCAATGACTGGAAGCGGTCAAGATGCGTCGTGGCAGAGATGGTCCATTTTGTCAACCAGCTGCAGTATTATCTGCTCTTTGAGGTCATCGAGGCTAGCTGGAAGAAGCTCGAGGACGCTCTGCAGAAGCCTGAAGCCACGCTGGATGATTTGATCGAAGCTCACACGACTTATCTCAATAACATTACCAAAAAGGGTCTCATTGGCCAACAACGGCATCCGGTTACTGGCCATCAAGAAGACAGCCTGATTGTGCAGGTACATCACATCTTGAAATGCATGCTCGCTTACCGCGAAGTCATCGATTCACTTTACTCGTACAGCGTGGCCGAGTATACGAGACGGCAGCAATTCAGTGCCAAGATAGAGCGACGGACCGCCCAAGGCAAATGGGGTATCACGGAGAAGGACGTTCTCGGTGACTCGAGAGCTAGCACACCAACTGCTGGAGCACTTCTCAAAGGTGCACAGTTACTCGCGGAAGAAAATGAACCCTCTCTTGCGCCGACGAACGTGAACCTGAGCGCAACAGACGACGAAACTCATCTCGGCCTCCTGAGGTCGAGGCAACTGAATTTATCTGCTGACTTCAAATCACGAGTGAGTATGTTATTGTATGACTTGGCTCATCAGCCAGACGTGGATCTACGATTCTTGGGAGTGGTGATGAATTTCAACGAGGTGTACCAGCCGATCAACCTTCGACGGCAGCACGCGAGACGTGCCCGTGAGAAGCGCGAAATAGAACGCAAGGCTCGAGAGGCCACCGTATCATCTGAGGGGCCCAGCAATGTATCTATGGAGAAGGACCTGAATAGCTCGAGTGTCAAGACTTGAGGCAGCCAGCGATCGACCAGTCGCGATGGATATTTGAGTAAGCTGCCGGATCGGTGGTCGTCCTTGTCTTGAACAACTATGCACCCACAGTTCCCGTACGACCTGGGGTTAGTTGCATGCCTCTGGAATCGATCGGCCACTGAATCGCTCTTCGAGACAAGCTCCACCCGGACCCCTCTCGACAAAACTTCGTTCGACACTGATCAGAACACATCGGCAGGCTTTAGAGCCCGCATCGAACTCGAGGCAAGAAACACCTCCCACGTTTTGTAGCAGCACTACCAGCAGCCTCCACCGACTCCGCTACAATGGCGGTGACGAGGACAGTGCAGGAAACGTATCTTCCTCCATCTCACTGCTCGGCTATCTGGGTTTAGTCCCCTCGCCTCTTTGAGCCCAGCTCACCCATTTCACAAAGCAGACGCACCGCACGAAAGAGAATCATAAGCCGACATGAAAAGTACCGCTTCCCATCTCCAAGTGCTAGATACGGTATTGTCTTCCCCGTCCATCGGGACAAACGCCGAGCACGACAAGTCCTCGTCGTCGAGATGGCTATGGTGATCGGCATCGGCGGCATCATGATCGCTGACAATGTCCGAGTCCGAGTCCTTGTACGTGGCTCTGTTCCTGTTCCGTCGCAGGCAGGTACTGCTAGCTCGGTTAGGACGTGTGATGTCTAACGCCCAAGACCGAGACAGTACATGCCGTTCACTAAGACTGCTATGTAGCGAGCGTGCAGTATGTGGCATGTGGCATGTGGCAGGTGGAATGGTGTGGCGCATTGCGGTACAGGGACTTCTAGAGGCTACAGGTTCCTGAGTCGCGGATTTCACCGAGAATCAACCCGACTCGACGTCTAGCGCGTTCCAGAGCGAGGGTATCGAAATTGGCGAAGTATATTCGGTTCAGGAACCACGAGATCAATTCGGTCGGGCTGGTGTTGCGTTATGCTGCGGACCTAACTGGGATTGGGAGGGAAAGGCAGCCTAGGGCAGGAAGGGGAAGCAGAGAGAGGAGAGGTGAAGCAGAGACTTGGGAGGAGCTGCGGGACGTGGCGATCTTGGGCCGCCACCATGTGGTAGCTCCGTGACGGAAGTGATGTGAGAGACCTAACTAATTACACTGATGGGGAACATGATAACGGTCTCGGTCTCGGTCTACTAGGGGGTGAAAGTCTCCTTAGTATACCTTCCAGCTCTCTCAGGGACACGAAACCCAAAAATCAGACAGACCAGGCACACATGGTACGCGTTGCTTGGTCAAGGGATACTGTGGCACAGAGAATCGCAGTCTTCCGTAACGTTACAAGTTCTTTCCGTACCTGCGCGCCATGATACGAGTACATCAAGTAGGAATCACCGTCATTGGCTCGAGTATACATACACAGAACAGGCGCCTGTCCTGAGGACATCGTCACCACGCTTGTCCAGGTCGTCCGTAGCAAACAAGTTCGTTCGCTAAACTCATTTAGTGCCAGAACATTGAAACTAGTCAGTTCGTGTGTCCTGGGATTCGCGATGGTTCCTTCAGTCGCCATTACTACCGCATGAGAAGACGGACGATGCAGGATTAGAGTTCAGATGGGATCGTCTTACGCCCTAATCAGTTGGATTTAAATGTCGAAGAACAGGACTCGAGACCGAGCGTGCCAGTGTAACCGCCGTACATTCCGTTCCCTCGCAGTTCGCTCCCCATGGCTTTTGCAATTGGAAAACATTTCGAAGTTGCAAGTCGTGGTAGAACCATACGTCGCAGGTCTGGTATCATGGATTCGAGGCCTGCGCGTACGCATATCTCTCATGGCTGTGCTTAACTTATCAAACCCCTCATGATCGCGAGAATGGTAATCAAGTCGGACTGAACAGGTAGTGGCGAGGTTCAGTTTTCTGATTAGGCCGTCTCCACACTGGCTCATGGAGTGAGGCGCTGAAGTCCGACCAGAACATGATAAGAGGAGGGAAGATGAAAGGGCAGAGGGCAGCATTAGCATGTCTAGTTCAATCCTCGCCCAGGTCGTTCTTCCATCTCACGGCGTCCTCGTAACTTGTGTCCTCTGGTATAGGGGAGACAGTAGAACCAGAGTCATCTGAGGGCGTGACAGGACCGGGCGAGGAGACCCATTTCGGTGCCAGGGAGGACGACGCTGAAAGCAATGGCGCCGTGCCCGTGCGCGGATTGGTCCCATCCTGCGTTGATACGCGTATCGCTCGACTCAGACTCAGCCGCGGTCGAGGCCTGCCTGAGATCCTTGTCTCCGAGGGGTCGTTATTGCGAACGTCGGTGGTCTCGTCGAGGATGCCTGCCTGTGTCGCTGGTGAGTAGCCGAATTCAGGAGGAGATTCTGTTAGAGGGGATGCTAGGGAAGACATTCGAGATGTCATGGTCATGGTCCTTCCAGGAGCGGCAGGGGAGTGGAGGATGGGATGTTGCGAGGTTGACGAAAAGGTTGAATTTGCGAGCGTAAACACACTGTTTGCAGAAGACTGGCTCTCATCTGCATGGCTGGGTCTCGGATGTGTCGGTGGAGACATCCAGGAGCGCAGGGCCCGCCAGCGCGACGTCGGGAATTGGTTGATTGGTGAGGTCGTGGAAGGAGAAGTGATCAGGTTCTTCTCGGGCTCGCAAAGGATCGGTGATGGCCCTGCGTCTATATTGCCGACGCCATGGATCACACGTCCACGTCGTCGACTGACTAAGCTGCGGATCTCGCATTCCTTTAGCTCTGGGGTCACGGCGCCGGGACCCACGTCTCGTTTCATAGCCTCAACAAGAGTGAAACTTGACCGGTAGATCCCGCCAGTTGAATTGAGACGAGACTCATGGTCCTGGGAATTGTGTAGATGTGTATATAACCACAGCGCATAAGTCCCGACTGACCATATCGCAAGTAGTAGGGAGGTAATAAACAAGAAGAGGAACGAGAAGCCCCAGTTGTGCCACTTAGAATAGCGACAAGTGGCATTGTCGAGGACGTAGGAGAAAGTATAAGTTTCATCATCGTAAACCCAGAAGGTGTTGTCTGTGAGTTGTGTTACCGAGGAGAGCGAACTCGGAGCTGGCGGTGAGGACATTGAGAAGGTATTGAGGTACGTCGACAATGTGGAGAGTGCGGTTGGCGAGTACGAAGTGGTGACATTCAGCGCTGGGGGAGCAAGCTTGTGGGTCGTCCCATTGAAAGTAATCGTGCTTTCAGTATGAATCTTCCCTTGAAGCCCATAGGTGCTCACGTATTGCACAATATGCCAAAACGTTGTGCAGTTGGCCGGGACATACTCCCAAGGCACCTCCCCAGTGCCGTCTGCATTTCCGTCCTCGTTCTCATCAGCAGCGGCACGTCGGCTAGGAGGGTATTCCGCGGTCAGATACTCTTTATTATAGTACTTTCCACTGTCGTCGTCGTCGTCGTCGTCGTCGTGGAAGCCGTCTTGAACACAGATATCTCCCGTAGTAACGAATAACGGTCCAGGATGGCCAATTCGCTGAGCATCATTGACTGCGAACTGAACCACTTGAAAATTAGACCACAAGACTGACTCATTTTCGAGGTTTGGCATCACCGCATTGATATTGCTGCTGTAACCCGACATGGCAGTGACCAGGGAGGAAAAGCCGAGAACGAACAGCGAGCTCGAGATGATCCAAACCATGATCAACCTCGCGCGCCAGCCCCGGTTCGTCAATAGATCTCCAGCTAGTCGAACTGTCCTGACCAACGTCGGAGGTACAAACGCTAGAGACTCAAAAGTATTGTAGGACACAGGTGCTTTCAACATGGCCAGGGCCAAGTATTGCGAGGAGACTTTAAATGTGACGAAGGCCAGCAAAGCCTGTCCTCCGCGTCCGACAGCCATGTCCCAAACAATATCGATAAACTTTGCCGTCGAGAAAGCCATTTTGCCCCATGAGACCGTGATGTAGAAGAAGCCGGCAGGATCCCAAACGCCCAAGGTGGGTTTGTCCAGAGGCGTAAACTCGCCATTGAAATTGCAATGTGTGAAAGAATTCGACACCCAATGCTCTGCTTCGAAAGCATACCACTGCGGGACTTTGACGACGAGGGCTAGGGCAACGACCGGAAGGGAGAAAGCGAGGAATACGATGGCATGTCTGAAGGCGGTAAGAGCAGTCGGTTGGCTTCGGCGTGACCGTTGATATCCATTATAATTCGTGGTACAGTTCTCGCTGGCCCCCGTACTGGGCAACCCTGTGTCGGAGCGGCCCTGCTCGTTGTGCTTAGCACTGGGTTGATTCTTCAGTACTCTCCATCTCCTCACGTTGTTCCACGACCTTGGAGCAGAGTGTTGTGCTCCGTCCAAGATCTCTGGGGCGCCATTCACATGAGTCTCGGTTGCCGCAAACATGCTATTCTTTCGTATCGCTTGTGGCTTGTCGTCGCCAGGCAAATGTGAAACGCCCATTCCAACTTGCCCCAGCGCTCCAGCCCGACGATCGTGGGCACGGTCTATAAGACACTGATGTCTTTCGCGTCAAGCATCGGAGTTTGATCACAGAGTGCGCGGAGCTGGTAATACGGAGAATGGCTTTGAGTAGGCGGCTGGCCGGCCTTGCATGGGAACGAACAACAGGTACCAATCAGTGAGGGACTAAAAAAAAAGACGCCTACCGACATGGTGGACCTGGCGCACGATGCAGGGACGTGCCGGTTGTTGGGTTCTTGGAAGCCATAGTCGAATACGGGAAGTGACGGACTGTTTGACAGTCGCTCAGCCGTCAGCGACGTGAGTGAGCATGCAACAGGCTCGACCTGGAAGCGGAAGCTCGACAGCGGGCGCCACAGAGGACACCCAGGAGTGGTCAAGCATGTTTAGAAAGAAAAAACACGATTCGCCAAGTGAGATGCAATCCGGGAGTTCGCCGGTGAGATGAATTGGAAATGGCCCTGCGCTGGCTTCTTCGCCCCCAAACCAATGTCTCGCATCGAGGTCGTCAACATACTGGGTGCTCGAATAGAGCGTCTTGGTGCTGTAGACGAAGTCCGAAACATTCGTGGGATACGAATATGTACCCTAGACCTTTGCGCAGGACGGGGCAATAGATACCAAGCAACAGTGTAGGTGATGGCTGCTGATGCGCGACAAGACGCCGCCCTGCAGCTGATCCTTTCCCTTCCTCGGCGTGACGTTTATGCGGAACCGCGACTCGCAGTAGCAGGGGCAACGACTTCACAGCGATGACAGTATTGGTGGTAATTATGCTACTCCGTGTGTCCAGCGCATTATGATATTGGCGAGGGCCAAACAGCACACGTTGGATCGTCTTCTTGAAATAGCCACTTCGACCAGATATAACTCCCTTATCTGTGGTACGCCATGCTATGCCTTGCCATGCCGTGCCATCCTAAACAGCCGTGTTCGTGTCCTGAATCGATGCGGTGTAATGACCCTGACTGATGCTCATGCCCATGTCGAAGCCAAGTCCCAACACCGCGCTATGAAGACGACATTCAACAGTCACAGACTCGGTCAGAGATTTCCAAGAGGTGGTCCGAGCCACAAGTAACGAGTCAACCAGTTGAATCGCAGGCTGATTATTCGGCGTCATATTCCTCGAGCTCCCGCTCCAGTTCTCGGGCTAACTCGTCATCGGAGTCTTCCACCGCCTCGTCTTCACGCTCTTGTGCTTCTTCGGCTTCTCGTTGTTCGAGACGGATCTGCTCCTCTGTTGTGCCGGCTGTCGGTGTATCCGTGGCCTCTGATTCACGCTCGCTGTCGACATTTTTGACCTGCTTCAGGCCGCTACCTGTACCGTTTCTCTTACGATCGGATGATCGATCCACGTCGCTGGCTGAGCTATTGTCTCCGTCGTCGTCCTCTCTTCTTCTCTTGCCTCTACGGCTGTCTCGGATGCTCAGGGCAGAGCTCACCGAATCGGTATCACTTTCGCTCTCAGCGTCGCTCCCGAGAAATTCTTTCAACTCGGCATCGATATCAGCCCACTCGTCCTGATTGATGGTAACTGGACTGCCGTCATCAACAACATCCTCATAAGCCCCGGCCTCGTCATCGTTCGAGGTGCTCAGTTTGAGCCTTTTCCGTTTGGGCTGGTCGTCTTCGGTGTCGAGCCCGCTCGTTTCCCCCTCGGACGAACTGAGAAGGAAATCATTGACATTTTCACTTGCCTTGTCGAGATTGTCACCCAACTCGCTCAAGGTTTCATGTTTCTGCTTCTGGACCCCTTCCAGTAGGTAAGGTCGTTCATCCAATTTTCGCCACTGTTGCATAGATGCTATCAGCCATGGCGTCCCGACGACTTTGATGCCACGCTTCACCGCTTGCTTGACCTTGGCAGTGCCTGGGCGAGCCGCTATCACGTGGGTAACCTCCCTGGATATCTTGTCCGTTATGGTGGCGCCGAATGTCTTAGCCCACGTGCTGATGTCAGCATTCTGGATATCAGTTCCCAGTGGTAAGACGCCGCTGAAAACGATCCTGACCCCCGCCAAAACTCTCATTTTCATGGCTGGCATGACTCTCTTGACGTCTGGCAGAAACCTCAGCTCCAAAGACTGACCCTCGTTGTCTTCTCGACTTGGCAGTGGCTCTTTACGCTTGCCAGTCAGTTCGGCAACTCGGCCGCCTTTACCCCCTAGTCGCTTTCGGTCGTACTCAGCGAAAAAGGCTTCGTGCACCTTGGTCAATGTCGCCTCGAGGTGAATGAGCTCCTCGTCGTCGTTTTTCAGGATGCTGTGCCGTGCTTTCTGTTTGGGGCCTGAATTTGACTCTGACGAGTTTGAAGAGTCGCTAGAGTCTGATTCTGTGGACTGGGATGTAGTCGCTTCGCCGTTGACGACTGCTTCAGCCTCGTCCTTCTCGTCTTGCTGGAGCTGCATCTTGAGAAGGGGCTTGTCTTTCAATTGAACCTTAATGATCTCTTCTTGGTCTTTGGTTTGCAATTCGCGTACTGCAGGACTATCACTGCCACTCATTGCGATCAGCTGTTCTAACGCTGCAGTGCCATTCTGAATGGTCGATGTTCCGTCTTCGGCCATGCCATTGCGTTCACCTTCACCATTTGCACCGGCGTCGGCACCATTGGCTGTGATCATCTTAGGCTCAGCTGTTGGTGTGGCTTGTATCTCTTGCTTCTTGGGCAGGAAACTAGAGTTGATGTCTCCAATGCCCACGAAAAAGTCAAAGGGGGTGACCCGAATGAGGTTGGCGCTCCATTTCCAGACGTCGCCTCGGTCGTCAATGATGACCACCATCTTGGTGTCAACAGGGAACAGTCTCTCGAGGTTCTTCGCAATCATGCTGCCGCTCTCGTCCCGACTGAGTATGCGGTCACTGAAGTACTTCTTCTCCGGGTCGACGAGTTTGGCAATCTCGGTAGCATATTGACGTGTTCCCATTGTGTAGATGTGGAGTTCGTAGAGCTGCGAGATATGGTCCAGGAACTCGGCAAGGCCAGGTCTCAGCTTGATATAGTACCAGCAGCCCTTCATCCCAGGGCCGTCGTCGGTCAATTGAAATGCGCGTACGTCGCTCACGGCATCGTGGTTGGGATTGTCCTTGTCTTCCATCCACTCTCTGATGGTGGGTTCGACCGCGGCATGAATGATTGTCTGATCGAGATCGACCACCAACGAGAGCTTGCGAGAAGATAGGAGCCGGCGCTTCGCCTCTTCATCTATCCTGCTTGCTTCTTCTCTGCTAATGGTGAGGTGAGCGGTATCGTGTGCCATGCGGATGGGGGCGCGGTCAGCATCAGTAGTTTCGCTTCCCACTGCGACACTACCCAGCATTAGTTCCTTGTTCAGCACCTTGCCACCACCGATGTACTTACATGGTCATGTCCTTACCGCAATTGATACACATGCCCAGAGCCTGGACAGCATGCGTACACTCCTCTTCGATTTCGCATACGTCCACACTGCACGCCAGTCAGAGATTTCTCCTTCACAGATATCCCCGAGACACTTACGGCGCGGTAAGGACGTCCCCTTGCCAGACCCTCCATGCTTTTATCGTGCCTTCAAGAGTGCTGGAGAAATGCGTGACAAACTTCTTTTCCACCAACGGTATGTCTTCCTCTTTCCTCACCTCATACCGCTCCTCTTCTCTCACCTTGATCGTGTATGAATATAAGAAGATGTCGTCGTTGCGAGCAACGGTGTCGCCGACCAGTTTCTCGATCTTGGTGATGGTGATAGGGTAATGGAGGTTCTTGGGGAGTCGTAGTAACATGCCGAACACGACAGTAACATTGATCGGCGCATGTAGGTGCTCTGAGAGTAGAAGCGGATCAAGTTAAGCGCGCCGTGGTAGACTGGCAGCAATGTGCTCTACCTAGTCTCGGCCGTGCGAAAATGATGAGGCTCGCTGAAGACGCCGCGCGCGCAGAGGTCAGGACCTTCAAGAGCGGGCAAGTATTCTGGCGGCTGAGGTACCAGCGAGTATGCGGAGTTCGGCCTAGACAGGCAATGCGACTTTGGATGAATTAGCGGCCGTCGGAGTAGCGCGCTGCAAATGGAGATAGAATCGGGTTGATGGAGGGAAGGAACGCGAAGTGCGGTCCGGGACGATAGAGCTGAGTTAGGAAAAACAATGACTCTGTTTGGTAGCTTATTGTGCGAGCCAACAAAGACTGCGGTGAGTTATGTTGACGGATGGGGTATGTAATTGGCTGTGGTGTCGAAATGCGCGTGTGGGTGAGGGCACGACGATGCGAGTCAGGGTCCGTCGGCAGGCAGGTTCCGGATAGGTAGGTCAGGAAGGTCCACCGGGTGCTGCGTATGCAATGGGAATCGTTGGGCAGACACACGGATAGCTAGCTCAGATGCTATGTGGACAGTCCTCAGTTTGATGGGTTCCGACAAGCTCGAAACGGCTCAATTGCGCTGGTGCAGTGGATGTACTCAAGTATCCGAGGGTGGACATTCCCACCAGCAGCAGTCGAGCGAGCTTCTTTTATGTTCAGACAAACACCTCCACACTAGTAGCCACCAATAACACGCGCAGGGAACGAAAGGGATCCGACGGCTGCCCGCTAACTAGATGCCGTCACTGCAGGGGCATTTTTGGAGACGCAACAAAGACCGTCATGCGATCACGAGACCATTCCTCTCCATCACCAGATTATGGATTGGCTGCCATAGCGAAACCCAGCTTGGAGTTTATCGCTGACTTTGTATATGAAAGCTACGAGGTCCTTTCCCGCTAGTACCTCTCCCCATACAGCACTGCAAAGGTAGTGTTGATGTACACTATTAAGCTGGTGGTAGGAAGCCACCACGTACGGTATATACTCCATACTGCACTGCTCAACTCCCGTCACCCAGGTAGTGGTTCAATTTCCGGCCCCTTTCAGCATCCGCCATTTTGGTACAACAAACTCAGGCAAACCATGACTCGGTCTACTTGGCTTTAGCTAGAGCGACGGAGTCGCTGCCGAGGTCATAGACGCTGTACCATCTCCTCAGGAAACTGCAGCAAATCGTATTAGCACGGGGTAGGACAAGAAAGGGCGTTGCGATTACTGACCTGTCACCAAGAATTGCAAGCGGTCCGGTAGGAGCTGGAAAGTCCATGCCCATGAAGCTGCTGATGCAAGAGCCCTGGACCTCGAGGATATAGTCATGAGCAGAGATGGAAAAGTTGTAGCCGCTGAGCGTGAAGGTAATGTCGGGCAACGAGTCTCGCTTGTTGCATTCGACGGTATATTGGCCATTGAAGCCCTTTTTGGCACCAATTTCCTTGTTGAGTAGTTCGGCGAGTGTGCTGGGCAGGGCAATCAACGAAGTGCCGGTGTCGAGGATAACACCGGTGTTGTCAAGGTCGGCGGTATCCTTTCCGAAAGTGATCGAGTCAAGGTTGACTTCCCAGTAAGCCTTTCGGCGGAGCGGGATTTTGATCAGCTTGCCAGTGTAGTGGCTGCTGTCGATACCACCAAAGGTAGCCTCTGATTCCGTGCCATCTTCGGTGTTGCCGAGATAGAAAGCAAACACAGGCTCGTCGAGGAGTTTCTGGTCGATCATGTTGTAGAATGGGGGAGGAATGTGGTTGACAGAGATGGTATCGTAGCCTAGACCCAAAATGCCATCGAATCGGCCAAATGCGAAAGCCAGACCAGGTTCACTGGTAGCCTCTCCGAACAGTTGGTCCTTTATCTTGAGGTCTCCAATGCGCAGAACGTCCTGAGATATGAAACCCGCCACTTCACCAGAGCCATATCGAATGCCGAAGTTGGTGCCGTTCTTCTTGTAAGTAGAGGAAGCGGACGAATCGTACTTCTGATGGAGGTAGCAGGCGATGGAGCCGCAGGAAGAGCTAGGAACCCAGAGGTTGGAGCTCCCGGTGTCGAGGACGACCTTGAATTCCTGAGCGGGTGTGCCAAGAGCGATGGTGCTGAAATCTGCTTGGGATTAGCTAGGGAAGATGAAAGATGCAGATGCAATGCTCACATTGCGCGTTGAGGAAGTTCTCGACGGGAACCTCGTGCGGGCCATCAGGGTGGATAGAGGTATCTCCAAAGATGTCTTCAGACGGACCGCCAATGGGCTTCTGCGTGTATTTGTGGCGAAGGGCTCGCATATGGTCGCCAATGTTGGCAGCGCCCTGACATTTAATCTCAGCCGATGCATCTCGAGACGGACGGAGTAGCCATCTTACCAGTTGCTCCTCCAATGGCACCTTCTGGAGCTTCATGCGATGCATGCCAGCATCGGCGGCACCGAGCAGCGCAGCTGCTGCGATGACAAGACTGTTCTTCATTGTCACAACCACCAATTGCGAAACCAGAGAAAGCAAAAAGACTGCAAGAGATGAAAGTTGGGATGAAAGGATGATACGAAAGAAAGGAGGGAGGCAGGTTGTTGATTGGGATCAGAGGATCGCCTAGATGACTGTCGCACCAGGTGAGAGTTGGCACTGGCAATCGCGGGCTGTCTTCGAGTCTTGTGAGCAGGATGACGGCAAGAGTGGTCCCTGCGTATCCACTCGCTCCAGGCACCACTGATTCACCCACTGCCACGACAACACCCGCCTGAGCCGCGGCCCTGGCAGCTCCAGCAGAACAAACTATGCAAACTGCACAAACTGCACAAACATCTCTGAGGTGCCATTCTATTTCAAGTCCGATTATGGGATCCGCCCCAGGACTTCATAGACATCTTGTACTCAGCTTCAATCTTTTGCTGAGTGACGCTTTCATATTAATGCGCGACATAGGAAGAAAGCTGTATGCATACGGAAGCAGGCAAGAACGAGGAGTTTCCCTACTCGCCGCGGCAATCTGCCTACTGTGTACGTATGGTGGCCTCCTGGACGGCACGGACCGGTCATGAACGAGAGTCATCATCAGAACTGGACTCGCTGTCACTACCACTGCTTGAAGTCTCGTCCTCCGATGTTTGGTCATTTGTCACCTGCACGCCACGTTGCTCGCTCTGGCTCTCGCTCTCGCTCTCAGGCTCGCTTGAGTCCGAGCTGGAACTGGAGCTGGAACTGTCATATTCAACGACCGCGGTTCTGTTCTTCCTCTTCTTGACCTTTGGTGGTGGGCCGTTGTCAGCATCACCGGCCTGCTCGGGCTCTGATTTCGGGCCCGATCCGTTCAGGTTGAGGGAAACACCGTCCACGGCGATGGCCAACAGCAAGAGCTTCGAGCGTGGCTGCGCTCGGATCCAAGATCGGTATTCCAGGTCTTGGTCGGTACTGTTTTCGTTTGCTGAATCTGAACTCGTCGATTCGGACAATTCCCTCTTGAAACGTTGAGCATACTGCTCATCTCTTCCTGACGCGAACGAGTTCCCGGCGTCGTTAACATCTTTCTGCCCGCCATTTCCCTTCGCCACCGACTCCATGCATTGCGACTTCAGCCGTTCGCGCGCTCCGACGCCTTTCAGCCCATGGATGTATCTCGATAGCGCAAAGTCGTAGTCTCGAGGGATATCGCTTTCAGAGAAAATATGTTTAAGGATCCAAGTCTCTCGGTTTTTATTGAATTTCCAGCTTGGTCGTGCTATATCATATTGGGTGAGATAGTCGAGTGCTGTGTTAGCCTTTTGAACAGGAAGCTGCTGGGATTTCTTGGCCGCCTTCCTCCTAGGCGGCTTCTTGCCTGCTGCCGAGGCCTGAGCTTCTCCGTTGGTCGACTCAAATGGTACGAGGCCGTCATTTGTTGTAGCAGATGCGCCCTTCGTGTCGGCGGAGAAAGACACTTGTTTCTTCGGGTTCACTCCCGAGGCCACCTTGTCGCCCGCTGTAGGCTTCTGGGAGTGGTCCGAAGCGGGTGATGAGTGTGCCCGAATTTCCTTGGGCTTGCTGTCAGTCTTCCGCTTCTTCCTTGGTCGTTCTGACGTATTGGGTTCTTGGTCTTCGGATGGATTAACTCTAGCTTGGGTTTCGGCTGTGATGTTGGCATTTTTAGAAGGCGTCTCAGATACCTCTTGTGCGAATTTGAGTTTCAGTCCGAGTCTCTTCCAAGCTGGAATTATGGCCTGGCCCATTTCGACTGCCATGTCCAGGTTGACAGCCTATTCGTCTGCAAAGAATACAGCTCAGCAGAATCGTCGTCCAAGAGCAGATATCACCAACTAGAAGAATTTTAGAATATTCTGCTGCAGCTGAGGTTTTGAGGGCTGGCCAATGGAGAAGGTTTTCCATCTCCAGGCCAGCCAGTGGCGGTGCAGCAGCCACTGTGGCTCGTGCCACGACAAGGCAACGCGCTGTTGCGTGTTCTGCACCCTGAGATTGTGGACGGTGAACGCCATCTTACTCGCTTCAAAAGTCACAACGAAAGTCTTCATCTCACTGCTCTGAATCAAGCTACGTCTCTCGACCGTGTTCTCGAAGGTGGTTTGAGTCTTACAATTGGTTTGTTGGACTTCGGTCGGCCGAAGTTAAGATGTCAGGTTGGTACTTTTGATGGTGTTGGTAGCTGTAGCTGGGTCGGACACACCGAGCTGACCACTCTCCCATCAGGCTCTGCGGGTTATGATCGACATATCACCATCTTCTCCGACCAGGGTCGGTTATATCAAGTCGGTACGTCCTTCGATCCGTTGCACTTTCTCCTGCTTTGCGTTCGCGACGCACCTCTTCGGCTGCAGTGGCCAGCGCATCCTCCGGAATCTATCAAGAGTCGCCCTAGAGGAGAAGCCAGAATCCAGCTGCTTACATCTACGTCCAGAATATGCCTTCAAAGCAATCACCGCAGCCAATATTACGTCCGTAGGAGTCAGAGGCAAGACATGCGCCGTGGTATTATCGCAAAAGAAGGTCCCGGTATGGAACACCTCGCCAAGTTGTCATTAGCCTTGCCCTAATTGCTGACCTTTGGCCAGGACAAATTGATTGATCCATCCTCAGTCTCCCATGTCTTTAAGATCTCACCCTCGGTCGGATGTGTTATGACTGGCTCAATCGCCGATGCCAGAGCCTCAGTCGTCCGTGCAAGAGGAGAGGCAGCAGAATTCAGATACAAGAATGGGTACGAAATGCCCTGCGATGTTCTGGCTAAGCGACTCGCCAACATCAATCAGGTATACACGCAACGAGTACGTCAAATTTGTTGAGTGGCAGGACCAGGAAGCAAGCTAACGGCTTGTTGTAGGCCTACATGCGACCATTGGGCGTAGCCACGACGCTGGTCTCGGTCGACGATGAGTTCGGCCCCCAGCTTTACAAATGTGATCCAGCAGGCTACTACGTTGGGTACAAAGCAACGGCGTCTGGACCCAAGCAACAAGAGGCACTCAATCACCTTGAGAAGAAGCTGAAGAACAAGGACCATGCTCCTGGCAGCTGGGAGGAAGTCGTCGAGCTAGGCATCAGCACTCTCAGCACGGTCTTGAGTGTGGACTTCAAGAAAGGCGAATTGGAGATTGGCATCGTGGGTGGACCAAGAGCTGACCGGAAGGAGGGTACGGATAATGAGTTCAGGAGTCTGACGGAAGATGAGATCGAGGAACGTCTCCAGGCTATCGCGGAACGTGATTGAGTGTATTCCTCTATGGCTGCTCGGAACCAACAGGCCGGGTGTACCTTGTTTCTTGGCCCCGAAAATGACGACCGCTTCAACAACCACGCTGGACAGGGATCAGTCTGGTTCAGCTTGACTACAGGGGAAAGTAGAGTATGGGGAGTATCTGGGGACCATTGGTCGGGCCACATTCGGCGATTGTTTGAGGCTGATGGCGCACATTTGCGTGGGTCATGTCATAGTTTAGTGTTACGACCCTCAGGTCTCTTCTCGTGAGACAGAGGATTACGGGGACGGATCCACCTTGATCCGGGTCTCGACCTGCAACTAGAGCGTCAGATGAGTCTCAGGTACACAGTACAGGCGAGGAACCCGACCCAGCCCCATTGCCGTGTCTATGCGTGATTCGGAGTGGATATCGGCACAGCCGACATGGGGGAGCGTTTGTGGCTCACCTGTGGCTGCTTGAGGCTGGAGTAGAGGTGAGGGAATGGAAAAACAATTGATCCAGGAGCTGTCAGGTTTGAGCAGATGGCATTCAAGCCACCGATTCAATGAAATCGCTTTCTTGACCATAGAGAAGTCGGCATTCCAACAGCAAAATCCCGCACCAGCGACCCTGGCGCTATGCAGAAGCGAGGGTGAAGGTGGACGATGAAAATAGACGGATGGACCAGTGACGCGCGCAGATGGCCCAAAAAGGCTTTTCAGCTTGCAGCATGCAGCAGCACCGTTGGCAGGCCATGTGAGAAGCCATGCGCCTGTTCCTGCCGCAAACGTACAGGCCAGATGCGAGTCGTGTCACTGTGTGGCCTCTGTTCATCAGGACTATCTGCTCAGCCGTCCACATGAGGTCAAGCCGCCGAGCTTATTTCTTTACCTGAAGTCTAGGGCGCCCCGGGTAGGCATAGCGTGCCCCGAGACCCCCGTCGACAGTTGAAGGCTAAGCGGGCCTGGCTTCTACCATGATTGGCTTCCCTCCTCGCCTATTTCCAATGCAGCGACGAGAGCGCGACGCCTCCAACGCTTTCCATTTCCAAACACCATGAGGTGCATGCCCGTTCCCTCCACTCACGCCTGCGCTTCGTTAACTCCACCTCGCTGCATGTCTGCTTCGACTGCACACGGTCGTTTCCAACGCCTCGTCTGCGATTTCCGTCTTGCTAACATTGCACCGACAGCGCCCTCGATCCAGTCACCGTCATGACCCAGCACTGGCTCGTCTCCGTGGCTTGCACGCCGCCTGCTGATCAAGACGCCGAAAAGTCGGAGTCTACAGCAGAGCCTCGACTGATCCACCGCCTGCACTGCAGCATCCCGACGTGCTCTCCAGTGAGGCAGTGTCCAATGGTCATTCTCCATCGATCCAAGCACTCTGGTGGCCGTTCTCAACCGTGACGTTCATCGCCCTGCCTCATTGACCCTCCCCTGGCTTAGTGCTGTGAGACTTGCCTCCAGCTTCACCGTCGCTAACGTTCTGCTCTGTTTATTTCTCACACAGCTGGAAACTCTGCTCCATTTCCTCGTGACGCTACGGCCCGATCCCCTATCTTCATGACCGATTTTGGCTCCTGACTGGTCATCTGTCACGAAAGCCACGAGATTGAGGCCACAACGCCGTGTCTACAGACGCTTCTACCCGCTCGGCGCATTGTGCCTCTTGATCCATTTGTAGAAGAGCTCTCTGAGCTGCCTTCATCCATAAGAATGCTCTCATCACCGCGACCAGAGTTTGTCTCTTCCTCCAAAGACACCAACATCGGACAAGTCGAACCAGCGATTCGAGAGCTCGACCATACTTCTGTGAAGGAACTCGACATAGTCGCGAAGCACTTGTGCCACACGAAGGAAAGACCCATTGGACCTGCGCCGTCCGTCGAGCCACTGCTTGTCAATCATCCGACTTCATCAGATTTGGCCAACTCGCCTTTCGCAATGGCTGATGGACGTGCGTCTCACCGTAATTCCTCGAAACCCAAGGGGCGATGAGTCGGTCAGGGGATGGGCTTAGCTGACAAGTGGTTCTGCAGTGAACGAAGCCCGCGCCATGCGCGTGATGGAGCTCATGAACGATTTCCGGACGCTTCAATTACACATCACGTCGCTGATCACACGAAGCGAGGCCAACCCTCCAGACCAGCAATCATACTACCTCGACGGCTACGTGGTCTTGAGACAGTGTGCGGCCGAGTCGCAAGCTGTCCTAGCCGGTCACTTCAACCCCGGCAGCCTTGGAATCCAGGCCGGCAACGTCCCCGAAACTGAGGTCCAGAAAGCGACATTGCAAAGGTGCGGCTACAGGCTATCAGTTTCGGCCGAGGGGACTAACAGTCTGCATAGAATCATCCTGGATGCCTCTACGAGAAGGTTTCAGGCACACAAAACCTACCTACGAGCATCCGCGGCGATGCGCTGGGTGCAGATGCGTGCGCAAGTATTGAGAGGCGAGAAGCCAGCAGCAAAGCACGCCAATGCTCTACGGGCCGTCGATCAACGACTTCGTCAGGTACGTGCATATTCGCGATCGTCGCATCCCCGCATTATCTCGCGTGGTCGGTACGATGCCCACGTGGTGGAAGCGCTCGGAGAGGAAGTGATCTGCATCCCCAGAGGATGGCCCCTGAGAATCCGCCCATAGACCTGACAGCTAACCCGAGGACCTCATAGGAACTCGACGAAGTCACCGATGAACACGTCGTCAGGGACCTTCGCAACGCAGACCGGCGAAAGGGCTACTGGGTCGATGAGGACCCAACCCTGGAGCGCATGCTTGGATGGATCCGAATGCAGAGGTGAAGCGGGCGCAACCAGCGCGCCAGCTTGACCCCACGTTTTGGAGCTTCCCCCAAGAATTTTCCTTGCCATTGGAAACTGTGTACAAGATAATTATCCCTTTCTTTTCCGGTCAATGTTGAGCACTGGCTTCAGATTCCGTGATGGTGGTGACCCCTGAGCAAGCTTGGGGCACCACCGTGCGTCATCCTGTAGCCGCTGCGCACGAAGGGGCTTTTTTGGCGGCTGGACCGGCAGGGTGCCGAGGGTGCTTGGGAGACTGGCTCTCCAGCTTTCGCATAATGAACAATTCGGGTTTGGGCGGGCACCTCTTGACCACCATAGGCCGCGCAGGGCGTGGGTTTTGGTACTTTTTGCCATCAGTGGCTTCATTTACGACGGATGCATGCATGACGCTATGAGCGGGATGGGATTAGGAAATCAGACGGGCTGTGATCACATTGGGACAGACAGAACCACCAGATCAGAACATGGAAGAATCCGCAGAGGGCCAGGATGGCAACAGTTACCGAACTCGGGATTTTGACTTTTCCATCGCACACACGGCCTGCCTTGCCTGTCAGTTAATGCACAGCCGGCATGAATATGTCACCTTTCCTTTTGTACGGAGCTCCTTCCGCTCCCGGAAAGCACGTGAGATGAGGTGCACTCGACAAATTCTACATGCTGTGCACTTCCAGACGTCAAGACTTGCATGTATGTCTGTACTGCGTAAGCGAGAAGAGCATACTTACCTAGCATAGCGCAGACCCGGGAGTCGGGACGTCGGCTACGTATGTATGTACGCAGCTTCGTGGCGCTCTTCGGGGTCCTAGCCAAACTTTTTATCCCTCGGCGAGCCCGATCGCCAAGTTAAGTCACTGCACGCACAGGAAGAGCTGCGGATGATTCACGCCGGCCGCTTTTGAAGTTGACCGCGCCTTCTGAGGTTGACACTTGTTATTCATGGCATTGGGTTCAGAGGAGAACACGGCAGCGCGGCACAGCCAGCAGGCACCCGGTCAGAACACAACACCTGCTCTATCGACCAACCGCACACAGATACAGTACGGGAGGATAGGACTGCACGCTCCGCTTTGTCGTCGCCGCAACCGAAGAAGCTTACTGTACAGTAGAGACCCACTGTGTACTGTACTCCGTACCTGGGTGCGCACGGCGGCAGGGGTACGTCCCCCGAATCGGGTCTCGGAGCTGCGTAACGGTCGAAGCACTGCCCTTTTAGAGAAGGGTTTGATTTCAAGGTAAGTGACTACGAAGTATAGCCGTACAGTAACTGAGGCACTGGCTCGCTTGGGTAGGTATTGTATCCAGGAGGTGTTGTGTACATACAGTAGGTGAGTCGCGTTCGCTGACTCGCGCGTCTGTGTCGGTCCCTGCGCCCGTGCCTGCGCCTGCGCCCCCGCGAAGCACACCCACTTTGGAACCGAGCTTGCGAGCTTTCGGAGTCGCGAGCGAGCCGGGCTTGGGGGTCACGAGCTCACTGTGAGATCGGGTCCTCAAAGTCCCTACCTACTCACACAACGCGTAGCCGTACACAGCGCGCGGTAGAATGTAGGTTATTAGAATGTACGTAGACATACTCTGGGACTCCGTAACGAGGACTCGGGCCGTGTACCGTTATTGTGTAGGCATGCCCACCGTGGGCTCACTTGCTATGTACGGAGTACAGAGTATGTGGAAACCCTTTCTTCGGCCCAACGTAGTCATAGCATAGCATGCATTAGCATCTAGCATGGCATCGCCTGGCACTGAAATGCATGGCGAAATCGCGCGCGTCAGATCTCGCAATGGGTCAGGTATCTAATTATCTACCTTACGGTGTCCCTAATATATTTCCTTTACCGTTTCCATTCGTGTCACTTCACCTCTGTTGATCTCGTTCCATTTTCAACTTGAGCACTAATTATGTTTGTCGTTGGGCATTTGGCTACTAGTACTCCGTACTGAAGGACCACCCTGACTTGGATATCCGCGCAAGCTGTGCGTTGTCTTCATCTCATCTGCTGCTTGGTCACAGTGATGTAGGTACATAGTAGCTACAGGAACTACCTTAATACGTCGATGGGTTACACAGCACCGTTCGTGCCCGTTTGTTGTTGTGGAGGAAGCACGTGGTCACTCAGTGGGAGTAACTAGGTACTGCAAGCTACTGTACTCCGTACTTGGTACCTAATGTCCCGGCTCCCATCGACCGGGTGTCGTTTACCAATTCACTGGCGAGGCTGTAGCTCCAGCTCCAGCTCCAGCTCGACAGGGTTCCGAGGCTCCAAAGCGTCAGACGCAGACCTCCAGGCTACCAAAGTTGCCGAAAACAAGCATGCATGCACGCATGCCTCACATCACATCACATCCCATCCCATCCCATCCCATCCCGCATGGATCCACCCAGACGCTGGATACGAACAGAAGTCCCTTCCCCTTCCCTTCTCGCCATGACCCCCCGCTCGTACTGTCCGTACTGGGTTAACTCGGACGGGAGGTGCATGAGATGCAAGAAATGGCGGGAGTGCAGGGCGTGCAGAAGGCGTAGTTGCGGGTGTGTCACTGTGGGGTCCTCGTCGCGTCGACTTGCTATATACATGCTCTGTACACAGTACCTCCGTTCTGAGGGAGAAATTGGGGGAGGACTACTCCGTACGGGAGTACTAATGCGGACGATTTGCACGAAAGAAGAAGCAGCCCAAGCTTTCCTTCTACCGAGGTGCTGTGCACCACCACAGTGCATAAGTATCTCGCGAACCTTCAATTGGGACCCTCTTGAAGCTGAATCTCTGGAAACCTGCATCCCTTCCGACTACCGAGTAGGGTGCCACGGATGTGCAGAGTTGGCTATGGGACTCGGCATGGGGGCTAGTACTTGATTCTAGTGTATGCGTGATGCCCAAGAATCGGTCCCAGGATCGGTATGTAAACCCATGGGGGGTCTCTTCTCATAAGGGACCGTATACGGATTACAGATGACTCCATAGGCGCTACTTATCGACTGCGAACCACCCACTCCTTTCAGGGCTGAGCGCACTTGTCAAACACATTGCTTCCATGTCGATACCTATGCATCATTCGTGGCAGTAACCTTCAGTTCATTTCTCTCCTCTCGAGAGAGGGACGGAGCGAGGTATATGGTTACTATCATATATGTACATTAGCTTTGACATACCGGTCAGCGTCTTGCCTGTTTACTCCGCCGAGCATGGGGCGTGGACATACGTCAACGACAGTATATCAACAGGGTGTGTAAATGAGCCAACGAGCATCGCCTTCTGATGAACTTTTTGGGCGCCGATGAAAGCCATGCACATATAAACGCTCGCTCACCGTACGTTTTGTCTCTTGAAATGCGCTACAACCCTCGACTTCGTGAGGGGCTGTCTTCGAGGACCCATCGCAGCAGTACCACCTTCAAGACTTGTCGTCAGGTGGAGCTGGAGCACTGAGATCCTCCAGATCTATGCCCAGGCCACCGGACTCGCCTGGCGAGCCTTCATGCGGTAGATGGCTAGACCCTGCCCCGATATTCGAGAAACCGCTGCTGGTGATGGAGTGGGCACGGCTAGGGGTTCGGATCGCAGGGGAACGATCGTCAATGTCGGGATCTATTCCCTCGGTCCCAAGCCTCAGTAATGCGATCGACGAATCTGGCTTACCGACATTCTTCTGATGCTGTATCCGGTAGAAGTCGCCTTGTGTGCTGAGATCTGTACCATTCTGGGTCACTACTGAAGCCGCTGCACGCATTCGCTTTTCTGTCCCGCAATCCAGTAGCCCCTCGATTGCGTCGATGATGTGCCCGAATGCTCTCAACTTGGCACAATGCTTTGTTCTGAGTTCACAAGGGAGATCGGTGACTGCAGGCTTGAGGTAGTACTTCTTGCTGCTGCCATGTCCCTTTGCGTACCAGAATCGATCTCCCCCGGCCGTTGAATGGCATCCGGGGTATTCCTGACGAAGGGTTTCAAAGCTGGGCCCGTCATTGTCCTGGAACACGCCGAAGAGCTAGGCGGGAAGGTCGAGGTAGACGCAGCCCAGTGCCCACATATCGAACGGGCGTGCAACTTCCCTTTTTCGGTCATGATCAGGTGCCCAGTAAGTCTGAGACCTGCGGACGTTGGCAGTCTTGTGCGACGTTTTTGCTGCCTTGGCGTCGGTAAATGCGCCTAATCCAAAGTCCGTGAGCTTGAAGATGGGGTTTTGATTGACAGCCCTTTTGAACACGAGTATATTTCCCGGTTTGATGTCGTTGCGTCGTCCTTCGTTCTCATCCACGAGCGTCGGTTCAAGCGAGTGGGCCTCGTAGAGTAGTGGACGTGACCGACCGCTCTTGCCAAGCCGTACAGCTGACGGAGGAACCAAAGGGCATGTGGCCCGTCGAGATCCGGTCGTTGCACCTCGGTGGTGCATATCCGCAGGTTGCACCAGGCTCGGTCGTAGAGAATGTAATGCGTACTCGACGCCGCTCGGGCCTTTCACTTGACAGGTGCCGTACCGGAGATATATCCCTTTCGTCACTAACTCTGGATGTGTCTCATGATGTTCTTTCATGAAGTCGTGTGGCACTAGCTGCCCACGGTCGTCGGGTTTTCTCCATGGAAACGCTTCGAAGCCGGGGCTTCGGAAGTCTTTGATCTCCTTGCCGTCAAACGTGAGGTTCATGACCACGCGGACTGTATCAAGAAGAATACCCTCGGTATGAGACCCCAACTTGCCCGGGTTGTTATGTCCTCTCTGATTCCTACTCACCTCTTCTTCCTGTCTCTTGCTTGTCCAAGATGTATAGCAACTCAGCAGCTCACCAGTTTGCGATCTTTACTGACTTCTAGACTCTCTTGTCCACTTTCCCCTTCTTTCAGGAGTGGCCGAACGACTGTCGTAGCTTTTGCACCGAAGTGCCCAGCCTATGTATTACTTTGCCAGTTTTTGTCCCGGCTTCAAAATGCCCCTGTCACCACCACCTCCTTTCCTCCAGAGCCAGAGGGCTTCAACAGCGTGTGCTTTGGCACTAGCGTGTCCGGAATGACGGTTCGCTTCACTCATCATGACTTCGATGGGTCTCTCTTTCTCAACGACGGACCAGATGGCCTCTTGAAGCTCACTTCCGCGGGGTCCGAAGTCTCCGCGCCCAAGTCGATAAAGGATCCGTCCTAGAATTTGGTACGCCATACATCTTTGATTGGGCAGTGTCGAACGTGCGAGCATCGACAGTTCAGGAATCGTATATCCCGCACTGCTGGGATCATCGCCATGGTGGTGCAATCCTTCCTTCACATCAATCTCGAGGCTGCGTTGCGGGGGAATCAAGGCCCCATTGAACCCAAAACGCAAAGACGAGGCGAGGAAAGAGTCTTTAGTGGGGTTATATAACGAAGCTGCGGTCTCTTCTTCAGTGGGATCTTGCAACCAGGAGAGAGCGGTAGGGTCGTGGGGTGTGTCAGGGAAGTAGTGCGTTTTCAGGTCAGCCAGGAAGGACGGGTCGTCAGGATTCAATGGTTTGTAGGCTTCTGCGGAACGAGGAGGAACGGGAAAGTGGACGGAGGGTGCTGGTTGGGTTTCGCTAGACTGTGGTGGGGTGGCGGTCTGTTCACTTGTGTCTGATATAGATTTGACATCATGCTCGAGAGCAAACTGAGCATCCAAATCCTGTACATCGGCCTCAGGCCATTGTGCTTGTTGCAGCTGGTCCTCCTCGATGTTTGCCCGCTTCAGCAGTCTCTCCAAAAAGGCAGGGTTCAGGCTCCTGGTCAATTCAGCCCTTGCCTCTGCGATATCCTCTATTGACATCTCAGCAACTCTTCTCCTGTTCTCTTCACTGATCTCGGCCTTCTGCTGTGCGTCCATGTCAACTCCGTATTTCCTGCCCACATGGTGTTTGATTGCTTGATCTGAGGGCTCAACTTTGGGAGGTATTGAGGGGCGGAAGGACTGGTTTCTTTGCTTGAACGCGGATACTTTGGCACGTTGCTTGTGCTGAGGGAATCCCGATTTGGAGGATTTCAGGGAAGGGGCTGTTGGAGGAGCGTCTGTGTCGTGTTCTTGGATGTCTTTGATGCTGAAATCGAGCACATGTTCTTGAGAAACATCATCTGGAATGGAATTGAACGTGAAGTTAGCAGCATCGAGGTCCAGCTCGAATCTTTGACCAGGAATAGCCATAGTGGGTGGTGCACTACAGATGCACCGATTCTTTGCACAGTCGTGTTAAGTATGGAGCATGACGACGACATAAACGATTCTAAAGGTGGACTGCAGAGTCCTTCACTTCATCGAGTTTAAAAGGTTTGGGGATGGGCGTTCGGACTAAACTACCCGAAGCTCGCGCCAATCCATGCAAGCCACTTTGCAGGGGTACGATCTCACAAGTGGGGCACTCCGATCTTTCTGCTCCAAACTCGGGGTCTGTTGTGAACAGCTGCTGAGGTTGGTTCCCTGTTCCCACCAAAACAAAGCACAGTGCCCTTGTGATTGTGAGCGCGCAATACATGCTAGGCCAGTCCGTCAGAGACTCCCATTTCTGCAGTCAGGATGTGCAAGTCGAATGCGTAAGTGGCTAAGGGATGAATCTCAATTCACCTGAGCGGAACTGCAGTCAAGTCGACCTGCCTTCAAACGGGCCGACCAATGAACATTCACCGTTATTCTGCGAGCTTGCCTCGCCTGCCCACCATGCCCTATATTTCCTGCGTACCATCTGAGCCGAACGCAGATTCAAAGCCTCGCAATCGCACCACACTGTGAGATGTCACTTGGCCGATGCTGGAGATAATTTCGGCCTCCCCCTTCGAAGCTCGATGCCCTTTCCAGTTCGCCGTCGTCTCTTTCCCTCTGCCTCCCTTTGCCTGGCCGTTTCCACCCTGTGTGCGCTGCGCTTCTCCTTTGCACCTTTGGTTTGCCCGCTTGTTTCGTGTTTGGCAGTCCCAGCTCCTGGTTTGGCTTCGTGATGCGCCTGTTCCCTTCACTTTCTATCCACTCTTGCCTTCGGCCGCGCTGGTCTGGTGTTTCGTTGCCTTCGCCTCGTGGCCCATCCTGGCTCATGCTCATGCTCTTTGTCAAGATTAATTGCTTGCACCCGTCAAACTCATACATATACTATTTCTGCCTCCTCCCACCTGTCTCTTCTTTTTTCGACCTTTTTCTCTCCTCTTCGCCCCTCTCGCGCATCTTGAAGTTGCTACCGTGAAGCACTGCACGCTACATCAATCTCGATCTTACTTTGATGTTCTTTACCCGTGCCTAGCGTTTTACCACGGAGCATCTTCGCCGCTAACCATTCTTCACTACTAATTCATACCTGGTGTTTTCACAACTGCAGTCGTACTTCATCGCACACCACTTTGTCACTTCAACCATTTCTTTGTATAACACCCTGACGCTCATACCGGAAGTGCTCGTGCATCCGCCTACCATCACCAACCACCACCGATCTCACCACTCTCAACGTCGATATTAGGACTGCTTCAAAGCTCACGTCGCCTAGCTTTGTCGTTGAAGACATCAAGCTGCTGTTGATGACTGCGACACAGCTGCACCTGTAATCTTGAGAGAAGTGTGGCGGTTGGAGGCCGAAAATGGAAGTGGACGGCCGGAGTTCATCTCTCGACAGTTTGTCCAGCGCACCTCCAAGTGACGCCGAAGGCACTCCAGGACCCCCATATTATCTCTCATCTCATCGGAACACGAGCACAGCGACTGACCTGGGTGTTGCGAACAATCACGATGCTCGACAACCACATGCCGATCCAGGTGTGGCTTTATCAGCCACATCTGGAGGTGCACGCCAAGATCCGCAGCCGGTGAAGCGGCCCCGGAAGCCGCGCGCACCAAAAGATCCCAACGCGCCTCCCGTGGAGAAGAAGCCTCGAGTCGCTCGCAGACCCCGAACTACCATAAATAATCCTACATCACGCAAGCGGACCAAAGTAGAGCCGACAGAAGAAGACAGCACTATTGTCATTCCAGGTCCTCCAACTTCCGGCCTGCAGTCATCTACTTTGGTTCAACCAGTTTCTTTCGCGCAACAACCTCCTGTGGAAAGCCGCAGAAATGAGGCTGCCAAGACTTCCGAACCGGGCTTCTCGATACAAGACAGGCCGATGCACCCTTACACATCCCCTCAAACCATGTATGAACAGAAACCAAACGTATTGGCTCCCCCTCCACCACAATCCTCCACGCCTCGTTCGAAAGCAATGTACGATCCTATCAGAGGGTTCACGCATCGACCTCTGGATACAAACCCACCTCCTCCTATGGCACAACCTGTTATGACTCCTCCCAGGCCCACATACAATCCAAGCACTTCACCAGCTATCTCTAGCATCATTGACTACCCTCCACAGGCGCAGTATTCGAATACTACTACGCTGGTCACCCATCCCTCGAGAGCTGAGCCACCATCCACCCATACAAATGGCAGAACTGTCGATCTACCAAGAGCAGCCGAAACATCTGCGATGGACATTGATCTTGCTGAAAAAGAACAAGCGCAGCCTAAAAAGGCCGCCGCCTCTCGAAAAACACCCTCGGAAGCCTCCACCCGAGCCACATCCCCCAAGCCTGCACGAGCCAAGGAGCAGCCTCCTCCGCCTCCCATGGGTTCGGGACTGCTATCAGCCAGTCTGTTCGGTGGGGATTCAAGCAATGGTATCGCTCCAAAGGACTCTGAGAAGGGACCGAATATCGTGCTGCATGTCGATCTGAAAGACCCAAATAATCGAGTCATCAACTTCGCCCGAATGGCCGAGGAGAAATATGGATTTGCTGCCCTTTACCCTCGCCAAGCCGCTCAGAAGGAGCGACTGGCCAAGATTGCCGCTGCTGGTGCTGCGCTAGAACGCTCAGCATCAGGCAGCAAATTGGGCGGAACCTCAGCTGAGAGTGGTGACGAAGACCTAAGCGTTGATATCGATCGCGACTCGGAGAACGAGGGAGATGTTGCAATGTCTGGCGTCAATGGCCGGCTGGAGGCGGGCAACAGTGGAACTGATGGTCCTGGTCCTAAACCTCAACGAAGGCGAAAGGTCGAAGAGTACGATGTCGACGACGACTTCGTCGATGATAGTGAGCTACTCTGGGAGGCACACGCCGCTGCAAGTAAAGATGGATTCTTTGTATATTGTGGTCCGCTCGTTCCGGAAGGAGAGAAACCCGCAGTTGAAAGGTGCGTGCAACTGGCTATTATCACTTGTTCCGATTCTTTTACTGATCTTATTTCAGAGCCGACGGGACGATCAAACGTGGCCGCGGCCGAGGTCGTGGTGGCGGTCCTGGTTCTCGTGGTGGACGTGGAGGCGCTGCTGCTTCTGAAGGTGGCACCAGACGTGGTGGCGGTCCTGGATCCCGAGGCGGTGGGACAACTCGGAAGCCTCGCATCACGAAAGACGAGAGAGCCCAGATGGAGAAAGAAAAGCTACAACGGGAGAAGATGGCTTCACTGATAGCCAAGCCATCCGCATATCCCGCCTGAACAGACGGCATATCTCAACTGCCCTTTCACGACCTACAGGCGACTAGGAAAACACCCGCACCTATATGCGGATCTTGTCGGTGGAGTACGCATAAATTTCCAACGCTTCAGGTGTAAGGGTCTCTAGCACCATTGCTAACCCATCCAAAGTGCTGTTGAGGGTTGCTTCGGTGAATCCATCATGGCAATGGGGGCAGAACTGTGAAGTTTTCATCTCGTTTGAGCACGTTTAGCTACTAGTATTCTTGATACCAATACTCCCTGGTGCCCAGTTTAGAGGGCGACAAGGAAATCCACCTACAGTAAAGAGATCATCTATGTCTCCTTGTATTCGCATGAGTCTGAAGGATACTTTGAGCATATCAACACGGCCCTGCTGCGCATTGGCATGAGTGGCTTGATTTAGTGCCCTGCCAGTTCCGCCAAGACGTCATGTCGCATCTGCCACATGCGAGTGTGAAGCAGTGCTTGATTAGGGCTCACCATGGAGAACGCAGATTCCCATCAGCAAAACCTAATACGAGACGGCGCAACTGAAAGAGTTCAAGGTGGGATGGGACGCAAGCACACGCTGGTGCTCGATGCAGCTCCCACACCACCGTCGCTTTTCTCAACTCTCAGGCAGGGCTCGCCAGAAGACTCGCTTCTTCGCTACACGCTACACTAATCTTGCTGATCCTTGCTTCTTCCGACCTGACCTTAGAGATCTCGCACTAACCGTCTGGCGACCAGAGACCAATCTCTTGGAGCTCCCGGGTTCCCAACTAGGCCGTCTCAGCCACTCACAGGGAGGACCCCTCAGATGGATAGCCCGTTGAAAACGCGGCATTGGTGGCATGTCCGCCATTAACTGTGGGCTACGCCAGGCCTGCTTTGGCTGTCTGCCGTGCCCCCAGTGGCTGCTGCTCTGGTTAACCAGAAGGCTTCCAGGGCTTCTCCAAGTCGCCTAATCCACTTCGTTGTGCCCCCTTCACCCTCGGCTTCGCTTGACTGGAACCACGCCGCTCCTCTTCCAATCCGAGTAATTGTTGAAGCAATACACCTGCGGGCCCGTGGCCGTCTAACTGTCGCCATCGTCGCTCTCTCGCTTTCCATCTCTAACTCTTGCCAGGCCGCGTGTCCATCTCCTCCTGCTATCGCCGCGCGACACTTCATTCGAAGTTCTTGCGCAAGCATGCGGTGCCGGGAGCCACCCTCACTGTTACCGCTGTGCCGTCCCTTCCCTGGCTGATCATCCTCCGCAAGTCAACCCTATCTCTACACCGCAGCTTTCTCTCCCCAGTAGTCGAGTCTGCTTCGACGTCGCGCATGGGAGAACACGAGCCATCATGGACGGGTTTGCCGGCTTCTATAGCCAGTCCTATCCGGGTGCGGATCCGAACGAGGCGTTGAATGGATACTCGCAGGATGACTCTATGGGTGGAATTGATCCCAGCGCCATGGACACCTCGAGTTTGGGGCAGGCTCAGAGCCTGCACCAGATAATCAATCAAAACAATGAACAATTGATGCGCCGGAGGAGCAACTTCTCACCGCACTTTCGCCATGGTTCACACGATCACGGCCGGAGAGCGTCTATGCTCGAGTTTTCTTCCAACTTGGATAGCGACCTGGCCGATTTCCAGTTTGATCCGAACCCGAATGAGCCGACAATGAACATGGAACCTGCCGACATGATGCCGATGCAAAAGTCACTAGATCCACGGAAGGTCCGCTCAAGAGAAGACTTGTCGTTAAATACCCAATTTTCGCGAATGCATACAAGTTTCGATAACATGCAGGCCGTCAACAACTTCTCTCCTGTTGTTCTACCCAGCACTTCCGCCCCTATGGAGCAATCTAGCGCGTACATGCCCCCAGATTTGGATATGGCAATGGATTTTGACCCTATGTTGCGAGGCGCCAATGCTTCGGCGATGCAGGAGCCCATGTTCACAGCCTCACCTATGGACCAGGGTTATGCTATGTCTTATCAGGCGGTCAATCATGATCCGGGCGGCGGCTCTTCGATGAGCCCGCAAGTGCAGAGTCGGATGGCGACCATGGCTCAAGACATGTCCTCCATGCCTGATTCGTACTCGAACCCTTCGCAACACCTGCGCGGGCCGGCTCCTCTCAACACCTCGGTTTCTCTAGCAGGAGGACCCTCCTCCGTAATGGCTTCTCCGGCACATATCCAGCACCCACCTAACAGACGGTCATCAGTTGACCTGCATGCTCCCTATCCCGGTAAAAGTAATAAGAGTAAGCGCCGGTACAATCCTGTCGTCCTCCGACTGACATCAATGGCCAGATGTTACACCCGATCCGAGAGCGATGAATCCCCCGAGCCTCCCTCATATGCCGCCAGTTCAGGGTGGCCAGATGCCGCCTCCAAAGTACGCCAATGCCTATTCCTCCAGTGGTTTCGACATGCTTGGCGTTCTCGTAAGTGGACTCCCGAACCGATGCCGTGACCCTGCGTAATGTTTGGGACAGATGCGAGTTGCAACAAGACCACGACCGGAAATCAATATTGGGCCAGTCGACTTGTCCTGCGCCTTCGTCGTCTGCGATATAGAGAAATTCGATCTGCCCATTGTCTACTGTTCGGAGATGTTCGAACGACTGACAGGCTATAACAAACACGAGATTCTGGGCCGCAATTGCCGCTTCTTGCAAGCACCAGACGGTAAAGTGCAATCCGGAGTCAAACGGAAATATGTCGACGATAACTCAATTCTTTACCTGAAGAATCAGATCACCAAGCGCGCGGAAGCACAGTTAAGTCTGATCAACTATCGAAAAGGAGGACAGCCATTCATGAACCTCCTGACCATGATCCCGATCCAATTCGATTCGGAGGACTACAAGTTCTACGTTGGTTTCCAGGTTGATCTGGTTGAGCAGCCAAGTTCAGTGTCTGGGAGGAACCCAGGTATGACTGTCTTTTGGATTCGTGCAAACCGGGTCAAGTCCAGCTAACACTTTGTATCAGACGGGACGTACGAAATCAACTACAATCGAAGCTCGCTCCCTGCCTACCAGCTCCCTGCTCCGCATGACTCCAACCAAGTCCACGAAATAGGTGAAACAATATCTCGGGATGAAGTCTCCAAGGTTCTGGCCACTATCGGACGTGGTGACTCAGACGGCTCCAAACGGATATGGGACAAGATGTTACTGGAGAACACTGACGACGTCGTGCACGTCCTCTCGATCAAAGGGCTGTTCCTCTACCTATCACCCGCCAGCCGAAGAGTCCTGGAATACGACCCGAGTGAACTTATTGGAGTGGGTTTGTCGTCAATATGCCATCCCAGCGACATCGTCCCCGTCACTCGAGAACTGAAAGACTCTTCGAGTGGAGCGCCTGTCAGCATCGTGTACCGGATACGGAGGAAATTTTCCGGCTTCACCTGGTTTGAGGCTCATGGTGCCCTGCACGTTGAGCAAGGGAAGGGTAAGAAATGCATTATCCTGGTCGGCCGGGAGAGACCAGTCTACGCTCTGGATCGCATGGACCTCAAAACCGACAGTAACCCGGGTGAGAGTGAGCTATGGTCCAAGATATCTACGTCAGGGATGTTTCTGCATGTGTCATCCACCTCTCGTGTCATGTTGGACCGTCTTCCCGAAGATCTAGTCGGAACAAGCATGCAGTCACTGATGAGACCGGACTCAAAGAAAGAGTTTTTGCGCATGCTCGAGACAGCAAGAACGGGAGAGAAGGTGTCTTTCAGGCACGATCTTCAGAATCGACGTGGTCAAGTCCTTCACGCGCAGACTACTATCTATCCTGGTGATGCTCGGCCAGGGTTCAAGCCGACTTTTCTGCTATCGCAAACGCGGCTACTTAAAATGACGCGCGCTACACTCCTGAATCAGAAATCGATATCAGCGGCATCGGTGGGTTCGGGAACTCCGGCGACACATGGGTCCGGGCAATCATCCGTTAACATGCCGAACGGTTCTACACGCTCTCTTGCTTCCAAGGGCAATCCGTCGGATCATAGTGGGACTTTGACTCAAGCAGGCAGTCATGCGCTCAGCTTGGGCAACCAGGATGAAGCCCTCGCATCCGAGGACAATATTTTCGACGAGTTGAAGACGACTCGGAGCTCCAGTTGGCAGTTCGAACTCCGGCAGATGGAACGTCAAAATCGAATCTTGGCTGAGGAACTGCAGGCTCTGCTAAGTCGGAAGAAGAAGCGTAAGAGGAGGAAAGGTCTCGGCCAGATGGAAAAGGATTGTGCCAACTGCCACACTAGAGTTACACCGGAGTGGAGGAGAGGTCCGAGTGGTAATCGTGATCTGTGTAACAGCTGTGGCCTGCGGTGGGCCAAACAGGTAAGGTGCCAGTGTTTCTCTGGTTGTGGTGGTCTTGCCGGTAGCAATTGCAACTGACTGGTGCTTGACACAGAACGGACGAGTGTCGCCTCGCAAACCCTCCAGCCAACAAAGTGACAGAGGCTCAACATCACCCGCACATAGCACGTCGGCCAACCAGGCGGAGGCCAAAAAGAGCGACTCATCCGAGACACCTCGCGCAGGCACTGCCCAACAGTCAGGAAATCCCTCGGCAAACTCTGACGTCGGAGGAAACGACAAGGATATCTGGAGGGGCCAACTGCCGCCCAAGATTGACGAAGTTGAGGAGCCGCCTCATCGCAGCATATTACCGACATAGAAGTTGGCCTCAAGCAACCGTGGGTCAAATATATCAAGCACAGCTCCGCTTGCTCTCCCCCTCCCCTTTCCAGGAGGACACGACGACGTGTGGTTGGGATGTCGTCCATGAAATCTATGTGGAATCCTCCAGGCCCAAGTCGATCCATTACTGGCCGGCGTCTGGATCCATTCGCCGTTACGCGGCATTCTCGCGGGCAGCACGCTACTTCTACCACTGAGCTTCATCCTCACCAGTGACTTTGACCAGTCCAATGATTTTCATAGGCTATGAAGCCGCGACATGGAAGATAGCGAACGGTCAATGAATCGAGTCGATGTGCTTGGGCACATAACGGCCACGCTTGCGAGATATCGCTACCCTACAGACCATGTACGAAATGCAGTACACAGTACAAGCTGATGCGAAGCGGGTGAATACCCGGCGATTGGCACAGGCGGCAATACCGACCACATCGTCTTTCCGATCATATGACACGATCACGCTCGGTGCACAACGTAGGTGCAGGTCCCGACCAGTCATGCAACACGCCAACAACAATGAGATATCCCGAAGAGAAAGGAGTGGCGCCAGTTGAGGGTCCGATACTCGTTCCTCCGGGCCTTCAAAGGGGTGATCCATTACCATGCGTATCAAGGACGACTCCCAAGATTATACTTCGAGATCGTCGTTATAAGTCTCAGCAGAAAGCAAGCTGTAATTTCACGTCACGACGACGCTATGAGAACTAGACCACCAGAAATGCAGAGGGGGCCTACTTGATCAGATTTACAGGGGACAGTTAGTTGGCATTTAGGTTGGGCATTCACATTTGGGTGACCATTCCATGCAATCTACATTAGGTACTTAGAGGCGGGCGTTCGGGCCAGATATCCACTTCACTGTATGTATGCGGACGGGGGGACAGGAAATGATCCAAATCAAATCAATGAACGGCAGGGAGGATCATGTTTGGGTAGGGCAGGGGGCAATGTCAATCCAATCAGTTCACGACTCTCCTGATTACAGTACGTATACGGCTACCACTGAGAGCGCATCCGAATATCTATACCGATCTATTCGCATATCAATCATAATCACCCTCGTGCCCCCTTCCACCCCGAACCGCCGTTCGGTGATGCCAATTGGCCTTTCTATGGGCATGTATGTACGTGTACATAAACATATGGGAAGCCCGCGTAGGACGGACCTAGGATGCGATACTGTGTATATACACATGTGCCATGTGCCACGGGTCATGCGCCGCATGCTACTGTTCGTTCTCATTCGTCTTTAGATCCATCGATCCCGTCCCCGTCCCCGTCCCCGCCTTTGGTCCCGCGCGGGTTCTCGTGGCCGAGGAGGATCGAAATCTAGGTGCAAATCCTGCATGCGAAACCCCTGTGAATAGCCTACTGATGATGATGATGAGGGCACCAATCGCGATGCCGAAGTCGTGTGGTCATGGTCCCGGTCCTGGCCCGCGCTCTCGATAGGGACCATTGGCACGCGGGAAGTGGAGGTGGAGGTGGGAGCGGAGGAAGTTGTCGGGTCGAGGACCCAGAAGGAATCGCGTCTCAGGAGTTGCACTTGCTCCCCAGATGCTTGGGTGACGATGGAACTGACGCGGTTGGACTCGGGTCGGGGAATCGCGCCACTTAAGGTCAAGGCGGTGGTTGTGCGAGGAAGTGGGTGGGCACGGGCACGGGCGCCGGTATCGACACCGTAACCGTTGAGGGCTTGCGCGTGCGCGTGTCCATCTGTGCTGTTGTCCGCTCCTACAGCGGCAGAACTGGTATATCTGTATAGCAGTGGTAAAGTTGATTCCTTCCAGACGGCCATGTGCTGGTGATGCGTGGAGAGGATGGTGAGCAGCAGTCCTCCGAGGCCCAGGACCGTCAGCGCCAGGGGGTAGGTGATCCATTCCCAGCGGACAAGGACGACTGCCTCACTCTGCAGTGTGGTGCCAATGGCGACGCTGTCCTCGAGTTGTTGGAAGCGGCCCGTGAGTGCTCGGCCGACTCCGTCTACCACGGCACTGAAGTCTCCGTTCCCGTCGATCGCTTGTTGGCCTGCGGAGCTCCAGGGTCCGCCGTACGCCTGGGAAGAGCCGGTCGAGTCGAAGTCAAATGCTTCTCCATCCGAAGGGTTTGCGTACCAGTAGCCCGAGTGGCTATACGTGGTATTTCCTTCGAGCGCGATGCGTAAAGCCTGGATGAGCAGAAAGGCTCGTCCTTGGGAGTCGTCATTCCCGGCGTCGTGGATAGAGTAGTTTGTTCCGTTGATGGTTACGTTCCAGCCTGTCAGGACACGGCCGTCGGGTTGGCTTTCGCCGGTAACTATGGTGCCATAATTTGTGGATGTCGCATACGAGATTACCGCTCCGTTCCTGATGGAAGTGTCCATTGTCCGAACACAGGGAGTGAAGGCGCATTCCGTTGCCCTTTGGACCGCGAGTTGCTCGAATCTGCCGTCAGGTTCAAGTCCAGGTAACCCATGGCGAACAGTGGGGAGTCGACCCCTCCGTAGGATTTGTTGTCCCAGCTGTATCCCCAGTGGCTGTCAGGTGTCCGGTCAATGTTCAGTGGCCACACCACGCGGCGAGGATAGCTGACGGCCCACTGGACGCTGCTTCCAAATGCTAGGTCCAGCGAGGTAAAGACGTTCACGGAGTTGCCGTTGGGGAAAGAGTACCTGGGCGTCCAGCTGCTGGTGGAGGAAGTGCCGTTTCCTTGAGAAAACTTCTCGAGATGCGGTGTTGAGGTTGATATTGTAGGGGTTCTCCACTCAGTTTGACTTTGGCTGTCATGTCCTGACAGCGCGTACACATAGCAAGGGTGTCGTATGCCGGCCACGTGCAATTTCCACCAGAGCATAAAGGAGGCGGTACTGCGCCTGTGGCACCGCCAAACGCGCCAATCAACGCGTGAAGAGACAGTCCGGAGTCTCCCAGGTTTCCAATAACTGGTTCACTGTATGAAGTTGGGGTACGGATTGAAGCCGGTTCGGAAACAATGGCAGTCTCCCGGACAACTGTGTTCAAGACTTGTTGCAGGAACGGCTCGAAGCCGAGAGCAAGGACGGTGACCAAAGCAGCAAGCAGAGCGCGAATACTTCCTCGGCGGCTCAATATGAGCATAGCTGAGCCGTAAGGACCACGACTGGCTTCCTCGAATTCGTCGACCGTGGTGAGAGGTCGTGGCTTGTCTATGAACCAGAGCCACTTCTCCTGCCGAAGCGCAGCAGCAACGACGACCAAGAGTGCAGCTTTGGCAAAGCTTGCCAGGAGTGGGACGATTGCGTTGATCTGTGAATCCATGTCAGGATGACACCAAGCGACTTGAGGGCGTTGTGTAGAGAGCACTCACATTCAAGCCATCTGGCAGGTCTGGTACACGCTGGTTGTCATACGCGACCAGAATGCGCACGATTGCGGCAAGTATGCATACGCATAACAAGGCCGCTGACATCTCCCATACCCAGTTATCCAAGCTCATGCGGGTCCACCATGATGGTCGCTTGTGGGACCATTTTGAAGGACTTGACCGACCCACGATACCGTTGTGAGTGCTGGATTGATTGCTAGAAGACGCATCCATCTTCACAGAGTTTTGCCAGTCGTTCGGTTTCTCGGTATTTGTCCCACCAGGTCCATTCGTTACCGGATGCCATAGAGGTCGGTATATACCAGGGTACTCCGTACATCGCTCAGGGTTCCGCAGGTGGAAATATATCAGGCGTCCCCAGAGAAGCTTAATTTGCAAAAGACATGGCGATCAAGACCGTCAGCCACAGGATGGCGAACTGGAATACAAAGCATACAGTAAGATGGGGCGGGAATTGGGTCGGAAACTACTCTTGCTACGGCCGAAAGTAGCTCATCGCACATAGCACATATCGAAATACTCGACGACCTACGAAGGTGTACGTTCCCGCTGTTTGTTTCATGTTTCGCAAAACCACAAAGCAGTGAAGAGAGTGGAATGGAATCGCCAAGCGCTGGCGGCAATCGACTCTGGGAACGGCCATATTTGGGCGAACCCGGTGGAGTGGTACTGTACGAGATAAGGTCTGGCCCGCATGGTCCGCTGGGAGGCCTCACCGCCATCATTGGATTTCAGACTCAGTAATGCAAGGCTGGAGGCTGAGCAGCTTGCGACTGATGGCTGCGACGACCAAAACAAGTCCGAGAATTGTGTGCACACGTCGCCGCGGAGGCAATGTCGCTCGCAACGTACGTAGCGCCCGCCGCGAGGACGGACGAGCTGCAGGTAGCCGTATACTCGTAGAAGGTAGGTCAGGAAGGGTTGCCAAGCGGGTTCCTCAGTGAAGGGGGCCACCATAGTATCACCCACAATGTATCCTCTTCGCCCTGCTCTTCACTATCTCGAACCCTTCTCTCGCCAAGTTCTGCCGACCTCAGCATCGGCAAGCGGAGGCCGTAAACGACAAGACGATAAGCAGAGGTACCTCGTACAGAGAACAGGACTTGCGCAGTCAGTGCGGTCCGTGGGCAAAGAGGTAGGGTACACAGAGACTGGTGGCAGCCGCAAATGGATGGTGAGTGTCGGTCCATCTCTGCGGAGGCGCAGGAGCACGCAGGAGAGCACAGAGGGGTCTGCAGTTACTGCACGTCAAGAACTGAGGGGCAGTTGCGTCAACGGCACGAGGCCGACGACGGCGACGGGAATTATCCACTGAAGTGACAGACAAGCTGATCACTCTGATCCCTCACATGGCGGCCAGGGCAAAAATCACTTTGAGATAAATGATCGACGCTGGTGTTGATGCCCAACTGGCCGCCCTCTTCCCATCGCCTCAAAGTCACTTCACTGGTGCCCGGCCGTTAGCAACCCGGCTACCGCCCAGTCGGTGTTTCACTCCTGTAATGATTTCATCCTGGGTCCAGCAGCTCCCCCTGCCCGCTACTCGCTGGTTCCTGTTCCCTGTTCCCCTGATTCTTCCTGCTTCCCCGGGAGCTTTGTCTCTTGCGAACTGCTGCTTCCCGTTGCTCCGCGCAGGGCCGTCGTTCCCAGAAGGGCGGTGCCCGGCTCTCGCTCGAGGTGCTATGTAACACTACCATCTCGCTTGACCGTCACTCTGGCCATCTCTGGACATCGCTAACCATTCGTGTGGCTAACGCGTGATAGTTTCGCCTTGGTCGACTCTCTCTTTTCGACGTTCCTCGTATGACTCGCTGCCTGACCACCATCACTCTGCAAGCTCGGCAAGTACCTGCGGAAATCAACAGCCAAACGTCAGAGCGCTGGGCTGCATCCTAGACTAGCGCACCCACTTTGTCCCACCTCGACGGCAACCCGAAATGCAGGGCTTCTGGATGGGTTGATGTGCAAGCCACTTCGCACCCCTGTCGCAGTTTCGCAGCCCAGCCTTCCCAACTGGACTCACACAGTTCCTGCTTCAACTTTTTCCATTCAAACATTTGTATCCTCACAGTTCCCCCCTCTCTATCACACATCCACGCCCGCTTTGTCACTTCCCATACGAAATCTATTATCAGACTCCCGCTCCATTGCAACCTCGCCGACGACTGTCTTCGCTCAAGCCGTCGCTATCAACTTCCTAATCCATCCATTGCGACTACCTCCCGCGCGCCAGCGACTTGCGCCTGGCTGTTTCCCTTTGGCCTCCCGGTCTCAAGTCGAATAACATCGCACTTGACTCCCGACGTGCGAGTCTCGACCCTGAGGTTCCGTGCCTTGTCGCCTAACGCTCATCGATCCGACGAACTCTCACCTGATCAACATCGAAACCCCTTTACGAGACAAGGCAAAAAGACGTCGGCGCAGATTACAATCCGACCCGCGAAAACGAGACGTCAGATCTCACGTCCGTGCGCCGTTCCAGTGCCCTGGATCCTCCCTCCGTCATATATTACGAGATTGACCGCACCTCCGAAACACTGTCCTCGCGACAGGTCGCAACTTCTCAACAGTTGTGGAAGCTACAGCTTTGAGGCAATCGTCGACGACCCAGAATAATTCGTGATCGGCTACTCGAGCGTGTGCCATGGCAGACAAGATCTCCATCACCATATGCGGCGACGGTGGTTGTGGTGCGTTTGAGTCGCTCGTTGAGAGTCATGCACCGCCCTAACCTTGTACCTGCAGGCAAGTCGTCCATCACACTACGCCTAGTGAGGTCACAGTGGACTTCAGAGTACGTTACCGCCCCTGTATATCGGTAGACTACGTATACTGACGGGCGCGCAACAGATATGACCCTACGATCGAGGACTCATACTCGGTCACACGAACAGTCGACGGCTTAAACTACTACCTGTCCCTCACCGACACAGCCGGACAAGAAGAATACCGCAGTTTATGGGCTGCCTCGAATCTCCAATCGGATGCCTTTCTGCTAGTTTACGACATCACCAATCTCGCTTCCCTCGAAGGCCTCTCATGGTTCCTTGATATGATCGATATTGAGGCCGAGAATAGACTGGAGGAGAACCAAAGACTGCTCCGGGAAAAGGGCTCCAAAGCTCGAGGCAGAAGAGAAGAAGGCTGGAAATTTCCTCCGATCAAGATCATTGCCGGCAACAAATGCGACCTGAAAGATGCAAGGATCGTCAGCAGCAAAGTCGGCTGGGAATGGGCCAAGAGTAAAAACTGCGGCTTCATGGAGACCAGCGCTCGGGAAATGGTCAACATTGAGGAAACCTTTGCTCGTAAGAGGCGCTTGCTATCGCATGTCCATGACCACGACTAACACTTTTTCACAGTAATTGTCCGCAGAGTCGTAGAGGCACGAAGGCAACACGGTGCAGGTGGTGGCTCACTACCTCACCAAGCGCCCTATGGCTCAAAAGGCCACACACCAAATGTCAGCGGTGCCGGCGCCGCGGCTTATCAGATGCCTTCGTCAATGCAAGCAAGTCGTCCACAGACTAGTCCCAACACTTTACCCGCCACAGAGAAGTCGGGTTTCGACGATGACAACAATCATGGGCCCTGGTGGAAGAAAATCTTCTGCTGCCGCTGAGTATCCAATCCACGGAGACACCTTTTATAACATTTGTACAACATTGGCGGCCGTCTTGCTGTTCGTCCCCACGACGACACTCCAAGTTGTATCTTTATTCAAGCACAGGATGACAGTGCCCTCACCCCCGAGACAGCAGGCTGGACCACGACAAGATCGGGTCGAGAAGCTATGGCCGTTGTCCCAGCGCCAGGGCCCTTTCTGTCATTGTGAAGTCCGGAAGACCACCGGCATTATTGTCACCGTCTCCATCCAATCGCGCCGTGCGTAGATGGTCTGGAGATGCCGAATTTTCGTCTGAATGAATCCATCAACCGGAACCCTCGTGGCATTGGGGCCGGTCCAGATGTCAGCAGATACCCGATTAAGCGAGCAGATCAACTCGCTCTATTGACAGATTTAGCGAGTTTAGCGTACATTATCGTGTCCAAAACAATGTATAACTCCAAGAGGAAGAGGACAGAGCCGCGAGGCCGAACAGCGGACGTTGAAGAGAAGATGTCCAGCAATGTACACCCCATCATGTTTCACTATGTAATGTACCTGTCCGGGCGAGTGTCTCGATTCTGGGATGGATGCCTGGAAGAAAGGCTGGGATGATTATGTACAGATTAGTGTGTGGAATACTCCGTAATGTATTATTGAATCGACGACATGGGCAAGTTCTCTACGTCAATCCGCTAGTGTACACATGACCATGTCCCGGTGATGTTGGCGAATCTTCAGTAAGATCGGACGAGGAAATTCAAAGTCCAAGGTTCAGTTGCAGAGTCAGCATCCGAGCCCTCTGAAACGTGTATACGGAGTTAGTATGATGGGTTTCCGCCTCATACACGCCTTCCTACGCTGTGTTACAGTACCTCCTTGGCGATAATAATCTGTATCCGGGCGTCCCATCTCTTTTGTGTTCTCGCATGGGTTGCTGGGTGAAATGGATGGAGGAACGGATGGATAGAAGTATCCTCTGTCTGCTCTCCCTCCCTTCCTTCCTTCCTTACCTTCTTCGTGTGTCCGGACACTGTAAGTCGCCAGAGCCTCTTTTGGAGCATGAACTCACTTCCCCCCCTTGCGCTCCAGAACTCGGCTTGCAAAATCCTAGTCAGAGATTGGGCGAATGGGTGACGGACCTGCAAACAATGCAAGGAGAAGGAGGACTACAACGGCCGGACGGACGCATGAACAGACGCGCAAAGCCTCGCTCGCGCATAGCCTTCAAGCGACATCTGCGCGAGCCGTGTCTGGATTGCGATGAATCGCGCTGTTCTGACTTGTCCTGAGGTGTTCTGCTCTGATCCTTTTTGTACCTACCCCTACTCTACCCTGTAGCTTGTCATGCCTGTTCCGATCGGTCCCAATCAGTCTGGCTGAGTTCAGTCCAGTCCAGTCCGTGCCTCCGGATCCACTGGTCCATCCTGAGATACTTGGTCTAGCGGTTGCGTTGATGACTCCCGCCCGCGACATGCCGAACAAGGCGGACCGGGACTGTATGTTGTCCGGAGAAGAGTGGCGGCTCAGAGGCTCTTCTCCATGGTAGATTCCGCAACTTTGTTCACGGGTGATTGCGTTGAGCTTTGTTGCGCGGCACTGTCTTGATGAAAGAACCGGGCAAACCCCGTCGCAAGGACCGTCGAACACAACCTTAATCTTGCTGCCTCCCCTCATGAGCTTGTCGGAGCACCAACTTCGAGATTCCTAGAGTAACGGGACTCGGTCGTTCAGCGTCGGCCATCACAGGGGGCTAAGCGGTCAAGTATTCGGCACGGAATCACAAAAGCTGCAGCCTTTGCGTGTTTTGCCTGCTTGCCTGCGTGAGTCCCCGCATCATTCGAGCGAATACAATAATTAACTCGTGTCGTACCGTATGCCTCAGATGCGACTCCTAGGTCGCTTGCTAACAGGCTTGGTTGCTTGTAGACTGGACCTCTCCTCATGCTACACATACATACATACCCTGCTCATCTCTCCTTGCGCACACCTTATATTTCCTCCCGCGCCGATAAACTCCTCCTGGTCTGTGCATCTGTGTGTACCAGGGCCCGTGCTTCTTCTTCGAATCCTGGGATTGCCGTGGTGTCGGTGTGCTGCCCGTTCTCGCCCCCTCCCACGCCTTGTCCCATCCTGGGTACGGTATCGTGCGTTCGACTCCCACTATCGGTCGCTAGAGTGCGCAGCTTCTAGAACGAACATTAGTTGCATTGCATCTTGGTGGGTTGTCGTGTCTCGTCTCTCGGTCCTGACGGCGTGATTTACGATTCAAGCTCTGAAGAAGGGGTTCGTTGGTTGTGGTTGTGATCTTGGCGTGCCGTGATCCTGCACGAAATCCGCCGTTTGATGCGCCGGGTCCGCCTCTTGTCCTTGAAATCCCCTGACAGCGCTGAAACGGGGGGCACCACCGCGGGTTGTGTCTGCAGGGGTTCAGAAATGGAGGGGACGGGTGATGACGGGCGTGGGCTTGGGCTTGGACACGCCAGAAAGGGTGGAAAGACACGTTCCTGACTTAATCCCCGTCGTGATATACTGCGGGTATACGTCTGTTGTGTCCTCAGATTGCCTTTCTCGGCCGCACGTCCCCGGGGCTCTGGATGGGCCAGTCTTGCCCGGTGTTCTTCTTGGAGGGACGGGCATCGGGGCCAGGTGGTCTGTAGACAGTGTGTAGTTCGCGTCGGCAATGTGTTGATGCTCGGAGTGGTGATCGTAGGCGTCGCGCCCGGCCGTGGCTGAAATAGAGGTAGAGGTATCCACACTGTATTCTTGCCCGATGTGCCTGCGCACCATAGCACCTTGCCGCAGCACCAGGGTGAACTTCTTGGACTGCATCATCGGGAGGCCGGATTTCTCGCTCAAGCTGAAAATCCGCTGCAGCTGGGCAATATCGACGCCAACGTCCTGCTCGGCAATGTGCATGAGGATATCGCTGGCGTTGCGGCCCTCCGTGACGTTGCCATTTTGACGAACCCCGGCGAGGTTGCTGACGAGAAAGGCCGCGGTGCGGGCATCCCACAGGCCGTCGCGGGCGTGGCGGAGCCGAGGGTGCGAGAACAAGGCCGTGGCCTTTTCGAGAATCTGCTTGTTCGTGGTCTTGAGGCTGAGGAAGTAGATCGCCGCGATCAGGTGCGTCGAAAGCGTGTAGGTTCGGGTCGGGCTTTCTGTACTGGGAGCTGCAGAGTCCGGCGGCCATGTCTGGGAGAGGAGGGCTTCTATGCTCGCTAGGGCGCTCTCGAGGTCGGCTTCCGTGTTGCCGCTCGATAGCACGATCTGTGGGAGAGGCCTCCCGCTGTATCCGGGCAGCAACGCCATGACCTTCTTTGCCATGTCGTATGTATCGGCCGTGACTAGGGGCAGGTTCTCCTTGACCAGGTAGATGAAGGTGTGTAGGTTGACGCGAAGGAGCAAAATGCGTTGCGTACGTTGCTGACGATGGTCCTCTCCATGGCACTCTGTATTCAAGATGGGGCTCCTATGGTATGCGAACGTGTCCAAGACGGCTTCGTACTTCTGGAGCTGCGCCGCGAGCACGAGTCGCTCGACGAAGGATTCGGACGGCAGCTCTTCCACCGCGGCTCCTCGATAATGTACATAGTTGACGAGATGGTGCAGCACCCAATTCTGGATCTTGGTGAGGACGGCTTCAGCGTGCGTCAGGTCGAGAAAAGTGTCGGGAACGATGTCGACGTGGCCTTTTATTTCCGCATCCGTGGCGAGTGTCAACAAGGGAGGCCGCCGGTCGTCGAAGCAACTGGCCTGAAGGTCCAGATGGTGCAGCAGCGTGCTTAGGTGCGGGATCAGGGAATCATCATTCGACACGAACGATGTGTCAAGCTGGCACTTCCTAAGCAAAATCAAGCCCTGGTCTAGGTGCCAGATTGCCCGCTGCGATTCGCCTAGCAGGGACTCAAACGTGTAAAATATCACGCTACAGACGAGAGCCACGTCCGGAGACGCGTCGGGTCGGGAAAGGTAGTATCTCAACTGTCGGTGGCATCTGCTGATCATGGCCATGGCCTTCACGTTCGCAGCCGAGTACGGAGTGGGCGTCTCATACTGATCGGTCCCGGCTCCGGCCAGCTCCCCACACAGGTAGTCCTTGTGCAGCGAACTAAGCGCGACCAATGCATTGCGGATGACTGGTTGATGGTTGGCACGTTGCAGTATTAGTTCTGTCCACAAGGTAGGATCTGTGCAACTGGACAGATTCCAGGCTGCTTGACTGCAGAAGTAGTGGAGCAGCTGCCGGTCCGCCTGACTACCGGGGACCTTGAAGGGGATGCTGTATGCCGTGATCGAGGTTGGCTCCAGGGGCAGCTGCTGCGTGGCCTGTCCACGAGCACCCACTGGGTAACCTTCGCATTTCCTGTTGGCGCGGAGACCTGTGGATTGCGTCAGCCTGTGGTGGTCGAGGAGCTACGGGGCCAAACTGACAGCGTTGACATTCGGGCTTCTGCTCGTCGCACTTCACCCGCCGGGCTCTAATCGTCGGCGGTCAGAGATATAATGGCCAGCTCGCCTAAGAGGATATCCACGTGGAGACACTTACTTGCACGTAATGCAACCGGACCTGACCTTTGGTGTGCTCTTGCGGGCCTTCTTACTAGATGCTATGTTCCTGTCGATTGTCGTCCCCATGATGCCAAGTTGGAGCAAGAACCGTCTGATGGAGAAAGATTATACGACATGCTGGGGCATGGTATTAACTTGGGCTTACTCGGTACTCTCGGGGCCAGGCACATAGATGCCTCGATTGCTAGAAGCCGCGGATGGGAGGCCTGAGGGCAGGAGCGAGCCAACGTCTGCACTGTGGTAACTACAGCCTTGTGACGTGCCCTGCGCGCCCTGCCTGATGCACCAATGAGGCGATGCGATAGCAACTCTAAATATACGAGCAGCGACGCTTTGCCATGTTCAGCGCCGCGCCTCCTCATCCGAGGTTCGAGGCATTTGTAATCTAGGCCGTAAAGACCATAAAGACTTGGAAACTCCGTGGCAGGCCAGAGTCTCAGGCGCATGCTCCTCACCTCGCCGTCCTCCTTGCGTGCTCGTGCCAAGTTGCGCGTCGATGTCTGGAGAAAGCCCATGACGCCCTTCGACGACCGGGAGTGCTGACGAGCTTCGGCCACAAGGCAAAGGAAATCACCAAGCCTCCGTGACGAGTGCGGACGACAAAGAAGAGATCCGAAATAAATTGTCTTTTATCGGAGCATTACGCCCATGCAGAGCGGTAGCAAACAACGCGGTGACACCGGTATTTATACACAAGATGACCCTATGGACACCGGAACAAGTCTGGGCGGCTCCACCACAGTCCTGACAAACTAATACATTGGGGAACGACTGCGGTCTGCAGAAAAGTGCGTGCTGCAATCCTATGCGACGACCATATAACCCTGGAACTCCCCTCGCCGAGCAGCGTCAACACCCAAAAAAACAGCAGGCCCCGTGCTCCCCTTGCGGACCGTGCGTGCTGGATGCGCATCTCGCCCATCTTCAACCGAAATCGTGACCCTGGTTTCGCTATGCAGACATACGGATCGCTGGCATTGTACTCGAGTAAACTTATATACTGCAGCGTTTGTCAGCACGGTTAGAAAAAGCTTCCATCTCGGCACGATGCTCGAGATGTGGCAGAGCACTCACTAGATTTCGATCGGACTGATCTGATCGAATGGGAACAACCAATTACTTCCGGCCTCGACTTTCTCAAGCCTAGTCAAGGGCACGTGTCAGCGTGAATGCTCTCTGTACGTCTTCCGGAGATGATGACTTACCAGTCATAAGGCCACACCACAAGATGTCCCTGAACACAACCCAATAACTCCTCTGCCTCTTCAATGCTCAGAAGATCATCGCTCGCGCTGAAGTCTCCTCTACTCGACCTAGTAGTAGCTCTTCTGCGTCTGCGACGACTCCCGCCTGCATGCGCCGTGGTTTGTGTGGCGTTTGGATTCACGGCTTCCGAGTAGGCTACAAAAGGACCGTTTGCAGTCGGAGGCGTGCCGTTCGTCGTGGACTTTTCCTTTTCCACCGCCGTAGAGCTAGGGCTGCTGTTCGGAGGATCGGTGCTAGCCTCGTCATCCTCTCCCGTGGCGCTGCCTTCGTCGGTGATCGCTTGGCCTTCAGGCACAGTCTGCAATCCCGCCTTCTCTGTAGTCAATGTTTCCTGTCGGTGGAGATTAGGTTTGCCCTCCTTTTCGGCCTGTGCACGGTTGGCCTCTGCCGCCCAAATTCGCAGCTTCTCCTTTTCGGGATCGGTCTTTTCTTCCTTTGCCTTCTCGCTAAGTGCATGCTTCAGCTTTCCCTTGAGCTCGTTCGTGCGCTTCTCAATATCTGACGGTACATGTGCCACGGCCTTGATCTCGGGCACTGGATACCGAGCTCCCACTCCCGGTGGACCGCTCGAAACTTCACCACCCCTAGAAGGATCAGTAACTTTCTGCTCTGTGGGCATGTCGTTCCCTTGCAGTTGGTTGAAGCGCTGCTCATATGCCAGGTATTGGTGGTAGTCCTCCCAATTGCGCACTTGGTTGTCAGGCATGCAACGGAAGACGCTGCGATAGATCTTGGTGTTGTTTTCTGCGACGGTATGCCACGTGTCGAAAAAGAAGGCATCGTGAACCGGATCAGACATGCAGTCGCGGTCGATCAGTGGCCGTCGAAGCTCGTTTATCAGGGGATGGTGAGCGCGGACCGAGTCTTTTGAGGTTGCTTTGGTAAGTACAGGACCTCCGATGTCTGAGTCGTCTGATGCCGGTAGAGGAGGCAGTTGGGATATCATAGGCAAGCCCAACTGCTGCGTGCTCATCCGCTCTAAACTGGGTTTGGGAGGTAATGGGGGATTGGGCATCTCCATCAGAGCCACATACGAGGTCAGGCGAGCGTGTTCACCACGTTTCCTCGGCTCCGTCAGCGTAGCTCTGCCCTCAGAGTCAAGGTCTGACACTAGCACCTCCTTATTGCCCCTAACAATGGTGGTGTCCCTTCCATTTCCGAGGCCAACAGCTGTAATTGCGGCCATTCTGTCGTGTCCGAAGCCCTCCACATCATCTTTGTGGTGGGGATCACCAGTAACTCGCGGATCTTGAGTCACGCCGGCTCGCTTTGATTTGAGATTAGGGTTGCCTTCTTGCTCCCAATCCACATCGTGATTGAAGCTTCTGAACTCTTCGACGCGCTGAAGCACGTCCTCATGCGACTCGGCCCCACGTCCATCTTCCAACGGCCCCAAGACGTCATCAGCTTCCGACGAAGGACTGTGAAAGGTATCGTCTGGAGACGCTGACCTGAGCGACTTGTGCGAAGAATGCGCTTTATGACGATCAGCCTCCATAATTTGTGCCTCTTCCATGATTTTGTCGACGTCGAGGCCAAGGTGCTCACGCATCAAGCGCATGCGCAACGTATGCGGAAAGCGGCCCACTTGATAAGGCTTGCCATTCATCTTTGACCAGACCATGTCCGTGTCTCGCACGACAGCGGCACATTCAGAGTCACGATTGCCAAGCATCGATCGCTCGTTGATGTTTGCAGAACCAATGATTGCCACTCGGTCGTCGACGACCATGCATTTGGCGTGGATGTAGAGCTGTTCGGTCACCAACGTCTTGCGAGGGCCAATTCTGCCCCACTGACGAAGTGCGTAGAACTGGATGTAATCCTCCGGATTGATGCCCACAGCTTTTAGCCGTCCGAAGATGGAAGATTCGCCGCGACAGATACTGCGATACTGATACTGCATGATAAGTCGCACACTCGTTCCGCCTTCCTCTTCCACGGTATTCTGGAACCCGGGGATCAATGGGATGACAACAACTGCCTTCCATGCTTCGTCGTTCTTACTGGCGCGCGTGATACGTTCGACCAGGGCGTCGCCGATCTTGTTGTGTACCACGGTGCTCTCCGTCTCACAGCTGGATATGAAGAACTGGTTCTCAATGTAGACAAAATGCTCAGATTCTTCGATCAATTTGATGTAGGCATTCATGATGCTGTGTTCCGTCTTGTCTGGTGTGCCCATCGACCAAGGTCCGGCAGAGCGACAGATCTGCACCTCACAGGTCCCGTCCAGACCGAGGGCTTCCAAATCAGCCGGGTTAAAGTCGGGTGGAGGCAGCAAGAAGGGGGTTGGTCGCGTAGGCTTTCGTTGGCGCAGAATGTAGTTCCAGCGCTGGACGAAGTGCCTGGTCAGGTCGCGGGCCGGTTGCCCCACGACTTGCATGGAAATATCGTGCCAGGGCATTCTGGCTACCCTCTGACGGTCGTACATTTCTTCATATGGTTTGTTAAGCGCATAGAAGTCTTGTATACGCGGATTAGAGTAGTCTTTGCCCGGCCACAGCTGACAGTGATCTGCATCTCTGGGTTCCTCACTTGGTTCAAAGCCAGTCGGCTTGTCGTCGATGAGTGTATGCTGTGGAGTGTCCCATCTACCGAAGCATAGATCAATGCCGCCCACAAAAGCAACGGTGTGATCGACAATGCATAATTTTTCATGGTGGGCCCAGAAGAACGTGTTCTGCCGGAATTGATTAGGTGACCGTTGCACGAATACGTTGGGATGGAGGTCGAGGAGGGAGAATTTGGTATATTGAGAGTCGATCGGGATAGCCGCATCGATATTGCGGTAGACGATAACGAAGATCTTCACACCTTCCTCGGCCTTTCTCTTGAGTAATCGATCCAGTCGCCATTTCTGACTGATGGCGGGAGGGCGTCTCATGTACAGTTCGGGACTCAACCACCAGTCGTGAATGTAAATGACATCCTTAGCTTGATTCAGTGCGCGAGAAACCACCCACATGTGGTCTCTACCATCGACAAGCCATTGAGCAAAACAGTTCGGCCTTACTGGAGCGAAACTGTCGAATCTGTTGACCTTGGCCCAGGGCGAAGCGGCGACCTGCTCTCGGATCGAGTCCTCAAACTGCTGTAGCTGACGCTCGTTGTCAGAGAGGAGCTTCAGCTTCCTCTCAGAATTGATGAGCTTCAGCCGATGGTGTTGGGGATGCTTCGCAGATTCTTTTGCAAGGTTTGCCAGCTCCTTTGCACTTCTCTGCTCGGTCGATCGTAACCTTCGCGGCTGTATCTGGAAGTCTGAGTCGAATAGAAAGACGTCGTAGATATGCATCTGTTCAGCCGAGTCGACGCACACCACATAACTGTGCCTGACTAAGAACCACTTTGGCGAATGCCGTTTCTTGAACTCGCCGGCATTCAGAGCTCTAAAATCCAGGCCCTTGGCGGACCGGATGGTCAGGGACCCTTCTTTGCCATGCTCACTCCCTTCCGCGGCAAGACGCATACCGAGGGCCGAGATTTCTAGGAATCTGCACAGGCGGTTGCTTTCAGGACGGAAGAGCAGAAACTGTATCATCTCCCTCAGGTATCTTTCGAGGCCTCTACGCTGTCGTTCAGCGAAGGCTTCTCGGCGTGTACCGGCAGGAGTAGTAGGATCTGGAAGCCCTGCTATACTTGACTTCCTCCTGTTCGGGGTAATTGCTGGTCGAGTCTGACTTTGTGGAGTTGGCCTTTCGGTGTCCGTGGCGGTGCCTGGCTCGGTCTCATCACCTGCGTCAAGCTCATCATTCACCTCAGGTTCATCAGCGAAGAGCCGGAGAGACTTCAGATATGGGAAAACGGCCCAAGGGAAATGCGGGAGCTTCTTGCGCCCATCACTCCTCAACCTGAGTCTACCAGCGTTATATGCGCCTTTGTACTTAATATGCAGCCTGTAGAAGTCGCCCAGAGACCGCTTGATGACCCACTTCATTCGATTGGCGCCGTTGCCATACTCGCATTCAATCTTGAAGATCAGATGTCGTAGAACTCTGTCCTCGTCAGACTCCTTAAGTGCTTTGTCCTCTCTGATTTTGTTGTGGTCGACTTCACTATCCACAACCTGGACCTTGAGCTGTTCCAACAGTACGGGGACCCTCCTCTGATTGCGTTCATCTCGCTGAAACATACTTGCGAGCATGAGAGCTGCAGGGACACCAGCAGCTAACTCTGCCAACAGGGCAGCCGATCTCACATTCTCGGGGGTAGGCCCCTTCTTCTTCCTCTGGCCAATGGTCCTGATACTATTCTTGAATTGGCTCCATTTCGCAGCACCCAGGGTCGAACTGCGTTCGGCCAGCAGCTTTCGGCGAGATGGCGTCTTCGGGGTCTGCTCTGCACTAGTAGCGCCTTCGCGAGACGAGCCGATGTTGGCAAAGCTCAGCAGTGTCAGAGGTCTTCGTTGACTACCTTCGGGGGTGGTATCGCCAGTCCTCCGTTGAGCGCCGCCATAACTCAGTCCTCGAAGCGGATGACGTGGTTTCCAACTAGTGTCCCTGGACAGTTGCTTGCGCCCCTCGTCCTCAGACACTCCCTGAGGAGAACTAACCATGTCAGTGTCGGTAGCTCTTCTGGTCAGCACACGAGGTCTTTCAGAATCAGCGTTTATGGGGGCACTCGCGAAGCCAGTCCGTATGGGGCTGTGAGGCGACGATGGCGCCGTCTCAATATCATCGAAGCGCTGTAGTTTCCGGCGTCTTTTCCGAGCCGTAGGCCGAGAAGTGTAGTTCTCGGCCGCACTACTCTCGTCGGCGTCAGCATCTGCTTCGGCACCACTGTCCTCCTCTAGTGCGGCAGTGAGTCCAGTCTCATTGCGGCTAGGTACCACAAATTGGTTGTCAGGGTCCTTCCCGTCGCTAGAGCGCGCGGTTGTCGAAAGCCCACTCGGGGATCGTGTATGGCTGAAGGAATAGCCTTGAGGTATAGCCAACGCCCGGAGCCTGGCATACAGCGAGTGTGGTTTCTCTTGCTCGGAGCCATCATTTGGTGTTGCCTGGGAATTGTTCGGAGATCCAATTTCTTCAGTATCACGGGAGAATTGTACACTCTTTCTGCCCACTGTGGGCGTCCCATTGCCATGCAGTGCGCTGTTCGAATCCCCAAGTTCTTTACCACCGAGCGTGGGTTCGTTCGTCGCACTCCGGACGAGGTTCGATCCGGAAACGTTAGGCTTTCTCAGCGCGCTGTTTGTCCTCGACGATGTAGAGAAAGGGGTCAGTCTGTCTGGCGAGACATCTCGAGGGGACGCGGTTGGTGGAGTTGGTCCAGAGGCAGATGTGTAGGAAGACCTTTCGTTCGTGGTTACGGCAGGCCCGGGCTCTCCGTTGACCGTGCCAATGCGGTAGGATGGATTTGCTTTCATCGACACGCCGTTCCTCTTGTCGTTTTCTTTCTTGTCCGGCAGTCCTGCCACAGCCTGGATCCTCTGTGTCGTCTCTGCCATGCCCTTCAGAGGATCGCGGAAGCGCGACCAGGGTCAGACCTAGGACTCGTAATTCCTCTGCCTTTGCCGGCCAGCGGCTGCTGTCAGACCCAGATCAGCATCTTGGTGTTCGTGTACCGCATCGACCTGGGCTCAGTGACCAGAAGAGGTAAATGCCAAGTAAGCAGTCGTGCCGGTATCTCGGGCTCGTATTGGATAGGCTTGCAAAGAGGCCGGTGGGTAGTTAACGTGGGGAGAGCAGACGCGTTGGACCTGGCCTAATTCTTGTAAAATTCACACACGTAGTATCACAGGCATACGTGGTCATGTATCATCGTCATAGAGAGCTACAGAGTACACCCAGTGACCAAGTGACAAGTGACAAGCGACGACCTTCTAAGCAGCGCAGCCCGCCAATGCTAACTATGAGTGGAGAAACGTCAACAGGGCAGCTGGGCGGCGTTGGCGAGCGTTGGCAGGTTTGGTTGCCGCCAAGCCGGGCCTCCCTTTTCATCGATCCCCACATCCACCCAAAGTAAATTGCATGTGAACCGTGGCCAGGCGATGGAGCATAAGGCTGCAATCTGCATGAAGCCTCTAGTCGATGTTCAGGCGATACGTAATTACTGTAGGACAGCCCTGTCTGGTTGCATTGAGTCGATCCAGGTCCCCGCGTAGCACCGTATCTAATGTTCACATGTCCCCCGCATAGTGCTGCCACCAGACTCCCATGCAAGCAGCAACGACCAGATCGCACATCTTCAAGCCCTCGTCATGTATAATTAGCTTCCCCAGCTTAGCGCTCTGGCCCGTGAAGCCTCCTCCAGCCTTCTCCCGGCCCAGACCAAGGCTCATACGACTCTCATTCCCCGACCGCCCAGGCTGAGGAGATTCTTCCTTGGGAGATTGCCAGTCATCCTTGGTGTCGCTGATAGACAGCTGTTTCCGGGCCTTGTGTGTCAAGGCTTGGAAGCTTCTTCTCCATTGCTCCCTGTTCGAGGAACTTTCTGGACGGGCAACGGGCACGTTGGATGACAGCTCGGACAATTCGGTGCCTGGTCTCTTGTGTGGTTCTCTCAGTCGATTCGTAGCCCACGGCAGATTGAAACGTAGTTCGGCTACATCGGCGATAACTGCTGCCATTGATGCATTGGGCCCCAGTAACGTCTGTCGACAGCGTAGGCTCCTCCCATCTAGTCCATTGCTAAAAGCGCATATTCCCTGCCAAGGTGATATGAATGCGTAGGCCCGACGTGCTTTCCTGTTGTTCGAGAAAGGTGAGGACGAGAAGGACTCGTCGGAGTTGCTCCTCCTTCTTGTCACTGAAGGCCCATCCTGATTAGATGTCGACAAGTAGCCGACCTTCCTTCGAAAACCGCTCCCACTTGCCGCATCTAGCCTGGTGAACTGGGTATATCCTGGAGAACTAAGTTCTATTTCGACTTCATGCAGAGGCCCTCCTGCACTGTGCGGGGTTATACTTCCGACGTTCCACTGGCTTCCAGTAGCGGGATCTCTTCTGATCAGGGTCACTCGGGGGGAGTCAGGCTGTGGACGAGATATAGCTTCCTCTCTGAGATCAGAGAGTGAAGGCGGCGAGGCCAGAGGAACGGGCGAACACTCGGGCAAGTCCTGTCGGTTTTCGGCGGTTTCTGGCACGCCAGCATGAGTTGAGCACGGTGGCTGCACGGGCTTCCTAGCCAACCTAATCTGTCCATGTCCTTGGTCAATGGGGCTGGGCCAAGCACTACCCTCGTCATTGATGGTTTGCAGGGGAGGCTCGAGAGTTGGTCGTGCGGGCAGCGGTCGAGCGCCCACAGGCTTGCGCGAAGTCGCAGGAAACGGGTTTTGGTCACCAATGTCAAGCCTTAGATTGGCCCCACGCGCTGCATATCGCTGCGCTTGATTTGCTGTTCCGGAGCCTGGGAGGGGTGGCTGGTAGTGCGGGTAACTCTTTGGCGGAGTCGGAGGCCTCTGAGAAGCAGGATAGTTCGCAAAGGGTGTGGAAGGAAGAGGTTTCCTCTGAATCGGCGTGATCCCATTGCTGGATCTTTCTGCCGCTCTCGCGGCTTCCAGCGATTCTCTCAGCGCATCATCTTGTGGTCTTTCGACGTGAAGGAAGTATAGACTCGAATGGACCGCGTCGATACTTATGGAGGCTTTGGTGGGCGGTTTGAGCGTCGTAAGGAAGACATCTGGCAGATCTCAATGTATGTCCTTCTCTTATGCAACTCCGACCGTTCTCTCACCTTTGCTGCCGGGCACCCGGACGATGTACAGCACAAGGGGTTCATGGACTTGGTGTGTTGGATTTCGTGGATAGCGGGGCGGGTTCGCAAGTAGATAACTTAGCGACGATATAGACTGGGCTTCAACAGGCGCGTTCATGTGGGCCAAAGTGATCATGAATATGTCGGTCTTGCGCAGACCTTGCAGGTGGGATTTGGAGGACAGTCCAGCATTATGCGTGGCGCCTGGACAACAGGCGCAGTGCAGTTGAGGCCACTGGCAGCATGGAAGAAAGTGAAACCTTGCAGCCTGAGGTCTGTATCTCTTGTTTGTGGTGACCTAAAATAGCCGTTTCCATGGATTCGGATGACGCCAATTTGGGCGGAACAACATCGGGTTTTGCGGGCCCCCAGCAGACACGGCAGCCACCAGTGCCACCTAACTATTGTACATAGTTTACAGCCAAGGCCCGAGAGGCGTGGAGAGTTGGGTAAGCTCTCAGCCACGAAGCATGGCTTTTCTGATGCCAGACCTGGCAACTGAACACGAGAGCAGTAATGCCACTATTCCCGATCTTGGATATCTCCCATTACCATCAGCTTGCTGGACCTACCTGGTCAGAGTCCATGCAACGTTCCTAACGACTTGATTCCAGAATGCCGCCTTTCCATCAACAAGTGCCCCTACGGCAGCCGCGGGACTCGGGCCTTGACAACCATCTTGCAATCTGTAGGAGTTGCCCTCAGAAAGACTCCCCGTCGGCGTGTAACAGTGGATACGGATTGATCCGGTCCGCTCGGTGTATCCCCTGCTACTCGAGTATTGTTCTGGATAACGACAATCTCTGACAACTTCAGTACCAAATGCTAGCTTGATAGGCGTAAGTTGACTGGTGTCAGGTTCTGCTCTGTCCCATGTAGCCTCCTCTGGACCGAAGAGACGTTGGCCACGAGCAATCTGCATGCCTTAAGGTTGGGGAATTTCCTGACTCAAGACCGATGCACGGAAAGGAGCGACATTTCACGGGGTCCCGAACAGGCTTCGAGAGAACGAGGCTCAGCTTCTGTTTCTCTACAATGCTGTTAGTTTCAGGAGGAATAACTTGTGTATCTTTCGGTGGTAGCAGCTCACTTTCACTTCGCTACACTGGAGCGTCTTCGGGTAGATCCAGCTTCGTCATCTGCAATCAAAAGTTTCATCTCCCCCACCGCTTGTTTGCGCCTTCTGTCACGGTCTCCTTTGTATGGTTCAGGTACTCATGTTGCTACCATGATTTCACTGGCGACTGTGAGATCCGCCTCATTTTACATTATGAGTTCCACCGCAGCATCCTTTGCATATAGTCCAGCACATCATGCAGTATCACTCATCATAACTCTCGAGTGGCATCAAAGTCGATGCTCCAATGTTGATAGTCAGATAACTTCCCTTGACGCTCTCATGGACGTTGGCAGCTTCGGTTCAGTAAAGGCCACTAACCGCACCACCGCCGATCCTCCACTGAACTAAGTGGTTCGGGACCCACCAGCCGATGCAAACAGACCAATCACAACCAGCGGTATCCGGCCGAGCGTATTTTAGCAGCTCTCGGCCGGCGTCATTTGACGGAGGTTCTGTGAATATCCCCACGTTCTCCGTCTGATACCACGATCGAGGATCAACCATGCCTTTGATGGGAAGGACAAACGCAGCGTCATTCCTGCAATATGGCGCTAGGTGGCCATTTGCCGACAGGAGGAGATAAAGGACTTGGTATTTCTCGCCATCACTGTATCAAGGTGAGTTTGAAAATGTTTGAAGTTCCCTTGTTGTTCTGAACCGTGTTCCATGTACACAGTACTTCAACGGCTGCCCTGAGCACGTGTGACATCAACATTGCATCAGACCGGGAGGAATTTCGTGATACTACCCTTTCGAGCATACACGTACACGGCCGCGCACATTTCGCCAAGTGACCTCTAGCCCGGACGAACCGCCTCGCTTACTCAGTTGAAAGGCCGCCATCCGACTACGCAGATCGTGTCGACAAGATGGCCGCCAGCGATGACTCGAGTCCAACGCGCGACAAACACTCCGTGTCTGCCCTCGACCCTGAGAAGCTTCACCATGATGAGGCCCTCAATGAGGGCGATGTTGTGACCGCCTCTCAGAAGGACGTCGAATCACTGCCGGCCATCGACCATGCCGCTGAAAGCCGCCTGGTTCGCAAACTTGACTTCTATATCATCCCTCCAACGATGCTTCTGTACCTCGTCTCGTTTCTAGACAGAGTCAACATTGGCAACGCGAGGCTCTATCGGCTGGAAGAAGACCTCGGACTCCGTGGCTCCCAGTACCAGACAGCTGTCAGCCTGCTGTTCGTCACCTATATCATCTGCGAGACACCGAGTAACTTGGTCATCAAGAGGTTGAGGCCCAGTCGGTGGATTGCTTTCATCACATTTGCCTGGGGCGTCGTGGCCACTTTGACCGGCGTTGTCCAAAGCTATGCAGGCTTGATTGTCTGTCGTCTGCTCATGGGTGCCCTCGAGGCTGGCTTGTTCCCAGGTATGACGGTTTATCTCACCATGTTCTACACCAAGAAGGAGATCGCACTACGCGTCGGCTATCTCTTTGTATCAGCTGCGTTGGCGGGGAGCGTAGGTGGGCTGCTGGCTTACGGTATCGGCTTCATGGACGGCGTCGCAGGTCAAGCAGGCTGGAGATGGATCATGATCATCGAAGGCCTCCCCAGCGTGGTCTTGGGGGTGGTAGTCTATTTTTGGCTCGCAGATGAACCCGAGACAGCGTACTACCTTTCCCAAAAGGAGAGAGATCTCATGGTTGTTCGGAAACGGCGGCAGATTGGACACACAAGCTCCAGCGACTTCCTGCATAAGGAGGATGTGATCAAGGCTCTGAAAGATTGGAAGGTCTGGGCATTTGCCATTGCTCAGTTCGGCGCCGACACAATGCTTTACGGCTACTCCACCTTCCTCCCAACCATCATCAAGGGGCTAGGCCAGTGGTCAACAGCAGAGACGCAGGCGCTCACAGTGCCGTGCTACGCACTGGGAGCCTGCACCTACCTGGTCGTGGCTTCGTTCTCGGACAGATTCCAGCAACGAGCGCTCGCTGTGATGCCTTTTGCCGCGATCAGCATCATCGGATATGCCATTTTGATAGCCGATGTGAGCCCCGGTGTGCATTTCTTTGCCTGTTTCTTGGTCGCGATGGGGTTGTATGTCACTGTGGGCATCCCCCTAGCATGGCTCCCATCTAGTAAGTCGCCCCTATCCCTTTTTTCGCAACTAGGTAGCACAGAGGCTCACTCATTTCTCTAGACAACCCGCGATATGGCAAGAGAACCACTGCCAGCGGTATCCAGCTCACAGTAGGGAATGCGGCGGGAATCATGGCTCCTTTCGTAAGTTTCTTGCAGATATCCCGCTCAGTGGCCCACGCATTTTACTTATCCGGTTACCAGCTGTACAAAACCAACGAGGCGCCACGATTTGTCCGCGGCAACGCTGTATCGTTGTCTATGGTTGCGATGGCTGTCCTCATCTATGCTCTCATGGGTGTCTATTTCTCTACCCGGAACAAGAACCGTCGAGCTGGAAAAGAGGACTCCAAGATTGCTGGGAAGACGGAGGAAGATATCGCCGAAATGGGTGATGAAAACCCGAGATACATGTTCACGTACTGATAGTCCCGAGATCGACACTGGTCCTATGAGTAGCACAGTATGTGGTAGAGTTGGACGGATCTAGCGACCAAACGCAGAATCAAAAGCACTGTCTAGATAACTGACTCCGCGCTGCCTCGACTTAATCAGAGAGAGATTGATCGTATGTGACTCGAAGCTTGCGAGGCTACGATATTGACCGCTCATCGGCCACACTGGATCCCAAGCACCCGCATATTCAAGCAAGAGGTATTGCTTGAGGCTGGAGCACATCGTCGTTGTTGAAGTCCATACTAACCTGAGAGCCCGACATAATCGCTGTCCAATTTCTGAACTCGCCTGACCAGATGACCTGACCATCAATGTCGGCCTGCGGAGTCTGAACAAGATGGCATCGAGCCCGGAAGACCCGCCCGTTCATGCATGCTGCGTGTTTGCCAGTGGCTGCATCTTTTGTCAGATATTACGATCAGTACTGGTATCACCCTTGCCATTATTCAGCCAGCACTCGGAGACAGTAGCCACGTCGCTAGGCAGTGAAGAGCATGCGGTCGTTGGAAGCCCGCTTGTGTAGAGCTCCCGCAGAGAAGCCTACAGTCACAGCTCAGTTCCATGTGGGCCGTTTGGCCTACTGTGTATTGACGTGTCACGAGATCCGTCACCTGTGTTATAGCCACCTGGCAGGATTGGTTCGCGCCCGTTGCCTAAGCACAAAGTTACCCGGTCTAAATGTTGCACACAGGACTTGATTTGTTGGACACAGGCGCCCAAGTTGTGTTGTGCTATGCCTTGGTCTTCCACGGTCTTCCCAGCCCTGCCAGGCTCACAATACTCGTACCACTCATCAGAGGTCTGCCTGATATCTGGCAACAAAGCAGTGAGCCAGCACAGAGGAGGAGCCGCTTCAATATCACCGGCAAATCACAGATGGGCAAAGTATGGGGCGCTCGTGTGGGTAATCTGAATCCTTCGACGAGTAGATGCCGCTGTCGTGTTTGTCCGTCTTTGTTGTGAAGTCGGCAGTGGGCCCACGGCCTGAGGCTCGAACAACACTGCATTCTGAGGCATGTGCCAGACTCGAGCGTATCACAACACTGGGCGAAAAGGATGGAGAACGAAGAAAAGTGAGAAGGGGAAGATTGGTCGGGTAACCACGGACACGCAAGTCTAAAGAACTGGATCTCGATTCGCCGTGATGAAGACTTGAATTGACCCGAAGGCACCAAGACAAGCCGCAAGCCAGCGGATCATTGCTCAAGCAGCGAGTTGAATCACGGCGGTGGCGAGGTCTTCCTTTGTCCTGTTGTGTAAAGGCACCATCCCTGGAGACTACGCATTTGGCCTCCCGTGATTCGTGGTGTCTGCGGTGGATTCGCTCGAGGAGTTGGGGCGGTGGGCAGGCATTGGCTGTGAGACACTTGTTAGGCCGCGCTCGGCTGTTCTATTTGGATAGTAACGTGCCCCTGATTTGACCAACTCGATCCCCGCGAGGATGGTTCGACACGAGGCACAAGCTGCAACAGGCAGGATTGCGGGTACCGTTGTTGTGGAGGGCTGAGAAGCAAGCACACCTGCAGGCAGAAGGGGCCACTGGCTTCGATCTCGTAGGGCAGACACGACGCCGCACTTAAGTTCGCCTCACCGTATGTAGGACGTACTGTGTAGGCAGAGGGCGGCAACCTCCACAGAAAGTCTCTGGAGGGCGAGAACGACGAAGGCGGAGAGATCGAGAGACAATAACAAGGAGGTGACGGCCCAGGTCAATTGTATCATTGATCAACGGACAGGAAACACACTCATCATCAGATCATCATCACCGAGCCCCGTCACTCGGATCTATATTCTCTCAGGCAGGATTCTTACTTCATCAGCCATCATTATTGCTGCTTTCTCCTTCTCACATCTCCAGGACTTCCCGCCAGACTCCCTGCTATACCATTCAGCTGGCCGCATACATCACAGTTTCGGGTCCTGAGCCGCGAAACTCCCGAGGCCCTTGCCACCGCCGTCGCTCCAGGCCGTTGACGGCTTCTAATCTCAGCAACATCCTCGCTTCGACTTTCACCGTCCATCAACAGCCCAGGAGGTGGACGAGTCCTGGGTACAGTGCACAGTGTACAAGTACAGTGCGTGCCCTTCTTTACACCCCTGCTTCTAAGCCCAAACAAGCAGTGGGAGGATCGTTGGGGGTGAGCAGCACGCAGCAGATCAGTCAGCAAAAGGCGCCGCTGCGCCGAGAGACCAGGGCTCTTTGGGCGCTCGGCTGCTTGGCTAAGCCTCCAGCCCTCGCATGCTTTGGTGCAAGGATCTCGCCTAAATTTGCCCTCCTATCACCCGCCTGAAGCTCGCACTGGAGACCTGGCGCCCGCCCCGATCCAGACGCTTCCTTCGCAAGCTTGCCGAATTCAAAACACCAAACAACTTTCTTCTTCACCCCCCGGGCCGTTTCGTCCGCTAAAACCAAAGCGATCCTCGAAACTCGTCCCTCCCCCCCAAGGGCAAAGCGACGCGTCTCGGTTCCCACTTCATCCAAACAACTGCACCTTTCCCCATCAATCTTAACCTACATTCTTCACTTCACTGTCACTGCCTCCCACCGACTCGCAGACTCGACCTGCATTTGCTTTGCTTTCGTACGACGCGACACAATGTCGCCTGTCGTCTATCCTTACCTTGTCACCAACAGCTACAAAGGGTATGTTCAGTCTGGTGGCGTGACACCCTTGCATTGAGGATTGTGCTAACGACGTCGCTTGCCAGGGGCCTCTTCATGCGAACCTACAGCCGCAACGTACGGCGCGCCTGGGATGGCGAAGACTACCGTCCACCAAAACGCCTTCGCCTCAATGATACGTGGAACGCGACGTCGTCCTCAGCTCCCACGATCAATGAAAACACACTGCACCCCCTCGACCTCGAAGACAGTCTTGAACGCGCGATTCGAGAAACGAGTGTCGCCGCTCTATCGTCCTCACCCTCACGCAAAAATAGCACTATCTTCTCGGCCGTGGAGTCACAGGGCGATGAGCTAGGCTCCAGCACCATCACCCCACCATCCTCACCACCCCCCGAGTTGCAGCTCACGCCACCCAACGTCAAGGTGCGAAAGCCTACATTCTCATGCCTCAATAAGGGGATCAAAGACAAGAAGGACGCGAAACCTGCAAAGCGGAAACGCGATGAACAATCAGGAGGCCTCACTGCGCCTGTAAGCACGCGTCTCGATTCAGAACCCCTTTCCGAGATATTCAATTCCAGTCTACGCGCGCAGAACTCGCAGCCCCCGACCAATCCCGATCCGCCGCAGCAAGAGGCGGAAAGAACACCAGTAGCACGGCCAACGATTCAGATCCCAAGACCAGCACCCCCTCCCAAGCCGAAGCTGGTACAGACGGTACTCGATTTGGGTCAACATCTCCTCCCAGCGACATGCCCTCAGTGTCAGATGTCTTATATGCCTTCGGTGCCGGAGGACGCCCAATTACACAATATGTACCACAATCGAGACAGCTCGGGAATCGAACTCGGCAAACCATTCCTTAAGTCGGCAATGCGTTGGTGCTACCAAGTTCCCCAAATTCCTGGCAGTGTTATCGTTGTGGATCGCAAAATGGCTCTCCCCACGCGACGCGTCGTTCAAAAGGTGCTTGGCATTGTCAACAAGGAGCTCGGCAGTGTAGACATCAAAGAGGAGGAATTGTGGAGCCAGCGCGTTCCAGAGGGTGAGAAGGATGAAGAATCGGGCGGCAAAAAATGCGACAGATACAAGGCCTTCCTACACATACTAGCCGAAAAGTGCGTCGGAATCTGTCTTGCCGAGCGCATCACCAAGGCGCACAGAGTTCTCCCCAGTGAGACAGCTACAAGCGAGACTCTACCACTCAACGGCCACTTCGGATGCAAAAGACCAGCATCGCCGGCACCGACAGAGACGCACGAGGAGGACCAGCGCTCCATTTCGCACAAACCCCAGATTCCTACTCCGGTCGCCAGTCCGACTGCTTCTTCACCTCCATCGAGCATCTGCATCTCCGAAGAGACGTACCCTGCAGTGGTAGGAGTGAGTCGGATCTGGACGAGCAAGGCTTTCCGACACAAAGGAATCGCCAATAATCTTCTCGAATGTGTTATGAATCAATTTATTTACGGGTTGGAGCTTGAGCCGCTGCAGGTCGCGTTCAGTCAGCCAACAGAAAGCGGTGCCGCGTTGGCGAGAGCGTGGTTTGGTGAGAGAGATGGCTGGGCTGTTTACAGAGAAAATTGACTTCGAATCTTGTGTTCACTATGATGGGTTGACGGGGGCAGCGTTGCTATTGTGCATGGCCACGGCGCGGTGAAAGCGAGCGTAAACAGATTTGGGTATCAGATCTGCCCTAGATGGGTTGGTATATGAGGATGGTAGAAAATCCAGGATAGGGTGGGTTCCAAGCGTGTATATCAGGGCATCAGAGATGTGCGAGACAGAGACAGACCTTCTTGCTATAGAGCCGTGGTGCGGACGAGAGCAACCTCAGAGATGAGGATGAGATGTGTGCAGTCAAGTTGAATTACGCCATACGTGGCAGAGGATGCTTCTTTCCATTGCCTGCGAGCTACGCATTTTGATGAGATTTCTCGCCTGTCTGTTTGCTCCCACCGAAGCAACGTCAGAAGGATACAGCTTCCACCAGAATCGATCCTAATGGGACGCTCCTGCCCAAGAGACAATTCGGCGCCGCTATCGGCTCGACTCCGCCTAAGACTTTACCGCCATTTCGATCCACCTCACTTCTCGATGAATCAACCATCACTTCTCCCTCTAGGCATGGCACAAACCTCATTGGCCTCGATTTGTCCTCGAAGTTGATCTCGGCCCTTTGGTCAACGTCGAGAGCGACGCCCGATCAATATGAGAGATAGTTTTTGAGCCCGGTGCAGCCACGGCTCTGCACGGATCTTTGGGCGTTGCCGCCCAGTCATGCACGGGGTGGTCATTCCACGTACTCAGCTTCACCGGTTGCATGAATGAGTTGAGACACTACTCTCCAGGCTAAACCCCGCAACCATGACTTCTATGCTTCGCAGCCATGGCTGCTCTCTCTGGGGACCACTGCAGCCGCATCTGAGTGACCCGAGAAGACCTTCACGATGGAAGAGCCGGACGAGATCCGAGTCATACCCAACGACTACCAGCACTATAAGCCCTTGGATAGATCAAAAAGACAAATCCGGCTCTTGCGCATCGAGCCTTCGGAGTCCCCCAAGGATTCTCTGGTCTGTCATCTTTACTGGGCCGATCTGGACAATGCTCCAGCGTACACGGCTTTGTCGTATGTTTTGGGACCTCTCGACGACACCTGGAGATCTCGATTGTGTTCCATGGGGTAACTTGCGCAAGCACGACTTGCGCCACACAGCTGAACGAGAACCGCCGTGGTCGAGGCGAACCGATCGATGTGGACGATGAAATGGAAGCTGAAGTTGTGCACGATTTTTTCAAATTACTCGAAATCTCCATGGCGGCCTACGCAGTCTGCGGATGCACGAAGAGGCGGCCTCTCTCATATGGGCTGAGATGCTGTGCCTGAATCAGTCAGATATGGCAGAACGGTCTCACCAGGCAAGTTGTGACACCTGTGCATCGAATTGACAGCCACTGATACGTCTTCCTGATAGGTTGGGTTCATGAACGAGATTTTTTCAGCCGCGACAAAGGTTGTTGTCTGCTTGGAGGCGACCCGGGGATCCCCTCCAATGTCCTTCCAGAGCATGACCGCTCCTTGGCCGTATTTGCGGATCTGCTCGGAGGAGTTGGATCAAGCTTCCTGTCCAGGTCACATATGAGTGATCTGGAAGCAATAGAGCATGCACTCATATTGCAGGCAACAGGTGATGATTACCTTGAGGGCATCATCGCCCGCGCGAGGGATACCCGGTCACACGATGGGAGATTCGACAAGGTCTTATATCGTCATTCGCTGTGGTCTCGATGTTGATCATATACACGAAAAGCTTCGGCTTCGGAACCATGAAATTCAGTTTGTTGGGCTGCCTGCTGGACCCAACATCATATGTTTGGCAGTTCCACCGGTACTGCATCATCGAAGCCGCGATATCTTCGACAGACGCCGTTTGGTGGAAGCTTTCTCGCATAAGGACAACGTTGACGACTTGAAAGAAACCTCATTTACCGGACAGGTACACCGGCTGTTGTCTGTACCTTGGTTCGAACGTGTCTGGATGGTGCAAGGGGTGGCGGGAAATGAGAATGTATCTGTTCGGCCCGGCAAAAGTAAGTTGGTCTGGGAGATAATCGCCGTCTTATGTCCGAGTTTCGCCATGATCGAACCAATGCTTTGTGCCCTTACTGCGGGAGAGCGTTTAGGGGCAGAGCACGTTGGACTCGCCCGATCGATAAAACTGGCAAGTTTTTGGGACATGGTCAGCGGGCGCAGGCTGCCGATCAGCGCACTACTCCTCGCTTCAAGTTCACTCAAAGCAACAGTACCACGGGATAGAATCTACGGCATCTACCGGCTGGCAGCTGAGCTTCCCGATATGTCATTCAAGCCGGATTACATCAAATCTCTTCAAGATACATATATAGACTTTACTCGCGGCATAAGTGCGGCCACTCGACGCCTCGACATCATCTCCTTATCCTGCCCGGCTGGGACTCTAGCAATCTGCTCATGAGTCCCTCAATACCACAGGCTTCCGTTTTCCCTTTTTCCCGTCATTTCCGCCACGAATCCGTCAGGTTGACAGTGCCTACCATCCAATCGGCGACCGACCAACATGTTACATCAAACCGGCAGGGAACAGTTCAATTGTCTTGCATGGGGTACATCTGGCCACTGTGATGTGCTGTCTTGGGCCTGGAGCGTCAGAGTCACTCTGTGATACCTGGGACATTTTGGCTTCTGTCCACCACGGCGTTTTCCACCTGAGGGTGACCACAGACGATGTTCGATGGCACGACCGCCTCTTCTCGATAGACGTGTTCACAGTCGCCTTGCTATCGTTACTCGAGCTTGAGCCTCTCACAAATCTGAATGTGCAACCAGGAAAAATGCTAACTGACCTTTTCTTTTCGGCTATAAAGCTACATGCCCCCACCGAGGGTCCGTTGTTAACTCTCCGTGTGGAAGACGTCTGGGCCCTTCGAAAACGTGCCACTTCATTGTTGAGCCAGTCATGGCGACAAAATCCTTCGAATACCAACGAAATACGAGTATTTCTTCACCACTGATGGTGTCCTCGGAGGCCGTATACAAGCAGTGCAGGCGGGGGACTTGGTTGTCGCTTTAGATGGTGAATCACGAGCCCTGGTTCTCCGGCGCCGCTTGTCGCCATCTCGCGGCACAGGGGCCGCAGAAGCTATGTATGAAGCGTGGAATGGAGTTCCAGCTCGTCGGGGCATGCTACCTGCGCGGTGCAATGGACGGCAAGGTTTTCGGCGGCCCACGGTGGTGCGAGTCCGACCCGCTATACGTGGATCCGATGGACTACATATGATCCAGATCTCGGCACACCGGGAGGGACTGGCTCTACAAAGGGCTTCTCACAAGAGGCCTCTTGTAATTGCGTAGCACACGGGCCAGCTCTTGCACTCGTTGGGCGCAGGTATCGTTTGTGCTCACCACTGCGTCGTTGTTTCAATTGCCCGTTCCGAAGTCGAAAGTGCAAGCCCACGATCAAACAAATTCATGGACAATGCTGCTGATTTGCCGCACTGAAGAAGCTTCATTGTGCTTTCGAAATAGCGGCTTCGACTATCGAAGCTTCATTTTCGAGGGCTCCACGAAATTGCTCACCAGTCGTTCCTCGAAATGAATTGTGAATTCTAGGTCGAGGATTAACCGCTCACTGCTCGCTGTTCCAAGCTTCCTTTATGGCGACGAAGCTATATACAAGATGATGAACGTGGATATCTTAGACCCTGCATGATATGGAGTACCAGCACTATCTTGCGGATGATAACGACTTCATCGGATCGATGCGTGGTATTCTACAACCGTCTCACTGTTAACCCTAACCCTATATTCCTGCTGTCACTGCTTGTGAAGGAGTAAGCGGCAAAGTCGGACCAATCTAATAGGCACACTCCCAAGTATGGCTTTTCGGAAGTACGGTAGCTTCTCAATGCACCCGGTCGACCACCGACTAGGCATCTAGTTGCAAAAGTCTCTGAGCTGTGCCTGCCCTGAGTATCGCGCAGTGCACATGCAACGCTGACTGTGAAAAGCACGCTAACCCAACGGTCAGAAACAAGAGGCATCTATTGGCTATGCGAGAGGTCCTATGAGGGAGCTAAGCCTCTCGTGGATGGGCGTCTTGGAGTAGTCTAGCTTGTTGCCTCGCACTGACCAATAGAGTTACGGGGTTTCTGTATTTGAGGTTAGCGTGAACCGAGGGAGGGGGGCTATCGCCATCGATGTGCGTAGCCGTCCTGTATATAGGTAAGTAGTGCTGTAGTAGGTGTTTGTCTTCTTTCTGTGCGTGTGTGTGCATGTCATGGTGTTGACCGCCTAGGAACATGAATACCAGTGCCCGTGACAAGGGCACTCAGACGGGATGGACACTCCCACAGTACTCTTTTCGTAAGTTTCTCTTGAAGAGAGCCCGAGGAGCTGCACCCACACAGCATGCCGCCTTGCAAGAATGTTTTCTATAAAGTACTATGTACGCCATGTGTGTCTGTTTGTATTCGAGGACAAGTATTAAACCCAGCGCACCAGATGCGCGTCGCCATACTCATACACATACTTGCTGTGCTCTGGTACGGAACACCGTCGTCCATTCAACTCGCAATCGTCCGGGAGGCAGCCCTGCCCTTGACACGACGACAGCCACGCCCTTGGTCTCCATTAACGTATTACGGAGATTATACAGTATGTCTGTACCTTTCCCTCTACCATCCATGCCAACCAGCATACCCTTGGAGGGCCGTTTCGAGACCTCAATTCGGCGTACGTTATATAGGGGATGGGTTTGAATTTCAACCGGCGCTTAACAACTCTGCCTTCTGGGGCACGCGCAAAAACAAGTCTCCTCAGCGCCCACATCGATACTTGACATTAGATGGTGGGAATAAGTCCTGGCACTGACGCCCAAGAGTCGAGACCCATAGACCACATGCCTGCTACATTCTTCTGGCCTCATCACCACATGCAGAAGACATGGCAGGCACAGCACGCAGTGGCGGGTCGTCAGGTGTGGACAGGCATGTCCTCCTTCGAGACGCCGAGGGGAACAGTCATCTCCATCCGTACATCCAGAGACCGCTCGCTGTAGACATGCAGAGGTGGTATGACGGTCTTCCAAAATCACTGGAGCATGCCCATGCCTATGCACAAGTGCGCTGGGATTCGCAGCCAAAGAAAGCCAATGTGCGTGTGGACTTTTAACAGTGCCATGGCTACTATGTAGTACGGCATCGGGCAAAATTGGGTTCGAGGTTCTCGCAGGGCGGATTGACGAACAGCCCGCTCGACGACAGGTGATGTACATAAGTACTAAGTATCTACAAAGCACATGGGTTGGCTTGACAGACGCACGAGTCACGATCTTCTGAGTGACCGATAAGCCACCACACCAGAGTGATAGAGAGAAGCACGAGGGTTCGATCTTATCATCCAGCCGCATCAATCATACCGTATCGTATGCAGATACCAGGCAAAGGTCCCTGAAGTCGGCCCTTAGTCAGGCGGTAGAGCGCAGCGGGATAAACAAATCCAGAGAAACAAATATATCCGGCCCATGTATGGGTGCGCATGGCTTAACGACCATCATACATGTACGTGGCCGGGGGGAAGACATGTTTCCCTCGATTTCTGAAATGGGAGTCCGTCTCATAGAGCGGAGCTCACCACTGCCGCGGTCTCTACTGAATTCCCTGCACCAAGCACATCACATCCAAGAATTGGCCTGACACGTCTCTCCGTCTGGTCATCATTTGCGGACCTCTAACAAAACATTGAACACAGCCTCATCAAGCATTGCCAGGTCGGGTACAATTTGATGAGAAGGAGATTCGTAGCACTCCAGCGGCCATTTGGAACCGCTGGCCACTCGCCTGCACGGCTTTCAGCAATCGCAGCATCGCATGCAAGACCAGCTAGTTCCTCAAGTTGGCGAGGTCAGGCTTGCAGGTGGGACCGTGACGCATCGTGAAGGAAAGGAAATACACGAACAAAACACACTTGGTGCCGACAGCTCGACTGGGCAGCATGAAAGACACGCTGCATGCTGTCATCCGTGATTAAATGCTTCCCGCTCTTGCAAATAAAGCACGGTGCTGTATGTTTACTTGTTTTGTACACTTCACGCCGTGCAGATCACCACATCATGAAAGTTCCGCCATCCGCCGCCAACAAGAGATCATGCCAACAGCATCTTTCGCGGATCTTCGATGTATTCCTGGATTTCCTGTCAGATGGAGAAAGAACGTGGCCACATCTCAAATTATAACGTACCTTGATCTTCACCAGGAAAGTGACCGCTTCTCTGCCGTCCAGCAAACGATGATCATAAGTAAGTGCGAGGTACATCATCTGTACTATATCAGTCCTTGCCGCCGATAAATCACCTTTGCAATTGACTTACGGGTCGGATTTCGATCTTGCCGTTGACAACCACCGCTCTATCCTTGATGGCATGCAGGCCGAGCACAGCCGTCTGGGGTAAGTTGATGATCGGAGTTCCCAACATGGAGCCGAAGACGCCTCCGTTGCTGATGGTGAATGTACCGCCAGCCATATCCTCAATGGTAAGCTTGCCATCTCGGGCCTGGACAACAGGTCAGCAACTGTTCGAGTAGCAGAAGCAGCGTGGTTACCTTCTTGCCTAAGTCGGCAATGGCTTCTTCGATCCCGATCATCTCCAAGCTCTCTGCATTTCGGACCACCGGCGTGACCAGGCCCTTGGGCGTGGCCACTGCAACGCTGATGTCTACAAAGTCTCTGTAGACAATTGTATCGCCACCTCCAGGTCCTTCGATGGAGGCGTTGACGGTAGGCACGTCCTTCATGGCCAAAATACTGGCCTTTGCGAAAGCACTCATGAAGCCGAGTTTGACACCGGTGTTCTTCAGGACTTCATCCTTGTACTTCTTGCGGAATTCCATAATGTTGGACATGTCGACCTCGTTGAATGTGGTCAACGAGGCCGCGGTGTTCTGTGACTGCTTGAGGCGCTCGGCGATCCGCAGCCGCATGCGGTTCATTTTGACCTGAGACGAATTAGCATTTTCGCAGAAGCGCACTAGTCTTCGTACCCTGTTCTCATTCCTGCTACCTTTGCCAAAGGGCGAGTCGATACCGGCTTTGTCGTCTGTCTTCTTCTCTTCCTTGGGCGGTGCAGGAGCCTTCTTCTCTTCCTTGGGTGGAGCAGGTTTCTCTTCCTTCTTCGGTGGAGGCGGCGCTTCTTTTTTGGGCTCCTCCTTCTTGGGCTCCTCCTTGGGTTCTTCCTTCTTGGGCTCTTCCTTCTTTGGCTCTGGTTCGGCAGGTTCCTTGGGTTCTTCTTTTGCTTCCTTAGCACCGCCACCACCTCCCTCGCCCGGCTCGAGCTTTGCGATTTCTTGCCCGACGGTCACAGTATCGCCCTCGCTGACAAGGAATTCTTTTATCGTGCCTGCTTCGGGAGCATTGACCGAGACATCGATCTTGTCTGTTTCGATCGAGGCAATTTCCTCATCTTGCTCGACGTAATCGCCCACTTGTTTTGAGAAGCTGCTGAGCGTGCCCTCCGAGATGGACTCAGCCATCTGTGGGACTTTTACAATGGTCTCATAGCGGGTGGGGGAGGTACTGAAAGGTTGGCAGCGCGAGGCATATGTAGGTGCAGTTGATGTTCGCAAGCTGAGGAGGACTTGTTGGCGCGGCGTCGGTTGCGACCTCAAACCGCCGAATGTGCGAGTACGTAGTGAGGGGCTGCATCTTGGGATGGCAAGCGCGGAGCCCAGCGCAGGAGTCCGTCGAAGCCGTAGAGAGGCCATTATTGACACTTGTTGCGTCGACCGTGCAACGTGTGAAGTAGACAGTCGATGCTCCAGAGAGCGCGGACGTTTATGGCCGTAGCATGCGAGGCGGACTCACCGCCAGCTTGGAATGCAGAGAATGAAAGGGGTGCTGCTAACAATAAAGCACCGTCCTCCTGATGCACCGGAGACCTGGAATTGAGAAGAGTGTTTTGTCCTGGCGGATCTGGAGCACGGGAATGGAAAGCTCTGTAGGAGCTCCAATTGGGCTGTGACGTTAACCAGCAAAGTCGCGCAGCCAAAGAGCCGCCGTCCGCCTGCAGCCCGAGGCGAGACAAGCCGCAGACAAGGAGCTTCGATGCCAAGCCTGCCCGTCTCTGGCTTCACCTCCAATCGACTTACCTCAATTACAGATGCACCAACTACTTCAACGCCGCGTACAGCCACAGAACCAAGAGCGTCGGGACGGATAGAAGACGAAGAAGCCGGTCCTCGCCATCCGTCTGATAAGGAAGAGGTACCTGTGAATAGGTTGCCCGGCGGAGGACTGCGCGGGTCAAAATGGCCTCAATGAGCCCTCACGTCAAGGCAGTCCGGTAAGATATTGCACATTGATGAGGTGTCATTCTTGGTGTAAATGCTGACTGTATGCTGGCAGAGACCTATATCGACGGTCGCTGAAGCTCGCCCTCGACTGGGCTGTTCAAAGAAACCTCTGGCGCGGACAGGCTGTTTACATCCGGTCACTATTCGATGCGAACAAGAATATCACTGATCACAGACAACAAAGAGTATGCCGATGACGTCCACCTGCCTATTCGACATGACGCTGTTTGCGCGAAGGAGTATTGCTGATGAATGATGGTTACAGATTCTCTTTAACGAGACTGAGAAACTATTAGACAAATGGAAGCACCCGGACCCCTACCGGCCGCCGACCGCTCCTGGAGGTAAGCAGACATGTTCCCCAAACTGCGGTGCTTCGGGTCACTGATGCGTCGCACTCTACAGGTTCGAAGTATGAACGAAATCTCCCGGCGCCAGATCTGCCGCCACCATCAAGAGAGTTCGTGAAGAGGTTATGATAGGAACAAAGCATCCATGGTTGGTTGGCCGAACTGTACATATTACCAAGAAGCACCTGGGCACATACACTGTTTCTGCTGCCCGAGCACGAAGGAGGTAAAAGCAGACGGAACAAAATCTCGTCAATGCGGTATCACGGCACCTTGTTTTGTGCTTGCTAGCTCTCTTATTGCGCAGCTGACTGACCCGTACATCCACCACGCCGGGCTTTGCACGGCTAGGCTTGTCGGGCCAATGGCATAATCCCACCCAGAACACGCTCAATTCCACTGCGTCTGGGACGTGCTGTGTTGATTTTACCATGATTGGACTGTTGACTCCTAACGCCTCATTGACAAAATCCCAGCCAGGCAGGACTCCGAGAAATCAGGGTTGTCATTCAGACTTGCTGACTGTCCAACTCAGCCTGCATTTCAAGAGTTATAATGTGAAAACGGAGAAGACGAGAGTTTTCGGATGTTTATCATTGTCTGGATCATTGAATTTGTCGTCGAATGATCGCTGCTTTGCATAGCATTTCGCTCTGCACCCTCGCATGTCTCATCTCATGCCCTTGCTGCATCCTATCCATGATCATGATGATAATAGGCATGCCAATGAGCATAATGTACACGACACAGCTCTCCGCTGCCGATAAAGCACAATTCTGAAAATGGCCCGTAAACCTGGCCAACCCAACCCATAACCCCGTGTGTCATGAAACTCCCATGTCAAAAACAGCCCAGTTCAGAAACAATTTGCACAATGAGCTTACAGCTCTTGGCTGGGGTTCTTGCCCTTGGTGGTCTTCTTGGGCAGCAAGTCTGAACCGATGTCAGTAGATGTCGCGTATGCAGTATGAATAATAGACGTACTCTGGTGAATGTTTGGCAGGACACCACCTTGGGCGATTGTGACGTGTCCGAGCAGCTTGTTCAACTCCTCATCGTTTCGGATGGCCAGTTGAAGATGACGGGGAATGATACGGGTCTTCTTGTTGTCACGAGCGGCATTGCCAGCAAGTTCGAGGATTTCGGCAGCCAGGTACTCAAGAACGGCTGCGAGGTAGACTGGAGCGCCAGCACCGACACGCTGAGCGTAGTTGCCCTTTCTCAAGAGACGATGGACACGGCCAACAGGGAATGCGAGGCCCGCCTTGGAGGATCGGCTGCGATGCAAGTCAGCGCATGCTCTTCGAGTGCGGATATGCAGACCGCGACCGACGCGTCGCGTAGAAGACAAGACTGAGAAAGTCGGATCGATGGATGACTTACGATTGAGCGCTCTTGGAGCCAGAGGCCTTGCCACCAGATTTTCCGCCGGTCATTTTGATGAGGTTTTGGGGTTGGGTTTGAAAAGGTTGGAAAGTGCTTTGTGAGATGGAAGTCGCGGTGGACAGTAGTGTCAGATGAGTGATGGAAGCTGAAGATTGTGGATGGATGAGAAGAAGAGGAAGGGAAGGGTGGATGATGGTGGGAGGGAAAGGGAAGTTATAAAGGAATGCGAGCAGGCGGGCAATGCGGGTTGCGGGCTGTTGAGTCGCGCCTCCAGATCAACCTCGCAGACGCTTGTGATGAAAGATGCGGCGCCGCGCAGTGGAGGAGCGGCGTTTTTGGATCACAGAGGAGGAGTCCAGCCAATCACGGGATGGGGCGCAGATTGATCAAAAATGACTTTTCCAGAGGACTTGACAATACGCGGGCTGCATTACATTGCCTTACCATATCTTTCCGCCAAGCACTCTGATCCTGCACTCTGAGAGGCTGAAAACTCCTCAAAATCGACACGATAACAATACACTGATAAAATCGCGCACTCCGTTACCCAGGATCAACCCCGAGCTACGTCTGCCATCTCGCATCAACCCGCGCCCTCCTCCTCGCACTTGCGCCTGGTATAAGAGTCGCCATCACCCACCTTTCACGCTCCATCTTTCCTTCCTTCTTCATCCATCCATCACTCATCCACGCTTCATACTCACTCCATCATCAACACCATCTCACATCATCCAACTTCGCGTTTTTCGCAAATCAATCTCATATCAGAAATGGCTCCCAAGGAAGCGTCCAAGAAGCCCACCACTGGCGGCAAAGCCCCAGCTGGCAAGGCCCCCGCTGTTGAGAAGAAGGAAGCCGGCAAGAAGACGGCAGCAGCTCCCTCAGGCGAGAAGAAGAAGCGCGGCAAGACGAGGAAGGAGACCTACTCCTCATACATCTACAAAGGTGATAATCCATTCTACGTCGATCATCGCTTTGGGACCTAAAACTGACGCGTCTTCTGCAGTCCTCAAGCAAGTCCACCCCGACACTGGTATCTCCAACCGTGCCATGTCAATCCTGAACTCATTCGTCAACGGTAAGTTCTTCTGCACCAATCGATCAACATTTACAGTCATCTGACAGCTGCCTGCAGATATCTTCGAGCGCGTCGCCACCGAAGCCTCCAAGCTTGCTGCCTACAACAAGAAATCGACAATCTCATCCCGAGAGATCCAGACCTCAGTCAGACTCATCCTGCCTGGTGAACTTGCGAAGCACGCCGTGTCTGAAGGCACAAAGGCTGTCACCAAGTATTCTTCTCAGAGCAAGTAGACGTGGCTGCCTGTTCGTACTTGGTTCATGGTTGGGTTTTGCTTGTCTTTCAATCTGCAATGGGGTTTTGTGGGCACAATGGAACAGCGGTGTTGAAATGGGTTTTCTTCAACACATTACGATGCGTCATGGGGTATTGGGATCATTGACAACAATGAGCTATCAGATGTGATGCTTGCTCATCGGCAAAACACTCATGCTTTTACGATCCTGCAGAGAAGAGCTCCTGTGTTATGTACAATATCCCAACACGGAAGCATGAGATATCAGAATCTCCAGCTGCATGGCTGGGACTTGAGACATCAATTCAAAGCATGAAAACAGTCGTCCAAAACTTCCAATCCTCGAGTAATTCGTTCTTCGGTGCCTGCATAGCTGCCTACAGACACGCGACACGGAGACTGAGATTCTAAGGGCGCGCTATTGTTGTGGTACGCGTCCAGCGAGTTGCGCGCTAGAACACGCATCTGGAGACCATGCCAGCCACGTCTCGACCTTGCCTCTGCGCTGACAATTGCTCGGCCTGAGTTGCCAATGACGCCGGCAAGCAGCAGGAACAGCGATGCGTCCATTAATCATGGCTACCTTGGGGATGTCCAGTGGTTACAGAGGCATACGAGGATCTCTTTCGGAGCCAGAAGCAAGAAGCAACGCTCACCCTGCGAGGGCCTGGACACATGTTGCACTCAACAAACAACACAGAGTACTGGACTATACTCTCTGGTCTACTCCGTGGTGACGAGACGAGCGTTCATTTTTCAACCTCACAGAACCAAAAGCGACTCAGAAACTCCAACTTGCCCAGCCCAACCCAACCCAACCCAACCCAGCCTTTAACCCTGCCGTAAGTGGTATCCTTCGTTATGCGTCGCGACATCATGACCCCATTACACTGCCTCCACAGCCGTGTCTCGTTGTGGCACCGAAACCTTGACTGCATCGTCTCCAGCTTCGGGGTGTGCGGTGCCGCCTGACTCGCCCATGGACGCTTCCATCCTGACACCCTCTTCGTCCTCCTTGCCCGTTACCGTGACGGTCTCGTCATCCTCTTCTTCTTCGTCGTCGAAACTGACGACCTCGTCCACGGCCTCTTTCCGCTCCCTGCTCTCCCCGGGGACGGGCGGCTCTTTATCCAGCACATGCACGATTGCCTTGCCTTTTGTTTCTTTGAGCCTCCGCTTCCAATCTTGCCAGTCACTTTCGTCTTTGATCAGGAACCCGATCAACATGGAGGGATCCATCTCAGAAATGCGCAGTCCGCGCAGACGGCGCGTGTGGCATGTCGAGATCTCCTCCTCGGTGTATTCGGCGGAGGACGCGTGGTAGGGCAGAGAAGTCCGCGTTTCGTGAGGGTCAAGGTAGAAGAACAAGTCGCCCTGGCAGCCGATGAAGTAGTGAGAGGACGAGGGGCGTCCGCCTGCGATGCCGATGCTTTGCGCGTATGTCAGACTGCTCTTCAGGGCTTCGTGGTAGACGGGCGTTATGCGATCCAGTCCCAAGCGTATCCCTAATAGAATCAGGGTGGGTTTTATTGTGCCATCTGTAGCGCTTGCGCGGGCGATGGACCGGAACTTGTCCTCGTAGACTTCGCTCGCCGAGGGGGTCACGTAGACGCGCAAGCCGGCCGCAGAGGCGCACTCTGCGCTGAGGGCTTGGATACAGCTGGCCGTGGCGGAGGGGCCGAACCACTGACCCGGGTATTTTCCGCAGGAGGTGGCACCGTGGTGGACGAAGCGGTGGATGCTGAAGGGGGCGGAAGGTGAGTCGGCGAACAAGGAGAGGATAGAAGCCTCTGTTTGTGTCGAGAGAGAGGTGTCCGTGGTTGCCCCGCTAGATGGCGGAGGAGGAGATGCTGTTCGGGACGTATGCGTGCCTGCTCTCCGCCAGTCTCGCCCTAGATGGAGCATTATCAGTGCGTTGGCAAGGAGAGATTGTCCCGATCGGATCATGCAGCCCCAGCCCGTGTCGCTAGTGAAGCCTTCCCTTTCGGTAAGGTTGCGAAGCCGGACCGACCAGGAGAGGCCGGTACTGGACTCGGTGTCATGCGAGCGGGCAATGGGAGTGAAGTTTGAGCGATAGGTCATCCATACTCGCGACTCGAGGTCATCGAGAAAGGGGATAGGCCAGCCGCGGTCCGAAGGGTCGTTCGATAGTGAAGGGGTGTCCTCGCCACCTGTGACAAGCTGTGCGTCATCGAAGCTACTTGTGTTTTGTGACTCGGGAGCGTTCAGGTGCGACGTTTGTTCATGTTGCTGCTGTGTCTCTGGGACAGTGGATGGGGCACTCGCCGCGTCTGATGGTTCGTGTGATTCCGAAGAGGACTCCACCTCGACCACATCGTCATGGTCGGTTGTGGTTACCGGCTTCGGTGGTGTGGCCTTGTATTCTTTCCCCAGCAGCCATATTGATGTGCCGGACATGTCATCATATTTTGGAGGAGGGTCATAGAAATAGCGCACGAAGCGCTTAATCTCGACGCCATTCATGACGCCTTGAGCCGGGACAGGGCGAGGAATGTTCTGCAGCGTGATGGAGAGTGCATATAGTAGGGCACCGAGTGGAGTATGGGCTTGAGGTGGAAGTCGGTTTAGCGGTTGTAGAAGTAATGATGGGCTCTCCTCCCTCTGCTTGTAGTTGTTTAAAGCGAGTGATGGGTCTCGTGAGCTGGAGGTGTGACGGGATGCAAACAGAGCTCGGATGGTGTCCAGGATTGCCGTGTTCTCGGGATCAGGTTTAGAAATGGCGTTTGTAGTGATTCGTCTTAGCAGAGCACGTTATAGGCGGGAGTCGGCTGTTGCTGGTTGAACGAACGAGAAGGATACTGTACAATACTGAGGTCGAAGCAGGCATCAAGTCAAGCGGTACGTATCAACGTCAGCCTCGCCTTCAATGATTGACCATTAGTGCCAGCCACGCAGGCTTGGGAGGTCGGAGTCCGGGGCCAGTCATTCGGAGACGGGGGCGCCTAGGCTTCTACCGGGGGTTTTAACTGGTGGAATGACAATGCGAGTTCCGTGTTGGAGATGGCAATCGATTGTTAACGTCGCCTCCGACGCGATTCTTTCGATATTGCCTATGACTGTTCTCTCCTTGCCTCTACATGATTCATACTGACACACTGGTTGGCTATTGCAGATAGTGAATATGGTGTTCGGTACCTTGTTGGTGTGACATGATTGCTCCTTGAAACTAGATTAACTTCGCAATTCTCCCTGTGGAAGTGAGCGAATCCGATCATCACCACCCCGCGCAATCATGGGTCCGCGACAGCGGGCGCAGGGCCGCAAGAAGAGGAATGGGGGTACACCAGCTCACTCGTCAGCCTACTGGTCTGGGTACAATTCACCTTCACCGTCGCCGTGGTCAGAAGGTCAGTCCAAGTCTCGAGGTACTTCAAGTGTCATATCAAGCGGGGTGCAGTCCTGACAAGTTATTTCAGGTCCCAATGGCCGCCACCGCGAGCTTTTCAACGACTGGCAGACTTACTCAAGTTTCAATGCCCGTGGTTTACAGAACGCCCCGTTAAGCATGGCTCAGGCTGCTAAGAACACTGAGCGACACGCTATGGCCTGGGGATCCCTGAAACTGAGGGAACAAAGCATCACTTTCGTCAGTGCCGGACATCTACACCAGGACGAGATCAAAGCTACAGGAGAAGAGGACGGAGACGAGAAGGAGGCCAAGGAGGACACCCAGCCCACGCCTTCCGAACCCACACTACTGCCAGAACTTGCAAAGTCATCTGAGCAATCCGCTTCTGACAATGAGCAGCCAGTTGTGCGGGTGGAACTTCAAGCTGAGGCCGTGACACAAACGCCTGCGCCCAGGAGAGAGTCAATATCGTCACAATCGTCAGACGAAGTCGTCTTTGCTGGTCGAGGCAATCCTGTACCCAGAACGGCGGCCAAACTTACCCCTGCCACGTCCAAACCTCTTACACCTTCGCCCGAAAAGAGAACTGACAATGCCAAACCGCCCTGCCAGAACCCTCTCGCCACACCCGAGATCACCGCACAAGACTCCAGCTCGTCGGGTTTGGAAAGGTTCAACAACATATTACCTACGCAAGACCGTCATGGCGCTGATCGCCGTGGCCGTGCTCGCCAGCGCAGAAAGGACGATGAAGAGGATCTCATCAACGACTACATCGCCAACATGACATTCGACGATAGTGACGACAATTTAGCCGACATCGCTCGGTCCGTCAAGACTGCCAGAAGAACTGAGCACTTCAGATTTTTCGATGGTGCTACTGAGTCGAAAGTTAGCGTGCAACCCGAGCCTTCCAGTAAAGCCAAGAAGAAGCCAACCCAAATCGAACAAGCCATCGATTGGGATTCAGCCGATCTGGAGGATTTCGATGAATTCAGTACCACGGACGAGGAGGTTATCGAAGTCAGCCAAGTTCTTCGTTTCCGTACACGGCCAAGTGGCCGACAATACCTCGTGAACCCACTTGGCAAAGACGCGAGCGAACCTCGCTGGGTCCTGCACGACAAGCTGACCTCTACAAGTGCAGTCGAGGAAGTCCGTATCTTCGAGGAGATCCAGATGATGAAGAATCAAGAGACACCTGAATCCGAAGACTCGGACTCAGATTCGGAGGCGGATGAAGCTGATGACGACTTGATGGACGATATTGACTCTGAGGATGCAGAAAATGAACGCATCTTGAAGCACACGTCGCGCATGACAGACGAGCAGATCGCCCGTGCTCTAGCTAAGCAAGAAGAATTAGGGTTGGGCGGCGATGAATTGCTCTTGCTGGACGGAAATTTGGACAACTACGATGACGGCGAGGAACTGGAGGAGGACGATGAGTTCGCAACTGGCGACGCGTTCATCCCGTTCTCAGCAAAGAAACATCTCTCCAGCCGCACCGCCTCCAGGCGCAACAGACGTCAACGCGACCACTTCCCTTCTGCGTCAGCATTTGCAGACGCTCTCGATCAGGATCCCTATGGTGCCTTCGACATAATGGACTTCGAACGCCCAAGCCTCCGACCCAAGAAGAAGGGGCGGAAGTCTGATTTGCCATTTGAGCTAGGTATTGAGGACCCGGAGCTTGCCCAGAGCCTCCGCAGTACCTGGGAGAAGGATCGGGAGAAGAAGGCTGCACGCAAGAGGGAGAAGCAGCTCGAGCGTGAGGACGCCCTCTTTGATGCTGCCGAGCGGAACCAGCCTGCAGCAATTCGCGCAGAGATCAGACGGTTCATGGCTCAGGAAGCCGACACGCTGGAGCTGGCGCCCATGGACGCTGGGCAACGTGCTGCAATGCACCGCCTGGCAAAGGCACTGAAGCTTGTATCAAAATCACACGGCAGGGACGGACATGGAATAGGGCGCTATGCTGTTCTCACCAAGGGACCTCGTACGCCAAGATTCACAATCGACACGATATGGGAGATCGATGCTCTGTTAGAGTCAAGGAAATTCTTCCCCAAGGGCGTCTTTGACTCCTTCAGAACCTCTGCAGGACCCAAGACCAGGACACCCGGCTTTGCGCGGGCCCGAAGAGGTGGTGGCGGCACAATGTCCGGTGCTACCTACATGAATGGCGATGTTGTTGGTGCTTCGGCTCCAGAGATCGGCGCAGGGAATAAAGGTCGCGCCATGCTCGAAAAGATGGGCTGGCAATCGGGAATGGGTATTGGTGCTGTTGGAAACAAGGGTAGCATCGAGGTCATCAAGCACGTCGTCAAGACGACGAAGGCTGGCCTGGGTTGAAGTGGCGGGATGATAAATGGTTCGGTGTGACGGTCTAAGATGTGCTGAGTGGTGTCCATGGCATTCTCCTGTCCTCGCTCCGACGTTTCCAGGCCATCTGCGAATGTTCTGCCTGTTGTCGAAGCTTGAAGCGGTTAGCATATTGCAGGGATGGCTGAGCATTCTTGTACAGAGCACATCCACCCCTTCAGGAAGCCAGCCAATAGGGCAGCTGCCGAATACGGTGGCCTACCACATTAAGTAAGTAGACATTAACTACCAGCGTCCGAGATCGTGTCGAATACAATGCTGCCGACGCTGAAGAGTTTCTCCTTCGTCTATACATAAGTAGCGCCAGGGGATTTTGGAATCCATGGAGATGTCCTTCCCAAAGGACTCACGAACACGCAACAAATCAAAAGATCCCACGCACTAGGATGAAAATCTTGATCATTGGTAGGAGTATCACTGGCCTGTCGGTACTATAGCACTTGCGTCAATCAAGTAGCTACCCGAGAGACCGTCTATCTCCATCATTGAACTTCGGCCAGAACCTCCAACGCTCGATGGTGCGCTGGAGTTGAGATCGAATGCACTACGCTACCTACATCACCTGAGAGTCCTCTCTCGAATCCACGAGGTTCCACTCGGGCTCCATAGACAAGACCGAGCTCTTCACCATCCAGACTGGCGCTAGACTGGGCGAGATCAGCTTCACCGGGGATCAGGAACACGGCATTGGCAAACCGTCGTCCAAGGGAATCAGGATCATGCGGGCAGACTGGCCCTGGTGCAGTCCCTTACCGAATGTGTTGAACTTCCTGACAGTGTCTGCTTCGCTTACGGTCGCAGACCAGCCCAGATCATCGCATTCGACGAGCAGATACCTGTTCATGTCTACGATGGTGACACAATGAGTCAATGACCTTGGATTTTGCTCCTCGGCTACGATGGCATGCCTTCTTTAGTCTGGACCAGCCTGGTCGGTCCATTTGGAGAGAACATCGCTCTAAACATACTGGGATGGCCGGTGTCTATGGCTTCGCTCGGTTGAAAGACGAAACCAAGGGTTCCCTGGGAAAGATACAGGGTTACGAGTTTTGCCGGTCCAGACGAGGCTGTCTCGTGGCCGGCTACTACAGACCACACAGAAAACAGCAGTTCGCGGCAACCATCATGGACACAAAAGGTGTCATCTCGAAAGAAGGCTGGCTGGCGTGTGGGTCAGAACAGGACGGGATCAGGCACAACGTGAACGATCAATCGGGCAATAGTGCCATCGGCTGCCTCGATTTCCTCATCGACGCAACAGATCACTGAACGCTGGGTCCTGTCTGCGCACTTGCTCCTCGAGAGGAGCGGTGCTTCAAGGCCGCAATACTGCCGGGGACGCGGCACATGCAATCCCGTCCAAGGGTGAGAGCACAGGGTATAACCTCGAGGACGCCAGCTTGTTCGCTCGAGCAAGGCAGTCAATATTGACATGACTAGACGGTACCTTCACCACGTATTAGAAAGTCAGGCGGGAACATATCAACAGGACCTACGAAAGGGTCCTCCTTCAGCCGGGAAACACAAAAGGGTTGTGGCTGTTCACTTTCCTGCTGAGAACGTGGTTGGGAGACTGCATTTATCTGGTGGACTGCGCCTGTACGACAAATGCTTCACAATGAAGGTGTCACATCGAAGGACCTAGATCAAAACACTCACCAGTTCTGTTGGCCACTCCTTGGCCGGTAAGGTCAAGGAGCGAGGTGGTCATGGGCCAAACTACAACCTACTGCCGATGTCAAATCTCCTCCGCAGCACCAAATGCTAATCAGGCTATATCCAAGTGGGCGGCTTAGGCAGCTCATGGCAGCAGAACTTGTGATTTTTGTTCCCGTGGTACCGCCGAGCTGAAAGTCATGGGAGAAAATTACCTGGCTACTATGTACGTTGTTACCTCAGCGATTCACCATCTTACCAGTGATGGTCAATTCGAAGACGTGCTCAACGCAGGGCTCTAGGCAAGACTAGTATCGCCGAACCCCCAGACTTCAATCTATTGGTGGATCTTGAACTGGAGAGCCTGAGCACTAGCCAGATCTTACCCCCTTGAACCGATGTTTGGGATTTCAGCCTTGGGCTCACCGGCCGCTAAATGTACAGGGGTGAGGGTGGTTTCAAGCCATGGAGACCACTCTAGGTTGTGCAAGCCTCGCTGCCGAGGAGATTTAAGGACAACCCAGCAAATCAGCGGAGCTCCCTTTTCCATTCTGAATCGACCACATCAATTTCCCAACGGCCGGTCCACGGCATGCTTAAGCTTTGCCTGTCTATGATGGTACAGTCAGCCATGGTGTTCCTGGCCAGAAGTGTGGTGGTGCGACAATCGAGGCCGGGTGCACAAGGGCCTCCCTCCACAACGCTTTCGCCTAACATGATCTAAGCGACATCAGACTTCGGCACGGCAGGCTTTGCGTGCGCCCTCCTCAAGAACGTCGTCTCATGACCCGCATATGCTCGCGGCCCAAGGAGTATATAACATGTCGCCATGGCCACCTCGACTTGATGTCTTCTAAGCTCGTAGCAGCCTGTCGTTCTTTACACTCGTCGATCGAGTATCCGTTCGTTTCTTGCCTTCAAAGTTTCTCACGTTTCCTTCACACCATTCACTCGTCTATCTACTCAGACACCAGGGGAAATCCACACAACGTCCGACATAGCAACATGTATCGATCATTTGCTGCTTGCGTCCTCGCGGGTGCCGCTCTGGTGTGTCCCGCGGTCTCCGCCACTGCCACCGTGCAACCATGGGGCCAATGTAAGTACTCAGTATATTGAGTTCTTACTTTGCAACATCCTGACTTTCCTCAGGCGGTGGGATCAACTGGACCGGGGGCACTACCTGCACATCAGGCTGGACCTGCCAGGCCCAGAACCCGTACTACTCCCAATGTTTGCAAGGACCACAGCAGCCAGCGACATCCGCTCCGCCAGTCGCTACTGCTAGCAAGCCAGCTTCCAGCCCTGCGGCTCCTCCAGCCAATACAGTAACAAGTGCCAAGCCAAGCCAGCCAACCAGCCCGTCGTCCGGTGGTGGCTTGACGTACAAGGCATCCTTCACTCACTATGGTGCGGGAGATACCTTCGGCTCGCCCAACTGCAACACCAACACGGCCGCCTGCTCCTTCTACACTAAACCCGGCTTCAGCGCTGCCGTCAGTCAGAACCTGTATGGTGCTGGTCCTGGCCAAGGTCAAGGTCCTGCTTGCGGCACATGCTGGAAGCTCGTTGGTCAGACCGATTCATCTGGCAACAAGCTGAGCAACGCCGGCACCTCCGTCGTTGTTATGATCAACAACCTTTGCCCGGCAAATGGCAACCCGCTGTGCTCGCAAAACGGTCTCTCAGGCACCAACCAATACGGTGCTAACATCAACTTCGACCTCTGCAGCGACAGTGGTGCCTCGGCTGCGTTCTTTGGCAACAGCGGTGTCGGTCTCGCTGTGGGAACTGCTACGCAAGTAGACTGCTCTCAGTGGAATGGAGTCGTCGTCCACTAGACGGTCAGACACGCGGGAACCTTCCAAGCACCAAGCGTGCAGCCATACCTTTCTTCTTTCGGCTCTCTTACAAGGTCTCTTTGGGTTCAGGGAGCCCAGGAACCAGCTTGCTTCATTCCTTCCGATGGGTCTCGGGCGGACAAGAGGCGCCCGAGGTGATCATGACATTTTAGTCTTACAAACATCTACGAGTTTCGTTGAACGAGAATGGAAGACTGCAAACGGAATCACCCTCTTGCTCTGCCAGTTTCGTCACACAATTTGTTTTGCTTTTTGCGTCTCAAATTTCGAGGGTTTCGCCTGCTGTTTTTTGATGATCACTTGTTGCCACAGTGCATAGTAGCAGCTTCCAAAGGGCTGATGCCGACGCCAAGTAAAGCGACAAGTGAGGAAATGGTGAGTTTTTGCAACTTTGCTCCTCACCTCACCTTCAACTGTTACCAGTGCCTCCCGAGGATACTCCAAACACGGAGGTCCATTTTGTTGTTTACTGACTGATCTTGATTCACGTAAATGCCCTCACAATGGTTCCTGCCTGGCATACAGCTTCCTCGATTAGCAGGTGCAATTAGATTTGCAACAGACGAGTCAGTTGCTGTTGACCTTCAGGCCTTCTACAAGCCTGCGACATTACACATCCTGACCGCAACGACTGGGTCGTCCATCCCACAAATGAGATAAGTCCAAAGTTCACAAGTTTGAATCGGCTGACTGAACCTTTAGATGTGTTTCAGTTCAGCCTCGTAATCACCACCGCCGTCGGATCCTTCTCCAGCTTTCGCATCCTCTCTCGTTCGTCAACGAGCTGCTCATCATTGTGTCCTATCTGCTGCTTTCTCCTGGGTTTCAAGTTCTTGGTCCTCTTTCGTTCCTTCAAACTCTCTCACAACTTACTGTGTTACATCGCTCCACACCGCTTCAAACTTTATCTGGTTATTCTGCCTGCGTCCTTTGAAGACTCCATCCCTCCTGGTCATCGACACCGAGTCGTGGAGTCCCGGGTCTCATTCTGAAGACCTTTCCTTCTCATTATTCGCGGGCATGACAGCTCCTATCTTCATTATTCGTGTTACCACGCACGCTCCCAAAAGCCTTACTGTCGGAGTCCGAGTCCAGCATATGCATGGACGAAGCACTGCTGCGTCAGAACATGCAAACAGCGGCAGAACAGAACCCCATATACAGCCCGTCACAAGCCATGGTCGACGCCTACGAGGCTGAGAAGAGTCATCGGCATACGACTGTTGTGAAGCCATCCTTGTATCCGAGCGACCCTGAACCGTATGGCAATTTGTCTGTCTTCAAACTGGCATCTGGTGTCATCCATCTGCAAGAGCGGCTTATCACCAACGACCTTCACTTTTCAACTCCTGGTCAATGCACATTTCGATACCTACCATGCACCTCTAGCCTTGCTTGGCCCTTGACGCTTACAGCTTCTACGAGCGCGCTTCATCGTCACAGCATCCAAAGAGGAAGAACTATGTACTTCAGCAATACCTACAATCTGGCAAGGACCTTTGAGAATTAAGTACAATACCTCAATATCAGTGCTCACGTTTAAAGGCCCGGTGCGGTCGGGTCGAGGCTTGGTCTGTCGTCGGTGACTGGACCCGAGGAATCAATCAGTTTACGTCGAGGGGAGTTTCTGGTAGCCAGCTGGTGCCCGTGCACTGGCGAGACTTTTCCGCCTCGACCCTGCACCCAGCGTCACCGGATCTTCAGCACCACTGGATGCAGTCCGGACCTCCCTGCGCCGGAAGTCTACTTACTACCTCAAAGGCCGTTATGAATGCACGGGTACTGGGGACTTCACGACCTCCCCAGACGCTCAGGCGTCCTGCGCATGCTGGTCTGCCATCGGGAAGGGCCTGCACGCCGGGGCCGGGCGGCAAGTGCAGGTCCCCTGTGCTACTGACCGGCATCCTCATCCTGGAGACACGATCACCTCGCGCTGCAGCAGGCAGCAAGCGTCATCACACAACGACAACCACGACCGGCAGGAGGGTGAGCAATACCCACACAGGTCGCACATGCATTGAAGACGACCGTCTCGGTGGCAATACTCCCTCCAATGAATGCCTCGACTGGTTCTCGTCAAGGAATTGTCGTTACTTACGCCAAAGTTCCAAAAAGTGCTTTCGAATCTCACTCAAGTTCGCGAAAGCACCTTGACGCATCGACTTCAGACACGCGTTCCATTAATCGACGGCCACTAGCATACACCAAGCGGTGCTGTACACCAGCTTGCCACAGCGCTGTGGCAATGTTTAAGATCCACCCTTCTTAGTACTCGACGTCTCACAGCCCAAGTCGCAGCAGCGGACTAAGAAGAAGCCCATGGAGTGAAGCAGTGCTTAGTCAAAGATCCCCCACGTTTCATTGTGGGTATGTACTACTTTACTTCTATACTAAGTATCAAGCAGGCTATTAATAACGGGAAGAGATAGAAAGTGTACTATACGCGTACTACAAGTATAATCTTATACTTTAGTAACTAATACAGTTATAGGAAGCACGCTAACCATATCAGGAGAATTACGTCTCTCATTTACTTATATTATACTTAGTACTCCCCTAGGGAGGCTTAAGTCGGTATCGAGATAAGACTTACCTAAGATTAAGCGCTTCTCAAGCTGTTCTCGAGCTCGGATCACAGCTCAATATGAGGGTCATAGCTTCTCACTGATATAAGTACTATTAAGACCAGTATGATCGAGAGGAGATCGCAGCTTACTAAGTATCAAGAGGCGCAGGAGTCCTTACTAGTATTGAGATTATAGTAACTTTCAAGACTAGTACTTAGCCTAGCGACAATAATTTATATTTTTTTCTTAAGTCTTAAGTATAGTATAAGTAGATTAGGAAGAGGAGGAGAATAAATTAGAGTACTTACTAAAATTACTAGTAGCCTGAAATAATTATGAATGAAGTTAAGAATAAATATATAGTACTACTAGTACTCCTATAGGCCTCCCTTAGTACTATTACATATATAGCCCGCCTTACTTAAGGGGAGCTAGCCTAGGCTCGGACCGAGCTAGGATCGAGCTGGGAGTGGGCTGGGAGTGAGCCAGGACTGGACGGGGACCGAGCTGGGAACGAGCCGGAACTGGCCTGGAACCGAGCTAGGACCGAGCTGAGAGTGGACTGGGTCCGCACTGAGACTGGGCTGAGACCGAGCCAGCTCCGAGTTTATAGTAGTCCCTAATTTAAGATTCACCTAAGTACTGTATTTCCTAGTACATTATGTACTTACATTACATTAGTTCCATAGCACTTAAGTATTTATACCGAACGCTCGATGCTGGAATGACACCGGAACTTAGATAGAATCAGAGCAGTATACATAGTATTAAAATAGTACCTAATTAGTACTTACTGTAAGTCTAATACAGTACTAGAATAGTATCGGTTCAGGATCAATGAAAATTCAAATTACTGGTACGTGAAACCTATATATCTGCTGACACCTCTGCTCTACCATCAATAAATGTACGTGAACTCATCGTTCTGCCCATCGGTGAGATCCAGGAACGCATTGTCACCCAGTCTGCGTCCATTGTCGGTCTCGTCCATGGGGACGTATTTGTCCTCCATCGAGTGATCCTTGATCTTTGCGCTCTTGCCATTCTTGACCCGTCGCCTGGATTGCATTTTGTTCAAGAAGAACAGGTTCGCCAGCTGAATCAGAACCACAGCGAACATGGTGACGAAGATGGCCAGCACCTTGCGAAGGCCGGGGTGATACGCCGGAGCGTCTTTCTTGTTGAACAATAAGGGGCCGATGATGTTGCCGGAGCTCGATCCCGCATTGTAAAGAGACATGATGACGGATTTCTTCGTGCTGCCAGCGGTGTTGCCGACGATCCAGGAGACGATGAGTGGATTGCCGCCGAAAAGGAAGGCCAGGAGATAGTATGCAACCAGCAGTCCTGCAGTGGAGCTCGACTCGCGTGGGAGGACATACAGGACAGCAAGGCCTGCAATCACCGGAAGCATGAGTCCTGCAAGCACGAACGACTTGAGTTTCGCTTTTTGTGCTGCCCACGAGGCGAGCAGGATGACGATGAACTGCATTGCGCCGAATGGCATGTTCAACAATGATGTTTTGTACTTGTCGAAGCCAACACCTTGGAGGATGAGTGGGCCAAAGGTGTTGGTGACGGCTGCTCCCACGTTGAGGAGCAGGGAAAGACCGATCCAGAGGTATGTCTTGGGTTCTAATGCTAACTCGGCAATGTGCGACCATTTGAATTCACGGTTCCCTGTGCCGGTTTGGTTGGCTCGAAGGCGTTCGATAGCCTGGGCCTTCTCGTGCTCTGTCAAGAAGCGCGCTGACGGGATGTCGTTGTCGAGGAAATAGTAGATAACCGGAGCGGTGACGATGGTGACGAGCCCAACAAAGAGGAAGATGATCTGCCATTCCTGAAGCACAGGGGATCTGATGCTTCCCAGTCCGTACGAGAGTGCTGACGCAGCGATTGTTGCGAGGCCATTGGTGCCATACCAAGCCGCAACACGGAGCGGTTGCTCCGCTCGGCGATACCACTGGCTTGTGATGACGCTGAAGAGTGGGAGGCAGCCGGCCTCGAACAGCCCGAGGAAAAAACGAGCAGCCAACAGTGAGCTGTAATTATGGCAGGCTGCCATGGACGCTTGAGCAATTCCCCATCCAAGGCAGAGTGTCGGCATGAGGATGCGGTGCGGCACTCGGACGATCAAGAAGGATGAGAAAGGTTGCCATGCGAGTTGTGCGATAGGAGCGATAGACCCCAGAAACGAGTACTGGTCGCCGGTAAGGCCTGTGTCGGTGGTCATGCCAAAGAGGGCGCCGTAGCCGAGCACGGTTTTGTCGAGGATCTGGAGGAAATAGACCCATACTAGAATAACAAGGATCGTTCTGTCCGTCTTGCGTCGAATACGTTTGTTCTGACGATGACGTTAGCACCGAATCTTTCGCTCGGATGTAGGAAAGACTTACATCCTCTTCTGATAATTCCACTCTCTGATCTCCTACAATCGCAAGTGCACGGTCGGCATGCTTCAAGGAAACCTTGCGCTCGATGTTGTCCTTGGATAGCCGACCAGACTCGACATCTTCGGCATGAGCCATCTTCACAGTCTTGTCGTCAATAGAAGCCATTGGGGAATCCTGGATTCCAACCGCCTGTCCGTGTCCTGCAGGAGACATTGAGCTATGACAATGTACAGGCAAAGAGGGAGCTCAGGCTGATATTTAAACAGAACCACTCTGGCACATCCCTCGTGCAGGAGTGAGCTATGCGAGTTGTGGAGGTTGAAGCTAGGTAGATTGAGAGTGTGTGGGGTCTGGGCAGGTGTCATTCGACCTGTACACAGTATCCTGCTATTGCCAGGGAGTACGAGTTGAGAGTTTCCGGGGTCGAAAGGTTCGAAGATTCCTTTGGCACATATTTCGGGAATGGTTCGGTCTGGTTGAAGTCATCCAAAGATCATAGGCTACCCCGCAATGCTGTGGCGGCAATTGAAAAAGCAGGATGGAAAAATCCCAAGTGTCGAATCATCGTTGGTGGCGTCCTGTAGCTCAGGGGAGCTGGACGGGCCGGACTTGATCGGTTGCACTTCCGTCGCCTAGTCCTTCTTCGACGGGCTCAGAGTGCACCTTTGACATACTCGTGGGGGCCGTTGAAGCAGGATGGTCCCACGCCTTACCCCCACGGTCGTAACCGAACAACGGTATTTCTTTCCGTCACTAGCCGTTGAGATGAGATGTTCTGGATCTTGTGGGACGTATTTGGTGGTACCACTTTGTGTTGGGGCGAAGCGCGTCTGGGTGTAGAGGATGTCAAGCTCTATTCCACTTGTGGTTGAACCTCACCTGTTTTCGCAGGGTGAACCCACGCCTCGACTCCGTCGGCAACTGAACGAATCCAATAAGCGTTCGTCGGCTATCCATTACCCCAGATACGGGGTATAATGGGGCGGACTTTGAGCGGACCAGAATGATTGACTCGATGTCCTTCATTTACTGTGTCAATAGTTCCTCCCGCTTGCGCCTGGAGAAATGTGCTCCGGCCTGATGAGACCATGCATGGTCGCTGGTTTCTAGCTTGTGGTAGGCCACAAAGCCAATCTAGTGTATGTCGTCCGGGAGAGTCGCGTTCGAACTCTTCAGGACCTATGTCGCATCGCGCGGGGTGGTGCACGTTGTTGACCCCAGAAATGTAGGGAGTCTCTTGGGACATACATGCCTTGACCATTCCTGCTCCCGCACAAGCCACGAATTGCGGAAATCGAATCGCAATGTTATACGGCTGGACTTGAGCGGCGCCATTACCCCGCTTGACATGTGACGATGCCAGGCATATTTCCAGATAGGAGCAAACTCCATTCCTTACGACCAAAACGCCTGGGGTACCACTTCGATTCGAGGGTGACACAATCCGTGTCTTAGACGCTTTGAGGCGATTGTGCTGGCATGTCGTCCCAGTGAGTTGAACATCGTTTGCCAGCCACGCTGAGGGTGGAGCATTCGAACTGACTGTGAGCCTTGTCGGGAGCTTTGGCGCAGAATTGAACTCTCGCAGACAATCAATGCGTGCCGGGGGCTGTGGAGAAGCCATCAATCAGACTCATCTTATGCCTCCTTGCCTCAGCCTGCTTCTCCCAGTTGTCCCAATCAAAGACGCCGTGCCCATACGTCCACGATCCCAGTTCCCGATCTGGAAGGACTACGCCTCGCTTTTCATGAAAGAATACTAGGCCACCAGGGACTTCTCTCAGCGGGTTCCCTTCACCTTCGCCAGATCTTCCGACCGGGCCAACGTCGAAGCCGCAAGCCTGATAGAATCTCTCCTTCCCATCTGCGGCAATAACACTGCAGGCAATACCTTCTTTAAGTGCTTGCTGTAAACCCCAGCCGACAAGAGCACGGCCTTGGCCTTGCCTCTGATAATCTGGGTGGACAGCCAGGCATTCGAGATACCATGATTCCGATCGATCGCCCGTCCATATGTGGTCAAGGTAGTTGTAGGATCTTTCGATAATGAGTTCGTCTTCCTTCGAAGCAGCTCGGTTTGGCGAGACGAACGCGAGGAAACTCATGAGCAAGCGACATAGCGGTTGGAGCAGACGCCCTACAAGGACGTAGTCAGTATCTTGTCATTGACCGCTAACGTGTGATTTCCAAGTTGTGTAGGCTGGGAGGGGAGCTTTGCTCTCGTGGGTACGGACGGGCAAATAGATGATGGTGGTTAGTGGACAGGGCCCACGCAAGCATGCCGTATTGTGCAGAAGCAGCTTGCAACGATATACCCTTCGCAACAGAAATATTGGGTGCGACAACAGCCAAACGAGAGGCGAAGACTAGAAAGGCACTTACTTGGATCCAGCCCAGACAGACCCCAACCAGCTCTATAGTTCTCTCTCCAGCCGGGAGCTATTCGACTCCAATGTGCGAAGCCGGTCACGACCTCCTTTGTCTTGTCCGCAGCGTCAGGTCCCGTGGTCACAAGGAAAACATGGCTCCAGTCCCAGAAGTCTACGACGAACCGGCGGTACCAGTACTTATCAACGTCACCAGGGTAGGATCGCCTGTATGGATGGATCAGGCGGCCAAACAGCACATCGTCATCGAACGCCAAAGAACACGTGCGAGCTGCAGCTGGGAGATCTAAGAAGCCTGCTCGGCGGAGTTTGAAAGTCGGCATTGAGAATGACAGAGCCAGCGCGGACGGTGATGTTCGTTCGGACTGGGGCATGGTAGCGCCGTTGCGGGTGATATTTAGGACTCCCACGTGGCTGCTGAGTCGATGTTGTTGTACCTTCGGAGGATCAATAAAGGTCCTGCGTACTGCGGGTCCGGGGTTGTTGGTGGTGGAGTTCGAAAGGCGAAGGTTCGAGCTAACGGGCGAACCACGAAACGTGGGTAGATGGTGAGGGGACTGGATCAGTGGTGAGACACGTTTGACGGGAGGGATATGTTGGTTGCGCAGCTGCAAGCGGGTGAGCGTAGGTCCCGTTGTGATGGTCACGCTTCTTGAGGGTCGAGACGCAGCTGCAATCGCTGAACTTGCTTCTGGCACATGCCGAGCAGCAACAGAAATTGTTCGAGGAGCCTAGTGAATGGGGCCAAAGTCAAAAGCACTTTGTGCGAGATGACGGAACTGTGATAGTCCGGTGATTTGAATGAGATAAAAAGTCGCGTCGGATAAACTTGCACTCAGATATAGCTCACTTCACAATCGTCCTAGTTAACCCACGCAAGGTACGCGACGGGCACTTAACTAGCACCATTAGCGTGTGTTCGATGGACGCTAGAGATTTAGGTAAGATCTCATCGGCTCTGGGAGCGGTGGAGCTACTTTCATGGTGGACCTCTAGGGACCGAGGACTCGATTCTGTTCACTCCGTACAGATTACGATAAACTGATCAGTATCTGGAGGTAGTGCACGACAAATACGTTGCTACGGCCATTGTGCGAACCAGCTGGGGGGCTTCGATGCTCCCAGCCAACTGCCATTCGAGCCCGAGACCTGCACGAGCTGGGAAGCACCATGATGACACTGGGTTTCCGTCGACTATAAGATGATTTTTTATCTCGGGAAAGCTGGTAGTCTAGATGCCTCATGCACCTGATTGACGAAAGCACCCACACGCCTATACAAGTTCCTGCTACTTTTGAGACCTCATCAAATCTTTTTTTTCCGTACCCATCATTCAAACCACCATGATATACTCCAGGGCAAATAGAATCCCCATTCCTGTACCGGCCGCCCGTAGTGTACAGACCCAACAGCGTGCATCATAAAGCTCTTCCAGGCTCGGTTTCGTAGTGAATATTCCACTGCACGTCCTTGCGAATGATGTGGTCCTGGCTGCCCTGGCTGCCGCCGCTATCGATCGAGTCATGCTCTCGGGTGGTGGCAAGCTTGTTCTTCGTCGGAACCGGCGGTGTTTCTTCGTTGTCACTATGCGATCTTCCCCCTGACCTGGGTTTGGCGGTGCCGCTGCCATTAACAGAACCCATCTCGTAACCACTGTTGGTCCTCCGACCAGATCCGTATGCTTGCGTGAGTGAAGGATCGAGCTGAATGCCGAACCCGCTGCTAAAGCTCTTGACGAAGGATTTCAGATTGGGTATGGTGGCTGAAATAAGCGACCAGCAAAGCTGCACTTGCTGTATCGCGACCACCGGCACGATTGCAATGCCAGGGTTGTCGGAGCCGGTATACTCAGCTATGTAGTGGAGATGGAGAATCGAGAGTACAGCGACCCTTGAATATTGTCAGCATGGACCAGTCACACAAAGTGACTACACTCACAGGAGGCGGAAGGAGAAGGCAAGGACCACCTGACACTTCATGGCGAAGGACAAATGTACGGGCCAAACGACACAGATCACGATCAGGATCAAGACGCCTTCTGTCACGACATCGAAAGCTGTGATCAGCTGCCAGCGAAGGAACTGCGATCGTTAGATTTGGGGATTGAGAGGTCTGCACCGAGCGACACACCTGGTGAGCGCAACTGCCCGCGTTGCCTCGAATAGAGCCGGGAACGGAGCAGTTAACTGCTAACGCGACGATGGAGAGGATTGCCCAAAGGGACACTCCTGCCATCACAGCCAACGCAATCCAATAGAACACCCGCTGACGCAATTTCTGGCCCGTCCTGGGGCCCGACAGATTGAAAAGTCTCATCATCAAACACAACGTCGACGCCTTCGCCGCAGCGGCAGAGAGGATGAACAGTATTTGAGCGGTAAAAGTAGCCTGGCCGCATCAGCAATCCATCATGCAGTCCGACAATATGCTCTACTCACTCGACTGGCCTTTGTCACCTCGCTTGGACGGAGGAGAAGCTGGGTCTTTCCAAGTCCGTGGTTTAGTCCTATCATTACTGCAATCACCTCTCCCACTTGAATGAGCTGGGGGTCTAATCAGTCGATGGGACACGAGAGCAAACATCCATCGGCACGTTACTGCTCACCGTGGCCGCCAACGCAATGTAATCATCCATCCCATAGATTCTGAGTCGAAGATGACCTCTCAACGCCAATGTGAGAACTGAATATATCAGGCATAGAATACTGGCAATCCAGACCGATCCGGCGTGGTCATCAGGTGTGATCTGAGAGAAGCGCCTCCCCGTCAGAGCGTCACCCATGTTGGACAGCGCAAGTCGTTTATTCTCAGCCAAGTTGTGGTGTCCGACCGTAGGAGGAATTCGTTCCGGAGCAGCAGAGCGGAGGAGGACTTCGCCCAGAGGATAGCAAGGTCAACTCTACACACCACCCACCGCCACTTGTACCTGAATCAAACAATGCGCCGAAAATATGAGGACTTCCTCATCGAAGACAGGTGCGGTTCGTTGTGGATGTATAAGGTTACAAGGATCCCGCTTTCTGGGACAGGTCCTAAATTTCCGCTTCCTGAATGGCATTCACACATCCCCTGTTTGCCCAGCCGCGCCTCCGAATTCTGTGGCTTCCAATGATGCAGCTGGCACAGATAAGATAGCTGGAAAGACCACTGGGAGAGGGTTCCGTGCCCTGTGAAACCTGGACCACGCCGAACGCCCTACCTAGGGGTCACTGAGCATGTCTAGGTTGATGCATGGCATGACCGGAAAAGGTGCGATAAGCAATCGGCTGTTAGAGGAGTGTGGCCACGTCAAGCAGAGCCCGAAATGCTTACTCTGCGACTGGACGGGAATTGGAGGGTCGATCGTTATCGAACTAGTGGGTAAGCTGAAGCCATGGCTGGGGGCTGGGGTTGATTGCGTAGAGGGTGAGCATATGACAATGCAAATGGACTAATAGAGAGTGCCCACGAAGAGGATGGATGTGTTTCTGGCACCCCTCTGAATCTGACAGCGGCTGGGCAGCATGTTGACTCTCTTGTGAAGCCAGGAGAGGTCAACTGGGATTGACAGGTGGGTGTGGGCTGCCAATTGATCGGTTGGCTCGGCGCTCGGCAACCATGAAGCGTGGACAAAGCATTGGTCGAGTGCAAGGCAATGGAACGATTATCGCATCGAAGGTTCGTGGTCATTGAATGTGGTGCCCCGCTTAGCGTCTTGACAGTGCCACCGTGCCTTCGTGCATAGGGCTTACCCACTACGTACTACAGTAAGCCAGACAGGGGTCCCTTCTGGGGTTCCCAACCTCATGGGCCTCATGGAGGGTTGTCGCTGTTGGAGTTTCGCCTGTTGCCGGGATCAAGTCTGATTGATAACCACTCAACGCCGAGCAAGCGGCGCGTCCTGTGGTGCAAAGTGGCTTCTCCGTCGCTGCATCCGCTCCTCGTAGCGAGGGTCACTGTGTGAACTACCAGTGGCATGTTCGAGGACTGGCATTGTTGCAATATCGGTGGAGAGGCGCGTGCGCAAGGCTCGAAGTGCCCGACCCTCGAGATTGGCTGCATTCCGTCGACCCTTGCTTCGATGTCAAACCGGTCGGGTTGTGCCAGAGGACAATATCACATGGTTCTGGGCATCACGAAATCATGGCATAGCCACAAGTGTTCGGCTGCGTCTTCTATCGCACATATCGAGACATCGGGTGCCTGAGAACCCCTGAGAGTCTCGTAGTCAAAGGATAATAAAAGCTTGCAGCGTCTTGGACTCTTGGGGCGTGGGTTGCGGAGTGGCTAGTATTTTCATTTGGATATTCCAGCACCATGGGCTTGGACCTTCAGGTACCAGTAGCATCCGAGGATGTCAGCCCGCTGTCACCTGTGTCTAGGTTTTGCCATGACAGTCTGCAATCGCCGAACCGAAAAATTTCTCCCATGAAGAAGCCCGGGTACTGTGTATTTACTGTGCAGGAAACAGTGGAATCTGAGGTGCAGAAAGAGGCTACCTGATACGGCATGGCCTCGATCTTGGCCTCAAATACGCGACTTTTGTTCAAGCCTACCCTCGGTTGCCCATCTCTCAGCAGGGCGCCGGTGCCGACCGGAAGCTGCAAGGTGCGAACTAGCTAGCGACGCCGCGAAGTCCCCACAAGTTTTAGACACAAGGAGCCCGGGAAGCCTAGGGAGCCGTAACCTCGTCCCCTCGGCTGGAATGACCGCGTCGCTTCCTCCCGTGGTTACTAGACTCTAGGGTGCCCGCAGTTTGACCCAGCCCAAAGACGCTTCAACGACATCCGTAGAAAACGTTTTTGTAGTGCCAAAGCCCTTTCGTCGTGCTTGTGGCCGTTTGATGTACTGTACGGAGTACTAGGTATGGCTTGGAGGTAAAATTGCTGCTGCTGTGTCCGCCATTGCAGAGGTTGGAGGCTGGGAAATTTATTTCCGTCCAAGCGACTTCCAGGTTGTTATCACTCCGCGGTCAAGCTCCATACGAGGTAGGGGACGCTGTCAGATGGTATGCAGGGTGGTGGAGCAGCAAGTTTGTGTCCCCTGACTTTTCGCTTACCTCGACTCCTCAATCGCCTCATGGTTTTGTCGCTTTGGTCGGGTCCCCGAAGCCGCCAGCATGCAGCTTACTGTGTACTGTACACCATCGGCCGCTGTGCGCTCGTACAGGTCTAAAGCATTTCGATACCTGCAGTGCTGCTGTAAGAAATGTAGCTCATTGACGGGATTCTGACTGACATGCTATTGCGATAGTCTGCCGTCCACGAGCCGCCACCATACTGGTCTTATCATTTGGTGCTCGACTGCCTGGCCCTCGGTCATCTTGGAACCAATGAAACTGCTTGCTACTAGGTGCTGGACAAGCAAGAAATAGGGCGTTCGCAGTACTTCCCACTGCCAAGTAGCAGCCATCGGTCTCATATCTTCGGACCTCTTCGCCATTGGATGCACCTGTCATATCCGCAGCCACCTCTCCAAGCGTCTTCTTGCGACGGGCAAAGGAAAAGCAACGAGAGACTTCGGGCGCTTTGTGGCTTGCTCTGGCTTGCTTAAGCTTACGATCTAAGCACGGCAATCCTCCTCCCGACACAGTCTGCACTCCGTACCTTTTTCCTTGGGAGATATCCACGACAACCCCTTGCTGTTTATCAATGTAGTGCGGGGCGAAGACGCCTTGGGTTCTCCACTCAAACTCGCCATGGGATGTGCATAAGCGTGTCAAACATCCGCATGTGCTCTGATTGGAGCTAGGAAGGCATGGGTACGTTCTCTCTCGCTTCAACGCTGCCTCGAACGGCGAAGATCTGCACCCTCCCAGCCAGTTGGACCTCGCTTTGACACATGGCAGGCACTGCGAACCATCTCCGCTTCTCTCACATACTTCGCGATCCTCCTGCTTCCATTGTCACTGATACCAGGTAACAAACCTACGCTGCGCTCGTCCAAGTCGCGGCGACGACATCTGACTTTGAGCGCGGTGCTGTTTCTCTCATATTTCCGACTACACTTCTCATCCTCACCATCCGATCAACGAGTCTTACCTATCATCATGGCGCAGAGCAAGGAAACAGGGGTGTCGGTCACATCCCAGGTCGACCTGGAGTCGACAAATGCGAATTTATCGCCTGAGAAGAAGGGCACTGTCGATGACCAGCGAGACATGTTCCGTATGGGCAAGCACCAAGAGCTGCGAGTGCGTACTCCGACTCTGAGGAATGCGCATACTGATGGCCACAGCGTAACTTTCGTTTTGTGTCCATTTTCGGTTTCTCCATGATTCTGATGGCCAGCTGGGAGACCATTTTGGGGTGAGTGCAAGATCGCTAACGTCCAGGGTGGAGCTGACATCCACCCAGCACGTCTATTATCGGTTTGATCAATGGTGGGACTGCTGGCATGATCTGGCTCTTCCTGGTGGCCTGGATCGGCTTTCTGGCTGTTAACACCTCGATGGCTGAAATGGCTTCAATGTACGACGCTGCCAGCAGAACCAACGTCCACTCGCTAATGCTGTTCTAGGGCTCCGACATCAGGTGGCCAATACCACTGGTAAGTGAGAGCTTCGATTCCCCGCCGTCATGTCGCTTCTCCGTTCCTCGCGTTGGCCTGGGCTGACATAGCTTTGCAGGGTGAGCGAATTTGCGCCTAGAAAGTATCAAAAGTTCATGAGTTTTATTGTTGGTAAGACAGGTGGAAGCCATAACCGTGGCGATGATCTGACAAGCTCTCAGGTTGGTTTTGCGTGCTTGGATGGCAGACAGGGGCGGCGAATACAGGTAAGAAGCATCCTCGGTGTCACGAAATCGTCAGGGTCTGGAGAAACCTAGAATTCTCACAACGGTCATGCATGCATGTATACATACTGACACGGCTGTAGCTTTCTTGGCTGGTACCCAAATACAAGGTCTCGTTGTTCTGAACTATACCGACTACGCACCTCAGAGATGGCACGGCACCCTCTTGACCATTGCGGTAGCATCGTTTTCCGTCTTTTTCAACACGTTCTTGGTTAAGAAGCTACCGCTGGTGGAAGGCATTGTGCTTATTATCCATATCTTCGGCTTCTTTGGCGTGCTCATCACGCTCTGGGTTCTGGGTCCTCGTGGAAATGCGAGCGACGTTTTCACCACGTTCAACAACTATGGCGGCTGGAGCAGCAATGGGCTTTCCGCAATAGTGGGTATCCTGGCCGTCATGATTCCGCTGCTGGGTGCAGATGGCGCAGTCCATATGTCTGAGGAACTTCGGGATGCCTCCAAGGTGCTTCCTCAGAGCATGATCGCGACCACGGTGCTCAACGGTGCAATGGGTTGGATCATCCTCATCACCTTCTGTTTCGTTCTTGGCAACCTCGACGATGTCATCAGTTCGCCTACTGGACAGCCTTACGTCCAGGTCTTTTACAACGCCACCGAGTCATACGCCGGGGCATCGGTACTGTCCGCACTGGTGATCTTCATGGCAATCTTCTGCAATTTGTCCATCACTGCAACCGCATCGCGACAACTATGGTCCTTTGCTCGCGATCAGGGTATTCCAGGATCTCCTTGGTTTGCATATGTGCGTATATCTGCCGCAATGACTTGGTTTATCTTACTGACGTGCCCCTTTAGGTCCGACCAGGCTGGGACGTGCCCATGAATAGTATCATTGTCTCCTTCGTCGTGTCATGCCTGCTGTCGCTGATCAACATTGGCTCGACCATTGCACTCAACAACATCACATCCCTGTCTCTGGTCGCCATTCTAGCGTCTTACATTGCCTCGATTGGCTGCCTTTTCTGGAGACGACTCACGTACCAACCACTCCTCCCGGCCAAGTTCACATTCAGCCGGCCAGTTGGCCTTTTCTTGAACGCATTCAGTCTCATGTTCCTGACGCTCGCTTTCATATTCGCCTTCTTCCCAGGAAACCCCGATCCAACTGTCGAGCAGATGAACTGGGCCTGCTTGATGTTTGGCGGAGTCATGCTCTTTGCGATCATTCACTACTTCGTGCAGGCGAGGCATGTCTATGACGGCCCTGTGGAATATGTGCGCAAGTTGGTGTGAGCGAGGGGTGAACTGTTATGTTGTGGTGGCCAGTAATACCCAGTCAGGTCCTGGAATTCATTGTTGGCACACCCGGCTGCTTATCGATACAGCCTGACCGGGAGGGTTACCATAGGTCAAGCAAGGATCCCGTCTCGCTCATGTGGCCGTGTCAGGGAATCACCAGGGAACCCCTTAGCATGTTGACGGAAACCTGTATGCTTGAGCTCGCGGTGTGGGAGAATTGCATGAGTGCCCACCTTGTACATAGTAGTGGACTGCTTTCTCGCACCCGTCTTCTCTGGGGAAACCACTGGAGCGTTCATTGGCGCATCTGTTACAACACTCAGAAGCATGTACGGAGTAAGAGGTGAGAGTTCAGCGAATGGCGGGGCAGATTTGCCTGTGCTCGTCGTGTTCGCTTACAAGTCACGACCCCGGAAAATGGGCGGCCACTCGTCAGCGCGGGGCCATGTGAGGACCCGTTGACTTCGGCTCTTGCCCGCATCTCGTTGCTACCTCGTACACGCTGCACTGTCGATCGGGTAAATTCAAACTCAACTGACTTCCTGCTCAAGCAGGGCTCATTGTTGCCTCGATTTCCTCAACCAGCCTTCATTATGAGGCTCATCTCACCTTCAATAGTGATTCCCGTGGAGGCATTTGAGCCAGAACTCACGTTACTGGCATCCCTCGATTTCGTACTCACCGAGACTGTAAGACGCCAAGCTCTACGAGGTCGATGTCATTCGTATGGAAACAGCCACTTCTAACGCGTCGTACCCCGCGACCAAAAAGACGAATTTCAGCTGCCCAGCATTTACTTGAACATAAGATGTCCATACGACCCATTCCAGGGATCAATGTCTGGGATGGATGACACCTGGACGATGCCCTGCACCCCGACGGACGGCCCGGGATTGGACAACATCGAGGACCAAGTGCAGCTCCCGTTTGTGATACCGTGTTCGCTAGGCCTAGAACTCGGCATGTGGCACGCAATACGAGACATGGAAGGTATATGTATTGTACGCAGGACCTGTCACCCAGATCTCATTCCGGTGTTCTTTTCATCTGCTCCTGTCCTGCTTTGATCCAGGCCTTGGCCAAGAGAATATAGCTCGTCGGCGACTCGACTGTAGCGGCCTTGGTCAACAGGACCAATCTATTCTTGGAACAACTACTTCTCTAAGCTCGACAAGGCACGACCATGGCTCCGCACGCAACCGAGAACGGTGCCGCCAATGGTGCATCTACAGCAGGTTTGGACTTCACCACCTTCTCCAACGTGATCGACGGGAAGCTCTCTTCCACCCAGAAGACTCGCCATGGCATCAATCCTGCCACCGGCAAGCCCAACTACGAAGTGCCTGTTTCGGCACCCGAGGATGTGGACAGGGCAATGGCAGCAGCCAAGAGGGCATGCAAGCCGTGGGCCAAGACACCTTACGCCGAGAGGCAGAAGGCTGTCAACGCGTTCGCAGACGCCCTGGAGCAAGAGAAGGATGGATTCGCGAAGCTGTTGACACAGGAACAGGGGAAGCCGCTCCACTTTGCCTACTTCGAGTTGGACTTCACCCTTCAGATCATCCGAACCATGGCAAGCCTGGAGCTACCCACGGAGGAGATCGTTGACGAAGCCGAACGGAAGATCCTCGTGCGATACACGCCCCTAGGTGTGACGGTCGGAATTGCACCCTGGAACTATCCCGTGTTGTTGTGCTGCTCGAAGATTGCGCCATGTGTCGTCACTGGCAATCCCATCATCATCAAGCCGTCGCCTTTCACCCCATATGGAGGTCTGAAGGTGGTCGAGCTGGCACAGAGATTCTTCCCACCGGGTGTTGTGCAAGCTCTGAGCGGAGATGACAACCTTGGCCCTTGGCTGACTGCTCACCCTACACCTGCCAAAGTGAGCTTCACTGGCTCCTCTGCAACGGGCAAGAAGGTGATGGAGTCTTGCAGTAGGACCCTCAAGCGAGTCACGCTGGAACTGTACGTTATCTGGCGTTATATTGTTCCACGTTACAGACGCAGGAGCTAACAGATCACACAGAGGAGGCAACGATCCTGCCGTCGTCCTGGATGATGTCAACATCGATGAGGTTGCTCCAAAGGTAGGCTGCCGTGTATGTTAGGAGGAACCAGGCTGATGTCGGTCTGGCCCAGATTGCAACCCTCGCTTTCTTGAATTCTGGCCAGGTAAGACATGTTCTGGTGCGTGCTCTATAACCAGGTTTACACGTTGACGCCCACCAAGATTTGCCTCGCCTTGAAACGCATATTCGTCCACGAGAAGATCTACGAGCAGTTCCGCGACAAGATGGTCGAGTACACCAAGACGCTGAAGGTCGGTGAAGGGTTCGAGAAGGATGTCTTCCTCGGTCCCATCCAGAACTCTATGCAATATGAGCGTGTGAAGGGATTCTTCGAGGCGATCGACAAGGAAAAGTACGAGGTTGCTGTTGGAGGCAAGAATCCCGACGGCCCGGGCTACTTTATCACACCCACCATCATCGATCGCCCTAAGGAGGACTCGAGGATTGTCGTCGAAGAACCTTTTGGTACGACGTGTGAGCCGCGGATGTCGTCATGAGCACAACTAACCAGGGTTATATAGGCCCTATCGTCCCACTCTTGACCTTCAGCACGGATGAAGAAGCGATTGAAAAGGCGAATAACACTCCCTACGGGCTCGGTGCCTCAGTCTGGTCAGGGGATATTGAGCGCGCTGCGAAGGTGGCACAGGAGCTGGAAGCTGGGAGCGTGTAAGTCTTTTCCCTTCCACCATCTTCTTCTCTCTGCGCGCTTGGTAGGTGTCTGACGTCGTCCTAGCTGGGTGAACACTCACTTCGAGCTCGATCCAAGGGCACCTTTCGGAGGATTCAAGGAGAGTGGAATTGGCACGGAATTTGGTGTTGGCGGCTTGAAATCGTACTGCAACTCGCAGACCCTGTACCTAAAGAAGAAGTAATCTTGATGATGCGTCTGGCAAAAGTGGATGCTGTCGCCTAGCAGAGTGGCGATGGCCCGGGTCAAATTGAATGATTTCAAATACGCCTAAGTAGGTTCTTTGCACACAATTGCTGCCAACACGTTTAATGCAGAGGAAAGTGCCTGAGGTGGCTTGTACGTACTATTTATTGTATTTGCCGTGGAGTCATCAGAGCCCGCCTATTACAGTACAACCGCTCTTAGCTTGAGCTTAGGGGCATTGAAGGGCACCTACGGGCGTTTAGGGGACCCGCCGTCGGTGGAGCAGGCCAAACTGCGGGGAAAGAGCTAGCCGGTACGGAGTGCGTGCCGCCTAGCCGTAACTGCAACTGCAACAAACCCTGAAATTCCTGCCGCCCTCGAGCCACCACGAATTACCAATGTCTTGCCACCGACTCCCAGAGCATCAGAGCTCTAGCAGTGTGAGAGCGACACCTCCGGCGGACCTGTTTCTCCACCACCGCATCTCACTCTGTGTCTCTTGTTGTTCAGCCTCTCATCACGATATCGATCCACCCTGCATAGTCATCGCCTCCCGGCGTCGTCCACCGTGCCCTTCACCAACGGCTCCACGACACTGTGATCGCCGTTTGTCGTTGCTAGCCTGCGTATATTGATCTTTCGTCGACCTCGGTTCCAGCTCGAATCACCGTCACGATAACTAAACCAGCGTCGTCGTCGCCGGGCGAAGTTGTTCAAAATTGAGCCCATCAACATCGCCCCCTCCCCATCATGTCAGTCGATGAGCTAGCAGGAGAATCACGACATGTCTGAACCTAAGCGCCCACGTCTCGACCCGACGGGTCTTAGCAATTCAGACGCGACTGAGCAAGCCGGACTTAGCACCAACTCCTCTCCTGACGGTCGACGCCGCCCGAGCTTGGGCAGAACGGAGGGTCGGCGCCGCTTCGAATGTACTTACGCTGGGTGTGGTCGCAACTATTCGCGCGCGGAGCACCTTTACCGCCATCAGCTCAATCGTAAGTCCAAGTCTCGACGGCTCAGCAAATCTCAGCTGACCTAGCGCGAGACAATCCCAAGGAGATCTACAAGTGTGACTACCCAGGATGCTCCAGAACGTTCGTCCGACAAGACCTGTGCATCCGCCACAGGGAGCGGCATGAGAACTATGAGAGGCGGAGAAAATCGATGTCGAAGCACCACGACTCTACTCGCGAGCCATTGTCCCCTTCACTCAGCGAGGAGGCTGTCGACAGTCCCACTTCGCCAACCTCGAACACATTCACGACGCCGAGGGCTGTCTCAGATGCATTGCAATCGCCGCCTCTAAGTCGGGCACCTTATTCGAGAGACTCCACTTTCAAAGTCACCAACTTACAAGCCATTATCGACCGAAATGTGTCAGAGTCGAACGAAACGAGTAGCAACATGGCTGCGGATGTTTTCCAACAGCCGCCTGTGCAGCATGATCTCCACCATGTCCTGCAGCCTCCTGTACAGTCCGGCGATCGGGTTCATGCAGAGTCAACTGCGAATTCAGCGTCAGCAACCGCAAGGCCACCTGGAATCCTCGACAATATGTTCGACAATCTAAACCCCTCTGTCTTGGACAGGTCGAGAACCCTTTCAAGCGGTTCTAGACTTCCTGCGATGGGTGACCAGCAAGTTTCTGACGGCGCTTCTGCTACGTACCCTCTGCCCAGTCTAGGAGACCAGACCCTGAACGATTCGCCTCTGTCCGTCCGAGACGAGTTTGCTGCCTGGCTGTTTGAGGACTCTAGCGCGTTTCACTCCGCTCCATTCTCAATAGGCACCCAAGGAGGCCTGGGATTGAGTGCTGGTTCGGACGCATTCGGCAACGCAGTTTACTCCAATTACTTCACCGAGCCAGGACTAGAAACAGCATATTCTATAGGACATCAACAGTCTGAAGCGGTGTCAAAACTACCTGAGCTTTCCAGTGACAGCACATTACTGTCACACGCGAAACGGAAGTCCTTGATTTCATTGATGGAGTACCGCTTCAGTGAAGGGGACAATCCATTCGTTCGGCAGCTCAGGGAACAGATATTCCAGGGTAACTTGGATGCAGAGGGGCACGTCCTTAGTATCAGGTCCATGCAGCATTATATCGGCTCTTACTGGTACCACTTCCATGCCCAGATGCCCATCCTCCATCAACCTACGTTCTCCGCGGACGAAATCCACGAGTATCTGCTACTTGCGGTAATGGCAATCGGTGCCGCATTTCTTAACAAGGCCCATGGTCGCGCCGTGACAGACGCGGCTGCTCGACTCGCCACCTTTGTCGCTTGGCACCTACGGTGGCAGGTCTTCATGCATGGCGATTTCCATCCTCCAGCGAAGCTCTGGGTCTTCCAAACGCTGATCCTGCTCGAGATTTATGAGAAGATGAACGCGACCAGGATGCTGCATGAGCGCGCGCATATCCACTACGCGACCACGATAAATCTGATGCGCCGTGGGACAGCGCTCATCGAAACTGCGAGCCAAGATTCCTCGCGGACGCCATCGACTCCGGAAGAATGGTGGGGAAGGTGGATCATAGCAGAAGCAACACGACGTGCAGCCTATGCAGCTTTCTACCTTGACGCGGTCCACGCGACCATGTTCGGGCATGCAGCGATGATGGTGGTCCACGAGATCCGGCTTCCACTACCGTGCGATGACGCTCTGTGGTCAGCCACGTCTGCTGCCGAAGTCGGACGTGTGGAAGCTAGTCTGCATGCCAACGGCATCAAGCCCACAACGTTCCTGGACGGCCTGAAGAAAACACTGACCGGTCGCAAAGTCCGCACCAACAACTTTGGCAGAATGATCCTCATGGCAGGCCTGCTATCGGTCTCGTGGCATATGAACCAGCGGGACCTTCAGGTTTCCAGCCTAGGCGTCTCGCAGACGATGGGTGTACCAGATGGCTGGAGGACTCCCCTCACTAAAGCATTCGATTTCTGGAAGAAGGATTTTGACGAAAATCTCGAATACATGCGTCGGGCGGCGCTCCCCTGGCAGAAAAGCGAAGGGATATCTGGCGATCAAGACATGGCACATACGGCCGACTGCCTGTACCATCTCAGCCGTATCGCGATGAACGCAGACATCTTTGATTGCCAGATTTTCGCGGGCATCAAGAGGCTCTTTGGCAAAGTCGTGACCAACGCCGACTATGAGAGGGTCAAGTGTAAGCTTTTTGACTGGGCAAAAGGGCCCAGTGCAAGGGTTGGGGTCTTCCACGCTTTGCAGCTCCTGAGGTCGGTCATCCTACCGGGAAAAAATGGATCCAGGAAGATCTACAATGCCCGCGAGGATCACCTGATGATGCGGCCATGGGCGCTCTACTTCGCCGCCCTGGTCGTTTGGTCGTACGGATTCGCCTTGGACGGCGTTCTCAGACCGTTCCCGAGCCTGTTACAACCCGTCGAGACTTCACCGGGAGCCGCCTCGACACTCTCCCACGGTTCCAACCAGTCGATGCTCAACATGGCGCACGATGGTAGCGAGTTCCAAGTCGACATGGTTGTGAAGGACGCGCATGCGTTCCTGCAGACGGTTGGTGGGGTGAAAAGCCCGCAGCAGCTGGACACCATCAAGGACGGTCGGAACAACGTCGTTGGCGTGTTGACGATCTTGGAGACGGCTTTTCGAAACTCGAGATGGGAGCTGTTGCATGAGGCCGCGGGACTGCTTCGGAATGCGGTTATGTTGCTGCGTGGAGCGAGTCGTCAATGACATCGACAGGAGCGTCCATGGTCGTGATGCTGATGTTGCCGGAGTCCGTGGACGCGTTGCAATGCGTCATTGCTGCGTGGAGCGAGTCGTCATCAACAGGAGCCATCTATCCATAGTCATGATATTTGATGTTGCAATCAACCCCTGGCTGCCGCCATAATCTCACGCGTTTGAACGAAGGGTGGTGCACAGGCTTGACTTTAAAGTGGATATTTGCTCGAGGGATGAGTCCCTGAATCCACTACCCCGAATGTCCTCCGACGTCCAGGGATCCCCATATTGCGCATCGCCAACATTCGACGAGCGTGAGAGTCGGTCATGGCACCACTCACTCTGTGGTGAAAACATCCAATATGGGATATCGAGGGTGACTTGTATGAAGTTGAGACAAGTTTGCAAATCAGACCGTCTGATGGGGAGACAGTCACTAATCAATTACAGTAGTAACCTCGCCACGCGCGCGCCGAGAGAACTTACCATCGTAGCTACCCGGTCCACGGTGTCGTGGGGAAGAACACGCGAAAAGCGGAGAAGGGCAGTAAGAGGAATTACATAATCAGCCTGCTGGTGGGCTGGACGTGCCTCTACCACAGTACAGTATGAGGGTTGCCCCCACGGCATTTACTGTGTGTGGCTTCTGTGGGGGACAAAATATCCGCGCGCCTCGCTACGGGCGAAATGCCGGCGAGGGGTTTGCCGACGGACGCCTCAGACTCCGACTTGACGGCCGTCATCGCACAGCGTCACCATGGAGGAGGGATGGCGTACGGAGTACAGTAATTCTAGGTAGATCCTAGACACTCAGACAAGTCTAAGTCTGGGTGGACGCTGTGCGCCCTTCGAAACACTGCACATACAAGCACCTCGACCGCCCTCCTCAACCGTCCTTGTAGCCCGTCCTGCGCGGCTGAGTCGCAACCTACTTATTAATTAATCTGGCTCGACTCACCAAAGTCCAGTAACAGACGTTGGCGTGGAGTTTTTGACAGCTATATTCTGCTAATGACGCTACGCTCAAAGTATCGCTATATTCCAGCACCACACCGACCTCAACCACCCACCCAATGGCCTCGAGCGAGCTCGCTTCATTAAAAGGTGCGACTAACGGCCGTGACCCCGAGGTGCCGGCCCAGTCCTTCGCCAAGATCAAAAGCATAGAGTATTTCCGCGTGAAGCCCCGATGGCTGTTCGTCAAGATCTGCGACGACAAGGGCAACTTTGGCTGGGGCGAGGCGACGTTGGAGGGCCACACCCGGGCCGTCGAGGGTGCGTTGGACGAGATCATTGAGAGAGTGGTCGGGTTGGAAGCAGAGTATGTGTGTCCGCCCCCGAACTCATGACGCTGACGCCAACACAGCCGTTGCGATGCTGCAGTGACATCGAACATATCTGGCAGTTGATATGGCGGTTGGGGTTCTATCGCGGAGGGCCGGTCTTTATGTCTGCGTTGTCGGGCGTTGATATTGCGCTTTGGGATTTGAAAGGTGAGCAAAGAATCACCCCTGGAAGACACTGTGGTCATGTGAGCACCATCCAAGCGACTTTCACCACGAGGCCACACCTCTTTCAACCATGGCCACGTGCTTGGATAACTGACACCGCTGGCGGCTCCCCCAAGGTCGACGGCTGAACGTCCCCGTGTACCAGCTCCTCGGGGGCAAGGTCCGCAACAAAGTCCAAGTGTACGCATGGTGCGGCGGCGACTCTCCCGCAGGCGTCGAAGAGGCGGCAAAGGCACGCATCGCGCAGGGCCTGAAATGCATCAAGATGAACGCCACCGCGGACGTCAACTGGCTCGACTCCCCCTCGGTGCTGGACTCGTGCGTCGAGCGCCTCAAGATCGTCAAGTCCCTAGGCCTGGACGCCGGGCTCGACTTCCACGGCCGCCTGCACAAACCCATGGCCAAACAGCTGGCCAAGGCCTTGGAGCCGTACCGCCCCTTGTTCATCGAGGAACCTTTGTTGGTTGAACACCCCGAGGCGCTGGCCCAGTTGGCTCAACACACGACCATCCCCATCGCGCTGGGCGAGCGGCTCTACACGCGCTGGGACGTCAAGCGGTTCCTGCAGGACGGGAGCATCGACATTCTCCAGCCGGACATTGCGCACGCGGGCGGCATCTCCGAGACGCGCCGCATTGCCAGCATGGCCGAGGCGTACGATGTGGCCATTGCGCCGCATTGTCCGCTAGGTCCCATCGCGTTGGCCGCGAGCATGCAGGTCGCGCTGTGTACGCCCAACTTTGTCATCCAGGAGATGTCGTTGGGGATGCATTATAATGTCGAGGCCGGGGAGGAGGATCTCAACACGTACCTGCGTGATCGGGCCGTGTTTGATATCAAGGATGGGTATGTAGATGCGTTGAGGGGGCCGGGGCTGGGCGTCGAGATTGATGAGGAGACGGTGAGGAGGATCTCGAAGACCGCGGGGCACTGGCAGTGTAAGGAGTTTTATGGGCCGGACGGGAATATCAGGGAGTGGTAGTAAATGAGATTGGAGGCTGCCATGGCTGTGGTCGTGACTGGTCGATATACATGGCGGTATTGACTACATGTCCGTCGCAGTCCGGCGATGGGCAGCGCAGGAAACACAATCGACTGCGGCTGTTGACGCTGTAGACATTCTTGTTCCACCGCAGTTGCCGCCAGCGCCCATCCAACAGTTGATACCCCTGATTGCACGTTGCATTTGGTACCGTATGCAACCATAATTAGTACCGAAGGATGTGCTTGTAACGGGTAGGTACCGAGTCTCCCGGCATATATATACAAAGTAACGGAACCGGAATCAGAACACTGCCAGTATCCCTGCACGGTCAGACTATCACGGCGCGATAGCAGAGCTGATTGAGTGCAACTGTGAACGTTGCATTATGATTTGAATTCTACATAAGATAGAGAGGGATAAGAAAGAGTGCCTCGCTGGCACGGTTTTGGTGTAATGCGCGTGCGCTTAAACCAGCCAATCAGAGCGCAGCGTTTACCGTGATTGCCATCGCGAGGCTGATTCGCGGAGACGAGGCTGTGACAGCGAGACCGTGACACCAACCTGCAGTTGACACTCTTGGTTCACAGGCAATTCACAGGCAATGCGAGTGAGAAGGGCAAGTGAACAGGTCCAAACCGGCGTCAACAGTGATGTGCCGATACGGGATCTGTTATGTACCCGTCGGTGCGGTGGCAGTGTGATAATTATGCTGCTCACCCTGATTCCCAGGGGTTCCTACCCGTACTCTTCACGCTGCAGGCTGGATACGATCCACCTATCAACCTTTCTACGTTCAGCGGCCCATCCAACCTCCGTCCCTAAGTCAAACAGTTAGCAAGGTAGCTCGTTCAGCAGTCCTCTGTACAACGCAATCTGCGACCAAAGGAACGGACCACACGTAGAAACGAACAAGTGGGAGTAAATGAACCGGTGGCAGACAACTCACACGACAAACACCTCCCCACTAACATACCCACTGGCGGGACTCGCGAGAAACACCACCGGCCCCTTGAAATCGTCCGGAGTCCCCCACCTCCCCATGGGGATCCGTTCGAGGATCTGCCTCGCGCGCGTCTCATTGTTGATGAGCGCCTCATTCATCTCCGTCGCGATATACCCCGGCGCGATCGCATTCACGCGCACCCCCTTGCCAGCCCACTCGTTGCTCAGCGCCTTGGTGAGTTGCGCGATGCCGCCCTTGGCGCTCGCGTACGCGGGGACCGTCACCCCGCCAGAGAAACTGACCAGGCTGGCGATGTTGATGATGGAACCCTTGTGCGGACCGTGACCGGCGCGGGAGAGCATGTAGGCCCCGAAGTCACGGCACAGCGTGAACACGGACGTCAGGTTCACTTGGAGGACGTCGGCCCAGTCGGAGAGCGGGAAGGCGTGCGCCGGGTGGCGCCGTTGGATGCCCGCGCTGGTGACGAGGATGGAGACGTCGTGGCCATCTCCCAAAATCTTGGTGGCTACGCCTGAGACGTCCGATGGAGAGGACATGTCTGCGGTGTAAATTGTTGCGGTGCGTGGTGGGGAGAGGCCTTCAATGGCGGTCTTGGTGGTCGTGTTGCTGGCGTCTCGCTGGGAGTAGTCAGGATGACCGGGTAGGATATGTGCGGGCGAATATGTGTGGGCGTCTCTCGATTACATATGTACGGTACTTACTTGGATGAGGATAATGTTTGCGCCCGCTTCGGCCAGTGCCACGGCCATGGCGGCGCCTATGCCTCTTGTTGCTCCTGCCACCCAGCGACCGAGTCAGCACACACCGTGGTTGCGGTATGCTGCAATACTCGCGTGTGCCGATTCTGGTCTGGATTGATGCCACTTACCTGTTATCACGGCTGTTCTGCCCTCGAGGGAGAACATACTAGGAAAAGAGAGAGCCATGACGGCGATGGCGATGGCAAAGCTTCCTGCGTTGCTGCGATGTGCGCCGAGTGCTTTGGACGATGACCAACAGCGGCGCCGAAGTATGATTCCTAGGTGGACACCCCCCTCGTGCAGTAGAAGGTGTGAGGTCGTTGGGTGTTTCAAGACCTGCTCTTCTCGTCTTGTCAGGTCTCGTCTCGTCGTCTCTTAGCGTGGCTGAGTCTTTAGCCCTCAAAGGCCTCGGATTGCAGATCCTCTCTGAATTCGTGGTGCCGCACGGGATTCCTCTCAATTGGTAGTACTCATTACCCAGCATCCAGGTGCTGTAGTAGTCCTTCCTTCCACGCACGATACGTGGAGACCCTGATCCGGTTCAAAGGCCTACCTGTCTTCCTATTCGGCCGCGTAATTTGCTCGTCTTCTCAATCCCGTGCTTGGACTGCTGTACTGTGGACGCGTTGATTTGCGTGTATCGCGTACGTAGGACGAGTTTGGGCTCCGTGGCATGCCGTACGGGCCGTACGGTACGTCAGCCCGTCGTTACATTAGTCGATCTGTGCTCCCGTCCATGGGCCCCACGGCACGGTGGAGGTGGTGGTCGTGGTGGAAGCCAATTCGGTGAACACGGACCGGAGACCCAATTGCTCCAAAGCAGGTCCTGGACGTGGATATGTCATGCTGGCACCCCCCACCCGGTCCTCCACGTGGGATTTCAATCCGCACCGTCCAGGGGCTTCCCGGAGCGGGGAAGCGGGGGTGGGTGACCGACAAACAGGAATGTACCGAACCGCTGCCAGCGGTCCTGCATGTTTGATAGGATGTATCATAATTATTAACCAAGAGTGGCTGGCTGGAGGAGGTCATTTTCATGGGGTCCCTGAGTGATAGGACTCAGATCGAAAGACCTGGGAATTCTAGAATAGTTGGTATCATAATACTGACGTAGAGCTTTGTGGCACATGTTGTACGCGGCATACTTACACAGGGTTCGAGAATGCAGGACTGTGATGGGGTCGGGTGGAGTTGTTGCGATTAAGGCCTTGTAGGTTTGTAGTGAGACATGTATGAGAATGCTCATCGCGCTCATGATCGATCTACACTCAAGATACTTCCGCGGATTGTCTTCTCAATACTTCCCGTCCACTGTTGGCGGAAGTCGCCAGCCATATGTTTCATGTACAGCCATTACAAAATATATCTGAACCCAGCCATTCTTTGGGCCTCGGTTGGACCGCTCTTCCCAACGTCTTCGCCGCGGTCCATCCTGGCATTCTCTCGCCGGAGGTAGAAGCGGATGACTGTTGCGGCGACGATAGCTACGCCCGCGAAGACGAGATTGACGATGAAGGCGACAACGTAGCGTGGCGGAGAGCGGTACAGGTATGAAGTCCAGATGTTCGGCGTGTTTGCCACGGCGTTGATGGTAGCGATTGCCGCGGCTCGCTTCACTGCAGGCTGGTTCAGGCTGCCTGTGATCCAGGAGAGCACGACGATGGAAGCCGCATAGAAGGAGCCAGGCATCAACATCATGGCCACGTCTGGAACGTAAAGTTAGTTTCATGTCTGTCATTTCTTGCTTGGGTGCACCCTTCCAACTCACATCGTGCGCCAATGCTGAGGGTCGACACGGCGATGATATTGGCGACCATCGTGATTGCTAGAGGACAGACGATGTGCAGGTAGCGTTCTTGCTTTCTGTCTGAATGGAAGCCGTTGACCAACATACAGATGACGCAGAGGATAAACGGAGGGGCCGTGAGTCCGTATGTCTTGTTCCTCGAGTAGCCGAGGCCGCCGACCACAGAGGGGAAAAAATTGGTCACGGCGGCTGAGATGTAAAACGACGTCAACAAGGCCATGAATAACCACATTTTCCAGTCCTGGAGCGCCATCAGGAGTCCTCGCCGTCCACTGACTTCTTTGGCGTTGTCCTGTTGGCCCAGATCGGACTCGAAGTTCCACAGAACCCATTCCCTCTCCTGTTGCGAGAAGCCACGAAGTTTTCGGATCGAGTTGGGCAGTATGAAGGCAAAAATGATAGCGATGCCAATGGTCATGACGCCTTCGATGAGAAACAGCTGCCTGTGCCTTAGCTTGAGTTCGCTCTGCAAGCGATCGATTACACCTACCCAGCGCCACCCTTCAATACCATCGTGGCCGTCCAAGTTTAAAATCGCGATCGCAAAGAGGCCACCAAAGGCGTTGCCGAGTTGCGAGCCGGAATAGAGTATCGCGGTCCTGAATGCAAACTGTTTGCGATTGTAAAATAGTGAGAGAAAATAAAGAGCCCCTAGTCAGGAAATATCAGCATGGCAACTAAGTTAATGGACGCTGATGGTGGTGCTGGGTTGTACCTGGAAAGAAGGCAGCTTCGACGATGCCTAGGAAGAACCTGCACGCCAGCAAACCACTGAAGTTCTGCACAGCGGCCATCAGTGCTGACACCACACCCCAGACCGCCATTGCCGCGCAAATGTAGACGGCAGGATATTGAATCTTGCCGACAACGATGTTGGATGGCACCTGGAATAGAATATAGCCGCAGAAAAGAATTGAAACAGATGTCTGGTATTGCACGGCGGAGAGTCCAAGGTCATTGTCGATGTTGGCAAGCTTGGCGGACGCAATGTTCTGCAAGGACGTAAGAAACAGCATTCACAACAGTGCTCACCCTGAAAACTGACCTGTCGGTCGAGATAATTGAGGATGTACATAATCACTACGCATGGCATGATGATACAATCCAGTTTGAAAGTGGCCTTGCGACCAAGGAAGATGAGCTCTGACTCAGACAGGCCGAGGAGTGCTTCAGGCATAACCATGTGAGAATGCTCGATGCGCACTGCCTCAGCGCCAACGTCCTCCACCCTCATCGATGTCACGCTGGGCTTCCCAGTGTCCTCCATAATGAGCTTTGTAGCTTTGTCAAGCGACTTGCAGAGGACGCAGGGGGAACTGAGTGTAGGAAAGCGAAGGAACGGCCACGGGACATGGGGCTGGCGGTGCGTGTACTGCCTTTTATCGACTTTGGGGATTATATGAGTATTGGGCTGCCAAGTCCTGGAGGTAAGCAAGCCGTGTTAAGCTCATGCGGTTGAAGGCAAAATGATCGTCGTGATGAAACGTCTAGATATGGTGCTAGTCGCTCACCCCACGGGGTATCGGGATAGAGTGCTCCGACAGAACGGCGCAGTCTCCAAACTCTCAGTTGTGGTTCAGGCAAAGGGAGAGCCAGTAAGAGCCATGCTGTTCTAATGGGCTTAGAGACCCCACCAGGATACGGCAGGCCCTTAAAGCTGCACACGGAGCCATGAACCACGGCGCAGGCATGGTAGGGGAGCCGGCTTCGCAGCAGTACCTTCCGGAATAGGTTGTTGCTGCTCCAGAAGGACGGCATGGGAGACATGCGTCGTTGGAAGGTTCTGCCAGCTGCTGGGTGCTGCTCAAGTGCCGCTTTTCGCAGCGAAAGGTCCTCTTGAGGCAAGTGCATTAGCGTAGACCAAGGCAGGAAATTCAGCGCATGTGCATGACAAAGGATCTGTTCCGGAGATCTGCCGACGGTCGCGGCCAACGGCGTACTACGAGGGCGGTCTCGCGGGGTCAGGTCATACTGTGCCCACCTGGAATCGTGAAAGTGATGGGGAGAAATTGCAGAAACGAATGAACTTGAGCAGCGAGCAATCAAGTTGGGAAACCCTCGGCTTGGATAAAAGATTCTCCGACTGGGGGCTGTGGACGCGTTGCCGACCGTGACACGCGTGACTCAAAGTGACGCGTTCGTGCGCGTTTCCTCTCTTTTCAATTCTTCTACCCACACCAACCTGCAGAATCAACACAGTTCCGGATGGTCTGTGACCCTTTCCTCTTCATTGTTTAGACTGGCTTCATACGGGTGTTGATAGCCGACAGCAAGGTATACAACACCTCCAGGATTGGTGTCGAGACATTGAGCTCTTTGCCCTTTCGGACTGGAGTTCCCAGAATGATTTCAACTTCCATCGGGCGTCCCATTTTACAGTCAGTCTGCATGCTGGACCCGATGGGCTGCATCGCTAGAATCTTTTCGATAAGTTCATCAATCAAGTCGTCCTTGATAGGAATGTCCCACGCCCTCGCCACGTCGATGACCTCCTGCATCAACTTCCGCGTCATGGGCATAGAATCAGGCGACGACTTCAGCCATGAATGAGTATCCAGCATGGTGAGTGTTGTGAGGGAGTTCCATGCACAATTCCAAATGACCTTGGACCAGCGCTTGATCTGGATATTATCCTCCACAGAGAATGGGGTTTTGCCTTCGTGTAATAGCGATGTAAACTCATCCAGCCTGGTCTTTTGGGAAGCAGCATCAAGGCTGGGGTTAGGAAAGAGGCCTATCTCCGTGCCTTCAGACTTCCAGTGGCTCACAATGCCTGGAGTGTCTTGACTGGCACCGACCCACGTCTGTTACTGCGTTAGCCAACGACAAGAGCCACCATGGCCTTTACATACCACACAGCTCAGGATGGCGCACCTGGAAAATGCTTCTCGAAACGCGTCTTCGTTGCCGACTCCATTCTGGATGATCACGATGCATGTTTTCTTCTCATCGACTGCCGGAGCCAGTTGCTTTGCAGCGGCTTCTTGGTTGATTGCCTTGTGGGCACAGACAATGTAATCGTAAGTTTCTCCCGCCTCTGCTGGCGTTCTCACCACTGCACGTCGAAGGTCAGCATTGCTGAGAATGGAGAGCAAGACGAGCCACACCTTTCGCTGGATATACGACATGGTCACCGTGGTTCGCACTTCTGATATGAAGGCCCTGCCAGGAGAATCTCATCAGACAGGCTTCTTTTCAAAACCGACTCACCACTACTAACGTCTTTCTTAACGGCCTCGTAGTTGGAACGAGCAACCACGGTCAGACGGACACGCTTGGTACGCTCCAAGATAAAGGCATAGAAGGAACCGATACTTGTGAAAACCAGTCAGCATGTCAACGCCAGACCTCCATCATGGAGCCTTACGCGCCAAGCCCATACAGCATCACACTGATATCTTGCGCCATCTTGTTACGATCAAGAAGTCTTTATTTTCGCCCTCAGTGCTTCACCTCGGTGTCGATTACTTGTGCGCAGGTCTTGAGGAGCTCCACGACACCGCTGGCATTGATTGACGTATAATTATCCAATGCCGCAGAATTCGCCTAAGAGCAGTGCCGAGACTGACGCCCTTCGAAGACAACGAACGCGAGCTTCAGTTTTTGTGATAGGAGAGAACGGCGGCTTCCACTAGATACTTGGTTTCGTGGGGGCTGCCGTGTCTGTTCAGAGTGCTCCGCATCGTCGGGCCAAGCTTCTCCGATAGACACCATCCCACGGCCCGCCCGCAATGCCCAGTCGAGGGCTAAGCTAAGCGTAGGTAGAGTCATAGAATATCAGTGTTCCTTGATCCAGGTGTAAGGAAGTATGACGCGGCTACATACAGCCCGTCTCCAGAATGACCAGATTGGACAGCGCTGAGCTTGCGAATCACAACCACAGACTGTCATGCTGGATCGCTATCCGCGGCAAGGTCTACGATGTCACAGGTGTGTAACTTCACTGTTTCAATCCCAACTACGGTCTCAACATGAATCTTTGCAGATTTCCTAGATGAACATCCGGGCGGTGCACAGATCATTCTGAGAAGTGCAGGACAAGATGCGACGGCTGAATACGAGAGCGTGCACAGCCCAGATCTGATAGCAGAGACCCTGCCATCTACAGCGTTTCGGGGCACCGTGGCCGCGAGCACCATCCCGACGTCGAAACCAACCGATGGATATAGGCGGCAACAGAGACCAAAAGCTCGGTTTCCGCCGTTGAGTGCTATGATCAGCGTTAATGACTTCGAAATTGTGGCAAGGCAATACCTCAGTCCGACGGGATGGGCGTACTACTCTTCCGCAGCGGACGACGAGTACAGCCAAAAGGAAGCAGCTCGGGCATTCCGCAAGCTGACGCTACGGGCGCACATCCTTCGCGATATAGGCTCAGTGGACACCAGGACCACCATTTTAGGCAAGACCACGACATTACCAGTCTATGTCTCTCCATCCGGACTAGCCAAGCATGCACATCCGGACGCAGAGTGCGCCTTCGCTTGTGGTGCAGGGAAGGAAGGCATAATACAGGTTATACCCTCGAGCCCCAGTTTATCGATCGAGAGTATCATCGGCGCCCGAGTCAATAAGGACCAGCCTATTTTCTTTCAGCTGTACCTCAACAAAGATCCCCAAAAGGCGGAGGCTCTGATACGCCGAGTTGAGAGACTTGGAGTTACGTCAATATGGTTGACCGTTGACTCACCGGTTTTGGGGAATCGTGAGCAAGACGGACGACTAAAAGCCAGGATGAATGAAGGTGACCAGGTCGCTGTTGTAGAGGAGGTCAAGGCTGGTGTGGCCAAAGTCGCCTCCTCTGGTCTCTTAAATCCGCATCTGACTTGGGATCACGTTGCATGGATCCGGCGAATAACGAAACTGCCTCTTGTGCTTAAAGGAATTCAGAGTGTGGAGGATGCCGTACTGGCCTATGACCATGGGGTCGAAGGGATTGTCCTGTCAAACCATGGCGGTCGGTCCCTAGATACGTACGTGTTTGTCGACTTCCACTGAGAGGACGCCCTAACTCGAGGCATCCAGGGCGCAAGCACCAATGGTAACGCTCCTCGAGATCCGACGATATGCGCCACATCTGATCAATAGCCGAATGGAGATCTTTGTGGATGGCGGATTTCGTCGGGGGACCGATGTTTTGAAAGCTCTCGCGTTAGGGGCTCGTGCCGTAGGGCTTGGGAGGCCATTTCTGTACAGCCTCACTGGTGGCTATGGGGAAGCGGGCTTTAGGAGGATGGTGCAGATTCTGCGGAAAGAGCTTGAGACCAATATGGCGTTGGCTGGAGCGACCACGATCTCGGAGATCGTCCCGGGAATGGTGAACACGCAGCGCCTGGAGACAGAGGTCACTCGCTTCGTCAAGTTGTGAGTGCCAAGCGACTGCTCAGCTACAGTAGCTGATCTGCCCTGGATGTTTCAGGCAGACGACCCACGCAGCGCCATGCTCGAGAATCGAGATCCCCCGTGGACCTTTTGATACATTCAGCCGCGATCAGGGATGCCGCGGAGATTGCCTGATCGCCCTAAATAAGGCTTTGGGTGAATATTCGGATTGGTGAGCCATGATCTGGGGTAGGCGTGGCAGCTTTCCATGCGCACGTTCAACACGAGGTACATCTATGACAGACCTGTGTGAAGAGCGGGGACCTATCACACCAGGTAGACATCCGTCCAGCCCATTGCGCACAATATTTGAAGCTTTTGAGTTTTGCCTCCTCTAGACTGTGACAGTGCGTGTGAGCCAACGATGCAGAGGAAGCCAGCCAAGGCGGAGGGGAGGCAGATCAAGCCGCCTGCTGGAAGCATGGCCAAGCCACCCACAAGTCTGGGTTTAGTTAAGTTAGTTAAGCGACCCTCGCCCCCATTCACGCCACCTAAGGAGCAAGCTACGGGCGGTTTAGGCTTCAACCAGCCTAGCGGGGCGTGGCACAAGCGAGAGCTCCAATGGCCACACTGGTGGCACCTGCGCCCACAAAACATCTGGCATGCAGAGAATCCACCGCAGGCAATCGGGTCGCATGCTCGCTCCTCCTCGTCGACCTCCTCCTCCTCATCCACATCCACACCAAAGCTCTGGAAATCGTGATCACCCCGCTCCCGAATCTCGCTGAAGTCACCACCTGACAGGTCCGGTTAGACTGCTATTCGTCGGCCGAGTCTCAATGTCTGGTGGAGCACTTTGCCCGTCTTCTTCTTCACCTCATACCCGCCCCACGGCTGTTGAACTCTCCAGAGCCTTTGATGTGCTGTGCGCGTCTAAGCGTGCGAGAAGCTGCTGCATATGTTCTGGTCCGACTATTACGCTGACGGAAATCACCGATCCAGATCCGAAAGTTGCATTGGACAGTTTTGCGAACCTTGCGCCGCCGGGACCCAGATCTCCAGACCACGCACGTTCAGGCCCATGATGGCTTCCTCCTGATATGGCCCGGAATATCCTGGCGATGATACCTAGACACCCTGTCATGATACAACTACAAGCAATACCATGTTCATGTCCGCAGCAGGCCTCGATATAACGACATTCGCAGCGATTGGGGTGTAATTGGTTCAACATCAACTCACTGTAACTGAAGGTACATGGCTTTCGTCTTGCCAATGACAGTCGCCGTGATGGATCAAGCCCATCAATGGCAGGACCGGTTTCACTGCCCATCATGTCCCAAGTCTTTCGTGCGGAAGGCCCATATGCTTCGCCATCAACAGCAACGTCGGTGGTCCCATACCCTTTCCTCAGCTCTCCCACATTCTAACTCTGATTACAGATGTCGCACAAAGACCCTTCACCTGCAATTTCTGTTCCAAGTGCTTCAAACGAAGGTACCAAGGTCCCTACCTGAAGTGTAAGCGGCCGCTAACTTCGGCGCAAGTGACGTTCTGCGAGCGCATCAGTTTCGGTGCAAGGAACGTGGAGGCGCGCCTGTACCCGAAGGCCAGAGTAAAGGTCGCAAGCGATCATCCTGCTTGTCATGCGTCAAGCTGAGGACGAAATGTGACCAAGAAACGCCCTGTACCCGTTGTCAGGAGCTAGGAAAGGATTGCATTCGATGTAAGTCGCGTTCGCCGCCACCGTCGTACTCTGTCTAATTCTGTGCAGCTTCTAGTCCGTCGACGGCACAAGAAGGACCGAGGCCTAAAAGCCGTGATGCAATCCCGATACATCATCTGCTCAATGCTCCGGATGGCGACTTGGCTCCGCGATTCCCCATTCGCGACTCGCCTTCCGGCACAGGGGTCGATGAGGATGATGCCGCCCTCAACGAAGCGGAGGAATCCTCTGAAGCTTCACATTGGAGTGAGGACTATGAGCAGAATGATGTCTTCGCTGGTGCAGCTCTGCCAGACTTCGAAGGTGTCAGTTTTGATTCTTTCTTTGGAGGATTCGAAAGCTTTACGTTCGGCTCGTATCCGCTGCACCATGACATGGCGCAGATTACCAGTGGGCCTGTAATAGTGCCGCCCACTGCGATGATGCTCGAGACTCGAGCCTACGAGATCAGGCAATTACTGCTGAACACAGTGAGCAAGATTGCGGCCGAAGATCCGGAGAACCCACAGCTGCCACTCTTAGCTCCCAACATCGAGCTCCTCACACATGTGGAGATAGACAGCTGCCTGAATTCCTTCTTCAACAACTACCACAGGCATTGTCCGATAATTCACCAGCCGACGTTTCAACCAACACTTGCACCCGAGGCTCTCGTGCTGGGATGCGTCGCACTCGGCGCCATGTACTCGGACCCGGGCAAGGTTGCCTGGATGAAGAGCCTGCTGGATTTGTTCGAGCAATACATGTTTTCGCTCCCAGCTGTGAAGGACGACTACTTTACCACGAATGGATACCAGCAGATGGCGGACGAGGAAGCTCTAAACTATCACTTTCAGACTTTCCAGGGAGCCTACCTGTGTGTGGTGGTCCAGTACTTCTCTGGAAACCTAGCAGGCCGCAGGAGAGCCAGACGACAACGGTTTTGTACGATTCTCAACGTAAGTAAACCACTCTCCTCGGACGTTCCACGCTAAAAGGATGGCAGATGGCTCGGTATTTCGGCCTTCCTACCGCACAACATGCAAGTATCTTTGCAATGACCGACGAGATGGCTTTTCAGCGCTGGATACGGAACGAATGTCGCATCCGGTGGGTAGCTTCTGCCTATATACTTCCTCGACTAACGGGTCCCAGGACCATGAACGTCATGCTTGCGCTCGACTCGGCGATGGGTATCTTCAACAATGTCGCTCCGCGCGTCAACTATTGCGAACTGGATCTGCAGCTGCCCTGCCATGCTGAATCTTTCCAGCTTGCGAGTTATGCAGAAATGCTGCAGCGATCCGCATTCCCTCGCTCGCGCATGAAATTGATCGATGCTTTCCAAAAGCTGTTTGTCCAGCCTAACGAGCTGAGGGCAGCATATCAGCATGAGACCCTGTGCAGTTGGGATATGCTCTATCTCATTCACGGTACGTCTATTGAGGCTCTGCCTCGATCGAGTCGACGAGCGCTGACTATTGTACAGTTCTTTTTACACACTGCTGGCAACACCTCTTTGGAAACCCGCTTCATCGAATCTCGGCAACGTCATTGACCCCGGAACCACATCTTGTGTACGAGCCAATGAAGACGGCCTTGACAAACTGGAAAACGCTCTGGGACGATGTCCGTGCGAAGTTGCCCCGTGCAACCGTGAGCAACATGGGCTTCGAGACCTCGGCCGACAGTTACTGGACACTCGTGAGGATGATCGTGCTGAAATTCCAATACAAGAAGCGGGCCTCCAGCACAGCTAGTCCCGCGAATGGGGTGGCTCCTCCGCACACGTCACACGTGGTCATGAAGAGAGAGATGGCAGTCGACGACGACGGATTGAGTGAATCTAGTCTGAACAGTCGAGGCGGAAGAGGATCCAGTCCTAGCCTGGACTTTATGCCTTTGGAGGCAGATAGTGACTGTCAAGGTGCGCACCTGAGAAAGATCCTCTCAAGGTGATGCAGAACAGGATACTCAACCTACTTGATCGGAGTAATTCCTACTTGCCGGTCGCATTTTCCATTGCACTTGTAAATCCGAGTCAAAATCACAAGCACCCGGGAGAACACTCGCCAACAGGCGTGTGAGCAGACAAACGCCTCGAGATATCGCGGCACCAGGCTGAGATGGCCACCAGATTCAACACTTCTCGCTGCGAAGTCTAGCATCCGCGTGGACATGCGTACGTCGTGGCCACCACAACACGATGTCCGACAATTTATCCCGGACCGAGCCTTTCTGATGCTGGCTTTGCGGCATGTGCTGGGAGAATGCTTCAACGCACCCTGATGCTCTTGGAAGCTCAAGCCACGCCTCGATCTTTTCGGGAATGCTCTGCACAGCTGAAACCGAAGAGCCGCCCTCGAGTCGTCTCGGATGCTGGCCCGAGGCTGAGAGCGACAGGCACGGCAGTTCATGTTGCATCCAGACTGTCGGAATTGCCACCGCGGCCAAGCGATGCTCAGCTCAAGTGGATGCGCGGCATACCTAGATCGCGATGTGCTCTGTCCGATTTTGACAAGCGTTTATGTCGCGTCTACAGTAAGCGGCGGGGAGAATACCCATCCTCCACACTCATCGCCCCTCGCTCACAGCTCCCGGATTAGGGAATTGAGGGGTGTTTGCGGGCCGTGTACACAGGGACATGGCTGACTGATATTTCAAGCTGGCGGTTTGGGCGAAGTTTGCAGCCTTTTCAATCGTGGGGCGAACACGCTTGCCGGCTAAAGTATTTTGTTGCAGCTCAGCAGCTTTCAGTGACCAGAAATATCATCGGGGTTTGGGCATTTATCCAGGACGCTCCAACGAAGCCTGCATACCTTGGTCAGCGAATCGCAACACGTACTCGAATCATGTCGACCTCAGCCTCGTCCGCTCAGGGATCTATCCCGGACCTCCAGACGAGATACAGTGGCGTGCCGGCAAGGCTTTCTCAAGAAGCTGTTGAGGCCAAGACAAAGCTGTTCTCTCAAAAAACGGTGCCGGACAGTTTCCCCAGGAGGAGGACTGCCCTGCCTCCTGGCGTTTCAAAGGAAAGCTTCGATCAAGCTGTGACCGAGCTCAAAGGTGCTCTGGGAGAAGGAAATGTCGAGCTGAACGACAAGCCGCTTGTGGATGGCTGGTATATGGAACACCCGTGAGTTTTCTCAACCTCTGGTATCTCTCGGCGCTGACTGTGATCGTACAGGAATACTCACGACGCATATCACATCGCCGACCAAGAGGAGCTGATATGCAGTGCCATAGTCTATCCATCTAGCACGGCGGAGGTCCAGACCGTGGTAAGATGGGCCAACAACCACAACATCCCCGTTTACCCTGTTTCGATGGGCCGCAACATCGGGTATGGTGGTGCAGCACCTCGTGTTCCCGGATCTGTCGTCATCGACCTCGGTCGAAGAATGAACAAGATCCTAAACATCGATGCTGATAACGCCTCATGCATTGTCGAGCCTGGCGTTTCGTATTTTGCGTTGTATGAGGAGATCCAGAGACGCAAGCTCCCACTATGGATCGATTGCCCTGATCTCGGCGGTGGTTCGGTTCTCGGAAACGCTATCGATCGCGGTGTTGGGTAAGTGAAATGAACTCCCACACCGAGCAGCTCTTCTGACTCGAAGCAGGTACACACCTTACGGTGATCACTTCGCCAACCACTGTGGCATGGAGCTGGTGCTACCGACAGGCGAGCTGCTCCGCACCGGCATGGGAGCAATGCCAGGCAAAGATGGCGCGGACAACCCGACATGGCAGTCCTTCCAGGCAGCTTATGGCCCCTATGTCGACGGCATTTTCAGCCAAAGCAACTACGGCATCATCACCAAGATGGGCTTCTGGCTCATGCCAGAGACTGGGCACCAGTCATACATGATCACCTTCCCGCGCGAAGAAGATTTTGAGCAGATTGTGGAAATCATCCGGCCACTCGCGCAGAAGAGGATACTCGGAAATATCCCTCAACTCCGACATGTCATCCAAGAACTGGCCGTGACAGGCAAGCCTCGATCGTTCTGGTACAGCGGTAAAGGTCAGATGCCACGCGACGTCATCCGAGAAAAGGCGTCCAAGCTCCCCTGCGGCGACGTGTCCTGGGTCTTCTACGGCACTCAATACGGCGACCCAGCTTCGATCGACGCCCAGCTGAAAATCATCAAGGCCGAATTCGGCAAGATCAAGGGCAGCAAATTCCTATTCCCAAAAGATGTACCGGCAGACCACTACCTGCATTCTCGCGTCCAGGTGTGCAGCGGAGTGCCTGCGCTGAAGGAGCTCGATTGGCTGAACTGGCAGCCGAATGCCGCCCACCTGTTCTTTTCCCCGATCTCGCCCACCAAGGGCAAGGACGCCAGCCTCATCCACAGCACCATCGCCAAGTTACATAAGAAATGGGGCTTTGACGTGTTTCCGACAATGTGCGTCGCTGGTCGAGAGATGCACTACATCGCCAACATCGTCTACGATCGTGCCGACGCCGACGCCAAGAGGAGAGCAACGGGCCTAATGCGCGAGATGATCTCGGCGGCCGCCAAGGAAGGGTATGGCGAATACCGCACCCACTTGTTGTTTGCGGACCAGGTCGCCGAGTCGTACAGCTGGAACAACGGCGCGCTCAGGAAGTTCAACGAGAGCATCAAGGATACGCTTGATCCGAACAGTATCTTGGCACCCGGTAGGAACGGCATCTGGGGCAAGCGATATCGGGGTAAGGGATGGGAGATCCTAGCAGGGGACAAGAGGAATTTGTTGACAGATGGAGTGAGTCCGAGTCTGAGTTCGAAGTTGTAGCACAGTACAGTAGACAGCGGCGGTGAATAGAGGGAGGATTTGAAATCACAACGCACAAACAAAGGCGTGCTGGTGGAGAGACTGATAGATAGAGCAATCACGATGCAGTCACAGATACTGTACTCTAGTTGTGGTATCATGTCCAATGTCCAATACTCGAACGATGAATACTCAGTGTTCAGCACTCCTCCGAGACCTCAGCACCATGATTAATCAAACCCAGGGTAGTAATTTCGAGATGCGGTCATAAGGTACTGTATTGTGCTTATGGTAATTATCATATTCAAAACTCAATGTTCAAAACTCAACACTGAATACTCCAGTAATCAACATTCAATATTCAACAATCAACACTCCTCGAAGACCAGCACCGCCATCAATCAAATCCAGTATAGTCAATACTGGTATAACTGCTACGCTGCGCTCCGCTCCGCAGGATCAACTCAACACAACGGCGTGATCTTCCCGGTCCTCAACTCCTCACTCACCACCGCCGACATCTCGGCCCACCGCTTCCGCGTATCCGCCTCGGCATCGTAGTCGTACAGTACGGCGTTCTGGGTGACAATCAGCGCGAGTAAGGGAGTAATTCTCCGAAACGTGGACATACCATGATCAGCAGACTCTTCGGGTCGATCTCGCCACCCTCGCCTATCCGGTCCAGCGCGGTGTGCCATCTGTCGCGGAGGTCTTCGCCGTTGGTCTGCGCGCGGCGGACGCGCGGGAAGCGGATCTTTTCGTAGACTCGTGTCTATGCGCGCATGGTGATATTAGCTCGAGGACGTTGGGTTGGAAAAGCAAGGGTAAGGATAAGTAGGGCAGGGCCAGACAAGGCAAGACAAGGCAGGGTCGGGCGAGGGAACGCAGAGAAGGGCTCGCTCGCTTCCTCGCTCCGGCCGCCCACTTGCACGCGCACACGCGCGCTCCACTCGCGTACTCACCGCCAACGGCACGTTCTCCTTCCCAGCCAACAACAGACACTGCGCCAGCACCGCCGCACTCTCCGTGGCCTGGCTGGCGCCCTGCGCACTCGTCGGCAAATGCGGGTGACAACAGTCGCCGACCAGCACGACCTTATGGTTCGGCGACACCCACGTGGGGATGGGATCGCGATAACAGATCTTCCAATCCAGACACTCGTCCGTCATGCGGATCGCTGTGGCGATACGCGGGTCCAGCGTCTCGACCAAGCGGCGCACCTCGTCCATGTCGCCCGGCTGGGACCACGACTCGCGCACGTCGGCCGTGTCCTTGTGCGTGATGATCCAGTTGAACTCGCGGCCGCCCCGTAAGGTGTTTTGGACGCAGTGCATGTCCTTGCCGATCCAGATGTTGACGCACTCCTTGGCGACAAACTCTTCGGTCAGAGGGTTGCCTTGCAGTTTGGCCCCGTCGAAGAAGGCCCGGAAGCAGGCGTAGCCCGATGATTTGGGCTGGTCGTCGAAGCCGAGCACCAGTTCGCGGGCGCGGGATTTTATGCCTGGAATGCCACGGATGAGCAGGTGTCTTTTGGAAATACCTATCGTCTGTGCGTACCGTCTACCGCGACAACCACGTCCGCGGTATGTCGCGTCCCGTCCTTGAGCGTGACGCTCGGGGTCTTGTCGTCGTAGTCGATTACCTATACTCGGTCAGTGAAAAAATGCCACCACCCAGGGGGTGTGCGTGTGTGGTCGGCGTTCGCTCCACGCTCCGCGGGCTTCGCGCTGCGCTCACGCGTTCGCACTCACCTCAGCCCCCATATGCAAGGGGATCCCCTTCTCCGCCACGGCCTGCAAAAACCCTTTGTGGTAGTCGCCCCGATGGCCAATATACCCGGCCATATCCATCAAGGGCTGCTGCGCGAGCAGTTTCCCGTCGTGCCATCGCCGGATCTGCATCAGCTCGGATTTGTTCCCGATCTCGATCAGCCGGTCGCGCAGGAAGGGCGACCACCTGTCCAGCAATTTGAAGGCATTCTCGCCCAGGCCCAACGAGTCGCCGAGCCTCTGAAACTCTCGGACTTTTTCGAACATGACCACCTCGAAGCCGGCGTGGTGCATGGCCAGCGCGGTGGCGCAGCCTCCTAGGCCGGCGCCCACGATGATGACTGGGAGAGGTAAGTAGGGGGTTTTGATTTTGGAGTTCAGAATTCCCGATGGTCGGTATCTGATTTTCCGTCCTCATCTTACCTTTCAGGGGGGAATCCGGCGCCAGGGACCCCATGGTTGCGCTGTGGTGGTTGGAACAGTTCCGTTGCTTGCTTGCTTGCTTGCTTGCTTGGCGGTGGAATCGATAGGTATCAGGAATCAATAATCGTTGTTCGGTATTCGGTACTCTCGCGACTGCTTTGTAGATTTTCTTACACAATGGGTATATTACCAAGGACGAGTGAGTAGTAGGTGCGTGAGCTCAAGGGTGTCATTGTGGTTGATGTGCGTTGATATCGGCGGGCCCGTCTAATTCCTGAGGAATTGCCCCATCGCTCGGCAGCGGAACGCGGAGGAGGCAAAAGGCCCCAAAAAAAGCATGTACCGTGTACCGTGAGGAGTGTAGTGCCCAATACCCAGGCTCGCCGGGGGAACACGACTTGCCAACGACGATTCAAACGGCAGGCGACTGGGGGAGTCCGCTCGTCGTACATGGATTGCCCAGGGCAGCTACTGTAGGTCACTAACTGCCTCAACCACTGTGCTCCAAGGCCGGGCTTGCCGAGTCGCCTTGACTTGGTGACTGGGCGCCGTGAACAAGGCCCAGCAGTGCTCCCTGCGAGTCGTGGGTCCTTGGATACTAACCGACGCTGGATACTTGACATATTGGATAATTACTGGGCATACGGGGTAGTCTCATGGCGAATGCCCACTGGGCTCTCTCCCACTTCAGTTCTAGGCGGTCCACACGTGCCCGGGATTCACCCACCCCCACTGGCGTCGAAAGTCGGCTGCCACGAACTCGAACTCGAACTCGAAGCTCGGCGCGGCCAAAGGTAAAGGCAAAGGCTCCAAGCTACGATTTACTCCGTACCAAGTCCTCATCCCGTTCTCCAAGGCCCCGCCGGTGCCTAGTGGCTAGTGGCTACCTACGTACACTCGTACACTTGTACACAGTACACGCTGTACCGTACTACGAGTTTGTGGGGTCCCGCGTTGCCGCGGGGCCAAGCGAGGGATGGAAAATGGGGAAGACAGGGCCACCCCTCATTGTTTGACGACGGCCAGTAAGTGACTGACGAGGGAGTGTCACGAGTCTGAGCAGCGCGGGCAACATGGAGATTTGCACCGCGGGATCTTCATTCTTGATCTTCGTGCCCCTCGGATCTGTTCCTTTTCTTCCGCGACGGAATTAATTGCGTGGCTCGATACCCTTAGCACAGGTAGATAAAAGAGTCGAGTTCGTTGCAACGGAACTGTCTCCAGTAATCAACGAGACACGTTGACTAGGTTACGACACGAATAAATACTTTGACAAATCAACATCCAACGAGGCATCGTCAATTTGGGCTTGGGATTCGGGACCAGTATAACCGCTACACGACACTTCGCAGTATCAGCAGCAGCATCAGCATCGCCCTCCGCATCCGTACACAATGGGCTCCCTAAGCGACTCGGTCAAAACGGTGGGCTACATCGGGCTCGGCAAGGCCGGGGCCTCGATGGCCTCCAACATCCCCAGGGCGGGCTTCCAGATGATCGTGCGGGACGCGGACCCCGAGCGAGAGAAGACCTTTGCCCAGCAGAACAAGAACACCACAGTCGCGGCGCCGGGGGCTGAGGGCTTCAAGGACGTCGACGTGCTGGTCACGATGTTGCCGCAAGGGAAAGTCGTCCGCGAAGTCGTGCTGGGCGAGAATGGCATCGCGAAGGCGTTGAAGCGAGGTAGGCGGCGCTCCCCGTCGGGGGATCCCATTCATTCCATACTAGTACTCACTCTCCCGCAGGGACAGTCATAATCGACACGTCCTCGTCGTCGCCCTACGACACACAATCCCTAGGCCGTGATCTGGCCGAATTGGGTCTGCACCTCGTCGACTCGCCCGTCACGCAAGCCCACCTGCACGACACCGACACGGGCGACGCCACGCTGATGGTCGGGTCGGACAGCAAGGACGCCATCGATCGGGCGCTCCCCGTGCTGCAGGCCATGGCCAAGTACGTGTTCGTCATGGGCGGGCTGGGCGCGGGCCACGTCATGAAGACGCTCAACAACTACACGTCGGCGGCGTCGATCGTGGCCCTCTCGGACGCCCTGGTCACGGGCCAGAAGTTCGGCCTCGACCCCGTGCAGATGATTGACGTCTTGAACGTGGGCACGGGCCGCAACTTTTCCACCACGGACAGCTATGCCACGGATGCGCTGCCCAGGCGGTATGCGTCGGGGTTCCAGCTCGCGCTGTTGATCAAGGACATTGGTATTGCCAAGGAGGTGTTTGAGCGGACGGGCTTCAAGACTGATCTGCCGGACTTGATCATCAGGGATTTCAAGGACGCGGCGTCCATCTTGGCCCCGACGGCCGACCATACAGAGTTGTTGAAGCGGTGGGAGGAGAGGGCCGGCGTGACGTTGAACACGGGCGAGCCCACCGGCAAAACGGTGACGGCGATGAAGAAGTGAGATTAACCCTCCGGGGGGGGGCGATGGGAGGGGCGTCGACAGGGTGATCGGCTGGCCGGCACAACATACACCGTAGCAGCAGCGTATTCGGATTGCAATCGACGGGTTTTCTTTTCTTGTGGCATCTTGATTAGTATCGCCTAGGAGCTATACAAAGTTGAGTGGGATGGCACCGTCGTGGTCTGCTGCCCTGGCTCGGAGGCGGCTCAATATATCGCTCCCGCCCAATCATGCTGCCGCTTGGCGCGACTGTTGCCTGGTTGAAGCCTGAATTGTTGCTGGGCACGAGGAGAACCGTGAGGAGCGAATGCTTGATAGAACATGGATATCACACATGTATCGTGTATGCTCATGCTGCGATTTTCAATGCGGGTGCGAGTAGGTATAAATCCGTCCCATGCCTCGTGTCCTCTCATGGTGTCCTTCGTCCAGCGAGCTTTGATCCAACCCAAGCATCGAGTCCAGCCAATTCAGCATTTACTGATCCAGCGCAAAACCAATCTAACCACTGCGAAATGTCCGGCGCGCCAATCACCCTCCAGCCCTGTCTCTTCTTCGAGACCCAGGCTGAGGAAGCGGTCCGGCGCTATGTCTCTATTTTCCCAAACTCCTCGGTATGTCATGTCTGTCTCTGATCTCCTGTCTGCTTCTGCCTGACCCCCTCCTTCAGATCGACAAAATCAACCACTTTACCTCCGCTGGACAAGAAATGCACGGCCAGACCCCTGGCTCTGTCATGTCCGTCTCCTTCACGCTCAACAACACCAAATGGCTGGCCTTGAACTCGCGGCCCAAAGAAATGGCCATGACCGAGGCCGTCTCCTTCCTGATCATCTGCGAGGGCCAGGAAGAGATCGACCACTACTGGGACAATCTAACCGAGGGGGCTAGCGACGAAGACAAAAAGAGGCAGGTGTGCGGCTGGTTGAGGGACCGATTCGGCGTCTCTTGGCAGGTGGTGCCACGCTTGGTGGCCGATGTGATGTCCAGTGGGGATGAGAAGAGGATGTCCGCGACGATGGCCGCGTTCATGAAGATGGGCAAAGTTATTGTCAAAGATGTCGTCGATGCGCTAGAGGCTGTTGAGGGTGCTGCGAAGGAATAGCGAGTTGACTAGGCTAGGCTGGTACTTACCTTTGCCAGGTTGACAGGTCGATGGTCGGGTGTTGGCATGTTCTGCTTTCGAGGCGCGTGTACCGACGACGAATGCCTCGTGTGCTTTCACGCAGTTGTACCCGACACGTAGGGCTCTGTTTGCGCTGAAGCCAGTGTACCATCATCAAACACCTCCCCCGCGCTTTGTTTCATCCTCTGCTGTAGACCAACCTGCTGTCGCACATATTGTATGCTCTCCTCCCAAAGGTCATCCTTCCCCGGCATGGATTCGGACAATTCGTCCACGAGTCTCGCACCCAGATCCCCAGTAAACCGTTTCCCACGCCCGAACCAATGCAGCATCACAGCCCAGTGCAACACGATCAACCAGCAGACTTGGTCTCCACCTGTTTCGAGCGTGCGTACAAACCACATATCCAACAGCATCGGCCACTTGAGAACAACATCCCTATTCTCGTCACTATAGAAGCTGAAACATTTCTCCAACCAGGTGATTGCCTGCGAATAGCGGTCGCTGACGTCGGAGGAGCTTTGGGGCCCGTTTTCACGTTCCACGATGCATCGCAGTCTGATCAGTGCCACCTTTGTGTCCTTATCCGGCTCCCGCCACCGTGGCGCGGAGAATAGGTCAAGGCTGACGGAAAGCGGTCCTTTGGAAAACCCGTCGAGGTCTGAGCTGATGACGGAGCCGACGCTCTGGAGCACCCTGAACAGCATTGTGACGTTTGCCACGACGTCGGTGCCTCCTCGCGCATCCTTACCAGAGGTTACGGGACACTGCGGCAACCCGAGGATGAATGCAAGGTTGATGATGGAAAAGGCGAATATGGTTGTGAAGCTTGTTTCGCCGTCATCATTGGGACGAGGTGTCTTGTGATCACCGACATTGCCAAAGGCTTGACAGGCGGCATTGTGATATTCCAAGGCAGCGAGCATGTATTGCGAAATAGTTGCTGGTGCTGCGTTGGAGGATTCGAGGACTATATGCATTGCCGAAATGGCCATGATGGCGGATCTTAGATAATCACATTGCAATGCCAGCTTTGGGACCAGGACCCGCCAGGCGTGGCGGCTGTCGTTCTGCCTGTCATTGATGAAGTGTTCATATGTGTCCAAGGTCCACTCGTGCCACAATTCCAGTTCCAGTATGTTCGCCTGAGGGCCGAAAGAGGGCGCTGGTGGAGTGCTGGGGTTGCTTCTAGGTTCTTGGCCGTGACACTTATGGTGACATGGACAGACCTGTGGCTTCGGTGGAGGGGCCAGCCTCGTGGAAGGATATATACAGTCGTCTTGCTGAATAGCACAGCTTGAACATGGCGGCCCGGATTCGTCACACTATGGAGAGCGTCAGTGGAGAGGCTTGCTGGAAGCGAATGGAGGCAGCTTGTGTTGATGTCGCTTCGGCAGAGCTACTGTAACGGAGAGGTCCTCGCTGTTACCACCACCAATGCCATCGATCTGTGGCAGAAAAGATAGCATGCAAGGATGCCACGCACCTTTACACGCCGCCGCTTGCAGTTGTAACATCCAGTCCTGGACTTCTTGTGCGGTCTCCGGCCTGGCATGCCACATATGATAGCATGTGCCGTGCCAAGGACAGTAGCGAGCTCGTCGCGTGGTTGAGCGCCCCAGCACAGTGCCTGTTCCGACGATACGAGGATTCTATGCCGGAAATGTCTGCCCTCCCGAGGAAGATGCGACACCTGGATTTGAATTACCGATGCTGAACGAGCGAGGATCCGGTCCAACGTCCAGCAAGTGGTAATCAGGAGATGGACAGTTCAGGCAGCAGTGATTGGGAGAAGGATCAGATACGCGTACGCTAAACCTGATTTTGCCGCGGTGCCCCTTGTGGAAACCGCCAATGCTGCGCACAGCCTTGTCCAAGGGTTAATTGTTCCCTGAACTGGCCAAGCAACTCTTCATCAAGATTGTAGCGTAGTGTAATTACTCGGTATGTGGATAATGTCTCGCTGAGAGATGAGCTTCCCACCATGCCCAGGCAGCAATATTAATTGCTTGTCTCTGCGGTCTCTGGCTATAGTTTGCTGATGTACAACCGTGGTGCATGATGGTCGCTGGACGACATTTGTCTTGGGGCTCGGTATGAAATGGTACCCCGGGTATATAAAGTGCTTCATGCCGCTGCCACCTCGAGTTGATCCGCCCAGCGGTCAGCATCGACAATTGCAGTAGTTGAGCCCCAATGGCGAAGGTCGACAACTTTTACAAGCACTATGTCCCCTCCGTCCCGGCAGCGATCGCCGCCGGACTCATCTTCGCGATCTTGACAATAGCGCATCTTGCAATGATGGTCAAGTCGACTCCGAGGCGGAAATTCACCATAGCATTTATGATTGGGGGCACCTGTAAGTTTTCAGCCACAGGTCGGTCACCGGAGGTACTTTTTGTTGACAGCCTCCAAGGTGAAGTCATCGGCTTTTTCACTCGAGCAGCATCCCACTACCACGTCGACAGCCTAGCCTTGTACCTTGTCCAGGTGCTCCTCATTGTATTGTCGCCAATCCTTCTCGCGGCTTCGGTCTACATGTTCCTCGGTCGCTTGATTACTGCCGCAGATGGAGAACGATACGCGCCCATAAAGAGAAAGTGGATGTCAAAAGTCTTCCTATTAGGCGACTGGCTCTGCCTGCAGGTCCAATCGAGCGGTGTGTCGTGGTTAGGGAATGCCAAATCCGTATCTGCAATCCAGGGTGCGCGAGATGTTGTCCTGGCGGGACTAGCTCTGCAGATCGTGTTCTTCATATTCTTCTTGTCCGTTGCAGGAACGTGGCAAGCCCGGGTTCGTCATCTTGCCCTCTGGCAACGGTGCAAGGAGTCGGGTCTACCCTTGGGTCGGATTCTGTTGTCCTTGTACCTGATTGGAATCATCATGGTCGCTCGCAACACCTATCGCCTGGCGGAATACGCGCAAGGCGAGGATGGATATCTGAACTCATATGAGTGGCCGATGTATTGTTTCGATGCGATCCTGATGGCGGCTGTCATGGCAATTGCGCTGTTCTGGTATACCATTGAGCTGCAACCGAAGGATACGCAGCAAGCCCTCCAGCTCCGGCGAACCAGCACCCTTTCTTGAAGAGGCTAGCTCCTGGAGCGGACACACAGTGGAGGATGTAAGGACGGGTTGGATGGGAAAGGTCTCTGGTGCTTTGTCAAGGCTACGTGGGAGCGCGTTTATCGGCAAGCTTGGATGTCTCAAGTCGTCAGTTCTGAATCACGAGGGTAGTGGTAGATCACGTACCAGTACCACTTCTCACCCGCAGCTCCTAGCGTCGACACACCAAGCTGTTGCTACCGTCCTTCCAGTGTCTTCTTACTTCTCAGTAGATTGTTGTACTTGCGAAATAGATCCTTGTGTTCGGATGAGAAAGGGCACTGCAGGGATCGGGCTTTCGAGGACGCAGACTCGGTCAGCGACCTCCTGAATTTCTGCAAGTTGTTCGGTCCTTGATTGATTGGGCGGTCTGGAGGGGTTTGGACATGGTCAAGAGGTTGTGTCCCGACTCCGACCAGGTTCAGAGCGGCACCAACGACAGTGCCGACCGGATGTCCTTCCACGCCCGGGAGTACACCGATCGCGCCTGCTACGCTACCTGTAGCCGCAGGGATAGCTTAGACTCACGTTGTCTTCTGGTGCAAAGGCTACCCACGACTCTTGAGTTCGGCTCGGACGGTTGCAAGCTTTCGCTCGACAAGTTCCATTGCCCTGCCATTAGCGACGGAACTGACGGGTAAACCACCTCCGGTCTCGGGAGCCATAACGACGCCACTGATGACGCCCGCCGTGCTCGAGTATAGCGTTCCGATCAGGACGACCTCTTTCTTCTGCAGCTGTGGGTCGTAGTATCCCTGGAATCTAGATCTGTAGTCATTCGTGTCAAAAGTTAACAAAGTCTTCAACACCATGGTGGCTGCCGGAGAGGGTTGGCCTCTGGATGATTCGTGTTCATGACTTCGGCAGCATCAACAGCGGCCTCTGCTGAATCGGAACATCACACAACAAGAAGCGTGCCCGCATTGTGGTGGAGACAGTATTGATACATGACATGAGAAGAACCGTAAGGGAGTAAGGGTCTCGGCGGTGATCATGTTGATCGTGCCTCTGTCTGAGAGGAAAGTGAGGTGAAGCTGACAACATCTACGCGATATTCTGATTGGCGAGAAGCTGCTCACTTGGCGCTATGAGGTCATCTCTACCGAACAGACACCAGACTGGCACCAACTGGCACCCCACTCATAGAGACACCACCTAATACGTATGGGTGCTCACTAGGTGCCCACGACGCGTTCCTTGTTGATGGCCCGCTAGCCAAACGTGCCAACAACTCTACATGCGCCGCAGCCTGAAGCGGAAACACAAGCACAAGAATGATGTTGGTACTGACTCTGGCAGCCTGTCCCAAGGGCTTTCGAGTACCCTTCTCAGATTCCATGCTTCGGATTTTCTGTCAACACTTTGAACAAGAATCTTCGCCCAAGCGACCAAACTCTGGTTCGAGATTCATTCAATTCCTCGCTCATAAGCAAGTCACTGGCTGGTAATAGTCGTGGGTATAGACATTAGACACTGATGCGCTCAGAAAGCAAACCCTCCTCCCGGCCTCTCTCACATAACCACACATTTGTCCTTCTGAGCATGCTCATACGCAGCACCCCAGCGATCGATCCCAGCGGCAATCTCATTCTGCCTCTGCTTCTCCTTCACATCGACCTTGAAGTTGGCTAGCAGGAACTTGACCATTTCGCAGTCAATGTTCTTCTCGGTGGCTTCCATGACCACCGCTTCGCGGCAGAGTGGACAATGATTATTCTCCTCTTGTTGCATAACAATCATGCACCTGATGCAAAACAGGTGACCGCAGCGTAGTCGCACAGGTCTCCAAGAGATGCTGAAACAGATTGGGCACAAGTAGTCGTTGAGCTGGGGAATGACACTCAACACTTCTTCCGAGATGGTGAAGCATGTGGCTTTGGCCAAATCTTGCACGATAAAGGGTGAGGACTTGGTGAGTGATTGCTCCACTGAGGATTTTGCGGGCAGGGATGTTCGCTTATCGAACTTCTTCATGATCTTGTTGAGTGCGGTGCGGTTGATCTCTTGGAACTTGATCAGTCGTACGAGGTTGACGTTAATTTGCAGGAACCGCGACAGAGCGGTGTTGGCGTTGTCTCCCAATCGAAAGGGGGCCTTCTTTTGCTGTGCAGAAAGTGACTGTGTGAAAGTCTGTAACTGTTTTTGAGCATGTGCTCCGTCGCGCGCCCCAGCGTCTGCTTCGTGCGAGGACAGAAAGACTTCAGCATCCGAATAGAGCTCAAAGATCTTCCTCCAAGTCTCGACTTCCTTTTTTGAACGCTTCGACTTGCTTGCTCGCAGCGCGCGCAGTTCACTGCCTAGCTGGTTGATTTCGGCCTGAAGCCGGGCATACTCGGATCTCTGCAGGTCGTCAAGGCAGGCCAGTTGGTGGCGCAGTGTCTGGAAGAATTCGGAGTCTGCAGTCAAAGGCACCTCCACCAGTTCTAATTGGTGCTTGTCATTTTCTGATCCTGACTCACCAGTGGGTCTGCGTTGTTCGTCCGGAGAATCATCTCTTTGAACAGTGTGGTCAATGTGAGCTCGAGAAGACCTGGCCAGGCGTCGCAGAATCCTCCGCGTCTCAGGACTGAGCCAGGCATCCATTGGCGAGCCATCGCGGGGGTCAATGACAATCGTCAACTTCGGCGTGAAGGTCACCTTTTCTCCATCATCAACAGTGTACTGGAGCAGGCCATCAGCTGTCCCTTGGTCGGCACCTAAGTCACTGGACCCGACGCGCTTCCATAAGGCGTCTAGAGTGTCTTTATCGAGACCAAGGCTCAGAAGTTCTTGTTGTACACGCTTGATGCATTTTTTGAGTTTCTTGTAAGATATGGCTGAGTTGACCCACTCAGGAGGATACTCGCCACGAGCGAGGGTTGCTTCGAAATCCTGACCGAATTTCATGGTGTACCATCCTCAGGTTGTCGAGATAGGAAAGAGAAGGTTTGGGCGCAGGAGTAAGAATAGGTGAGGCGAATATTTAGCTGTTAATCACCCGAGTGCTCGTGTGACTGTGTTCCGTCTTGGGATGGTCATTTCATGGGTGGGGGGGCCCTTAAAGGCGGGTAAGCGCATTATTTAACCATTTTGTCGCCGTGCCCCAGACCTTGGAAACCGCCACGCGCGATTTATGGGAGCCCCCGGAAACACGGACCCGGGAGTAAAAGTCCCATAACGCTGGGGTCCCAGGGCACCGGATGACATGTGGACTTCGTGCCGTGCGCACCCAAGGAATCAGAATCCAAAGTGAAAGTCAAAGTTTTTCCGACGCCGACGCGTGATTGGCGGAACAAGAATTGAAGGCTACTGCGGAACAGGACGGACTTAAGCGAACGGCAAACAAATGGCGCAGCAGGTCGACCAGGCTTTAGATCCGTTCCAGAATATTGCGGTTTATGTCTTTGGTTCGATCAGGGCGTTCGGGAGTGCCTCGTCTAATGGATTTGGGCTGTGGCGTTACTTCCTCCACCCCCCAACAATAATCCTTTGCCCTGCCCAGACATGGGCCAGCGACAATCTACTGGCAATGCCACTCAAGACGAGGCGCCAGCGAAGGCAGACTACTACGACCTACTTGGCGTGGAAAGGACAGCGACCGATGACGAGATCAAGAAAGCCTACCGCCGGAAAGCCCTTGAGTTACACCCCGACCGAAACTATGGCAACGTGGAAGAAACCACCCGACTGTTTGCTGAAGTCCAGTCTGCCTACGAAGTCCTCTCAGATCCACAAGAAAGAGCATGGTACGACTCACACAGAGACGTTCTACTACGCGGAGACGGGGCCGCTGGCTCCGGCTGGGATGAGTTTTCATACAACATTCGCATGACGACGACGGAAGATGTGCTGAAACTGATGATGAAGTTTAATGGTCGTGTGGAATTCAGCGACGCGCCTAGCGGCTTTTTTGGTGGCCTAGATGACTTCTTCAAGCAGCTAGCCAAGGAGGAAGACATTGCATGCCAGTGGGAAAACGAAGACTCCATGGACTACCCAGATTTCGGACACCGCGACGACGATTATGAAGATGTGGTTCGGCCTTTCTACGCTGCATGGACTGGGTTTGCTACGAGAAAGAGTTATGCCTGGAAAGATCAATATCGGTTGTCAGATGCACCAGACAGAAGGATTCGCAGGCTGATGGAGAAGGAGAACAAGAAGATACGGGATGAGGCCATCCAAGAATACAACGAGGCCGTGCGTACCCTCATCGCCTTTGTTCGAAAACGGGATCCTCGCGTACAGAACAACCAAGTTTCCGAAGCTGAAAGGCAAAAGGCGCTCCGAGAAGCGGCTGCAGCACAGGCCGCGAGATCAAGAGCAGCACGGCAGGCCAAGTTTCAAGGATCCGGAGAAGATGCCATACCAGACTGGGCCAAGTCAAGGACAAAAGATCAACACGAAGGAGGCTTCTCGAGTGAGTCTGAAATCGAAGAACACGAGTATGATTGCGTGGTCTGCGACAAGACCTTCAAAAGCGAGCCCCAGTTCATAGCACATGAGAAGAGCAAGAAACACGTCAAACTACTGAAACAACTTCAGAAGGAGATGCGGGTTGAAGGTGACAAGCTCAATCTGGATAGTGAACACACTGCTGCGGAGCACGGTGGTGCAGATGTCGATGCAGATCAAGTCGCCAGAGTCTCTGAAGACTCGCCGGCTCAACAGGCACACATATCTGAAGGCGTGTCTGATCCCGACGACGTAGACCCAACAGATGAGAAACGCGGCACTGCGACGACGGAGAAGGACATTGGGGTTTCTGATGCCTATCCAGATGAAAACGGCGATTACGCACCCCGATCGGATGTCGAAGACCGCCTGGCCCAAGAACCTTTCGAGAAGGCCTCTGTGACACTCGAGGATTTGAGCTTGTCTGGCACTCCCGTTCCGTCCGACCCCGAACAAACAGGTCAGCCAAAGGTCGGTAAAGCAAAGCAGAAGAAAGCCAAAAAGGCTGCGCGGAAAGCTGCAGCGGAGTTCCAGTGTGTCGTATGCAAGGCCGAGTTTCCTTCAAAGACGCGATTATTCAACCATATTGAGGAGGAGAATCATGCTGCTCCATTGACCCAGGTAAAACCGGTCAAGGGTGGAAAAGGGAAGAAGAGATGATATGTCATGGATAGAGATTTTTGTTGGGCCCTGGAGGCTCATCATGCATATATACCCCGTAGAGACGACTGCATAGCGAGGGCGTTTGTTTTGGAATGAATACAGTACATGGGGTTGTGGTGGAGAAATCTGCGGTTGTCCAAGAATCTCTAGGACGATGCAGCAAATCTCAATCCGAGGTTGCCCTGGGCTGTGCCCTGGCCACCCTGGGTCCCACCCACAATACAACCTTTTAGGATGCCCAGAAAGGACCGCGGCACAAAGCGAATGTAAACTTCAAACGGACTACTCCAGCTCTGTCCATCTTGTTTCAACTTTCAGTAGAAACAACACAGACATGATTCACGTCATTGGCAGCACCAACATACCACTTTGCCTGCTTGAGCTGCAGATGCCGTGGTTGTGCACCAATGGCCTGCTGAACTTCGTACACCGCATACCGTGCATGATAATCAGCCGAGACGAATTCACATTATGTGTCTAGGCAAGTTCGTCCGACAAGAACTCGCTCCCTTTGCCTCCAGGCGTGACCAGAGGCAATACTAGAAGAGAGTCGTCCCAAGGAGATGCCAGGCCCTAGTGTCAGCAGTATGGTGAATGACATCCGCTGCTCAGACCCCGATCTGCAACTGGACGTGGACATCATGATCCTCGACTACACACTGTTTCAGTCGACCAAGGCACAACTGCGTTTGCTCTCGCGCGGGCTCGATGACAACGAAGAGGGCGATAGATCCCGCGATGCTCTGCGCCTTTTGACCGTCTTCGACTCCTTCATCCAGATCTTCAATGAGCGTCACTCCAGCTACGAGCATAGCCCAGGGTTGACGTTTAGACTCGACATTCTAGAATTCTTGGTGCTCCTCTCCGGTCTGTCATCAAGTTCCGCGCCTCATTTTACAGATGCAATGCTGGAGAAACTCAAAGTCCGCACACAAGAAGATATCCAAGCTCGCCGAAAGTGGCAGGCAGCACGACAAAGATACTTTCGCAGACTGGAGAAACGCTCAGCCACAGCTTTGAAAACCGATGGCGTCGACGAGGACGTGGAGCGCCAAATATATGAAGCTTGGACAAATCCAGACACATCAAGTCCCTACTCTGATCCACAGAGCATCAAGATCTTGTTGCTTTTCCACTTGTTACCACGGTTCATGGTTATCTCGGCCAAGTTTTCGGACCTAATAGACCAGAGTCTCGACCAGCGCTGGATGCGAGTTGCGTGTGAACTCATGCTCCGGACTGGCCTCGAGTCGTTACGATTTCAAACTCTGAACTGTCAAGCCGACGCTTTGCCAACACTGGAAGACTGCTTTTCCTGGGGTTACGTCGATCTCAGAGACACAACTGACCTAGGTGCAACAGCCAGCTATGATGAGGAAGTCATGGATTTGGTCAACGACATGTTACGCTTGCGTAACCATTCCGTCTCCACGCCTGGGGTGGAAGACCCTGAATGGACGAAGCTACGCATCAGCACGCTTCACGAATTCTCCATCGCCGCGGACGCGTCTATCGTGGCCCGGAAAAACCGCTTCGACCGCCTTGCAGAGAAGTATCCCTTGGAGGAATTCGTGCAGAAGCTGATTGGCGTGGTGCTAAACATCTGGGAGTTGAGCTGCCGCGACGAATACTTGGGGCAGCCGGTCCTCGTCGAGATTGAAGAAGGGCATCTCCAGAGCTTGAATATAGTCGGAGCAGATTTTGACGACTTTGCTTCGAAGATCGCTCTGGAAAGGCGGTTTGATTCACCTGGGAGGGTTGATGTGACCAGGGGCTCTTCCGATCAGAGTCTCAATGAGCGATTTCACCACGAATTAGCACGTCTCAAGCGAGTCAATGAACGTCAACACAATGGCACTGGCCCCGTCATCAAATTCGGGGACTGATATCACTTCGCACAAAAGACCGATCACGGCGAGTCGGTCATTATTTGCACGGCTGCTACGTATCATGTTGACTTCACGTGTCAATCTGTACAGACTGGATCACTCGGACGAGTCCTTTATGTCACTGACATTCACGACGCCTACGGCATATTCCGGTACTAACTTCAAATCATTCGCGTCCACTTTCACCTAGCCCCGTGCCGGCTTACAGATTGACCCTCCGAGTCTGGCGACATATTTGCGCCATGTCCGTACGAATGGTGGTGAATGTGGTACGCGGGGAGGGTGGGAGGCTCGTGCGAGGAAGGTGAGATCGGCCTTAAACCCCACCGTAATTCTTGGCATTGCTGTACGGCATACGGCTCCATACCACATCACCTTGGTCACGGCCTCGAGGCTAATGTCGTTTCATCTGCAGTCTTCATGCACTGCTCCAAGACATCCCAGAATGCATGCGTATGCAGATGCCTAGGTATCCTTACGCCTTCCGCAACACCATCTACGCCTGCCTCCACCTTCTTGACGATGGTCCTGCCCACCTGTCCCCTCACAGAGTCAAGCGGGCTGTGTGCTCCATCCGTCACAACTTTGACAGCGTATCGGTCGCCATCATCCTCGTATATGCCACTAGAATACCCAAATAGGGCAGCAACGGCGAGTGGGTCATGCAAAGGAGGGCCCTCGTACACATCAAACCATTCCACATAACTCTGTGCGAAAAAGGTGAGTATCTCGTGAAGGAAGAGGCGCAGTTGACTGGGCTTCTCGGAGCCTAAGAATCGGTCGCGGATTTCTTTAGTTGCCAGACATTGATGTGTCAGATCGAGTGTGACGAGAGTGGTTTTCGCTGATACCACAGGGTTCGAAAAGACTGCCTGCGCGGCTTCAGGGTCGCAATAGATGTTGAATTCGGCCCAAGGAGTCTCGTTTCCAAAACCCTCAGCTTGACCCAGCGTTTTGCCAAACTCTTTCGAGATCTGAGGGCAGAAATCACCTCCGACAGCGCCACCCATGATGCTCAAACTAAGACAAGGATACCATTAGAAGCGACGTCTTGTCTCCTTAACGCCCGGATAATATTGATGCCTCCCGGACGCTATTGGAGTGCATATTCCAACTTACCCAGCAAGATGGTCGGCGACCTCGGGATAGGCTGAGAACAACAGGGCAGCATTTGTGCAAGGCCCGGTGGCCACGTACCACGCCGTATGAGGAGGTTGTGCCATGATAGCGTCGCGAGTGGCGACAAGAAAGTTTACATCATGGACAATATTGTTCATTGGCTGGGGGAGGAGAGTCGTACCACCGAGACCCGTGGGACCTGAGTATGGTCAGTACTCTGAGCATGCAGTCACAGGTACGGGATCTGTTCACCATGAATGTCCGGCGTATCGACTTCTTCGCGACAGAAGGGCTTGACAGATCCAGGATAAACCTTGACGTCCGGCCTGCCCACGGCGCTGAGGACGGCGCTCGAGTTGTTCGTGGTGTGGATTTGAGGAGAGTTACCGTGCGTTGAGCTAACACCAAGGAAATTCAACCGTGGATGATGCGCCGCAATGAGAATGGCAAAGACGTCCTGTGGTGTCCGTTGGACGTGTTCTTGGCTGGTAGCATGGAAAGGGGACTCCTACATCGTGGCCTTCGCAATGTCAGAAGTCACTGCACTCTTCCCGGCTTTGAGCCAAGCACAATTCATGCTTACCTGTGTCGACGTCCAACCATACTGGCACTCTGTCCACCATTCCGTCGCTTTACACTATGTTCCAGAGTGCCACAAGTCTCATCTGTTGAACCACCTTTGTTCCCGGCCAGTAAATCACGTCCCTCTCAGCGCTCTCACCTGCAGATGACTTGCTTCGGAATAACTAGGCATTATATCCTACATGCCGCGCTAGGCCATGCTAATTCAGCAGCATCCAGAGTTCCGGTAACCGGCCACCTTCCTCTTTCGACGTTGTGGGACATCCCCGGCGTGCATTCCTCCGCAGCGGGAACATCATGCAACGGCCGATCTTTTGTGCCTGCCGAGATAAGCTTGTCCAAGGCTTGTTCTCGTTCAGTCCACCACTCAGAACTCTTCTTGCATAGATACGCAGATCTCCTATGGTGGATGGGGCAAGCTAGTGGTTGTCTCACGGTAAGTGTATTTTGGCCGCCAATAACATACATCCTCGCTCTGAACAAAGTCGCTTATCACGAGGAGAGACGTTATCCACCTGCTCAAGTCAGACAGCTCTAAATGGGAGCCCTTTGTCTTTCCGTCCTTGCAGATAAGGATGGAAACGACTGGCCCAGGCCTCCTTTTCGCTGGGATTTATACGGTTCATGGAAACCTCGTGCAATTGAGATGTCTGAAACAATATCGTCGTCACTGAGGCTTGAGAGAACATCACGATGACTACCCACGAACTATCGTCGCGCAGCAACGCCGCAGCATTGACCGAGGATGTCCTCAATCTCGAGAGCTTCGGTTACAAGCAGGAGCTCAAACGGGACTTCTCGCTCTTCGGGATGATCGGCTTCGCCTTTTCCGTCTTGACTTGCTGGACTGCGCTTGGGGGCTCTTTGGTGGCTGCCATTCAAGCAGGAGGTCCGCCAGTCATCATCTACAGCTGGATCGGAGTCTCCTTCTTCTCCCTCTTTGTGGCCTACTCCTTCGCTGAGATTTGCAGCGCTTTCCCTGTGGCTGGTGGCCAATACTCGTGGGTTGCGATCTTGTCGCCGTCGAAATGGGCAAGACTCACCTCGTATTTGTGCGGCTGGTTCATTGTCATCGGCTTCTTGTCCGCAGGAGCGGCGAATGGCTTCATTGGGGCCAGTTTCGTGCTGGGAATGGCACAGATCGCACATCCAGACTTCGTGATTGAGAGGTGGCACACGTGCCTCGTGTGCTATCTCGTTCTGATCCTCGCCGCTGCAGTCAATGTCTGGGGCCGGCACCTTCTCAACAAGCTTGGCAAAGTAATGATCACCTTTAACCTTCTCTCGTTCGTGGTTATCATCATCGTCATTCTGGCCAAGGATCAGGACAAAGCGAGTGCATCCTTCGTATTCAAAGAGTTCAACAACAACACCGGCTTTGGCAACTCGTACGCGAGTCTGCTGGGGATCCTCCAGGCCGCTTTTGGAATGACGGGATACGATGCAACGGCACACATGACCGAGGAGATGCGTAATGCCAGACACGACGCTCCGAAAGCAATCATCTGGGCTGTCTGGATCGGTGCGTTCACAGGTTTCGCCTTCCTGATTGCAGCCTTTTTCTGCATTCGCAACCTCGGGGCGATTGAGACGTCCTCCACAGGTGTGCCTCTGATCGCCATCTTCTACGAAGCCACCGGGAGCGTGGGAGGCGCGGTTGGCCTTACGACTCTGGTGACTGTCATCGCCCTGGTCAGCTTGTGTTTCCTCATGGCACAGAGCTCGAGAGTGGTATTCTCTTTCGCGCGCGATCACGGGCTGCCCTTTTCCGGTACCATCAGCAAGGTCCATCCTACACTCCATGTACCTGTGTACAGTATCTTGACTGTCCTTGTTGTCAACATGGCCCTCATGGCGATCTACTTCGGCTCGGTCACCGGATTCAACACTGTGCTGGGCATCTCCACGGAAGGCTTCTACCTGTCTTACATCATGCCACTTCTCGTCCGCATCTGGGGCCGACTGGAGGGCAGGGACTCGATTGACAGCGCCTACTCGCTCGGTCGCTTCGGCATGCTCTTCAACGTCGTGGGCATCCTGTACCTGACCTTCGCTGCCATCGTGTTCAACTTCCCCTCCATCAGCCCCGTCAACGGCAGCAACATGAACTACACTTCAGCCGCTGTTGGCGTATGTGGTCTGATTGCCGCCATCACGTGGATGACCACAGGCCGCACACGTTTCACGGGTCCTCGACGAGGCGGGATCTTAGAGGGCCGCATCCCGAGCCTTCACGAGGGTATCCATCACGTCAAGCCCACTCCAGGACCGAAGCGGCTTGAGGATTAGGGAGCCTGGGTCAATGTCAACGCTCACTTGTACATTACCACGCCTTTGTACAAGCACTTGTCCGGAATGGACTGGCGTCTTTGTGGGATTTGGATCGAGTGGTTCGAATCGTTCACCGAGGGGTGCTCATGACAGTACCGAGGCACTTGTTCGGAAAGAACTGACGACGACATGATGGGGCGGGCTGGCTAATTGATTTGATTGATTTGGGCTGTTACGATATGATACCCACACCTTGTACTAGTATGGTTGAGCGACATGGTACAGGCACTTGTCCGGACTGGACTGGGGGTCGCATCTATGATATTGATATTTACATCCCGGGAACAGAGTGCATACATATTGACCAATATACACTCGTTTGCACGCCATTGAGTGGTTTCCAGTCTGGTTTTCCATGACATGCGATGAGCTAGAAGCCCGTGTAACCAACTGCTCACAATCAGTGCTCCGTGTCCAGTATTCAGTTCACTTCTACAGATCCTTCCCCGCCACCAACCTCCCATCCACAAACACCTTACGAATCGACCGATCATCACCCATAAACACCCACTTCTTCAACAACGCCATATCGTCACGCTCCCACCCATTGGTGTTGATATTATCATCCAAGCCCACATCGACGACGAGCGCATCAAACGCCTTTCCCACCTCAAAGTTCCCCACCGTCTTATCCACAGAGCACGCCTCCGCCCCGCCCATGGTCGCCAGATACACGAGCTCTTCGAAGCTCAGCTTCCAACCTGCCTCGTCCGTCGCGATAGTCAGATGTCTCGACACGTTACTCGCCTGCCTCATGGCATTGAGGATCGAGATGGAATAACCCGCCGAACAATCGGTTCCCAGTCCGACTTTGATGCCCCTGTCCAGGAGTTCGCGGACACGGCACCACCCGTCCGTCAGGCACGTGTTGCTGTTGGCGTTGTGCGCGACGCCCGCGCCCGTCTTGGCCAGCACGTCCATGTCCCTGCGGCTCAAATGGATGCAGTGCGCCAGGATGGTGCGCGGGCCGAGCAGGCCGTAGTGGTCGTACATGTCGGCGTAGCTGGCGAAGCCGGGGTGGAGGTCGTGCATGTCGGACACCTCCAGGGGTGTCTCGCACATATGTGCCTGCACGCGCATCCGTCCTTCGTTGTGACCTTCGCCTTCACTGGCTATGCCGCCCAACCCGCGCATCAGCTCCGGCGGCACATACGACCCGGCTCGAGGCTGGATGCACGGCATGACGAGCTTGCCCGTGGGATCGATCCGCCGGATGTGCGCGACGACCTTGGCCTCGTCGGCGATGCTCTGCGTGGCACTCGCTTCCCAGTTCCCGTGCGTGCTGCCGACGAGGATGCACAGCTTGCCAATGATGGCGCGTTGGCCGAATTCGAGGCACGTATCCGCCAGCACGTTTGTCGCCTCTCGGTGGATGCTCGAGTTGTACGCCACCGTGGTGCTCCCGTTGTCGAGCTCCTTGCGCACCATCTCGCGGTACACGCGGTGCGCCTTGGCCGTGTCCGTGTACGAGGCCTCGATCGGGTCCGTCCAGTTCTCGCACCACTCCTTCAGATCGCCCTCCATGCCTAGCGCCATGTTCGGGTACTGCGGGGCGTGCATGTGCGTGTCGATGAGCCCGGGGAACAGGAACTGCAGTGGCTTGAGCGTGATCTGCTCGGCATGCGTGAAGCCCTTGTGTTTGGCGCACGCTTCGCCCGCGGACGTGACGGTGGCGTCTAGGAACGCGATGGTGCCGGTGTCGTCGACCCCGAGGCTGGCTTGTGGCAGAATCTCGATCTCCTTGAGCGACTTACTGTGGATGATGCGGCCGTGGAAGACGCGCCGGGTGCGTTTGGTCCTGGTTGCGTCTGGTAGCACAGCAGCAGCATCACCACCACCATCACGCCTCTCGGATACAGTGTATGCTGGGGGAGGCGCCGAGTCACCGCTCATCCTGCTGTTTGGGCCGGAAGAGCGGCGGAACAGAGAAAGAGAAAGGGACGGGCAGCGCATCGTACGTACCGTGGCCTCGGACAAGCACGGTATGTACTTTTGTGTAGTACTTATGTACTGGGCAATACACTGCCCTCACAAGAATGCTACGCGGGGTGCTTTCTAGTCGTCGTTGCTCCCCGGCACCGACGCGTCAAGATAACAAGACGCGGCACGACATGATACGTCAGCAATCAGGCGAGCCTCTCTCGTATAGGAAGGTCCGTTGCATGTAGACATCATGAGTACCGTAGGTACCTTTGCCGCAAGGGGGAGGACGGGAGACGAGAGCAGGGTGGGCACGGCAGGGCGAGCAACGGAGAGCAGAGAAAACTGAGAGCTCAACGCCGCACATCTCCGCCGCACCAGATACAGCAATTATGTACTCGTGCCTAGTTAGGTACTGATGATACTGATACAGTACTCGATAGTGGGGGTAGCCAGGATACACACGTATGGTTGACGCATGGAATATGTACCAAAGGAGCAGTCGGCCGTCAACTGATCATGTCGTGCCCATTACGGAGTACACCCTACTCGGCGCCTACACGTCAAGATCTCAACCCTGAGTCGCATCCTCGACCAGGAGTTTCAGCACGGCCAGTTGATTCAATCGACGCGTGGCCTCAACAGGCGAGCGACGCCCCGAGATGAAAGCCACAACCGTAAGTCTCCAGGACCTCACAGCGGGTTCGGTACCCTTCGCAACCCTCGAAGACGCATTCGGCGAATCCTCCCTGGGCATCCTCGTCGTCAACGATCTCCCAGTCCGGTACCTGGTCCTGCGGGAAAAACTGCTCGCTTACTCGTCCTACCTGGCGCACCTGCCTGAGAGAGACCTCGACGCCCTCACCGACGCAGCCTCGCACTATGAGATAGGATGGAGCCACGGCAAAGAAGCCCTCAGCGACGGCGCCTACGACACAATGAAAGGCTCATATTACGTGGACTGTCACCCATTCTTCCCGGGGGCTGAGCCTGAGCCTATCGTCTCGAACAGGAACCCGAACCCGAACCCGGGCATGCCGTCGACGACCGTTCGAGGAGCGGGCACGAACCTGTGGCCGTCCGAGACCGCAATGCCGGGCTTCAGGACCACCTTCGAAGAGCTCTGCACGCTGCTCCTCGAGATCGGCGTGCTGGTCGCGCGGGCTGTCGATACGTACGCAGGAGTCCACGTCCCCGATTACCGACGCGGGCATCTCGAACACATCGTGCGGACGAGCCGGACGCCCAAGGCGCGGCTGTTGCATTATTTCCCGCCGACCGAGACATCTCACGAGCCATCGCTGGCGGAACCTCACGCGGCAACATGCGCATCGGCCTCGAACTCCGAGCAAGCTACGAGCGCCGGCTTTGTCTCGTGGTGCGCCACGCACTTGGACGACGGCTGCCTCACGGCGTTGACGGCGGCGCTGTACATCGACGAGTCCGATCCCCTGCCACCACTGAGACCGTCGTCCTCATTTCCCTTTCCGCCGCAAGGTCTATCCATCCTGCCCACGTCCCCGGACCCCAACGCGGGCCTGTACATCAGATCGCGCGACGGCGAGGTCGTCAAGGTCGACATCCCGGCTGGTTGCATTGCCTTTCAAACGGGCGAGGCACTGCAGATGATCACAGGTGGACACTTCAAGGCGGTACCGCATTTCGTGCGTGGGCCAAGCGTCAACTCCGGCAAGACCGGGTCCGGCGCGGCGTCGAGCAAGATGAGAATAGCCAGGAACACGCTCGCGCTGTTCATGCAGCCAGATGTCGACGAGGTGATCGACAGGGAGAAAGGGACCACGTACGGGCAGTTTGTTGCTCTGATTGTGAAGGCGCATTCGTAGATGTGTGGTGGGAGGCCTGAGACTTGGGCGGCGAGTGGCTGGGTGGCACGAGGTCCGACACGGTCAGTCCAGCCCCAGGTCGTGCAAGATGCACACATATTACATACCTACACACAGATGGACTGTGCAGCCTGTGGAGCTCGTAGTAGGGATGGATGCCTGAGTGGTGTACTTAGTCCCGGAGCGGCAATTTCAGCCAGCGCATGATCTGGGCGGCGAGGACGTGGTCTACGCGTGGTCTCTTCACGCCTGATGCTGGAAGGTTCAAGGGATTCACAACGTCAGCGACCAGTCAGTCGGGGGTGCACGCGGGGCCACGAACCGTGGCGGTTCGTTTCGTTCGCTATCAGTCACAAGACGGGGCACGATTTCATCATACGTTTGCGGATCGTAATTGGAACGCAGAGGAAGCCAGGCCGCTGGGGTTCAGGCTCCCGCATATTGCGTTGGAACGTACGTACGCCTGTATGGGAGAAAACCAAAGTTGTATCTTTCCCTTCACAAACACCATGATCCTCACATCTCACAACTTCCGACTAGGTCTATGGCGTGCACCACAAAGACGCCGAGGACGAGTTAGGAAAACGTCTGTAGTCAGCATCTCCCTACTCTCATCCCATTCCTGCGTACGTGAACTGGGTCGGGTCTCCAGATCGAGCCTTTCGGGCTGTAAACACGTCCTGTCAAGGTTACGGTGAAACCTGATGGGGTGGAACGGTTCGTCAATTGTCGCTGGCGGTACCCGCCCTCCTCCCGTTGATTCCACGTACTGGGTATTGAGCCGTCACAATGGAGCCGTACCGGAAGGAACGCAGCATGCTTTCCTGTGCGAGTTTTTGGCATGTACCAACTCGAGGCAAGTTGAGATGAGCCGCATTCAGATGCCAAGCTCAAATACCTACCTAGATTGCTAAGCAGCCGGACACTTGGATTCGTGGGTCTCGACTCGACTGCGTATAGTGGTGCAGTTTGAACGGGGTGTGGTCTGCTTCCTGTGCTCCACCCTCAACCTTCAGGGTACTCGTCCTTCACGTTGCTCACGAAAGTTCCCGTGTCGGGGTCATAGCGCTTGAACCATTTTCCGATCTCGATGGGGAATGCATTGACGTGCTGCTCCGTGATCTCCTCTGCAGACAACAAGACCACATTTTCCTGGGCAACGTAGCGTGTCGACTCGTCTTCGACGAGGACATTGTAGAAGGGCTGATTCCTTCCCTGAGGCAGGCGGTCGACTTGATTCATGGTGATCCACTGCTCTTGCATGCGGCAGTAATGGTCCCAGCCGTAGATTACGGCAAGATATCCGCGCCGGCGGTGCCGGAAGACCTGACCGACCTTGTACTCTACTATGGCGTTCCGCTCGTCCGAGCGATATTTCGGAGTGCGGGATTCGTGGTCCGAGTCTTTGAGTTGCGAGATGAGGTTACGGTAGGCGCGCGAGTCGGGAAGGGCGTACGCCAGCGGTAGGACGTGGGTTTCGAAAAGGTGTATGTCGAGATCAAAGTACTCGAGGAAGTGTTGTGTCAAGACGGCTAGGTGTTGGCGCATCTGTGCAGGGTGGTCAAGTGGGTGTGAAGGAAGGATGACCAGGGAGAACAGGGCGGCGTAGGTCGCTAGATTAGGGTTGATGGGGTGAACGGGCAAACCTGGGTCGTGAGACGGAGAGGAGAGGATGTTGTGTGCGGCTCGGATGGAGAGATCCCGGGGCGACGCGGCAGAGAGGTATGATGCCGTCTGGGCGGGGCTGGCAGTCGGCGTGATGAATTTCAATTGAGCTTCCAGCTTGGAGAGCGAGACGGGTTCGGAGTCGTTGAAAGGGTCCATGTACAAGTGGGTGTTCTTCGAGGGAGCGTTGTTCGAGGATTCTAATAGCTGGTTGCCATCTAGGTCGAACCCTGGGGGAGGTTGCACCAGGGCTTGGACATGGAAAGGATAGCTGCACGGAGCAGCGCGGAGATTGAATTGGCGGGCAACGTAGCAGTAAATAATCGCTGAGATCAGCGGCACTGAATTCCTGTTCTTGCTGAAAAGAGCGACGCCGAGGAACATGTGGTCGAGGCTGTGATAGTGTCTGTTGCCATGTATTCCTATCCACTGGTTGTCACGGAGATGCTCGGCAATGACAACGGCCTTCTGGCGAGGTGATAGTTCGTCAATGTCGGGATGCGCGTGACGGACAGAAGCTGCGTATGAACTCAGCCGCTCGAAAATCTAGGTCAAGTGTCAACACCAATGCTCATGTGGGAAGCAGGCAACTCACGTCGCTCATGTCTCCTTCCAGTTGTTCTTCTAGGATGAAGAGATCGAAGGCACTGAGAGAACGCTCATACGAGGTAATGGTGTCTCGCTGTTTGATGGCTGTCCATTCTCGTACGGCCATCAACCGATGTAGACAGCCAAGCGCTGCATGGCTCCAGTATCTGCATGATGGTCAAATTTACGTCGCATGTGCTCCTCGACGTCACACTCACCTTTGAGCAAGGCAATTCGGCGAGGAAGCGGCGTTCCAGTACATGTCGAGTAGGTCCTGCTTAGCATCGTAGCCAGCCTCGAGGACAACCTTCAGCGAGTCCAGGCGCCCAAGTTCCTCGGCTACGATCTTGTCGACAGCGTATCGAGTGGTTCGCGATGTCCGGTGGCGCTTCGCAAAAAGATCTTTCCACCCAGTAAAAGGCGTGTCCCGCAGCCGGGGCTCGAAAGCGTGGCGGCTATCCCACCATTTGAACGTTTGCTGACAGTAGTCTTTCCACAGAAGTGGTTCATTGGCTATGTCTGCAAAGTGCCGACATGTCTGTTGCAACGCGATATTGCTCAGGGGTGGCAAGTACGACAGAACGACCTGGAGTACCTCGTCGGGAAGACCTGTTAGGGGTGAAGGCATTGCGCCTCGGTCCTGAGGATTTGAGGTAGGGCTTCGCATGGCTGGATGGATACAAAATCTATCGATGTGGGCAATGGACGGCGTCGTCCAAGGAGAGTGTCGCGTGTACACTGTCTTGTCTGATCTGACATGGGAAAGTGAGCGAAATCAAAGAGCCCCGGATTTCGGAGGTTGGCCACGTCATGTTAGATGCCCGGATACAGCCAGCCGTGCCAGCCAATCAGAGCACAGAAAAACATGTGACATCAATACCAAAAACGCCAAGAATGTATGGGTGACAGTGGTGACTAGGTACCTTAGAAGGTATTGGCTGCGATCGTGAAGCCATCATTGATCAGTCATGGATCTCTCATCACGCATCGTCCGCATTCTGTGTAGTGATCACTCATTTACAGAAGGGCGGTCTTCAGAGTACCCTTTTCGGCATGTATTTTCACCAGCTGAGCGAGGAACGGCCCCCAATCCTCCCTCGTCCTGTCCATCTTGGCCTTGTCCGCCTCTACGCTGGTGGTGTCGGTCATGGCAGTCAATGACAATAATGAGTACTCCAAGGCGTAGGTCGTAGCCGACTCTAACTGGGCTTGAAGCTCGGGCAGAACCACCGCTACCCAGCTGTCTCCATTGCCCACGGACCCCAGCTTACGGGGTAGCTTTTCGAGTCCGTCCATCCTCCACACATCACCCACGGCTGGAACGTATGCGACAAAGTGAAAGCCGCTCTCATCTTCAAAAGCGTCCTCATCTTCCTTGCGTTTCTTGCGCGGGCGCTTGGATGAGGCCGCTCTCTTTCTCCTCTCCACCAACGCGAAGTCTTGTTTGAGGCGGAGATCGACATTCATCTTGTCGAACTCAGTGGCGAAAGAGTTATGCACGTCTCTGACGAAGTCGAACTGATCCAGAGCGAGGCCGCGGTCCTTGGGCGTCATGCCGATTGTACTCAATCTGAAGGCATTCAGAGTCTCGCCCAGATTGATCGTTGCATGGTTGTTGACAATGTTCATGAGAGCAACGGACGCACACGAATTCGATAGCGTCTGATTGGCAAACCAGACGCCTGCTGGAGGCTCCTTCGTGGCATTTTCTGTTTCCGGCGCTGCCCACCTAGAGAGGAAAATCAAACCATAGATGCTCTCGCTGCAACTGGTAAGCACGCATCATGTATAGTATTTTGGTGACTTACGGCGGGTACTCGAAGACACTGTCGAGTGGAACTACTTCGTTGACCTGGACGTTGGGAACGCCCCACTCTCGCAACAAAGTGCTGAAGATCACCTAAGTCCAAGCATTAAACCAGCACAATTTGTACTTTCAAGGACCCTTGTCACCTACTGGATCGTTCTCTAGCTCTGCCCATCCTTTCCAGGAACCAGCCTGCGTGCCATCGACTGGAATACCATCGGTGCCCACTGAGGCGCTGTCACGAGGGGTCGAAGCAGCGAATGAGCTTCCTTGCCCCGAGTCTCCCCTTGGCGGGTTGGCCACAGACTGTGAAGCCACGATGTTCTCGTCGGATGGCATTTCAGGCGACGTCCCCGGACAAAAGCCTGATAATTGTGTGATATCGAGCTGGGGAAGGGAAGACCTCGGAAAACAACCAAGACACCACCACACACGCAGTGGAAGCTCCAGTTTGATTGGAAGGCGCGGCTCGGTTCGAACTGATAACTCGACAGACTTTGACCGGGATTTTTCAGAGAGGCCGGGCGGTATCTAGTCAAATAGCAGAAGCACCGGCATTGTGCGCCGGCAAGAGTGACGTTGTTGGTGTTGAGGAATTCGAAGAAGCTCCATCTGGACGATGGTAATGGCTTCCAGCGAAACTCAACCCAGATCACATCGCATGTGCCAAGGGAACAGCGTCATGATTGGATCGCCGCAAATGACAATTGTCACTGGGGCAGAGTATCTACTCTAAAGAATACACCTTGAAATCTAGATTAGAAAATTCCGGCAGCACCCAGGCGTCAAGGTGAGAAACCGCGTTGGGATGTGCATTGGGACGCAAGGCTGCGAATGACGTCACACAAGGCGGCCGCCAAGAGTCGGAATTTGGACAGCCTCGTTCGTACAGCCTCGTGGTTCTCGTGCAAGTGAATCGCAGACGCGTGTGGTGCAAACAGTCGTGACGACAACGTCCGCCAACAACGATTCCAGGTACTGGCCACTCTCGATCCCAGCTGTCGGCTTGTATTCTGCGTGCCAATTGGAGAACAAGCTCACTAACATTTCGGACCAGCCCAAAAAGTTTCACTCGTTGTTGTTGCTGTTGTCGTCAGACTATTCAGACTGCGACTTAGCGATCTCTTGCGGACGATAGTTCGAGTTCTCCCGCAGAAACCGCCTTCCGCTCGGAGTCTCATAGGACGACGAAGCCGCATGGTGCAATGAACGAGACACCGCGACTGCGGTCGGCTTTTCCACCCACGCCTCGAACCGACCCTCGAGCCCGAACTCTCAACCTCAATGGCCGCTCGGGCCCAGGCTCGTCGCCGCTTTTCCCGCAGAAACCGTCCCCTGTAGTCAAACAACCTGTCAAGATCTCTCCAGAAGCAGTAGCTACTGGCACGCCGCTGATACCAACGGACATCATTGATGTTCCACAACAGAGATTCTATATCTTCGCGTTTTACATTGCTCTGACGGCGTGGAGGTTATACAACTCGTTCAGTGTCGAGAGTGACCTTGATTCAACATGGCTGTTCCTCAAGTGGGTGGGAATAGATGCCGCGTTTTTCGTGGCGTTACCGGCATTTAAGATACCCTGGCTGGAGTTTTCATTTCTTACGACTTTCACATTGTGGTTACTACATGCTATTGCGAATGCTTTTTTGATGTACAAGATACCCATTCCCTTGCTGACCTGGCTGGGCGCTCTGGTCAAGGTGGCATACGACCGCGAACTTTCGCTCTCGGAACACCGGGTAAAACCTGCAGACATCTTACAGAACTCCTCCATTATTTTGGGGAAGCAGATCATCCACATCCTACCAGAAGGATCCGCAATTTTGAATCCCGGGAAGAAGTCATACTGCCTCGACCCTTCGAATCCTGCAGCTTACCTACCGATTCAAATCAATCAGACGACGCCTATCTCAATCGAACTTCAGCGTTATGATCTCGACACGGACGAGGTCGAGACGATCACAATTGGCAGCAAACAAGCCAAACAATTATTGAAGAAGGCTAATACCGGTCATCACAAATCTGACAGAAGTACACCTCGGACTTTGCATTATTCAGTCTCGAAGAAAGGCCTTTACCAGCTACACCGCGTTATTGACGCCACGAAACTAGAAGTGCGAAGACGAAGTTTCGATGTAGCTGTCGTGCAATGCCCCGAAGCGTCCATCTCAGCCGAGTCGGGGGACAGGTGCACAGGAGAGCTCAGCAACGTCTCCTTGAAGGTGTCAGGAGTGCCCCCCTTCAAAGTCAGATACAGCAAGACGGTCAACCACAAGCAATTCAGTTCGATTGTGCAAAATGTCCAGCCTCATGTGGACCCTGGTCTTGTTGCCGACGACGAGTCTGCCGGTGTCGTTCTCGATCCTCGGCGGCCCCACGTTGGTTGGACGAAATCTATCACCGAATCTTTCGAGATCAATGAATCCTTACATCAGAACGGAAGCCATTCCTACACCGTGGAGGAGGTAGAGGATGGTCTTGGCAATAAGGTCATTTATGATGCTAGCAATCCCAAGGATGCCCATGCGCCGCGGCTTCAGAGCTTGACCGTCCATAACCGACCTCGAATCACTCTCGGAGGACTCAATGTTGACCGAGTACTTCGGGCTCGTGAGGGACGCGCTATCAATCTCCCTATCCGCGTTCCACACCCAGATTCCTTGCATTCGTCCGATTGGCCGCTGAAAGTCAGATACAGTTTTGTCTCCGAGGACGGGCAAGAGGATTCCCAAGCGGAGCACCATTCCTACGACATGGCTAATCGTCACTCGACGCCACTGGTCACTGTGCCTGGAAGGTACAGCCTTGAGTCCATCGACAGCCCATACTGTCATGGAGAGGTTGCAGAGCCCTCGTCTCTCTTGCTGTCCAACCCACCTAAGCCTGGATTGATTCTGGAAAAGGAAGACATCTTCGACAAATGCGCTGGCAATCCTATCGGCATGTACGTCAACTTTGACTTTACTGGCAGCCCACCATTCAAAGTAAGATACGTTGTCATCCACCAAGGCCGAGCGCATGGAAAGGTTGAAGAGTTCCCGGGTATGCGTGGTCGGATTGAGTTGCGAGAACGAGCAGCAGGCTCGTACACGTACCGGTTCCGCGATATCGAGGATCAGGTGTACGGCGTTGTTCCCCTCACGGATCAAAATCTTGTCCTCGAACAAGATATCAGGCCACCAGCGTCCGCGTCCTTTCAGGAAGACGCTCGTGTTATCAAAGCATGCCTGGGTTCCCCCGTCTCTGTGCCAGTCAGACTGTCTGGCCAGGGACCGTGGAATTTGGATTATGAGGTAGTACATGCCGGCAAGCGCAAAAAATACAGCATCTCTTCGGAGGAAGAGCTGTACAACATCGAGCTGTCACCCTTCACCAATGGAGGCAGCTACTCGGTTGTTCTAATGGGCGTACAAGATCAGTCCAAATGCCGTACGACTCTACAAGAAGAACGCAAGATCGAGGTCAGACCAGAGCAACCAAGAGCTGCATTTGGCGACATTGAAGGGAAGCGCTCGATATTGGCACTAGACGGGAAATCTGTCAAGCTTCCCTTACGACTTCAGGGCATCGCCCCTTGGGCTGTCAGACTACAGAACCTCGACCAGGGATCAGACTCATTCGAGCAGATCTTCAAAGATGCAAATGGGGAGCTTTCCGTCAGTCGCCCTGGCACGTACGAGATAGTCTCGGTGCATGATAGCTGTCCCGGTGTGGTTGATCCCAAAGCGAATCAGTTCGAAGTCAGCTGGATAGCTCGCCCAACACTATTCATAAGAGACTCGGCAGTCGAGAAAGAAAGTATTCGAAGCTTTCGCAAACCGGCCGTATGTCAGGGTGACGAAGCAACACTGGCACTCGCGCTCAGTGGTAACGCACCCTTCCACATCAAATACCAGCAGAAATTCGAACCCATCAAAGGACCTTCGGCAATCAGCAATAAACCTGCTACATTTGCAGGCGCCAACGCCCAAATCAATCTGGACACAAGCAGAGCCGGTGAATATACCTACGTTTTCAGTGAACTTAGTGACGCGCGCTACTCGCATGACAACAAGGCTTTCACACCCACAATCGTGAAACAACAAGTGTACGCGCCTCCCTCCGCGGCATTTGGCCAAGCGGGCAAAACATATGGATACTGTAAGGACGATCCGAGCTTTACAGCCAGTGTCGAAGCCGAGACGGAGCAAATACCCATCAAGTTCACAGGCACACCACCTTTCAGTGTTGAAATCGCCATCACACACCACGGCGTCTCCACTCGCCCAGAAATCATTCGCCAAAAGGATATCCAGACCAATACGTACTCCTGGCCGCTTTCCCGTGCCACTCTTGACCTAGGCACCCATGCGATATCCATCCGCAGCGTCAAGGACGGTCGCGGCTGCGAAAGTATCCTCGACAACGACCCGTCCTCAGTGCGCGTGCACGTCTCCTCCCCACCAACGATCATTCCGCTCGAAAGCCAGGAACACTACTGCGTCGGCGAACACGTTTCCTTCTCCCTGAGTGGACAGGCGCCCTTCGATATCTTCTACAGCTTCAACGCGCGCGAGCGCAAGGCCCGTGTCAGCGGGACAGAATTTCGGCGTCTTGCCGAGGCACCTGGCGAATTCATCATTACGGGTGTGAGTGATTCTGCCATGGGCAACTCGAAGTGTCGTGCGAGAAAGGACATTCGCAAAAAGATCCATGCGTTCCCGAGCGTGGAGATCGCGCAGGGTCGCACTGTTGTGAGTGATATCCACGAGGGGGGCGAGGTAGATATCGAATTTCGATTCACGGGCACGCCGCCCTTCGAGTTTACGTGAGTTACCTTCCCACCAGCCTTTTCTCCCTTTGTCACCTTGAATTGTGCGAAATGGAAAATGGTCGTTGCTAATGCTGACATACTAGATACACTCGTTCCGAAAATCCCGTCAGGGGCAAAAAGGGCAGTAAGCCACGCATTCTTGAAACACGCCACGAGACTTCCAACGAATTCAGAAAGATGATCCGCGCCAGTGACGAGGGCATCTACGAGGTCGTGAGCATCAAAGATCGCTTCTGCAGCTACACGAAACCTTCCCATAAGGCTTCGTCCGGTGGAGCTGGCCTTTTGGGAGGCGCCGGGCAGAAGAGGTTGACATATTGACTGTTCCACTTCCATTCGTAGTGTGCTAGCTGCATTCTGGTAGGAAGGCGGCTGCAGAGCGTGGTGAATGGATGCCCTACCCCAGTCTGAAGTGTGTGGTGCTCGAGGGGACTGAACAAGCCAAGTGGGATGGAGATCTGCCTGAGTCACGATGTTTTCATCCCTGAAGAGGCCGCTAGGTATGGAAACGGCTGTGCTTTGAGCGGTGAAGGTACAAGGTACAACGATATCGCCTGGTGGAGCGTTGGGAAGGCGCCTGCTCGGATAGTTCTGCAGCCACTTCTTCTAGGCCCGTTCCTGCTTCCAGTTTCGTGCCTCAATGCGTGTCCATCTTTAGCGATAACTTCTTGCAGGGAGTTGAAGATACATCTACTCCGTACCTGACCACGCGGTCCCGCTCTCCGATCCTTGTGCTTCCCTCATGGGTCCGTGTCCGATGCCGGGATTTGAAGTTTGACGCGTCGTGCCAAGATTGCGGTGAGCACGTCAATGCATATGCGAAGATCCAATTCACATGGGACGGCGTACCCATTACTGCAGCATATCACGAATAAAACTGGATAACCATTCCGAAAGTGCGACAACCTCTCTCGCCGCGTGATGGGGATTGAGCCTCGAGACCCTTTGTCACACCTTGGTGCTGTGCAACGTCTCCTGCGTAACTTATATCTCACCCACATCCTCGCCTACACAGTACGGATCTAAGTCATATTCTTGATCAACGCTCGGACCTACCTGACAAGGTGGCTCCAGTTGGTTATCATCGCTCCACCGTCAGACCTCCCTACGGCGACCGTCCAGCAGAGTCGAAAAGCCCATCCACTCCTAGGTGGGATCAATCTCTGGAATCCAGGTGGCTGGGTGTCGTGATGCATGCGGCATGCGGGTCAGACACCCCCGGGTCGCCGCCGTTGGGGACGTACAGTACATTGCTGGGACGGGCCTCGTTCAAGTAATTACCAGGTCCGGAGTAGTGCATGTGGCGGCCCCCAACGATCTTCTGGCCACTCAAATCTTGCCCCCCAGCTCGCTACCGGCTACCAGTAACATGTACGGAGTATGGGGTACAGCTTATCTGTAAGGGCTTCCCATATCTTGAAGACGCGTCTACACCGTACTTACATGCACGATCTACTAGTGTTCCGAGCTGGATCATGCTTTAGCAGATGGACACACAGCATGGAGTTGCACCTGCACGACTACGCCTGGCACGTCCTTCGCCATGGCTTTGACACGAGCGGTGAAGTCAGGGTATATGGCGAGTCATAGCCCCGGCTTGAGGTTGCTGGGACAATCTCGCCGGGCGCAATGGGCGCAACATAGCCAATGACTTATTTTCGAGATGGTAAAACGCCCTATTCTGTAGAATTCCTCCCAATTTTGGTTTCCTTCGGCACGTTGCCTGTTGGGCATCGCATAACCAAGATGGCCAATTGGGACGATTTCAGTCCCTACGTGAGAATGGCAGCTGACCGTTTGCTGGACAGCCCCCGAAAAAGCAAATCGTCTGGGTCTGGACCTGTGTGAGAGCGGCAAAAAACCCCTCGTTGTCGAAGTCGAAGCTGATAGCTGTGTTGAGTGTCGCTGCGCGACATCAGCGATCAACATGAAGTCCGGGTCATGCCCCAATTGCTCCGCCCCGCGATGTCCAAGGTGCGAGAAAGAAAAGGTTGTCAAAAAGTAGAGGCGGCGACATTGGCATCGAGGTGTATCCGACATGCTAGCTACGTGGCATTCAGTGAGTGCGCTTGTCCTTGACGCCCGGCAGCATTGTGCAGTCAATCAGAAGCCGATACCTCCCTGCTCGAACGTGTCACAACATGCTGCTAACACACAATCAGCTCGTCTCCGACATGGCTGTCTGTCGCCAGACGACGCGGGTTCAAGTCGTCAGGCCCGACCAGCCTATTTCCCTAACCCATACACATACGTTGACATTACCAGCTTGCAAGGGATCCAAGCCGCTGTCTACGCCTTGTTCATAGCACCCTCCTTGCCCCTATATACGTGTCGACACCGCTCGGCTACGAAAGAAGGTAAAGACGAGATCTCCGCCCTGATTACAGCATGCTTGTTGCTCCTTTCCCATTCAGCAGCCACCGTTGCTCAAATACTATCTCGAGCGATGCCACAATCTGGGTCTTTGATCCGCGCTAGTGACGTCGTGTGGCATCCAGAGTTCACAAGGCGGTGTCGGGACCTCAATCTCAGAGAGCTAGAAAAGTCTCACTTGGAGTGGCTGGCGCAGAGTGTGGCGGACACAGTAGAGGATGTGGAAAGAGCCCGGGCTGCGCAACTGGATGTGAATATTGCGCCCCTGTTCATAAGGGACGACGACGACGAGATCTCTGCTGAAGCCGATAAAGTCGAAGCATTCTGCCCCAAGACGACTCTCCGACATCTTTTGACAGAGACCGTGGAAGGCGGCACTTCTCCAAGCCCCAAGGCTCTGTTGGATGAGAGGAGTATCAATGGTGGTGTTATCAGTGAAAGACGCAACAAAGGCCCACTCACTGCGCGACAGCTGTACCAGGCGCTTAGTGAGCCTCGCTATCGGTCGAATCAGGCACAGTATTTGGATGTACGACACAGACACATATACCTCACTGACCTGGATCCTGAGTGCGTATGCGCCATCTTCGGCACAGCACCACACTATCAGAAGCGCGCGGTCGGTTCCTTGGTGTATAGGCATCTCCAGTCGGCGCCTCACACAACTGTCTCCATCTCTCCACAGGGACACAATTTTGCGTTTGCATTTCACCTTCGCTACAAGCTGATGCGCCGGTCCGATACCCCAAATCTTGATACACGGCGCTTTGCGAACAATACAGCTCTCCGGGAGTATCGAAACGTCTCGTTCCTCGACAAAAGAGGCAATCAGCCCGGTATTCATTGCTACGAAGCACAAATATCCTATCTGGTAACCGGAAACGATGATTCGTTATGGGATTCTCTTTGTATCAGCGACAACTACTTTAATTCCAAGCAAGCCGGGACGAGTCTAACGGACGTATACGAGGAGATCAGTCAAGACGCCGACGGACTTGTGGCCCTCGATCCATCCACCCGAGGTGAAGCCGGGCCTGACTTCCCTGCCACGGATCCTCGCGAGAAGTTTCCGAGAACGCTGGCGTACCACTTGAAGCGCGTTACAGCCGAGTACATGCGCATAGTGGACTGGCTGAACGACCCCGTTCGTGACTATGCGCAGTGTAAACATAACCGGCAGCATCTCTCCAAGAGACCTCATACCAAAATGAAAGACGAAGGCTTCGACACCCTCAAATGGAGTGCAGAAGTCAAAGATCTAGCAGACATGTTTTCGATGGAGGTGGCTGACATAAAGGATGAAGTCGGGAGTTTCCTTGAAAAGAACCATATTCTCTTCCCATCGGAACTCTGTGGTCCTGCGATATCCGACATCATTGATAACATGGAGGAGTTGGAGAAGGTGCAGAGGAGGCTCCGAAGTGTCAGCAGCAGGTGTAAGAGTCTGATCGAAACTGAACAGAATCTCCTGCAGCAGTTCCCTGCCGAAATAGGACGGAAGACTGAATTCATTTCGAAGTCCATATACCCTGTGATGATCGCGACGGGCATCTTCTCCATGCAGGATCATGTTCTGCCCTTCAAAGCCAACACCACGGCATTTGTATGCGCGCTGCTGATTGCATTTTGCCTGATTCACCTTGGTTTCGAACCGTCGTGGTGGCATTCAGCTGTAAGTGCAGCCGCCAAAATTGGTGTGAGCCAGCGGATCCAAGCAATGTATCTCCGTCTTCCAGAACGCATGCGAACAGGATTAACCAACTCAACCCCACATCACCAATCGACTGATGCAGTGGAATTGTCGGCTTGGAGGTTGCCGCGGAGTAGACGCGACCTCCAATCTGCGGCCCTGCCAGGGCCAGTGATGGAAGTATGAGGCCTGCAGCATATTGTAGCAGGCCGGACAAATCATCTTACTTTCCGCTTTACGGGTTGCATCCTATCTGCATTGAGCGCATTGAATCTCACTAATTGAGGGAGAAGCTGGAGCATCGAGTCCGAAGAGCTGTTGGCTAAGCAGACCGCTGACAGGTGAACTGCGGCTGAGCCGGAACTCACCACAATCTCAATTCAACTTGACCCTCACGTCAACCTCATTCAGATTGATCTCACGTGTGTGCTAATAATTCATACTCATGGCGACTTCGGTCTTTCAGATCTTAAAGTCCTTCTTCCTGAAGTCTGAGAATCCTCGATGATGATGAGGCTCGTAAAGACAACCGAAGGCACGATGCCACCGTCACATGCTGTGCAGGGCGACATCATGGTAGCCTACATCCCTGCTCCTCTACACACTGTTTCTCTGAGCAAGAAGACCCAGAGTCTCAATGATGCGCTGAGCCCAGGCTCGTATCGATTCGAACATGTCGCTAACGGTCGCAAGGTCGATTCTGGGAGAATTTTCCGACCCCGAGCGACGGCGGGTGGCTTCGATAGGATCGCTACCCAGCCTCACAGTGTCCCAAACACCACTCCCCGCGCGAGAGACGTGTCATATGGTGTAGGGCGAGCGCTACGTGGCGTTGCCAGCTGTCTGCGATGCTCGTGCCCTGCACATCTATGCGAGATGATTCGTTGGTGAAGCTGATTGGGCGGCCAGCAGAGCAGCAGCATCGCCCTGCCAAAAGGCAACTACTTGTGTCGTGCTTCCACCTGCTCTTCCAATGTTCTCCCCGCGTCCTTCCAGCCTTCAAACAACATAGTGCCGCGGACCATGGCGACTCTGGACGCCGACAGCCTCCAGGTCCTCCTCGATGGGTTGGGTGTGGACGACACGGGCCGTTCGTTCCCAGCCGCAGACGTTCTGACGCGGCCGCTTGACATCTACCGAACGCATCTAGCACAAGTTCTTGTGAAGCTCACTGATTGCGAGCCACAGCTGGCTTATGATTCGATCCAGGAGCCCAACGACTACGGCGATCTGGAGGTGGTCATTCCGCGTCTGCGCCTCAAGGGATCAGACCCCAAGGAGCTCGCACTCAATCTGGCTGAGAAGGTGTGCCCGCCGCAAATCCTCCAGTCTGTTTACTGACCGGTTGTTTGCCCTGCATCTAGTTTCCAGAAACACCTCTTTTTGACCAGCCCTTTGAGGACGGCATTCACGTCCGACTGTACATATCTCCGGAAACTTTGGCTCGCATCCTCCTGCCATACATTCTCGACCGTGGCAAGTTCTATGGCAGCTGCCTTTTTCCCGGCCTCACAAGTGGCGATGTTCATCGTGGCGCTGGCAGACGAGTCATCGTTGACTTCTCGTCGCCCAACCTTGGCAAAGAGTTCGACGGCACCCACTTACGAAGCACCGTCATTGGCGCTTCCATTGCTTCCTTGTATGAGGGCATGGGATGGGACGTACGACGCCTGAACTTCCTTGGCGACTGGGGCAAACACATCGGCCTCCTTGCTGTCGGATGGCACAGGTTCGGCTCGGACGAGCTGCTCGAAGAGGAACCGCTCCGACATTTACTCGACGTATACGCAAAGATCGACGAACTGTCCAAGGCCGAAGCCTCGGCTAATCAGGAGAACAACACGGAAGTCGACACCGCAGGCGAGGCACCACTTACCGAAAATGTCCCGATTTCGACTCAGCTGGACAACGCCTTTAAGAAAATGGAGGATGGCGATGCCGACGCCGTTGCATTGTGGAAGCGACTTCGTGAGGCCTGCGTCACAAGGTATGCCGATTTATATGCCGAGCTCAACATCAATTTCGACGACTACTCGGGAGAATCCGAAGTCAGCAAAGCCACCATGTCCGAGGTCGAGGCAATTCTTACCGAGAATGGAGTCTACGAAGACAGTAACGGAGCTTGGATCATCGACTTCAAGAAGCACGGAGCGAAAGGTCTACCAACTGTGACTGCACGTCACCCTAATGGGACAACCAGCTATCTGCTCCGCGACGTGGGAGCGGTTCTCGAGCGCAGAAAGAAATACAACTTCGACAAGATGATCTACGTCGTCTCTGCAAAGCAAGACGTTCATTTCCAGCAGCTATTCCGGACGCTGGAGCTGATGGGCGACGAGTACCACAACCTCGCACAGTCTCTGCAGCACGTGAGTTTCGGTCCTGTTCGAGGCCTGTCACCACAGTCAGCGAGCAGCGGGCTTCTGTTGGGCGACATCCTTACACAGTGCCAGGAGGTGATGCAAGAGAGCCTCAAGGCAGAGGGAAATGATGATTTCTTCCAGAGCTACGGAATTAACGGCGATGGAGCTTTGACTGATGCAAGTGAATTTGCCAGGCTTGCTCTCATCAGCCAAGAACTGTCGACCAAGCGCTCCGCCACGCTCAACTTCACTCTTGGAACCGATGAAAAGATTGGCGCTCTCGCTGACAACTATCCTGGTTTGAGAGTTCAGCGATGGCTCGATAATCTTCGGTCAAAGGCAAAGCTTCAGGGTGGTGAAGCACGGCGAAGCCTCGAGCACGAAGGCCTCGATTACACGCTTTTCACTGAAGAAGAATCGTATTCATACGCAGATATGCTCAAGTTGTTGGCGCGGTTCCCGATTTGCGTGAAGCACGCGTTTGACAAGCTTGAGCCTGCGATCATCCTCTCGTACTTGGTCCAGGTGATTGACATGTTGCCGTCGGTATGGGATGAGGAGGAGAACAATCCCCATTCCGAGGATACTGGGATTGAGCCCGATAATGAAGGAGAGGGATCATCATCAGCCGTGCGACCTGCCCGGAATCACGACGCCCTGAGGACCATCTTCTGTGAATGCGTCCGGACGGTAGTAGAAAACGGTATGAATCTGATTGGCCTCGTGCCTATCAAGGAACGAAAACGAGAATCCCTGGAAGTGTCAGAGTCAACGCCAGCGGTCTTGCCCGAAGAGGTGAGCGAGGGGGCACCTCCTATGGTTCAATCGCAAGAAGCCGGCACGGAACAAGCTCCCACGGTCCGTCCACAAGGAAATTGTGGGGAGCCAAGTGCTCCAGCCATGCCGCAAGAGGTCAACGAAGAGCTGACACCTACAGCTAATCCACAAGATAACCACGAGGCCACTGATGTGGCTGAGGTGCATGTAGCCATCGAGGAGCTAGCGCTTCCAACTGTGCCACCAGAGCTCATAGACGAGGTCACCGAAGACGCAGCGGAGGTTCCAGCAGCGACCGACTCGTCATTACCAAAAGAGGTGGACGCGGTGGCAGATCCCACGGGCGTGCTGCAAGGAGTCAATGAAGAAACAGGCCCGGCCGTATTGCAAGAAAACAGCGACGAATCAGCGGACGTTGGCCAGCTGCAGGAAAGCAATGAGGAAACAACACTTCCAGCTTTGCCAAAAGTCACCGAGCAGACGACGCTTCCAGCCTTTGTGCCAGAAGATAATGATGGGGCAACGGAGGTAGCTCTGGCAGGAGAAATCGCAGAAGTGGCTAACCCCTGGATCACACCGCAAGAAAGCAGGGGAGACGACGCTCCCATGACTATTTCGCAAGTTATCAACGCAGAGGCCGCGGTCCCTGCCATGCCCCAAGACCGAGAGGACCCAGGTTCTACAGCTGTTGGACAGGAAGTGAACGAGGCAGCACCCGTGGCTATACCTCAGGATATCAACGAGGATGCTGGGCCTTTACCTATGCCCGTGGAGGTTATAGTGGAAGCAGCCGTTCCAGAAGAGATCAACGACGCAGCCTCCGCCGGTGTATCGAAAGGAGACAACGAAGACCCATTGCTTAGTGCAATCTCAGAAGAGGCGCACGAGCCCATCGGTACTCCTCAACCCGTTAACGAGGACTTGCCTGCGCCTATACCTGAGGAAACCAACGTGGAAGCAATCAGCACATCAATCCCGTCAAGGGCAAACGCAACAGAGTCCCTAGATACTCTTCAAGGACAGAACGAGGAAAACTCCGCCCCCGAGATGAAGGAAGTCGACGTGGAACCGACTACCACCGCCAGCCCGGAGGACGAAGGTAGACGGTGATCACGCGTCAACCACGCTCCCCCGAGGGGTGAGCGACGAATGATGACGAGACCCTTTCTTACTGTTCCAAAGACCCGTCGGAGGAAGGTATCGTGTCGTCTGGCCCGAAACAACGTCGTAAGGAAAGACGAAAAAAGGACAAGGACATTCGGCAGGCAATCTCGTGGATGCAAAGACTGATCTACCCTTAGGAGCTGTTCTCTGGTCGCTGCACTTCGTGTCAATAGCGGGCCACCAGATCTAGGATGAACAGCTCAACACACCAAACCACACCACACCACACCTGGACGTCGCTGTGCACGCACGCTTGGGACATATTCCGCAACCAATGCCCTACGTTACGTCACACCGTATACCAAATACCGTCGCGCCTATGCCTTACACCCGACCTTGGACGCCTCGAACGTTCACCCTATGTTCCCGTATTCCTATGGCCGGAAGTCTGACGCCCGTCCCCTCAGGAGGGCGGTGTGTGTCACCGGCCGGGCCGTGCGTTCTTCACCCCACGTGGAAGGCCCGTCCCTACCCTGGTTCCAACTAACTTCTACCCTCCCTCGGGAGGGTCGTGCCGCGGTCGTCGCGTGTCCAGCGTCCGCTGGCCGCCCGGCCCGGCCTGCAAGGTAGTTACCTGGTTGACTCTGGCAGTATGTGGCGGGCATCCCTGCCCTGTTCCTGTCTTGCCACTGCCATTGCCCTAGGGCAGGGCAAGAGCTACGCTGCATTACATAGTCCATAGCTCTCCGAGAGCCTTGCTCTCGGTAGTTAGAGAATCAGAGATTGACAAGAGTTACGGTGCCCTACCACACAGTAGTCATATGCTTGTCTCAAAGATTAAGCCATGCATGTCTAAGTATAAGCAATTTATACTGTGAATGCATGGCTTAATCTTTGAGACAAGCATATGACTACTGTGTGGTAGGGCACCGTAGTCATATGCTTGTCTCAAAGATTAAGCCATGCATGTCTAAGTATAAGCAATTTATACTGTGAATGCATGGCTTAATCTTTGAGACAAGCATATGACTACTGTGTGGTAGGGCACCGTAGTCATATGCTTGTCTCAAAGATTAAGATACTGCCATGTTCAATGGATGGAGCATAACATACCTACACCTCCATCCCACTTGAGGCCTCGGAAATGTGGGGACCGCACCTGACAGCATGCAACTTAATGGAATTGATGACGCCAGATGACATTGACGACGAGCACGACTCTGACAATGACGACGACATTGACCGTGATAGCAACGACAGCGAGAGCAGGGTACGAAACGACAAGCAGGAACATTAGTTGACGATGACATTAACGATGATAGCCGCGAGAGTCAGAGGAGCGTACGAAAGATGATGACAATGACAACGATGAGCCGGGGGACAAGCACGAAAGTGATAATTGCGATGATAGTAGCGACAGTCGGAAGAGGAGTTCGAAATGTACGGAGGTACTACGGGTGACCTATGAAGAGTACTTATGTTCCTGTCAACCTAGGCCCCGAAAGCTTCATGTTTTGTGCTGATGTACGGAGAACGGAGTACTCAAATCAACGACGGACGCTCGCTATGATACAATAGAATACAACACAATCTTGTGCGGTGTAATGCAACGCATCTATCTACCTGACTACGTACCTACCTACGTACTTCGTCTCAGGAATTCCATATTATATGATACGTTGATATACCTAAACCTTAGTGACGGACGCTCAGTGTAATAGGATACAATGCAATACAATGCAATGCAATACAATGCAATGCAATACATTACACTCAGTCACCCCGATCACTGCTCAGGCCACGGAATGGACACAAGTTTCATTTCCCACGCCCTGTAGCCCACCTACTATACGTAACACACAAGGCTCACTCGGAATGTTCAAGTTGATTGCGCCAGACTTAAGCAGGACCAGACCAAACCCAGCTCGAACGTGACGGCGCTGCGGCTGGTGAGGAATTCATTCGTGCACGAAGAACAATGGTCTAATATGCACTACTGTAGTTGGGAGAGGATCAAGGCCTAGCTAGGTCCATGCGAGGTGTGACGAAGGGAGAGGAGCGACGTAGACTCGTCCTGCCATGAAGACAACCTACATACCAAGTACTCGACAAGACGCAGGAGCAGACGCACGACCGGCGCAAGACATAAATTGAATTCATCACAAAGGCGGAGAACTCATGTTTTCAGAGGAAGAAAAGGCAGTCTTGTGCATTTGTCCCCATCTCGAGATCGAGCTGCGGAGCGTGGGACGGAGCTCTGCAAGCCCAGTGTCTAGCTCGGTACGCGCAAAGACATCGACCTCGGAGACCTACGTATAACTAACTAGGTGCCTTGTTCCTTGTCGAGCTGCAACTCCTTTCGGAGAAATCCCAATGATGATCTGGTTGACTGGGTTCTGCGTCCAGGCACCCACTTCGAAACTCTTCAATGCCTGGATATTTGGGGTTTCAGGCTCCTGGCTTCCTCCTGTTCTTTTTTTGATAGTTTTCTATGATTTTCTGTGGTGGCATGCATCCATATGGCGTTAAAGTCCGCTTTCAATGCTGGCGAAAGTAGCGAGCGAAACTTGGCACGTGAGCGGAAATAGGTATGGATGCGAAAAATAAATCGCGTTGAGATTTGTTGATGTCGGGCCCTGGGCAAGGAGACACGCCAGGTGACGTCGACTGTCAAGTGTAAAGCGTCGCGGAGATACAGAGGAGGTGGGAAGAGAGAGGCGGCGAAAGGCGTATCGAAGTGTAAGCCTAGGACGTATGGCGTATGAATATGTAGTCGATGATTGAGAGTGTTCGTGTTGTGGAGAGTTTTGAGGAGAAAGGTCAGGAGTATCTCGTTGAGGTCGTCGAAGATGGCTTTGGTGCTTACGTCAAGTGTGGTGGGCGTAGTGTGAGGCTGGGGTCGAAGTAGGTAGTATTGAATAGAGGGTGTGTCGAGCATCGTGCTTGTGGGTTGGAGGTAGGGTCGTTGTAGGGCTGATATGTCTGAGATTGAATGACAGAAAAGCAAATAGCCAGCAAACGCCATGCAGATCTACAATCCATGTAGAAGTCCGGCATGATCCTTGGGACTTTTGCGCCAGTCGTCCCTGCGACTCCCATCGCAACATGGCTCTTCGGGACATACAATGTCATAAGCCATGAAACACCGACCGAATCATGCTCAGCAAGGAGCCGCTAGCCGTCCGGCCGTCTGTTCGATCCAGAAAACACCCTGCGCCAAAAGAAGCAGAAACTGTACGTACGCTGTTGTACAGATCCGGTAAGCAGCAAAACCGTATCAGCCGGCCATGATGAAACTCCCAGCTTGCGCATGTCGCATGTCATGGACCCTTCGTAACCCTGAAGAGATAGACAGACGCCCTAAACAGAAAATAAAGAAAACCACCACAAAATCCGCCACGACTGTGGAATTACTGAGCGGTTTGGCCCACGGCCGCCGCCTGTGGAGGGTGGCCTCCGCGCCCTCGAGCACCCTGACCACGACCCCGACCTCGGTATCCACCACGTCCTTGGTTGTTGTTATTGTTGTACTGCTGCGGAAAGCCATTGAACTGGTTCTGTGGCTTCCTAAATTGCGGGTATTGACCGTTGGCATTGGTGGCGTGCTGATTCGTAGGTGTAGTTGACGTGTTCGGTCTGGCAGCCGGAGCAGGCGGAGGCAACGCACGAGGAATGTTTTCTGGATTGTCGTACACATACAGACTCTTGTCGATAGACGGAGGAATCGGCTGGATCTCGGTGCCCAGTTCTTGTTCGATCTTGTACAGATTGTAACGGTCGTCCCAATTGATCAGGTTGATAGCCAGACCACGGTGACCAAACCGGCCAGACCGACCGATACGATGAAGGTACGTCTCTGCGTTCTTGGGGAAGTCAAAGTTGATCACGACATTGACAGCCTGGATGTCGATACCTCGAGTGAGGAGATCCGAGCACACCAGATTCCGGCTGACTCCGGCGCGGAAATCGTGGAAGACCTTGTTGCGATTCTGTTGCAGCATTTTGGCGTGAGAGTAGAAGCAGGAGTAGCCGAGTTCGGTGATCTTCTTCGCCAAGAGTTCGACTCGGTTGGTCGAGTTGCAGAAGATGATGGACTGGTTAATCTGGAGTTTGGAAAACAAGGTGTTCAGACAATGGACCTTCTGTTTCTCTTCAACAAAGGCATAGTACTGAGTGATACCGCGGAGGGTGAGCTCGTCCATGAGGTTGATCTCATAGGGATTGCGCATGTGCTTGTCCTTGAAGGTCTTGACAATCATGGGGAAAGTGGCGCTGAAAAGCATGACCTGACGGTCTTTGGGGTGGAAGGAGAGCAGCTGCTCGATGACGACGGTAAACTCTGGCGACAGAAGCTTGTCGGCTTCGTCCATGACAAAGATGGGACATTCAGACAGATCTGCAACGCCCTTGCTCGCGAGATCAAGAATCCTGCCCGGTGTGCCGACAATGATATGTACTGTCTCTCCTAACCTCAGAATATCATCTTTTAGTCCCGTGCCACCCGTCGTGACCATGACATTGATACCTAGGTGCTTTCCGAGTGTCTTGCAGACTTGTGATGTTTGAAGGGCCAGTTCCCGAGTGGGCACCAGGATAAGTGCCTGCGTCTTGGGGTTTTTGGGGTTGATTCGTTCGAGGGTAGGAATAACAAAGGCGGCCGTCTTGCCTGTTCCATTCTTTGCTCGAGCCAGGATATCTCGACCAGTGAGGGCTACGGGAATGGTCTCTTCTTGAATGGGGGAGGGCTTTTCGAACCCGGCTTCAAATATGCCCATCATTAATTCCCGCTTAATGTAGAAGTCCTCAAATTCCAGGCCTTTGGTTGCCGTCACATCTTCAGTCTGTTGTCTGGTGTCTTTTGCGGGGAGCTTGAGTGAGTCTTTCCAGGTCGAGTCATCGGCGCCATCGTTCAACGAGGTCTTGTTGAGTTGTGATGCTAAAGCGTCCGTCATCGTGGCGGGCTGCTGGGGCTTGCCTCTGGTGGAGGGGAGCGCAGCGTGAGAGGGGCAGGAAGGGGGTGAGAAAGGGTTGTGTAGCGCGAATACAGGATCTTGGAGACTCGAGAACTGTAAACGTCGAGGGGCGGCGTAGCGCCTGGGTCTGAGATCGAGGGACGGGCAGTAGTGTCACTGCGAGGAGAGGGGTCTCTGGTTTTGTGGGTTTGAGACGTCGTTCTCTTTGTGTAGGACGGACTGAAAGCTCTTTCAGCTGCGTCAGCAGATTTCTAGAGGTGTCGAGAAGAGTCGGTTGTTATGTTCAAGGGGTTCAGATCATGGGCGAGAGTGAGGCTGTTGCTCAAGTATCGAGTACGTGGTAAGGTAGGAATGCAGTTGGCAGGCTTTTAAGTCTTGCTTGCCTTGTGGCCGCAGCAATGCGCTTGCGGATCTGAGGCTGCCAAGACAAGCCTGCCCAGCCCCAAACACACGCTAGCCTCTTTCGGCAAGCTGTAGAGCGCTCGATCCCACTCATTATTCTCCCAGGGCCGCCATTCCTTCACAATGACCATTGACTCGATAGCGACTATAGCCCAAGTAATACCTTACTAGCTCAGTGAAGACTGATTTCTGCCGGAACATCTCGCCATGAGCACGATATCCCACCCTCTCTGCCCAAGTCCCATATCTTGAGCCACAACTGGGGCACTCCCAGCCTCCCTGTCAACCCGCACGCTTAGTTGCAAAGACAAGAACAACTTTGAGGACAACGCCCTGGCCCGCTGGCCCCTTTGCATGGACAACTGAGTAAGGTCAGCTATCATAAACAGTGCAAGCCAGAACCGGAGACCTCCTCTCACCTTCCTCTCACGCATGGTAACACGCAGCCACAGTTTCTGGTCTTGAGGACTCTCGTGTTGATCTGTGTACCGCAGGTCCCAGGCAGAACGCTCTTGCTGTAGTAGAGCTCTCTGTTCTGTTCTCGCTGGCAGTACTCCTGGACTGGGCGCGTGCGTTGGATCCGAGTCCCCACAAAGTCGCTGTGATGGATTCGCATCGTGGCAATCGAGGTGACCGTCGAATGGCGGCTTGAATTGTCGGTGCCTTGAGAGTTCCTCGGTCAGCCTTGCTAGGGCAGAAACCGAGCTACCTTCAGGATAAGCACGGTCTGCGCATCGATACCCGTCCAGGTATATAGCCATCGTAGGCGCTTTGCAAATGTTCAATGAGCGATGGCTCGACCCAACAGAACAGTATTGTTGCCGCTTGCAAGGAACGAAACTCGCGGAAAGTGGCACAACTTATGTTGAAGCTCAGGCAGGAGCCACCGCAGGACATTCCTGTACTCCTCACCCTGGGCGGCCACTGCTTCTTATCTAGACTCACAACCTGCTCAGGAAAAGGTTTGCGGGATTTGAGTCGACACGATCCGGTGGCGGGTACGTGGTTACACAGCATCAGGTGAATCCGACAAGTCTCGGACACGACCTGCGCGTGACGATGCCGACCTGCACAACGGCCATTGCATGTGTACAACTGCGTTCGTGTCTCATAGAGAAAGAATCCAGCGGCTGACACACCTCGCCAGCTGTGGAACGTCAACAGCATGAACGCCGAGAGAAAAGTGCATGTGAAAACAAGAGAGTAAGAGACATCATGTCCAGCACGCAGGAGACCTTTCTTCACACAATATGCACATACGGTACTCCGTATTCCATACTCAAACTACAATGACGGTAGCCCAGTCGACCTTCAGCCCGCACCGAACTGGAGCGTTGTCTGACCTCGTTTGGGGGGTGCACATCTGTATCCAAGTCAGCACGCATTCGACACAGCGGCACGTGGTTCAAACTTACTCGACTCTGTTGACATCGTCGGCGATGGGAATGTCAGATTGCGTGCCAGGACTGATCAGAATAAACTGCCCGCTCGTGCTGTGTCTTGCCCCATCGATCAACAATTTGACGCTGGTGTTCCTGTTTACCGCATCCATGAACACGTCAAACTCGTCGAGACAGCGAATAGGAACACCCATGGCCTCCCAGATCGACAGCAAGAGACAGATCTGAGAGAAGGACTTCTCGCCTCCGGAAAGAGTCTTTGCACTTCGACCTTCTCCGCTTCGTCTAGTGATGTCGGGTTCGACCGCAATGTCCATGACTTTCTTCACATGGTCCACGTGCAATTTCCCTCGAAAGCCTCTTTCGCTCAGCTTCATGATGAAGCCTGCCCTCGACCGAGCGGTGATGTGCTGCCGGAACCGTTCCCACCGCATCTTCCTATTCGTGAGCGTCCTTCGGAGTTGTTCCTGTAGCGATTCCAGAGTCTGCATGTCGTCCTCAGCTTTCCGAAACGCCTTGGAGCACTTCGAAGCTTCCGCAGCCAACTCGGCCGGGTCGCCGACTTGCTTCTTCCACTTCTCATATTCTGCCCTCAGCTTTTCGTGCTTCCTCTTCAGGCTGTCATAAGTCTCTCCTTCAGGGAGATTGACCCGCTCACACACAGCCCGGGCTTGCTCTGTGAAACTGGCGACATGGTCCTCGATCTCTTTTAACCTCCGCTCTAGCGAGCCACGGTCGCTCTGACCTTCCTCAGTGACGGCAAAGGCATTGTTCTTTTCGTACAGGTCATACTCACGTTTCCGGCTGGCGGCCTGAGCTGCTTCTTTCGCCTTCTCGGCGACTCCATTAGCTGATTGGATCCGGTCGTCGACTTGGTCGCATTTGTCGCGCGCCGCGCGGAGCTTCTTTTTCAACTCGTCGAGTTCAGCAACCGAGTCTTCAAAAGAGTTCTCGTGGACTTTCAATTCATCCTCAGCCTTTCGTAATTCTTGACGCAGCTGCTCGAGCTTTCCACTTTCAGAATGGTCGTCTCGGATAGCATCCTCCAGTTGCTCAACCCTGTCTTCCGCTTTCTGTACTTGAATACGAAGTTCCGCCGTGTGGTTATCATGAGCTTTGAGGGCTTGCTTCGCCTTCAGATGCCGGTTGCGCGCGCTACTGAATTCCTGCTCGGCGCGAAGACGCTCAGCCTTGCGTTCCTCGAGGGTTCGTTCCTGCAAGCGAATGTTCTCTCCGACGTCGGTCTTCATCCTGGGAGCTTTCGTCCAACCATGTGTCGGATCTTGGGCCACTGTCCCGCCGCGATAAGACAGCATGAAACCTTTTTCCTTGATCTTTTGACCTAGGCAGTAGCATCTTCGAACGCGCGGTAAAGGTGTGCCACCATTGCGGAGGATCTGCGTGGCCTCGAATACGTCAGGAATCAGAATGGACTGTTCGATTTGATTGGCGATGATGAGCTGCTTTTTGACTAGCTCGTGGTCGATTTCCAACGCACTCAAAATTGTCTGGTAATGAGCATCCGGCAGATGTGACTCGACATCTAGCGGCGAGTGGTTGGTGATAAAGATGGGCAGATCGCCGCAACCATTTCGTCGCATAATGCTGCTCAGTAGAGTCTCGTCTCGCTTGCTGGTAACAATGAAACCGGCAAGCGCCTTACCAAAGACTGTTTCGAGTATCGCAGACCACTCCGGTTTCAGTAGTCTGACATGTTTTGCGATCGGACCTACAGGACGTTCTTGGAATCCCCGTTCCTGCTGTATCGCTTGTAGCAAGACCCGCATGTTCCTGTGTAGAGCTAAATCTTGTGAATCGCGGTTTTCCTTGAGTGATTTGATCAGGTTTTCCAGCTCGGATACTCTGGCGTCCTCTTGCTTCTTCGCCTGGGCGCTCTCATCCAGCAGCTTTTGCATCCGAGCAACGTCGTCGACGCAGGATTGTCTCCGCTCGGAGTGCTCATGCTGCTTCTGCTTCAGGGTCATGACTGCCTCTTCCGCGAGATTGCGTTCAGCAATGCGACGGGCGGCACCACCGCCATCGAGGTCTGCCAGTCTGTGCTCCTCCTGGCTGATGGCCTCCTTCCTCTTGGCAATGTTCTGCTCGGTGGCCTTGATGTGGGAACCAATTTGACGCTGCTCGGCTTGGGCGTCTGCGCAGCTCTTTTTGATTTCCTCATATTGCGCCTTCTCTTCGGCTTTCTCAGCCTTGAGGCGGTCAACTTCTGCCTTTGCAGCTTCATATTCCTCCTTTGCCACAGACAGAGCTTGATCGGACTGCTGAAAGACAATGTCGAGCTCCTCGGCCTTGGCCCGGGCAGCGACTATCCTTTCGTCTGTTTTCCGGATCTCCTCGAGGTACTCGTCGCGGATATCCTCCTTGGCCGCGACTTGGGCCCAGGTGAGCTGCCGGGTTTGCTCGCGCAACTTGGATCGCATGCCCTCATGCTTTTCGGCTATGGCCAACTTCGTCGCTGCTCGCTCATGCCTGTCCTTGAGCACCTTGAGATCCGGCTCCCTTTCACGGATTCTGGCACTGATGTTGTCGAGCTGCTCTTCGATGAGACGGTAGTCCTGATCGAGTTGTTCAAGCTGAACGCCCTTCATGAAGAACTTGTACTTCTCGGTTGGACTCGAGCCCGAAAGGAACTGGCGCGCCTGGTCTTGAGACAGGACAGCCAAGGGATTCTCAATCTGCAACATCATGTGGTCGCAGATCTCCTCGAGGTCGGACTTTCGGGTCGAAATCACACGGCCTCTTTCAGATTTGAGCTTGAAGCCGCTGCTGCCGTTGCGCTGGATGTGACGTTCGACCTGAATGGTCGCTCCGTAGAGTTCGGGCATGTAGGCATTCTCGCCCTGATTCTTGATTTTGCAGAGGATGGTGGCATGGTCTTCTCCTTCCTTGATGAAATTCTGCAGGCGAGCACCTCTGTTGGTCGCCGATGCTTTCCCTCCCAAGCACAGGATGATGGCGGTGAGTATGGCACTTTTGCCGCTCCCATTCTTGCCGCAGATGAAGTTGATCAACGGACCGAGTTTAAAGGCAAAGCCTTTATGGCACATAAAATTGATGACCTGGACCTCTTCCAAAATGCCGTACTCGGCGGGTTCGTTGATGAGTTCTCCGCGCTCCTTTCGTGCTTCCAGAGCCTGGGTCATATGCATGAGTATTTCTTCGTCCTCCTCCTCATCAGAGTCGACGCCGGACGGCGGAGTGCTCCCACGGCCATCTTGGTCGCTGAAGGTGTCCTGAGGTACGGAGGACTCGTCGCTCGTGCGCCTCCTCTTGTTCTGTAGCAATTGTGAGTATAGGCTGTGGGCGAACCTTGTGATCGAGGAGAACTCACTGATGCGCGGCGGGGAGGCGAGGACTCTGGACTATCCTCGGTCTGATCGTCGCCGTCAGCGGGCGCTGACCGTTTACGAGATCTCGACATGGCCTCTGTCACAAGCTCAAGTGAGGCCCGAGTAAGAATGCGACCAGTTGGAATGGTCAGTGGCGGAGCTCGTAGCCTGGGACATTTTGGTAGCCCGGAAGGCAACCTGAGCGCGTTTTGACGCGTTGGGTTGCTCGTTGGCGGGCAAGTTCCGGCGGGTGACCTCATGCCCGATATCGCATGGAATTTCACTGCTGAACTAATTAAAAGTACACATATCAAAACGCCCAGTCAAGCCTCCAGCAGCTCAGATTAAAGTATGGCCTCGGGCTCAGGCAACAATGGAGACAAGTCCAAGCCCAAGGTATGCAGACTGCGCTCTAGCCATAGGCCGCCGCACAAGCTGATTTGTGACAGCCCAGTGCCCTCCGCTCGATCATAGCCGGCTCAACAGCTGGAGCAGTGGAAATCTCCATTACATATCCCTTCGACCTCCTGAAGACACGATCGCAACTGAACCGCCGCTTACCGGACTCCAAGAAGTTGCCATGGCCGCCCTTCCCGTCGAAAGAATGGTACACCGGCTGCACGACAGCCATAGTGGGGAACTCGGTCAAGGCCGGCGTGCGGTTCATGTCCTTCGACACGTATAAACACCTCCTATCAGACGAGAATGGGCAGATATCCGGGCCCAGGACAGTCGCCGCCGGGTTCGGCGCAGGCGTCACCGAATCCTTGCTGGCAGTCACGCCGTCAGAATCAGTGAAAACCCAGCTGGTGGATGACAGGAAAAGACCGAATCCCCGAATGCGCGGCTTCATCCATGGGTCTACAGTCATCGCCCGAGAGAAGGGCATTAGGGGTTTCTTTCAGGGATTTATCCCCACGACGGCACGCCAGGCGGCCAACAGTGCGGTCAGATTTAGCACTTATACGAGCCTCAAACAGTTCGCGGAAGGCTACGTTGCCCCTGGAGAGAAGCTGGGGTCGTTGACAACGTTCGCGCTGGGGGCAATGGCCGGTGTGGTCACAGTCTACAGCACAATGCCGCTCGATACCGTCAAGACACGCATGCAGAGTTTGGAAGCGAAGCAAACCTACAAGAACAGCTTCCATTGTGCGGCAATGATATACAAGAACGAAGGGATACTGACGTTTTGGTCTGGAGCATTACCGCGCCTGGGTCGCCTGACACTGAGTGGTGGTATTGTCTTTACGATGTGAGTTGAGTCCGCCGTTGCAGCAACTTGCAGCCGCCGGCACAGGAACTGACTTGGTTACTCACTAGGTATGAGAAAACTATGCAACTACTGGATCTTGCGGATCCCGACAGGAGGTACATATAGGCCGTAACTGCCTTGGCCTGCTTAGGACCAGACAGCCAGCGGACCGGGAACCATATTATAACGCATAGCTTGCGGGAAGATGGTCATATGGTCACTCGGCAGGAACATATCCGGGCAGCATTTGGAAACGGTGCTACCTAGGATTTAGATGACCGGTGTATGTTGCATTGTGGAGACTCTATCCCTCAAGCAACGTCTGATGGATAGTATCGCCACGGGCAGCAGAGGAATACGACCACACAGCAGCCGAAAGACGATCTGAATTCCGAGGTTTTGCGACACTGTACTCATATAGCTATACCCCCAACAAGACCACCTTGACCGACCTTACACTCTCACTTCTTTTCACTCCTTCACCTTGACCTCCTTGACCAGCCCCTCTCCCAACATGACCATCTCCGCCACGACCGCTTCCTTGTTGAAAACGCAGATATCCTTGGGTTCGTCACCATCCTCCTCAGCAACCGCAGGTAGAGGTACGCTCGACCAACCAAGTCTGACCCGCCACGCCTTCCGCCCAAGCACACTAGGCCTCCACAACCCGGCAATCACTTTGCCGCCATTGCTATCGTAAAAGAACAGCGCCGACGAGCCAAACGCGTGGTTCAAGTCGCGCAGGTACAGTTCCACGGCATTGTGCCCGATCGAATTGACATCGAGCGACTGGGCGATCTGTAGATTCTTGAACTCTCCATTAGCAGCGTCCATCCCCTCCAATGCCGCGCTCCCCGTCTTCTTCCTCCCCGTGCCACCCATCGTGACCGCAGAACTCTTCAGATGGATGACGAAATCGTAATCGGCCAACTTCCCGACAAAAAGGCCCTTCCACGAGGTCTCGTCCTCCAACCATTTCCCCTCGATCATGGTCATTGCGGCTTTCGCCAGCGCAGTCACCCGTCCCGCCACAACTCTCGGGGGACATGCATTCCCCGTCCACACCGTGCCGGTGCCGTCCACGTTGCTCCCAACGAACCACACCACGGTGTTCATGTTGGGATCAAGCTTCCTCCACGCTTGGAATCGCGTTTCCATTTCCGCCCGCTGCGCGTCCGCCAGGCCATCCTGGGAGAGTGACAGGTCGACAATCAGTGGCGAGAAGGACCAATCCCACCGCGACAGGAAGTGAAGACATCGCAGGAACGCCGTCGTTGCGGAACCGGGAACCTCCCATGGCGCTGGGTATAGGAAACATTGCGCGGCGATGATCTCGAGAACTTCCTCGGGGACATGCGTAGACAGAAGATGTGAGGAGATCCATCGCTTCAACAACCTCACTGTCGCGCATAGTGGTGGAAATTTCGTGATGAGGTTCTTCATTGCGAGTGTGTGCGCCGTCTTCGCCTCGAAGTCTCTCTTATGCGCCGCTAGCGCAAGGACAAGAGAGTCTCGCGTGGAGCCGTGCAGGGATTTATCAGCCAGGGCATTTTGAAGGAGATGAGCTTCCCGGTCGTGGTGGATGCGCAGACGGAAACAGATCGAGGAGAGTCCAGGAGCCGGGGCCGGGTAGATGATGTCCAGGAAGCAGACGTTGGAGTGGCCTGTTGTAGCGGAAGCGATGTTTTCGAGTCCGACTCGGGTGATGAGCTCCTTTTTGCTTTCAGCGAGAAGTTCGGCAAGTTTCAGCAGAAAGGCGATCTTGGTGTGTTGAACTGCCGGGAGGGAGTCGGGCCAGCGGGTCGAGGAGTCGAATTGGATGATGATGTCGATTGGTGTAGTGGTTGAGGGGAGCAGTGGATGCAGCGTCGAGGTCGAGCGTAAAGCTGGGGAGGCGGGTGAGATGGAGCGAATCGGCAAGGGGAGGCCTTCTAGGTTGTGGAGCGTTGACGTTAGGGTTTGGAAGGTCGAGTTGATGAGTAGGAATGCGTCCTTGGGACTAATTGGGGCTGATTGTTCGTCGTCTTTTAGGATGGCGGAATCCAGGTATGGCCTTTTTGTTTTGATAGAGCTGGGTGGTAGTTTGAAATGCAGCATGGCGAGGTACGCAATGATCTGCAAGGTCACCGGAGCGCCCTGAGACCAGACCAGAGCCTCAGAAATACTGCCATCCTTGAACCGGCGAAGTTCGGCCTTTTCACCCCAGAATCTGCGGAATTCAGCTGCCTTCTCTTGCTCGTCTGCTGAAGGGCCGTGGTCAACAAGCCGGGACATTGTATCCGGGTTCGTGAGTAGTCCAATCTCTAAGTCGTAGTCTCCCTTGCCGCGAGAAGAATCCTTGTTAAGAGCCCAGCTCGACTGTGGCGGTAACCTGAAGTCAACCAGGCTGGCCCTGTCACTGAGGCCTCTCACGAGAGCAGTGTGTAGTCTGTGTAGGAGTTGACGCTCGTCTGCGCCTTTAGTGACCAGACCTGCAGATATTCGGATCGAGTAGACTTCATCGTATTGCAACAACGGTATCGCAACTTTCAACGTGAAAGTCGTGTCAAAACTGTCCTGGCTTTTTGAGTTGACTGTAGCCAAAGATACCCGAGCATGATGCTGCAGAGCCTTGTATGACCAAGGGCTCATCTTGTACAGTATGTTGACACCTGTGCTTCCATCATAGAAAGCAGGGACATCTAAATCGGCAAGCTCAAATTCTGCAGCGCCCAAGAGAAGCATAGGATCCTTTTGCAGATCTCGGACTGCCAGAACTTGTAGCATCGCCTTGAATAACTGAAGACTGCTGTATTGCTTGGAGAACAGCGGATGTCCCTGGCGGCCGCCCTTCTCTAGTAGCAATGCGCACATCAAAGCCCACTCCAGGGCACCGAACCCGCCGGACAGAACAGAACTGGAGAAGTTTCGTTGGCGGAGCCAGAGCTGCCCTATCCGGCAGGCTTCGGCGAAAGCTGGACTCAATTTCACAGTTGCGCGAAGACGCTCGTCGATGCTCGAAATGGATGCTGCATAGCATACGGTGCTGTTATAAAATGGCGTAGGCTGGTCTTCATTCGTGGCACCTCCGGGTGTTATTTGCCGCAGACAGTTCCTCGTGGGCAAAGTCTTGGTCACAGGTATTGATCCGTGTGCAAGACCAACTGATATTCGGAAAGCAAACTTCGACAGAGTGGCGTCCCGAGGAACGAGCTTGAGGAATGGCAAGAGATCGACATCGTGCATGTATGCAAAAGACATATGAAACTCTGCCGCCAATTGAACCTTGATTACATCGGCAATGCAAGCGAGGTAAAAAGCTGCCTTGTGCAAAGCTCTGTGATTCAGGTAGTCCTTCTCTTGCAAAGCAGCATTAGGCATGAGAACAGTGACGTCTATTAGGCTCTTGTTCTTCAAACTCCATCCCTGTGCCAATGCGCCCCAAACCACAACATGCTTAGGGGGGAGAAAGTCGAACTTGTAATTTGTCTCTTTCGTTGGCTGAGGCTTTGGCCAAGGAATCTGAATGCCTTGCTTGCGGCATGATTTTGCTGCTTCAGTGGCCGTAACAGGCGGACGCTGTGGTATGCCCTTGATTACCGACACTAGCTGATCTGAAATCCGAGCCCATTTTGGTCGTATTCTCTCGTAGTCCGGAGTCATTTCCGCAGATAAGTCGGACAACTGGAGCGAGAGGGTGGCCGATTTGTTGATGCCGCCAGTGGGCAAAACAGTGGGCTTCGAGGCAGTGACCTGGCCTGACCTAGCGATCCTGTTGACGTGGCTCTTCGTAGTTGAGTGATGCCGATGGCCGGATTTGGTACGGTCGCCACCGCCATGAGATGCTTCTGCATCACTTGAGCCACTAGAAGTATCAGAGGGCTCAGAGTCGTGCCCGAGCTTCCGCCTTTTGGGCGAGCGCCGTCCTCCTTGCGAATTCATGATAGACATGGCTCGAACAAGTTTTGCCGATGCTGAGGTGTCGATCTCAATTGGTTGTCATGTAGAATCTGCGAGCTTCAGACGATTTCAGCCATCACAGCACCTGCTCAATAATCACCAGGGCGACGTTACAGGAGTTGGACGAGTATGTAGCGAAAGGCTTTGTCCAAAACTTTTTGGTGCCAAGAGATAAGATTAGATTGTTTCTGCCTTCAAGCTGCAGGGCAATTATGCATGCATACGTCATTGTGAATTTCCAACGCCTGTGTCGATCCGAACCTCCTCAACACCTCAAATATAAGATGCGAGAGATGAAGACAAAGCAGAGATCATCCAATCGGTGCCAGCTGCTTATCGACTTCTTAGATCTGTAGCAACTCGATCCCGCAAACCCACGTGTTTCTGTCACACGCGTTGCCCTCATAGAGCTAATTTAGACCTTCTCCTATCTGTTGTTTTGGAGATTCGACGAGTACCTCGTAGTCTAAACTATGCCATCTGGTCGCACAACCTTTAGGCTATCAAGCCAAATCGCAACTCTCTTAGATGACGGAAACCGGGGAGGCAACCTCGCACCTTGATGCCTCTTTCGCGCACGGTGACTTCACAACTTGAATCTGCTGCATGGCTAACCAGGAATGCACATCACATTCGGAGTAAAGAACCGTGTTTGGCCTTCGGATCCTGGAACCCTTCAGCGCCACAGAAATAGAGTACAGTCTCGTCACCTCTGCTGTATACTATACATCTCATTTCGCTGCATGCTGATGTGCTCATCGTGATATCTCTGCCCACCGCGACATTGCTTCGTAGACGCTGCGCGAGTATTGAGGCGTGGACACGCGGCCCGAGTCTCGTCATGGCACTCACATAGTGGTGATCAATGAATGATAGAATAAGATCGAGACTAGCACCATGTCGAGAGCCCTCAACCAGTCGACCCATTGACTCGAGTCAGCTCATGAGTTTGCTCTCCTTGTTATTCCCCACGAAGTATTGTTTTACCTGGTCCACAGCGCTCTCCACCACGTCATGATTCGCTGTGATTGTCAGGTTGGGGCATCCGTCAACGGCACGTACCTAACTCCCATGTCCTTCTTCCTCGTCACCTTTCCATCTTTATCCTTATCGACCACCCAGATCCACTGGCTGCCCCAACCACCGTCGTCCTCTACCGGGATGAACATACGCCCGGGCCTGGCCAACTGGTCTATCAAACTCTGGTGCATTTCCTTGGCCGCCGCGCCGACGTGAATCGCATTATAAGGTCCGCCTTCGGGATATCCCTTGCGGCCATCACCCTTCACGAGTTCGACCTTGCCGGACTCGAGCAGCGCCCGTCCCTCTTTGCTGCGTTGCATGTTCTCCCGCGACATATCGACCAGGCCTTTGATGTGGTCAATACCCACGACTTTTCCCGCGCCGGTGCCATCAGCGCCGCACACGATCGTCGCGAGCACGTGCGTCAGGTACCCGCTTCCGGACCCTATATCTAGCACTTTGGCGCCCTGATTCTCTGGCATGAATGGCAGCAGCGATTCGCAGGCCGACGCGTGCATGTGTGGGGCGGAGATGGTGGCGCCGAAGCCGATGGGCTGGGGCGAGTCTTCGTACGCGGCGTGGGGGGAGGAAGGGCAGTAGTGCGCGCGGTCAACGGCGGCCATGGCATCGCGGACGCGCGGGGCCTGGATTAGGCCTTGGGTGAATAGGTTTTGGATCAGTTCCGCGTTGGTGCGGCCGGAGCAGCGCCATGCCATGGTCGAGGATAGGGGACGTAGCGCGAATAGTAGAGAGGTTGCAAGAGTAGAGAAATCGAAGTGGTATGGGAGGCTCGAGAAGAGGAGGATGATTCCTGTCCAAAGTAGCAGATTCGCTGTGTAGTGGAATGGCATGCAATCTTGGGTGGTGGGCAAGGGAGCAAAGAACTGCCGGTGTGTGAAACACGATGAGTCGTGGTCGCCTGCCTACAGGGTGGACTTGGTGAAATGAAAACAAATGTATGTTCACTGCAAAAGGGAACAGCACCAGAGGATGCCGAGAATGACGCGGGGGTGACAAGTGACTCGGGCAATCATCTCCGAAGTGCGGGGTAAGCTCAGCCTTGCATGCAATACGATTTACACTGTACGATAAGCAGGAGACTTTTCCCATATTAGCCATAATATATTTTGTGTTTGACGATAGCTCGAGAATGCAGTGACGTCGAGCTGTCTAATCTCCCAGTATGACAGGGGCAGGGTCTTCGAGTTGAGCGGCGACGCGCCTCCTTGCTCTTTATAAGACTGAACGAAACAGATGTCTACTCGTCTATATCTTGACTTTCTCCGCTGCCCTCAATGCCCGGTCTACCTTGTCTGCCAGCTCTGCCGGCTCTTCCAAGCCAACACTCAGTCGAACGAGATCAGGCTCAACGCCCCATTGCGCCGTCCACCCCATCTCTGCGTAGTGCGCCAAAACAGTATAAGGACACGCCAGCGTGAAGTTCGTACCCAAACTCGGGCCCTTCTGGACCTCGAGAGCATCGAAGAAAGCGACTGCCTGCTCCGGGTGCTGAAAAGTCACGGACAACAACCCTCCGTACCCACCGTTCGGACTGCGACAGGCATCGTAATTCGGTCGACTAGGGCTGCACTTCGGATAGTAGACCTGCTTGACCAAAGGACATTGCTGCAACGACCTTACAACAGCCTCTGCATTTTGGTTGATACGCTCGCTTCGGCGGATAAAGTCGCGAGAATTGCGTTCCATGAACACTGCATCCTCGGCCCAATAATTGTCCTCGTACTCTCGAGACATGGCCTGCTTGAGTTCAGCGTACCACTTGCTCTGCGGGTTGAGCACACAACTGCCGCCCATCACGTTGCTGTCGCCGCTGAATACCTTGGTAAGGCTGCTTACGACGATATCTGCACGGCTGAGGACGTCGATGTTGGTGAAGTTGCCGACTGTCTCGTCGACGACGACGGTGAAGTCGTACTTGTCGGCAAGGACGCGGATGCGCTGAAGATCAGCTGAGTTGAGAAGGGGATTGCTCGGGAACTCGGTGAAGAGAGCCAGGAACCTCTCGCCGGCGTCAAGACGTCTTTCCAGGTCATCTATGCAGGCTGCGCTGCCGTGCCCGTAGAAGAGGCATCCTGGGCCCCACTTCTCCAGGATTTTCAACGTGTCGATGTAAGGAAAGCCAAAGCATATGCTCTTTCTGGGTGCCTGGCCCTTGGCTTCAGCATTGGCCAGGAGGATGCGGTGTGTGTTGAAGATCGAGGACATGCCAGTAGGGTACAGATAGACGTCATTTTCCGAAAGTCCCTTTTGTCGTCCGTCACCCCCGTCTGGTGACTTCTTCAGTGCTTGCTCCAGTTCTGCGTCGTCTGTGAGGCAGCCGCTGATTCTACGTCGGATGGCCAGCTTCGCCTGCGAGGCTAGCTTGACGTTGAGATTGCGACCGAAACGTTCCTCCACGAATTGTGCGTGGTCTTTGTCCTCTCCGTCCGTGCCGGCTCGATCTGTGGTGCCGTTATTTGAGGATGGGATGTCGTGAATGATTCCATTCCGCGATCCCGGACGCTGATATCTTCGGGGCCCTTTCGTGTACAAATCGTCCGGTCTTATCTGTGGTTGTGTTGTGACTGGCTCGAGAATCCCGTCCCTCAAGGCCTTCAAGCAAAATTCGCCTCTGCGGCTTGAGATTCCATCTCCAGTGTGCTGCCACACTTGCTTTGCCACATTGAAATATTCTTTGGGGAAGAAGACGCATGACAGGCCCGAGAGCGTGGTCGCATGGCTTCTGTTCCCGGTGTTGACCGGTTCTAACTGCAGAACATGGACAACCCCGACTCCCAGGCCTTGGACTTTGTCGTAGAAGAACTTGAAGCACTTCTTCGCGGTGGCAAGCGAAGGGAACAGCATGACTGCCTCTCCCGATCTCCCATAGAGCTTCAAAATTTCATTCCCCAGCTCCTGGATGGTCAAATGGATGAAGAACCGTGGGTAGCCGGTTTGCATCTTGGAAAGCACCCAATCCTCGCCTTCCTCGTAACCCACCGTCGCTTTCCATGACGGCAAGGACACGCTGACAGCGTGAGGTGTGTTAGGCACCGGTTGCCCGACAGCAGCGAGCATTGCCATGGCGTGTGCCTTCGGAGATCGTATGTAAAAGTGTTAATGACCAATAGTAGAAGAGACGGTGGCAAAGAGTCACCACGAACAGATTTTTCCGACTTCGGCGGTCTTCTGCTTAGTTTCCTTTTCGGGCATTTCGCGATAGCGGGTTTGTGAGCGTGCTGGATGCAACAACAGTGCGTCGGAGCCACCAGCCTGTGGTTCAAATGGGTGTCTGGCTTTACACAGAACACGTTGCTCCATTTTTGTCATTACATAGATCACACCAGCCGTGGATAATCTATCATCCTGTGAAGAAAGGCAGGAGAAAGGCAGGCTAAGACAACACCCAATGTCAGGCCCGATTGCGGCGCACAGATGCCTCACCGTACTAACCACCAGGCCTCGCAGGCTCAACTGTACTTAAGATGGCACGTGAATGGCTAAACAGCCACAACAGCGCAGGAGGTTCCTTCAATCAATCTCAGGCCGCACGGCCTACATGGGCTACAAGCGCCTCTAATTACTGAGGAAGCGGAAACTGACTTTGCCGATGTCAAGATTCCGCGCTGCATATTGCGGTACGCTTAATATCTGTTTCATAACAACCGGTACGACGATACCTTCTCTAAGATGCAGTCATTGGTTCCTCGGCAACATAATGCAGATACGCGCCCAACAGCTTGGTTCCCTCAATGTAATTCCTCCGGTCCAGCTTCTCGTTGATACTATGCGCCGCGTCCGTAGAGCTGCCCATCGGCAGCAAGAGCACGTTCTTCCCCGTCGCCTGCTCAAATGTGATGGTCACTGGGATCGAGCCGCCCTCTCTCGTCATGTCGGGTTCCACACCGAAAACTTCCTTGACAGCTTTGGCCGCTGCAGAGAAATTCCAGTGGGAGGGCGAAGCGACCCACCACTTGCCATCGTGTTGGCAATAGACATCCAGCGAGTTCTTGGAGTTCAACTTTGCGAATTCAGAGCGAATGTATTTGAAGACCGCTTCGTTGACAGCCGAGGATTCCATATTTGGCACAGTGCGAATGGAGAATTTGCCAATGACTTTGGCGGGGATGACGGTCTTTGCTCCGGGAGCACTGAACGCACCTTCCACACCGTGGATGGACAACGAGGGATACCGCCACCTTGCCATGAGGGTCTGGTCCTTGTCGTTGAAGATTGCGGTTTGGCTGCCGAGCGACTCGTACAGGTTGTCCATGGTATAGGCAATGGGTCCGTACAGTTTCTTTTCTTCTTCAGTCAAAGGGGCGACCATTTCATTGATACCTGGGATGAGGATCTTGCCGTCATTGGAGACCAATTTGGAGAGGATGGTCATGAGGTCCGTCATGGGTTCTTGGGCGGTGCCGCCAAAGACACCGCTGTGGAGGTCCTGGCCCGGACCTTTAATTTCGACAGAGTAGTAGTTACAACCCCGGAGACCGTAGGTCAAGCATGGTTTCTCGGTCCCGAGCCAGTAGTTATCGGAGATGCAGACGGCGTCGGCGTCTTTGAAGAATCTCTTGGCCTCGGCATTGATGAAGTCGTCGAGACCCTCACTGCCATACTCTTCCATGCCCTCAAAACAGCAGAGCAAATTGACCGGGAAATCGACACCAGCTTTCTGATGGGCTTCAATGGCGTTGAGCCAGCCTAGCACGGGACCCTTGTCGTCTGTGCTGCCGCGGCCGTACATTCTCCCTTTGTCATCAATGGTAAGTTCGAAGGGCGTGGTTGCCCAGCCATCTTCCACGAGGGCGGGTTGGACGTCGTAGTGGCCGTAGACGAGGATCGTGCGTTTGGACTTGTCGTTCCCGTAGCGGGCGATAATAACTGGCGGGAGGTCGAGGTGTTCTTTCCCGGGTTGTTTGCCTAGAGGGCGTTGTTCCACTTCTGCGCCCAGCGATTCGAGTTCGGAGGCCAGAAATTGGCCCATCTAGATATCTGTGAGTATATCGTGGACATGTCATCTTTAGGCGCGTACATACTCGGACGACATCCTTTCGTCTTTCTTCATCTGCTGAAACGGAAGGGATTGCGACAGCTTTCCGCAGGCCTGCCTGGTGTCAATACCCCGCTAACACCGGCATTCGAGGCTGTACTCACGGTCGATGAAGGAGTCGGCAAGCTCGTCAACCCTGCATTAGATTAGCAAGTCGTAAGCGCGATAAAGTTATCTGGCTCACTTTTTGAAGTACGGTTCTAGTTGAGGCGCCATCTTGTCGTCTGATATATGGCCGTAGTATGTTCGGACAGAGCAAGTAGTGTTCTTCAATGGGTGTAGCAAGCCTGTCGAACAGCGTGGAGGCTTGAACTTGGTATGTAAGGACGTGGAAGAGCAGCGAAAGGTGCGTGAGAGGTGGAGCATGTGAGCGGCTTGGTGGGATGCGAAGACTGCGGTTGGATGCGGTTTGGAGAGGATGAGGAACGAGTGAAGATCTCCGAGCAGTGCAAAATGGTTCTTTGACCTGAATTATACATTGGCAACCTGCAGAAACCATCTGCTCTGTGGCTCTCTACTGCGGCAATAGTACACGCTGATATATAGAATCTCAGCACGCTGAGAAGAATGCATCCTGCAAAGTCTTCTATGCATCTTTGAGCCATCGTTGCTTTCTGATCTGCCTGTCCTCACGTGCCTCCCTCCTCTTTTTGCCCCAGTTTGACTTGATGATCGCGGTCACCATTTGCTGCTCTTTCCCTTTCTGTGGCGCTAAGCCGTCCACAACCAGATGTGTAAAGACGGGCGAGCAGTCGAATTTCTTGGAGAGTCTACTGACGCTCCACTGAGTTGGATCTGTCGTTCTCAACCTTCGCATCTCCTCCAGGTCCTTCTCCGTCAGGTGATATCGCTTTTCCGCTTGCCCCTTGACGGCCGGTAGCTGTTGAGTCGACTGTAGCTGTAAGCCTCGGGTTTCGGGGTCTGCGAACACCTTTCTTCGGTCGTTTTTAGGGAGGAACAAGTTCGGCGTGTGGTAGACATTGGGCATGCTCGGGGGAGGATTGTAGATAATGTGGTCATGTGGTTCGGTCTTCGAAGGGAGAAAATCTGGATCAGGCTTGATGTTCAGCCGTGACCTAGTTCTTCGGTACGTATTGGTTGACTGATGGCGTCGAAAAGAAGGTTGCAGTATTTGAGCACAGAGCTTGTAGAAGCGCGACGAGGTTGAGGTGACCATATTTGACTGCATCGTCGTCGGCATCGTAGCACGCTTTTTGTCAGACGCCCAACTTGAAAGTTATTGACACTTTTCCGAGCCGTCTAATTCTTTTGCCAAAGGTATCCGACAGCAACAGAATTTCTTTTCGCCCCCGACCAGAGACTATCGCGTACAGGGGATGCTTTGTGACGTCGAAAAGGTATGCGGCCGCCGGGTCGAGCGTGTTAGTCCACCACTCGTAAGTGTGACGACGAGCTGGGAGTTGGCAATGTCGAAGATCAATGGTGCTGCGCCTTGAAAGCTGAATTGGGCGAGAGGAGGATCAGCAGTTCGCGCAGTGAAATCGAGCCACTCAGCGTACAGCGCAGTTAGAGCTGAGCTTGGCAGGAGCGAGCGGATTCAAGTTCGTCACGAGACACGCGCAACTTTGTCCCTGAGACAACAAGTGCTGCCAAAAACAGGTGCCTGGATGCCGCGGGTGGGAAGCCCCTAGGCATGCCCCCGATGCCCAATTGGATGGCCGGGTGACGAGCTTGCAGCGTGCCTCCAATCCCTAATTAACGACGCAATCATTTGTTGTGAACTCTTGGTGAACTCGTCGATCCTTCCTTGCGTGCCGTGTCCCTCCTCTCGTCTCGTAAACCGGGAGTTCCTTCTGAGCCCCAGCTTGACGTCTCCTCTCATTCACACCACAACCGCATACTTCTTGTTGCTCAGGCCATTCACTCCACCTCCTCGTCGCCCGGAAGACACAAGGACGACCTGATTGCGAGTTATATTTCCTTTCTCCGTCCCCATTGCCCTACGCTGCGAGTGCGTAGCCTGGCGCATGTGGTTCTGAGCACTGCGAGTCAGGCCCCATTGCAGGCACACGTCCAATCTCGCTTTTTGTTGCTTCCTACCTCTACGACATGTTCTGCCTGAGGCCCTCGAATTAGAATCTAATTTACCTGATCTCCTGCACCTTCGACAATACTTCTCCCGCGTGACTTGCTTTGCTCCAGTTCAGCCATACCAGACATCCACACCCCGCACCACAAACCGCCGCCATGTCGTCCAAGGCACCTTCTGTCAACGACAAGACCAGTGCTCCAAGCACCGAATCAAAGGACTCTGGTGCGCCACTGCTGAAAGACTCCACTGCACCATCTACTCGAACAGTGACCGCCGGGCCCGCAGTGGACGAGACGGCTGCAAAACCACGAAAGAGAGATTTCTGGAAACTGGGCAAGAAGCCGGAAGAGGACAAAGGCAAGGGGAAAGGCACGGTATCTTCAAAGTCACCTCCTACGGCGGCGAGCCCCTCGACTGGCTTGAACCCGGTCTCGCCCATGAGATCACCAGATTTGGTTGGCGGTTCAGTGTCACCCCACCGGGGCTCTCTGGGTCACCCCTACGGTGTGCCGGGTTCTCCAGGGCAAGGGATGGGCACTTCTTCTCCTCGACCGCACTCGCCGGCCTCGTCGATGATTTTTGAGCGAAACGTCCAGGAGGATGTTGCTCTGCCCGAGAAGTCCCCGCACATGCCCTCTCACGTCCTCATTGAGAACCACATTGCGCCAGCCCTGGACGCATCTGCAGAAGCCATCACGGATAAAAAGCTGAATCCGGACACTGTGGAAATTGTCACTCATGCCACACATCAACCAGCGGCGGTGACCATTTCTGGCCTAGGAGCCGAGCAGTCCATGGCTTCTTCAATGCAAGATGATTTCCCTCCGTCGCTTGCATCACTTGCGCATCGAGATACGGAGACCGGGTCCAACTATGGGTCTCTAGACACGACTGATGTTCGACGTTTGAGCTTCATCTCTTTTGCCGACGTTGTTCACGGCGAACAAGAATTTGGAGACGCGCGGCGCGACTCTACATATGTACCGGGCCATCCGTCCCTGGCACCGGCTAGGTCTCCTTCTCCTCTTCGGTCGCCCACTTCTTCCGCTGCTCCTGGGACATCACCCCCAAGCAGTGTCACAGCATCCGTGAAGGGATTTGAGACGTCCCCCCATCGTGCTCCGAGAGGCGCAGGGAGCCCACTTCCAGGCCAGAGCTCGCCTCTGGCTGCAGGCAGCGAGATCAACGTCGAAACCATGCGACAGGCACTCCGGAAAACGGGAAGCGGGGATTTGAGCCATTTCCGCAGTCCACCACTGAGTGCCGTGGGCAATGATGACGGGACCTACGACCGACCTTTCAGATGAGTGTATACGACCACGAGGCCATGAGCAATCCGGGAGGAGGTGGCATGATATACGCAGGCGCACATCATGATGGAGGATTACTATGAAGATAGGACAATATGGATTCTTTGAGTTTCTGACCTGTAGAAAGGGTCATTTTCGTTCGGATATTAGATACCACTTGTCGACGATTAATGCAAATTCCACACAGTAGGCTGCTTCAAGTGCAAGTTGTAGCAACGAGCTTCGAACGCCAATGAAGGTGGCGTTTGCCTGTAGCAGTGAGAATTCGATCGAGGGACAATGCATGTATTCGGAAGACGCTGTCGAGACCATGCCCCGGTTCGCGGCCTATGCAGGGCACGTCACCTGCATCACGAAACCTGGAGAGCAAGGATGGCAACGGGGTGGGGATGGAACATAAGGGCTGACTCCGCACTTTGCTACGATCTGGCCCCGAGGATCGTATCAAATATCCTTGCCGAACCGAGCACGCCGAGCTGCCTGAACCATGATGTGTGTTGACGAAGGGGGTTCAGGCCCAGACGCTGAGTGAATTGAATGCTGTCTAGGGCCCCCCTTCCATCCTTTTGCTGTTCTCCTCCGCGATAAGTCATACTTATTGACCGGCTCAACGATTGTGCACGGCGTCAGCACGACCCCATCTCGCCATTAAGATCGGAATAATCGCTTGACTCAGGGAGGAATATCACACATCGTGGTGCGTCCAAAGTGCTCGGAAAGGGCCTCACCTCAAAGACGACTGACTTAAGGAGATCGACCCTGAGCACGCTGGCCACTTGACCAGTTATAACACAGGTTCTCAGTTCTTGAACCCCGCGGGTCCTCTTATCAAGCGGCCCTAGTATATATCAAGTACTAAACTATTAACAACGACTCCTCCTCCTCCTCGGACTACACTTGATCCCGTGGCCCTCCGTCAACAATGGCCGTGCAATCCAGCCTGATCAACGGCCCCTCCCTGGCGAGCATCACCACCGGTGTTCTCTTTAACCCCCTCCTCACGGGCCCTCTACTACTCTACGTCCTCCGCAACCCCTCTGTCCTAGAGAAACTCCCCTGGCCACCAACAAGGTATTACAACCTCCCTTTCGACCTCCCTTGGCCCTTTCCCCGTAGTATTCGCGTGGGAGCCACGCCGCCGCTGAGGACGCTCAAGTTCCTCTTCACCTGGGGTTTGATCCTGTACGTGAATCGCTTCCTGAACCGACTGGCCTTGAACTATGGCCATCTCAAGAAACAGGGCGAGCCGTGGGATTTTGGGGCCGAGGGCAAGGAGACGGTGCTCATCACGGGCGGGTGTTCCGGGTTCGGGAGGGAGATGGCCAAGATGTTCGCCGAGCAGACCAAAGCGAACATCCTCGTATTGGATGTCCAGCCCTTGCCGGACGATCTTAAGAACGGTGAGTCTTTCTAGCAGTGCGCTTTCTTGCGAGTGCTCGCCTGGTTCAAATCTTATTCTATAGAATGCGGTCGACTCTGTATTCTGTACTACACGAACTAACGAGCATGTATATATATCTCAGTCCCTCGCCTGTCGTACCACCACGTCGACTTGACCTCCCCGGCGTCCATCCACGAGACGATCGCTCAGGTCCTTAAGACGGGCCCCGTGCCCACCGTACTCATCAACAACGCGGGTATAGCGCACGCCCACACGATCCTCGCCACCACAGACGACTTCCTCGAGAAGATTTTCAGGGTGAACATCCTCAGCCACTTCACGCTCATCCGCCTCCTCCTGCCGCGCATGATGGCCCAACGCAAAGGGCACATCGTGAGCATCGCCAGCATGGCGTCCTACACGGGCTGCCCCAGCCTGGGCGACTACTGCGCCACCAAGCACGCCGTGCTGGGCATGCACGAGACCCTCCTCGCCGAGCTGGCCACCCGCTACAAGGACCAGGGCGGGCACTGCGTGCAGGCGTCGATCGTGCATCCGATGTGGGCGCGCACCCCGCTCGTCGGGTCCTGGGAAAGGCAGCTCAATGCCTCCAAGGCGCCCGTGCTGGAGGCTAAAGATGTGGCGGCGCCGGTGGTGAGGCATGTGTTGGGGGGGAGGAGTGGGAGTGTTTTTGTGCCGGAGCGGTATAGGTACGCTACCATCGCCAAGGGGTTGCCGGATTGGGTGGGGATCAAGTCGAGGTTGGATTTGGCCGTGAATACGGACGTGGGGAGGGAGCTGGAGACAGAGGCGCTGGAGGTCAAGGAGAGGAAGGGCGTCGAGGAGAGTTGGGTCAAGACGTAGAGTACAGTGTTGTTAGCGGGCGGGGGGCCTGGCGGGCACTGGACAGAATCTATTAGCTATATTATATACAGCTATAGCTGTTGAAGCCCTTTTGCAGCAGAGTGGGCGAGGTGGTATAATGATGGTGGTACTTGTGTTTTATTAATGCTGTTATTAGTGCTATTACTAGTGCTGTTGCTGGTGCTGTTGCTGGTGCTGTTGCTGGTGCTGTTGCTGGTGCTGTTGCTGGTGCTGTTGCTGGTGCTGTTCCTATCACTTATAGATGGGCGTTGGCGTTGGGGTGTGTACAGCTCAGTCGAAGTGTACCATAACTAGAATACCGAGAAGAAGCATGCTTCATTAAAATAAGCCAAACAGTATCCAAACAAGAAATGTACAGTGCTGTACGCACATCACTGTGCCGCAGCAGGTACCTAGCTACACGTTCCGTTCCTTGTGAACACGTTCACCCTCTGAGCGCGTCCGCCTGCCTGCTTGTCATCGCTTCGATTCCACCACGTTTATTCAACTGAATTGCGTCTCCGTGACGCCAGCTCCCATCGCCGAGGTGCTGGAAATCCCTCCCGTAACCATGCGCAAGAGGTTGTCTACATAGTTAGCTCCAGACCACTTCTGATGCGTGACGACGTCGATCTTGTTGGCCATCTCGGGCTCCTGGATCAGTTCGCCGTAGGCACGCATGCCGCGCTTGGCAAAGTTCTTGGCGAAGGTGTCGGAGATCAGGGCCGTGGAATGGAGACCCGCCAGCGTGATGAACTGCCAGCAGTAGCCCAGCTCGGCGAGACGTTGGATGTAGGTCTCTTGGTCGGACGAGGACATGGCCGCCTTCCAATTGAAGGACGGGGAGAGATTGTATGCGAGTCTAGTAAGGACATGTGTTAGCCTCTTTGCGCATGGGAACCAGCATGGGTTAGGGCAGTCCACTTACTTCTGCTCCGGCCACACGGCATGCACGCCATCGGCAAATTCCTTCGCTTGTGCGAAGTCGGGCATCTTACTCTCCATCCAGATCAGATCTGCGTAGGGCGCAAAGGCGATCGCTCGGTTAACCGCGCACTGGCAACCGCCTTTGTATCTGTAGTAGCCTTCACGGGTCCGAGGAGCGTCCCAGTCCCAGTAGATATCGACGCCCGTCAGGCCCTTGGCGATGGCTCGACATTGGTTGTTTGACTTGCCCTTCGAGGCCTCCTTGTACTTTTCGATCAAGGCGGCCTTGTTAACGTGGACGCCGGCGTTGATGGCGTCAATGACGGCTTCGTCGAACAACTTCATGCCGGCTTCTTCCGTCCACTTGTCCTCTATTGCCTGGAGTTCTTCACCGTTTTTGCCTGCCTGTTCGGCCGCGACCATCAGATCATTCAAAGGTTGGAGGTTCTGGTTCGTGCTGCCCAGAATGAACGAGTGATCCCGGTGGTCAATCGTCGTTGTGATTAGGGTGGCGGCTTCCGAGTCGGTCCGGGCAATTGCAAGCAAGTCGACGCCCATGATATCGGCCTGGGCGCGAATGGCCACCAGACGATTGATGTGCTCGGAGATGGGGACAAGGACTTTGCCCGCCATGTGGCCGCATTTCTTGGTGCCAGGAGCTTGATCTTCAATGTGGATGCCCGCCGCACCTTTCTCCACGAACAGCTTTGTGAGTTTCATCACTGCGGTGAGACCGCCATGACCCGTGTCGGCATCCGCGACGATGGGTCGTAGATAATCAACATTTGCCACGGAGTCACGTTTGTCCTTGGGTGTTGTGAGACGCTCTTCCCGTTGTTTGCGGTCGTGGAATAACTGAGCCATGAACAGATGCTGTACCTTGTTCGGGACAGTGTTCATCGGGTAATCAGCCAAGTCGGGCGAAGGCTCGTCGGTGGAAGATGCGGTAGAGGAGGATTGCCAGCCAGAGACGTAGACGGTGTCGAGATATTTGTTCATCTGGGTCAGCATCGTCGGTTCAAGGCAGCCGTAGGTGGCAGAAGCCGTTTTGGTCTGCAGGACAGGTCAGTACTGATGGCAATATGGTGTGAGATGACGGTGTTCTCGAGCCGTACAGCAAACCGCTCCTCGACGAGCTTCCACAACTTCTTAGCCTGTGCATTGGCGGGGTACTCGATTTTGATGGTGCCTCGCTTTTGCACAATCTGTTCGGCCGTGAACGGTCGCTTGGTGAATCGCCATCTCGAATCAGTCCACCACTGCTTGACAGCCTCCACATCCTGGAGATATAGCTGCTCTTCTTGGTCTAATGGAGACATTTTGGATGTGTCGACGACGACTCTTTTTCGAGGTCAAGTGTGCGTATGTTGAAGGATGCAGCCGAGCTTCAGTGCAGCTGACTGTTCCACAGACTGATCTCGACAACGACACAAAAACACGGGATGGATCAACACAAACCCAAACTCGGAAGAAGGAGGTCGAAAGGAAGCTGAGACAAGCAAGATGGGGAGCACGAGCAAAGATTAAGTAAAAGATGCACAAGCGCTGCTTGAGCGAGGCTCGGGCGCGCCAGTGGCTCTGATCACTCCCTCCTTGGCCCGATGATGCATGGTGAGGGCTCCGTCAGTAAGTTCCCGAGCCAAAAGCTGGAGTCTGGGCTCAGGCCTTGCCTCTTCCGGGTGCCAGAGAGGACGAGCGGGGAGCCCAGATTGGCTGAGAGAAGCCATGGCCGGACTGGAGGAAAGTAGCATGATGAGGCAAACAGCACCGCAGATGATGGACGCGATACTTTGTTTGGTTTCGGTCCATGATCGGCTTTGTGGGGGAAGAGGTTGGCATGTGCCTATGACGTGGATTGGGCTTCCTCCGTTCATCCGCTGCTCACTGGGATCTTCGCCATATTCGACGGATGTTGGATGCGCACGTCTGGGCAGGGCTGGGCATGATACCATAGCTCGTAGCTTGATAGCTGTAGTTTCTCCTGCTTTGCGAGGACCCAAGCTGTCGCGGTTAGACATAAAATGATTGTTGATTCTGGAGTCACAATCATGGACTGACAGTGCCTCGGTACATAGGCTCCGCCCTGGCACGTGATAGAAGGGACGGCAACTTTCGGACGCGCAGGGGCTGGATGCAAGCCGGCGCTCGTCAGGGAAAACCCTCCGGTCAATAGGGCTATACCACAGAAGCGCCACACGCCGATTGGCTGCACGAAATGATCCTTCTTCAACGTTGAATCCTCGCATGAGTACTCCGTATTGATAGTTCATTTAGGTCTTAATGTCCCTAGGTACGTAAATGCAGAGGTAAGTGCTCATAGGCTCCGAGGGAACCCCCATTCTGATCCCTCATGTCGTGCTTGAAAAAGAATGCCGTCCCAGCAACGCCAAGGATCAATCGTCTCAACTCATCTGGAGCCTCGTGCCTTTATGCTCGCTAAAAATGTCAATGTCGTAGCCCTCATTAGGCATCATGCGTCGTCTGGATCACTCTAGGTCTATTCTTCGCATCGATGCAACTGCAGATGTACCGCCAAAAAGGTGTAACGATGATGCGTGATCACCCGCACAGCGTTGACGTCGTTCAGTTCGTGAGCGACTTGGTCAGGGACTCTGTGCTGGAGTTGACGGCAGGCTCGCTTGGCACTTCGTCTCCCGAATCCGGTCTCGACTCGTCCGAGCCTTCTGGAATGGTCTCGTCAAGATCGTCAACTGCGCTAAGTTTGATCTTGGTCGCTTTTTCGAACGTATCATACGGAGTGAGCGTGCCCAGAGCTCGTTTCATGTGCATCGGAAGGAACGAAAGCCCGTAGACGTAGCTGGCGTTTACCCAACCAAACCTGGGATTGTCAGCACCTGGGTCGACGACAGCACAGAACCGCATCACTTACCCTTCTCGAGGGACGCCCTTGAAATCAGAACCTTGGTTGCCATACTCAGCCTCAACCTTGTGCGGATCCAGCTCCCGGGTGACGTTGTACTTCTCTACAACAACGCCGTTGAAGTCGACAAATGCCTTAGTGACCATGTACAACCACTTGTACGCCAAACGCTGAGCGTCGTCGAGGTATCCGTAGTTGATCAGACCGCTCCAGGCCAACATTTGCTGAGGAGCCCATCCGAACGGATAATCCCACTGCCGGTTTGGTCGATGAAGGCCGATTTCTCCACGAGATTCTTCAGTTCCCGAAACCAGCCCTCCGAAGGCATCGAATCTTGGTAGCGCATTGAGGAGCAGGGAGGCGGCTTGCTTCGGTGATGCACATCGGGCCCACATGGCCCAGAATGTCGTGGCGGTCTCGTAGGTGGACCGCTTCTTCTGGACAGTGTCATAGTCGAAATACATGCCCTTGGCTTCGTTCCAGAGGTATTTGTCCATACGGGCCCTACGCATTCGTGCTCGTCGATCCCACGTGGCCGAAACCTCGAAACCCTGCTTTCGATTGGCCTCAGTCTGGAATTCGGTTGGAATGGACAGTCTGTCGTTGAAGTGTTTCCGGATGCACCATGCAATGTCAACTTCGTACTTGTACAACAAGGAATTCAGATCGATCGTTGCCAGATTTGCTGCAACCCCTTCCAGTCGGTAAGAAGTGTCATGGCCCGATTCACGTACCGCGCGATCGTGCAAGAAGTACTCGTCCAGGTCGGCCTCCTTGACCTCCTCATTGTTGTATGCCTTGACGAACTCCTCAAAAGACATTCCATGCTTCTCAGCGTATGGGGTCAGGATGTGAACAAAGTGGGAAGCCTCGGTCTCGGGAGGGACGCCAAGACCATCGGGCCGATATCTTGACAGACCAGTCGTAGGGTCATAGCGAGGAGCAGCCATCCAGACATTGTAATACTCCTTGATCGCCGCTCGGATGGCCAACCGCAGAAAGTCCAACGCACCAGGTTCGTGCTTGATCTTGTCGTAGACTTTCATCGCCATGTCGGTCAAAAATGGTGGCTGTGAGCGAGTAAGGTAGTAAGAACGATTGGCGTTGAGAATCTTGCCATAGTGCTGGATGCAGAAGGCAAAGTTGATGACCATAGATTTTGCCAAGTCGACTCTTCCGTTCTCAAGCAGGCCCAATGACTCCATGTAGCTGTCCCAGCCGTAAAGCTCGTTGAAGCGGCCACCAGGGACGATGAACGGCTCTCCCTTGAGAGTTTCCTTGCCGTCGACCATCTCTTTTCTCATAGCCAGGGCTAAGATGCCGGGGGCGTGGTTAAGGCTCCTGACGAATTGTGCCGTTATGGGTCCTTCGGGTAGCCAGCAGACATCGAGCCGCATTTCTGGGCGATCTTTGGCAACTTGAGTGTAGTATTCGAACTGCTCAGGACATCCAGGAGGGATGTAGATGCGGGGCCTGGGATCAGCAGTCCAATCCTTGGGGTCCTTGCCCGCCTTTTCGATCGTGGCAGCATCCAGACTGCGGGTCAAATTGTTCCAGAACTCGTCTCTGATGCGACGGGATAGACGATCGACGGGATTCTCACTCAGTCGGGAGCGGTGTATCTTGACTACCTTCTTGCCCAAATCTTGCGCCAGTGTTAACTCTTGCAGGAGGTTGCTGATCATATAATTTCCACGAACTTCGGCCGTTCGATAGCCTGCGGAGGCCAATGTGCCCAGATTGATGTGCTACAAAGGGAGTCAGCCTCCGCGTGTTGCCAATATAGAATGGGTCTTTACCTTTGGTCCATTATCTTCGATTGTGATCTGGTGATTTCTGTCCACGTCTTCCCGATCGAGTAGATCCTGTAAGGTGCGGTCGACGTCTACCAGCAGCTCCTGATGTTGCTGATGATGCTCATCTGTGCGAGTCTAGTGTCAGGCGATACGTATAACATCGGCGGACCTGGACAAACTGGCACATACCGTGACTGGTTCTTCGAGCGGGATAATCACCTTTTCCCAGGCCGAGAGGGCTCTCGCGAGCAGCTTTGATGTACTGGGCCAGTCAGCAGGATGAACGTGGGCTAGGACTGGGTATTGACAAACCGAGGTGACTGCTCTGTTTCTTGAACCCAGCAGCTGACGTCTCACGGCCTCCTCGTCGTAGTAGAGTGACGGAGAAGAATAAGGGTCGCGGCGCTCCAGAGACGAACTCCGCCGACGGTGTTTCACCCCATCTGGCAAGGTCATGACCAACAGCAGAGATACTCAAGAGGCGTGATTTCCAATGAAAGCAAAGGCAAGGACTCTGAACGAGGGTGAGGCAAGCCCAAAGTGAGAACTGAGCGATCGTTGTGTATGTGTCGGCTGACTATCAAAGCGGTTGCGCAGAAAAGGGCCAGCGATTAGAGTTGCAGATTGAATGTTTTGGCGATGATGACAGGGGCGATGATGTCGATTTCAGGGCATGGACCCGCTGAAAAATCTCCAATTTCCTTTTTGAAAGGCTTTGTGGCTGCAGCCGGGGATGCCGGTGTTAGGTGATAGGTTCCAGTAGGTTTGTAGGGTCTAGGCCACGACCTGAATCCGGCCGCTGTCGAGTCAATCTGAGCACACGACCACCAGGTCGGAGGAAAGGAAGGAAATGTTGTAAAAATTAGAGTAGGTAAAGGCGGATTGTTGCGATTGTCGTTGGCGATGGTGTGAGAGAGAGAGAGAGGGGTGAAGAGGTGGAGATCTGGTCGACTGCCCCTCTATTATCGTTTTGTTCTTGCCCTCCAGATCTGTCACAAAGCAAGAAGGGTGCAGTTGAGCGAGGAGGAGCGAGCTCCACGGTAAGGACAGAAGAGGGTCAGGTGCGACACAAAAAGTAAGTCGAGTCTGCTTTGTTGTTACTTCTGCAAAGTCACTACGGAGTATTTCCACTTGCAACTCTCTTATGTTTCATTCCGTCTGAGGGAGATTGCCTCTCACTTCAGTCGAGTCGCAGCTAGAGACGTGCAGAGAGTGGAAATTTTTCACAGGAAAGTGGCACTCTGGTGGATGATCAATGCAGGTGTGACTTGTCCAGAACGCGGGCGGTACTTGTCTCTCGAGGCGGTCAGGTACCTTGAGGAAGGGCAGATAACCGTTTTCGAATATCTCGCCGGCGTTATCTCTTCGGGGTCCGTGAGATGCAGCCGCACCGGGCCTTGTGACCTGTCCAGATCGTGAGAGGCGCGAATCAATGCAGGTCCGGAAATCAGTGGCACAACAAGGCGTTTGTTGGCCACTCGTCCAATTCGCAACCCATGACCCCAAATCCGGTGTCGTCCATACTCCGTAACCAGGCTCTCAGGTACCAGCCTCAGCCTTGCTGTTAGACGCGACGTGAGCCCCATATCTATATCCAGAAACGAACCCTCCACCCCTCCACCGCTTCGATGTTTGTGTCACCACGGACAACCAATCACTTAACCCCGGTGCCAGACGCTCCATCCCACAGGCCCTTGCCTTTCACCATGCGCGGCACCTGCATGCAACCGAAAGCGCGCTGCAAGCCCATGCTCGTCCCCACCCAATCACCTCCATTTTGGACGCCGTCAGGATTGTCGCGATGGTGTACGTGTTACGACTATCTGCATCCTAGGAACAAAGTACAAAGCGTGTGCACATCGACCTAGTTTACGCCACAGACGAATAACGCTAGTATAGGATAGAGTGGTTCGCCACATGGCGGAGCATTTTAAGACTTGGGACTTTGAGCCTCATACCTAGTAAGAAATATATTCCCAGCAGGCCGTGGTCGACAACCATGGCGTCCCTCCCCGTCCTGCTTAGACCGCCATCTGGTCAAGGCATGAGTCCTGCTTGTCCTTGAGAGAAGGCACAACTCTGGCACACCATCCGCACCAACTCCGTACTGCCCCTGTACGCTCTCTTTCTAGATACTTTCCACTTTCGCGCTCGTCTGCGTATTCATAAGTGCAAGCGCCAGTTTTGACTCTTCTCTTCACTTTCTTCTTGAGGACGCCTCCTATACCCTCCTATAGATGGTTAGCCAGACGGTCTCGGTACCCGTAGGGTAAGAGATACTAACAACTTCTTGTTGGAGATATCCAGGCTTGTTGCTAGACGAATCTGGGGTGCCTACTCGACTTAGGCTATGGCCGTCATAATCTGCAGTATCCTGAGTCTTGTCCTCCGGACAGTCGGTTTCAACCCAGGATACCGCTTCGCTACTTGTGTCCAGACAAGACGCCCCGCGCCCACACTTCTGACCTTGATTGCCGAGGCCTAGCCCCGTACCGAGTCCGCCACCGATGTGCGTACTGTAACGTGAGCGCCACGTGAATACCCTTTGATAGGTGGTATCCGCGGCTCGAAGATTCCCTCCACAGGGCGCGCACAGAAATACACCGCGAGACTCGCAGGTACAAGGGCCACGGAGAAAGGCTGGTGAAGTGAAAGCATGAGTACTAAGCTCTAAACTTTCCAACCGCGACACGGAATCGGAAGCAGAAGAGCCGGAAAATGATCGTTCGGACCGCATGGAGCTGGCACTGGATGCTGGTGGAGCGTCAATCGGATCATCAGGGGTGTTCAGACCGTGGAAGTGTGCTTCGATCGGTGCATCGAGGCATGTCTTGCATAATCTGCGTAGTCGCTCCTTGAGTCTGATGTTGCTAAGCGGTTTGACGGTGCAATTCCGGCAGACAATCGTCCCACATTTCCTACAAGGGCCGACCAAATCCCGTGCACAAGAGCTGATCTTGCTTGAAACGCCGATGGAATCGTAGATCCCAGTAGGCTGTATATGCACCGAGCCTCCCGCAATAGCTTCGGTGGCGGCCTGCGTCTGTGAGGCTGCGAGGCCCTGCGTCCACGGTGTAGCCCTGTGGAGCTCCTCCACATGGGTCCTGTCTCTTTGCGCCCACAGCGCTTCTGCCAGCACTGGCCTTCCGTCATGGCTGCAACGTAGTGACTGAGACTTCAATTGGCGGCTGTACTGGGTGAGGCTTGCATGCACGCCATGACATGTCGCTGCCAAAGAGTATAAGTCGTTGAGGTCAAGGTGGGACGAGAGGGACAGCGCAACACTAGAAGTAGTTGGTTAGTATCTGGGGGAGGTCAATTGACCATCCGATGCGTACGGGTAGCATGTCAGAACGGCGGCCAGTTTATTGGTAGTCAACGCCTGAGCCATGACATTCTTGACATGGCCAAGCTTGATCGCTGTACCGGATTCTACTTCTTCAGCCAGTCTCAGCTGATCGTGGTAGGAAGATAAATCTGCATCGAAGCGCGATCGACTGCGGGATGAGCACTCGTCGTCCTCCAGGTCGCAGAACACCGCCATGCCGCCATTTGAATGCAGCCAAGCGACGTCAAGATTGGTATGTCAAGCGAGGACTAACTCGTTTGGAATCTAGAGAAAAGATAAGGAAAGATGGGTGCTGAACAATAGAGACAGAATCTCGAAACCTGCGGGCGAGTAGGTGGACTTGGATGTTCAGGTATCGCAGGACAATCCGAGTCGTGAGGGGCGAAGCGAGGCAGATGATCAGACATCGTCATAAAGATCCGGAGTTGGGACCTTCCACGTACAGTAACTCGTACGTTCCCTTCCACAGACTAACCAGGGATGGGCTCTAGTTAAGCCCTATGCCCCTGAGACCCAGGGCCCCCGAATAAGCCTCCCACAAGGTCGGTCGGGCGGCTAGGGGCCTGGGGTCCACTGGAAGACCACTCCGGCCACTGAAAGCGACCCAAGCGCCACATGGTCAAATAAGGTTCCGCTCAATCCTTCTGATGATGCTCTGCATAAAGACGCAACCTACTCCGTAGATGTGTTGTGATACCAGGCGAACCAGACAAATCCTTGGTCATACTACTCCCGTATGGCTGAATCACGATCTGCACTGAGAAAGAATCTGTGAACAATCCCCACTGACTTTTAAGCCGAGGCACCGTATATAGTATGCACGAGCATTCGCATCACATCGCGCCTGAGCTTGTAACCTTCCGCCACCGATTGGGCATACGCAGTAAGCAGCTATTGCTGGTTTCAAACCTCTTTACAAGAGGTGAAAGCTCCGGACTTCCTCGAGTCACCGCACGAATTGGATAACGACGGATATTACGACAAGATGACTTCAATCAAGTTGCCAGAATTTAGGAACACCTCGGTCGAGGAGATTCCCTCAATCGTCTCTCGACTACGGAAGACATTCCTTTCCCAGAAAACTCGCCCTGCGGAGTTTCGCATCAAGCAGCTTCGTAAGCTGTACTGGGCTATCACAGACCATGAAAACGAGATTTTGGAAGCTCTAGCGAGAGACTTGCGGAAGAGCGCATTCGAATCCTTCACCGCAGAAATCAACTGGACGCAAAACGATATTATCTTCCAGACTCAGAACCTCGAGAAGTGGATGAAAGATGAGAAGCCTGCCGACATCGCCTTCACAAATAAGCTGCTCAGTCCTCGAATCCGAAAAGATCCTCTCGGCGTGGTACTCGTGATTGGGTAAGCTCCTTCGACTGACTTTGCGTGCTGAAAGAACTGATCCTGTTGCAGGGCGTTCAACTTCCCGTTCAATTTGTCTTTCGGGCCCATGATAGGAGCCATCGCTGCCGGCAACACAGTCGTGTTGAAACCATCCGAACAATGTCCTAATTGCGCAGCCGTCATGCAAAAGATCATGGAATCGGCTCTCGACCTCGACTGCTATGTTTGTGTACAGGGCGCCATCCCTGAAACTTCAGCCTTGCTTGAGCAACGATGGGACAAGATTTTCTTTACGGGGTCGGAGCGAACAGCGAAGGTCGTTGCTCAGGCAGCTGCAAAGAATCTTACCCCTGTGGCTCTCGAGCTCGGAGGCCGCAATCCCGCCATCGTTACGAAGAAGGCTGACATGCGCCTGGCTGCACGACGTCTGCTGTGGTCGAAGACTATGAATGCTGGGCAAGTGTGTATCAGCCAGAATTGCATCTTGGCTGACAAAGATGTTGTGCCAACCCTGATCAAAGAACTGGGGGCCGCGCTGGAGGAGTTCTTCCCTCAAGGTGCGAAGTCCAGTGCCGACTTCTCCAGGATCGTCAATGAGAGATCATTTGATCGAATCAAGACGATGTTGGACAATACAAAGGGCAGGATCGTCCTGGGGGGCACCATGGACCGCGCCAGCCTTTTCATCGAGCCCACTGTCGTCTTGCTCTCCAACAAAGATAAAGACGACTCTCTGCTCGTGGAGGAGTCTTTTGGACCATTGATACCCATTCTACCCGTTGAGGACTTGGACCAGGCAATAGCGCTTGCCAATGAACTCCACGAGACTCCACTGGGCGTGTACGCGTTTGGGTCAAAAACTGAGACTGATAAGATCCTTACCGGCACAAGATCTGGTGGTGCGAGCGTCAATGATGGTTTCTTCCATGGTATCATACCGAACCTGCCCTTCGGGGGTGTCGGCGACTCCGGAACAGGAGCATACCGTGGAAAAGCTTCATTTGACTGCTTCACCCACCACCGCTCGATAACATATACCCCGAGCTGGATGGAAAGTTTACTGGCAGTAAGATATCCGCCTTTCGCTGGGACAGGCAAGCTGGAGCAGTTCAACAAGATGGGACTTCTCAGGCCCGACTTCGATCGAGCAGGTAACCGGAAAATCGGACTCTTCTGGTACTTGATCACACTGGGCTCTGGGTCTCTATTGGGTGGAGCGGTCCGCGCAGTTCTGCTAGCTAGCCTCTCTGTTCTTGCGAAAGCGTACCAGGACGGAAAGATAGCGTTACCGGTCAAGAGGTGAGACGTGATATGGGTGTATCACCAGCGGGACGGCTCGGGCAGCCATGAGGCATTTCGCGATCAAAGAGGGTACGTCTCTACACGCGGGATACAATAAATCTTCATGCCTTGGCTGTAGTCAGCTTTCCTATGAGTGTCATCAGACATGCGACTCCATGACCTTTGCAGCCTCGCTTTTCGTCCGCTGCGCCTGTGTCAACGGGCTAGGCACACGCACAGCCACACTCCCCGTGACTCCCCAAGCCGCCCACGCCCACTGCACCTAAACGCCCAGTCCCGCCCGTGTCGCCTAGAGTAGTAATGCCATCCCGGGGTCCAGAGCATGCGTCATCCGGGATGGACTAGCCGCCCGCCTATCGCCCAACACGCTTAACGAGCTTCCCATCATCCATCCCGCATGATCTCACGTCCCACGATCACAATCTGCTGCTTGGGATTGGATACTTTGGCCACCGCTTTACAACCCTGCCAGCCTACGTGAGGGCTCGGTCTCTACGTTGGAATTATCTGGACCTCGACGAAGCAACCGCCCGAACTCCCTCTCCGTGAAAGCAGCCTCTCATTCTCCTCCGTTCCACCACACAACGCTCGCTGCCTCAACTAGAGGCCCTAGAAGACCTCATCGGCGCTGCAAGTGCGCACGCGAGTTGTTCCCAAAGCTGGCCGAAGGCATCCCATATCATGACCTCGACCTCGAATACACCCTTCGCTACGCCTGCGACGTCTAATCCCAACACGAGGCCGAGCACACCGAACCCAACGACCCCTCCCACCGGTGCTGCTGTGCCTTCAGACAATGACTTGCGGGATGATTCTTCCAAGTTAAGAACGTTTCTGGGCTTGCTCAAAAAGTACGTCACTCTTCGAAACACAGCCTCCAAAGTCTGGAACGGGAGAAGACACTCTCTCAACGTGCCCGAACTTGTACTAACATGATTGGGACTCACTCAGGTTCATTGGCGTCTCCGATATCGCGAATGTTCGTTTCTCGTTACCTTCGCAGTTAATCGAACCTATACCAAACTTAGGTATGGCCGCTCGGTGAACCCGCTAGTATAGAAGAGCGAGGTCGTTGACAACATACAGAGTACTGGCACTATTTGGACAGGCCAGAAACATTTGTCAGGTGAGGCTCCAAGTCTACCACGACCACAGGGCCGGGTGAAAGTTTACTAACGCGGAAGGTAGTATAGGGAGATCAAATGAGCCTCTTGGGCGCATGCTGGAAGTCCTGCGATTTTGGTTCACCAAGGACTTAGTAAGTTGAACAGCCTGATACCCCGAGGAGGTCGATTCTAAGAGACGCTTGCAGAAATATGTCAAGGGAAAGCCTTGTAAACCATACAACTCGACGCTGGGCGAGTTCTTCAGGGTACGCCACTGCTTCATTCACTTCCACGCACCTCCCTCCAATGCGACACATCTATGGAAAACGCTCAGCATAGAGAGCATGACAGGCTGACATTTGTCGCCCGCCAGTGTGTTTGGGAAGTCAACCAGTCTGCCCCTCCCATATCAGAACCTTCCAAAGCACCGCCCCAACCACCCGCCGACCCAAGCCAACCTTTAGCAAATGGAAACGCCGACCCAAAGACTGCCGATAAGCAACCAATTCGAGTATCTTTCCTCACAGAACAGACTTCTCACCACCCGCCCGTCTCAGCCTACTTTTACGACTGTCCGCAACTGGGTATCAGCGCTCGAGGCTATGACCAAATCTCGGCCAAATTCACAGGTACATCGGTGCGCGTCACGCCGGGTATCTACAACCGAGGCATCTTCATCACTCTTGCGCAACGCAACAATGAAGAGTACCAACTTTCCCACCCGGCCGCCTCACTTGGCGGCCTCCTCCGCGGGTCCCTCTACATCTCCGTGGCCGACACCTGCAGCATAACTTGCCCCCAGACGCGGCTAAAATGCCTGCTTACCTACGTCGAGGAATCCTGGTTCGGCAAGGCTCAAAATCGTGTCCACGGGCTGATCTTCCGCTACGACCCCTCAGATGACAAGTACACGCGGCTCAAGGACGTGCCCGACAAGGACATCCTCGCCAAAGTTGAAGGCTCCTGGCAAGACCAAATCACATACACGATCCCCAACTCTGCAGCGGTCAAGGAGTCAAAGACGCTCCAGCCAACATCCGACAAACAACTCCTCATTGATCTCCAGCCTTTGTTTCCCGTCCAGAAGAAATGCCCAGCCCCCAACGAGCAGTTGCCGAACGAATCCCGCACCTTCTGGTCCGAGGTCACCGCCGCGATCAACGAGAAACGATTCAGCGATGCAACTCGGGTGAAGCAGGACCTTGAACAGGCGCAGCGAGACAAGGCTGCCAAGCGGAAAGAACTCAACGTTGAGTTCCAGCCTCGATTCTTCACCGGCGTGACCGAATCGAGCGGAAAACCAGAGTTGACCGAGTACGGCAAGGAAGTTCTCCGAGGCATGGGCGAGGGCAAATATGGGATCAATTTTATGCCGGAGCCGGGGATTGACTGAGAGGGCATGTACAGATGAACGCACGGTTAGGCTGGGCAGGGTATTGGCAGCGATTGGTAGGCAAGGCAGGGCGCTCAGAGGAAGCCGGCAAGATTATAGTACAGTAGGTGGTTTGGTAGGCAGGTATCGTAGCTGGGACGGCCCAAGCGGATAAATAGATGGCACAGATATATCATTCCACCTGGTCAGGGGTCAGTGACGATTGTATATCTGGCCACTACAGTCGGAATGCGCTCATCATGGTCATGTCACAAGTCATGCAAGGGTCAGGGTCAGGGATCAGGAGTAGGATTACCGAGTACTGTAGCTTTAGACGCCCTGCTCGAAATTTTTGAAGCAGAGATGCGCTCTCACAAGTCCCCATAATCGAAGGACAGATTGCACTCATGCACAATGGCATTGACATTGACTTCCATACTGACAGCGACATCGACATCGACGTTGACTTCCATACTGACATTGACATCGACGCTGACGCTGACGCTGACGACGGGCAGTCATATGGCTTAGGTAGGCTTTCACTGTCCCCCTGAGATACTGATGTGTTGAGAAACCGAGATACATGTTGAAACAACATAGCCCAGCATATCTAGTCCGCACACGGCACACCCTATAATAGACGTGAGTCGTTGCCTGCTGGATGCTGGATGCTCCATGCTGATGTCCTATGCCGCTTGCTAGGGAAAGGAAGGGGGAGAAAATCGGCGGATACGTGCGTACGTGTGTGCATGCATGCGTTCGTGCGTAAGTGAGCAGACCGATAAGGAGACTGACTGCCTTGATGAGGCCCCGACAGACTGTAACTCCGTACACGGCGAGAACAGTACCGCATGTCGAATGTGCTGTTTTGCAGCAGTTCGGGCTCTCCTTCGCCATGACCTTTTCATATTGAAGACTTTTTTTCGTGGGTTCAGTCGCTGGAGTATCCCGTGCTATATACTACGTGGCGTACTTACATACACTTTCAACATCGCTGGCCGGGCTGTTGGCCCGCTAGAAACTTAAAAGGCAGGCCTTCAGAAGAACGGAGTACTTGAGCGCACATAGAGGCGAGGTGCCTCTGAGCCCATACGAAACAAATCACCCGCTTCGCGATCCCGTGCATTTATCGGTCCATCACTTCATATCATTCTTATGAACTCAGCAAATCAAGAATCAGACATTTCAATCGATATGTCCTCGAAATATTCAGCCGAGCCTGACAAACAACAAACAAAATAGCCGTAACGCCCCGCCACACGGTTTCGGCTCACCTCACGCGAGGTTGCGAAGGCCGGATTCGAGTTCCGCGCATACACAGCGTCAGGGCGTGATGGCAGGCGACCCAGAGCTTTTCGAGTGCGAGTCCTCATCCGCGTGATCCAGCATGTGCATGTGGTGCAACATCTTCTCATCCCGGCTGCTGCTGCTGCTCATGTCCGAGCCGGACCGCAAGCGCGCGGCCTCGCGCTTAGCCAAGATTTCGGCCCACGCGTCTCTCGAATCTGCGAGAGCCGGAGCCGTAGCACTCGCTGTGACGGCGTGGATTGCTGCACTTGCCAGAGGCAGAGACTCGACATCGACTTCGGGGATGGGACTGTCGATGAGACTCCGCCTCGCTTCGCGCTTGGCCTGCCTGATCTCGTGCTGTGTGTGGAACTCGGTGTGGTGCTTAGCGAACAGGGGGACGTGCTTGTCGAGGAAGTTCGCGGTCGCGGCTAGTGGGTGAGGCGTCGAGATATGTACGCGGTGCGAGTGGTGGTGGGTGTGGCTGTGGCTCTCGTGGGGTGCCCCAAGTTGCCATGACGCGTCACTGGGGTTTTGTGACGGTGAGGGAGTCGAGGCAATGATGTATGCTGGGGATGGATGCACGAACGCGGACGGTGGAGGGGGCATTGGCATGGCGATCTTCATGTTGGATCTCGTCGAGGAGCGAGTGGGACCCATGGCGAGAGACTCCTCTGTTGGAGAGGCCATCGTGCTGGTATTAGTGTCGAATGAATTGGCTTTGTTGCCTGTTCAGGGTCTGCTCGACTCGGTGGATTTGTATAGCACGATATAGCTGACTTCGTGTGAAAGAGGTCGACACTCGTCGCAGGGTGTCGGAAAGTCTAGGCCCGAAGTTTGGCGGAGGACCGTCGACCTCGAACAACTCTCTCAGATGGCACAACGATGCGGATGAAAGGGTGTTCTCTGAGATAGCGTAGGAGGAGACAACTAGGACTGAGGTTTCTGGAGAAGATATGTAGGGGGGAAGGTTGGGCTTTGCTGAGGGCTTATCGATTCCACAAGCCAGACTTACGGATACTTTACCAAATCATCCTCCCCGTCGTTCTAGTTCGCAATAGCGCATCTCCCTTCATGGGATGGTGTCCCTCTTTCCATCACGAAATGAGGGGTTTGCGTCCTCTAGGGAATATGCCGGGCGAACTCCAGCGTTGGCATGGTGTCGCTAGCAATGGAGGGGAGCGAGAAAGTAGAAGGAGCAAAGAGGCGATGAGAAGGATGTAGCCAATGGAATTGAGTTCTGCGGCTGACACATCATGCGACATTATGCACCATCCTGGTACAGCGCTTCTTCGCCTTTGGCGCCAAGCTCCGTGGGTGCGAAGAGAATGAAAGTCGAGCACTGATTTCAGTGTGTCCAGATGGTCTGGAATTCTAATAATCGTGCTGAGTTGCACGCCCGAGACACCGGAAAAACAGAAATTTGAGAACAGCTTGGAGAGGTAGATTTTCAGGGTCCTGATCGGATCTGGCAGAGAATCTTCTGTACAGCTGTGGTCAATCACTTATGCGATAGGCGGGCCGCCATGCGGACGAACATACCGGTTGCCATTGGTCGTCCATGACTTGAGAGGATAAGTCACTCAGCTAGGGAGCACACCAAGGACCGCATAACTGCTGAGTCACTGCATCCTGTCCACGTTTGCTGCTTTGGGAAACCGCGGCAGGAATCTGAGCATGCGCCTCTTCCGCGCAGCCAGTCTCTCCTCCGTACAACCGTACAGGAGATCGAGATCCGTTCCGGTGTCAGAAGTCCAGGACTGCGCCACGGATGTCAATCCAATTGATTCATAAATGTGTCGAATTGCCTCTAGAAATGGCCGATTTGCAAAGAACAGAAATCGTATGACGCCCAGCTCTGGAACAGTCAACACCGCACAATGTGCAGGACGTCCTGATCAAGAAAGTGGCACCAGCCTGATGACCACTTGCATGTGTCGCGACGTCCCTGCCACAGTCTCCCGTCGTCATAATTTCCACCCCGAAACATGACACAGCAAAGTGAGTCGAGGAAGGAGGATCCCGGCGAAGTACTCGACGATGGGAACGGCCAACTCAACCAACGAACTCTCCTATTTTCACCAAGCTTCGTTGGACCAGAAATGATGACTTCATACCATCTGGGTTGGATGAGGCTGACGGCAGCAGAGTACATTCGTGTGTGTTATACTCTCTCCGCTTGTGTATGCCCCCGAACCTCGGTGATGTATAGAACTTGCTCCTTCCGTGTCCTGGCTGACCATATCCATCTGCCATTTGTCGCTAAGCCTGGTTGGCCTTTCTGATGGTCTTCTGTGACGGTGCCGGCGTTGGTGCTTTGAGCTGGCATGTCAGTGTTGTTGTCTCCTCCTGTTCCGCCAAGTCGAGTCGCTCGCACGCACGGCTCAGGATGTCTCTGCATCTAGGCAACGGCTCTGGGAGATGACGCTATGGCTCAGAGACTCATAAGGCCTTGGTAGACCCGAATTAGGATGCGCCTCCCTCCGTCCTGTTCAGTGATTGTGAGAGTTGATTGGCAAGATGGCTGACATGGTGACTGGGGCAGAGTAAGCAGTCAATCAAAGACAAGAACGTATCTCGAAGCAGCAACAGCAGCACGACAGTGTCAATGATGGGTTCAAGTACAACGCCATTTCAAATATCCTGCGCGCGTCGAATCACGGATTGTCGTTTCGAGGATAAAAATGGAGGTGGTGCAGGGCAGTTGTCGCGAAAATCCTTCACCTGAATCACATTCACCACCCAAGTCACCTGAGCGAAAAACAATGCACACATATATTCGACCAACAGAATTCCTGTCACAAACCAGTCCCCGTGTCTATCCCGTGTTCTGCAAGTGTCGCCAAAACCAACAAACTTGCAGGGCGTAAGGGTGATTCACCAGGCATAGGGCTGCTTCTCTTGGTTGCTATGATTGCATGTTAGCACCAGACTCAAGTACGACAATCTGCCCCATACAGCCCGATGTGGAAAATTGTATGGTGGTTCAGATCGAGTCCCTGTCGATGACAACCCTCAGCGGAGGGCGAAGGGCAGGAGAGAACCAGATGAGATCGGCCGGAAAAATCCCTGCAAGGGGGTTTCCCTCGACTGAACCTCAATTACCACTGGGTAATTGGGCTTCAGTTAGAGTTTTTGTCTCTTTATATTTTTGCCCTCTGCTGGTTTTGAACTTGCAGGGTGGTGTTAGGTAGTGGGAGAATATAGCAGATACTGCTAAGCGTGGCCAGCTAGAGGAAGTGTTGGGTACGAGGGTGAGCGGCACAGCAGTAACGCCAACCATCGATTCGCGACGATATCTTGCTATTCCCCACCGTGTTGAGGTCATGTAGCCCAAGAAGACCGAGCTCGAACCATACAGATACTTAGACATCCCGTTCCGCAGCACATCTTCCTCCGAAAGCCTGAATAAAGTCCGTACTATATAAGCGCAGGTCTCCGCTGGAGGGTCGTCGATAGTGCTCACGTCTCCAGCTGTATGTATGAAAGAACAGCACCTTGGCCTTAGCTATATCGACAGGATAATTGATGCACCTCTGCTGGCTCGAAGTCGTCTATTGTTGGAAGTTCCAGATTCGCATGCAGCAGCAGCTGATACCTCGAGGCCAGACTCGTCTGAGACTCGGCGTGGTGGTTGCCTCGTGTGTCTTGTGTTGATTAAGTACGAGGTACTCTTGCACGCCGTCTCGCTATTCCGTATCACTCCTCGCCCACTGAAGAGCACCGAGTCTCCAGTCTTCTCTGCAAATCCGTGCGTGGCGGTATGTCAGGAGTCAGTCGCAGGCTTTCAATGTGCGCGTCCCTCACAGCTTGAGCGTCTCATTACCTACCACTATGCACAGTCCGTGCATGCTTGGGAGGGCATTCATTCCAGCACATCGTACTCCGTACAGGTGATGAGACTCCCTGCTGCCATGTGCCTTTTGTCAAAAGATATGATTTGCGTTTCCTGTAAAGACAAGCATGCACGCATACACGCGTGTACGGGCGGCATGCTGAGCTCCACGAGAGACGGTCGCGCACCTCGCTCGCTGGTGGTTTCCTCATCAAACCAGCGCAGGCAAGCTACGCACACCTGAAGTTCTAGGAATGACGCAGGCCAATGTAGGCCAAGCTAACCCACTTGTGTACGGAGTACGGGGTACTCTTAGGTTCCTTTGTCCTTCGATCACAGTGGCTGAGGCTGAAACGAAGCTCGGAGGTCGGAGCTGCCAATTTTAGTAGCGGCCAGCTTGCGCCTCGTTGGCTGACAAGCTTGCAGGGCGGCTTGCAGCGCGCAGCTCGTGGCTCCCCCAAAATCAGCCGGTTCGAGTGACCTCGTAACACACCACGAATGCGGAAGTGCTCAGTCAGGCAGTCATTCCTTCATTCAAAGATTCAAGATCAAAGAAAGATGGCGATGGGAAGCGGGACGCAGGACATATCGGCGGGCGTGACCCGCGATCAATTTCCGATGAAAAAACAAGAGTCCTTTTGAAGTGACAAATCTTTTCGCTCACTGACCCTGTACGCCATGCTGTTGTGATCCTGCGCCTTTCGCGGCCAAATTGCAGGCCACTTCCCAACCCAAGTACGCCGTGAAAAAGGGCCCGGAGCAAGCCGTGCCCTAATGCGTGAATGCTACCATAACGCCGGTCGTGTGATTCGACAGCCCTTCCCGTCGCAAAAAGCTCAACGCCCCAAGTGGTATCGTATCAGAAAGTCAAACATCATCGTAAACGTCGTATCATCATAACCGCCTCGTTGTACAAAGCCCAAAGCACCGCAACGCCATTCTAAAAATGTGACAGCCGACTGCGTCCCTCCACGAGTCGGTACAAGACCCTTTCTGCCTCGTTCATGAGTCCTCCCAGGAAGAATGAAATCTTCTCGAGCCTGATGATTTCGAGCAGACCGTGTGTCCGCCCGAAGATCGCGGGGCTCAGGTGTAGTAAATCGTCAACCGTTTTGACGTTCGTGTTTTGCAAGTACTCGCGCATGTTGTACAGGGCATCGCCGTGGTCGAGCAAGGCCGGATGGACTGACGACAGACTGGAACTTCGTGACGGATTCGACGTGGGTTCGCTGACAATGGAAGAGTGTCCACTATTGTCGGATGCCGTGCGCGCAGTGAAGCCGTAAGCCCAACAGACCAGCGCAGCCAGATACATCGCCCACCCTTCATGAAGCATGTGGGTGTCATGAAATGAAACAGACAATTCCGTGTTCGTGGAGCCGGAAGATGAGAATTGGGTTCGGAGTCGGATCAATTGAGTAGCGTGCCACAGCGCCGCCCGGCTCTCACGGTTCGAGTCAACCCAGGCTCTCAAGCTGCGCTTGGCCCCCTGAAATTCCGCTTCGTTCTCGAGCTTCTTGCCCATGATCCAAGACTCGCCACTCACAACAAGAAGTTGCCGAATGGGAGTATTTTTGGCCATGTCCCTAGCATGGCGGTTGAAGATGAGCCGTGCTGCGGCTGTCCCAGACTGGTCATTTCGGGGCAAGAGTTGGTCCAAGGTTATGCCTGGGTTGTTGGCCAGGCTGACCTGGATCTGAAAGTAGTCCAGTCGCACTGAAGACGCTTTCTCTTTCTGAGACGAGCGACTCTTCGTGGGGCCAGTCGCATCCGACTCGCCGGCCATTTCGACCCAGTCTTCGATTGGGCTGGTTTCCCAAAGCTCCTCGGCGCATGGAAGGGAAATGTTCAGTCGCAGTCCTGCAGGCCCAAGCCGTCTAGGTCGCTCGTGGTGAATGATCGTCGCTGGTTGTTCGAACAAAGTGACTTGTTGAAGATCCAGCACGTTTGAAGCTTGCAGAATGCGTCTGCGGGTCTCGTGCTCTAGCCAGAACTTGTGCGCCCTCTGGATGTCGTCTGTCAAGCGCTCCTTTCGGAGAGTCCGGAAGACTGCCAGAGGATCTGTGGCAAGAGTCCGCCTGGCTTGATCAAGACTGGCAAAAAGTGATCGAAATCTTGCTGACATCTCAACTTCGACTCTCCTGGCACAGTACTTGCTCAGAATCTCAAGCAGGAAAACACACTGCAAGTCGGCCAATCTAGACCGAGAAGTGATGTTGTCTCTCCTCCTCAGAAGCTTGGTGGCAATCTCCAATAGGGTCAGAGAGTACATCTTCGCATCCGGTCGTGTGTCGTATTGTGAGCCAATTGCGACCATGGCACTAGCCAAGAGCGGGCTCGGTTTTGTGGGCAGGAAGGACGGTCGGTGTACGATGGGGAAGGAAGGATGGAAGTATTGCCAGTAGTGTTCCAGACAATCCCACCTTATAGTGTCGGAAAAACCGGCTGAGGGATCTCCTGGCTGTAGTCCAGTTGCAGTTGATAGTTCTCGTCGTATGACAGACCATTCGATTCCATCCAGGTCGGAGAGGGGTATTGGTAGGGTAGAGTCTGCAGGAGACTGATCAGCTTCAGTATACGCACCAAACCGATGACAAGGGGAACATACGGGAAGGTAGGATCCATCATCGAGCATAGTCGAAGGGAAATTGCTGGGAGGGCCAGAAGTGGGAGCCCAGGCATTCGGCATGTTTCCGCTGATCAAGGGAGAGGCCCCATTAGGGTCGAAAGTAACAGAAGACGAAGAAGAAATGCTCTGGCGATGAGGATATCGCCCATAGTACTCTGAGACGGGGGATTGGCTGCTCTCGGGTGTGTAGAAGATAGAATCATCTGAAGAAGGGAAACCAGGTACAAAGTGCATGGGCTGGCGTGCGAATCCGTTGAACGCTGGCGTTCCCAGGCTGTAACGATAGTCTTGTTGTGGATGAACGAGTGAACCGATAGAGAGACCACCAGAAGATGATCTGGGAGCACTTCGATCGCCTTGCGGGCTACTCATGACAGGAGCAGGCATCACAGATGATGCTTCTGAAGTGACAGCTATCTGCGCCATCGGATCCAGGTGTCCAGAGGCACTCTCCACTGCGCTCTCGAGATCACTGCGTAAGATATCAGAAGCTGAGTTGGGCCAGAGGATGAGGGGCTACTTACTGCCTCTCTTGATGCCGCTGGAGGAGATCCATTCGATGGAATGCCTTTCGACATCCAGGACGGGTGCAGGGGAACAATGCTTCGGGGTTATGGTTGAGCTCATGTCTCCTGTTCGATGGTCAGACGACGTGTCCGTGAGAATCATGCGGGTACGAGCCGTCCAGTAGTCAGACTTACCTCCTGTGCTCTGCCCGAGTGAAGACCTAATTATCCATTAGCCAGGTGTTCCCTTTTGGGGTCCAGACCAATGGTTAGGGCCTAGACGCTGGGGTCGCTGGATGCCTTTGGGGCAGACTTACCTTGCCACAACCGGGAAACTCGCACGCGTGAACGCGCTTGCCCTTCTTTGCCTTGCTGATGCGGCCGGTGGGCGTACACGACGGCGCGGCGTCGAGAGAAATAGACGACGTCCTCATGGTGGAAGAGCTCTCGCGGCGAGAGGAGGATCCTGGGACAACTCCTTCGACCGGTGAGTGAGGCGAGTCTGATACTATAGGTGATCGGCTCGAGGCAAACGTGTCCTGAGTAGGCGATCGGGCGGAAGATAAGGGTTGCGGGCTATTTCTTTGCCGGCGGCGTCGATCCTTGGCTGCTTGATCTGAAAGGAATGTAGTTGTTGCCTGCTGTTGAGGAAGGATTGACTCGGTGGACTCGGCGATGCCAGAGTGTCGAGGAAGTTGGGAACGCTTTTTTGGGGCCATGATGGAAGGTTGGGTATTGTATAGAAGATATAACTCTATACGAGGTGACCAAGAGGCCTGCGCCAAACGTTTCACGGTGGAGTCGTCGATAATGCTTGGAAGCCTCCGCCCCCTTCTGAGCCTCAAGCAAAGATTAAGCTTGTTTGAGGAATGGAGACGGGTGCGTGGGTTTCTGGAGGGAGGGTAGGTGTGATGAGGGAAATGACGACTTGGTGGTGGAAAGAGGGAGAGAGGCTAGGAGGATTAGACACTGCTCAGGACCTATCGCCAGGGCTATGTTGTGTATGGGCGGCCGAAGGCACGTGGTGGGGCCGGTCAAGAACAGAGGTGTAGGCGGACCGGATAGGCCAGATGTTATTCTTGTCCATAAGACTGGAGACAGGGCGAACAGAGCAGAAAACGGCGTGAAAGGTGGTGCTAGGCAGGTCGGTATGGAGATGGTCGGGACGCAGGAGCCAGGGTGAAATTAGTGACCATAACTTGTCTAGCAGGCGGGTGTAAGAGATGCGAGCGAGGTATAGAGGCCTCACGGACCAATAGGGACAGCGACGGCGGAGCGGCTGTGTACCGAGCATGAGGCTTTGGGCCAAGCGTGGCCCGTCCGACTCAAAATATAGAGTGCGTCTGATCAAGGGACGTTTGCGCAGCGATTGGAAGGGAGGAGAAGCAGCCGCGGATTCTGCTGACAAGGATGGAAAGCTATCGTGCGAGGGCACCGTAACTGGCACAGTCGTTGACGGTGAGTGGAGCGTCAGTGCCATTTTCCACGCGGTCGCAGGAGAAAAGAGAAGAATGGGAACTTTTGGAGGAGGGACCGAGCGTGTGGATCGGGCGACGGCAACGGCAACGTTGCAGGGAGACAGGCCAATCCGCCAATGGCAGCCTCCGAACCCCGTCATCCTTGAGCCTTTAGCTGCTGCGAGTGGTGAGATGGCTGTCAGATGCTGGTCAGGTTCGAGTGAATGGTACCTGAGGCCAACAGGCGGGAGCCGCCTGTCATTGGGCATCACGGTCGCCGTAATCCCTGAATAGCAGAAAATGCACGCTTAGCGGTTTCTATCGCGAGCGCGGCGCAGGCCGATTACACTAAGCCCAATACCGTCATGGCTGCTTCTATCTAAAGAGTCATATCATGCCATCTTAGGATAAGCGCCAAACACTGGCCAACCAACAATTGGCCAAGCCTCCCCTTACCTGGCACAGCTAAACGGGTGCTAAAAGAAGCTCTAGCCTAGCTTAGAATGGTTTCTGGCTGTTTAGGTGAGTCTGCCTTACCTGAGCACTAAAACAGCGGCCAGAGTCGCATCTTCAGGTGACAGTCCTGTTCATCAAGCTCACCCTCCCGTCATAATGCGAGAAAGCAGCTCCGTTAAACACCGATCCAGCTCTGTGCCGTGTGGAGCCCATGAATGCGAGGATGATCATCTCCGTCCCTGGCATTTCGAGCTCGTCATTTGCTTGGTTCGTACTCGCACGAGTAGCCCGAGGATCGCAAGCTCAATTCTCCGTCTTCCGATGACCTAGCCCAAGGTGGTACTGGCTACGACTCTTGAACCTCCACAAGCATGTCGTTCTAGGGGAAAGCAAGGATATCCATGTGTGGTTACCTGTGGTAGACCACGCTTTTTCTTGCGTGTTCGCAGACGCCGTCACATCACGTACTTCTGAGTGGATGGTCATGTTCTATCAATCTGTCATTGATCCACCATCCAGTAGGTTCAGCCAAGGACGTCGTGTACGAGTCCTCGTACACTTTGCGAACCATTGTGCAAATTGCGACATCACTTCGCGCTGTGAGATAGCATTCGGGGAATGGGTCTTCTGTCGAACGCTGCTGTACGAGGCTACCAGTGATAGACAGAGCCCGCGTGTCGCACAGATGAACGATCGTGCGTCCGACGGAGGTGCATAACTAGACCCCAGTCCATGCTCCTTCGGTGCCAGGTCCAGCTGGAGTACGAAGTATCTGCTGCAGGAACCTACAGCCTCAGTTTCACGTTTTCTCTGATATTGTGCCTGCGTAACAGCTCCGCCCGTCCGGTGTTGTTGTTCTGTACTCTATGTTGTTACATCCTTCTCGTACTGATCCCTGGTCACCCAGGACTGCACCTGCCGAGAACGCTACGCAATTTGCATGCAGATCACCGTTCGAGCTGGTGTGGTGTGCTCCTTCTGACCACCCTTGATCCTTCGCGGCAGCTTACCAAATCGGTGGCGGCCCGTGGGTTGATTACGTGCGGAAGGATTCGCACACCAGCCACTGCTCACGGTACTTTCGTAGTCAGCGCCACACTTGACTACTTGTCTGTCCGTTGGGGCTGGTGGCTGGTGACTGTGGCACCCCTTGCGAATTTGTCTGATTCTGACAAACAAATCTGAGAGGGAAGCGAACTCAGTGAGGCCTGAGTGAGGCTGGAGCGCAGAGACATGGGCTGCCGGGCGTTGGGTTGATCCTGCCTCCAGCCTCAGTTCATGCTCTCAAAACTTTCCCTCTTAAGAATGTGTTGACACCGCTCCGTGGACGAGCTGGTGACGGAGTCAGTTGCTGAACAATCATAACGTGAGAGTATCCACGTCGACTCCCTTTGTCCCTGGGCCAGGCATCAAGGTTGCAACCTTCGTCATTCAACCAACGCTCCCAGGTCGCGAGAAGAGGACGCTGCTCTCACGGCATCGCTAAGGTCCCTCATTTGTCAAGTCGCTTACTTTCATATGCCCCTTTCTCCTGCGTGCAATGGTAAAGTCTACTGTGGTAGATTCTTCAGCAGACTCCAATACCAGTGCCGCCTGACATGTTTGCAGACGTGGAATCACACGGCCACTCCAACTCTATTGATCCTACCAATTCCTGAAGCGGCACGGGCGTCCATGTCTGCGGGTCGCCATCACGTGTTGTCCACTTAATCAACTGCTCTGTCGCGCGCCAGCGTTTCAAAACACGCCTCTTCCCCGCCCGAACAACGGTTTCAGAAAGTTTGAGCGAGAAACTCCTCGCGTCGCCATGCCCTTTCACTGTCCAGCTTCCCACATCGTTTCCACATGTTCAGATGATCTGCAAGCCGCATGGCTCCGAGCACAAAGGAGAACGCGTGCCGTCCCTCCACAACGCTACCCGTCCAATTGACCGCCGCATCCCCATTACTCGAAGGAGAACGGTCTCTGACATGGCGCATGTCGGTTCGTCCTCAGATGCAAGCCCCCTGACCAGGTCAAACCCCTCCGGTGCCTCGAGACCTGACAGGTGTCATGGTCCTCAGCAGCCGCTATTGCAGGAGCAAATGTTCCAATGCCTCGTTATGGTCTAGTCTGACCTGAAGAAACCCTCAAAGTTATTCTACGTGTTCCAGAATATGGCCAGGCCGGGAGTCGTTCTTGCTTCTTCCAACTCTGAGGATCATAGAACGTGCAGCCTAACCATGGTCGTACGGTTATGTCGCCGCAGCCACAGACGGCACGGAGTAAAGCTGCATCTGGGTGTAGTCTCTGCCGCCTTGGCTATCAGCAATGCAGGTGAATCCGTGAACACTGCAATTGAGTTTCTATCATGCACGATTGAGCGTAGCTTCGTACAGACTAGGTTTGATACACGACTCGGTAACCGGGTCACTGAAAGAAACGGGTATCCCATCCGCACCGGTCCTGCACAACATCAACAACCTACACAGTACGTAAGCGATTAACAGCGCCCTCTACGAGTAGGATTCGACTTTACACGACGGTAAAGGCCTAAATGCTGGTTCTGGGACACACTCCGCGATTGCTTAAGTCTAACCCAATCGAGGTCTATCCCGAAGAGCGGAGAAGCAGACGCAAAAGGACTGTCGCCGACGCAGATCTGACCCGATAACCTTAACAAGACCTCCTCAAACGTGGCACGGCTCGGTACACTGTGGCAAACGGGTATGTTCTCCGTAGATGCGAGTAGCTATGCGCCAAACGCCAAACGCCTGCGGATCCAGCAAATCCGTGCCCACCGCTTCACATAACTTATGCAAGCAGCCGCCCGTGTTTGACGGCTCCGGGACAAGTGATGGAAGCAGACGTGTCGCCCGGGTTTTGGAAGCAAGCCACTTACCCACCACTTCCGCTGCTGCAGTGAATGCTAACAGAGCCTATCTCTCGGTCGTCTAGCCATGCTCAGTACCGTGCATGTGGGTTTGAATCTCTGTCATGGCACGCCAGTGGGAAGCAACGCTAACGCGCGGCAGCCTCGTCCTCGGGATGTTGTGAGGATATGGTATCTGCGCCGTACAGAGTATTTGCTAAGCCGCTCACGCGGGCCTTCGTGAGGAAATGGCAATTCGCCCGTACGCACTATTTACGAAGCAGCGAGGCAGCACACACGGGACGACGTGAGGAGATGGTATCTCCCCCGTACACACTATTGCTGAGCGACTCACGTTGGCCTTTACGAATACACACAACTTCTGGGATCACCTATTTCGGCCGTTTGCCCGCAAATGAAACGGTTCGATTCCCGCAATGAGGGATCAAGGCCCGCGAAATCTTGCCGCCAAGCTCGATCAACTCGAGGATCAAGTGGTTTCCTCATCTCTACCTCCTTGCCCGACTGGTTCCAATTTTTTGGAGGCGTTTCCAGAGACTCTGAACAACAACGAGAATAATGTGCAGCTCACGGCAAGAGACCCCGCAGAACAAGACAGAGTATCACGCGCATGTTCCGAGCGTTGCTTGCTCATACCTACCGGGAGGCCCTTGCTATCGCCACTACTACACACCAAATGGAGTTATTCCCCAGTCGAGCGAAGCCGTGAGACTTGGACGTTCTCCTTACATATAGGCCATCGCGATGAATGTCTTGGAACGAGAGACGAAAGCCTCCTGGATCACCTCTCTCAACCGTCTGCCCGCCGATGACATGATTCGTTTCCCGCAAAGAGAGACCAAGCTCCGCGAAATCTTACCGCCACGCACCAAATGGGGTGGGTTCCCCAGTCGCGCGAAGCCCGTGACTCCTGCCCGTTTCCTTGCATGCAGGGCCATCACGACGAGTTATCTTGGGAACGAGAGAATGTGAGCCCCGCGCCGGACGGCCTTGCCCTCAAAAGGGGGACAAGAACAAGCAGAGTGGGGATGATCAGGCCCGTCTTTCGTCTCCTTATGTCGAGGTCCTTTGGTTGGGACTTGTAACAGATACACCCTGCACGAGCATCACTCATTGAAAGGTAAGAACCAGTACGCGAAATATCTTCAACGGTAATTTCCCTTTCAAGCCGCCTGGCTGGAGAAGACGGAACAAGTCAGGACAGACACCACTGTCCCAACCCATCGCACTGATCCAGAACCAAGCATGACATAAGCAGCGTAAAGTGGTACATAGCCGCAACCCACAACATCGTTTTCGTATCCTCGTAACCATTGACTCTTTGAGTCTGGAGGTCGCCTTCCATTTTAAATCACCAAGGCTCAAGCCTCTATCCCAACCTCAACAACGCGATACCCTTCCTGCACCTTCTTGGCTATCTCCTCATTCTTATGCTGCAGTAGGGACAACGCATACGCGGTATCGTCCCACTGTCGCTTGTTCGCGCACCGGTTAAGTCGCGCCGCGAGCTTCTCGGCCAAGTTTTTGGCGTGTTTATCCTGCGTGCAGCCATGTCAGCATATCGGAGAGTGGGAGATGAGGGATGTGATGATTATTTTGCCAAGACCGCGTCGGCGACCATCGGAAAGACCAGGCGGAAGAGGCACAAATGTCGCACAAGCAAGCAAGCAAGCAAGCAAGCAGAGACCCCGATCCACGAGCTTCGATTCCCGATCCTACGCGCACAGTCGAAAAAGGGAGCATATAGCCCTTGGCCAGGACTCCAAGTGTGTCATCCTGGATGCTGACTTAAGAGGCCAAAACCGTCGACGGCCAAGCTTCCCAGGTGGTCACCCACCTCAGAACTGACTGACCGGCCAAAAAACAATCAACAGCCAGGATTCCCAAGTGGTCACCCACCTTAGTACTAACTGACCGGCATGTGGCTTAAGTACGGCTGAGCGAACGGGAAGCCCTGTTTTCCACATCCTATGGTCGATTGCGAAGGACAAAGTGGTGATGAAACTAATGAGCGGCGGATATCGCTCCTCCTCTGCTTGCTTGCAATGTGCGTTTTCGTCCAGCTTGTACCTAACTGCTTCCGCGCAATCTTTTCGAGGTCGCCTGCATATGCGGTCAGCGGAGCGAGGTCTGAGTCACGTACCTTTTCAATAAAGCCACACAAGAACTTGAGGATCCTCTTGACAGCCTCCTCCTCCATTACACCGCCCTCCAGCGGTCCTTCTTGCGTGAGAACACTAAACATGTCCACGAACTGATTGTACACGGCGTTGTCTTTTGTTGCTAACTCCGAGAAGAACATCCTTGCCAGATCAGCAATCTTCTTGTCCCCGTCTTCGAGACATTTGGCCATCTCGCCAAGTTGACCCTTGACCTTGACCTGGCCGGCAAGGATCAGGAATGTAAGGGTCATAAGACAAGTACGCTTGACAGATTCGTCCGCATCATTGAGGCGGCGGTACAGGAAGTCGGTGTTCTCGTCGATGAGGTGGTTGAAGCATACAGCCATGTCACCTAGTGCGATAACGGCGTTGGATCGCACTATGGGGTCAGTGGACCGTTCGAGAATGGTGATCAGGAGCGGGAGGTTCTTTTCGCAGTACTCGGCACTCACGCACATAAGCTTAGCGAGACACAGTGTGGCTTGAGCTTGAAGATTGCGGTCTTTGTATGCGGTGTTGTTGGCACAGATTTCTGTTACCAATGGTCCGAAGTTGGCGAGTAGTGAACTGGGGCCGTACAGCAATTCGCGTTCGCGGATGTGGGCAATGGCTTCAGTAAAATCGTCTTCGGTCGTACCCCCGATTAGGTCCAACTCGTCTTTCTCGTCTTCGTTTTGCTTCTCTGCAAGCACTTCTTCGGCTGCAGTCTTCTTCCGTCTGGCTGAAGTGGGACCTGACGAATTCTCCGGCGAGGGATTTGAGACTGACTTATCCTTTTCCTGTTGTTGTTTCCGGCGCTTGAAATCAAGTTCGCACAGCTCGAGATGCACGATTTGCTTGACAGCGATATGGCCAACAGCAAACAATAATTGCGAAAGTGCAAGCGAGGGCTTCTCCTGCTTCGCATGTGCGGGTTCTGGCTCTTGTGCCTCGTTTTCTGGGTTGACAACGTCCTCTTCTCCATCAACGTCCATTGCATCGGGTTCGGGAGAAGGTGTTCTCGACATGGATTTCAGGTCTTTTGTCTGCTGAAAAACGAGTCGGGTCTTCTGCCTAACTACCTCTGAGCACAAGACATCTGGATGGTCGGACAGGACGTAGATTGCACTGATGGCTTGTTCTGCCATGCCGTACCAGTCTTTGCTAGGCGAAGTAGTTAGAAGTATGGATGCGAGCATACGCAACACTTCGTGGTTGTTGGGCATTTTTGCCAGACCTCCAGTAGTCTTTTCTTGAGCCTTTTTGGCAGTTGGAATCATGCGTCGAAGCGCGACGCAAGTGAACTTGGCGAGCACAAGATCTGCCCGGCCCAGCAGTCCTAGACCAACTCGAAGCATCGTGTCCATCTCCTTCACGACGACGTCCGGACTGGCGAGAGCAATCATACCCAGCACAATGATGGCTCCTCTTCTCTGCGCTCTGGAAATTTCCTTGTTGACGCCATACACCTGCCACAGCTTGGAGACCACCAGGTCCGAGATGTGGCCCGCCCTGAACATTGTGCTTAGCAGTTGTTCAAGCGACGTCAATTCCGCAGGCGTAGCTCCAAACGTCAGACTGATCATATTCCTTGCGATGAAGTTGGCGGCATCGTTGGCCGTGAATGTCTCTGGAGCATCAAAGAAGAGGTTCTTATAGTTGTCGATCAGGTGCGTTTGGACACCCTTCCCTTCGTCACTGTTCCCTTTGGTCCAGATCAGTCGCAGCATGCGTCGGATACCTCTTCGAGCTGTTTCAACCTTGAACGCATCGATAGTGACAAAGAAGTCCATCACGTCGATCACTTCTGTCTTGTTGGGTGATGACAATAGCTGAACTGCAATCTCTGATGCTTCATGAATGATATCGATGAATCTCAGAGCTTCGAGGTAATATTTTCGAGTCAACTGGAGTTTGCCGATGGCCTCAGACGTCACAACGTCCTCCTGGGCCTTTTTGAGAGCAGCGATTTGTTCCTCTTCAGTCATCCCCTTTGGCTCGACTTCGGCTTGAGTAGCTTCGTCAAGAAGTTCTTGGTCGACCGGCTCTTCGCCAGCAGCTGTCCGTGCCAGCCCAGGCGAGTCTGGTGGCGGCTTTAAAGCGTCCAGCTCTCTTTCGACTACTTCGAGTCTTTCCGTCCAGTCGCTATGTGACAATTGGCCCCCGTGCATCAAGCTGAAGGGATGAGAAGACACCAGTTTCTTCAGCAGCTTGATCGCGTTGCGTCGGACATTGCTGCTTTTGTCTTGTAGGCTTTGCATAGCAAGTTCGGCGGCATTTTGTCTCCTCTTAGGAAACTTCTGCTCCAAGTCGCATATCTTGGTCAGCACCTGCATTGTCCGGACTCTGCAAAATGGTGCCGTGTCGAGAAAACGCTGTTCGAGAGTATCGAAGAACGCATTGATCTGGATCTTGGTGGTCTCGCTCTTCTCCTCTTGCTTGCTCAAGTCCGCAAGCAGATTACCGCAGACTTCAATAACCGCACATCTCAGGACATGTGATTCGCTGTCCAGGAACTTGGCCAGAAGACCCATCTCTTTAATGACCAGTCTTGGCTCCAGCTCTGAAAGTTTGACGATGAATGCCGACACCGACTTCGGACCTTTGGTGTCATTCTGACTGAACTCCTTTGCAGCCAGCTCTCTGAGAATCTCGGCTGATAGGTGAGGGTAATCGTATTGTTCCGACAAGATGTGCAGAAACTCTGCCATGGGCTCCGACAGGTGTTCGAAGTAAGTAAGATTCTGGACGATGGATGTTTGTGCCCCTAACGCATGACCGTGATGCTTTACAGCGACACAGAGCACCTTGAAGCAGAACATGCGGACTGCTGTGACTTTGACCCTAGCCTCGCTTTCCATGATCAGGTACACAGACCTTGTGAATAGGTTGATGAACGTATCGCGATCGGAGGTCGTTTGAAAGACGCGATTCAACTTCAGTTTCATCACCCGGCACATGACGTCCATAGAGCTCTGTATCTGATTAGATGAATCCCATTTTTCGTCTTTGGAAGTCGACTTTGACTTTGCTCCCTTGCCGCCTCTTCTTGCTGTAGCCGTCGTTGACTTTTCCAGCGCTTTCGTCTCGACGGCCGATATGGACCATTGGAGGAGAAAGCCGTACATTTCCAGCAAACGCTTGTGTTGGTGCAGGGTCTCCTGCTCATCGTTCTCAATGTCATGGTTCGCAACGTCCGCTGCGGTCGACAAGCCCGAGACAACGAGGTGTAAGATCTTGCTCAATAACTGGGGAGATAGGGCTGGAGCTTGTCTGGAGACATGGAATAGTTCAGTAGGATATTCCTGAGGAAGATGGGGATCGCGGGAGGCAGGGAAAGACACATACTTTAATAGAAACTGTAAGGTATCGAACGCCGAACTTTTTGACAGCCCCTCCGGGTTCTCTGTAATAACATCTATCACGGGTTCCAGCACACTGTCCACCAGGGCTAATGTGAGGCTCTCAGGGTCATTTTCGCAGTCAAGCAGGTCCGACGCTGCCTCAGGAGTTGGGATCGTGGTCGCATCACTCAGATACAGCTTCAGCGACTCATTGATGTCGAAATCCACTTGGTCGTCCATGCTTGGGATTGTCGATGTCGTCGCTGCGGAGTGTCGCTGGTCAACGTGAATGCATATGGGACTGTGTTGATTGAGTCCGGCAGAAACGGAAGGCAATTTTCGCAACCTTCACTGTAGACCCATTGTTGCACGGCGACCTCCCCAACCCATCAACGTCGCTTTTCAATTGCGTCGGAACCAAGGTCGAGGCTTGACCAACCTGCCTGCGACCAGTTGGCCGTGGTGTGTTGTTGACGAATTTCCCGAAGCGTGTTGGCGGATATGCCCCACATATAAACAACAACGAGAGCAGCGCCATGAAATTACGACAGGGCGCCAGAGGCGTTCTTAAGAGCCTCCGCCCAAAACAACACAATTCTACGCGAGCAAAGGGTTCCAGAACCCCAAATACACGTTACAATGTCGCGTTGACTGACCCTCGAGGAGGCGATACAACTGACGAAGACGAGGAAGACAAAACGCGTCATCGGGAGGAGGCACGTCGGCCCGCAGCAGGCAAGCACCGACAGAGAGACAACAATAGCAACATGGCCCAGACTGCAATCGCCATCCATGAGGACCCTCAATACGACCTCTCGACAGATCAAGCTGAGACAGACATGGCTCAACCCGACTACTCTGAAGAGGGTGATTCTCAGGGCGAAGGCGAGGATGACGGCGACTCCATGGCGGAGTCATCCGACGAAAGTGAAGATGAAGTCGACGAGACTGTCGTTGAGGACATGCGCCGGTTGGAAGAAAGTTTCAAGGGCATATCTCAGAAATACAGGCTGATCAACCGCATTGGTGAAGGTAGGTACCAGAATCATGCTTGTCTTCACGTCGTTGCTGACCTATAATACAGGTACATTCTCTACCGTGTATAAAGCCGAGCAACTCACGCCCCCGGCCGACCTAGACCAGGAGAATGACGATCCTATGGAAGAGTCCGAGGCAGAGATGCCCGCTGCGAAGAGGCGGCGGACCCGGCGCAAAGCTCAGATTGTGGCATTGAAGAAGATATACGTGACGTCCTCGCCTCATCGCATCATGAACGAGTTGGAGCTGCTGCACGAGTTGCGGCACTCGCCCTACATATGCCCGCTCTTGACAGCCTTCCGTCACCTGGATCAGGTGGTTGCAGTGCTGCCATACTTCCGACACTTGGATTTCCGTCTCTACTACCGAGACTTTCTCATCAACGATATGCGGCATTACTTCCGCTGTCTTCTCCATGGCCTTCGACACGTCCACCAGGCCGGCATCCTCCACCGCGACATCAAGCCCACCAACTTTCTGTACGACAATGCTCGCAGGTCAGGTGTACTCGTCGACTTTGGCCTGGCCGAGCGCCAGGGGACCGACTGGCAACCCTGTCTTTGTCAAGAGTCAGGTCATAGGAGGCGAGAGAGGTTCATGAATTCCTATGCTGTCCAGCTTTTGCAGTCTACACAAGATCTGCAGTCGCAAAGCTACCCTAAGAACGATAGCCGACCTTCACGGAGAGCCAACAGAGCAGGAACACGTGGCTTCCGAGCACCAGAAGTCCTGTTCAAATGCACCTCCCAAACTACGAAAATCGACATTTGGTCTGCCGGCGTGATCCTCCTTACGCTCCTGGCACGACGCTTCCCATTCTTCAACAGTGCTGACGACGTTGACGCTATGATAGAGATGGCGTCCATTTTTGGAAGGAAGAAAATGCAAGGCGTCGCGGGAATGCATGGCCAGGTCTTCGAGACAAACATAGAGACTGTTGGCGAGCGTGGCTTTAGCTTCGAGAAGATCATTCTCTGGGCTAGTTGCCGAGAAAGAACGTCCGACACTCTCCGGAGGGGCGAAGAACAGGCTGTCGAGTTCCTCCATGGGCTGCTCGAGCTCGACCCGCACAAGCGCTGGAGTGCAAAGGAGGCGTTGCATCATCCGTTCTTCACGGAACCGGTCGAAGACGAAGATGAGCGGGAGGAGAGAGAAGCTCATGAGGCCATGATGGAGGAGGAGGAGGAGGAGGAGAGGAGACGGCGTCGCTGAATTGTGCATATGGCCCGGGTCAGCTCTGGAGTCAGCGGTTGGGTGCGTTTGAATGATGCATTCTCAGCAAGGAGTTGGTGAGAGATTTGTATTACTAGCATCTTATACCCCGAAGGCACTGTGATGTTGTTCTGCTTACTGATTATTGAGTTGAGTCGCTCATGATATGGTACACCCGCTGTCTTAGAAGCAAAGAGAAGGACAAGATAGCTCTCTAGAGTACAGACACACAAGAGCAATCTAATGTTGTTGTACAGAATACCTTGTGCCTATCGCCGACGCTCGTGATAGATTGAATAGGACACTAGCCGAGAGCCGCTCATGGTGACGAGGTGGCTTGGGTGGTTCAACTGAAGGGCATTCGCTACAGTATCATTGTCGCTTGAGATCAATGACATGCATGATAAGCGACGTTGCAGAGTGCGCGTGTCAAATGAAGTTTTCGTCGACACCAACAAGTATCCTAGCGTTTGACTAACTCCCTACGTTGCTCGGACTCCCTCGACGGTAGTCATAGCAAATGCCCATGAAAGGGCGTGTTCAATCCACAGCTTCTGTTATCCACCGAATGACTCAGCAGGTCAAGCACCAGAGATACCATTCTGCAATCTCATCTATCCGCTCAAAGTCAAACTTGACCGAGAAGCATCCTCTATCGAACAGCCAGACCTCAAAGGGGCTCAGAGCTTCAATGGCAACGATGTCCGCGACGATATCAGCATCACTCTCAGAGAAACGTACAAGGCGAAAACCGAAGCGCTTCGCGCCTCTGAACCCTGACGTCCAGCACGATCCTCACCTCCCCAGATTGAAAGGAATTATATTCGACGTCGACGGCACATTATGGTAAGTTCTTTCGCTAGCCCCAGCGAGGTGTAGAAGAGCAGATGCATACTATGTCCGACAACAATCCCCAAGAGAACTCTATTGATGCCTGTGTTCGGCCACCCAGCCTCCCGCAGAATTACATGTTCAAAGAGATGCGCCAAGCACTGGATATCCCACGATCAGTCGACATCCTTGACCACGTCCGCTCGTTGTCCAACGAACCCGACTGTAATCCCCCTTCGAGCGCTCATTCAACTCTTCCAGAACGGTCACCTCAATCCTCGACGGACACCTCTCAGCCACCTTCTGCGGACCTACTTTCGCCAGCCCTCCCCGACACTACGACCGATATATCCTCAGGCGGAGAGACTGCTGCCGCGGGCGCGTCTTCGTTGGCGTCCTCGCCGGCATCACAGCAATCCAGTCCGCAATCCCGCGCCGTGGCGGCAATTCAATCTATTGAACGTAAAGCAATGACTTCGCAACGGCCTCAACCAGGTCTCCAGTCGCTCATGTCCTACCTTCAGCGACGAAATGTGCGCAAAGGAATTTGTACACGCAATTTCCCCGCCCCGGTCCATCACTTGCTGGACAGTTTCCTGCAAGGCGAGGAATTCGGGACGTTTGAACCGATCATCACGCGCGACAGCGAGGGTGTGGCTCCCAAGCCGAGTCCCGAGGGAATGTGGCGGATCGCGGAACACTGGGGCCTACACACAGAAGACCAGGATGGACTGGTAGAGTACATCAAGGCCAACGGCGAGGGCGGAGAAGGGGAGTTTGATCCTTTGGAATTGGCAAAACGGTATCTGGGAAGCGGATTGATCATGGTGGGGGATAGTCTTGATGATATGGCGGCTGGGTATAGAGCTGGGGCGGCTACGGTGTTGCTTGTCAACGACGAGAACCAGGACTTGGCGCGCCATGAGTACACTGGGAGGAGTGTGCGGCGGTTGGACGAGCTGATTGGGATTCTTGAGAATGGGTTCTCAGAGGACGCTTGACAGAATACATACCGTAATGCATCCTCTTGCACCGCGTTTGGGGCGTGCCGGCATTCTTTCAACGGCCAGCATGGCTGAGGGGAATGATGGATAATCTTGTGCTTGGCAGGGAGGTACTTTGATGTACCAGTCGCTACGGCTCAGCTCTGAATCAATAGATGATGGCGGTTGATGGTCTTCCTGGCTCCGTGGTGAAGTTCGAAAGTTTGGCCTTTGTGCGTAAAAGCAGCAGAAAACCTTAGGACGGATTGTAGCGAGAGCCTCCTTCTGGCGCCATTGAATGAGTAACAGAGAACCTGTCTATCATCGCGGCAGCTTGGTCACAAGTTTGTCCCGCAGAACCTCGATCAGTGACGTGCGGCGAATCCGTCGGCCTCAACAACGGCAAGGATAGCACCTATGGAGTACTGCGTAACGGAGCAGGGAGCCTCAGTACTCTACACGCCTGATGCAAGCACCTATCCGCGCACGTGGCAGCGAGCCTCAGACTTGGTCTGTGGCTGGAAGCGATGAAGCACAGCATGGAGGGCGGCCGTTGCGCAGCATTTGTGGTACAATCTTTCGCCGTGATGTGCATGAATATTGGGTAACAGACCGAGTCTTGAAAGCGATTCGCAGAGTCCAAGTTGATGTGTTGGCACGCTCATACGGCAACATTCGCACACGAGGTTGTGGGCGACGAATGAGAACCTGAGGCAAGACAGTCGCTGCAAGCCTGAAACTGTTTGTCACAAGCGGTCGCCCGTGCAACCAAAGTATCTTGAGCCTCTGACACGAGCTGAGCCGTTGGTGGCGGGCCCCGAGGGTGGGTTGCGGATGGCGGATGGCGGATGGCGGCAAAGGCCCGCCCAAAGTTTAGCGGGAGACCATTTGTCCAGCCAACCGCCTTTTCGGAGGTGTTGAGGACTCTTGAACTGGAGATATCTCACTCTCGTCGTATTTGCACGGTCCACGTTGCCACAAACCAGGAGGCGGTCAACGAGTGACGTGACAGATAGCAGATGACGGGAGAAGAAGCCAGTAGAGGAAGAATCACAAGCATTTCCAGGTGACTTTGCCCGTATGCATATCCTGCACCAAGGCATGGCCAATGGGTGTGGAAGGATAGCTACGAGCAGGGGAAGCAGCACCTCGTACCTACAGTGGTTGTCCAAACAAGGGGGCAAACCTGATAATCACAGCGCTCAGCTGGCTGCGAAAGAACTCTATCGTACGCAGTAAAGCCGGGTTATCTGAGAAGTGATGAGAGCACGTTGCATTGAAGATCTGTGCGAGGGAGCTTGGGCGTCGCTCATCGAAAAGCCCAAGCTTGGACCTCCGACCTGGCACACAGGTTTGTCCACGGAGAATTTCTATCAGTTGAGCTAGGCGCATATCTGGGAGGCAGGGCAGGCGTGAATCTGGAGATGCTAGTGGTGACAAAGTCCTAGTGGGGACCAGCAGTGCCTGCAGCGTCCGTGGGGCGGCTTGCAGTGAGGTGTGTGTTTTCGTCCCTGAATGGTGGGTTGGTGGTGCTTTTTCTTAGCAGTGCCAGGACAGGTCCGACCACTCGCGGGCCCGCGACCCAAGGGAGCAAGGGAGCAAAAGGGAACCTTAAACTTAGGCTCAGGCTCAGGCTCGGGCTCAGGCTCAGATCCCATCTCATGGCGACAGCTGGTTCTCTGCACAGATCCATCTCAGCGCACGTCCACCCCTCTGCTTCGTCTCCTTCTTCCTGGCTCCATTGCTGAGGCCATTATTGTGTAATTAGTGATGAGGACAGGTGACAAGCACTGGTCGTTGTGTTTGATATGGTTATTGACCGATCAATTGTCTGACCGTCATCCCCTCCTCTGCCTCGACTGGCCTGCCTTGCTTAGCGACAACCTCCCAGCCTCATAATTCTTCACCGTGACCACACGCCACAACCTCACCAACAACAATCTCCCACTCACCCCGTGCGCCGCTACCTTTTCAACGGTCGCTTGTTTAATCCGAATTCCTATTCAGCCGCCTCAGTCGCCCACCAACTTGTAATCTGAGTGACGCAGCTCAGAATATCCAACCAGCACTGTTTTTCATGAACCAACGTGTCTATGCCCGGTCTATTTATGCCAACATAAACATCAGAACCGAGCGACAGATACGTGCGCCTCAAGCTGCGGACAATCCCAATGCCTGGCAAAAGTTGAGGTGGCATCAGAATGGGCTTTAGCAGTCGCCGCCCAGTTCTGCCTGCACCAACCGAGTCTCTAGTCGACGGATCCGCCGACGAAGCTGGTCCTGCCACAGACATTGACCTGGGAACCGATCTGTCTCGACGAAGCGAAAAGACGTCCCAAACGATCCCCGACGACGGAAGCCCTATTACCATCACCACCGCTCCTAAGCACAAGTCCGGAACATTATCCAAGTCGGGCCACCAGTCTCAAACCTCGTTGCTGATAGAGTTATTTGAAGGAAGTAAGAGCTCGGAAGGTGGACAGCGGCGGCCCAGTCTACGAGTGCGCTATACACCATCTGACTCTCGGAAGAATAAAGAGAAAGGGAAGGGGCATATTCTGGTCACGGAGTCGCCAACAGCGAGGCGGCCTTCGCTCAGTCATCGAATTCCTCTTGGTGGAAACGACACACTTGCGCAAAACGTCATTGATGGTAGCATCAGTTCCCTGGATACCGCCGACGACTTCGGACCCTCTGTTCCAGTGGAAATCGAAGTTTTGCAGCACGACGATAGCGATCGGTCCGTTCTCAGCCCACCCCCAGAGACCAGGTCGATCATCCCTGAGTCGGACATCTCTTCTATGCCAGCAGAGAGTTCATTGGGACCCAGCACCTCTTTGAACATGGCGCCAACAACTGTGAGCATCGGCCGGGGCCCGTCCGCGGACGGTGCCTCCCTGAAGCCGCCCATGTTGCCCACCGAGCGTAATTCGAGTAATGAACGTATTACACAGAAAGTCATTGAAAAGCTGAACAACAAGCCACGTGTGTCAAGCAGTGGAAAGCGCCACCACAGCAGTCACAGCGGCAGTCGAAGCAGTGTCAGCAGAGAACTTGAATCAACCAACCCCGAGCCGCGCATTCGGGTGACCAAGACGGTTGATGATGATTCTTTACCCAGTGTTACTGGATCCAGCCTGGTCAGCGGCTCCCACTTGTCGGCAGATCCGCGCGGAGCAGACCAGCGATCGGTCCGCTCTGGTGCCTCAAACGTGTCGATCACCAACAATCCAAAACTACTGCAAACGGTCGAAGATGCAATCCGACGGCTGATCCTGCCAGAGCTTAACGAACTCCGACGGGATCAAAAACACTCTCACCATTCGCGGCATGAGAAATTTAGCAACCCTTCTGATATCTCTTCAAGCTCCGTCTCGCGCGAAGAGAGGTCACACCGGAAGTCGTCGGGCAGCAAGTCAAAGCGTCGAGTGAGCCGAGAATCAGGGTCAGACTTGCCTTCAGAGTCTCGTCGGCACCGGCGCCACAGAATCAGCGAATACGACTCGCCTTCTGAGCAGAGCTACGAGCCATCAGAGTCTCATGACAGCATCCGCGACCAGAAAAGGTCGCACAGACACAAGAGCAGCCGTCCTCGCGAGGCCGTGGCTGCTGGCGTTGTTGGTGCTGCCTTGACGGCCGCCGCGCTCAAATCGCACGATTCTGGATCTAGCCTGGAGCATTCAGAACGTCGCAGACGGAGGACAAGCAAAAGTCGTAGCAGTCGCAGCGCCAGCGTGGCCGAGAAAGATGATGCTTTCCAGAAGCATCAGGTGCCTGCCATGCCTTTTGTCAGCGAAATTGGTACAGACCTCACGCGGAGTTCATTGAAGTCATCAATTGATGGACGCGCCGAGACACCGACACGACGAGAAGTGCGCGAGGTAATACGCGGATCCCCTGCGGAGCTTTCGTCCCCAGCATCGCAAACGACACCCACAGGCAATGCATTTGACTTGAAGAGAGGATTGGGCACCCACCATGGAAACGTCTCAGAGCAGGACTTGTCCACTCATGACCTTTTGCCCAGGAGAGATACTCTTGATGAGAGTACTCTGGGAAAGCCTCCCGCTTCTGAAGAACTCGACTTTAGCACCCATGGTTTCGCAGCCCTCACAGATCCAGAACGCGCTCGCCAATACGAGAGAAATCTCCATCAACAGCATCCTATCAGGAGAGGGCTCAGTCCGATCCAGAGTGTGGCTAGCTATGCAACGACAGAACCGAATCGCAACTCTCTGATGCAGCCGCGCAGCTCTGAATCCCTGCAGCGGTCTCCAGGAAAGCATTCTCGGCTTCACGACCAAATCTCTGTCTCTTCTCTTTCATCGGCTCCGAGCACTGACCTTGCTGCGTCAAGGCGACGCCAAGGAATGAGCCTGGAAAGCCGAAGTGAGGTCATGGGACAACATGCGGAGTCGATCGAAAGCACTCCTCGACAGATGGATGCTCAAGCTGTGTTCGACGAGCAGCACCTTGAGAACGAAAGCTATCGTGGCTCACCATATATAGACAAAGTCACAGCAGGGCAACAGGTTGTTGCGACAAGAGGGATTGGGGCCACCGCGGAGTATTTTGAAGTCCCAACAGGCGTGGAGTCAGCCGTTGCGTCCTTGATTGAACCTTCTCTTGTCTCTGCAGATCATACCTACTCCCCGCGGCAAAGTCAAGCAGACTCGGTGGGCGTCCGCGAGGTTGCAAGCCCTTCGTCGTCCCATCATGATTATGTCTCAAGACATAGTGGCAGTCCGCTCAAGCAAGAGATTTCACATCACAATGAAAGCGCACACGGTGATACTCCAGGCGCAATGGCTTTTGTGTCGTCACCAGTGCAGAGCCCTGCTCGCTCGCTTGAAAGTTTCCGGCAGCATCCCACCAAGGTTTCACAGCCAGCTCCGCTGGCAACGGAGAATGTGCCCAGCGGTCAGGTTGAACTTTCACCAGAATCCGACATTACCACGAATCCATCAATCATTCGAGGTCCAATTGGCGGTCTCGCACCAGGCAATACTGAACATTGGCCTTACGATCCAACACCTCCACACTCTCGAGCCAATCTGGTACTACCACCTGTGAGCCGTGACATTGGCTCAGCGGGTGCAGATCTCATTCCTGAACCCCTGTCCACGAATCGTGATCATGACTTGGACGGGAAAAGAGAGCTGTACACGCAACACAGGCCTCTGTCGACTCCATTAGGCGCTGGGGATGAAGGCTACGAGACGGGTGCTAATGTGCCATCCCCGGGCCTCTACTCGCAGGGCCGAGGAGGCCGTGAGGATGCGTATGCGTCAGATATTCCCCTAGACGATGCTGCCCTAGCCGACGATCCTTTCACCACTCAACGAGGCCAATATGTCAGCGGTCTCTCCCATGGGTTGTCGCCCATGTATGACAATGCAACGGGTCAAGGCATCGACAATATCCACTCAAAAGATATTGTAGCTCTCATGGATCACCTGACCATGCGTGACGCTCAGCGGAATGCGAGAGACACCGAAATCCTGGTTACCCTGGTTCGAAGTGCTGCCGAAATGCGCAACTCGTTCGAAGACATGAAGAAATTCATCGCCGAGCAAGGAGACAGCCTTGCGGATACTTCCGAGAAGCAACATCAGCGGACACAGAAAGTAATCAGTGGTCCTCGACCACAGCCCGTCAGCCGTCCTACCTTGTCAGCCACATCGGAGGATGACATGCCCTCGAAGCGACGCAACGTCTTCCAGCGGGCTCTTCGGGGACTTGGGGCGAAGAACTCGGTCGAGTTGCAGCACATCGAAACAATGCTCATGCGGCTTCTGGACGAGGTGGAAGCCCTACGAACGCTTCACCCCACTGGAGTCGCCAGAGAGCCACCTAGGTCTACCAGCCTGACTTCTGCGGATAATGCACGAGCAGCGACGGAGACAGGTTACGAACCAGAAGGTCAAGCAGGCACGTCATCAACCGGTGATCGATCCGGGTTCTTCTCGAACAACTCATCCCGGCAGGCCGATTACCGCAACTACAGCACTCACCGAGACTCGACTAACCGTGTCAGCACCGTGATGGAAGGAGATGAAGAGTATGACGACTATGCAGACCATCTGGGTAATGCTACCCCCGGAAACACGCAGAATGTCAGTCACACGCCACGGGTGACACCCCCGAGAAATGTTGCGAACGTACAAGCCAGAGGAAGTTCCGTGCCATTGAACACTCCGCCTCGGATGCACGATCAGAATATGGCGTCGCTGAGCAACGAAAATACACCTCATCTCTCCGCAGGCGACGGGTCGGGCAGGAAGCACAAGTCTTTTGCGTCGTCATTCTTTCCGAAGATGGTCTCTCGATGGTCGAAGACCACTACATCATCTGACAATTATCGAGCCAGTCAACAGCGAGTTCGGCCCTATTCGGAGCATTCTCGATCGGGCTCTAACTTGGGTGAATATGAGTACGAGCATGACCCTCAAGGTGATGACCGTCTTCGGTCGAATACATCATTTCAGCGAGAGCAGTATGAAGATGGAAACCGGCCACCGTCTCCACTGATCCCCAGTCAGTTGTCCGACAACCCCAAGTATCAGGCCCATCGAAACAGCATCAACCTTCAGCATCCGCAACCTCGACAAGGGCCGTCGGGGCGCTTCCAGTCTCGGTTGGAGTCTGAAGCACAGTACTACGATGGTGAACAGATGTCGCCGACCTCGCAGACGTCTTCTCAGTGGGAGGCTCATTCAGGCCTTCAGCCACCGCAAAATACCACTCAGTATGGAAGGAATCCAAGTCCGCTCTCAGATACTGCGTACTCTACCGAACAAGGCATCCACAATGACAGCAGGAGCATTCGTACTGCGAGCTCCCAAGGGCCACCACGTCCGCCAAAAATTCCCAACGACGACCCCTTGATCCCTCAGCGCCCACCCAAGGTCTTGGCGACTCCGCCGGCCTCGAACAGGCAACAGACCTATGTCGACCACGTCACGGCTGCGAGAGCTGGAAGCCCTTCATTCGACAAGGTAAGTCTACATTAATGTCCGTATACATTGAACCAGCCCTAACATACAGCCACAGACACCAGTCGCAGCACTCAAGTCACCGCAGGGTCAAGTACGAAAGCCATCTGGTCCGAGACCGCTTGCAGGACCAAGTGGGTCCAAAGGCGACTTGAACACGATCAAGAGAACCCGGTTTAGAGGCAGTCCGAACCAAATCGACAGCGAGGACGAGGCCGCAGCAGCATACTAGCAGGCATGAGCGTCTAAAATGCACAGAGAGTCATTCGAGCCAGGAGTTTCGGCGCAACACGGGGTATATGGATGATCAAGCCGTACAGGGGCCTTGGACCTAACTCTTCCCACTACTTCATAACAGCAGCTGGTCGGGCGATAGTCTCAGATTTTACGATAAAAGTTTCAAGGGCTGAATTTCCAAGGGTGGATCGCAACGGAGACTCAATGTTAGGCAGAGAAGGTGCATATGCGCTCACAGTTTCACGGGAAGCAGCAACCTCGGCTTGACGCTTTCAAATGAGCGTGGCACGTTGAAAACCCCTGCACTAGATATGTAATGTCAGTAACGGCCGGAGCTCCGCGAGTGTTTTGGAGGCCGCTCGTCGGCCCTGGTCGTCTTGATGATGCCGAACTGTCTGTCGGCGTTTGCGCCTGACTGCATTGCCGCTGCCACACACAAAACACGCCTCGCCACACGCTCATACTGTAGCTTGTACTGGCGGGGAGCTGGCGGCAGGGAAAAGCTCAATGCATTTCACCCATCTAGCTGCGCGTGAGCTGTGAGTCTCTCTTCTGTACGCAGGACTCACACTGGATGCATACCTTAACCCTCCTTTTTCAAGTCGTGAGAAGGGAGTGATGGACTCGTGTCACTTAAATCTGGCCTGGCTCACTCCCTGCGCGTTTTGAGGCGAACGTGATCTCGCCAGATCTGGTGCGAAACGCGCTTCGTGTCCCTCAAGTGTCATCGTCCAATTATCTTCCCTGCTTGATGCTCGCCTTCGTCGATTTTGTGCCATTTGCGTTGACCACAATCGATCACAATCTCAACCGCTTCGCAGTGGGAAAAACAGCAGTCCATGGCCGCGTCAGACGACTGTGGCAGCATCTTCGGCTCACCCATATTCAAGCTCATCGTTGGTGGCGGCAAGGTGCTCACAGCTCACAGGGCGATCCTCGAAAAATCATGCTGGTTCCAGCGTTGGTTAGAATTCAGGGAGGGCCTGACACAAGGGATGCACTTCTCCTGAAGACGCGCCAGAGCAAATGGAACAGATTCTCTCTTGGCTCTAAACGGGTCAACTCGAGTATCAATCGGCCGGAAGTCGCGTCTCATGACGCAAAGCCCTCACTGACGGACGCTGTTCTGCTCTACATCGTCGCGGACAAGTATATGTTCCACGACCTGACGCGGCGGATCGAGGGCATGTTCCGCAAATACTTCGACGAAGACATCGAGACCGCCTTTTCGTATCAGAGCTATCTCCGGACTTTGAGAGAAACGGGGCTTCCCGAGTGCTGTGGTCTGAAGAAGGTCCTCCTGGATAATCTGGCCGTGGATCTCCGACGGCACGGCTGGAATATGTACATGAGGGAAATGGACCCGGGGCTTACCGAGGAATCACTGTGTAGAGAACGATCCCAAGGCCATGTTGAAGTGGATGGAAAGTCTCACTGACATGAGGCTACCCTCTGTACAAGTAATAGGACGCGGCTCGAAGCGGCTGAAGCGGGAACATTTGGCGACGACCGTGTCGCAGGACTGGTCGCCGCAGGCAGTCTACGCTGTTGACTGAGAGGGGTTGAGTTGGATCGGTGGTGCATGAAGGAGGGCTAGGGTCAGACGACACTGGAGACGAGGGCCAGGATCTTCACCGTGGTTGACATCGCTGGTTTCCACTCAAGTGTACATTCAGGTTTGTATACCTCTGAGTTGGGCTCACCTTCAGGGCTTTCATCACATCCTATTTTGGATACTCCTCGTCATCATCTTCACTACTTATGCGGGGACTCGCTTGCTAAAGACGATGGGACATTGTACCAGAACCTGTTACATCATTGTCTTGGGGAGAAATCTCATCGTTTGTCACTAATGGACGAACAGGTCGCTGGCAGTGATATCGGCGAAGGCAGCAAGGCCTGTCTCGGTGTCTCGCTCATCTACCAAGGGTTCACCCGTTTTCGATGCCACGCGAGTATCACCCATTCAACGACTGATCGAGGCGTGGCGCGCTCTCCACAGATTTGATCTCCGCGGAGTGTATTTTGTTTGGGCACGGTTCGAAGGCAGTGGTAGCATGGGGAACATGTGCCCGTTGCAATTTCTACTATGAGAAGTACAGATGCTTTCTCGAACAACCCGCGTGGGAGCTACGCAAGAATAGCCTTCACTCGGACCACGCCGATCAAAAGACAGCGCGATAAAGTCAGCATTTGTGCGGCACCGTCAGCTCACGACCAACACAAATCACGATGACTGTACAACAGGTCATGAGCCTTCGCAAATAGCATCTCCGGCATACTCACGACCAGACCTCGTACGCTTTGGTGGATGTCCCTCAATCCTAAGCTTGAGCTACGATGCAGAAAGGCCATTTGGTTGAATTGATTTGACTCCCTATCGGGCGAACGGCGGCCGCCCAGGATGCGGACGGTATGGAGATAGACGAAAAAAATAACCTCCATGACGCATGCCACAATCCACATTGTACACGGACATGCTGTGCTTGCAGGCTAATGGCTACAGCCCCCAGGATGGACCAAAGCTCAAGCAACAGCGATCACAGGAGCGGCGATTGATCGAGCAACGCTTGAGGGTGTGCTAAGCTATGTGCAACAGTACGGTAAAATGCGCAAATGTAGGCGAGTTGTGCTGCCAGCGGATCCAATACAGTGTCAACGTCCTCACCTCCTTCCCATGCGGCTGCCATCCTCGTCCTCCCTGCCTTGTTTTCAGTGTCGGGTCCAGATCACCAGTATCCATCTTCCCCGGCACGTGCTTTGCTGGCCTTTGACACTCCTGCAGCACATCAAGAACTTACCCTCATACCTGTGCCAACGAGGTCCTTGTCTGGGATTTGAATTCGAGTGGCTTGCCTGCATCAATACTGCTGGCCTTCCACGATAGGCACATCAATCTTGCACCGCAAAGACTCCTGGCAACACATTTGATCATCCGAAGAGTAAAACACGGTAGGAGGCTCAGATATGCAGTCAACACAGGGATCTATGCATGTTGACAGCGTTCGAGATCCAGCGCGACGTTGACAACTATGTATTGCAGACCTACCGACCGCCACCCCTTCACAAGCACGGACTATTCCCCCAGAACCCGCAAATCGCCGGCTTCGAGGGCTTCGCGGCCGCGGTCGAGGTCTTCGTCGGCTTCGCCGCGCCGGCATTTTGTGTTGCGGTGGACTTCACCCCCTTCGGAAGGAGACTTGCTGGTGTTTGCTGGGCCGGCGGTGGCTTTGGCGTGGTCTTGGCTGGTGGTGGTGGTGGCGGTGGCGGTGACGCCGTCGGTGTAGGACTCATGTGCACGGTGACGGCGGGACTGAGAGTGGGAGCAGATCGCACACTGTCGCACCGTGTGTCGCCCAGGGCGAGGTACTGGATCGGCCCGGTCAATGTGGCGTCGCAGATCGCGAATGACGTGGTGGTTAGGCAGACGAATTGGCCTGCGGCGGTGCATTGGCCGGGTTTGCTCCGAGGGGGCTCAGGGGCCGGATGCGGGTGGGCCAGGATCAACGGTGACAGAGAAAGGAGGAGGGATAATGACAGCGAGAGCGAGAACAGGAACGAGGACGAGGGCATCTTTGGAGATGTCGGCTGGGGATGGACTGTGCTGTGCTGTGCTGGGCTGGGCTGGTTTTCACGAGTGGGTTTCACGTGCGAGGATACTGTGCCCCTATGGGTGAAGGTGAAGACGAGCAATCGGATCGATGGGACGGACGGATCGGGATCGGATTTGCTCGCAGACTCTGTGTTGTCTGAGGTGCGAGCATATACATACACATACGTATGCTAAATTAGTTTGCGTGTTTCTAAACAGGTAACAATGTGGCCCGGAATATTTCCAAGGGTGATTGAATTGCAAACTGGCTTGATGCTTGATTGTAGCAAACTACACAGGGGGGTAGGCCATGGTGAAGAAACAAAGGGCTTCGAGCAATCCCAGATAGTGGCTATTCCTGTAGATGGTCCTTTGTCTCGTGGAAGACGGAGTACTAAGTAGTTTGCTTTGTGTCTCAATGATTTTGGTTGACCGGGCACACCCAGGGCGCATTGTTCCAAATTAAGGCCCCCCCCCCGGGCCCCGGCGTTACAGTATCTAGCGACCTCAAGTCTTTGTTGAAGCGTAAGTGTGGTGGAATATCTAATGCCCCTTTCTGCACAGCCTTGACTGTCAGTCTGGCATTGTAGAGTTGAGGAACCACTGCGCCCAGCATAACGGGCGGTTCGATATGATGGTGATTGTTCACAATTGGTTAGCGGCAGACGCACTGCTAAAAGCACAAGCACACCATCTCGGTGTCTCTTCTGGTGTTGGATTGACTGATTCACTACAGACGTACTGTGTAACTAACTACCAGGAGTCTATCGAAGGGCCACACGGGTGCCAAGCAGCAGGTGCGACCTGCGACCTGCCAGCACACGCACTGTCTGATTGAGGTGATTATCTAATTAGTAAGCATGGTCGAGGAGGCTTGGAAGCTGTCTCAGCACTGGCGGGTGGACACGGAAGGTCAGGTCAGCAGCAGCATATTTGGGTGCAATTAGCGTGCAAGCCTCGCGTGGCCCAGAAATAGCTGTGGTGGCTGGTCACTCTTGCACTTCGACATATCGCACCATTGCATCAATACCATGTTGACAGGCGATCCCGTCCATCTTCATGATCCCGCGCGGTCTGACGCTTTTGCAGCCACATAAGACGACGGCAGAGGGTAGGCCCTAGCACCTTCAGTATTCACCAGAACAATGACAGAATTGGTCTGGAGAGACAGTCCCATCGAGGCAGCCTTCTTGATAGCCGCCAGGGTTGCGGCCCCGCAGGGACCAGCATTGATGCCGCAATCCTGCATGTACTGTACTGATTCGTGGCATTCCAAGTCCGATACCACGATGCTTGCATCGACGCCCCTTGAGAGGACTGGCCATGAGATGGGTGACACAGAGCCGCAACACATGCCGTTCATAATGGTAGCCGATGTGTCGATTGTGCTCCGTTCCCCGGCTCTGAGGCTATGCTGTAAGCATGCAGCCGTCTCGGGCTCGACAGTCAACACCCCAATCTGCCTCCCGCCAGACTTGCAGAAGGCCACGACGGCATGGCCGAGCGAACCCACACCAATCGGGGTGACGATCATGGTAGGCCGGAGACCTTGTGCCTCAAGCTGTTCCCCGATCTCGAGTAAAAGGGTTGAATAGCCTTCGACGATCCAGGCTGGAATCCGTTCATACCCCTCGAAAGCGTTGTCCTGGATGAGAAGACCAGTGGAGACCCTTCGCGATTCTGCAAAGGCAGCAGCGACCGCATCATCGTAGCTACCTGGGATCACAGTAACTTGTGCACCTTCGCCTTCAATCTTCTGGCATGTTTCTTGGTCCGCAAACCTGGACATGAAGATGCGGGTGGGGATCTCCAGAATCTTCCCCATCCGCGCAACGGCACGGCCGTGGTTTCCTTCTGTGGCAGCAAAGAGAATCGTTCCTGCCTTCTTCGCCGCTTCTGACACATCCCGCAGGCTCATGTTCAGCGAAAGACCGGTCTGTTCGGCTATTGCACGGAATGTGCCCCAGGAGGCGCCCAGGATTTTGAAGGCCGGCAAGCCAAGCCGACTGCTTTCATCTTTGACGAAAACGGCACCGACACCCAATTGCTCTGCGAGGTCATACAGCGGGATGAGTGGCGTCTGCTCATATCCTGGAAGGCGATTGTGGAAAGCTTGAGCTGGACTTATATCTGTCTCGTATGAATAAGTCCATGACTTGGCGGAGGGATTGGTGTAGAGCGTCGAACTTGACATGCTAGTTATCGATACTCCATTAGCGGATCCGCGATCATAAGTCTAGGCTTTATGTAGGCGAGCTGGATGTGACGGGACTGGGACGGTTGAAGCGTTCATTCCGTGTGATAAGAACCAAGACGCTTGAAACATAAAGACCCCTTGTCAAAAGGCGCGTGGGGCGGTCCTCTTCGTCATGGCGCCAGTGGCGGTGATGCTCTGGCAGCCATGATAATCAAAGACTCAGAGGCAGGATGCACTACACTGTAGGATATCGACGCACGCAAGCTGTGGCCCTAGGAATAACTTTCAACTCTTGCTGAAGAGTAAGAGCTTCGGGAACACTCGATCTTGAGTCACGGGCGGAAATACTTTGTTGCGGCCAGCCAACGATAATCAGGGAAATCGTCCATCCAAGGCTGCAGCAATATGGACGCTACACTCTCGTGACACTCGGGCTATTCCTGAAAAGAAGCACAAATGGCCAGCTGGCTTGCCACGATTGGTTGCCTTGCTCACAGACAAGCGTATGCTGCCAACGAACCCAGAAGATGTCGCCTCCAGTCGCACATGGCCTTCAGTGCTCGCCAGCCTCTCGTCACTCCAGTCGAATGCGTCTCGCTCGCCCCACCGGCTGATTGGCTTTTGCCATGACATCGCGGCCCAAAGCTCACACACCATCGTGCTCGTCATCCGAGCTGCATCTGCTGACATATGAAGGAGGCGGTTATGGCTGAGGACGGGTTGAGGAGGGCGAAGACACGGCATCGCAAACATGATGACACCGACACATCCAAGTCACGCAAAAGATCCGAGGATGACAAGGATACCGCCACGACGAAATCTCCCGCCGCCACCACCGACCGTCCTGCCGATATTCTTGCGCTTCGAGAAGCCAGGCTCGCATATATAGCGAAAGATCCCGAGGAGAAAAGGAAAGACATGAAGTACGAATATGTGAAGCGTTCAACGACGGTAGCGCAGGCGGGCGACAAGAAGGAGAGGCGGCCCGGGATTGCGCAGGCCCTTCCAGACGGTCGAGATGTTCGAAAACCTGAGCGACGGGCGACCAAGCGGACAGATACAAGTCGTAGGCAGGCACGCCAGGATGGCGATGACGATGGCTATGTATATAGCCGGTCAGAAAGAGCGCCAGCCAGAGACGCGGCACGGAGCAATGCCCCTAAGCGGAAAACAACCACCGTGGATGCCAGTCCCAGGAAAGCTGAAGAGAGACGGACGGCTCCAGAGCGACGGCACACAGCGCCCGCGAGACGGAAGGTAGTGTACAACTTTGACGAAGAATGTACGGACCAACCCAAGCCACCACCACGTCGGGACTCCAGTGTGGTTGAGAAATCGCATCGCCCCGAGATCAAGAGGAGTGCAACAACCACAAAGGCCAAGACTGAGGTGAGCGCAGCGAAAGCGTCAGAAGCCACAGCAGCAACGAGGAGAACATCCACTCTGTTCGGTGGGATCTTGCCTCCCAAACCCGCGCCGCAGAAGAAAGTATCCTGCCTGACATGCGGCGCCGACGACATCCCGATCGCTCGAGCCGCCCTCCTTCCCTGCAAACATCGGATGTGCAACTCCTGCCTCAAGCGCATCTTCACCATGTCCGTTACCGACCCGGCGCATATGCCTCCACGGTGCTGTACAGACCAGCATATCGACCTCAAGCACGTGGAGAAGCTCTTCGATGACAAGTTCAAAGTGTTGTGGAATCGGAAGTTCCAGGAATACAAGACCAAGAACAGAATATATTGCCCGGGTCGGAAATGCGGCGCCTGGATCAAACCACACTACATCGCGCTCGAAAACGGCCGCAAGGTTGGACGTTGCAAGCAGTGCAAGCTAAAGGTGTGCGCCATATGTTCCCAGAAGATGCACACGACTCGGGAATGTCCCAAAGACCCGGAAACGAAGGCTTTCATCGAGACTGCCAAGGAGCAGGGCTGGCAGAGGTGTTATAGCTGTCATGCCATGGTCGAGCTCAAAGAAGGCTGCAACCACATGACATGTCGCTGTACGGCCGAGTTTTGCATGGTCTGTGGAATGAAGTGGAAGTCGTGCGACTGCCCTTGGTTCAACTACGAAGCCGTCGATGCGCATCTTGGAGATCCCGTCCGGCATCAGCAGGAGATTGATAGGAGGAGAGACCAGATAAATCGAGACGAAGAGCTCGCACGCCGGATGCAGCAGCTCGGTGTCGCTGCTGACGACGCCGGCGGAGCATTCGGCCTCGGCAACGGAGCAGATCATCACATGAATCAGAACTTCATCCAGCAGGCGAGAGAGGCATTGACCGCGAACTACGCGCAAGCGAATCGAGCTGCGCGGGACTTGCTGAACGGGTTCGTCATGGGCAGAGAGAATCAGCTGCCTGGTATGCCCTTGCAGATGGATCAGATGATGGAATTGCTCGGCCAAGGGCGCGTGCGAGATCCCGGGGAGGGAGGAGATGAGGCAAGAAGACCACGACGGAGAGGTACAGCCAGGCGAAGGACAGCCGCCGCTGACACGCCGGACGATGGTACAGCGGGTATGGACCGCCGCGAAGAGAGGCGCATCCAGGATTGGGCGAACGATGTCGGTTGAGGGAATTGGAATTTGATCATGGCGCCACGAGTCTGACCCAGGCCATGGCTTTGGCACGGAGTTTATGACGCCCCCACGGTGTGACGATGACAGGACTCAAGACTACCAGACATACTTGTTGGCGTTCAGGTTGTGCCATGTAATGTTTATTTGATACCCATTCTCAGTATTTGATAACGACACAAAAGATGAAGCTTTGTCTAAGAAATTCGGTCTTATGCGTACCAGTGACTCAGGCTAGACGCCGTGCCACGAAGCATGCAAAGGACCTATCTCCGTTGTAGTAGTGGCCATTTCCTTCTCTGTCCACAGTTTTCTTCCATTGTTTCATAAGCCACTATGAAGGCCTTCATGGTCACATGGTAGGAGAAAAGGTAACATGCGCTCTCAACTGTGGCTTGAATTGGCCCGGCTCGATCCCACTCCTACTCCCACGACAACGGTCTCACTGGTCTTTCAAAAGAGATTCCAACTCCTTTGCCACCGCGTCGCCGACCTCGACCGTCGAATTGTTCCCTCCAATATCCTTGGTCACGATGCCGTTTTCAATGACGATCCTCACAGCCTGCTCGACCAAAACGCTTTCCCTCGCCATGTTCAAGCTGTACAGGAGCATCATGGCCACGCTGAGAATCGCGGCGACTGGGTTCACGATGCATTTGCCGGCGATATCGGGCGCCGAGCCATGGATGGGTTCGTAAATGCCATTGCACAGGCCCTTGCCGTCAGGAACGCCGCTGAGACTTGCACTGGGCAGGAGCCCCAGACTGCCGGGGATGACGGAGGCTTCGTCGGAAATGATATCACCGAACAGATTCGACGTGACGATCACGCCGTTCAATGCGCGCGGGTTCTTCACCATGATCATCGCGGCCGAGTCGATCAGCTGATGTTCGAACTCCAGCTGGGGAAACTCCTTTTGCATGGTCTCTGCGAAGACCCTCCTCCACAGCCGACTTGTCGCGAGCACGTTCGCCTTGTCCAGACTCCAGACTTTGCTTGGCGGACTTTTCGCGAGGGCGAGGTACGCTGCGAGCCTGGTGATCCTTTCGATCTCCTTCCTGGAATACGGCTCCCGGTCCTCCGCCCACTCGCTCTCTCCATCATCCGGATTCCCTTCGACCCGGTCGCCGAAGTAGATGCCGCCCGTCAGTTCCCTCACAATCATGAAATCTGTTCCCTGGCAGACTTCTTCCTTCAGTGGAGACCGCGCAGCAAGTGTAGGAGAAGCGAAGAAACAAGGCCGCAAGTTGCCGAATGTGCCCATTTCTTTGCGCAGCCTGAGGATGCCTTGTTCGGGGCGGACTTTGCCCACACCGTACTTTGGCCCGCCTATTGCGCCGAGAAGGACGGCGTGGGCGGATTTCGCGGCCGAAAGAGCCTCGTCTGTTAAAGGCGTGCCATGCGCGTCAATAGAACACTGGGCAGAGGGAGCATTAGCTCAGCCGGAAGGGTCTTGATGTAGGAGAAAGCAGATGGTGTAGAAAGTGTCTGTACAAGACTGCCACATGAAAAAGGTGGCTTGACAAACTCACCCCACCGAGTAAATGTTCTTGGAAGTTGAACTTGATATCGTTCGAGCACTGCTCAATTAATTTGAGAACCTGCCCACGCCGAGCTTCACGTCAGCATTCCTCCCACAACTGCTGGCTTTTTCCCAACTTCGTAACACAGAGTAATCCTCGTAAGATCCGAAATGCTTCACTCATCCAGATTGCCCCGATGTTGTCTTTGCTGACCATACTCAAATCCACGTGGGATGGAGACTGTGGGTGAGCACACTAACCTTGATAGCCTCGTTTGTCACCTGGAAGACATTAGCAATACTGTCCTAACCAGCAAGAAGTTCGGAGTCGACATCGATAATTACAACCCACCTCAGGACCTGCATAATCGCCCCCAAAGACGACGATATTATAGGTGGGCATCTTGGCTGTTGTTCAGACTCGCTGTGACACTCCCTTGGTTTGCTTCCCACAGACTTTAAACCAAATCTTACACACAGATATTGTGGCCAAGCGTAAACTGGACGATCAGAGCAACGTCGACCATATTGCCTGTAAAAATGGCGACGGGGCCGATGTCGGCGCAACGTCACGTGGTCCGTCCCGTCGAGCCAGTACGGCGGGTCAACTGAACCGAATGAGCAGATTGCTTTCAAGCGATTTGAAAGCCGCCAGAGCTTAGTTTCTCTTGCTTTTTGCTTGCCGGTTCTTCGTACCATTTTAATTAGCGGAGAAACAGGCCCGACCTCTCATGCCCGCGAGCAGGCTACCATCAAAGCAAAAGAGTCAAGAGGCGGGACGGAGGCATACAACACTTCTGGTCCTGCAGCGACTCGCGCATATGCGTAGGTGCGCATCGCCATGGCCATTCGTGCTCGCCGAAAATCCACATGATCCACATTGCATACGACCCTGATCTCAGGCAGCATCTTTCCTGCCATGTATCAACGCTTAGATAAAATATCCACGGCAGACCGAACATCTTCCAGGTAAGCACATGATGCAGTATGGCTTACCACGTATCCAACAGCTCGGATTCCCTGTTCGGGCCTGGCTATGACGGTCCGTTTAGGAAGTTCGACTTCACATTGCTCTTCGAGGACACCATCCTGACCATTGTCCCTGGCACTCTTTTCCTTATCGCAGCCAGTGCGAGAGCCGTATGGCTCACCAGCAAGCCGAACAAAGTCACGACTTCCGTCGGCAGACTGACAAAATTGGTAAGACTGGGCTGAGAGCGTGTTTGGAAATGCTGCTGACAAGCTGCAGACATTGCTTTCCGCGTTCGTGACCATACAGTTGACAGTGCTTCTTGCTCGAGCAACGAACCTGGAAGTCGCCACCAAGGCTTCGGTCGCTGCAGCGGCTCTGGATTTTGCAGCTGCTTCAGTGCTTTTTGTTCTCTCGTGTTTCGAACACTCTCGCTCCGTGACCCCCTCCACTGTCATTGGACTCTACTTGATCATCTCACTTCCCTTCGATGCCACCCGGCTTCGGACTTTCTACCTGCTGGGCGGTTATGCCGCCAAGAATATTGCAACCCTTTTGTCACTAAGCTTGGCCATTAAGCTCGGAGTCCTGGTCACCGAAGCTGTGGAAAAGCGCGAGATCCTCCTGGAACCTTACCGTGATCTCCCTCCTGAGGCAACCAGTGGCATCTACAACAAATCGGTCTTCTGGTGGCTCAATCCCCTTCTAAGGGTCGGATTTGGCAAGACATTAGAGGTCGAGGATCTCTACAATCTGGACGACGACCTTGCCTCTGCTAATGTTGAACATCGATTCAAAAGAGCTTGGGCGAAAGTCAAGGATCCTCACCGCTTCAGTCTCCTTCTCACCTCCGCCTACGTCTTGAGATGGCACCTGCTCACCTCCGCCTGTCCACGTATGCTTCTCATAGCTGCCAGGTATGCTCAGCCATTCTTGGTCCAGGACACCATTCAATACATCAGCAACCGCCATAGCCAAACAGCTTCGACAGGATGGGGCCTGGCAGGGGCTTTCTTCCTCGTCTACTTAACCACCGCCATCCTGACTGCCGCTTATCGCCACCTTCTCAATCGATGTGTTACCCAGGTCCGTGCAGGTCTGATCTCGCTCCTCTTCCACAAGACTCTGGAGCTTAGCATCGTCAGTGCTGATCCGTCTGCGTCATTGACCTTGATGTCGACGGATGTGCAAAGAATTGTTGACCCTCTCGCTCTTCTGCACGACACTTGGGGCGGTATGATCGAACTGGGACTGGCCATGTTCCTCCTATACCGGAATCTTGGTGGCGGTGCGGTCATCGCCCCTGCTGTGGTGTATATCATCTCAATATTGGTAACGAGCTGGGTCATCAGCGTCATTGCTGGATTCCAAAAACGATGGTTCGCCGCCGTACAAACCCGCGTTTCGTTTACCTCTGCCTTGCTACATTCCATGAGGAATGTCAAACTACTTGGTATGTCCTCAATCGTCAAAGACCGCACCCAAGGCCTGCGGGAGAAGGAGATCGATGAGTGCAAGAGGTATCGGCTCGTCTACAACTTCCAAATAGTCGCGCAGAATGCACATGTTGTGTTCGCCCCATTTGCGACCTTCCTACTCTACTACATCAGGTCACGCAAGTCGGGAGAGGCCCTCGATTTGGCGGCCTCATTCAGTATCCTGACCATATTTAGGTTGGTTGAGGAACCTTTCAACACCTTGCTCATGAGCTTTCCGCAGTTGGCGAGCTCACTATCATGCTTTGAGCGGATCCAACAATACCTCTTGTCCAACTCGCGAAATGATAACCGACTTTCACTGCAGCATGCCTGCGACTTCGATGAGGACCAAGGTATTACATCTCTCCGGGAGGAGTCGATTCTAATGACGCAGCTTGGCGCGAGCAGGAGTCCGGAGGGGGACGCGTTGGTGCTGAAGAATTGCTCCTTCGGCTGGAAGGAGGAGAGCCCACCTGTCGTAAATGACGTTGATTTTGCTTTGCGTGCCGGCTGGATGACTATGATCATCGGCCCTGTCGGTTGCGGCAAATCTACCCTGCTCAAGGGGATTCTTAGCGAAACACCGCTATCTCGTGGCTTTGTCTACCTTCGAAACCAATCTATTGCGTTTGCCGATCAGGAACCCTGGATACAGAATGGCACCATCCGCGATGCTATCCGTGGCCCAAATTCAAGGGGTATCCTGCATGACAACGATCCATGGTACGAAGAAGTCGTCAACTGCTGTGGAATGGCAGAAGACATTGCATTGTTCCCACGGGGCGACACAACTGTGATTGGTTCTAAGGGGATCTCTTTGAGTGGCGGCCAAAAGCAAAGGCTGGCTCTTGCTAGAGCCGTCTACGCAAAGGCCGAGATTCTCATCCTTGACGATGTGTTTTCCGGTCTTGATAATGATACGGAGGAACTGATATTCAGAAGACTATTCGGACGATCGGGGCCACTGAGAAGGCTGAAAACAACAGTAATCCTGGTAACACATGCCGTGCACCGGCTTCCATACGCCGATGTCATCGTTAGTCTGGATTCAAACGGTCGAGTAACTGAACAGGGAAGCTATGCGAATTTGATCAGTCAGGATGGCTATGTCCACAGTCTTGAGGTACAATTCAAACAGGAGCCCGAACGAGGATTCGAAGAGGACGCAGGGCGTGATGCCGAAGCAGGTAAGGGCGACAAAGATCTCCCCACCACTGACACTGTTCGAGAAGACAGTGGCCCCTCCGAGGATACAATGCGACGGACAGGCGAATGGGCCACATACAAGCACTGGCTCAAGTCTTGCGGCTATGTATCAAGTGCGCTGTCCATCCTATGGGCTACCTGCTGGGTTATCGCCGCCCAAGCTCCTGGTGTCTTGGTCAAGTACTTCGGCCACTCCTCTGATCAGGCGACGACATTCATCATCGTCTTCGGGATAGCCTGCATCATGTCAGGAGCGGCCATGGTGCTCGCGGCGTATCAAATTTTCATGGATATGGTACCCAAGAGTTCTAGCAACCTGCACCTCAATCTCCTCGAAGCGGTAGTCAATGCGCCCTTGTCGTTCTTCACGCGCACCGACATTGGTACTATCACGAATCGCTTCAGTCAGGACATGGCTCTGGTTGACTCCGAATTGCCTTTCTCGTACGCCGAATTCATGTTATCCTTCATCGGCTGTGGCTTTGGCCTTGCACTGATGGCAGCTTCGGGCACAGGATACTTTGCAGCGACCATTCCCGTGGTACTTGCAGCGTTGTACGGAATCCAAAAGTATTACCTGCGGACGAGTCGCCAACTGCGCATTCTCGATCTCGAAGAGAAGGCTCCGCTGTACACGCTGTTCGGCGAGATAGCTGCTGGCTTGGCTAGTGTGCGTGCCTTTGGGTGGACAGACAAGTTTGCAGAGCGAAATCTCGAGTTGCTGGACCGGAGTCAGCGACCATTCTATCTCCTGTGGTGTATCCAGAGATGGCTCGGGATTGTTCTGGATCTCCTGGTGACGGTGCTCATTACGATATTGATGGTGGTTATCGTCGCAAAGCGCCAGTCCATGGACCCTGGTCTTGTTGGACTGGGTCTACTGAGTACTGTGAACCTAAGTGCCGGCTTGACTCAGCTGGTCCGGCAGTGGACTATGCTGGAGACTAGTATTGGCGCAATAAGCCGATTGAGAGATTTTGCAAAGAATACAGAGTCGGAGCACAAAGCGTGGGAAACCGACGCCGTTAGCAGCCAATGGCCGGACAAAGGACAAGTGAGTTTCACGCGCTTCAAAGCCAGCTATTCAGCAGATTCGGTCCTAGTGCTGAAGGATGTTGACCTGGATATCCGCTGTGGTGAGAAAGTGGGCATCTGTGGCCGTTCCGGAGCTGGCAAGAGCTCCGTGCTTGCCAGTCTCTTCCATCTACTGGAATTCCGCGGTGGCCAGGTTCAGATCGATGGCGTTGACGTCTCCCGCTTACCACGCGAGACACTCCGTGCCAGAGTCAACGTCATTCCCCAAGAGCCCTGGTGGATTACGACCGAGTCTGTCCGCTTCAACATGGATCCGTGGACGGCGAGCGATACAGAGCTTTGTGAGTTTTCACCTGAGCGAGACGAATTATTCATCTCCACCCTCGCACAATGCCAAATCTGGTCCGTCATCCAAGAGAAAGGCGGACTCGACGCCATCATGACACTTGATTTTCTGTCTCACGGCCAACGGCAGCTCTTCTGTCTAGCCCGGGCTCTGGTCCGCAAATCAAAAATTGTGGTACTGGACGAAGTCTCCGCCAGCGTAGACGTCAAGACGGACGAGTTGATGCAACGAATCATCAGGGACAAGTTTGCAGACTGCACCGTGATCGCAGTGGCACATCGGTTGAACACCATTGTCGATTTCGATAGAGTTGTCGTGCTCGGCAAGGGAGAAATCGTCGAGGTCGGTGTGCCGTCGGAGTTGTTGCAAACGCAAGGAAGCGCGTTCAAGGAATTGTATGAGTCTTGAATATCTCCACAAAGAATCGAAACCAAACAGCACAAGAGGGAGTTGGAGGTTATCTACCGCGACATCCTTCTGTTTGCTAGATAGAGAGATAGATAGATCGATGTCCATCCACGGCGTTCAACCCCCCGTGACCATCCGCATTAGCACACAGTACGAGGAGACAACAAAGGGAGAAAAACAAGTAGAGGTATTATATTCGTTATGTATAGTTTTCACATGCATATTATCATCCCGCAATCGACCACAAGATAGATACCAGCAGCGCTTCCCGTCTGCTCAGCGGTACTTATTTGAGCTCCTGTCATAGGCTGCCCAGTCAGTAGCCAGTACCGAGTACTAAGGTGGGTGACCTCTTGAGAGTCCTGGCTGTTGATTTTTTTTTCGTTCATTTTTTGCCTTTTTGCTTCGTGGGCTGCTTATGTACTCGTAGAGAGTTGGGGAGGGAAGGACGTCGCGAAGAGAAATCGCAGAGGATGGGAGCTTCGTGGTCGTTGGTGTCCCCCCCCACTTGCTTTTTCGGCGGGATGCGATGAAGAAGGACTGGGACGGATGTTTCATTAGAGAGAGAGAGTTAATTAAGGACCTTGCGTTTTCTCTCACAGGCACAGGCACACGCTTCGTGTTTTGAACGAGACATGTAGCGAGCTCAAGGTTTGGGTCATTCACGAATGGGGCCGCTGACAGCACGATGTCACGAAATGCCATGGACGGAAAGAAGAAAACTTAAAGAGAAGAGAAAAGAGGACAATGTTGCCATACTTGTGTTGAAACTCCGGCTACGTTCATGTCAATGGTCGAGTATTCGGTGGACCGGCGCGCCGGAGGTATTGTTGTTGGGACGTTGGTGGGAGTCTGCAACCACATCTCCACGACATCATTTGGCAAGACAGACGGTCTCCTGGCTCGGGCCACCCGCAGCTTCGCAGGCGTCCAACCATTCAGGATCAGGGCTCGAGGTATTGAAATAGGCGACAATACTCTTGACGGTCAGGAACACGTCTGTCGTACTTGGGCGTCCACTCCACCAACTATTACCGTCTGCCCATAGCTTAAACTGCAGGTTGCCACCCCTGCCATCCCCTGGAACATTGCGTCTGTTGACATGAACAAGTGTGCCGTCGACAAAATATTGCACGCCAAGGTCCGGGTGAATATCAAACCGATATTCTCGGAAAACATGGGGCTGAAATCTGCAATCGCTCAAAGACTTAAGCACGGTTGCATTCGGGATGGGCTGTCCATCTGCTGCTAGCGATGGGTGGGACGTGAAGCTGATGGTATTGTTGACAAATGAAGTGCCCGTCGTGACGATCTCGATGTCGACCTCGGATCGGTCGTCCTGAAAGGTTGGGATCAGCTGTGTGAGACTGCCAGAAAGACACTCACATGATACCAGAAGAACCCTGCACAGGCGCCACCATCAGAGCCATCGAGTTTGAAAACCGTGCGGTAGGACCCATACAGCATGTCAAGTCGTCGGCTCTGGATGCCAGCGATGCTGACTGTGCCGTAATCGTCAAATTCAGTCTGGGTCAAGCCACGTTGTTTCATGACCAGGTGCTGTTCTTTGATCTCGACATTCTCCCAGTCGTATTTGGTATTGAGGATCAAGGGTGGATTATCGGCCAGCTGCTAGTAATCGTAGATCATCCAGTCCTCGTTGAAGTGAGCGGCCAGCGGGTTATCGAGCATTGAATCGACATCAATGGGGTAATCGCTGAAGTCCTCGTACAGATGATGGGCGTAGACTGTAGCCTGGTCGTCAAGTAGCCACCCACATGGACAGTCGGCACTACCAGTGTGGTGGACAATGGTACTAAGCGCTAGCGTGGATATGATGAGAAGGAAATGCATCTTTAACCGATGCGTAGTGGATGCGTGAGTATTGGTTGGTGAAGGGGGAGGAATGGCTGCATTGAAGCGGGTTGAAAAGAGGACATGAGGCTCATCATCTGGGTGGTAGGTAGGTGCATCTCGCCAATTCGAGCACAGCAATCGATGTTGGAACGCAACAGCCTGTGGGCGTGGGTGCAGGGCCACTGCAGCTCCTCTTGCCCTTTCAATAAGGTTTGTATCTTGCATCTGATGCTTTTTTGGCCTTGGCTTTGGCAGGGGTCACAGGCGGCGCACTGTCGCCGGGACGGAAGGCAGCGACCCGTCCATCCTCACCCGCTGTAAAAATCGTGCCATTCTACAGGAATCAGGAGGCTGCAGGAAGTAGGTGGGGGCGTGGACCTACCTCGTCGTCCACGTAGACCGATCGAACGATCTCCTCCCCGTGGGCGCCTTCAAGCACGATGCGCCGGTCAAGCCTGAGGCCGGTTCCACGATCGAGTTTGACCAAATCTACGCGAGAGTAACTGAGGAATATCAGACAAATCGGCCACACTGAGAGCTTCCCCGACATACCTGTGAGAGCCACACGCGACTACGTGGTCCTGCCCGCTTTGGAGAATATCAATGACATACTCGCAGGGAACAGCTGGTCTGAGATCCCCAAGCTGCTCTGGCGCTGGCGTCTCATCTGCCTCCACGTCGACGTCGTCCACGGTGAGAGGGTGCAACGCAAGATTCTGGTCGGAGCTCAAGGCGTAGAGATCTGTGGAGCCCAGGAAACCTGCCTTGTGGATCGGACCATGGTTGACAGCTTGGAGCAGGCTATCTTGTTCCTCTTGAACTTCCGTGTCGAAGATGCAGACCACACCATCGTCGGCCCCACTCAGTAGCAGGTTATCTCTGGATGGGTGGAAGTTCAAGGCGGTGATTTCATCGTTGACCTCGGTATTCTGCCACCGTAATTTTGTCTGTCGTCGATCCCTGACACCGGGAGCAATCAGTACACCCGTGCTAAGTCTATGCAGATGTCTCAGCAGGTCACACAGCGCGCCATTGAACCCACCAAAGAGACACGACAGATTCACTGCCAATGGCCACATCGTTGCTCGTACTTGCCAGAGCATTTACAGCTTTTCCTGCGGCAGACGTCAGTCCACCGCCCAGTCTGGGTGATAGCCTAATAGACGTGACAGTCACACATACCCGACTTGAACTGCGCAGCTCTAGATCCGCTTCTCAGATCGAAGACGGCTACAGCCCCATCGCCGCCTGCACATATTACAGCGGTCCCCTGGTCGGCCACGACCAACGACGTGAGGCCGACGGGCGCACCTTGCAATCTGCCAACGTTGGACTGAGCTAGACTGCCCCTGTCGAGAAGGAGTAATTCATCCGCAGAGGTAATCGCCGCAAGCCCACGATTTGTGACTGGCGCAATGGCGAAGACATACACATCCTCCCGGGAAGAGGGCGCACAGCTGCCTAGCTGCTGATAGGCCTGCATGTTGGAATGCGGCGCTAATCAGGATCAAAGCATCAGAAGTCAAAGCGGTGAGCAGTCTTTGAGAAGAAAAGCAATACTATTTGTGCGATGGGACCTACGCGGATTGAACTGCGGCAAGTGGATCGGCAGCGGCAAATGGAGCGAGCACAGGACGCGATTGCATTGGTTGATAGACGCGATTGTCGTCTGCTAAGCGCCATGGCCACTTCTGGCGCGGAACTGTTAGAACCAGCTCATCAAGATACGACAGCTGGGTAGCGGCATACGAAAGCAAGAGCTGGGTCCGAGTGCATGACAGGTCAGTCCACAATGCATGGCGCCTGACCTTCAACTCAGAACAGGCTTGGTCTGAGCGAAAAAATTCTGGGTCCATGAACGCAGGGGAAGGGAAGCTGCAACTCTAGCTGCTGGGGATGTAGTGAGTGAGTTACACAGCAGACGTAGTACAACACTCAGTGCTTGGACCGTGACACGGTGCATCTGTTGCCTGGTACCTCAATGCCTCGTCACGGTGACGTATTGCTCACAATTGAATTGATGCATCATGTCGCAGCTAAGGCTGGAAATTCAGTCTAGGCAATGCTCGAAGATGCGGCGGCTTCCATTGCGAAACGAGTGCCACCGACCTCACGAAGCTATTTCCAAAGCTGGGTGCCCTCAGGCAGGTCAGAGCAGGGCGAGCCTCAGCCAACATGGCGGTAAAGGAGACGATGCATCGTACGAAGTACTTGCTTGGTGAAGTAGCTTGTAGTTACATTGTGGAGGAAGCGCATAGATGTCCTGACGGTGGGCGAGAAGGAAGGATCATAGATGGAAATGTCCAAGTGCAAAGGACCGGCCACTGCTGTTCTGATAGGCCGAAACAAAGGCTGGCGTCGATAGTGTCAACAACTTGGAATGTCTCGAGGTGAATGTGAAGGGGATCTTGCAGAACGAGCAGGGGAGAGCTTAGGGTGAAATGCCTGCTCTGGGGAGTGGCGGTGGTGTGACAACGGAGTGAAGACGGAGTGAGGTGGCAGCGAGTGACCTTCTCAGCTGTGAAACAGAGACCCGAGGATCTGGTTCTTATCAAAAATTGGCAGTGGCCTGAGTCCGGGTACCCATGCCGAGAGTCCGGAGCTCTTCCAGGCAGGCCCCAACATGATTTGTCGGTGGCCTCTGTGAACCAAGTTGCCGGTGCCTGGACGCTTCGGCTCGCCCACAAGACTCGTAGCTAGCCACCCGCAAGCGTGCCAGTTCCAACGACGGGAGCTTTGCCTCTTCGCCCGACACTCTGAAATGACAGCACCCATCACTGTCCAAAGACTGAAACCTAATTTATGTGCAGTATGTTGATGCACCACTAGTAATCCCGTTGCATGACCACAGAGTACTCCAGCTAGGATCTGTAGCCAGTACGAGTGAGGCAGGAATTGCCAATGTACAAGACGATCTTGCCTCGTTGACCAGCAGTTCCTTCCCAGCTAACGCCACCGAATGAGAAGGGAAGGAGTAAATACTCCGTAAAAGAAGAAAACTCGAGTAGGAGAGTATGGCATGATCCCAGAGCCTGATGTCTGCTAGGTAGAGCTGCGTTGCAGGTCGCAGCCCCAAAGCTTGACTCTATATATTATCAAATTGTTCTACAACTGCTCCCCTGCGTTTGCGACAAGAAGGTACCGGTGGCGCGATTCCCGAGCATGGAAAACGATGGCCACATCTGGGAGACGCAAGAAGCCCGATTGCCTAGGGGTCATGATGGCCTGTGGTTGCCGACGAGTCTCCCTGTATCACAAGTATTCATGCGCGTCCTCAACCTTATCCAGCAGCACTGACAGGCCACAACTTCTTTGGCCCGGGGGCTCGGACCGTGCTTCAGTAGCGGCACCACCAGCACAACGACGAGACTCGCAACTGGCTGGCGGCCTTGAGAGCAGCTAGCAAGCATTTTAACAGCCCGCCCAAAGCTGCAACACCCTTTACTCTGCGATCTTTGCCTCCACCACCAGTGCTATCTCTGCATTAGCATGGAAACACATCTGCCGCTGCGGAGTCGGACAGCCGAAGCTGATTTGCAGGAGCTTGTTCTGACGGGACCAGCTGCAGCGGAGCATGCAACGCCTCGCTTTTTTCTATCTCGTCTCAGCAGATGAATACCTGGAGTGCGAGGAAAGAGGATGACCTTCACTCCACCAGGTCAGGACAGTGTTACAATCGTTTGCTTGGAGAAGGCACAAACCCGAAATCGACAAAACTGCCCTGCTCAATTCTCGCTACACAGTACTCCACTTCCCTGTGCCTTACGCCGAATTTGACCAGCCTTTAACTGGGTAATCGTGTTATTCCTGGTGACCCTCCCCACCCGGGTTGCCAAAGTCTTGCTGGTTCCTCGCCTTTTATCAGACTTCGTTCTCGCGAACTGGCGGGTTTTTGGTAAGAGGCCCAATCTAGGACGGAATACTCGTACTGTGTAAAGTTTGCTTGTCCATGCAAGGTCTCCGGCATGGGAAGGGTAGACCGCTAACGCCAACACATCACAGATCATACCCACCTTCGCGCCCTGGCGCTAGGCCATCGAGATCGCTTGGAAGCAGAGATACAGTTACAGTAACTAGTTGGCCTAGAGCTTCCCCGCTCCATTTGTATGCCATTCTGATCCCACATTCACTCACCAAACTGACAATACGATTACACATACTCAAGGCCTCCTGGACATCAGAAAGCCGCACAGGGAGAAAGTCCGCCGGGGACTAGTGGCCCTGTAGCACAATTACTCCTCCCGTGGCCTAGTACTCTATACAGCTCGCCCTTTCTGGCTTTGCGGTACGACCATATACATCAAATTTTACCCCTCGTGTTCTACTGCCCGGTCCAAAGAACCATATCACCTGTCATAACGTCTGCTGTGGTACATCCTGTCGGGGCCGTTTTCTACGGTCCTAGCCAGCCTCGTTAAAGCACATCTCCATACATTGGGAAATTAAGTCCAACCCAGAGATATTGCGCCGACGGCCCTCGACCTCGACTTTTGATTTCGTTTCCACATACAATGGCACATATAATGGGTAGTGATCTGCCTGTTGAAATGCAAACCATTCAGCAGTTCGGCAGATTATATGGTGCCTTCAGAAGGTCGGTACTTGCAGAGATCCCCTTTGACTAGGTGGCTGACCCAGGCTTCGCTTCTTAGTGGACAGTATTTGCTTCCCCATGACGCGAAAGAGGGCGACCGGCTGGACATGATGCACACCATGTTTATGACGATCAGAGACAAGGGCAACCGGCTCACAGATTGCCCAACAGACCGGCTGAAACGGGAAGTTCGCGGATGGCAGCAGCCGCCCAGGGTGCTTGACCTGGGCTGCGGAACGGGAACGTGGATGCTCGAAATGGCCCAACAATTCCGCCAGGCCCAGTTTGTTGGAGTCGATATTCACCGCATGGGACCGGCGAGATTAGAGCCGAACGTCGTCTACACAGCGCCCTGGGACTACGAGGGCCCTTGGGCATTGGGGGAAAGATCCTGGGATCTCATCCACCTGCAGATGGGGTTGGGGAGCGTCTCGAATTGGCTGGCCCTCTACCAAAAGATCCTCGACCATCTCGTCCCGGGCACGGGCTACTTCGAGTCCGTGGAGCTCGATTTCGAGCCCCGTGCTGAGGACGGGAAGGCCCACCCGGGCAGACTGACGGATTGGTGGGACGTCTATGTCAAGGGCTCCTACGAAGCCATCGGCCGTCGCCTCCACTACGATCCAGCCACACCAGATATCCTCGCGCGCTTGGGTTTCAGAGAGATCGTCCACAAGGAATACAAGATTCCCTTATACGAGCGGCATGGGGACGCCGCCAAGGTCCGCGCCTCCAAATGGTGGCAGATCTCCATGGGCTACAATGCCGACGGCACGGGTGGCCAGGGTCTCGAGGCTCTCAGCCTTGCGCCGCTGTGCAAGTTCTCCAGCTGGTCCGCTGACCACGTCCGGCGGCTTTGCAATGAAGCCATGGCTCAAGCCAAGGACCCGAGCGTCCGCTTCTACAATGTCCTGCATGTCATCACGGCAAGGGCACCTAGTGAAGAGGAAGTAAGATGAGGGGAGCATCGATCGGTACGACCACTTGTTCTTCCGTCCTGACCGGTTATTTGAGACATATTTGTTCTCGAACTCGATCCAGAAATGTTTGAGCGGTCTACCGGCACTAATGAGTTGGACTGGACTGGGTCAATAGATGGGCAATCAAGAGATAGAAAAAGCTCAAACAGAGCATACGTGCAGAGACCATCCATGGCCATGGGAGCTGGTAATGTCACGGTAGTGGTGCGGCGAAGCAGTAGCCAGGCCGTGCCTGATTCCTGCTAGAGAAGGAAAGGAGATTCAAGTCGCTGATCTCGTGTGAGTCGTGCAGATTCCTGGGACATTTCCTGCTTTTCCACCCTCTCAGTCTTGGAGCAGGCATACAAGCAAGCAAGCGAAAGCAGGACTCTCTCCATGCCTCTGGGTGCAATTCTATTTCGGAGACGCCAGAACCCACCGCGACTACACTCTGGAGGAAGAGATCCGCTGATCTCAAGGGACCTCAGAGGATTGGTGCTCAAGAATAGACGTTGAGATGGCCTGCTCCTGCTCCATACGCGCTTTGCCATCTCAACGCTCAAGAACTACCGGGATGTCTCCAAAAAGGGAAAAGTTGCTCTTATGATTTTGCCCAACTCTCATGATCTCTTATCATCTTGGGTCATCATATAGCAACCAAGCAGCGGGTAGTAGAACCCACTCCCCTACGTCTTGTATGCCCTGCTCTTTGAGACGTTCGGCTGTGCTTCTTCTAGGTATTGAGACTGGGTACTGGTATGACGAGGATCATACAAGCGCGAGGCGGGTGCGGAGTGGTCGTCAGTATCCTTCACTTCATTTCATGTAAGTCCAGCGATGGTACGAAACTCAGAATCTCCGAATGTGTTGGACCGGGACAGCCTTGGTCACCTATCCGGTATGGAGAAAAAAAAACGATGCGAAGATATCACGCACCCCATGGCATATATCCCTCCATTTGATGAGCGACTGGAAGCTTTTTGCCAATTGTGAATTTTTGGTATTTGGACCCTAATCACATTGTCTTGCTTGGGGACAACACGCAAAGATATCGATCAGCGCTGCATCTTGGTGCCCTCGAAGCTTCGTTTTGACATCGTCTGGGCAGCCTCTCATCCACCTGCGTCAGCTGCGCTCGCTCGCGCAGGTATCGCTTGCACGACCGCTTCAGAGCCTATTCCGGGATTGCGTTAACCCGTGGCCATACAGTTCCCCAGCCACCAACCTGCCTCATCATCATGCCGTGCTGAGCGAAAAGCACACCATATTGTTGAATCCGTTGCTGGTAATGTCATCCAGCGCACAGCATCTCACTCCGCACCATACATATCATTCCATCTATGCGAAAGTAGAGGGTCGCTTGGGCGTGAACAGCTTCTTCGACTTGCTGTTGCGGTGAGGCAGTGGGAATTTGAGGTTGCGCGTGATCAATTGCTTGATGTATGGTCGCTTGACGTCGTTGGCGTCCTGGATCTCGACGACCTTGAGGATCTGTGCAACGACCGTCAGTAAAAGGGTTCGCTGTACATGCCGGCTGGAATTTAGCAAGCGTGGGAGACAACATACGTGAATGCTCCTGAAACGAGCCCGATGTCTCGCCGCCATATCCTGGTACAATGCCTGGACCGCGTCCGTACGGCTCATCTCTCTGTACTCCTTGTACATGTTGTGGGTGCCGGATCTTGAATCGTAGCGGATCCAGATGCCGAAGTTCTTGACCTTCAAGGGCCGCTTCTCGTGGATGACGTTCAAGGAGACGACCTCGCCGGTGGATTTCTTCAGTTTGCGGAGCTTGGACAAGAAGTACCAGAAGCGGGATTTGGCGACCACGGTGTTGGGTGCGAAAATGCGCATGCGGTACAGCTTGGGGGTTGGGTTTGCATCGGTGGGCAGGCTGCGGCCGATGACTTGGTATTCTTGGAGGCGACCTGGAGAGAGAGGTCAAACATCAGTATTGTGCGCATGAAAATGGTTAAAGCCGTGCCTCAGCAGCAATGGATTCCGAGTGTGAGAAAGGATGATGACTCTTTCTTCTATGCCGCATGTGTTCCATTCGGCTGTTCCTCTGCATTTCCTGCTATGCTCCTGTCTCCATCCTCGCCCATGCTCTTGCCCTGTCGTCGACCTCTGACTCTTTCGTGTCGCTCTCATTTCGGAACAAAATCGGCGGGGAGAAAAGGACGCTGTAGAGACTTACCCATCTGCATTATGTTAGCGTGGACAACCTAAGTGAGAGAGAGAGTCTCTGCATACCTTGACTGATCTAACCGACCTCGAGGTTCTTGGTCGTCGATGTGCTTTGGTCGCTGATGTCGCAGTCAGAGGCGTTCAATTGCAAGACCAGATAATTTCGTCCACAACGTAAAATGCCAAGAGTGCGGCTTGGCGCTCATCATTCGTGCCTGTGGAACAGAATTCGCTTCTGATTGGTTGGTCGGGCTTTCTTCGCCGCTTGCCACCAAATTAAGTGCCTTACAAAACCGCTTCTCAGACTTCGCTCCCGCGTTTGCGATGCTCCGGTCCAGGTTTGTCTGATGGGGTCTCTGTTCGCTGACTTCCACGAAGCCCAGCGCGTAGGCGACGGCCGATTGCTGGCATCATGCCTGGCGCCCATAGACACCCAGCGTGATCCCTACCGGCTCCAGTCATTGGCACAACTTTCCAACCATCAGACGGTCTCGGCTGACATACGCTACCACCTGGTCCAGGATAGAAATGCTACGAAACTTCCCAAGTCCGAAGCCAACGCTTGGGTGGATATTCTCGTCGCCCTCTGGAAGTGCGCCAAAGAACTGGTTGGCCTACGCTCCGGTAATGGCACTGGTGACTGGTTCAAGGCTTTCGATGCTTACAAGGAATTATGCAACCATCTCGTCAGAGGCTACACCAATTTCGGCTTCCAGTCGTGGACAGTGCCATGTCTCTACGTTGCAGGGAAGTACATTCGCATGATTGCCATGAAAGCGGACAGTGAGGGCAAAGCCAAAGAAGGCAATGGCGATGTTTTTGCCAGCGGTTTCTCAGACGATATCATAGGTGACACCAATAGGAACGACAAACTCGAGCAGGCAGCATGGACAATCAATCGCATGTTCACAGTCTGCTTGAGCGATAGGGCCGAGCTGTCCGAGTCGAGGAAATGGGGCATCTACAGCACAACCAACCTGCTCTTCAAAACGTACTTCAAGCTCAATTCAATCTCCCTGACGAAGAACGTCATTCGTGCCTTGGAAGCTGCATCAGATGATCTGCCACCCTTGGAACTCTTCCCGAAGTCTCACCGTTGCACGTTCAAGTACTATCGGGGTGTCATCGAATTTCTGCAGGAGAACTACACTGAAGCCGAGCAGAACCTGACCGAGGCGCTTGACCTCTGCCACAAAGACTCACTCAAGAACCAAGAACAGATCCTTACCTACCTCATTCCTGCGCACATTGTGAACAAGCATCAACTTCCCAGTAAAGCCACGCTGTCTCCACATGCTCACCTCTCAAAGATTTTCTCGCCTTTGTTCGCCGCCATCCGTACCGGTTCCCTTGCCGGGTTCGACGAAGCTCTCTCAACAGCCGAACCCGAACTAGTCCAAAGGCGCATCTACCTCACTCTGGAACGAACGCGGGACATTTGCCTGCGCAACCTATTCCGCAAGGTCTACTTGGCAGCTGGGTGGGAAGAGACCAAAGATTCCGCCACTGGGGAAGTCACTGGTAGGATCCGTCGGACGAGGATTCGTATTGAAGAGTTTGAGGCAGGAATGCGGGTTGGGTATAAGGGCGCAAATGAGGTGCTAATCGATAGGGACGAAGTGGAGTGCTTTCTGGCGAATATGATCTATAAGGTAAGTCTGCCTATTGTCGCCTCTCTGCATGTGCTCTTTGTACTACGCCGCCTCGCTTGTTTGCATGCTCTCTCAATGGTGCCTTGGCATGGAAAGTTGTACGGCACGGCGGCTGCCTAGACGGATGCCTGATGCGTGGCCTGGCGCGCTCTGCTCTGCTTTCCTGACATTAACACACCCAATCCTTGCACGGATGCTGAACCAAAGAGGACAATGCTGACTCGCGAGTGCGACAGAACATGATGAAAGGCTACATCGCTCGCGACCGAGGGATCGTCGTCCTCAGCAAGGCTGGCGCCTTTCCAGGCACAGGCGTCTGAATCGGAAGAAGCACATGCATCTATCTTCTGATAATGCGAGGGTCACCGTGCCTATGCTGTATGTTACTTGCCTGCTAGGGCCACCATCGATGGAATGGACGATGCTTCTCGCAACGGCATCATTTCCCCTGATGGTATCTCGTCGCCTTAGACCCTGAATACCTGGCATCTACCTGGCCGATACCACAACATAAGGGACAACAATCGTTCAGCAATGCTCAGCCTCGATCTACATTAGGGACGCAAGCGGCACGGAACACTACGGCGCAGTAACAGTAACTTGATTGTTGCGACCACAGCTGTCGAGGCTCATCCCGTTGCACGCACTTTTAGCTCTGAGCCTTCAGCTTCGCAGCCTCAGCAACGACTGGTCCTCAATACTCCCGAACCCGACATAGCCTGTCTTTACGACAGCGGAAAACCCGAAGAGCTTGCCTCGAATCCGCAAATCAAATCGCCATTAGCTTCTCAGCTCCATCTGGCTGGAGCGGAGCGGCCTGGGTCGATAAAGAGAAGACCGGCCTCCACACCCCCTCTATATTAAGAGTCATGCTCCCTGGGCAGCGGCACCCTTGATGAGCATCGGTGGGCATCAAGGCAGTCAAAAAGTCCACACTCTACGAATCCGGTCGGCACGTGGAAAATTGGCTTGGAAGGCTAAGGATTCGCTCGAACACACAGAGTAGCCGGTACCGCGTACCTACGCAGGGGCGCTCCGCGATTGCAAGCATTGAGTGGGCTGAAGTCAAAATGGACTCCGGGCATGTGATGTGCCGTGTGACATGAAAGCCTGCATTGGCCGGGGAAGTACCTACTACGAACCTACATTACTCATCTTGATCCGAAGTTCTGTCTTCTCTGTTCGGCACCATCAGCTATTCATTGTGTGAGCCATTCATCTTCTGAGCCATTCTATTCTGTGACTCATCGGTCTTGACTCAACTCTTGGCCATTTAAGGGTGCCACTGCATTACAGGCCAGGGTCTTTTGTCTTTTGCCTTTCTTCTCTGCAAGTGCCCCGGACAGGCCAGGCACACTTGCGTTAGCGAGGGTCAGGGATGGGCCTGGGCAGGCATCAAGGCCAACTTTCGATGAAGCAGCGCACGGTTGGCTTTTGCGACGGAGCTATCCACGGAACTTCTTTGGGCCAATGAAGTGATGGGAATGGGGCGCAAGATGCATACGTACGAGGTAAGGGGTGAGAGAATTGCGGATTCATGTGCCGAAGGCTTCTTTAGGATCTTCTCAGCGCCTCCTCGCCTGTGAGTCGACTGGAGACCCGGTAGCGGTGGAAAGGTGCTGAAATTGAACCGGACGGAATAAGGCTCAATGATAGGTCTCTACGATGGGTGGAAACTAGAAATGCCGTTTCATCTCTCTTCTGCAGAGAAGGATTGAGCTCTGTCTCAAGGGCGGCTCAGTTGAGCCGCTTGAATTCTGATAGAAGTAGCATCCAACCAGCAAATCCAGCGTACAAAGTCCCGGACTAGTCGTACAATCTCAGACCCGCTCACGAGGAGCGACGTCAATATCAGAGCGTCCAATCCCGAAGGATCGAGGGAGACCGTGGTTTTTCGGGCGATAATGGTACAATACATGGGATATCACAAATAGCAGCAAGAACCTCCGTAACTCCAACTTGCCGACTCGGCAGTAAAAAGTCACAGATCTCGTGGGTGAGAACATTTTTGCTCACCTCGTTGACAGTCTTGGTGGAGAGGACACATCATAGTACAAGGTTGCACCATCGCCCGCTCGATTCTAGCGAGTGAATGGCGAGGCGAATGGCGAGCGGATGGTTTTGAGGTCATCCTGTGTGATAATCAGAGGCTTCAAACGCATCAACGGTGATGGGGATATTTACCATATGGTTACACATTGCGACGAAAAGGTCGAAGAACAATGTACCGCCTTGCTCCATTTCGAGCTTCATGGTGCCGCTTTTCTTGAAGTTGTTGCGGCTGCGGATAATGAGAGTGAGGTACTGAGCTCGAAGCTTCGAGTCCGAGTCAGGAGTGTGATTATAGGCGTATCTTGCGGAAGCAAGTATAGTGGAGATTTGCATGCCTTGTCTTAGGCCTTGTTTGCGGAGCGCGAGACGTTTGAGCTCTTCAAGGCCGTATGTTTCGGCGGAGCAGCTATAGAACTGTCAGTTGGATGTGGTACAATGCCTTGACAGGAGATGACCTACTAGATGACGGTATCCTTCATGAGTGTCTGCTTGGTAGCATGATGGTAGATTGTAACGTTAGAGTTGTTGCCTTCGTCGTCCAACTCCCACGTATCGTTTCTCTTGTTATGCAACAGTTTCGGATGATAGTCTCCCCTGTAGAGGTACTCGAGGACAGCAGAGAGGATCTCAGGCTGCTCGTTTGGCAGATTGATCCTTCGAGAGTTGGATTCGAAGAACTGGCCCTTGGTGGCGGCTTGGAAGTATGGTGAGCGAGAGAGGACTTCTTCGTGGCCAGCGAAGAGTCTCTGCTCTGAGCCGACACAAATCGTGATGATCGCAGAAGTGAGGGTGCTGTTGGTATCGTGCGGTCAGCGTTGTCTGTGATGAGATGTAGTGTGTGTACGTACCTCCCCACTGGTGGGCTTGTATGTGTGCTGTGCTCTCTTCTATGAGACTTCATCGAGTCATGGCGTTGCAGGCCCCTGCTGATGGACTCCTCCCGGAAGGAGGATTTGCTGGGCTTTGTGGATTTGGTTGTGCCATATCTTGTGGAAAAGCTGCTAGATGCGGGTTGTCTCCTGCTGCTGAACATTGTGTTGGTTGTTGCTTGCGTGGCTTCGTTGCAGTGTTTGCGGGAGGATAGGACAAGTGTGAGAGACGGCAGGAAGCAGGGATGATGACACCTAGGTTAGTACTGGAAAGAGAGCGGCACAAAAATCACATTGGTACACACAAAAAGAAGGATAGAGGCAGCTATTGAGACGGGCCTGCCTGGTATTGATGGAAGCGACGAGGCCGAGCGATACAAAGATGAGCAAGGACATTCTCCTGAGCAGAAGAGCTCCTTTTGACGGGCGGACATGGCGGCATGGGAACCTCGCACCAGACGCAGGCTGCTGGGTAGCTTATCAGTTTCTCTGGCAGTTCAGCCCGGATTAAGCTAGAGTGAAGCTGGCGGAGGCATCGCGTCGACATCCGCGTAGCAGTGGGCCTAAGCCAGACACGAACAGGCCGCGTTAGCATGTGACATGCAACCACTTTAACTCGCCCTGATAGGCCTACCTCAGCCATCAAAGGCCGCAGGATGTGTCAATCTGGGTGACTCGGCTGCTTTTGCCCCCATGGCTGCTTTCAGTGCCGGAAACCTGGGGGCTACCACCCTAGCTCTCTAGCCTAAGCAAAATGCAGGGTAGGCCGTGGCTCTTTTTGCCACTTGATCCGGACTCTTTGCAGGGAAAGCTATGTTGGTCGGAGTGACGAGTCGGCACACAGGGATCTCGAGGCAACAGAGAACAGTCACAATCGATGGCACTCACAAGGTGTGACACACTCGAGCTCAACGCAGCGCATCCAAAGAAAAAGAACCGGGTTGGAAAGGCAACCGGAAGGCAGCGCACTGCGGTGGTAGCAACGGTCGTCGCCCGGGGAAGTCTACGGCTTCGATGGAAGAGGGTGTGACAGCCATGCTCATCAGTGGAGCCCGGGCAGAAATGTGAAACACTGAGGCTTTGGGGCTAACGGGGAGGGAAGCCCTCTGTACCTGCAGCAAGTAGCGGGCTGAAGTGCAATACTTTCATTTGTCGCCCGTTGTGCCTGGCATAAGCTTCTCGCAAGCCTGGCGTCACCAATCTGTCCAGAGATCACATCTACGTACTATATGCAATCCGACACCGCCGCTTGAACCGCTTGAAAGACATGTCAGTCTCTTCTTCCACAAGGGATTGGCGGCTCTAGCGTCAGGTGAGCTGCATGGGAGGACTGAGTAGAGATCTCGTCAATTCCGATCTTAGGTCCGCACGGCCCAGCGGAATAGATAGCACATAGATGGCGATGCTGGACTCTTCCTCATGTGACGTGCCATGCCACCCTATACACTCCCGACTGGGATCTGTTGGTGATACATGGTGGACCGTCGCCACGATGCTCACTTAAGAAATCGCTTTCGCTTGCGCAACATCCCCTATTGTAAAAAGCACCCCAGGACCTGGATGTGAATTTGAACAAGGCGATGAAGGGCAGCGTAACGCCTGGACCGTTGCCTCATAAGAAGACCCTCTTTGCCTCCTTTGGATGGCTCTCGACGGGACAATAGGGACATTTGAATTTTGCACCCTTGCTGAGCTTCTGTAACGACTCTTGTGCGATGACGTGGCAGCATGGCAACATCATTGGCGGATTCTGGTCGGTGGTCTGCTCTTTTGAGACTGGACATACAAAAATTGAATGGAACTGATAGGGTGGGGGAAGAGGCGTTTCGACGGGCAACTCGTTCTGTGACGTCCACTCTGTCCTTTTCTGTTTCTGGATGGTTTGCAGCTTGAGGAGCGTTGGAAGGGCAATTGCTCCGGCAGTTGCTGCGACGTAGAGTGGTGAGTCCGCAGATAGTTCGAGCAGGGAGCAGAACTCTCGAGTGAAAAGTGTGGCGACTTCGTCCCAAGTCGTCGGATTGCTGAACCTGACACTGTAGGGTGATTCTTCCAGATTGGAAGAGAAGGGGATTGCTCCCAGTAGCTGCTGTATCTCGATCAAATACCTTCCACGGAACGACTGAAACTCGGTTTGTGCATATTGAAGTGCACGCATAGGGGCCTCAAACTCGTATTGATCTTCCTCCCGGCGGTCAAGGAATAGATTGACGAACTGCAGTCTGCAGAGCTCGAACTCTAGGTTGCTTCCACGGGCCTCAAGTGCTGCAGCATTGTTTCTTGCCCAGTCAATAGCTGGTTGCAGGTTGTGGTTGTTTTTGAGCTCACTTAGGATGTGGTACATATTCGAAAACTGTTCCTGCATACTCTCCTCTGAGCTCTTATCAAGTCCCAGCGGGTGATCCATCGGAACGTCTAATCCCAGGTGTCGAGCAGTCTCCTGCTGAGTCCTCTGTCGCTCGACAGCCTCAGAATGCAACGTCGACGCGACATCGAAAAGGCCCTCCCGCAGTAAATGCAGGTATATCGCCCGGTTGATCAACGTAGGGTGGGAGGAGAGTGCATCAATTTCGGTGCTCGGCACTTTGTCCTTGAAGACCTTGTCCAGTGCCCTTGAGTACTTGTTGTGCAGTCCATGTGTGTCCTTCAGTCCCGAGAACATGCCATCAAACGACGTCTTGACCGGATTCTGCAGTTTCGCCAGAGTAATCTGTCTGGAGTTTGGTTCCTGGGCAATGGCATCCCGCGCTCTCTGCAGTGATTTTATGATATCGTCAACATGACCCGTGGCCCTTGACAGCTTACTGCTGTTCCAAACCTTCTCATGCTCTTTCTGTATTGCGTCCATCGCGACCAGTGGGTGGCGGTAGGCTTGCTGCCGGCCGTTGTCACAAACCGGTTTGTCTTGCGGAGCGTAGCGGAGCAGTTCTACCGTCACCGAGCCATCACCCGGGATTTGATGGGCAGCAACTCGTAGAAGCCGAACAACTGGCGATCACGGTGATCAAGGAAAGCAACGTCGGAAGGTATGAGAGGTGACGGTAATTGCGACCCGCGGTCAAACGGTGATGTGAAGTGTGCTTGGGTGGCTTGATGTGAGTGGAAGCGTCGATCGCAGATAAGCGGAGAGGCGGGTGACCAGTTGCGAACCTTCACCTTCGAACCAACCACACCAACCACAGTCAACTGGAAACGTCGCTATTGTCCCGCAGTCCTGACACCACGGGCTCGTCGTTAGCAAGTCAACCAAGTCGTCAGTCTACAGCGGAGATTCGGAAGCATCATGTAAGGCGAATGTCTGCTTGATTCTTCGAACTCTGCCGAGCACAACGCTGAATCAGGATGTCGGCCGGGTTCATAACGCCGTATCCTCACACATATGCTTTTGGGGGCTTGCCGAAGGAAAGATCCAACAGACCCAGCCCTAACGAAGAACACAAGACACCAAAGACCGAAGAGCCGGTAGTATCCAGCCCTACCTCCAGTGGAAGTCATCCAGGGCGACAAGGTCGAAAACGGCTTGTATTCGCCGACCCCGTCGCATTCCGTTATTTGGAAGAAGACCCCGCGACCGATGCCATAGAGCGATGGAGGCGCCTTGAAGGATATGAGATTTACTTGGTTGAGCAATGGGCATGCTCGAGAACTCATCCGACCTTTATTATTTGCACCTACACGGGAGATCCATCGCACTCAATTCTGGTCAATGTCCTTGCCGTGCCCAGCGATGAAACCACATGGTCCCCGAGGCTGCAGATTTACTTTCAAGCCGTCTCCCAGTATCACGCAAAGGAGAAAGACACGCCCTTGGGCTCGCTGATGGTAACCAACTTGAGCGGCTTTCCCTCTGCTCTGACAGTAATTCCAGTGCCGGATGGCGATGTCAGGAAGCATCGAGAAGACTTCATTGTCAACGAAGACCTCAAACGAATGGGTTGTACTGGCAGGGCCGCCATCAATCTACAGCCACCGCAATCTAGTACGATCGCCAAGTTCCACCATTTGTACAAGACAAGCGAGACTGTACCGCTTTATCAGTCGGTCATGGAGCTCGTGCGTACATGTCAGATAGCTCTGGTTATGTATGATAAGATTCAGCCCACCTACGCGGATGGTCTACTCTGTGATGTGACTGAACGAGCAGTCAACGATTGGTGGACGGATATCGGCACATACTTTTACAATGTCGAGCCGAATGATGGCATCCTCGGCCCAACGACAGTCGCAGCCTTACTTGGGCTTCTCATCGGCGCCCACAACCGTCTCAAAGCGTTCGGATGTCCTGTTGGGAAGGATGCATTGGATACGGTGTCAATGAAACGAGCGACCGGCCATTTCCAGAAGGGCCAAAAGATGGAGAAGACACGTCGGCTGGACCGAGAGACACTGGATCGTCTGCATCGAGCGACAGCCAAGAACGCCGCCGGCGAGGGGTGGACTGTGCCAAAAGCTGTCAAGTCCACGGTTGCTGAGCTCAGTGGCAAAGGTGGGGAGATGGTAATGGGCATTGTCGGTGGTCGGGACAAGGCTGGTATATCTGAAGCCGAAACAATGGATATCGAAAGATTCGCCGAACTCGTGACAGGCCCGAAGATGAAATGGCTATGGCAAGGCAAGCCGATCAAGTCAGGTGATCCCTTCGCGTGGCCTACGGAAGACCTCGATCTCAAAGGCCGCGTGTTCAGCACCGACGAGCAAGGCAACTTTATCTGGACAGGTAACCAGCATGACTCCTTTTCGGACGCAAATCCGCTGGAGCGGACGGACACAATGTATACGAACCAGACGGACCCAAAATCAGGTCGGCACCGTCTACGAGGTGCCGTCGGAGGGTTGAAGGGCTATAACTCTCGATATCAAGAGAGTCAAGACTGGGTTGATAGCGCCACGACGGCCGGTTCTCGGACATCACCTAAAGACCATACCCACCGGACAAACAGTGGACTGCCTCGCCTAACAAGCCCTCCAGCCTTTGACATGGACCTGGCGAATGCAGAGCCTTCTTCTCCAGGGGCCGGGCGCCGTCAGCCACCACTACGTCGAAATCAGACCACGAATGAGAGAAGGATTCCTCCTCACCGAGAGCAAATGCGACCAGCGCTTCCAGGCGACTCGCCCAGGAGAAAGAAAGCCGAGGCACAACTGGCCGAACTGCGCAATGAGTTCAAAGCAGATATTTATCGCAACTTTTCCGCGGCCATGCCATACAAAGGACCATCAAGCCGTGCCCTACGACGGACGCAAAGCAACCTGCAACTCATCGGTCATACATTGGAAAGTCCTCGCCAATTCAGGATTCCTCGGCGGCTATCCTTCAGCATCGTCGAAAGCGCCGTTCTCGACACTGGCGAATCTGTCATGGAAGAAGGTATCACGAAAGGCAAGTTTGAAGGTGATTTGACCAACGCTCTGGTGGAGCGGGATGCTCTTGTCGCCGCCGCTCAGAAGAAAGCCAAACGAATACAACAAATCCAGCAAGGTCTCATCCCGTACACAGAAAGTCGAGTCGCGCATGTAGAAAGTCTAGATGCCGCGGCTCATGAGCACCTTGAGCAGCTCAATGAGTTGTATTATCATCGGCTGGAAGAGTATCAGACTCTTCAAGCCACCTCATCCGACATAGTCTCACAGGAGAAGTCAGCATTGACTGAGTCCTTCCGGCGTATGGAGATGCTGGGAGCGAAGATGGACTATGAGCTGAATAGCCTGCAGTCAAGATTGCAAGAAGTGGAAGATGGAGTAGATGATTTTGAGAGAAATGTGGTGGCTATCGAAGCGCGGGTCAAGGAACTGAATGGGGAGAGTGGCGCGCCAGACGCGCATCAGCCGTGGATTGCCAGGGTGCTCAACTTATTGGGTCCAAGGAAGTAATGGTGGCTATATTTTGGTATAACCTGAGAGTCCTTCCGTCATTAGCGAGGCGTTTGCGGGTTGAGAGCGCCTCCGTGCCATGTTTGGCGCGTTACACCGTATTGTACAGCCTGAGATTGTATCACCTCCATACTCTCGATCGTGAGAAGATCAAGAGTTCTTCCTATTCCAACTCGCAGTAGCGCGTTCGCCCTGATTGTTTGGTGCGGCAAGAGATCGAAACCCAACATGTCGTCGTGAACATTGATGTCGGAAGTCCGGCGCTTTGTAAGTCCAAGGGCCGCCCACGATCGAACAGTCACCTCGAGTCCGGCCAACGCGCTTCTGGATGCCGACCATCGTCCTCGTGGAAACAACCTCGCTACCTTCTGATTTTACATGCCAAACATGCCGCCCCCTCCACCGCCTCCGCCTTGTCTCATAGCAGCTTCGCCCTGCATCTTCTCCGACACCTTCATATTGACCTCGAAGAACTTGGCCACACATCGATCGAGGCACACGCTTTCGGCCTTGTTGAGTTCAGCTTCGCGGTAGTCGGCTGGTATGCATTTCTTGAGGCAGGACTGTGTTAGTCTGGTGAAGCAGGCATGTCAGCAAATGGTTTCATATGGAGATTCTTGTCGTCCGCCGGTGGAAAGACAAATCGAGACATGGATCGCGTCCCTACCTTTGGAACATGTCCGAGACCATCTCGACTTCATTTTCTGCTGCAGCGATCTTCTGTTCGGACGTGGGTTGTGGTCGCCCACCACCAAAAAGGAACGACATATTGATTGGATAGGGGGAGTGCCTGGTGCTGGATGTGTCCTTCTTGAATCAGAACAGAAGCTTATATTCCCGGAGAGCGAGGGATAAGTGACTGTTCAGTTGATTGTCGCGTGGATACAGCAGAAGCGTAGCTCACGCCTACTGTGGTAGAGACATTCCCGTCCCCAGTTTGCCCGAAATTTAGGCGAGCATTTGCTTCTCCGCAGCCTCGTTTTATTCTTAGAGCAGCTTCAGTCTCGACTGTCGATGGCCCGCGATTGAATCCAAAATTCCTCTAATGTGGCTTCCTTGCCTTCATGTACGGAAGGTCGACATGGCAAGCATGGCGACTGCACCGTATCTGGTGTGCAACGGCACCAAGGTACGTACGTCCTGAATCTCTCTTTAAGTTAAAATGAAGAGACAACCTGAAGAACCGCTGCGAGTGATGCTGGCTTGAAGCCGGCTTGTGATCACAGTATCTCAACGAATGTCTGATAGCGTACAAAACACGCTTATGCCTGTTCTGTGCAATTGCTTTTACTCCTAGTGGTGACTGACGGCCTGACTCTAGAAATGTACGCACTTCAACCGGTAACCAACCGTCGATTCGGTCATATCCACAAAGTTCAACATGGCTTCCTCAAGCCAATTTCGCAACAGATTCTCCGAGACGAGGGCGCCGTAGCGAAAGCCATGTCTCGAGTTCACCCAGCAGCAAAGAAGCCCAGGAGCGGGTTGAAGAGTTGAAGTCTTCAGGGATCCCACTATACCCCCGTTATCAGCACTCTCCTCAGAAACGGAGCTTTGAATCGTTACGGGAAGAAGTAGACAAGGGCAATGCCGGAGATCCTCTCGATACGATGAGCGAAGTCGCCGAAGGCAAGAGCATTACTTGAGCAACCAGGCAGAACCAAACATGTCTAACTGCCGCGCCCAGTCTCAGGAAGAATATCTAGCATTCGCCTCAGCGGATCCAAGCTAGCATTCATTGATATCGTCGAGGGTCAAAGGAAACTCCAGGTCATGCTGGATCGGTCAACCCTAGGAAAGTCTGGCGTGAACGCGCAAGGGTTCAAGGACTATTGCCGTCTTCTTCGACGAGGGGATTATATTTGTAATGTCCCAGTGTGACCACTGTTGTTCTCTCAATGTCCTAACTTCTTGCAGCATTGAATGGTGGTGTACCGTACAAAGCTCAAAACGGGCAAATCTCGATTCGAGCCATGAGCTTGCCAGCCATTCAATCACCCTGTCTACAGAGGCTCCCAGTTGCCCAACGTGGCTCTGCCACCACTGCAATCGCCGAGTCCAATTACCAGCCTCGGCACGTCGAAATGCTGTCCGACCCCGAAATCATTGAGACGCTCAAAGTTCGATCTACAGTAACTGCTGCCCTACGTCGATTTTTCGAGACGCGCTCCTTTGTCGAGGTTTCTACTCCCATCCTCTCTGCCGGCGCTGGCGGTGCGACTGCGAAGCCATTTGAGACCGTAGCAACGGAATTCTCAGGGCGAAAACTCAACCTACGAATCGCCCCTGAACTTTGGCTCAAGAGGCTTGTTATCGGAGGGATGGACAACGTCTTTGAAATCGGAGCTTGTTTCCGGAACGAAGGGCTCGATAAAACCCACAACCCGGAGTTCACGACCTGTGAATTCTACGCCGTCTCCCACGATCTACAGCAATTGATGGACATGACGGAACAGCTGCTTGCCAGCATTAAAGTGGCTGTGCAAGCCAATTTCCATCCCGATGGGGAGAGGCCGCTCTTTCGACAACTACAGGCGGACTTCCAAGTCCTCGACTTCATCCCTTCCCTCAATTCCGCCCTAGGACGGGAACTGCCAAATCTAACTTCGCCAGATGCGCATTCTTCACTCCTCGCCATCTTCGAATCCAAAAACATCGCTCTCCCCTCCAATGCCACGGTCCCCCGACTGGTCGACAAACTCTCCTCAATCTACCTCGAACCATATTCATTGGGAACCCCACTCTGGATCACAAATATCCCGGAATGTCTCTCCCCCCTAGCAAAGTCGTTCATCCATCCCACCGCAGCGAACGCGCAACCCGTCGCAGCTCGGGCGGAGTTGTTCATCCAAGGCAAGGAAATCGTGAACTGCTACGAGGAAGAAAACTCTCCGTTTGAGCAGAGACGGAAGTTCGTCGACCAGCAAAAGTACGCTCGTGCTCCTTCTGGTGGTACAGCAGAGCTCGTAGAAGACCAAGAAGCGATGAAAGTGGATGAGGACTATCTTGAGGCATTGGAATGGGGGCTGCCGCCTACAGGAGGCTGGGGGTGCGGGATCGATCGCTTGGTCATGCTCTTCGCAGGCAGAGAGAGGATTGGCGATGTGCTTAGTTTTGGTAATTTGAGGGCCGTTACTAGGGGTGCGGAACTTGTGAATCAGGGGAAGAAGTAGACCCGGTTAAAGTCAGAATTATTTGGTACGTCAAGATTCGTTCATGTCGTATGGGTAGGATATGGGCCGGCTTGAAATGTAATCATAGTTGAATGCTTCAATGGGTGCGAGCCGGCTAATCAGCCAACAAGCTGACGAGATAAGACCGGCTAACGAGCAGCAAATAGTACAACCGCAGTTTAAGGGCACAGCGGACTGGAAGTCCAGCACAGCCTTGTCGTAGCCCCCTTGATGACCGTACCAGCCCAGCCTCGTCCCCCGTCACAGTATCTCGACTGCATACCAGCAGCTCGGCTCGTCTTACTCTGTCCCAGGCCACCAGCTTCTTCGACTCCACCAGCTCGACTCGTCTTACTCTGCACAGGTCAGCAGGTTTTGGAACGACATAAGGTGTGGATCGTAGCTTCCGCCACTCTCTTCACAATCGCAGCTTATGGCTCGTAAATCGTTGGACCGTGAAGGCCGCGAAAACGACGACGTTCGAGAATCGAGATCGTGAGGACGTGGGATAGATGTGTAAGCCACGTTGGATATCGTGAGCATTTCGGATATGTGTGTCAGCGCAGGACTGCACCAGGCGGAACTGGCAAGCACGTTGTGAGAAGTGCCTTGCTTGTAAGCTCTATCCCCTGACTTCTTTTTCTCCATCCCGGAGAGACCAGCGCTCGACTCGAGCCATTTTCGCCTATTGACCATGGAGGTGGGCGTGCCTTTTCCACTCCCATCTCCGGCATCAGCCCCAGGAAGCTCCTTCGTCACATACGACGCGGCCGGTTAGATGTCCTATGCGTGGTGCTCGTTTTATCGGCTTCGACTGTGACCAGCTGCCGTTACGCCCAACAGAAGTTCAAAAGTCCTGCGGTCCCATGGTGTCGTGTCGTGCTTAGTTCGTTACTCGACGCAGTCTCGTGTCCGTTTCCTCGGCCTTCCCCTGTCATCGTCCTGAATCGGCGCGGACACGTTCCTGATCGGCCCTTGCCCGTCCCTCATCCTCTCCAGGTAGAACTTGTAGATCTGCCTGTCCTCGTTGAGCAGCTCGTAGTTGGTCACAATGTAAAGTCCATCGTACCGGAACCCGACTTTCGGTCGAAGGGGCACGATCTTCCGCAGTCGAAACCCGCGAAAGACACGCACGGGCTTGCCCGTCCTGTAGGACGTGATGAGTTTCTTGGTATCGTCCGTGGGATCTTGGCCTTTCTTGTTCCTCGTGACGCGGTCGGCACGATGGTCGTCTAGGTCTTTGACATTCGTGGCTCTCTTGTCGCCTTCTTCGCGTTTTAGCGCAGTGCTCATATATTCGATGTAGTCTCTCCGATCGACGTCGGCGTATTCGTTGCCCTTGGATTCCTTGGAACTGACGACGATGCTGGTTGCGCCGTTGTCTATGCTCCCTGCAATGCCGGCCCTCGTGGCGCCGTGTGCGCCGTCGCGTACCATGTCGATCCGGTAGAGCCAGACTTGCCCGTTGACAAGGTGCCCGTGGCCGTAGTAGTCCGACTTGCGGCGGAAGGGACAGTCCGGCTCAATGGACCATTGGTTGGTTTCCGGGTTGAAGCGACAGCCTCGGCGGGCGCGTACACTAAAGTCCTCGGCCTGCCATTTCGTGAGGAGAATGGTTAGATCTTCGATGACCTCGGTTGGAAGCTGTAAGCTTGTTAGCCTTGGTCTGTTGCTCGTGCTGAGAAAGCTCTTAAGGCGGTCCAGAAGGCGAGACTCTGCTAATGTCTCCTTGGTGACTGAGTTGTAATGGAACATCCGAATCGACGCCGCAATGTTTTTGAAGTCGTCGTGTAACAGCTTTGACTGGTGGGTTCGGTGTACGACGGTGGCGAGCCGCTTACGGAAAGTGTTCGCTTCTTGTAGCCCCGCAAAGGTCTCTTCCTGACGGTTGCCGTTGAGGGATGGTCTGGTGATATAGTTAGCATTCGAGTGCAGAGAGTCATACGTAGACCTACTCTGAGTGGTAGTTTTCGTGAAACTCCTTCTTCCTCTTCCCCCATTCGGGATTCTCTTGTACCAAGGGGCGACAATCTGAGAGCGTATTATGTCTGTGTGGACAGTCGTGATTTATTGCGCATTCACATCCTTTAGGGACCTCATTGGTGATTGGCGTCTCTGGGTTGGTCGGATGAGGAGCTGCTGTAGGCGCATCAGGGCCTAGAGCTGCGCGCTGTCCACGGCCTGTGTCCGTATTGGGAAGGGCGTCATGTTGGGAAACGAACAGGCTGTCCTCATCATGGTACCTGGGAATTTCTCCTTCTTCCAACTCTTCGGAAGACTCACGTTTAATGCGAGGCACACCGGCTGCTCCGTATGCGCCAGGCCCACACATTCGGGACGTATCTATGTCGCCGTAGTGTAATGGATCGGTGATTTGACCTGGTCCTAATGTCGGGTATTCGCTGTCTGCTCCCCCGTGTGCTGCGGCATTAGCCAGTTCGCGTTGCCTAAGGGCAACGCCATCAGCTAACACTTGTTCTTGGTCTTCGACTTTCGTGGGAGTCCCTCCACGGGACGCATAATTGCAGGTATGGGTCTCGTCTCCCTTCACATACATGTCCTTACCATGACCTTCCCGACAAAATCTTGGTGCTCGCGGAGAAACAGCGTGGCTCCCACCAAGAGCATGGCAGGGTCTGTAGCTATCGTAGAAAGGAACCCCACCATCGGTTCGACGGTCAGCCTTGGGACAATTGGGTACTCGGCCAATCCCCGGAACTATCGACGTGCACTTGTCATCCAGTGGCGACGACGGTCGTAAACCTGGTGCAGGCATCGTGTACTGTACACTGTAAGCCGTAGTTCGAGATGGTGGTAAGGGTCAGTGGTAATAGCGGTCAGTATATCTCCAGCTTGACCAGCGGAAGTCGAATATCAGGCCGATATCAATATGGCCAGTTGTTCGAGTCTGAGGTCTGGTGAAACAGAACCAAACTCGTGATAAAGCTTGTAGGGTACGGCTGATAAGAAACCTATGTAACGACAAGATGGCCACAGACGGTGAGGAAGTGGCAAAAATGAAACGAGATGACTGAGTTGAGATGATGAATCAGTGATACGTGAAAGAAGAATGGCCGACGAGGCAACATGAGAGAGAAGTCAACCAGGAGAAGGATGTTGGACAGTGGGAGGTGAGAGGGAAGTGACTAAGTGCCAGTTATGCAGAGAAGGTCTGAACGAAGAACATGTGGAAGAGGACCATGTCGATGGTCTTCGATGGCACAACATCTCTGTCGATGAGATGGTGAAGAGCAAAGGAGGGGTCTGTTCTGAAGACATTGGTTTCGTTGCTCTGGTTGTGTAGATTTTGAGAAGAGTGGTTGTTCTCACGGAGCACTCGAACAAGATGCGATCCCAGGCCCTCCAGACGTCGCGTTAGGCTGAGTACAGCGCATGCTATTGGGAGAAGAGCATCTGGTGTACCCGCTTGGCCATGCCCTCGATAATAAGAGCGTAGGTACCGCGTACTGATTGTCAGGTCGGATTTGCCCAAGCTTGAGAAAGTGAGAGGCACAAAGACTGACGGCCACGACGAGCCACCCGGGGAAGGAGTCAAACCCCGTCTGGCTTAGCGTCTGGGCGCAGATCATTGGCTGTGCTGCGACGTCAGACTGAGTCTCAAAGAGTCCAGCTTGGGGATCTCAATCTTCATGAAGGAATACGAGTAGAACATCTGCATCAAGGCGATGCGATGCACTCGACTTTCGCGGCGGACGCCGTCACACAGGCCAGTGAGACTTAGGAATACCCATCTGTGGTCGGAAAAATGGCAGGTCGCCAGACAAAGCCATCAGCCGGTGGGTTTCCAGAAGCGCCATTTTGGATTAGGATCAATTCCGGCTCTACTGGTGCCACCCGCGGTGTTTGGAGGGCTGCTTGTAACGCTATGGACGTACAAATGCTTGATGATGGTTATTTTTCAGAACAAGATCATTTACATGCCTTCAGTCCCGCCATTCTCGAGATCAGAACGAGTCGACGACTATGCCGCCCAATGTAGACCCGTCGAGTGGGTGGAGAGAGATTTGGCGGCGGCAGATGGTACGGCGTTGAAGCTTTTGGAAGGCTCAATCGTCGCTTCAGCCGACTCTGACGTGGCTGAGCATGTAGTCGTCGTATATTTCCAGGGGTAAGATATCCACGTCGAGGCTGTTTCTTTTCTGACTGTGGCCAGGAACGCGTCCTCACTGCCCCCTCGGCTTCCGTATCTATCGACCATACTGAAGAGGCTCGCTAGGGAGAACCAGGGTAGACGAAAGTATACGATTGTCGCGTTGTCCTATCGCGGATACTGGAAATCCAAGGGCCGTGCTTCCCAGGCCGGAATTGAGCTCGACGCCGAGGCTGCTTTGACATGGGTCCAAGATCGGTACGACCGTGGGCAAACCAAGATCATCGTGTGGGGGCAGTCCATCGGCGCAGGTGTTGCATCTGTAAGCCTGTCCAACCTTCTGAGAAATGGCCAGGATAACCTCCGGCGGTTCTCTGGTCTCATTCTTGAGACTCCATTCGTGGACTTGAAAACGATGCTTGTGGCTCTGTATCCGCAGAGGTTCCTTCCTTACCGGTATTTGACGCCTTTTTTGCGGTCGACGTGGGATACTAGGACGGCACTACGTCGAGTCGGAGGGAGCAAACCAAACCTTAAAGTATTGATTCTGGAAGCAGGCAATGACGAGATTGTGCCTCCTGGACAAGCAGAGACCTTGGAAGGAGTCTGTATTGAGGAGCAACTGGAAGTCGACCGGAAAAAGGTACCAGGAGCTCTACACACGGAGGTCATGGTAAAGGGCCAAGGACAAAACTACATTGTGGGGTTTCTTCGGTCGTCCTAGGTGCGCTGGAGGTCGAATGTATTCAAACGTCATCTGGCTGTCGGCGTCCAAAGACAAAGCATACCTGGTATAAACCAGACCAGGCTCCGCCCTGAGCGTGGCCCTGTTCCGCTTTTTGAGCGACAACGTCGGCGGCCAACAGACTATCCAGCCAAGCCGAGATGTCATGCAGAGCATCAACTTCCTCGGCGGTGGAACTCCTTCGGAGGTCCCACCGTGGATCAAGAAGCGCATCGCACTGTCCTCCTGCTTCAAGGATGTAGGCTTGCAATATAGGCAGGCTCGCTCCTCTCAAGGCACGTTTAATCTCGCCCATGCGTGTGACTTCCCAAGCTGACCGTGCGCCAGGCCTATACACATGTACAGTCCGTAACAGCGAAAGGTCCAATGCGGCATTGTGTACGCTCCGGAGGCCGTCAACATTTGTCCTCGCACTCCGCAACCTCGTCGTTAGCCGACGAGACAAGTAGATTTCTCGTACCGCTGTATTGTCAGCGAGCCAGTGAAGAAGAGCCTCGTATGCCTCGGCATTGATAGCATCGTGTTGGCCGCTGAAGACCCGTGCCATCTTTATCCTCTGCAGATGGTGTTGACAAGCTGCAAACAGAGCGTCTAGCCCAATGGCAAGATTGTGCTTCAATCCGTTTCTGCTCGGCGAATCGAACATGTACGCTGGCGGACGCAAGTGTGCTATGTTGAGAACGGCGCGAGAATAAAACGAGGCTGCTGCCTCCTTATATACTGCCTTGTTGACCAACAACAGCCCCGGAGCTCCAGCTGGCTTCTCAGCGTCTGCCCATGCTGGGTCTTTTATGTGCTGAACTTTGAGCTGTTGGGTCGACAATACCAGATCATAGATTTGTTGCCGAAGCTCGAATGGAAAATCGAGGAAGCTGACCATGATGAGGAAGTCTCAATCTCGAAACGAAGACTGATTAGGCAAGTCTAGTGGATGTTTTGAATTCAGGTGAAGGTATTCGACATGGTGGGACGGAGGGTAAAGAGTAGACACTACGGAATACTCCGTATGGACCGGGACTTTGCGCTGCCCGTCGGAATCTTGCTATGTAAAAACAGAACGTCCCAATACTATCCCCGTCTCCGAACCGGACACCTAAGGAGTAACACGGTGCAGACGATATCTAATCTAGATCTAATTGACTGAAGTACAGAGCGCTGGGAATACATCTGATGTCAGGCACGATCGTGATATCGAGGAGCTCAAGACCAGCTTCACCCGAAAGTCAAGATGAAAGAACGGCGATAACATAGCAATGTCTATGATAAACACTTCTCTGTGACGGCATGGTGGCGGCAAGGTTTGCTGTCACTGCCGTCTGCCTTGGGCATCAACCTTGGCTCCTCGACCTGGGTCCTTTGCCCCCAGGATTTGGGTCGCCGTGCTACCCGCGCGCATTGAGTCAAGCGGAACGGGGTCGCGACAGATATTCGAATCGAGGAATCGCTAAATAAGCCTAACATTGCGGTGGCCTGAGCCTACTGTGTAGATCTAGGCAACTGTGCAGGGTACGGAGGAGTCGTATTCTACTTGCACCTTCTGGCCCCTCCGCCCAATGGGGGAGACTGCGGGCCAAAATACTTGGAGAAATGCGCCGATATAAAGAACTCCATTCGCAGGATTAAGTATGAAATCCACCAGTCACATGGCTGTTGTAGACGAATGCCTGGAAGGCAGTGATACTCATCTGCACGATGACGGGCAACACTGAGGGCTCAGCCTGCAGATGGGCGAGGTTCCCTGGCCTGACTAGTGGTACCAAGAGCACCAAGAGTACGGCAGCTTGCAAGAGGCACGAGAATATTGCGGGGAGTGTGACAAGTTGAATTGTGGCACAGTCAAGCGGTGAAGCACATGGGCAGCTTGCATGAGACTCCCATGACCATCACGTCCTGCTGGGTCACCCACATCGCCCTTTGAACTCACCGTGCGACCATATCAATTACTAGTCACATACACCCACGTCTTCCTGAGGCATTCGGATCGTCATTGTGCTCTCGGATCTCCTGCGATCAGCACGTACCTTGACCTGACATCCCACGAACTTGCTTATTATCACCGCAGCATTTGTCGCTCATTTCCTACCTCTGTTCCAGCGCACGACTTGTTGGGCGACCTGACGATGAGAGCGACGGAAGGCGGTATTGAAAGGCAAAAAGCACATGCTGTGACAGTCTGCAGCACCAGGCGTCCCTCCCGAAGATGATGGACCAGACGCAGGCTGCTCCTGGCTTCTGGAGATACCTGATCAACCCAGACAAGAGCGCTACACCTCAATTCGAACAGCTATGCGTAGGAATCGCGAAAGTCATTGTAAGTTGCTGAGCAAGGAATACCCCTCTCGACTTTCGCTAACCCACCGGCCCAAGGCGACTCTCGAACCAGGGCCCAACAGCGAACTGACGCCCTCACGTCTTGCCGCTTTCTACCGAGCCGTCGGAGGTAACTACGATGCCCTCTTTCTCAGATCCTCCGACCATGCCCTCTCCTTCATGTTCCAAACCCTCGGCTGCTACCACTCCCTACAACCCACTCCCAGTCCGTTCGAGACACCCCGAATACCGTGCCTGACCCCAATCGGCTTCGCGCGATGGCAAACCATCCAACTTCTGCTGTGTCCGGAGGAGAACGTGGGCTTCGTACAGAAGGCGGTACAGTTATGGAAAGTGCCTACACCAAATGGAGACACCTATCCCACATACATCCCCAATGAGATGTTTCCCGACAGACCAGACGAAGCCATGGAGAAGTGGTACAGGATGGTGACGGGCAAGTTGAACCAGCAAAATTATAACCTGCGCCGCATCAAGAACTCCCCCTATCAGTCCCCCCATCCTGAACCTTACGACCCACGAGAAGGCTATTTCTCCGGGGCTCAAGTTGGGCGGCCAGCAAGACCCTCGCGAAGCAACTCCCGGGATGACGATCAGTTGGCAGCGTTGTATCGTAGACGAAGTAGTGTGCCCGACTTCCCCTCCCCGTCCGGTGATAGAGGGTCGCATTGGGATCCACGAAGTCAGCAGGAAGTCAGGAAGGCTCGGAGTCACTCCGCTCAGAGACCATCGCCCAGGCCACCAACGCGTCAACGATCTCAAACCACTAGCGAAAAGCCCGGCCATCTCAAGCCATCATCAAGCAGTCCATCGAGTCGTAGACACGAGGCTGCTCCCCCTGAACCATCAGGGCGACGACCACCGTCTGGTTACAACATGGCATACCGCTCTCCCGCGCGTACTCCCTCGACGGTTGATGAAGACAGTGGCAGTGAAGGGAGCTCAGAGGCTTCACAAGCGGGACGGCATCATCGCAAATCCGATGAGGACAGAAAGACTCGTCGTGCTTCCCTCTGGCCGCCGTCGTTCTTGCGATCATCACACAAACGGCGTCATTCGTCAGATGCAAGTTACCGTGCATCTGGCCCTCGATCGCGCCCATCACAGCCGTTACGGCCAGAGTACTACCCACCTCCTACGACCAACCCTGCACCCCAGCCACAAGCACCGCTTTATCGAGGGTCGGGCGCTGCTCCACAATGGCGTGATCTGAACTGGAATAATGAAGCGCCTAGTTCGACACCTGGAACGCCTTTACAGACACAGATGGATCCACGCGCCCCATCCATACGCTACCCCGACCAACAGAACTTCGAACCCCTGACAAGAGAAAGTAGCAGCGGAAGCGATCATAGGCACAGGTCCTCGGACTGGGAGAGAGGCAATGCCCAGAGACGGCAAGCCCAGCCTCCTCCGAGGATCGCGACCATGACGGGAGTGTCAGGAAGAAAGTACCCGACTCCGACGGACCCTATGAGTCCAGTTGAACGTCACCGAACTCATCCTCATGCTCACCGCGGGAATGTCTCCGCGATGGTCTGAGGCAGAAGATATAATAGCGCCAGACACGTGGACAAAATGCAGATATGGTCAGACCGGTACACATGAGCAACACTGCGACCTGATGCGGAGGCCCGAGGTGTATGACATGGGAAGCACTGAACGACTTGATGAAAAAGACACGAGGTTGACGAAGAAATGCGACAACGTAGGGGCAAGGTGTTCGGAAGATTGGTATACTCGCTCAGCTTAATACAAACAACGGCTTCGCGGCAGGAAAAGAGCTGGAACAAGCCCGTACAGTGAGGGCGGGTGAGTCACGGCCATACATGTTCTCTTGCCTTCATGTGCTTCACTTGCAAACACACGTTGGATGGATAGCCTGAAATTCTCAATTTAGTCACAATATTTTGGCGGCTGCTCTTCCAGCCTTATGACGATATGATGGTGTACTTCTCTTCTTCTTCTTGAACACATCCCTAAGCCCATCCCTCATCCTTGCTTTGTCCCTGTCCATCGATCGCGAGGCTCTCACCAACTGACTTGCGGTATTTGGATTCAGAAAGTCGTCCACCTGGCCTTGCCACGCCAAAGAATGTCTTGAGCACCAAAGAGTAGGGAGGAGACGCTCGGCAGATTGCAAGAGGACCGGCAGAAGCGGGAGACCTTGCTTGCTCATATCGATGCCACTACCACTGTTGACATGATCCTCATCTGAGTCCCGTTTCTGACTCGTTCCTATTCCGAGCTTATAGGCATGGAAACCTTTACCCGCTCGTTAAAAGATCTCCCCGGCGTGCTGCTGGGAAGAGGCATAACTAATCACCTAGATGGTGATCCATTAACAAGCGTCGGGCTCAACCTTGAAGAATCCTTGCTTGGCTCCTTCGTGATACTCTGCTGCAGCTTGTTTCATTCCCTTTCAATTTGTTCTTTCCACGCCTCCCTCACCACGTGAGACTCGGTCTCTCTGTCTCTGGCTAATGCCGTAGCAGCTGGTTGGTCACCTGGCGTCATAAATCCTCAAAGGAACGCGTCCGCGAGTGGTCGGCTTTGCTGAGGGTACTAATTATTGCGAGCTGCTAGGCATTACTTTACTGCCTGTGCCGGCATAACCATCATGGCAGACTAGGTTGGCTTGGTGCTGGGATGGCGAACAAGCAGTTCACGTGTCAAGCTTTCGTTAGAAACCTGCTTCGTGGAAATCGTAGATATAAGGAAGGGAATAATGTCTACTTTTGCTCGCTCTTGTTCACTATGAATGGGCCTTTTGATGGAGGTACATTTGAGAGGGACAGACGGATAATAGCGCGTCTTGAGCTGGGTGTGAGTTGGGCAGGGTACCGACGCCGGTGACCCCTCGACTGGCATTTACATACTATAGTCTACTCTCGCTCACAATAATTGCTGGCCTGCTGGTAGCTCAGCCTTTGACTTAACTGTGTCTACGAGGCAGTTAATTAGCGACTCGGGATCGAGAAGATCATGAGATCAGCCGAATCAGAAAGTTGTACAAACCAGCTTGAAGCCTTCTGCTAGGGACAAGGCTGTGAGTTGGCTACAATAACAAAGAGTAGCTCGAGAAGTTGTACGGATCCAAAATTCATCAAGAGCAATGTCCTTGAACAGATGAGAATCGCATTTCAGGATGAGTCATGGCGTTTAGCCCATGAGGGACATAACTCAGTCGTGGGCAGGATTTTCAGCCTTGCGTGGGGGAGGAATGAGCCTTGTCACGCATAGCTGCTTATGTACGGAGTAGAAGCCCGCCAATGGTGCCAACAGCAGCGCGGAGTTGGAGTGTACGCACCTGCGAGGTCGCGTTATCCTACGACACACGCGAAAGTTGGTGGTAGAGCCATAACATGAGAGCGCATTGAGATGTAGCGGATAGCTCAGTATTTCGGGACCGGAGTCTTCATCGCAACGGTCGGCATTCTGTAAGATCTGGACCCGATAGTACGGATAAGAGCTCAATTCTTGCCTTAGGGGCAAGTCAGGTACGATCAGGTCTCTTAGGTGCGAGTATTGAGATGTTGGGAAGTAATGGTAAAGCGGAAGCTGGCGGGAGTTTGATGTGCGAAGACCGGTACAGAGTTCCGTCTGATGGGTTGCATGAGGCATGCTCAAGTTCTGAGTGAATAGGGACTCATCAGTGAAATGGGGGTTGAGCATGAAGCATGAAGCATGGGCGCTCTAATGCAGGTACCGCGAGGGACAATACTTAAGCATGCCTCAACGAGGACCAACCCGATAGCCTTAGGGATTAAGCCTGGTTTCATAACGAGGCGAACAAGCGCAGGTCGTGGTGAGAGTGGACCGCTTGACTGTGGATGAAGGGGACAACTCGTACCAAAGTACCTAGGGTAGGGAGATAGGGTCGCCCAAGACAATCGGACAGTTGTGCCCTAATATTGCGGAACGAGCCTGTCTGAAGTAATCCGGGAGAGTCTCAATTTCTGTTCCCAGATGCGTTACGACGAAGGTACCTAAAATTCCACGATCAGGGAACATAGGCGAGGGCTACGGCAAACTGGACACCAGCGAGAAGACTCGGTTTTGATCCCGTCCGTGAACCTAAGGCTGTGGCTAATTAGCGGCTTCGGGGGCGTCGACGAAGAAGTGCACCAACGCCCAAAAGTGGCCGAGGAAGCACCTTGCTTTTGAGGTCAGAGTAGTAAAACAATAGGTACGGTACTGTACCACCGCCTTCCTGACTCGGCGGCTCCAGCTGCAAGCCCGATGCCGCCGGAGGTACATGAGAAAAGTGCCTGGCAAGCCCGACAAAGATTGAGCATCAGATACGGCGGCTGGGCGCTGATTTGTCGGGACGGACTTAGAATTGGGGGTTGAAAATTGGACGTGATGATGACCGTCGTCAGCATCCTCGCGCGGCATTCTGTTACCCAGGCCTCTCGTGGTCTAGCAGCCCTAGGCATTAGAGGCATCACCCAGAGACTCAGTCTGACAACTGAAATTTGCTTGGGGTTGGTGGCCGCCTAGAAGCGCTTATGCAGCCGCTCGTGGGGGCATCGATGATCACAGTGCGAAGTTGGAGGGTGGTCTGACTGCCGGCTTCTCTGTTGTGATCCCGATCGAATCCCTCCCAACCACCCAGCTGCATTGAGAGGGCACCCGTCATGTTTATTTGTGCGCAGATGGTCGCCGCTTGTGCGCCCTTCAACTGGGAATGTTCTTCTGAGGGGCCTGAAGTAGAGCATAGCAGCTCACAAGCAGCAAAGTAGTGCAAGTTCTCAGCAACCCACAGAAGAGCTCCCACCGGACAAAACTGCGAATTGAAGAACGCATAAGCGACGACTTGAGGTCAGACTGTTGTTCAGCTAGGCTGATCAGGCGCCGCAAAAGATCCGGTACAACGGCAGAGCAATGCTATGGGCGACATCAAATTCAGTCAAAATCGCGTGCTCCCCCCAGAGCTCCCCTTCAACCCGGTCGCCTAAGCAGATACGATCTGTACAGTGTCTCTAGTCGGCAGTGATGGAGCCCGGGTTCAGGACGCCTAGTACGAACGAGCCTAACTAGGCTGCTTTAGGGTTGCAGAAAGAGCAGGGTTTGGCGTAAACAACCCACGAGTTGCTGCAAAAATAGGTGAACTCTTTCGCTCAGAGGCGAATGAAACTGAACTTCGGAGAGCTTGGAGCCGGCACAGTGCAGCAGGTTCAAGCAGGCACGCCCAATAGAAAGCTTGAAGGCACGCTTAGCGCCTAAAACAGGCAGTGACAGTGGAGCTTGCAACACACCGAAACGAACGTTCGCAGGGAGGCACACAGAGCATCCCGGCCGCCCTCAGAGGCGCGAGAGGCGCGAGAGGGGAGAAAAAGAGGAGAGCTGGCAGCTGGCCGTGATCGAAGCTGCAGCTGCTTTTCCCCCTGCCCAGTAGGTTGATCCAGCGGCTCTCTCCCGGCTCGCTCGCACCACTTAAACAAGCCGTTCCCCCGCCGACTCGCCCGTTTCTCTTCCACTCTCGCTTTCTTCCACCACCAGGAATCGTTCGGGTTTCCCTGCTTCATTCTGCCCGCCACCCATCCTTTAGCTAAAGCGCAGCCTTGCAGACACCCAGCGCTCCTAGGCGCCTATATCATCAACAACAGACAGTCTCTCTTATTCGAGCATCCATTTAGGGAGCTTGCCATGGCAAAGAAGACGCAGCCGCCGGCGCAGGACCCTGAGTCTGCAACCACCCAGGTCAACATTGCTGATTTCCAGCGCACACGGGATTCGGTACGTGGGATAGATCCTGTCCATCGCCCATTTTGCATTTGCTTCACCCCATCACCACCAACGCGTCTCTGCACCCTGACCCCGCGACGAGGCTCTACCCTGATTTGACTCTACCCTCACCACTGTTTTGCTATCTTCCGTATGTCAACCTCGTCGTCGCCGCACATCCTCCAAAAGTCTGAACACAATACCACAAACATTTATGCCTCCGACATGCCTTCAAATGAGCGCCTTCAATGGGGCAATGCTCTAAACCACGCTGCTATTGCATGTATCAATGCCCTCATTGAGGATTTCAACGCCCTCACCCACCAAGTCCATGGACTGCAAAACTCTCCACAGGCCTTTGCTTACGAGTCACCCCAGGTCATTGTTGCTCTTGCAACCCTCCAGCACTCTGTCCAAGATCTTTCCCGCGCCTACATTCAACATGCCAACACGGTGCTCGCCCCAGGTAAACAAGGCTTGACTCCCATTGACGCCAACCTCACAAACATCCTCACCGAGTCTGGTCTCTTGACCGGCCGGCCTGCCGAGGCTGTTCCAGCTCCCGTCGAGGCAGACACCGATGGCAAGAAAAAGCGCAAGAGGACACCGCACGATCCAAATGCGCCCAAGCGTGCTCTCACTCCCTACTTCCTCTACATGCAGAGCGCTCGTGCAACCATTGCAAAGGAGCTCGGTGACTCAGCGAAGCCTAAAGAGGTCGCAGATGAGGGCACTCGCCGGTGGACCGAGATGAGCCCAGGTGAGAAGAGTGTAAGTGTTGTGAACCCCCTCTGTTGCCGCGCACTTGCTAATCCCATCATAGGTCTGGGATGACAAGTATCAGAAGAACCTCGCCGCCTACAGAGTCAAAATGGCAGCATACAAGGCTGGTCAGCCCGTGCCTGACGACGAGACCGCAGCGCGTCTAGTCGAGCTTGGCAAAGCACCTGAACACGTCGCTGGCGTCGACGCCGAAGCAGAAACCGAGGAAGAAGAGGCAGCTGAAGAAGAAGAGGAAGAGGAGGAGGAAGCACCTCCCCCAGCTCCTGAGCCAACACCCAAGTCGAAGCGTCGCAAGACCAAGGAAGCTGAACCTACTCCCAAGCCAACGCCAAAGGTGGAGGCCAAATCACCGGAGAAGGAGAAGAAGACCAAGAAGACCAAGAAGGAGGCTGCTCCTCCAGCATCGTCGTCCAAGGCAGAGAAGTCGAAGAAGTCGAAGAAATAAACGCCTAAGTGCAGAGTCTTGATGTGTGTTGTTTCTACATGGATACGTGGATATGATGCCTTTCACTTTTCTTTTGTCGGTCTAAAGAGTCCGAGTTCGGCTCTTGTTGCGGTGGATGGGTCAATGTTCATAACGAAGGCGTCTTCTTCCGGTGCGACGAGGGAAAGTTGTCATGGTACCAAGAAGAACCGTGAATGTCAATAATGACGCATCAACCAAACAAAGTTCCTGTCTTGGTGTCTTCTCCGCATCAGGCTGAGCTTGTCGCCGGTGCAGACGGAAGCTCGAGCACGACCAGGATTAAGCTTGCCTCATGCCACTTCCAGATGTTCCTTTGCCCCGCATCAGCCCCTCGGCCATGATAGGCCGAACGGGCACAGATAAACAATGGTCGATGCTATTGTGCGGGACGAAAATGTGCTTTAAAAGCTGGACTTGAATCTGCAAAGAATCCACAGAATAGGCGAGCAGAGTCACCATGCAGCTCGTCCCCAAAGAGGTACGAATAAAGAATGCCGCAACAGCATGGCGCGATAGGGCATGATGTTAACACCGTCGTCGACCTAAATAGCTAGATAAGCTCGTTATATCCCAGCTGGGACTCCTGGCACAAAGGCGACTCGCTCGGGGAGTCAAGCTCAATCACTCAGAAGCTTGCGTGAGGCCATTTCAATTCATTATCTAAAGGAATCTCCGCTGATGTGCCCTACAGGCTCTGATCGCCAACAACCTCCAAGAGGTACCTGCATTGAACTGGGACGCTGCTCGGATATTACGTACTGATTTCGCGCGTGGCAGCTCATTCGCGATGGGAACCATTCAGTCGCCGACCTTATGTCCATTGGCAAGACCATGCTTGGTCGCCGCCATGTTTTGCCCTCTGTCGTCTCGACCTTGACCGAACTGCAAGTCGAGGGCACGTTCCCATCTGGTACTTACCTGGTGACTGTCCATCACCCTGTCAGCTCCGATGATGGTGATCTTGAGAAGGCGCTTTACAGCAGTTTTCTTCCAGTTCCATCGAAAGATGCATTTCCTCTCGCTAATGCAAGTGAATATGAGAGCGCGAAAATGCCAGGCGCCGTGATTCCGGTCAAGGAAGGGAAGATCACGCTGAACGAAGGGCGAAAGAGAATCCAATTGAAGGTCACCAGCAAAGGTGACAGACCGATACAGGTAACAATGGAATTCATACTGACACTGGTCCGGTCCAGCTAATCTGTGTCTCGGCAGATTGGTTCGCATTATCATTTCATCGAGACGAACCCTCAACTCGACTTCGACAGAGCCAGAGCATATGGTTTCCGTCTGGACATCGCGGCGGGTACCTCTGTACGCTTTGAACCCGGAGATACCAAAACGGTAACTCTCGTCGAGATTGCAGGCAACAAAGTCATCCACGGCGGCAACAACCTCGCGTCTGGTGTCGTCGACGTCTCCCGCACCGATGAAATCATAGAGAAACTCCAAAAAGCAGGGTTTGCGCATACGCCAGAACCGGCAGGCGACCTGGGCCATATCGATGTTGCGGCTATGAGTCGAGCCGATTATGCTGGTATGTTTGGACCTACGACTGGCGATCTTGTACGGCTTGGATCAACGGATCTGTGGATCAAGGTGGAAAAGGACATGACGGTCTACGGTGAAGAATGTAAATTTGGCGGCGGCAAGACTATTCGCGATGGCATGGGTCAGGCGTCTGACCGTAAAGACGAAGATGTGCTCGACACGGTCATCACCAATGCTCTGATCGTGGACTGGTCCGGCATCTATAAAGCTGACATCGGTATCAAGAACGGTGTGATCGCTGGCATTGGGAAGGCCGGTAACCCGGACGTCATGGAGGGTGTCCATCCCGACCTGGTGGTCGGAAACGGCACAGATGTCATCGCAGGCGAACACAGCATTGTCACCGCCGGCGGATTCGACTCACACATCCACTTAATCTGTCCTCAACAGGCATACGAGTCCGTCGCAGCCGGGATAACCACATATCTGGGAGGCGGCACCGGGCCCAGCACAGGCACAAACGCGACCACCTGCACTCCCGGCAAATGGCACATGAAGCAAATGCTGCAAGCGCTAGACTCATTGCCAATTAACTACGGCGTTACAGGCAAAGGCAACGACAGCTCACCCGTCGCACTTCGAGAACAATGCGAAGCCGGAGCGTGCGGGCTCAAACTACACGAAGATTGGGGCACTACCCCGGCCGCGATTGATACATGCTTGTCTGTCTGCGATGAATATGACGTCCAGTGCCTCATCCACACAGACACGCTGAACGAGTCTGGCTTTGTGGAATCCTCCATCGCAGCCTTCAAAGGCCGGGCGATCCACACATACCACACCGAAGGCGCGGGCGGTGGCCACGCCCCGGACATCATTTCCGTGGTCGAGCACGCCAACGTTCTCCCTTCCTCCACGAATCCAACAAGACCGTATACCAGGAATACCCTGGACGAGCATCTCGACATGCTCATGGTGTGCCACCACCTGTCCAAGAACATCCCCGAAGACGTTGCGTTTGCGGAATCGCGCATCCGCGCCGAGACCATCGCCGCCGAAGACGTGCTTCACGACCTCGGCGCCATCAGCATGATGTCCTCGGACTCCCAGGCCATGGGCCGGTGCGGAGAAGTCATCCTCCGAACATGGAATACCGCGCAGAAGAACAAACTGCAACGCGGCACGTTGAAGGAAGACGAAGGGACTGATGCTGATAACTTCAGAGTCAAGCGGTACGTGTCCAAGTACACGATCAACCCAGCAATCACACAAGGCATGAGCCACATCTTGGGCTCCGTCGAGGTAGGCAAGTTGGCGGATCTGGTCCTATGGCAGCCCAGCAACTTTGGCACGAAGCCAAGCTTGGTGTTGAAGGGGGGAATGATCGCGTACGCTCAAATGGTGAGTACTCAATCACGTTGCGGGCCCTGCATTCCTTCTGCCCTTCTGCCTCCCTGTCCAATACTATCTTCTCTATCTCGTCAATACTGATATTCTTCTGTCACCAGGGCGATCCCAACGCCTCCATCCCGACCGTCCAGCCTGTCATCATGCGCCCCATGTTCGGCGCGTACGTGCCCAGCACGTCCATCACCTTCGTGTCCGGCGCGTCCCTCGCCTCCGGCAAAATCGCCAGCTACAACCTCTCCAAGCGCGTCGAGGCGGTCAAGCACTGTCGCAGCGTTGGCAAGAAGGACATGAAGTTCAACGACGCGATGCCTAAGATGAAGGTCGACCCGGAGTCCTACAGGGTCGAGGCAGATGGGATGCACTGTACGGCTGAGCCCGCGGAGGTCGTGCCCTTGGGGCAGCTGTACTATGTGTATTGAGTGAAGGGAGTCTAGAGGCTGACGGTAGTGGCTGACTGGCAAGGACGGGGCCGTCTGTGGTGGCTTTGACACGGTATTCATGAGCCAGAAATAGGTTCCAGGGGTGGGAGTGGTACATCGACGTGTACTGTATCGCAAGAGCAGGCCTTCCAGCACGAGTTCGACCATGAGATCGAGTGGCTCAGCTTCTGGGGAAAGCTCGGGCGCAAAGTTCCTACCCGGCACGAGAAACGACGGAAGAACTATAGGTAATCAAGTTGATTGCCTTGAAACGAGGGATGAAGAGTTGTACTTGAGTAAGGAATAGGCATGCAAGAGACCACATCTCACGCAGAGGTCCCGAGTCTGCCACAAGAGACATATACTGTCCGGGCAGTGTCTTGATTCTATATGTACAAGCTGAGTTTAATCGACTTTTGTACGTCGTACACTTTTTCTTCTCCTCCACCTTCAAGTGCCTCTGTCTTTGGACCTCTGTTTTCTAGTTCCTGGCCCTCCGAATCGGGTATTTCCCTCCAGGTCTCGTCGAAGGGAGCGTCGGAAGACGTCTCAAGATCATTTGTCGCCTAAAAGCGTTTGAAAACGCATCTATGTCCCGTTGAGCAGCTCAGAACTTAAACACCTGCTCCTTGGTGTACCCCAGCTCCTTCAAAATGCCCGCCAACTCGCCCTGGTCCTGGGGACTGACCTTGGGCCCGCTCACGGCCTTGTACAAGCCCGGCGGCCCACAGACGAAGATCTTGATATTCTCTGTCTTGGGGTCCGGGATCACTTCTTTGAGTAGTTCCTTGTTGATGAAGCCTTTACCGTAGGGCCACGACTCGGGCGGGTTATCCAGCGTGTAAAACACGCGGAACCGCTGGGGGAACTCGTTCTCCAGGTCCGAGAGTTCCTTCTTGAGCAGGATGTCTTCCTCCTTGATGTTGCCGAAGACGAGCGACACTTTGGTTTTATCCTCGGGGTTCTTGGCGATCGTGCGGATGAGCTGGTACATGGGCGTAATTCCCGTGCCGCCTGAAATCAACGTGATGTGGCTGTGCTTGTTGGGCGACCAGGGGTATTTCGGGATGGGGCCCTTGAAGCTGAGCGTGTCGCCTTCTTTCAGGCTGTGGATGTGTTCCGACATGGGGCCCTTGGGGTAGACTTTGACGAGGAGTTCGAGGTAGCCGCGCGCATCTGGATCAGTGTAAGTTGGTTGACGGCAATCGCACAGGTGAGAGGGACCTGCCTTCATCGTTGATGGGCGTATACGGTCTGATCACGGGCTTTTCGGCGTCCTCGGGCTTGAATTTCGTGATGATGGCGGCTTGGGAGGCGTCCCCACGTCAGTGGTCACCTCTTCCACTTGAGATTTCGACGAGGCCCAACTTACAAGCGACATTCAGCCCCGAAACGTGCTCCTCCTCGGGCAATGCAAACTTGAAACGCTTCGTATTGTGGTTGTAGGGGATGATCTCCTTGAGCTTCAGATCGACGAACCCTTGCTCTCCGCCGGTGAAGGTCTTGCCCGGAGCTTCTTCCTTGGCCTTGTTGATGTTCTTCTGGTCGTCGGTCGACTGCGAGGGCGGTCCGTCCGATTTGGACGTCTTGCTGGACGAGCCTGCGAAGGTGTAGCCGAGAATACCTGTGCCGATGGCGGCGGCGCCCACGATATACGGCGTTGACGAGGACTTCGGGGCTTGTGCTTCCGAGGCGTAGCCGCGGATGCTCTGCGCAGGAAAGTGACCATCGTAAGCTGTGGGATTCCTGTCCGGGGACCAGGGGAACAAACCTGGCGCATAGGCCCGCAGGCCCTCAGGACAGACCTTGCAAGCATGATGGATCGACGGGAAGAAGGATGGCAATAGGGGACGACAGGGAAAGAGAGCGAAGGGCGGAGGTGAAAACAATGTGAGAATCGAGTCGAGCTGGAGATACAGAAATCACGATTGCGTCAATGGGGATCTAAAGCTCGCCTGAACGTTGATATACGGAGCCAATGAAATTGCTTGCCCACGGCGAGGGTCTTACCCCCGTCAAGCTTGCACTGTCCCGTTCTGTACGAGGTACCATTCTAGATCTAGATCTTGTGTGCTCGCTCTAAATGATGCGGGATAGGCTCTTTGGCCTCTATTCTACATCAATCAGGGACCAAACATCAAAGAGCCCATTCTACAGCTCAAGCTCCTCCTCGTCGTGGCCCGGGTGGCCAACACTTCTCAGAGGGACAGCATCCCATTCGCTTACGTCGTTACTGAGAATAGCATGTCTCGCAGCGTAATAAGCATCGAGTCTTGCTTGCTTTCTTTGGGCCTTCTCGATGCGACTGTTCGCTGACCTGTTTTCACCTGACGCCAGACCCTCACGGGCGACCTGGAAATCCTCATCTCCCAGACCATTGTCTAGATAGACATCCATGCTAGAATCCAGTGGTTGGCCAGGTTGACTGTCAAACGCCGGCGATGAAAGAGTCTGACTATCGGAGCCATCCAAAGATGTGCTGCCGTCCAGTATGGTATGATGTTGCCGGCTCGCGCTTTCTATTTTTCTGGGGTGATGGACCGGTGGAATGCCTATTTTCTCCTCCTTGGGCAGCTTCGAGGGTGACTTTGTATCCTCTGACTCGCTTGGCCGGAGGGGAGAAGCGAATTCAACCGGGCTCGAAGGCTCATAGCCACCCGCATTCTGGGACTGAGTCCTTTGAGAGTCGTCATCATCGTCGTCTCGTCTCATCTTACCACGAACCCTGTTCATTACTCCGTTGTGCCCTTGCAATCCTGCGACGGTATCCCTCGTCTCCTGATCGTAGCAGAACAACTGCTCTGAACATAGATCTCCAAAGAGAGATTCCATGCTAAGATCCTCTGACCACGTTTCTAGGCTCACTGTGCAAGGGCAGATATCCCTCGGCCTGAACACCCCGACAAGATGGCGAAGCTCGTTATAAGAGGAATGACGGGAGTACGGGAAATGGAGTGTGTCGGTGTGAGCAATGGGCTTCAGCTGTGTCTCCGAAGGCACGCTCAGGGAAGTCGATGTGTTCACCTCCTTGAACCTCTTCGATATCAAAGTCATGAAGTCTCCAAGCTTGATAGAATCATCGTCTTCAACTTTCACCTCATCAACTTCATCAAGAACCATGGACAGGTCATAGCCGGCTCTAGGCCGCGATAGGGCCTGCACCAATTTTGCTCTGATTTCCTCACTGTCGGCATATGAGGCGCAAAGAGTCAACAGTTGCACAATATTCGCGCTTTCCTCCAGCTTAAGTTGCGCCTTGGGGTAGAGGTCTCGCCAGCCACCTCCAGCTCCGAGTTCTCTAATCTCGCTCCCATCTTGGAGCCTCGAAATGATGGGACTAATCCACACAACGTTCCTGGCGTTCTTGATCTGGGAATGACAGTCCAGGCCAGGCTCGCAGCTATGAATCCTGGCCGTCTTGTCGTCAGTGAGGCAACCTGCTAGTCGACTATTGCCCAGCGTAAATCCTGTGAGTGCAGCGGTCTCGTTGTCATTTCCGTCACGAAATATCCCCAACTGGTAGTCATTCACGTGAATCTGAGATCGCAGGAAATTTGATAAAGCAACCCAGACGTTTTCGTAACCGAGCGTCCATGCGCGGAAGTAGAAGATTGTTCCCGAAGGGTATTGGGCGACTTTCTCGAGAAGTTCCTGCAATCCTTGTGCTTTGGTAGGGAAGTCCTTGTACGGCTCGTCATGAGTAGCAAAGGTGGTATCGAGATAAATGCAGTCAAGGTGTTTGAGGCCGCACGCATAAGGCAAAATGACTGGGTTTTGCACGATTGAATTCACCCACCAAGGTTCAGCTCTGGCATCGCCAGTATAGACAATGGCTCTGCCGTCTCCTTCGACGAGGAACATCACAGCGCCAGGGCAATGATTGGCATCTAGCAAAGTCACTCGGATGACCGATCTCGGGCCCAACTCAATTTCGGTGGCTGTATTCAAAGGCACTGCTCGGAGTATGTTCTTCAAATGCTTGTAATGTTGCTTTCGCGCTTCGAGTACGCCTTTCGCAAAGTTGATGCGGTGAGGGTACTTCTCCATCTTCAACAAGATGCGCTTCGTGGTTGCTGAGCAGTAGACAAATGGCATCTTGACGGACTCCAGGCCCATCAAGTGATCGCTGTGGACATGGCTCAGAAACAATGCGGCAGGCGGAGGTTTGCCGGGATGATTTCTGAAGTAGTCGATCCTGATGGTAGGGAATTCCTTGACAAGGCCATCAAATGTCGACATAGTCGTCGCCTACGATTCGAAGATGAGAGCCCATCCAGGCAACTCATACCTAATGACTCGTGGTGCGAGCCAGGTGCACCGAGGTCTTCTTGCCGCAGACAGTCGATGGTCCGCTATGCCCAAGCAGCTGTTGAGCAAAAGTAGCTCTGCCTACACGATTACCACGCAGACCGGCTGCGCTGCTTGTCGATGAAGGCTGTCTGGCACACTGCGAGGCTGCGCTATCTGCCACAAAACCACAGTGTCAATATCAAGCGGATCCTGAAGAGGTAGTCTTATTCTGGGTGGCGGCTTGAAACATGCGACCAGACAACAGGCCACTTGGAACGGATCCTGGCCCGATAAGTCGTGACCTGCAGGGACCTGTTTGACCCGAGGATGGGGGCTGTCAGGCCTGTCGCATCGGCAACGCTGGCGGAAAGAGGATTGGTAGAGGCTCGACCAGGCAGAAACAAAGGCGTAATAGGCGGCTGCTTATTTGTCGATTCGACCCAAACTGGTTGGCGCACATGCACCTGCTGGCTAACCTGGCCACCTGACAAACAGGAAAACACGCCTGGAAGCGGGTGCGGTCGTTGGAAAGGACGTGCACCTGATTCACCGTCTGTGAAGCAGCCAAGGCTAGTGACTTGTACTCGTAGTCTGGTGGACAGTGGGTGAGGTGGCAGATCCAGTTAAGCGGAGGAGGGAATGATCAAAAGGACGAATATCTGCCAACGCACGATGCTGTCGCCCACAGAGTTTGCATTACATTCCACTTGGGACCGCCTTTCTTCAGCTCGGCATGTCTACAAAGTACTGTCCACAGTAGGTTGATCGCCAGCTGAACTGTAGCCGCTGTGTCAGTTGCCGCTTTCAAGGCTGGCAACTTCGGTACATAAGCATCGTCAGCGGCGGCACCGGCGGGGTCAGTCCACTTCTAGTCGTACCTGAAGCTAAAGGCACGATCATCACCGGCGTGCATCCTTCATCCCTGCCTGCAGGTGACGGCTCCCCGGGCTACATAGAATCTGGCGGACTCTCTTGCATTCCATCGTCACTCCAATCCTCAACAACTCCTCACCTTACAACCAGAGCACTCCTTGTCTCGCGAACGCCTGTAGGCACTACCTCGTGCCTATAGTCCCGGGCCAATACTCAGCAGCTGAGATCCTGCCATCTCGGGCGTCGATACGTTTTGCCCAGGGAACCTTCCCCCCGGCTCAACAGCTCCGAACATCCTCAAGATCAGCCGCCCACCGACCTCCACCCCTCGGTAGCCGATCGTATCCCACCCACCGAACCATTTGCCTGCGAAGAAACCAGATTACTCGTCCTCGTGCTGACGGAGAGTTACTGGTTGCATGAATTACCCTCCTACAAGACCGAGAGTAGCCTCTGTGACTACACGGCTTTGGACAACCAAAGATGAGGAAACCGTCTATTCCAGAGTTGATTTACCAAAAGACCTTTCCCAAGCCGAAGCAAGGCGATCCAGTCTCGTTCTATGCACATGTCCAACGGTACATTGTGGGTGAGGTCCGCGTTGAAGTCCAGAATTTCTACGGTGCCCTCGATACCCTAGAAGCCCAATACCCCGGTCTCGACTACTGCTTTCCCCCTCATCGTCGCCGACTATCGAGATATCCCTGGCACAGACGCCTGTTCCGTGTGTTCGATGAATTGGGCTTGACCGAGGACGAGATATTGAATCTATGCCAATGGGAGGGGACCAGAGCTGCGAAGGAAAGATACGAGCGAGAGGCAGGAGTGCAAGTAAGAACGACCACTGCCGATGAGGTCGTGGCAGCGTCTCCGGGGAACGCTCCAGTTGCCACCTTTGAGGATTGGTCTCGGCCAGCTGCCGTGGGTTCCACATCTTTGAGCAACCATACGTCAATTGGGACCCTAGGGAAAGAGGCAGACAAGTGTGGTGACGTCGAAGACCCTCCGTCACCACCCGAAGATGATATCGACCTGCTACGGGCCGCCATACAATCTCGCATCCGAGGTGGCTCGATGTCCCTCAATCACGCTCGGGAGCAGTGGCTGAAGGAGATCCTGGACCGGCGTGACGAGATCGACGTGGATGAAATCATGGCCGCAATCTTTAACTTTGGAGCCCGAGACCATCCTCCAGAGATGACAAGATCCCAAACAGAAGCAGCCAGGTGAGATGTCTTGCAAGCAATCGTCCCTTATCGTCACCATCTTTCGGAGTTAGGCAGATCGGGTGAAGCGCAGACGAGTTTGTTGGGAGGCACGTATGGGTTGTAATGGCATGGGTACCTCAAAAGTTGCGCAGTACAAAGCATGGCTTTTTTTTGAATGGCGAGCGAATGGGTTCAGGTGCATAGTCTTTCGGCGTTGGACAGGTCCAGAACACTTACTCGGCCCGGTGTGCGAGGCAAGTAGTGCAGTTGATGACACGACGATGCATCACGGCAGGGACAAAGGCAAGGACTTCGGTATGAGCGCGACTTCGGGAGCAAGAAGGGAAAGGCAAGGTAGTGACAATAGACCAACAAACAGACGTTGGAGGACATTAGCAGCTCCGGACTTTCATGTGCAGGGATTAATGCATATCCTGCAGGAACCCGCCCTTTCTACTTCTGCCCCCTTCGACATCAGCTCGCGGTATTCTTCTTGACTACCCCTCTCGCGAACTCGCCAAAAGTCAACCCCGTCTTCAGATCGACCACCTCGTCCAGATTCGGCTGCGTAAACACGGCCAGTGTATTCCTCGCTATCCTGCCCTTCCCCTGCACGCTATCGGCATCCACCCCGCGCACGAAATGCGGCACCGCCTTGAACCGCCCGCCCGTTATCAGTTCCAACGCTTCTCCCGTCTGAAAAGCCAGTGCCCCACGCGGGATGCCGACCTTGTGGACCTCCTGGCTCCGCGACAGAATGTACAAGCCTGACGACGGATCAGGACTCGACGCCAGTTCGTCCGACTTTTCACAGCTTTCATCGAGAAACATGGCGGACGTGAGGCCCGTGAGGCACCCGTGGTCGACGTGCGTGCTGCACCACGAGTCGTCTATTTCGCTTAGTGATTTCTTCATCTTCTCGCCGGGTGCTGAGACGCCGTTGCCGAGCCCGAGTGCATTTTCATTGCTCGTGGCCTCCATTTCCGGTTCATGCGCGGGCTCGGTCGGGAAATAATGCAACAACCTCGCCTTTGTGGTCTCGCTCCCCTGCACCATGCGCTCCAGATATCCCGCCACGTAGCCCTCAACTTCGGCTTCGGCGAACCGATCGCACGCCCTGGCCACCAGCACGGCCGTGTCGATGATCAACTTTATCAGGGCCTCGGCGTCGCTCCTGAATCCGGGCACGGAAGCCTGATCCCCGTGTTCGTCTTCTGCTTCTGGCGGCCACACGTTCGGCGCCGTATATTCTTCAAAGCCAGGGAACTTGACCCCATCCGCACCCGCGAGGGACTTGTCCTTGTAGAACGCGCAGTTGATGTAGTAGCTTCCCTTTGCGGTATCGACGACGCCCGGCCTCAATGTCTCCACGCCATGGGACCAGCCGACGAGATATTTCGCCGCCGGCCGCGTTAGAGACGCGAGCGTCGCGGCGGGCAGCTGGGCGATGCGTGATGCGTTGGTGAGCACGCGCTGGCGCAGGGCCGCGAATCCGTCGGGTAGATCCGTTACCACGAGGATCCCGAGCGAGGAGGGCCCGAATGCCGACAGGAGTGTCGCGAAGGGGATGGTGCCGTGTTGGAGGTCGGGAAGGGAGACGGTCACGGGGGTTGCGTGTGTGAATTTCATGGTGGAGGCTCGTGGCTACAACGGCGCAGAGGGCGGATACTCGTATATCGGGGTGTGTCCCTTGGGGGATTTACGGACTGACAACTCCGTACCTAGCGAAGAAGGTCGGTTGTGGTGGCGGAGGTCTTTCAACTCAGGTCAGCATGCGGAGGATCACGTTGGCGGGCTGTTCGGAGGGAGGGTGATGTCGTCGCCTCTCGTGTTCGGCGTACCCAGTAAGAAGAGTGGCCACCTTCCATGTCTGTGCGGTCTTGAGAGACATTCTCCGGTTTGGTGGTGCGCTGTGTGCGGTGGTGAAATGCTACACTGTTTATCTTTTGTACCCCACAGTGGGATGGAGGAGGAGGCTCCATAGCGGGTCGCGATTGATGGGCATTTGGCCGCTTCGGCGACCTCCGAGCGATCACGCTCGGGGGTGGGGGTTCGCTGGATGGACGCAGGAAGTACGTACGCCACATTACATCGGCTTTTTCATGTAATCACTGTCCACATGCGTGTACTCCGTATAACCAAAAGACTGCGCGAAAGGGGATTATCTGTATGTAATATGTACAAGCAGCCCAGTAAACCAACGCCAATCAACCAACCATTCATGCGTCGCTTGCTTGTTAACGACTCAATCAGACACCAAGGGCGTTTCTTAGCCTCGCTTTCCGTATGTTTCTTCCAGATATGAGTCCAAGTCGGCCTGATACCGACTTGTCCTTGATGATCTCCGGCTCCCGCTCCTGCGCTCCGTGGATTGCAAATCCAGCTCTTCATAGACTGGCCGACGCCTTCTCGGCTCGCACTCGCCACCACCCCAATGGCTGCCGCTGCTTCTATCCGGCTCAGTTTCAAAGTCTCTCCTGATAGGCTGGCTGGTCCGCGGCGGTTGTGGTGTCAGCTGAGTCCCGTTGCCTTCACAGATTTCCTGCGTCGTGTTTGACTCGAACACGCCGTCTGCACCGAGGAAGACACAGCGGTTCCAATACGGATCGTTCCTGGTGTTCCGGTCCATCGGTCCACCGCGTCGCATCGGTCGTAGAAGTATCGCGGCCGATGAGCACCGTGCACAGTATTTGCCGGCGCACCCAAAAGTCGGCCGGCTGGGGCCTGGCCGAGGGTGCAGAACAGCAATGCGGCTGAAAAAGCAAGGGCATGTATGCCAGTTTGTGCGTTTGTACAGTTTTAGTGACGGTAAGGATAGAGGCTTCGGCTGGCTATCGATGTTGTCGGGCTGGGCTCCAGGAGGTTGATATGGACGTTTGGACAGGTACGAGAACAGAATCTTTGCGTCTGTGGATGAATCTGCCGTCGCATTACGTGGAACAGCCGAGTCTGAGGTCGCGACGGAGTGGAGGACAAAGGGGCAGAGGGGCACAAGTAAATTACACATGCTGAACTCGAGGAACGTGGTAAGGCTGAGGTTGTAGACAGCTCAATCGGGCGCAATCGACTGCAAGCTTGAATATTGGAGGAGTAGGACGACAACGGGTTCAGAGAACGTAGTTTCGCAACCAACACCGAGATATTACTTACACTTTTCTTCTTCAGGCAGATAGGCAGACATGACATCCATCGGCCACAAGAACTTTGGACGAGGTCCGAATGGATGACAAAGGCTGGAATGCGAACTCCTGATGGCCGAAAGGACCGCATTTGGAGGCTGGTGATTGGTTGAAAATGCGAGGCAAGGCAACGGATGCCTGCAGGCCTGGAGCACGGTTGGATGCTCTCAGCCTCAACCTACCCTGCAGGGCGAGCATCTCGTGACGATCGTGGGTTGCTGTGAGAGCACCAACGTCGACTTCTGACAGAAACAGGCACGTGGCCGTGTGAGTCAAAATGGATGATTTGAAGCTACTCGCAACGGCACACCTACACGGAGCAAACACAACAAGCACCACAAGGCCGCTCCGATGAGTCACAACTTCAAACGCGTGATGGGTAGGCGAACGGACTTCAAGTTTCGTACTTGTCTGCGAGGACCTGAATGCAAGGACTTTGAATTGTCGAGGTAATCGAAATAGATAATTACTCTGTGCGGCGTCAACGAAAGCACTGTCGTGACTGTTCAAGAGACTCTGAGGAGGAGGACTTGGCACGGACTGGTTAGGCGCTTTCCTTATCTGAAAATGCCACCAAGTCAACGTCATTTTAGGTCTGCGCGAACTCCAGGTTCCACAATTTGCACGAGCTTCGTGAATCAGAGCTGGTCGAGTACCCGTAATGTCCATATCGATTAGCCATCCAATTCTCAATCGTTCCATCCTGCAGGAGCAAGGTCGCGTAGTGTCTCGTCCTCGCCTCTTGGCCACAGATGTACGTCGTTCAGGCCCGCGGCGGCCATCGGTTGGCGGCGGTCATGCTTGCACCAGTGCGCACGGTCGATCCGCTTGCTGCTTGGATTGCGCGCGTGTAGCTTCTCCGACCAATCACAAGGCCCAACACGCCTATTCTACGCCCTCCTATTCCGGCAGGTAGAGCTCAAGGTTGCACTCGACAGTCAAAGAAGCTTCCCTCGTCAATCATTCCTCACGTCTTGTTTATTGCTTGTCACCCCACATGCTCCCATGAGACACATCTCCGGAGAAATGTCGATCGTGCCAACGACTTCCTCTGATGCTTAACCCCAATCTAGAAGCTGTTGAGCCGCTGTCCAATCCTGTGCCCAGGCACGTTACCTCGAGATCTTCTCTATTCTGTGCGGCCACCCTAGCGTCAGGGCTAGCGATCCGGTGAGAGCTTCCATGGCACCTTGATGCTTGTCTATCTACGAGCTATCTATCGGAGCTACCTCAAAATGGCAGACATGAAATTGTGGTGCGTTGCCAATGACGCTGCCGCTCCGCGAGGTGAAGGCAAAGGAACGCTTCCACCTCGGCTAGTACCTTGCCAAAATGTCCTCATATATAGCTAAGTACCGCCGCGCTGTTTTTAAATACTAAAGGGAGCACCAGCTTCCAACCGACTTACCCGTCTTCCGTTCTGTGTCACCGTCGTCGCGTGCCTGGCTCGAGTAATTCCGAGTATGGCGCCTCTTCGAGCACCCACAATGCTTGCCGCGGCACTCTCGCTGCTGAGCTGCTTCCAGCCCTCCTTGGTTGCAGCTGGCCCGGTCGCTCGTCGCTCTGATCTTGTCGTGAAGGACTTCCATCGTGCTCCCAAAGCCTGGACAAACCTGGGGCCTGCTCCAACTGAACATCTGATCCATCTGACAATCGGCTTGTCACAAAACCGCTTCGATGAGCTTGAGCGCCATCTTTACGAAGGTAAGAGGTGCCAGAACGCGTTGAAAATCGAGTCAAGCTAATTGGGTTCAAGTTTCCGACCCCTCTCACACACGCTATGGTCAGCACCTGTCGGCCGATGAAGTCAATGAGCTTGTCAAGCCCTCGGACGATGCCTCCGCAGCTGTTCACGAGTGGCTGGAGGAGTATGGCATCGGCATCGAGCAACTTACGTACAGTCCAGCGAAGGACTGGATCTCTATTCCGCTGCCCGTCTCGACCGTTGAAGACATGCTCAACACTGAGTACTCGGTGTGGGAGCATCACGACGGCTCGACCATTGTCCGTACTGAGGGATATAGCCTCCCACATTACGTTCACAGGCATATTACCACGATTCAGCCAACGAACTCGTGGGCACGTCTCGAGAGTCACAAGAAAAGAACCGAAATCATGAAACGCTCCGCAATCAATAAGCGCACCACTCATGCCCTTGAAGCAGCCGATACGTGGGAGCCACCCTCTTCCATTCCATTGCCAGAAAACTCCACCGTCTACGCCGCCTGCAACTTTACCCATGTCACACCAGACTGTGTAAGGACTCTCTATGGTACGATCGACTACGAGGTCAAGGCGGCAGGGTTGAACAAGATGGCCCACACAAACTACTTGGAGGAAGCCACGAATCGATCCGACATCGGCCAATTCTTGACACTGTACAGGCCCGAGGCTGCTTCGTATGCCTATGAGTTCGAAGCTATCTCCATCGCTGGTGGTCTTCTCGACAACGGTACCAACGTCGCAGCCACAGGACAAGACAGAGAAGCCAATCTGGATGCGGAGTATATGATCGGAATTGGCTACCCTACGCCCTTGATCGCCTATCACACTGGCGGCAGAAACCCGACCTTCGTTCCCGACATCAACACAGAGGAGAACAGCGACGAGCCCTTCTTGGTGTGGGCACAGTATATGGCGGGTCTGCCGGACGACGAGATCCCGCAAGTTGTGTCTACCTCGTATGGCGATGATGAGCAGACGGTCAGTCGAAGCTATGCGCAGGCGGTCTGCAATCAATTCGCTCAGCTCGGTGCTCGCGGCGTGTCACTGTTCTTCTCTAGCGGGGATTTCGGCGTGGGCGCTGACGAGACGTGCTTCAGCAACGTGGACAACACTACAGCTATGTTTATGCCATCCTTCCCGGCTGACTGCCCCTATGTGACATCCGTCGGGGCAACCACCGGCTATCCTGAGTCAGCGGCGTGGAGGAAGTTGAGCAGTGGTCTCTACTTCAACAGTGGCGCTGGCTTTTCGAACTATTTTGACATGCCTGCCTACCAAGCCGAAACTGTCAACGCATACGTCGACGGCCTCGATGGACTCTATGATGGTCTGTACAACAAGTCAGGTAAGTTGTCTTTCACAATCTCGCTAGATACAGCCTTGTTCTAACCAACCACAGGCCGTGCCTATCCTGATATAGCTGCGATCGGCCAGCTCTTCCCTGTGATCTGGAACGGCACCACCGTGAACCTGGTCGGCACGTCTGGCTCATCGCCTATCGCCGCAGCCGTCTTCGCACTCCTGAATGACGCATTGATCTCCGAGGGCCGTCCTCCAGTTGGTTTCCTTAACCCATGGTTGTACAAGTCGGGTCACCTCCTGTTCACAGATGTCAACAACGGATCTTCGGCAGGCTGCAACACCAGCGGCTTCCCTGCAACGGATGGCTGGGATGCGGTTACCGGCTGGGGTACACCGTACCTCCCTAAGCTTCTTGAGGCTTTTGGCTTGGAGAAGTAAGCACAGCGTTTCCAGTCAGTGGATAGTCTTGTGCATAGTCGCTTGCGGTCGGGAAGCAATCCAGACGTGGTAATGAGCAATGAACATAATGCATTCTCCGGCTACCTGTCATGGTCCACTCTGCTTTCATTATCGTTGTTAGCCCTCCTTTCGTCCTGTGCCATTTCACCTTCTGGACTGGTATCCCATCTGTTATTGATGTGGACAGACTTATCCAAGGACTGACTAACAGGTCAGCATATCACGACTTATGTATCCAGTAGGGAAATAAGTTGCGAACAATCTATCACCGCCGCGTGCTTTTCTGGCCACTCTGCAGGGTGGAGGGTTTCCCTCTTCACCAAAAAGGGCACCATGCATATTGACAGCAATCTTGTACGACGTGAGATTTTCTTTCAGCCTCATGCGGCATCTAGCAAGCAGCACCGTTTAACACTCCATCTTCTGGCGTTACACAATTTTCTCCTTCGAACAGACACCTGAAGAACACTTCATCGTCTCCGGTTGGACCATTTTCTTCTTCGAACAGACACCTTTAGGCCTTTGTGATGTCCAGGGCACCGACCTGTACGTTCTGGCTCCAAGGGAGATGCATGAGAGGAGCCTCGTGCAGATTCAAACACGGAGCTACCACCAGGGATGAACCAGGGAAGGCGATGCTGGCAGATACTGGCAGGATATTGGAAACGATCGAATCTCACACTTTTCCGGTACCTGTCGACGGCGGCAGTGACAAAGCCATCTCGCTGACTGACTACGAATTCCTCTCGTCCTATAACTGGGTCGATGACGACAGCCCGGTCATCTATGTCCCTGGTAGGCAGCGCTTTCTTCTTTGGTAGCAGCAGCAGCAGCCTCGCTGATCAGTACTAGGAGCCCCGGCAGTTTGGAAATCCAATGAGCCACCCTTCAAAGTCACCAAGGACCAAGGCGCGTACTTTATCGACCAGAACACCGCTCGTTGTGCCGCATACCCTGCCGAAGCTCTATTTCGATCGCTTGCCATCATGCAGCCAGACCTGAGTATGGGAGATTTCGACCTCGTCACCGACCGCAACTGCCTCCGCAAGTTATTACGCTTTGTCTGCGCCGACGTGGACCAGTCGTTCCGTATTGACGTCCACTTACAAGGCCGTGTCATGTTCCTGTGTCGCTGGGAAGCCGAACTCAAACGCATAATTCGCGGTCACGAAAACTTTGGCTATGGCCATAGCTTTGAGCACGCCACCACCATCTTCGACAAAGCCTTACGTGACAGCACGGGACATCACCGGGTGGTTCGGTACAGCCTTGGAGGCGTTCGATGCTTGGTCAGGTACGAGGCGGATGGTTGTACCGGTACCGATGATGCGGGAGAGGGAGGTGCCAGCGCAAAGGCCGCGGACGGCGATACAGATGATTTGCTCGGCGCGTTGGAGTCAATGACAATTGCTCCGTCTCGGGCTAAAAAGGCCACTGGATCTGTGCAAGTCCTTACCGAAGGTCGCGTGGTGCCACTGTCCACCATCATCGAGATCAAGACACGAGCATCTCATCGCAGGCTGAAGATCGACGAGGTCCTCCCACAGTTATGGTTTGCACAAACACAGAACCTCTTCGTGGGATATCATACGAATGGCGAGTTTCAGGAAATACACAAGCTCACGATGAAACCGGAATTTGAACCTTGGGAGACACAGCATCAAACACACTTGAAGAAACTGGTCGCCCTGCTCAGCAAACTCCGCGAATCTGCCCGGTCGACAAAGGGTCAGCGATGTGTTGTCATAGGCGTGAGTGGCCTGACTTGTAGGTTGCAGATTTACGAGTCTACCAGGACTAGAGCCGTCTTGCCTGATGATATTGTCAACCTGCACGAATGGGAGGAGGGATCAAAGTAGCCACGCAGGAAGAGATCGGATGAAGGAGGACATTGTGGACTGCGAAAACGACACCTATGAGTACTCCGGACCTAGGTAATCAATAGCAGCTTACTGTCTGTACTCCGTACCTAGGGATGTAAATGTGTCTGTGCCAAGAGGCGCAGCACGCGATCACGTCTTGACGCGTCTTTCAAAAATGAGCCGCGGGCATCTCTTCATCTCAATGATTTCCACATCTTCCCCGCCAAGCTGAACAATCGGTTGGCAGTCCTCTAATATCATGAATTGCCATCGTTGACACCCTCCGTACTGCGTATGGCAGGACCTGAACATGTAATGTGCCCTCACAACGGTAAGTCGAGGAGAGGTGTGTTAACCCCCGGTAGACACCGGCGCCTGGTAGACGCTTCCTTCCTGCGTCATCTTCGTCTTCCACCACGAAATCAGTTGACTGGCCTTCTGCACGCAGAAACCCATTCTCTGGTTCGCGATCGACGCAGTTGCCCTCCTCATCGTATCTCTCTGCAACGCCACGCTTCCAACAGTCGACGCAGTTGCCATCCTCGTCCTCTTACTCTGCAACGCCACGCTTCCAACAGTCAACGCAAAAGGTAGCAGATGATATCCAGACAAGCTTTGACGACGAAGCGGATAGCCCTCTACTCAATGGTCGTCTAACCATAACCTCAGGGGCGCCAATTGATGTACTGGACGATGACGAGCACTGTCCCTCGCCGCTCTACAACCGGACTGGTGATGTAGGGGTAGACAGCCGCTGGCACGCCGAAAGCGAGTCATCGCCTCTCCAACACCGACAGGGAGCATTTCCGCATGCCACCAAGAGACGCAAGCTTATACCTCCGGGAGTCGGCAATGCTGAGCTCATCACGGTCTCTTCGCCGTCGGAAGATGACCGTTCTGACGATGTTGATCATCCGTCTGACGCCGAGTCTCCAGCTTGGCAGTCTGATCTTGAGGACGATTTCCCACTAGCCGTACGCCGCACACCAAAGGAGTCTGGCCGATTTGCCCATTTCAAATCTCTGGCTTCGGCGGTGGTCCGACCTGGCCCTAGCTCGAAACCGGCTTTCAGAACCAACCCCGAGGACATTTCACACGGACAAACTGTCAGTGCACCAGTCCTACCCGACATATTCTCGCCATCACGTCGAAAAGGCAAGAGAGATTACATCCCTGGCGGTATGGCTGATCTGGTCCGAAGCTGGGTATTAGCTATTCCCGCTCAAGAATCTCATGGGGACGGTCAATCACTTCCCGAGCAAGTGTTGTCCATAGCCCACGTAATGCCGGACAGCAGTGGGCGTTTCTGTATTGCTACTGATGAGAACGGCGCACGATGGCTTCTTCCACATCAGCAAGAGAAGGCCGGCATTGGCTCTCTGTCAACTCTTCGCCCTGGCGCTCGCATTGTGGTCAAAGGTCAAGCAACAAAGTGGGGGCTGAATCTCGACTCTCGTGAGTCGAGCACAGTGACTGTCGCTGCGTATTGGGAAATCGTGTCCCCTGGTTGAGTGGACGAACAATGTCAGCTTGACCAAAGCAAGAGACAGTTTAGGAGACTGACTCCTGGCATTGGACGGTGTTGCTGCTAACAGCACTCGACTGGAACACGCCTCTATACCTTCTTCCTGACGAGGTTGCGGCGACCGAACCCGGCAGGGCCGCTTAGCTGCCACGAGGTTGTCCGCAGACCTGTTTGCGTGCCCGAAATCCTCGTAATACAAGGCTCTCTGTTCATCAGAAAGATATCTGGAACGAGATCGACACGTCAACGTTATGACCAGGAAGTTTGAGAGATTTTCTGGAAGCCCTGATCAGCTCAACAGATGATTAACCATACGTTTGGTCACCGCGGCAGGATTCTGCGGGTACTTGCTCAAGCCCGTGTTACCTGGGTGTCTTTGCTCAGAATAGTCATCTCAAGGCGGTGCATCTGGAGACGAACAACACGTTTGATGCTTGTCCGGTCTACCTTCTTGACGAAAGGAGCCAAGGACGAAGCATCGAGCATAGGAAATAACCACCGACACTGGGAGAAAGGTTTGCACGCCTCTCCCTACAATGACCGAGATGGTAGTTACAGTTTGTCCGCTATTGACGCGGTGGATGGATCGCCCAGCAGCACTGATAACGCTATTGTCTTCAATTCTGCAAAGAGTAAACTCAAGATCGTTCATGGCTCGAGGTTCCTCCATGAGCCCTGGGGGACCTCAAATGGTTGTCAACGCCCCAGAACTACTTCCCTCGGGCTGGTTGGTGGTAGGTGGGCTTCATCACCAATGCCGGCATCCTGCGTGGAACTCGGGTCATCTAGGCCGAGAGCTGTAATGCCCTCATCACCCAGATGTCCTGCTGAGCAGTATCGCATGTGTTGGGACGACAGAAGTGTAGGTCTTGGAGCAATGCTTTCGCTACCTTCTGCGCAGACTGACGGGATCTAGGAAAGAAGCATCAATGCACCCCCAGCTGCGGGCGCCGTTCAAGGCGGCCACAGAGTTTCGAGAGTGTACAGAGCAGACACATTGTCCCCACGCACTGGCAAGCAATGTGAAGATGGCTAACAACCGGCATTCGCAAGCAGAACTGGCGCTTGAGATGGATCCGGGAGACGTCCGACTGATACGGCTGCGATCCGATGCCGAAGGAGGTTATGGTACACATTTCCCATCACACGCCTTCAGACAGCACTCCAGTCTTTGCAGCTAACAATAGCCACGTCTCCTGGCCGGCCTAGTCACGGCTGCGTCGCTCCTTTCTTCGTCGCCTACGCTTGAGCGACAGTTCTTTTTTTGGAGGGGTTATTATCCAGCTGGTACGAGACTCTTTGCTGGTCTTGCAGGGCAAATTCCCCGTATGGCGCAGAAGAGACGTGGAAGCAGTGACATGGGCAAACGCGGACACTATCTCGTTGTCATTCTCGATCGAGACTTGAGGGGATTGTCCTCCACCGTGTACACGCCCGCTGTAGTGGTACTGTGACGCGGGAGGAACATCACACGAATTATACTTCTGCGTACCTAGATACCTACAATACCAGGCAGTATCTGAGCACACTCTCTCGTCATCATACGTATCCGTACCTATCTTCTCGTGCTCCGGAGATCCGGGGTTCAGGACTGACTGCTCCGCAATAATAGTGTGTAGGATGGTGTATCGTGTCGATTACCTACACAATGTGCTCACAGTAAGCCAACACCTCTGGAGCATCTGGACCGTTGAACGCGACGTTTCATCCGATCCGACCCCTTCGCCATAGACTCTCTGGCCTCCACTCGTGCGATACCATGGCGTTATTCATAAATACTACGCAGACATCTGAGCAGTGTGTATTTCTAAGCTGCCGCTGCTGGCGGCGCGCCTTCTACTCCCATCCCATCGCCGTCACTTGTCAGTCGTGACGCCGTTACTGTAGCGTGGTGCCTGCGACGGCACGGCATATCTCAGTAAGGCCGGCGTGCCGTCCGCTAACCAATATGAGTGTGAGTTTGCAGGAGACGGGACATTTCCTACTTTCCACGCGCGACTGCTACTGCTACTTCCAGTAATAGTCGATTTCTAGTCCGAGTAAGGACGGAATACAAGTGAGTGGTGCGCAGAAGGAATACGGCTACCTCTTCATTGCTTACCTCAGCCTAGGTAAGTATTTGCGAAGCTGCTTCGTTCGTGGCTTGGGTTCCGAACCCGAGGTAGGCGGTTCCCACGCACCAAGTACAGTACGAGATACCCTACCCTAGTACTACTCAGAACAACCACAATCATCCCCAGTCGCGTTGGCAAGAATTCATCCATCCTGTCTGTCTGTGGAGGCCGATGGTACAACTCTCCTACCGCGTACTGTTACGCTCCACATGCCCACAGGCGTGCGTGTCTGCTTTCGGTCCTTGTCCTTCTCTTTTGTCTTCGTCCGTTTTCCCGGACGTGACTATGCGTAGGTGTAGGCGTGTGTGTCAATGTGACCGACCGACCGCGACCACCCTCCTGGCCATAAGATAGTCACAGTCACCCGATTTGTGTAAAGCAAGGCAAGTTATCGCGAGTCACAGTGTATTGTATTTATATATTTATATCCCATCTCCCAGCTCCCACCCGCCACCCAACAGCCCTTCTCTCTGTTGTCCTGCTTGGCTCGCCTCATCCCTCGCGCCGACCCCCCGCCACATACCGAGGACTGTTCGACCTTCATCCTATCTCTCTCGAGATCACAAGCTTCGCTCACAATGTCGAAAATCCTGCTCATCCTCGGCTCGGGCGCCAACGTCGGCTCACATACCGCGAGGGCCTTCGCCTTGCAGGGGTATAAAGTCGCGACCGCGTCGAGGACGGTGCCGCAAACGCCTGACGGATCGCATCTGCACGTTACCGTCGACCTATCCAAGCCCGAGACCGTTCCCGAAGTATTTGAGAGGGTTAGGCGGGAGTTTGGAGGGGAGGTGGGCGTCGTGGTTTATAATGGTTAGTGAGTACCACTGTACGGATGTGCGTGGCGGTGCGTGGCAGTGAGCGTGGTAGTGAAGGCGATGGCTGCGCGTTTGTTCCGTTACGTGCGTTTCGTGACTGGTTGCGCTGGGTTAGAATGGACTGGACTATACTGGACCGACTCGACTGGGACTGGACTGCTTGGACTGGACTGTTCGGGCTGGACTATACTGGCTTGGACTGGGATGCCATGTATCAGGTTCGCCTGACTGTCATGTATTACACTCACCAGACGCCTTGGGGCCTGGATTACTCTTGGGCCGTCACGGCGGAAGAGGGAGGGCACGTGAAGAAGATGAAGCTTGCTCTGGCCATGACTATGGATGGCTAGGTATGGTCATGAGTACTTCAACAACCGCTGTCGAGCAGCCGAACAGACATCTGCACGAATGGAATAGACACCGAGGACAGGACCAACAACCCACTTTTTGGCGCCACAGCCGTTGTTCTGGCTGCCACTATCACTTTCTCTATCCATGGTCATGCATGGGTACTTCAACACGTGCCCTCGAGCTGTAGAACGGCCGTCTGGACTCGCACGAATGGAATGCACACCCGAGGACAGGACCATCAGTCTCACAGCCCTCCCTCTGATAAGCTCTCAAACCAGGATATCACTTACCAACCTTGTCCTCCTACAGCCCTTGAAGACCACCACTGCTAACCACCCACGTACTGCAAGACCACCGATACTGACGGTCTGTCTTCTGCGCACAGCTGCCTTCTTCGCCCCCGACCCGCCCGACACTCTCTCCATCTTCACCCCCTCCAACATCAACCAATATGAGACCTCGCAAGCCGTAAACTGCACGTCAGTCCTGGTCGCCATGCACGAAGCGACAAAGGCCTTCCGCAACGCCGGGCCCGACGCCCCCAAGACGTTCATCTTCACGGGAAACGCCCTCAACGCGACAACCTTGCCGGGGATGCTGAACTTTGGGCTCGGAAAAGTCGTCCCCTCGTATGCGATTAGGCATCTTGTCGAGCAAAACGCCTACAAGGATGATGGGATCAAGTGAGTTTGCTGGCTGTCCCCCTGGATTTTGCCGTCCGTGTTGCACCATGCGTTATTATGTCTGCTATATTTTACGCTGCCTCTGTCCACGCCCCAGATTGTGTGACACGCGGTTCGCGCATGGTCAACGCCTCGTCAACTACCAGCTCGAGCTATCAGCTATCAACCTCAGCTCCGACGCTGACCATGTTGTCCGCGTCCTCGGATTCTAGGTTCTACTTTGCCGACGAACGCACGGCCGAGGGCGCCCCCGCGTTCAGAGACATCTCCGGCGCGGCCCACGCGGAGGAGTACTTGAAGCTTGCCGACCTCAGGGAGCAGGGTCCTTGGTGGTACACGTTTGTCAAGGGGGTCGGGTATAGAGACTTTGAGGGGAAGGTGAAGTTGTGAGTGAGTGCTAGCTATGTGGAGAAGCTGCTGAGAATCGAGGTGGAGATGAGGCGAAAAGGGAGAATCAAAGGCTGGCCGTGGGAAAAGTGGTACACGGACGATCTCAAATGAGCCCAGGCATGGATGGGAAAGACATGAATGAAAGCGTGGATCAGGCTTGACCAAGAGCGCCCACTAGAAATGGGGGAGGGACCGGGACCAGGACCGGGAATACCTCTCCCACACGGAGAATGTTCATTCGAGAGGAAGACCGTGTACAACGAACAAAGGGTAAAGTGGAGGGTTGAGAGAACACGCCGTGCCGCGTCATCGTTCAAGCATCGCCCTCGCGGCTATCATTGCTATCAGTGCTATCAATGCTATCAATGCTATCCTTCTATCATATCCAGACTTACTACGGTAACTCAACTCAAGTCGATCAAGTAATACTAGTAATTCAAATCATAAAAGGCAGGCAGGCAAGATGCAAGGCAGCCCAGTGCGCCCGAAGAGGCGATGGGGTATCTTTGGTAGTTCATCAGGCAGGCAGGCCGTGTGGGATCGGATCCGCGATGGGGGTATCTTTGGTAATTCATCAGGCAGACAGGCTCTCTTGCCTCCGGTCCAGTGCAGCACACTCTCCACTGTGCAGCCTCTGTGTCGTAAGGTCATGTTCGTGCGTGGAATCCGTGTGTCGTCAAGCAGGTTCTCTCTAGTCAGTGTCCTCGTCTTGCTTGTCGGTCTCGGTGTGCAGACCAGCGGCATGGCTGTGGTCTGCCTCTAGCAGTGAACTGCTCTTGGTCGGTGCCATCATGTCTGTGCATTGCAGGCTCTTCATCTGAAACACCAAGCTTGTAGTCCTTCAAGCCGTCATTGCTTGACCCTGCCACTGCCGCTGCCATTGCTGTTGGCGCCTTCATTCCGGGATCTGGCGCCCAGACTCCTAGCTTGGATTGGAGTGAACAACTTGGGTCGGACATGATATGACTATGTCGAGCGAAGGAAAATCATTCCACCTCTTGAGACTCATCTAGTCAGCGAGCGCGCCTGTCGTACAATCGAAGAAAATCGCAGGTCTCACTCAACAGCCCGAGCAAATGAACATCGAGTCCGTGGCGCCCACGACAGATCTGAAGAACAAGTGGATTCAAAAGTTGCAATGGGTTAGTATCCGAAGTCGTCAGGATGCGTCACACGATATGACGGTCCATGTGGTGCCGGCGGGCCGTGGTAAGTTTGAGCTATGGATGAGGCGTAGAAAGAATCCATGTCATGATGTGTAGTGTACATCGGCGACATGATGTGACTGGCTGTGTACGGCCCGCTCATGCCATGGTGGGTCGCATACACTGGAGAATGGAGCGTCATCTTGGAAGACACAAACTCCGGCGAGAGAGAGGCGTGGTGTGCCATGTTGGCTTCGGATGAAGCACCTTGAGGCTGCTGGGTTTTGCTTGGTCTGCGCTGATATGGATGGCCTCGCCGCCCTTTCGTTTTGTTGGCGAGATTGTGGAGGGCGGTCCGGGGACGCTGGCTCGTCGACGGTTGATAGACATCGTCCACCGGGAAGCTGTCTTCAGCCTCTTCGTCTGATGAGACTTGGAATTCTTGCTTGAAGTTCTGATCACCCTGACTTCCGAGGCTCGGCCTTCGAGAACAGACGGCAGGCAGCAGCTCGACGGTAGAATCTGTGGACCCAAGATCTTCTGCCGAGCTGTTTGACTCGTTGCTGTCTTCGTTTGAATCTGGCTCCTTCTTTTTGACTTTGTTGTGTCTCTTCGCAATGAGTTCCATGTGGAAGCCTCGGAGGTGCTCAGTAAGATGGTCTCGCCTGGTGAAGCCTTGCCTGCCTTTCCTCTCACAGTTTCTCTTGGGACAATCAATGTATGTAACGTCGTGGCGGGATTTGTAGTGCCTTGTTACATCGGCTTTGCGGCTGAAGAATTTTTTGGGCTGCCCGTCTTCGTCTAGGCAGTCTCGATGTCGACAGAACATCCGATCGTCGACAATGGTCCTACCAACTCTTAGTGGGTCGTTCGCAAGTCCGCGACAATGCAGTGTCAACGAGTACCCGAAAGTGGAAGGCTGTGAGATTGTAGGCCACGCAATTTCCCGGATTTGAAGGAGAGATGGGCATATCAGTACTTACTGGAAGTTGGCGAGGCACTTTGCTTTGGTCCCTTCGACAGACAAGGGCTCCTGTTTAAGCTGCACAGAGTATGATCGTTTAGGAGAAGCTGGTGTTGATCCTTCTGTTCGAGTGACCTGGTCACCGTGAGTAGCTTGACAATGTCTTGCGGCTCCGCTCAGGAGGTGGAGAGGCGAAGTAGGCGCTGTTGCTGGGCTGACCAGAGTGTAGCCCACGCTGGCGGTACTCGTCCCACTACCACTTCGACCTCTCGCGCTGGTCGAATGGCTGGAGATGGCATAAGTGTCTCCCTCAGGATAGTCATGAGGCGCGAAGGTCGGAAAATAGCCAGGATGAGGGGCTATTGAACGTGGAGTGTAGTAGCTGCTGCCATGATTCCAATGTTCCTGGTGTGCCATCGTAGTCGGCAGACTCATAGACATACCAGATGGTGCAGTTGAAGCCATGGAGAATGTATGTTGAGGCAGGAATCCGTCCTGAATGAGGTGCCCAAGAGCGAAGTCATGGAGCTCAAGAGTAGCCATGGCACTGGCACGACTGCTAAAATCCAGGGCAGCAGCCTCTTTAACTCAGCAGATGATAATCAAGAACGCTCGTCTCCAAGCAGCAACAGCAGATGCCCGACGAAACGATGCCCGAGACAGATGTCGCAGACAGCTCAAGCCGGGTTTCAGCCTTATGCGAACGTTGAGCTGAAGGTTGGAGGAGAAGAGCTCTCTGAAGTATTCGTGCGCCAGCCTCAAGCTCGGGAGACGAGGCAAACTCATACTGTGCTGTGAAGGGATGCTGTACCCATGTAATTGGCGAGAGCGGTACACAGACAGAGGGAGAGCAGGGCTGGCAGACCTAAAACTGTGACCCAGAACGCTCTTTTGCCGACCCTATTCCGGAGCCCAATTGGAGACCTGGGCAGTGCGGCTAATTGGCAGGGGTCGGAACAGCTCGAGGTGTACAATGCAGATTTAGCGCGAAAGGATACACGGTTCCGACATGACGATCTGGACAAGGAGCCACATGATACTGGTTGCAATAGACCACGGACCGAAGTGGCAGCCAAGTTCGGTCCTGATGCTCCTCGTGTTCGGTGGATTTAGAAGTATAATAGGCGGCACAGTATCCCCGAGAATACTCAAAAAGCCAATCATTCCCTTCACGCGGCTGGTGAGGCTGTCCCGGGAGGCTGCGCTCGTAGCATTGCTTCCAGTTCCTGCTGGAGCCGTCACGATTCGTGCAAGAAACCCGGTCACTGGAGGAATCTCGTCAAGCCGTCACAATGCATGTTTGCTTCTATTCATTGTGAGGCAGTCCGAGTCACGGCGCCCTTGGGAACACTGCCTCAATATTTGATTTGTCCGCCAGACGCTGATCTGGGCCGAGGCAGCCAAATAGGGAAGGACATGGCCCACGGCATAGACTCCAAGCCTGGTGGAGAGATTTGGGCGAGAACGGCGACTAAGAGATGGCGGAAGAAGGTATGTACCTTGACAGCCTCCAAAGTTGGGGAGCTACTGTAACCAGGGTGGAGAGAGAGGAAGCTCGAAACTTCCCCCAAGGCAGTTGAGAAGCAAGTTTCAGAGATGGTCCACAGCAAGAAGGCTGGCTGTGCTGCAAGGAATCTCTTCACCGGAGTAGCAGGTTGCCTTCTCCTGCGGCCCAAGCGACTCCGTGGGTGGGATCGAAATTGCGGACTAAAGAGGAACAGAGCACGACGTTGAGGCTGAAGCTCGTCATGGCATCGATCGTCATTGGCCAATACTCGCGCTAGGCCCGTATGGGACTAGGTGGCTGCCTCTTTTCACCTCCACAGCCGCGTTGTTTGTCCTTAGTACAAGCTCGCAAGGCAAACTTGTATGTGTAGCACCAGAGTGAGGCGAGGCGAGGGACGAACCGGGCTGCCGTCTGCGCGTGGGAGTACATCACCGGCCTCACGCGAATGAAACGATAATATCACATTGCACAGCACGCCTCAGCATGGGCGGAGCGAGTCACTCCTAGGCGACGGGAGACGCATGGATGTCCCAGATCGAGTTGCAGAATGAGAGCTCTGTTGACTCTTTGGGAGGTGACAGTCAACCTCCAGGTCCGCAAATTTAAAAGTATGCGACGGGCCGACGGGCAGCGTGCCGCGGAGTGATCGTCTACAAATCATCTTCAAGAAACTTGTACACGAACTTGAAGTCGGCTTTCCGTCGATTCATCCTGCAGCAAGTTAGAGAAGGATCGAGGCGGGGCTGGAGCGACACCTACCACGTGCTCTCATAGTCGAAGAAGCGATACGTCCCTTGCTCGAACTCTTCCGTGATCTGCTTGGGTTCTTCGTGCCGTTGAAACCAGGTTTGGTACTGCTTGTGGAATCGCCAGCTTTGATTCTTGAGGGCGCGCGCCGCCAGCCACTGCTGATATGTATTCTGCCGATAGTAGAATATGTAGAACAGTGTGTCGGTTTCCAGCCGTTGATTCTCGTACAAGGCTGGATCGTCAAAAATGGGTAGCGGGTCTTGAGGATAATGCGCCGGAGTGTTGTACTTGAAAGTCGGGCGGTAGTACTGAGGTCTGTCGCTATCGGCAGGCTCCGGACAAGTCTCCTGAGAAGCTTGTAGTAGCCTGGCCAGCTGTGATGGGGGCTGTGCAGCTCGAGTCTTTGTGGTTTCGAACGAGTCCAGCAGATCTTGTAGTCCGGGGGGAAGATGGTAGATGGATTCCACGGTTGATGGGTCTTCATGGACGTCACCATTCGTCGTGGGTATCTCGTCCGCAATGACAGGTTCTTGGACAGCCTCAGAATTTTCCATTGCTGGTGTGGGAGGAATACTGCTAGGGACGCTTGGTGCCGGAGCACTGGTGGAGCTTAAAGTTGGAGACTTGGAGTGATTGGATTGCTCTTGTGATGCTGAACCATCCATGCTCACCGCGGCAGGTGCTGGCGAGGCAGTCTTCTCCACCGGTTGCGCTGGCACCGAGGCTGGCGAAGTGGTTGCAGATGTCTTGACAGGGGCAGGCAGCGGATGTGATGGAGGTGCGGAATATGCTGCGACTGGTGGAGGAAGGGGAGCGATGCCTACTCCACTCTTGTCGCTTGCTGCTGCTGCGGCCGCAGCTGAGGCGTACTTCAGCGTCTCTCCGGGCGGTCGGTTGGGGATCGGTGCAGGCTTCATTGTCGTGTCTTTGGGTATTGACGGTGGCGGTGGCATAGTGTTCAGCGTTGCCAGTGCCGGCAGAGGTGACTTGAGTTGAGTAGAAGGCCGGCGGACGGCGGTATGCGGTTCGGACTTTGTCTTTTTGAGAGGATTTGCCTCGGGTTCGACATCTTCTTGGATGGACTGCGCATCTTGAGATGATATTCGGTCAACTTCGTTGTTGAGACCAAACTGGACCTCCTCACTGTCGAGATTGCAATCATCGTAGATTCCTTCGTAGGCATCGGGATCGAAGTCCGGCTCACGGCCTTCCCTAACCACCTCTTCGATATCGGATTTGATGGTTGCCACCAACTCGTTTTCGACGTTGCCATTCTGTAGCGACCGTAGCAGCAGTTGCAGCCTTGATTCGTGCCACTTGTATGTGTCTGTCATGGTTTCGATTTCGGCCAGTCGATCGGCTTTGGAGTTGTCCTTCTGTTTCTTCTTGAGAGCAGCTTGCAGATTGCCAGCTTCAGGCTCCAACTCCTCGGTCAGGATTCTGTTGATTTCGTCCAATTGATCGGATAGGAAGTCGCATAGCTCCTCCCGCTCCCTCTCCTTCGGGTCTTGCTTGACGTTTTGCGACAGCCCCTCCTTGGAGAAGGCTTTAGTCTTCATCTCCTTCTCGACGGCTTTGAATATCTCCATGCACTGTCATCAGTGTCAGTCAGCCCGCTTCTTAGCCGAGTATTGCAACCCGGGAGGCTCACTTTCTCTATCCGCTTGCGCTGTTCCAGCAGGGCAGACTTGTCCTTGATCTCATTGCCGGCCGCCCACGTCTTGATCTGGTCTCGCGATCTCTGCAGTTTCTTGATCTCTTTCTTAAGGTTGTCTTCCAGTTTGTCCTTCTGGGCGGCATTTTGGGAGGAGTAGATCTTCTCGTAGATGGCCTCGAATGCCTGGATGCCCTCGTCGACCTTCTTGAAGGTCTTGTCGATTTCTTGTTGCGTCTTCCGCGATGCCATGGTTGAGTCGCCTGCAGAGATGAAAGGGACGGATCACAGATCTACTGCGGGACTAGGGAGCGCATCGAATGTTTGGGCGTTGGATTGGATTCACAGCCTGGCCTCCCCTTTGATACGCGCTTCTTGTTCACATGAGTTGCGGCACCACCAGCCGCAGAGCGCAGCCGCAGCAGGTTCGCAGCCTCACTAGTCCATTTTCGGTCTAGATTGTTCTTGGCGTTCCGCGGATCACGTTTTTCCTTTTCCTTCATACAGACATGAGAAATGAGACATGACACAGTCAGTGGAAGCAAGGAGTATTTCTTCATCTATCTTCACCAGGTTTCTCTCTTGCCGTCACGGATGTCCACCATCCACCAGCAGAAGTGAGACATATGGTTCTGCAGCTACCCTCCTTGCTCAAAGCGACTGCTAAGCCCAATATATGTGCTGGGTAGATTCTGATTGCTCGTTTCAAAAGGACGAGGTCGTGACGACTATCAGTCCGCATCACCTTCTAGCCTTCAGAGGTGTCTTTGCCATCCATTTTATCTCAAAGGCTCAGTTCACTCGTGTGGCCAGCTTCCAAGATGAAGGCGATCTTGCAGCGAGTCTTGTCAAGCTCGGTCACAGTCAATGATCAGCTTGTCTCGTCTATTGGCAAAGGCATACTGGTGTTGGCTGCAATTGGACCGAATGACACGAGGAGGGATGCAGACTCCATGGCATCGAAGATCGTCAAGATGAAGCTCTGGCCGGATGAGAGCGGCTCCCACTGGAAGAAGAGTGTCAAGGACGTTGAAGGAGAGATCCTCTGCGTCTCGCAGTTTACCTTGATGGCGAATACACGCAAGGGCAATAAGCCAGACTTCCACGGAGCTGCTAAGCCAGAGTTTGCTAAAGAGCTCTATGACTATTTTGTGACCCGTGTTAGAGAGCTGCATGGTATCGATAGAGTCTCAGACGGTGTTTTCCAGGCAATGATGCAAGTCGCCCTTGTGAATGACGGCCCAGTAAGACCTTCCTCTGCTCACCACCACGAAATGTAGGTATATCGATGCTGAACGAGCCAGGTCACCATCGAGATAGATACCAATCCACCGAAGAAGGACACCCCGAGCATCACTGGGGCTGGCACTGGGACGTCGACACCAGTTGCAGGGGCAGAGCAGGATCAAAGTTGACCTTCGCCGATATCGATGGGGACATTGTTCCAAGTCCTAAGCATGCGGCACAGCTCGACAATCTCGCGTTTGCCCTTGACCTCTGCTCGGTCGAGGTTCTTTTCATCAGCTAATCAGAAGGAGAAGTCCGCCCGCGAATGGACCAGCCACGAACGCGTCCCTCGGGCAATTCGACGGCGCTCGAAATACCCTCCACCACTTCTCACGTAACTCCTACGTAACTTCAAGACTTCCTCCAGGCACAGCGGGGAAGCATCGTCCGCTCGTCCAGCATGACTGCCTTTCTTGGTCTAACCGAATGGCCATTATTGGACCTCAGATTTGTCTTATCTTGAGACCACAAGAGCTCCAAAGACCTTCCGCCTAATCGATGACGGAGGAGACATGCGAGCCACGGATAAGTGCCTATCACTATCGTGAGGGGTAATAGGTATGCTGATGCCTCTAGCCCCGCGAAGTAAACAAACTGTTAATATGAGAGCTGTATCTAGCTGTCCTGCCACGAGCACGGGTAGTTGAGCTCCCCTCTGTCCATCCCATTGTCCCGAGTCCTTTTTACAGCCCTTCCCAGCGTCTGCAATCATGCCGGGCCCAATCAGAACCGCACTGAAGGTCGATCTCGACAAGCCGGCAAAGGATCAACCATATCTGCATGTGAGCAGCATGGGTTCCAGGTGCTACTGTAGCAGTGGCTAACACATAAAACACAGAACAGATGGCATCCTGATGGTAAGCTTTGCGGCGACGCAGTTCCCGTCCCTCGCTAAGCTCGACAACTAGTCCCATTCTGCGGAACCATCAAGAAAGGCGAGACCGTCAAGATCGAATGCCTTGACTGGACCGGCGGACAGATCAAAAACACCGACGACGCCGACGACATCAAGAACGTCGACCTAACCCAGGTGCACTACCTCTCCGGGCCTTTCGAGATCGAGACGGCCGAACCGGGCGACGTGCTACTGGTGGAAATCCAGGACGTGCAGCCTTTCCAGGACCACCCCTGGGGCTTCACGGGCATCTTCCACAAGGACAACGGGGGCGGCTTCCTCGACGAGCACTATCCCGAAGCCGCCAAGGCCATCTGGGACTTTGAGGGCATCTTCTGCTCGTCGCGCCACATTCCCGGCGTGCGCTTCGCCGGCCTCATCCACCCGGGCATCTTGGGCTGCGCGCCGTCCCCCGAGATCCTCGCCGAATGGAACAAGCGGGAGGCCGAACTCATCTCGACCACCTCGCTGCAGCGCATCGTGGCCCAGCCGCCCGAGCCCCAGAACGTGCACGCCGGCAGCGCCGACGAGGACACAAAGGCCAAAGTCGGCAAGGAGGGCGCGCGCACCATCCCCGGCCGCCCCGAGCACGGCGGAAACTGCGACATCAAGAACCTGTCGCGCGGAAGTAAAGTCTATCTGCCCGTGCATGTCAAGGGCGCCAAGTTCTCCGTCGGAGACCTGCACTTTTCGCGTAAGCGTGACCGTCTACCGTCTTCCGCCCTCATCCTTGCACGTATCCCAACCCACAAATACTGGACTGGATGCAAACGCACACGCTCACAAGCTAACGCACCACCACAGAGGGCGACGGCGAGATCTCGTTCTGCGGCGCCATCGAGATCGCCGGCATCATCACCATCAAGTTCGACGTGATCAAGGACGGCCAGAAGAAACTCGGCATGCAGGGAGGAAAATCCCCCATCTACATCCCGGGGCCTGTGCAACCGTAAGTCGAGGCAGAAGTCCTTGTTTATCATTCATCACTCACTGTTTTGTTCTTTGGTGTTTGATGTTCTACTTTCATGTCCCGCATCTAGTCCTACCCTAGCACAACCTAGCTCACCCTAATCAATCAATAACCGCACTAACGCCGCGCCCCCTGGTCCAGCCAATTCTCCCCCGGCCGCATGCTCTACTTCGAGGGCTTCTCCGTCGATGAGCAGGGCAAGCAGCACTACATGGACGCGACCGTCGCGTACCGACAGTCCTGCCTGCGCGTCATCGAGTACCTCCGCCGCTACGGCTACTCGGACTACCAGATCTACCTGATGCTAAGCTGCATTCCGATCGAGGGTCACGTGGCTGGAATCGTGGACATTCCGAACGCGTGCACGACCATCGGGTTGCCTATGGATATATTTGACTTTGATATCAGTCCCGGTGCGGAGGCTACGGCGAGGGATCTGGGCAAATGTGCTATGGCGACGAAGTGATGAAGTGAGGTGACGTGCAGTGACGCGAGGTGATGGAACAGATAACATAGTGGGTAGGATTATTGGGACTGGGACTGGGCCGAGGAGGTTGGATGGATGGTTCAGTGCAATAGAGTACATACTGCAGTATCCTTGTTGCAGTCGTAGCAAATCTGATTGCATTTCAGTCTCTTCGTGACTAGCTGAATCTTATCCGTTGGCTACTTAGAGCCCCTCGGATGCCGTGCGTGCGTGACCTGTAACAGGCCTAGCCAGACGCATAGCCATGCTCATTCCTTGCATGATTGTTCTTTCGCGATCTCTCTCTCCAAGACGTTGTACCTCAACACCCATTGCCGCTGTGGATGATGAATGCAATGCAATATGTGTGCTCTCTTACCAACCGGCGTCAGCGAAGCCAGCTGCCGCATTGTTCGGCTGCGCAATCTCCCATTCAGCTGGAGCGGAGCCAGCGTTGGCGGGGGCATCATTCCAGCCGTCACCAGTACCACCACTGTCTTCTGTATCAAATCCACTTCCGCTAACGCCTCCCTTCTCCGTGGGATCAACCTCAGGACAGCGAGCACGTCCGTGACCTTTCTGTTGACATTTGCTGCAAGTGACCTCAGCCCAGTTGATCGGCTTGCGCGGTTGAGGACATTCCTGGAAATGTGTCAGCGAGAGCGGAAGGAGGAGAATGTAGGTGGTGTTGGAAGGGACACTCACAGCACGTATGTGACCGTCTTCGCCGCAATTGTTGCATGTGATCTTTCGGGGGTTCGGGCAATCAGCCGCCTTATGATCTTCCTCACCGCAATTGCGGCAAGTCCGCTTTTCCTTGTTCGGGCAGTCCTGTACAGGCATGTTAGTTAGTTGTTGGGGTTCATGTGAGTGTAGACACGAGAAGTACCTTGGCCATGTGATCTTCGGACTCGCAGATCTTGCAGGCACGACTGGTGCTCTTGCACTTCATAGCACAGTCACGCACACGGTGACCTTGTTCACCACAAAGGTAGCAGGCGACGACAGGTTGGACACTGGCCATCTTCTCGTCAGGGCAACGACGAGTTGTATGTCCCAGCTTGTTGCAGTTGCTGCACTTCTCAACGCCACGGTTAAGAGGAATGCCAGCATCGGCGAGACGAGCGAGGTTCTCTTCCAGAGAGGCAGGCCACTGATCGACTAGTGCCTGACGCTCAGGCTTGTGAGACAGGAAGTAGCTGACTGCGTATTTCTTTTCGATGTCGCCTTGCAAGTTGACGTTGGTCCATGTCTCCATACCGGCCGCTGCATGATCTTTCTCCATCGCAATCAGGTAGATGCTGAAGTTGCGGGCGCGGAACTCTTGCTCAAGCTTGGGGTAGCTGTAGTCCGGGCAGGCCTTGGAGAGGATCTGGACAGCTTCTTTGAAGTCACCAATGTCACGCTCCTCGCTGGCTTGCTGAAGTAGAGCCCACGCTTCGTTCTCGCTCTTTTCAGCCACGCGAGCATTGTCAAGGACCTTGGCATTCTTGCAATCGATAGCGACGTGGCCTGCGATATGAAGAGAGTCAGCGCACTCTTCGAGGCGGGAGGCTGGCTGGGCTCAACTCACCTTCCTGTTGGCAGTTCTTGCATTTGATGACACGAGTAGGACAATCACTGGCCATGTGGCCTTCTTGGTTGCAATTGCGGCACTCGCCCTTGAACTTGCGAGGCTCAGTGCAATCCGCTTTGGACTGGGAGGGAATGTGAGTCTGCTGACAGATGTAGGCAGAGTAATCTCGACTTACGTGACCTTCTTGACCCTGTGAGGCGTCAGTGATCTCGAAGCAAAGGGGATGTCAGTTATGATTTGACGTACACAATTGAAGCAAGCACCCATTTTGCGTGGCTCCGTGCAATCGCGAGCGATATGACCCTCTGAAGAACATTAGCCAGGAATTCTGAGTCTGTTCAGCTGAGATTCAAACTCACCTAGACCGCAATTGCGACACGCACGGTCATTGTTACCACCATCGCCGGCAGAGCCAGCTCCGAAGCCATCGTCACCAGTAGCTGGCAGAGTGTCAGGAGTGTCGTCGTTCCAACCTGCAGCACCAGTATCCCAGTCCTGGTTGGCTGGAGAGTCAAGTCAGCGTTCGCTCAATTGTGAGATAGCAGTGAGAAAGGGCTCAGACATGGTTTGGGGGTTTCTTCGATCATCCAGAGGTCAGGATACTTGAAGCAAAACTTGGTAGAACGTTTGTTTTTGCTGAAAAGAAGACTGTACATCATGGTGGCCTCAGGTGATAGTGAGATGAAAGAAGGAACGAAGCGGGGCTCACCTGGTGCGGCGGTAGTGTTATTCCAGCCGCTCATTTTGCGTGGTTCCAGAATAGGCGACGTTGCAGACTTGTGATGGCAAGAAGAATGAAGACGGGGTGAGGACGAGAAGAATGGGAAACTGGGTGGCAGGTAATGGCAAGAATGATGAAAACGGATGAGGGAGAGAAGAAGGAAAAACTGAAAAGGAAGCAAGACACCGATATAAATCTTGATGTGGATGAATTGTACTGACCGGGCTTGGCATTGCATGCGATGACAATGCTGTCGTGGTGCAGGTGATGCTCCAATGGACTCGCATCGAGGTACCTGTCTTCTTCAGTAGGTCCGGCAGCCAACGGTCGGTTGTCCCTCCTCCCGCGTGCCTGACAATGAGCACACGGTGGCTGGTGGACACTCATCGTCACATCATGACAACCATAGTGCTCCATACCCTGTATCTGGCCCCTCCGCCAGCTGGTGGCAGTGATGAAGGGCAGACCCAAAGCCCAGTGTGAGCTGACGCACAGCACACGAAGTCAGAATAGCAATGTGGGCAAATCTTGTCTTTGTGCTGCCAGGGGCTTTCAGAGTAACTCGTCAATGTGTAAGGCACTGTCAACTTGTGCATTACTCAGTCCGTTCCCACTACCATTCCAGGGGACCATCGTGATCAAAATCCTATGGTGGCGTCGGCTGGAACGCGTGGCTGGAGGTTGATCCATCAACCGTTAAGCCTCTTTGCCATGAGTGAGTCTCATGGGATACTCGGCCTCTGGAATCACTCTTGACCATTCAATAGCATAAGACAGTCCTTTGAGAACTCCATGGCTATTAAGCTAGATCAACGATGCATATTTGGTCGTGATATCAAGGTGAGGAAGGACTTGGCCAACCGTTAAGCAGTCACACTCGAGCAGAGCTTTCGAAGTACAGATCAGGAATAGTCAGGGGTAGTTGCGGAATTGATTTCCGTCACAGACCTTGGCGAATTTCGTCGTTCAAAGCTTGTCGTCGGTCCTGGCCCCAGGAGCGTTGACTCCCACCTTTATTGGCTCTTTGTGCTTGCGAGCACAGTAAATGCGATGGTAGCGTTCCCGCAGGTGACCTTGAGGGCCTCCCCCGGTTCTGATATGGTACAAAGTACAGGTTGGTTCTTGCCCACTGACTTCATGCTTTTATTCACATTCACAAAACCGCAGATTGGAGTATCTGCTAATCTCAAATGTTGAGGCAAGCTCGTGAACGAGGTTCGCAGGTCGAATTGATGGCGACAATTTGCGATTGAGGCTTGAGGTAAATACTCCCTCCCATGGATATTAACTACGGTCGGAACAGAAATTGTGTACCTTCAAGGGACGAGATTTGACCGGAGTTCTCAGCCTGTCGCAGCGCAAAGCGACAACTCACAGCCGCAAGATGGCAGGCTTTGGTGGTTGGACTCGGGAGCTCGGCCCTGTTGTAGAGCACAGAACAACATGATAACAATAACAACCGCTACCCCCATGCATCACTCCTACCAGAGTATCATTGGCTTCAATTCCAGCTCCCGCCATTGAACAAGCCACCCAAGAATCCCCCTTTTTTCGCCTTTGCCGCCGCTTGCTTCGCTACCCCAGCTCGCTGAGACATCTTCTCCTCTCTCATCGTCGGCCTATAATTGACCGCGTTCCTCCTTCCGCCCGTTCCTTTCCGAACAAACGTCTTTTCGTCACTGGCTTTCCCACGCTCCGTCTTGTTCGTGACGACTCCCGTCGCTGACACATTCTCGTCTCTGCCCGCCATGCTTCCCAAGCTTGAATTCGTGGTTGCACGTCGTAAGAGCCCCGGCACTTTGCTGAAGGAGCTGTTGGCAGAAGATGTCGACGTGTAGAATGCCATTTTCGTGGTACTGGAAGAGCCAGAGGAAGACTGCTGACGGAGCATGCTTAAACGATTGACGACGTTGACTCGTTCCTTGGTGCGGCGGTCTGAGAAAGGCGCGCGAGAGCCGGAGGTGGGCAGGGCGGGCTTCTTGAACGTCCTTTCTTGCTCGGCTTGGCCGTCGTCGTTGTCGTCCACGATGAAGTCGCCGAGATCATCTGCATCTGCGGCGTTCTCGTCTGCTTCCGCAGCTTGGAGATGGCGATCGAGGTCAACATACGCTTCCGCGTCGTCATCTGAGTCCGAGAGGCCGAGATCAACTGTTCCTGCTTGAGAGGCCGGCTCCTCAATGAGGAACGAGACGGATTCGCGGATCTCAGCCAAAGTTCCTGGTCTTTTGTTGACATGTATGCCGTTCCGACGACCCGTGTGTAGGCCTTGGTTTAGCTTGGATGCTCCTGTGGCCTTAAGCGGATGGCTAGCCGTGTCGCTCGATTGCTGAAACGTGTTGCCCTCGGCCCTTTGCCTCGACTGCGTGTTCTGGCTATCCGTTTCTTGCGAGCCCTCCTCGGGCTGGGTTTCTGGGCGTTCAAATTCGTCGTCGTCGTCACTGTTCGGCCGGTCTTCGATACTCCGGAGAAAGGCTTCTTTCTTCTTATCTTCAGCAATCTTTCCCACAGCTTCGTCCTTTAGCAACTCGCGGCGCATCTTGGCGAACTCTCTTCTCTTCGCTTCTCTACGTCGCATCAAGGCATCTTCCTCATCCGAGAGGTCCAGTTCATCGTTACCACGCTTCCGCCGCAATGCACCGGTCGTGATGTCTTTCAAGAGTTTAGAAACGGCAGCCTCATCCTGCTGGCGTTCCCGATCCGCGAAGAGCTTGGCCAGTTTGGCTGCATCTCCCACTCCAACCTGCGTGTCTTCATCAATCATTCTTCGATCATCCTCATTTTCCTCATCGTTTAGCTCGTCATCGCTCGCTCCACCGAGGCCAGCATATTCATCTTCGGACTCTTCTGCAGCATCATCCACTGCTTCACGTGCTCGTGACTTCTGCTTGTCAAATGCTTCCCGAGACTGCTTGGCGGCAGCGCGCTGCATCACATCGAAAGCTGAAGAGTCTTTCGGGTCAGTTTTTTCGTCATCCGAGTCATCCATAGTGGCACGGCCGCGTCTAAGTCTGCTCTTTCTCTGCATGCTAGGGCTATCTTGCAGACCATTGGCTAAGATGACAGTGTCCACACTGGAGTGTGGCAGAGGGTGTCGAGGAGTCTGGGTCGCGAAGCGGTTGCCCACAAACGGGCTTAGGACATATCCACCGTCCTGCGTTGGCTCAAAATGTGGCTGTGACGGGGTCATGTCCATCCCATCGACCGCTGAGCGTATGGCAGGTGACTGTGGGACGATGTCTGAATGAGAGAATGAGAGGTTCACATTCAGCGGCTGCGTCTGAGATGCGGGCTGGCTGTCGGTGATCACGTCAATTGAATCGAGCCGATAAAGCTTGGGCACCATGGCGATATTGGGTGATGGGAGATCCGCGCTCATCTGGAGGCTGTCCTGATCTTTGGTGAGCGGCGACTCCTGAGTCTGTGAATCTGCCATGGTAGCGTCGAAGGCTTGCGTCAGGCCGATGGGCAGGTCGTCCGACATCTGCAGGCCGGGGATCTGCTTTCGCGCCGAGCGAGTCAAAGTTTGGGGAGTCTTCGCAGGTGCGGGAAGTTCTGGAGATGGCGGCCGGTCTTCATGACCCTCCTCATCGTCACTAACAACTCGGTTTAGGCGGGATTTTCGTGGGACCAAGTTAAGCGGTTGCACGTCCTCAGCTGCATCGTCCGAGGCTTCGTCGTCAATCTCAGCTGCACTTTCTGCAGACGACGACTCGGCCGAAACACCTTCATCCGCTTCATTGTCAAGAAAGTTGCCCCCATCCTGTCCATCCCCTTCAATCTCATCGGGTTCTTCATCCTCAGCGTCTTCCACATCGTCCTCGTCGTCTTCCGCCGAGTCCTCGTTATCCCCATCATCATCTTCGACGGCGAAGTCTTCCTCGTCACTTTCCTCTTCATCATCCAGGTCGTCCTTGGTGTACTTGCCCTCCTTCTTCGCCGCAACCTTTTCTCGCCTCTGGATTTCGGCCGCCTCTTGTCGTGCCCGCTCAAGCAGATCCTCCACTTCCTGTTGCTCTCTCTCACGCTCTTCCGCGGTTTGGATGACCACCCCTTTCGCCATCAACTCGTCAAGTCTGCGTTGTTTCTCCTGTTGTGCTTGTTCGCGAGCCAATCTTCGCAAATGCGCTTCCACTTCCGCCCCACTACCAGTGCGCTTACGATCGTCCTTCATCAGATTCGCAAGCGATCGTAGTGCTATATGCGAGGGAGCCTCTTTGGCATTTCGAGCTCGCAGGTGTTCAAATACAGCGTATTTGCGCTTATCGGCTCGGGATGTAATGACCTCCAGATCTGAACCAGACCCGTCGTCATCGGACTCAATTGCTTGAAGAGAGAGAAATCTGGATTTTCCTGGCTCTTTGAACGGCTTGACGGAGGGTTTCAGTGGCTGCTCGCCGATTTCGTTAGAGCCAGGGATCGTTCTTGAACTAGTGCGCACCACTTCTTCGAGGGGTTCCAACGAAAGGGCCCGCTCTTTGCCCTTGTATAGCTTCGGGTTGACAACATCTGCGGGCGGGCTTGTGGGTGGAGTGTTGTTGCTTTTCTCGGCTTCGTCCTCTGATGGCGCCCTGGAACTGCTTGTAGCGGAGAGCTCGTGGTCTGGTTCAGCCCTTGAAGGTGCCACAGGAAAATTGAACCGGGCCAACAAGCTGTCCTTGCTGATCTTCTTCTTGGTACGTGCCTGATGTGCAAGTTGCATATTTCGACTAATCCGTTGAGTCTCTCGATTCATCTCTTCAAGGGCTTTCTTGCTCGCCTTGCGGGTAGGACGCACTTGCTTTGACAATTTTATTCCCCCGGTCCCTTCCGATAAATCGCTATCTTCTTCGGTGTCATCCGCAGGACTGGATCCACGCGGTTTCCGTCGTCCCTGCTTTTCGGCTTTCCGGCTTTGCAGTTGCAGGGCACGCTTTTCAGCTTCTAGTGCCTCCTTCTCTTGCCGTTGTTTTCTATGCTTCTCGACAAGAGCAAGAAACTTCGACTTGTGGCCGTCGGGTGAAGGGAAGAACAAGGGTGAAGGAGATCGGGATCCAGACTTGGATGCCTCGAGGTTGGTGGTATTGTGCAGTGCCCGGGACCCATCCTCTTCTGAGTCGTTAAACAACCTATCGTCTTTACCGCCCTCCTCTCCCAAGACACTCTCCAGAGCATTGTTGCGGTCGTGATGCTGCGGTCGATCAGGTGTAGCAGTATTTGTTTGCCTAGGGGCTGGGAGCCGGCGGGGGACTAGGATGTCCTCGTCCTCTGACTCGTCTAGGGATTCCGTTGGCTTCGCCCCCTCCGCTACATCATGGAATTCGGAGACAACACTGTCGTTGGCGTTTTGTGGACAAGTTGTTGCATTGTCGTCAGACTCGGAGTCGCTGAACTGCGCGAGTACAGCCTGAACCTTCCGAGTCGGGGTCAATATGGAGGTCGTGCTTCGGGGAGAGCCCACAATGCTAGGCGAGACGGGCGACGGAGTCATGTTGTTGACTATCACGGGAACGTACACAGATCTAGCTGCTGGTCATGGTACATGGGACTGAGACAGAAGCATATTATGAATGAAAACGTGAAGCATGAAGCGCGAAGCCCGCATTGACGTTCACGTGTCACGCGTCGCAAGCGGGACGCGCTACGTCATTCTCATTGCTACCTCATTCGCTTTCTGCGCGTCATGCTCGCCGACTCGGCTGGACGCGACTCTCCATGTCCTAAGACTTTAGTTGATGCAGAGTACTCCGTACACAGTACAAGCACAACCCGAACACCCCAGTGAAGCCCAGGGCCCTATAAAGAGTATTCCACCCTGATATGCCCGACATAGAACTTCTAAGGGAGGAATGGAAGACCCTGTATTCGGAGACTCTTCCCAAACTGGCCAAAGCGCGAGATCCCAGTCAATCCAGGTGGCCCGTCACTCTTGACCATTGTTTTGCGCGAATCATCCTCGATAATGCGATCGGCGGTGGTCAGCAACAATGGGATAAGATATTGCCCAAGCCGGCGGTGAGAAACATGAACGAGCATCAACTGCAGAAAGCCATCACCCTGGGCCTGAAGATCTTGGCTGGGGAGGTCGACCTTTGTGAATTGGATGAGATCAGCTTGAGCTGCAGAGGGAAGAATAAGGCAAAGTACAGCTTAACGACAGCAAACGGAGCCGCACAGCAAGAGCAGCAGGATACATCGACTACAGGCGACGCCAAACGCGCCTTCGATGATATGGAAGGAGCCAGGGTTCCATCGCCTAGGAAGAACCGAAAAACGGAACAAAAGCAGTCGACGTTGGACCTCTGGCGCCCCCAAGTTTCCGAGCAAAGTAGACCGGGTACAAGTGAGAATAGATCGCAAAACGGGGAGAAGCCGAACGAGGAACTCGAACAGGTGCTCCAACGCGTTCGGTCACATCCATCACTAACGCAATACCGTAAGAGGCTTTATACCGTCCTACTTTCAGTCCCGCGAGGGCGCTACACCACCTACGCTGCGATATCAGAATATCTCAAGTCTTCTGCAAGAGCAGTGGGGAACGGCATGCGCAACAATCCATTTGCTCCCGAGGTACCCTGCCACCGAGTCCTTGCAGCAGATGGAAGTATTGGCGGCTTTCATGGTGACTGGGGTAAAGATGGGAAGCATGCGAACAAGAAAACTGAATTGCTTCGAGGCGAAGGAGTTAGATTTGACAGTCGAGGCAGGGTCTTTGGTGAACCATTTCGGAAATTCCACGATTTTCAAGAAGTCGCACTCGAGAGTCCTGTGTAAGGATCATTGATGCATGTGCCACACCGCTCCTGCCTGCTGTATGCTCGGAAGCTCCCCGTTCGTCAAGAACGCTCTTGAGTCAAAAAGCGATCGGTTTCGAGAGGAAAGTCTTGTCCAAGGACTTTGCCTCCCACCAAGGACCTGCTAGCATGATTTGACCAGAAAAACAAGCGCACAAATTAAAGGACGTCTTTATTCGGACAGTTCTGACCTGAAAGGCTCTGTGCAACCACCCACGAACCCTTGCTACAAGACGTGGCTCACGAAGACCACTAGCCAGAGCTTCATACGTTGGTGGCTACACTGTTCGCGGTGTCCAGCTAATAGCGATAGAGAACAGCAGAATCCTCAAACTTCAGCTGCAGCGGCCAGCAACAATAGAAATAACGAACACCACAGACGATCTAGCTGCCTCGACATGAACATGACCTCGTACGGCACTCCCATGGTAGCGACCAGATCCTTACTGCTTGCTTGCTATCGTATATACTGAAGCTGTACACGCAACAAGGACCACGATGCCATGGGCACGACTTCGTGTCCAAGAACGTCCTGCGATAGATGTTACGTTGCGATGCTATTGCCATGGCGAGTCCTCGTCACGAAGCGAAGACGGGCAGGGCACACACCCTGCGCCAAGAAGAATATGTACGCTCAAAAGACCCCGAGTTGTATGTTACCGCAATGAAGGGCACCATGGAGGAAGACGCCTAGAACACGAAAACTCGTCCAAGGTCATATCCAGCGCAGTCTGCATATCAACTGCAAGAACATCTGGCGATGTGTTCGTTGCACATATGTAGTACCGACCTCGATCCCTATAGTATTCATTGTTCGGTCGTTCGAAGTCTCATGCTTTCGCGCCGTTCTGGCTGCTGCGTGCTGATTATTGACTTTATCCGCCCTGTATCGCTTGCAGCTGTTGGGTTCCTTTTTATCTCACAGGGAAGCCGCCGCTTCTACTGCACCAACGCCCTTGAACGCGGCCTTGTTGGTGATGACAATTTCAACGGGGTATTTCCATTCCATGAACTGTTTCCATCCTTTTGGCACCGTCAGCGCGTTTCACACAGCTCAATCCGAGAGGGCATACCCCAATACGCAAACTTGCGTCCAAAATACTTGCCCACGTAGGGCACTATGACCATCGAAAGTAGCAGTTCCAGCTGTTGGAGACTCTCCTTCCACTCTCTTTCTGCGTCTGATTCCTCGTAGTCTTCCTCTTCGCTCGCTGTGTCGTCGTCCGAATCCGGTTCTGAGGGTAATGAGTCGACCTCGTTGTTGTCTTCACTGGCAGGTGGCTCGAGGAAGGACGCCGAGGCAGCTAAGCCGTCTGTGTCGGACATGGTTGCACGTCGGGAGCTGTTTTGCGATGTTTCGTCTCCTCCGCCGGGGGAAGGCAAGCAGCAGAGGGTTACCGTGAGATCATGGCATCACCCACATTTGGTATACCGCCGTGCTGGGGTCGTGAGTGGTGCAGTTACATGTAGTGGTGAGGAACAAGTGAAAGCCGGCAAGGCTGCCTCCAAGAATTGACGAGCTTCACGTGATTGCGTCACTGGGTTCGTTGACTCATCTTGTCCATGACTCGGAATTTGAAATATGAGATTCGACAGTCGCCTTTGCACGCAACTTCCTGAATCTTCCGTGGCTAATTCGCACAGACACAAAGCAGAATCAAGCGGCACACTCTCGCCTTCTCGCCTACATCACACGATCACAGCGCAAAACCATGGCAGAAGTTGTATGTAACGCCACACAAACCCCACACTTGCCTTTACGCTTGCCTTCACATGCAGACGCAGAGCCCTCGATTGAGGAAATTCATCTGAAACCTTCTGCACTTCGCCCCACAACCGCCAATATTCTTACTGACACATCGTTTGCTGCTCTACAGGAACATCCTCTCCACGACCGGAAACCCCGCAAATCGGTGGCATTCAGCGGCGACAACACCATCATGGACGAGAACGGTGACATTTCAGAGGCTCCCCCTTCCGGGCCGGAGGACAAGGTCACAGCCGAGAAACACTCGTCACCCCCCACAGACGCCGCCGTCGACGAAGTCACCGACATGTTCGCCGGGCTCAACAAGAAGAAGAAGAAATCCTCCAAACCGAAGACGGAAGACAATGAAGATGGCGAAGCAGCAGCAGACGGTGACTTCGACGCCTCGGCCTTGAAGAAGAAAAAGAAGAAGTCCACGAAACCCAAGACTGAGGGCGCTGAGGACTTCGCCGCGAAGCTGGCCCAGGCTGGTCTTGCAGAAGGCGGATCCGACGAAAAGCAAGACCAACACTCTGCGACGCAAGACCAAGATGGAGACATGGATGCCGGCACCGGAATCTGGGCCCATGACGCCACAAGCCCCATTACTTACGCCCTCCTGCTGAAGCGTTTCTTCGAGACCGTCAACAAGAATAACCCGGACATTCTGATGTCCGGTTCCAAATCCTACAAGATTCCACCCCCGCAGTGTCTCCGCGAAGGCAACAAGAAGACCATCTTCGCGAACATCCACGAAATTTGCTCGCGCATGAAGCGTACCGACGAACACGTCACGCAGTTCTTGTTCGCCGAACTGGGTACCAGCGGCAGCGTGGACGGGTCCAAGCGATTGGTTATCAAGGGTCGGTTCCAGCAGAAGCAGATTGAGAATGTCCTGAGACGGTATATCGTCGAGTACGTCACGTGCAAGACGTGCAGGAGCCCGAACACCAAGTTGGAGAAGGGCGAGAACCGACTTTACTTTGTCGAATGTCTGAACTGCGGATCGAGGCGGTCAGTCACGGCTATCAAGAGCGGTTTCACCGCCCAAGTCGGCAAGAGAAAGAGGCTCAATGGTTAAGGCCGGGAATGGAGGTTTCAGCGTCAAAGATGGTGCCATGCGTATCTGGTTCGTTTGGTGGGAGGGCGCTGGAAATCATGAGAGGATGGGGCGACAGAATTCGTCAGGCACGATCGCAGCTGCGCAGAAAGGAGCCGGGAACAAAGTCCCAAGTACCAAGTTCATGCACGGAATGAACGGTCTTGTACTTGTGCCGGCCGCACACTTGGGCAACAAATGACTCACGGTGTTACCTCGCAAGCAGGGCCCTGCTTACAGACACATACTCATGCAGCCTCATAGAATCATCCACATATGACCCGACCTGCTCGTAGTCCACTATGTGCCAATGCAAGGTTTATAGGCCCATGTCTGTCCATAACGATACCGCGCTTGTCGATCCATCACTCATCTCTTCGCAGTGTTCACCTTCACAGCCTCACACCTCCTTGTGCGCATTCCCACTAATAAATGCCGAAAAAGCACTGGCGTTCCTCGTCTGCATGAAGACAGTGCCCGGTCCCGTGAACTTACAGATCAACCCCTCCCCAGAGCTGATGCCCGAGATGATACCCCCGGACGCGACCCGCTCGAGCACGTATTTGCAGTTCCAAGCCACGAGGTGGCCATTGTCGATGATGTATTTTTCGCCGTCGACCAGCTGTGGCAGCCATGGCGCAGCATTGTCAGTCAACGTTTCAGATACTTGAATCAGGGTGTGCTAGGGGACGGCGCGCACTTACATCCTTCCTGAGTATGGCGCCAAAGGTACTCATCCACAGAATCCCCAGCCCGGAGATCTTGTACACGTAGAGCCCCTCGCCGGAGAACATGGCCTTGCTGATGCCCTGGTTCTTGTACTCCTTGACGACGCCCTGCGTGCACGCCAGGAACGCGTCCTTGCCCACGGACCAGACCTCGTCGCCCTTGAGCCGCAAGATGCTGATGTCGCCCAGCGTGCTGGGCGCGAGCAGCAATTCCCCAGGGCCGGTGAACGTGCTGTGCGCCATGTCGCCGCCGATCAGCAACTTCTTGACGCTGAATTTCACGTTGCCCTTGAGCATGACGCTCGGAGACATGGCGATCATGGCACCCGGCTTGGCCGTGATCGGGCAGCCCATGGCCAGCTGGATCGTCAGGATCGAGTTCGTGTCGCGGTGCGAGATGCGGTAGCTGCCGCCGTTGAATGTGCCCACGTCGTCTTGGTTGTTGGTCGTCGCCTGCGTGCCCACGAAGCCGCCGCCTTGGGGTACGCCCACGAGCGAGGGTCCCTGTGGGGCTTTCATCACGTTGGCCATCTCGGACGTCAGCTTTTTGGCCATCCGTGGGGATGTGACTTTTTCTCGTTGTTCGTCGCCCTCGGCGATGGGCGGCGACGTCGGGCCATCGTACGACGGCTGCCGGTTGTGGGCTTGGATGGCCGAGTGGTCGAACGTGGTCTTGTAAGCGGGCGCGGACGCCGGGATCGTCGAGTAGTTGAACGGGCGCTGGGCTGTGGGTTGTTGGAGTGGCGGAGGCGAAGGGGAATGGGTTACTTGCGATATCTGCGGAGGGGGCGGGTATTGCCCGTGCTGGTGCTGGGGTGGAGGGGATGGGCCCGACGGAGGAGGGGGGAAGAACTGCGGAGGCGGCGAAGTCTGTGAGGGAGGTGGAGGGAATGCGGCTGTGGTACATGGCTCAAGTCAGTATCACCCAGAAGAAACGGATTGCATCGGTTCGCAGGTCGTACGCTGGCCATTAGTCGGAGGAGCTGGGAGCAGGTTAGCCTTCTCTGAGAGTGCGAGCTGTGTTTTGAAGTGTTCATACGAGGATAGTAGCCCTGCGGCTGTCCCACGCCTGGCGGAGGAGGGTAGGACATGGTGAGCGGAGAGAGGAAAGTTCAGCAACGATGGCAGATAGAGTCAGCACCACAGCGACAGCTCAGCAGCAGGATCTCAAGCAGAAACAAAGGCCCAGCGTTTTGTATTGCGATACGGCGATTGAATCAGAGGGCCGCTCTCGCTCATCAGTATTGGACAGTGCAAGTCGTAGTCGACGTCGCTTTTGGTAGAGATGGCACCGCAGGTTATATATAGGTTATATATACCACGGAACAGGATCAAGCGGGGGCCATCGTCGAGTAGGTGAGCAGTCTAGCCGCCAAGTCCTATTCGCAGAATCTCACCTGCCCATCTGCTTGGACGATCTTGGTGTTGAAGGCAACGAGACATGTGGTTGGTCGGTCATGTTTCGACCGGGCGCCTAGACAGCGAAATAGAAGTCGGAAGTGCAAGATGCGTTAGTGGTTACGTGCCCACGTGTGCGCCCCGCGTGTGCTACGGGGAGCACTTTGCTGTGACAGTGGCAATGCGGCACGTGGGCACGCGCCGGTCTTCAATAATAGCCCTCCTCGCCGCGTCCGAGAGTCAAAAGCGATCTCCATATTGCGGAGGTGAGCAGATGGAAGACGTGCACAACTTCTTTGACCAGAGGCTATCTCCCAGCAAGAGGATTGCCTGGAGTCGATATCTTTGGTGTCGTTCCAAAGTGCGCTTAATGTGTCTCGTAGTCCCGGTGATATATATGTATCGGCGACGAAGAAAGAGCCTTCCACACCTCTGTAGCAGTGAATAGCTTTGGTAAGTACGTCGCTGGTTGCACTTCCCTCTCCACAACTCTGCTTGCTTCGAAGTGGACCGTTATGATCAACCCAAGCATCAGCAACGTACACACTGATTTGCAACCCGATCACGCCATTCCAGGCTTGTGAGATCAGGATGTGGCGTAGAAGGAGTGGACGCCTTGGTCGGGACGCACTTGTTGAAGTCAGGGAGAACACTGAGGTCGGAAAGCGAGCAGGATGTCGTCTATCGTAATTGTGACAGGGCCCGAGATATGCCATATGGAGCCCTCAATAGGTCTTGGAGCATATTGCCCGGTATCTGGGAGGAAACGGCAAATTGACCATCCGGTAGGCGAGACATATCACCAAGTACGGAGTAGCTGTGCTTGGAGGAGACGATCATTAGAATGAGTCCGTGATCACGTCCCTTGCGGCATGCGCAAGGCCAAGTAGCACAGGTCTCGAGACTGCGCATGGTGCGGAGTACATAGTATGTGTAGCTGTCAACTGCTGAAGCCGCTGAAGCCCATGTATGCATGCTCTATGCAGTACACAGTAGGCTACCAGGAGGCAAATGCGCGGCCAGTAAGTGTTTTGTTGGGGAGAGCCACCCCCCTGCCCATGCAGGCTGGACAGCTGGTCAAGGAAGCCCTGGACCAGGGTCTTGTTCTTAGTACGTAGCAAATAGATGTCGGCTATGATAGGGGGAGACAACAGAGCGTATGGGACTCTTGATGCAGATTTGCAAGAATCCGATAATTGAGACGCGTGAAAATCATCCACCGGGATAGCTAAACACCTGGCTCTTACCGAAACTCTCACCCTGCACTGGTTCATTTCGGGACGCCGTTTCCTTGGACCATCGCTGGTTGCGGCCAGTTTGCGGCGCGCTGGTTGGGGCCAAGGGGGAATCAGTTAAAAGAATGGCGGCCCGGGCACCCGCAGCATCCACCACTTCCCAAAGCAGTGCCTGTTGTGACCCATAAAACTCCAGGGCCACCAGGGCCACCAACGGGTTCGGTTAGAATAAGCTTCATCGGCGATGCGATGTGCAGTGACGCAGATTTCCCGGTGTGTGCGCGACCAATCCAGGGCGTAATTACCCAGCATCTGTACTAACTACAATGTGTGTGCCGGGTGCAAGGCCTTCTGGAAGTTGCCATCTTCGGTTGTCTTCTCACTGCGCCCTGTCCTTTCTTCCAGAAGTACGGAGTACGGGGTACAGAGTACCTGTCCGGCGTTCATACCACCCAATATCCCGGCTCCTCTCCCTCACGGGGTTGACCTTTGCGCAAGAAGTCCTTCATGTATGCGTCCTCACAGATATCGCCAACACGCGAACAGCCTGCAAGTCGCTACCATAAATGAGCCCAGCTAGACCTCTATTCGACGAAACCGCAGCCTCTCGGCGGATACGCTGCACTTGAGGACTGCTGAGATTCGGGAACAGGTGGTCGAAGAATACACTGGTCGGACGGCAGGCAGTGTCAGTATGTTAGACTTCGGGACAGACATACGACTGTCTCGAATACGGATACCCGACCTGTGAAGGTCGCACAGCTGCTTCACAACAACGCGAGCATGGATCAAATTCAGCATGAGCCGGCTCTGCGGCGGTTGGAGGTCAATTGGGACCGGGGCTTAATCGCCGCCAGCATCGCGGTCTCTCTCCTTGGCGCCTTTACTTCAACCCAAATGATGTGTCAAGCACGAACATCCCGCTATCTCTCGGGCGTTCTAGTCTGGACGATATTGGGCAGCTTGACCTTTGGCTTCTGTTCGATCTGGTCCTTGCACTTCATTGCCATGTTGGCGTGCGAGCTGCCTGTCTTGATTGGGCTAAACGTACCCCTGACAGTCCTGAGCGCTTTTCTTGCTGTCACCTTCACTTTCCTGGCTCTGGCCTCAGATCTCATGCGCGAGAGGTATATCAGGTTTGTTAAGAAAAGGAGACAGATGGCTAGGCGGCAGAGCAAAAAGGGTGCAGCTAGGGTTCTGAACGGCAGCACAGAAGCGCTTCTGAGACCACGCACATCCGAAAGCGACCATGAGCCTCTGAGCGTGCATGGGCAGATGGACGACGCCGGAAATCACGGTATCATCAGGTACGAAGGCGACGCAAATATGACTCTAGGACCCTTGGAAGACCACTTTGCAGTTGGAAAACCTGCCAACGTTGCGACCGCCGAAGCTCCTCTTTCTCCCGACCGGCCTGACTCGCCGCCTACTTTTGCTTGGAGGCGGCCACTGCTTGGCCTGAATGCTTCTTCGCAGGAAGAGTCTTCTACTAACGATACGGAGAGTCTTCCTTGGAGTTCAGATGGAGAAGGTCGTCCCCGAGGATGGTCATCACCAAGTCACTCTGACAGCAGCAGCCTGGGCTTGCCTGGTTTCATGTCATTCAAGGTCCAAAAGTCGAATGCGCTCAAGACGACCAATGTTCTTGTCGGTACCGCTTACCTCTTGTACCGCGGGGCGACTTTGAGACACTTTGCAAAAGGCTTCATTTGGAGCTTAGCGATCACAAGCATGCACTATGTGGGAATACTGGCTCTAAAAATTCCCCAAGGCCATGTCACCCTGCAGCCATTCATCGTCCTACTCTCTGCGTCCATCAGTTGGCTGGTCTGTACCATTGGATGCATTTTGATACCTCAAATCGAAATCAATCTATCTCAACAGTTGATGTTCTCGACGGTCGCTGCAGCAGGAGTCGCCGCCATGCACTTTACTGGAATGTGGGCGACGACGTTCTGGTCTCGAGCACCTGAAACCACCAATCGCGGATATCCTCCCAACCTCGCGGTCGCCGTAACGAGTATAGCTATCCTGACATGCATGCTCGCCAACGGTCTCCTGGCTCATTCGGCGACTGTGGCTCGGAACAAGCTGGCAGAAATTGTTCAGACCAAACGAAAACTATGGGCAGCCATTGCTCAGAAGGAGAATGCAGAAGCCGCTGCGGCAGCTAGGAGCGAGTTCATCGCCAGTGCCAGCCACGAGATTCGGACCCCTCTGCACCAGCTGCAGGGCTACAGCGACCTCATGTCTCGTACAGAACTAAACGAAGAGGCTCGCTTGCTCTTACGCGCTATACAGCAGGCCACCAGATCTCTGTCCATGATCACTGCTAACGTCCTTGACTGGTCACGCTTGGAAAAGGGGGAAGCTGTATGTCGGCCAACCAGCCTCGATCTCCGAAGAGTGTGCGAGTCGATACTCACTATTCTGCCGAACAAAGACGATGAGGCGGGTACCGAACTCATGATTGTGGTCAGCCCCAATGTTCCGCATTCCCTCTTCTTGGACGAGACCTATGTGCAGCGAATTCTAATGAATTTGCTCACCAATGCATTGAAGTTTACACAGTCCGGCTATGTTTTACTCTTGGTGGAGATTGAGGGTGGTGAATTGGTCGTCACTGTCAGGGATTCTGGCGTCGGCATACCTGAATCGTTCTTGCCCGATCTGTTCGAGCCATTCAAGCAGGCCCAGATTCGAGGTGCTCACAGGGGAACCGGCCTCGGTTTGGCCATTATCCGGCAATTGCTCCAGAAAATGGATGGTGCAATCACAGTGGAGAGCAAATACCAGCAAGACGGAGAAGTGGGAACAGAATCATCCGGCAGTACTTTCACCGTCACAATCCCCGTCGCCGTGTCGGCTGATTTGCCTGACAGTCTGGAGTGTCTGGGTCCAAACCGGAGTATTGCTCTCTTTGGTTCGTGCAGCGAGCGAACGTTAGCAGGGCTGCAGCTGTCTTGGAAAGCTTTTGGCTTTGAACTGGTCCGAGCCAAACCGGACGACGCCATATCCGACTCCTGGGGATTTGTCTGGACGGATCTGATGTTCCTGCGAGCTAATGGGCAGCTTCTTAGGCGGATACTGGAGGTTCGACACCAGTTGGTTATTGTGTCTTACGATTCCCAGACGCTCCTGGACGAATCCCTTGGGTCAGTACCTCCACGCCACATTATCCCGATCAGAAGGCCTTTCTTGTGGCACCAGATCATCGAAAACATGATCACTTCAGCTCGAACTGGTCGGGCAACGATTGACCGTTCAGTCAGATTCGCGCAGGTCGTGGATGTGGTAGAGAATGGCAGTTCAAACCCAGCCCGCGAGACGAAAACACTCAGCGGGTCCACAGTGCTACTCGTCGAGGACAACAAGATCAATCAGAAGCTCGGAGTCAAGATGCTGAAGACACTCGGCTACAATGTCGTTGTGGCAGATGACGGCCAGTATGCGATCGAGAAGCTCCTCGAGAACGACAAGGACATTGCTGTGATACTAATGGATCAGTCAATGCCTCGTATGGACGGAATCACAGCAACCAAGAAAATTCGAGAAATGGAGCAGTCTGGAGCGCTCACAGGGAAGAGACGACCTATCATAATGGTCACTGCCGTGGTTGGTCCTGACGCTCAAGCACTGTGCATGTCGGCAGGTACAGACGCCTTCCTACCGAAGCCTCTGGCTCTGACGAAGCTCGATAACACACTGAAGAAGTACTTGGGCTGAACCTTGCTATATTTTCGGGATGATACCGTCCTTAATCCAGCAGTGCGCCCAGTCAGCACGGGCGGTTTCGCCATAGGGGCCTCAGAGGCCGGCCTTCTTGGCCAGGAGGCAGTCCAACAATTGCGCAGGAGCAGCTCGGGCTAAAAGTTGTGTCAATTCCATCAGCAGAGGAAGGTCCCTGCATCACTGATATATGGCCTCTTGAGGGAAACAGAACCAGTTGGCCAGTTGCTACTTGGGGCTCTTGGACGCAAAACCGATGGGAAAGAAGTAGAAAATCGCCGCTCACACGAGGTGGCGAGTTCAATTGGCCGCGTGTATCCGGCGAGGGGTCAGGTGGACACGATGTACATTTAAATGGAGGAGTGCCTACAACCGTCTGGTGTTGGCACGCCCTTGAAGAACGACGGATTTAGCAAATGGATTGCTTTCCCACTCATGGCGAAATTAACCATGTGATGCGGTAAAAAGGAGGACAAAAGCACTCAAGATTTCGGCTTCGTTGTCGAGTCTGTTTCTGTTAGCAATATAAACCGCAGCCTCGCCAGGAACTGTACTTAGGGGAACTGAAGTTGATAAGACAGGATGCAATGTCACTTAACGACCTAGCCCGGCTTTAATGGCTCCTCCTGGTGCGACACGTGCGGCTAATCCTGCACTTAGGGGATATCGATATGCAACTGCATGCAGGGCATGAACCTAGAATTTGCCCATGATGATCCAACCCCACGGCCCTGGCGTCGTCATGGTCTCCTTGCGCGCCAGGGGTCCGCCAGTCATGTCACATGTTGGCACGCGTTGTGGGCGAAGGTCTTCGAAAGCGCAACGGAGGGGCGCAGGGATCGTTGGAGAGTGGGATGCGATGAGATGGGAAGATGAAATGCGGCGACGCCCCTGCCAACACAAAAATATTATATTTCTACCCACTATTCTTACTGTGTACCATCCTCATTTTTCTGTTCACATTGGATTCTGCTGTAAAAGGTGTGGTGCCGGTCTGTACATAATACCAAAAGCAGGTGTTTTCTTTGTCTCTCTCTCCTTTCATTAGGTGGGTGCAAGTCGTGGTTCGGAGAGCCACCGTCATCTACGTACGCGCTTCACGACCACGGATACACTGCGCATTGACCCGGTATTCTGGTTCGCCCATACTTGTCTTCACTCTCATTCCGAGATGCACCCGATCGCCCCCGAGAAGTCCACCCCTTCAGCAACCAACGGGCATACCAACGGGCACACGAACGGTTACGCCTCGAAAGACCTCTCAAACGACCACGACCACGATATGACCTCCCCCTCTACCATAAGGCAGAAGTTTCTGCCTCACCCGGGCGACCTCGGCGTTGTGCTCGTCGGCTTCAGCGGCGGACAATGCAAAGAAGGAGTCGACGCTGCGCCGACGGCCCTGGTCAGCGCTGGCCTGCTGGAGCAGATCCGCGATGAGCTGGGGTACAAGCTGCACGGCGACATCGAAGTGCACAACTACAACGAGATGCGGGCGCAGTCCGACGAGCCGTACCGGGGCATGAAGAACCCCCGCTCCGTCAGCGCGGTGACGGAAAAGCTCGCAGGCCAAGTGTACGAGCAGGCGCGGCAGGGACGGATGGTCTTGACCCTCGGCGGCGACCACAGCATCGCCATCGGCACGATCGCCGGCACGGCCAAGGCCACCCACGAACGCTACGGCGGCAAGAAAGACATCGCCGTCATCTGGGTGGACGCCCACGCCGACATCAACACGCCCGAGACTTCGGAGAGCGGAAACATCCACGGCATGCCCGTGGCGTTTGCGACGGGGCTGGCCAGATCCCAGGAGCGCGACATGTTCGGGTGGATCCGAGACGACCAGCTGCTCTCGACCGCCAAGCTCGTCTACATTGGCCTGCGCGACGTGGACAAGGGCGAGAAGAAGATTTTGAGGGATCACGGCATCAAGGCGTTCAGCATGCACGACATCGACAGGCACGGTATCGGCCGGGTTGTCGAGATGGCACTCGCCCATATCGGCACCGACACGCCCATCCACCTGTCGTTTGACGTCGATGCCCTGGATCCGATGTGGGCGCCGTCGACGGGCACGCCCGTGAGAGGAGGCCTGACGCTGCGCGAGGGAGACTATATCGCCGAGTGTGTGCACGAAACGGGCCAGCTGGTCGCGATGGACCTCGTCGAGGTGAATCCCTCGCTGGAGGTTACGGGCGCCAGCGAAACAGTCAGGGCGGGTGTCAGTTTGGTGCGCTGTGCCTTGGGGGACACTTTATTGTGAAGAGATGATAGAGCGGAACACAGTCCTCTCATGTGGGGCGTGGTGCAAACTTCTCATGCGAGCGTGATGTATCAGGAACCCCGGTGTGTCAACTGTGAACAACTCCTTTGCTTCTTGATGGAGGAGAATCACGTAAGGTAGATCCTGGACTCATGTCCATTGCATTGGCGGTGTCCGACTCAATATTACAATATCTAGTATCGGTAAAACGTAGACGAAAAGGCCGGAAAAGAAGCAAGATGGAAACCCAGGTGAGGAAAAGGATGGCATCAGGACAGCATCAGCGTCGGCATCAGCGTCGGCATCAGCGTCGGCATCAGCGTCGGCATCTGCGTCTGCATGGACACCAGAACTTAGACAGACAGACTCAGCAGTCTGATTAATCACCTATTACTTACTTGCATATAAATGACAGAAGAAACGTCAGACCAGAAGCCTTGTACGGGAGTATAGACGTTTGCGACGGCGAGCCTTTTTCTCTGCCTGCAGCCCACGTTGAAACCTATCCAGGTACTGGAGGCATGCCAACAACAGTCTCGTCGCGCAAAGTCTACCTGATTACCGATCGGACACAGAGTCGACCACTCCCCTTCCTTGGGAAGTCGGTGGGGGAAGTATGTATACGTGTTTCGCTTTCCTTGTTTCTGATCCCTGGCATCCATCCTCCGTAACTCAGGTCAAGCCAGATCATATCAAGCCAATATCGTCGCTGGGTCATTTTCCACGATATCGTAGTAAGGTGGTAAAGAGATCGATCATGTACCTACTTTGACACTTAATACCCAGAACCCAGTAATTACAGCCCTGGAGACCGATGCTTGACTCTCGATTCTCAGTTCGGCTCCCTGCTTGCGTAGAAGAACACAGCAGTATTGGCACTAGTTCGCATGACTAATGAATTACCACGTTCGGATATTCGAGTGGCACCTACTGTAAGTGGCAAGCTGCTTGGGACGAATGTAGACGTTGCAACTTGAAACTTGGCGCGAAGCGAGGGATGTACTGTAGGTATGTTTTGGAGGTGGACTGCTCTTTCTGACCGATGCGATGCTCATCTACAGTAATTAGCACTACGAGTTACTATCTACAAATACCTGCTTCGCTGCATATTGCATTCCAGTACTCCTCCGGCTCCTATGCCCTTGGGGACTTAACCATGTACTATTATGCAGTATACACCTTAAAGGTAGACCGCTCCAACACATCGGCCCTAGCCCGCCGCGAGTTTTCTGCCCTGAGTCTTTGCGTAACGAACTGTATGCCTTGATCTGTGCCTGTACTTGTGGTTGTGCCTCTAGCCTCATTGCGAGCCCCAGCCAGGTCCTCCACAAGCCTAGTGCCGTCATGTGACAGCGGCCATCTTCTCTGATGCCCCTTCACCAATCTGGCCATTTGCCATTGTCCCGAATTGCTCGTCACGTCGTCCGAGGCTCAAAACACAGCTGCAACGGGCCGAGGCCGAGGGTGAACTGCAGGAAAGTCAGCGTTGGCTGAATGCTGTCTCGGTCGCACGAGCTGGAATGGGTGTGAGCTTACATGATCCCTTGTGCCCTTCAAGAGCTTCTCTCCCGTCTCTCCCTCCGCAAGCCTCACATTGAAGTCTCGAATGATATTTGCGGTCACAAGGCGGACCTCCATGTATGCCAGGTTCTTGCCTATACAGCCCATTGGCCCGGTGCTGAATGGGTGAAAGACTTCCTTGTTTTTGTAAGGCATCAATTCGGCAGACCGAGAGCCGTGGCGTTCAGGGATGAACGCGAGTGGATCGGGGTACAATTCTGGATCTAGAGATACGTTGTCAGCGCTGACGAACCTGGCCTCCTCACTAGCTGACGCGAGCAAGCACATTCGGGCCACGTACCTCTCGCCATAGCATATAGCGGCATCTGAACCACCGTTTTCCCGGGGATATGCACGTCTCCGATGACTACACCTTCATCGGGCGTCTCTCGGAATACGCCGCTGGGAACTGGTGGATTCAGTCTCAAGGCTTCATTGATGCTACCATTCAGGATGGGTGCATCTTGGATCTTAACATGTTCGATCTTTTCACCGGGCTTGACGAGGCTGTCCAGTTCTTTCCTGAGTCGGTCGAGAAGGCCCTCTTGCGTGGCGATGTGGTAGAATAAATGCACGAGTGTAGCGGCTGTGGTGTCGGAACCGGCAACGATGATTAGTCGAGAATCGCCTTGCAATATGGGGAGTTGTGCCTTCTGGCTCTCAGGATCCGAATTGTTGAAATGCTCAATCAAAGTGTGACTAATATCGGGATCAGCCAATTTGCCTTGCATCTTCATACGGTTGTCGAGCTGCTCGCAACAGTAGTTCAAGAAGCGAAAGTGATCTGCAGCCGCGCCAGGAATGGCGAGCAGTAATCGAAAGAGCCAGCTGGGTAATTGGACGCCAACCATGTCCATGCCATCGTTCAGCAGTTTGATGGCCCAATGCATCTCGCCCGATTCGAGGCACCCGTAGGAGGCTCCAAAGGCGAGATCGCCCATTACGTCGAAGGAATAGAGGTTGAACCATTTCGACATGTCCATTGGTTGGCCTGGAGGAGTTAGAATGGCGCCCATATGTAGTCGACAGCTTCGGCGTCAGGAGCGTAGGGCAAGAGATAAGCGCCTATACATACCATGCGACTCTTCCAATTTCTGAATGAGGAGGGCATTGTACCTTTGTACTCGGTTCTCATATCCTCTCAACGCCTTGTCGCTGAAAGCAGGGCTCCAGATCCTGCGTCTCCGGTCGTGCACCGCCCTACTCCTCGTTTGGTGCAGAGAAGACCTAGGCAAATCCGTGTCATACCACTCGCTCTTGGTGCATTTCGTCTTCGGGCCCATGGTGATTTCCACGCCGTCAGGGTGCGTCACAGAAATGCCGTGCGGGTCGAGCCGGACAAACTTGCCGTACTTTTGATGCTGCGCGAGCAGGTACTGATTGAGGTTCTTTGCGCCGCCGACCTGGAAGCTAAGGTAGAAGCGAGAGAGGCGAGCCCAGTAGGGTCCAGGAATTTTGTTCAGCGGATTGAAGAAGAGGCGGTAGATGATGAGGCTGCTATAGAGGCCAGCAAGATACAGTGACGCATACTGGGCGGTGAATGAGATAGCGTCTCTGAGGGGACTATTGTAATAATGGATCTGTGCAATGGTTGTGACAACGCATCCGAGAAGGAATGCTTGAATGTATCGAGTAGGGTATAACCAGTGTTCGCCTATCTTGAAGTAGAACAAGTGGGATGCGACGCCCGCCGTAACGACAATCAAAGGCACGTACGTCGACGACATTGTGATGACAGAAGAGGGCACGTCGAGGCAGAGACAAGAGGGAGCCGCACTCCTGGACAGCAGAGGGCACAGTCTATAACTGAACACTCTTCCAGGAGAGATTGTTTGACCCGTACGGAGTATGTATTCTATATCTCCAAAAATCAGGATCGGCTTACCCAGGCCACTCATTGCCGGGCCGCCTGATGTCGCAAGGGTGCCTTAGGCCCAACAGCTGAGCTCGTGGTGGGCGAGTGCTGCGTTAGGAAACCATACTAGTAAGAACAAGGTTCGCATCGCTTAGTCGGCTGTACTGTCTCATGGCTAATTAAAGTATCGCACGAAAATGCGGGGATCTTGGCCAGTTTCTGGGGCTTTCCTGTGTCGTAGGGTTCGAGTCGAGCTGACTCGGCGATATCGATAGGGACGACTCGAAATTCGAAGTCGGTACGGAATACGACGGGCAGAGTTATGTCTGAGATGCACAGCCGAAGCGAACGCTTTCAATCCCAGAATCACGTCTTCTGAGAGAAGACGTAAAGGTCAGCTCACAAGCGTTGTAACGCACGCTACCAAGACTCGGTGCTGGTTGCCTGAAGATATTGGGTAGTGGCTGCTGTGAATATAATACGCGTATTCACTTGACCGGCAGGGGGACGAATGGCGCGGCAAAGGAGGCCTTGGACCCCTGAATATGCTACCCAGATAGAGCTTTGAACCGTACGTTGTGGTGCCCTGTACGAGTACGGAGTGTCACCTCAGGATCAGCCCTCGCTGTCGTTCAAAATTAGTCGTCGAAGGGTCTGTTCGGCAATGGGTGCACGCATGTCTCCCTTGCGTGGATGTCGCATCATCTGCCCCATTAAAAACTGCAACTTGCCAATTTTGCCCTTTTCAACGATATCGCGGACGTGCTGGGGATGTTTCTCGATGATATCCTTGGCAATTCCTTCGTAGGATTCCGAGGACATCTCGAAGAACCGCAAATCCTCCTGGGTGATAATATTCGGGACGGATCGTTTATCGCCATTGTAGATAAGCTTGAGAATCTGCTTGGCAGAGACACCAGTTATCTCATTTGCCTTCAGTCGGTAGATGAGATCGGCCATTGTTCTTGACGTTACTACATTGTCGTCCCAATGCCTGCCGTCCGAGGACAACAGTGCGCCCAACTCATGCAGCACCCAGTTTCCGACCAGTTTGCCGTGGTCACGGGTAGTGGTCTCGAATCTACTGCTGGCTATCAATTCGTCAACGACTTGTTGAAAGAAGATCAGCCTCTCGCCGTCGTCCAGTTGAACCAACGTGCTCGCATCGGCGAACGTGAGGTCGTAGTCGTTGACTAGCAAATGTACGAGGTCGCTTTCCGTGGGAGGTAGAGTCTTCTTGACCCAAGAAATCAGGTCGTTGCTGAGGTAGAGTGGCGGAATGTCAGCATCGGGCATGTATCTGTAGTCGACTTCGCCCTCTTTGCCTCGAAGTCTCTTTGTTTCGTTCGGGGTTGTCATGGACCAGCCCCTAGTCTCGCCTTCAACAACGCCGCCCTGCTCGAGAACCCTGATCTGGCGGTCTCGTTCGGCCTCTATTGCGTCCTCAATGCCTTTGAAGGTGCTGAGATTCTTGATTTCTGTACGCTGACCAAGCCCTGTCACGCCACTGTAGGCATACGGACCAGCTGCAGCATCGCGGCGACGAACAGACACATTGACATCTGCCCTAAGGCCGCCTTGTTCCATCCCGGTTGTAACAGAGTCGACCGCATAGAGGATTGACTGGATCTTTCGAACATATTGGGCGGCATCACGTGGGGAGTGCAAATCAGGGAGGGAGATGATCTCGACCAAGGCCTGGCCGCAGCGATTGAAGTCAATCAGGGCTGTATTGGCATCGTCCTCTTGGGTCCTTGCCGTGTCCTGCTCCAGTTGCACTTGCTTGATATTGACTGTTAGGGTCCTGCCCTCTTCCAGTCCGTCCTCGGCATTCAGGACGACTTGACCATTCTTCGCAAAGGGATAGTAGTACTGTGTTATCTGGTAGCCGGCAGGCTGGTCGTGGTAGAAGTAGTGCTTGCGGTCGAAGCCGCTGACTGGTTCCACGGTGCACCTGAGGGCGAGGGCCGCACGTAGAGCTGGCAGGACCACACCAGGCTGGAGGACTGGGAGACTGCCCGGCAAAGCGATGTCGAAGGGAGCGATCTGATCATTTGGGGTAGCGCTTGGTGCGGTTATGGCGGCTAGTAACGCATTAGCCAGGCATCAGGTGGGTAGGAAAGACAGTAGTATTTACGTGAGAATAACTTTCGGGATACATTGAGCTGAGCATGGATCTCGATGCCCACAGTCAGTTCCCAGTCGTCGAGTATATCACGTCTTGCCGTCGTGGGGCCCGCGGCAGGAGCCACTCGGGCAGCTTTGGCAGCATCCTTTAACTGTTTGCGCAGAGGAGCACGATCATTCTGCAGCCACGGCGTGTATGAGTGAAATGGCCGGAGACTGCTGAGAGGCCGGAGTGGAAGGCGCTGGCGAGTCCATGCCAAACATCTTCCGTGCATCGGCTGCTAAAAGGCCTGCACCATGAACAAACAGCCAGGGAGGTTTGGCGACACGGTAATACGGGAATGGACTAACACCAAGCTGACGGTACCTGGGAAATCGATAGAGGACACGATGCTTGTGTGGCTTATGCCTAACCGTAGCACGTCTCGCACTCTCGCGCGGTCCCCTTAGGCAACCGTAGCCGGTGGAGCGGAATAATATATATCCGCTTTCGAGGAACCCTACCACCACAACTGTGCCAACATATGAGGTCAAGGGCTACTCCGTACATGCTCAAGGTTTCACAACAATGTCTTCGTGCTTCCTTACCTATGCCGAGCTCACAGGCTGCAACAGCATGATGCGGCAATCATGTCTGGCGGACCAGTGTTAGGGCTGCTGCTCAAGCTTCCCTCATCGTTAGCCTTGCCCTTCGGCTGCTAATCCGCGTCCCTCTCTCACCAACGGCTCGAGCTCGTGCGTGGGGAGATCAACACCACGTTTTCTTTCCACCTGAACCTTGCGAAATATCTCTCTACTCTTGAACCGTTTGGGTAGTCTTTCCCTTCTAAATGCTTCCCCAGGTCACCAAAATGGTACTGTCGATATGAAGTTGAATTCCCTGCCGCTGGTTGGCGGCCCCCAGCTTTACCAGGAATTCTGGAGCCGGCCGGGGTCGAAACCGTGGACTTTAGCCACCACCACCACCACTCTGGGCTTGTTCCTGGGGATCGGTGCACTGTTCCTTGCAAGATCCTACCTCTCGACAGATCGGGGTGCAGAAGAAGAAGTTTCTGCACCGGAAAGCGATCATCCTGCACTCAAAACCCACTCGACTACACGGCCATACAAGACGAAGTACGCAGAATATCCCTCTATAAGGACGTTCTACCATCCTCACGCTCATGCGGAAAAGTCACAAGTCATCGCAGACCTGCCTTTGCTGGTATTTATCCACGGGCTGGGCGGCTCGTTGCCTCAATTTGCGCCATTGCTGGGTAGTCTGGTTAATATCGCCCCGTGCTTTGGACTCGATCTGCCGGGCCATGGCATGTCGGCTTTCTCGCCTCAGGCTTACAATGCCTACGGAACCACAGCATTTTGTGAGCTATGGCAGACGGCGATCCGGGAAATCTGCGAGGAGCACGGACACAAGAAGGTCCTGTTCATCGGTCACAGCATGGGCTGCTCGATCGCGGCTCTGTTGGCCACCGATCCCTCTTTCCCGCTCGAAGTGGTAGGGTTTGTTGGCATCTGTCCGAAAGCAACACCACCGTCACCATCAGAGTCTGCCTCGGCAATGCGATTCCTCTCGTTGCCGGATCCGGTGCTCAACGTCTTGCGCATGTTGGACAGAAGGGGTGGAGTCAACTCAAAAAGCGTCGAGAGAATGGCCGGCAAGGCTGCAGGTGTAGACCTCCGACGTCTGCAATTAGCATACAACAAGAGCTTCAAGACGCCCGTATGGAAGCGCTCAGCTTTGGGTTGCCTACCAGTGTACGACTCCGTCGGAAAAGCAATCGGCGGTCTGCCTGGCAGGGAGGTCTGGGCCAGAATCCGGGTGCCTCTTCTCCTCGTAGCAGGAGAAGCAGACACAGTCACCAAGCCGACCGAAGTCGCAAAGATTGTCTCCTTTCTCGAGGAACCAGCACGCCAGAGCATTCAAGACGCCACCACGACAGCAGAACGACCACACAACACTACCGATCCCATACCTGACGATACGCCAACAACCAGCCAAGATAGCGCCAACGACTCTACAGCGGACGAACGCAAATTCGGCACCCTCCCTTCCACCACAGAGACATCCAGCCACAATTCGAAGGTGGTAAAGACGGCCATCCTGCCCTCTCCTGCCGCCCACGCCCTGATGTACGACCACTCGACCTACCGCACCGTGGCCGGCCTGATCGAGGACTTCCTCGCCCGCTACATCTCCCCCCAACTATCCCTCGGCTGGCAACTCCAACAACTCACCACCTCCGGCAAATGGGACGTGAAGAACCTGGAGAAATGGAAAAAGGTCCTTCCGGTCTCTGGCCCCATCGGCCATCCTCCCTCGCAAGGCATATTCCGGGCGTTGAAGACACTGAGAGAGCAAGACGAAATCCACACGCCGAGCGTATTTCTGAAGGAGTGGCGCGACAAGATCTTCGCCGTGATTGACATCTCACACGATTCGCCCGTCTACGACACGGCCTCGCTCGAAAGGGGCGGCATCCAGTACCACAAATTCCCAACCGTCTCCAAAGTGCCGCCCACAACCGTCGAGGTCGTGGACTTTATTGCCCTCGTCGACCGCCTCCGCGTGGAACTGGAACAACAACAGTCGGGCTGTAGCAAAAACATTGGCGTCCACTGCCACTACGGGTACAACCGCACGGGATTCTTCATCTGCTGCTATTTGATCGAGCGGTGCGGGTATCGCGCGCAGGACGCGCTGGACGAGTTTGCGGCCCAGAAACCGCCGGGCATCAAGCATGAGCATTTCATCGATACACTGTTTATGCGGTATCATGTCGGACTGAAGAAGGCGCCGACGCTGGTGGGGGCGGCGGCCATGGAGGACAATCCCCAGACCCGGAGTATGGCGGGCTCGGGCGTCGAGAGCGTGGGGTCTACGGATTCATAACGTGTAGAATAGAGGACATGAAGAATGCGTTCCTGCGTAGAGTGACGAGATCAGCCGGCCAGCCAGCCAGCCAGACATTCTTGTCCCCACCTGTCCAGTCGGTGCTGCATAGAGTGATATTGTACGCCACTGCGAGGCGCGTGAAAATCCAAGAAAGAGTGTGGAATCAAATCGTCGCCATCGCTGATACGGTACTGACGACGCACATGAAATGAGATACACTAAACAGCCGTTAATCACGACCACGTCGCACTTTCTTTTTCCTACGGTTCCTCGCTTGCTTGCTTTGCACGCCTACCCACCATCCCGCAGTGCAGGTCAGTACAGCACACCTATGTACCACGTCGACCCGGTGCCTACAACAACTTCAACTCCACAAAAGCCTTGACGACCGCATCGTCAATCCTGCCCAGCCACTCCGCCTGAAAAGCCTGTTCGCCACCGACCCTGCCGACAATGCCCCTTAGCTGCTCGGCAACGAAAGCGCGCACATTCACATTGTAAATCGGGTCATTGTTACTGACGATCCTCTTGCGGCCATCCTCGGGCGTCGCGTCCGGCCACTCAGGCACGTCGCCTCCACTACCGTGCCGGTTGTGGAACAGGTAGTCGCCCTGGCTGTCGTCGGCGGCCTCGAAGCCCAGCTCCGTGCAGACGTCCGTCCAGATGGTGAACAGGGTCTGCAGGTTCTCGAGCATGATGGTCGGGAAGAAGGGCGGTATGGTGGCGCCGAGAAGCGCTGTCAGGGCGAGGACTTGCAGCTTTTTGCGCAGGATGTCGCCTACGCTGTCGATGTGGGTAAGCCATTCGGCCACTAGCCATTGGATGGGTCGGAGGTGGACGTTGTGCGAAGACGTGCCAGCTGTGATGTCTGTCGCGGAGATGGCTTGGGCGAATTTGTCGGGTGAGAGGAGCGCGATGCGCGCTAAGAGGTTGAATAAACTGGTCTCCCCCGGGCCGATGATTTCGGGTGGTTTCTTGCTGGGACGCGGGTCCTGGTGGTATTCGTATGCTTCTTTGAGTGGCTGCAGGAGCGCAGCTAGGTAGCCTGTGTGCAGCATTGATTCGAGGAGGTGGGTCAGCGCTTGTTGAGGGTCTAGTGGGCAGAGAGACGGGATGGAGATTGTGGCGGCGAGATTCTCCAGGACGTGGGGCGCGAGAGAGGCGTCTCGGGCACGGCTGGTCGAGAGGGCGGCGAGCAGAGATTTGAGGCTTGTGAGAAGTGGCGCCAGGAAGTCAGGTGCCAGAATGGTCGCAGGCGATAATATCGTGTACGATTTGGCAAGCTCAAAAATTTGGCGCAGCAGGTCGCTACCCATGTCGAGGAGTGGGAGGAGCGAGCGAGATAGGGATAATAGGTGGGGGGACGCGCTGTCTGTAGGTGCATGTTGGATGATGGCGGTCCATAGCTCGAGAGCCTCCTCCAACAAGTATACTATGGCTTCTGATTGCGGTTGGATGGAGTCGTGGATCAGAGGGAGGATGGGTCCATGGTAGGCGAGGCTCTTCTGGCCGAGGCTGTTGACGATGGCTGTGATCATGGTCAAGATGGCCTGTTTCATCAAGTGCTCTTCACCGGATTCCGCCCACAGCGGCGGAAGCATGGACATGATACCCTGGGCGTACGGTTCGATGTGTCCTTCAAGTCTCGTGACGGCCACTCGGACCGTCTCCAGGAGTGCCATCTTCGTTTCGGACAGCTCGGTGTCGGCAACCAGAGACATCACGTTTTCCAGCAATGGCGTGGCGTAGGTTTGGAAATCCGCGAAATTGAACTCGAAGGGCTCAAGGATCAGCCGCAGTTGACGGGCTGCTGTTACTCGAACGACGTGATCGTTAAGCGGTTCTCGGCTGGAAAGCAAATGGGCAAATATCTGGTATACAGCCAGTCGATCCAGTGTCTCGGGTTTGATGGGTACCCAGTGACCCAAGAGGATGGCGGTTCTTCGGCGTAAGAGGTTGTAATTCGGTTCATTCATTTGGACTTCAGGGACTAGGGTGGTTCGAAGGAAGGTGTTGAAATCGAGGACATCCTCCAAGCAAGCGGCGGCGATACCGATGGCAGAGTACAGACTGTCCTTGAGGAGGACATCGGTGTTGGAAATGGTGGCGTAGCGCTGGAAGACCTCGAGTAACCGCGGTACAAGTAGCTCCTTGAAATTGATGACCAAGTCCAGAAACAGCTTCTCCGAACATGAGCGAATCGAGAACTCCCACGCATCTGTGATCTCTTCTTCCCGTCGTTCCCACTCATCTGGTTCTTCCTCCCACTCTCGTAGGTCCGAAGGACGAAGTACAAAATACTGCGTGACCAGTAGTTCCATCAATCGAATGACGAAGTCTTGGGTAAGGACGGTATTCTTGATGTACTCGACGGCATCTTTTCTGTCGTTCTTGTCCTCGGGAGTGACGTATTTGAAGGTCTGCACTGGATTGAAAACCATTTTCAGGCAAGCCCGGAACAGTAATAGGCCCTTCAGGCAGAGCTTCTCGATGGGTGACTCCTCATTCCTATCACCGTTGCGATATACCTTCCAGTCGAAGTTGCCTTGCAGAAGTGGCTGCTTGGCATAGCCTTGACTGATGATAGTCCAAGAGCGGTTCAGAATGTCCATGCAGCCGAGTAAGACAAAGGATGCTGGATGATTCCGAGCCGTGTCAAGGTATAGCTTCGATAACTGGAGCAGGTGCTTCAGCAGCATGCCTCGCATCTCCTCGGAAACATCTTGTGTGTAAGCTGCCCAGAAGGACTGTTGTTGCGTCTGCAGCAGGTCCCAGAACTGTTTGACGGCATCTTCGCGATGGGGTCGCTCAAAGCCTGCGATCACCAGGCGACGTAGAGTCTTGAGTGCGGAATGGCTGCTGACTATGCTAGACATATCGGACTGATTGGACTGCCACCTTCCCACCAAGCTGATGTAGAGACTGCCAAGAACCTGAAGAAGCTCCGATGAGACATCTTGAAGGCTCCTCTTCGTGCGCTGTAATCGTGCTGAAGCCAGTTCTTTGATGATTTGCAGGGTGATAGTCAAGATGTTGGATATGTACAGAGAATTGCTGGGTTCTTGACCCGCGGCTCGAAGGTGCTGAATTATCACACTGATGACATCCGGCCAGTCATGTGGGAATTCGTACCTAACGATTTTCGCCAACATCAAGGCATTCTGGAGAGCGAGTGCAGAGACAGGTTCACGGACACCTGCATCGATCGATCTTGACTTGATTTGCTCTTTCTCAGCCTTGGTGATGGGGTTGATTGCCGTTTTCCGCCAGTGCTTGTCGATGCCGTTTTTGAGTTGAATGATGGCTTGGAAGCGGACTTCTTGGCCAAGGGAGAAGTCGGAGTAGACACCCTGGAGAAGGGCATAATAGCCCGCGGACTTTTCCCAGTTGCCTATCTGTTGCGTCGCTGTCTTCAAGCTCTGAGCCGTGGGATGTGACGCGTTTGTGAGGGTTGATATAACAGCATCTCTCGTGAGCGGGTTCGTTTCCCCCTCCGCTTCGATGGTGAAAGAAGGCATCTTGCAGAGAAGCGGCCTAGAGAACCCTGATGATCATGTTGAGATGAGGATGAGTGATTGAGAAGAAGGGCAAGTGGCCTGGGTATCCAACAAAAATCTCATCAACATGAGACGGACAATGCCTGAAGAAGGCTGAAAATGAAACAAAGGAGCCGCAGCCTTTCGGAGTGGCGTCAACCAGGACAGCGTGGGTCGTGCGTGTCTGGTGTACAGGGGATGTGGTCTTGGTGGTGTGGCTAATTAATCGACCGCCATCTTAAAGCGGCGGACCGGCCAATCTGCCACCGAAGCATTGCCTCGACTTACTCGATGCCTCAGCTGCGGCCAACTGAACACGATCATTTACATCTGTTCGTTCTTTCCTCCCTGCTCTCCTCCCATGACGACGCCATGTCCCCTAGCAGCTTCGCCGCTGCCCAAGAGCGCGTTTTGGCGCGACAGGTAGCCAGACAACAAGAAGCCCGAGCCCTCCGTCCCCCGGTCCAGGCAACGAATGGCCGACCCTCGTTTACGCGACTTACACAGTCTGTGCGGCCCGGAGTCTTATCGTTGTGGATGACGTTACTAGACTCCGAGGGCACGAGGCCTGCTTTTAGGGTCGGCCAGGTGGATGCAGAGCTTCTGGATGAAGAATTGCTAGGGTTGTTGAAGACTCAAGTAGGAGACGCATTGAAATACCTCGGGCCGCATTTGCAGGACGACTGGTCTCAAGAAATCCTACTTGTCCTGAGAGCCGTCCTCTTCAAACTATCCATATGGGACAACGATGCTTCGTACGGCGCAGCGCTGCAGAACCTCCGATACGCGGACGCGAGGAAGCAGACCCTGGCACTTCCGAAGCCGACGTGGTGGCAGAAGAGTCTGTACGGTTTGATTACAGTGTTCGGCCGCTATGGATGGGACAAATGGGAGGACTGGCTCATCGATCAGGAGAGGGGATATACAGCTCCCTCAGAGCCCGTCCAGAGGCTCATGCGTCTTACGTCCTTTGTGTCCACAACCCACTCGATTGCGGCCTTCTTTTCTTTCCTGGTTTTCCTGGTCAATGGCCGCTACCGGACATTAACAGACCGTCTTCTCAGATTGAGATTGGCTTCACCATCAAACCAAGTCAGTCGTGAGGTCTCCTTTGAGTACCTCAACCGTCAATTGGTCTGGCACGCATTCACCGAGTTCCTATTATTCCTACTGCCCCTGGTGGGCATCAGACGGTGGAGGAAGTGGCTTGTGAGGGCATGGAAGAGAACCAAGGATGCCATGAAGTCGGAAAATACGGGAGATGATGAGGACCGGGCAAAGACAGGGCCGCTGGCTTTTCTACCAGAAAGGACATGCGCCATCTGCTATCAGGATCAGAATCCCACGTCAACATCCGAAGCTGAAATACTTGGCGCCAATACAGCAGCCGGCGGTGGCGTCGTTGGCTCAGCTAATACCGATGTCGTTAATCCTTACGAGACCATTCCTTGCAGCTGCATCTATTGCTTTGTCTGCATCGCCACCAAGATCGAAGCAGAAGAAGGTGGTGGCTGGACTTGTTTACGCTGCGGAGAGATTGTCTACAAGTGTCGGCCGTGGAACGGCGATGTGGTTGTAGAGCAAGAGAAGAAGGCCACTAGCAAGACCGCGAAGTTTGTCGACTTTTCTGTGTCGAAAAACGACTTAGATGAGGACTCTCGAAACGAATCTTCAGAAAGGGATTCAGAGATGATTGATCCCACCCTTGCAGGTAGCCAGTGGACTATGGCAGATCAAGACAGTCCAGGCGGCTGAAAGGTCGAGCCCCAGACCCGACAGACTACTCTTCTTACTCATCTCCTCCCCGACAGCCCCCCTATCGGATCAGGAACAACACACCACCGATCAAAGGCGCGACATCAGCCATTCAAGTATACGACTTTCCGTTGGCGATCAAATTCTGATATGTTTCCTTATCGTGGCCCGGAATCACCTGGCCCTTTGTCGTCCTCTCCAGGTGCTTCAACCGCTGAGTGCTCTGGAACCATGCCGGATGATCTCTAGCCAGCCAGCCTTGTGGGATCCCATCACGCCACTACATCCAGGTGTCAGCTCCAGCCCACACAAGAGGTCGCTACCACTTACATTCTCGATCACGTGGCAGTGGTCACTAATGAAGAAGAAGGTCCCGCTATCTGGCATATTGATCTGCATTCCGATCAAGCCTGTCGACGTCAGAAGTTCGTTCTCTTCAACGCACCCGGGTGTAACTCACCATCGGTGTGACCAGGCAGATGGTGCAGTGTGATGCCCTGGCAGAAATCGAATGTTCGCTCGTCGAAGGTCTTCCAGTTCCTGCGAAGTGTCAAGAGTGCCCCCTTGAATCTGATTGGGGAAAGCGACGTACAAGCTCAGCTTCAGATAGTGTTCGAGGTAAACGCCGACGTCTGCCCCGGTTGCCACAGACCAGAACGCAGATCTCAACTCGCGGTCGTGCACCCAGATTTCGACATCCTTCCTGTCCAGGAATTCGTCCAGTCCACCGGCATGGTCAAGATGCAGATGGCCAATGATGATCTTCTTGATATCTTCCAGTTTATTTCCGGTGGCCTCCACCGCTGCCCTGAGCTCATGCTGCGGCTCATAACGGACACGAGAGAAGACGTCAGCGAGGGCAGGGCCCCAGACTTCAGGATAGTCCTTTCCGCAACCAGTTTCCCACAATATGAGGCCTTCATGTGGATGTTCGATGAGGACACAATAGACTGGCAATTCTCTCCGCTTGTTGACAAATGCTTTGTTCTCCGTACTTTTCAAGCTTGTATTGCCTCCACGGACCACAAACGCCTCGTCGCACTCGAGCCAGCCTACCTCAAGGATGTGGAACTTGGTACCTTTGGGGCAGACATTGGAGATGTGATTGGGCACAGCGCCACGGTCGAGTTGTCCTTGGATGCCAGCCATGATCACGCGAGGCAACGTTTTGTTCACCGAATACAGCAAGAAGCAGTCCTTGAGAGATGAGGGCGCTTGGATTCACAGCTGGGATTTGAGGGGGACATCATCAACTCACCCCGCATTTAAATCCCTTTTTCCTCCACTCGCGGAGTGCGCGATGTCGAGCAAGAGGAGTAGCAGAGAGGCGTCAGTCCGAGAATGTGGAAACTACGAGGGCCAGCAATCGCTCGCTTCCGAGACTGCAGCGACATCTCGAAGCAGCTAGGTTGACGCCATAGTGGTGGTGAAGCTCTAATCTCGCACCAACGGGAGGGTTGATGGCCCTTGACAAGGCGGGGAAGCGAACGAACGACATGCTTAGACGGAATGTAAATTGGAAGCTGTGACGTTTTATTCTCGGTCCACAGCCAAAGATCTTCAACTAAATGTGAGCTCTTGCAGCAGCTGACGAGCTGACCTCTGTGCCTCTTCTCGCAGATGGGGAATGTCCGAGGCTCCTGCTGCTGTTTTCTCCAACTCGCAACCTTTTTCACGTCTCCACACGTGGAATGGCGTCACACTTCTGTGCTGGAATCGCTGTCTGGTTCGTTTAGGTGTGCTTGCTCGGTCTGTCCTTTTCCTGTATCTTATTTTGCTGGAGAAGCTTCATCTTCATCTCAACTTTTCGATTCCACTTCCTCAACTTCCGCATATGGAACGGGCAAGTGTAGTGGCTACACAAAAGCTTTGAGCGATGTTGAGAGAGATGTGGGAACGCCCGTAGTACGATCTTTAAATGGCCTGAAGCGTTGTGTTCGGCCTCCTCCGTGGCGGCAGTCTTGATGAAGAAAGGGTCATTCACGATCATGGTCGTCATGGACTTGCTGGTCAAAGCCAACAGCACGAAATCGCGGTAGGAGAGGTAGGAGAGAACGCTCAGACAAAGCTCTGGTGGGAAGCCAGTGAGGTGCGCGATGATTTCGAGGAGGCCGCCTGCCAGTTGCGGAGTATTGTTTGACACGGTCGCGAGTATCTGGCATCACCTTGTCAGAGGTTTTACTTCCTTATGAGCCGGTGCACCCGTACCTTCTGGGAAATATGGAACGGAATGATCGGTTGTGATACAACGTCTTCTATCGCCTCGTCGGAAGCAATCATGACGGTTATCTCGCCTTGGCCTACTCTGAAGAACCTGGACGGCAGTACTGGATCTGGAGAGCTGACGGTGGCGGCCATAGTGTTAGACAGCGACAGATGGGGACACAAGCAGGAAGTCAGCATTCTTGATCATGTTGCCGACATAAAATGCCCCGGAAAGGTCGCTGCTGGTGTTGAAAGTGTTTTACTGACGCTGAGCTGTCAATGTCTAGAGTGACATTCATTCAATAGGTGCTTCACTTGTCACTGACATAACGTGACAATATCGCGTTCACCTATTGTAACGGCCATTCAGACAGCTATTGTGTTCATAGTGGGTGAAGAGTGCTGTTCCTGTCATGCGTCGTCTCTTGAGCTTGCATGATACATATGCCGATGGGCTTGTCCTGGTAGGGAAGCCACAACCTTTGAAACATAAGTCTGAGAGATTGGGGCTGTACACGACGAGACACAACCTCCTGAAGGCTATTCCCTTCATATCGCTCCCTAGAAGGATCTATCTATTCACCGTCTCCCATAGAGATCCAGGAATCAAAGGACACGGAGAACGGCGCAAAGCAATAGACTCGCCCTTGCTGATGTCACGGGCCGGAACGGGCTAGGGCGGATACTAAGTGGCTCGCCCGGATCTGGACCGATCGCTGAGTCTTGACTGAACGGCACTGCCACTTGGATGAATCACCAACACAGTCACCTCGCACTCTATCTCAACCCACCCTTGGCCAGTATAACAAGACAGCTGTGCTCTTCCTCCTCAGACTTCCCACGCCTCGGACTGCACACAACCTCGAAGATATGACACCTCATGCTCTACAGTCCTCTTCACCCAGCAAGCCCACCTTCCTCTAACCGCCCCACGCTCCACCCGAGGTCTACCTCTCCTCTCGCCTCCCATGACGGAAGTCGAATCCCTGTCATGGGATCTAAACGATGCTATCAAACTGTTGAACAATCTCTCCTTCCAACGACGCGATCCCGCGCCCAGCCATCAGCCGGACCCCCACTTCAATGAAGCTCTAGCTGAGCAAAACAATCTCGAAGGCTCCCTGGGGGATTTTTCTGCCCTGTGGGATTTTCTGAAGCGCCCGCATGTTCCTGACGAGGCACAGACTGCCGAGCTAGTGAAGTATGAGATCAACGACGAAGCCGTGGCTGAGGTCGATCTCAACCAGCTGAATAAGGGCGTGAGGTGGCGAGACGAGGTGGATGGCGCCGATCTGGAAGACAACGTTGAGCCGGTCGGTGACAAGATCACTGCTGCATACCTACGCAATCAGAAGCGCGCAGCGAGACGAGCAAAAGCGAAGGAGAAAGCCGCACAGATTGCGACTCAACAAAAGACCGCCTCTGACACCACCGACCATGAGTCGGGAGAGGAGCTGGAATCGCTCCGCCGCTCGCCGGACCGCAGAGCCGTTATTGACAGGATTCTCGGTCGAAGCCGGCCTGGCCTCCACGATAACAGTTCTCCGCCTACGTCCCCGTCACCTCCCAAAGCTGAACTCAGAACTCCGAAACGCGATTTGCCTGTCTCCAATCCCTTTATCTGGAACAGCCCCGCCACCACAACGCCGTCTAAGAACACAACCATCGCTCCTCGCGGTCAGCCCAATCCGAGAGAAAGAAAACACGCGTTGATCACTGAGTTGATCCGCCAATACTCGGCAGAGAAAAAATATCTGAAGAACGCCGGTTTACTGGAACCTGCTTTTACACCCTTGAACGTCTCCAGTATCGGGATACACGTCTTTGTTGACATGTCCAACATATCCATCGGTTTCCACGACTGTCTGAAAATAGCACGCGGAATGTCCCGCGAGACCCGTCTCAAACGCGTCCCACTCTCTTTTCACAACTTTTCCCTCGTGCTCGAACGAGGCCGACCGGCCGCCAAACGCGTCCTGGTTGGATCCGACAAGTATGCGGCAATTCAAAAAGCCAAATCGATCGGCTATGAGACGAACATTCTTGAGCGCGTGCACAAGGCCAAGGAGCTGACGCCGCGTCAAAAGAAGTACCAGTCCCGATCTGGAGGGGAAACCAGTGGATCTGAAACGAACACTGGCCTTCCTTCCATGACATTCGGGGCAGAGAAATGGGTCGAGCAGGCTGTGGACGAAATTCTACACTTGAAGATCCTCGAGTCATTGATCGACGCGAAGAAACCTAGCACCATCGTCCTCGCCACCGGCGACGCTGCCGAGGCCGAGTACTCTGGCGGATTTCTGCGCATGGTCGAAAGAGCTTTGGAAAAGGGCTGGTGCGTCGAGTTGGTGAGCTTCAAACTGAACACCAGCAGTCTGTATAAGAGAAGGGACTTCCGTTCGAGATGGGGCCAGATGTTCAAGTGGATTGAGCTTGATCCTTTTGTGGAGTATTTGATCGACGAGGAAGAAGATGGTGGCTAGTGGTCGCCTTCTCTCTCCTCCAGTCGGTCATCAAGACCAACACCAGCGGCAGAGCTCACCATGGCACTTTTGCCAAGTCCACGTACAAGCGTCCTGACAGCTGGTCACAGGACTGTGCTGGACGCCCAAAGACGGCTTCAAGGCATGCAACAGGCCATGTTCATTGACCAGCTTGCTTACACGAGCATAGCGAGGTTCTGAATAGTTTGATGGAACCGCTGTGTGTGATTTATACGAATCTGGACTCCAGTATTGCAGCTGTCGCAGCTGAGGGCACTTTGGGGTCACAGCCAGTTGGCCCTCGATGGATAGCGATAGCTGATATGTGAACAAAGCCAGATGATGAAAGCCTGTCTACTACAATGTTCAGGGCTTTTGTCAATTCGAACACTCTTGATTTCGAGATCCACGTTTTGTCCGGCTTTGTTGGTTGAACCGGGGTCGAACGAACAACTACGTAGTTTCCCCCGTACAACCCCGTGTGGGTGCCGTGAGCCTGCGTACGAGGTCTGCAGAGGCTCCCCGCGCCATGCGAACCCAGTTGCGCCAGCGCACATGAGTGAAGGCTCAGGTCACGGACCGCTGCACCTAAAAACGTGAATGTTCATATCCAGAAGTCGGTCTGCATATAGGCGGACTAACCGTTCGGCCGAAAAAGAACTTAGAAAGGATACGCCGCGAGCGTGGCACGACGAAATCCTCGATGGAAACACAACACCATCATGATCTGTACAATCATCGTCCGTACAGACAGGCGCCAAACATCGACATTCTAGCCCCACGCCGCAATCCCCAGGGAGCAGAGCGGCGCGAACACGATCCCCCTTCCTAATGTAACTCGTTCAGACGCGTGGGCTTGGGGCTCGGCCTCTCGCAGTTGCCATATGTCCGAACACCTCGTCTTCAGCCCTGGGTGAGCCCTGCCCTCGCCCCTTCGCACCTTCGTACAGTGGCCACAGCTCGTTCGTCCGTGGATGCTCCGCCTCCAGTCGGCGCTACTCGCTGTACGAGCTACATGACGCCCCTGCTGCAAACGCAGAGTTGATTCAAAATGCCTCCGAACGAGCGAAGGTCGACGCATGTCATGCTCCCGACAACATTACGACACTAAGCTTGGGGACTTACAGCTTGCTTTGAAACGGAGCAACGTCCCTGTGTTTCACGTGCACATGCTCGCGCCTTGTATGCGAACTGAAGAGGCAGAGTTGTGGGCCGACGCGAGAGTCGTCAAGCCCGCTTCGTCGTACTTCACACTCGTACGTTGGGTATCAGGACCGTTTTGGCCGTTGAGCCTTGCTCGTACAGTACTATCTACCAACGGTGACTGTTGTGATACTCGCACGGTCAGGGCTACGAGGACGTAGACGTAACAGTACATAAGGTAGTTGCTCCGGAGGCGCACCTTGGATCACACCTCTCCCACCTCGAGCTGTACCGATAAGCAAGATCTCGGCGAGGCGCCGCTCTGGTCGAAAGCTCAGACAGACAGACAGATTTTACCACCACATTCTTAATCGAAGCAGCTCTCGCCTCAACGCCCGCTACCGCATCAGTTCTTGCCACATGGTCTCTACGGCGGCGGAATCCGGCAGCACAAGCGTCAGCTTCGTCGGGTCTGCAATGGACGAAGATCCCGAGAAGTTGAAGACCGCAGCATTACCTCAGCCAGCGGGAGATGTGGATGTGCATGGAGAGAGTGAGAAGACCGTCGAAGAAGCTCGTGATGGCAACATTGCAGTCCCTCAGGGGATCAATCCGATGGACCCATCTCAATTCCCCGAGGGAGGGCTTGAAGCGTGGACTGTCGTGTTTGGGGCCGCCTGTGGGATATATGTCAGCTTTGGCTGGATCAATTGTGAGTCTTTTCAATCCTTTGATCTTTACCGCTGCTTGGGTTCATCGCTTGACTTGGTAGCGATGGCTGGGTTCTCAATCCCGTGATCTATACCGCTGTTTCAGTTCTAATTTCCTGGCGTACATAGGCATCGGCGTGTTTCAAGAATACTACCAATCGCATCAACTCAAAGAGTATACGTCGCAAGAAGTCGCTTGGATTCCATCCCTCGAGGCGTTTATGATGTTCATTGGTGGCCTGTGGGTCGGTCGAGTCTACGGTATGTAAATAAGCCTTCTTCCGGCGTTGTCCACGACTGACTAACGACGCTCAGACAACTACGGTCCCCGTATTTTACTTTTCGTCGGCACCTTTCTGCACGTCTTTGGCTTGATGATGGCATCCATCTCCCACACGTACTACCAGTTCCTGCTCTCGCAGGGCGTCTGCTCCGCGCTGGGCGCGTCGATGATATTCTACCCCTCCATGTCCTGCGTAGTGACATACTTTTTCCGCCGTCGGTCGCTCGCTTTGGGTATTGCGGCAACTGGATCGAGTATTGGAGGCGTCATTTTCCCAGTTATGGTGGAGAGGCTGATTCCGCAAGTCGGCTTCGGCTGGACGATGCGCATCTGCGCCTTTATGGTTCTGGGCTTGATGGTACTGGGAAACTTGACGCTGAGGAGCCGCATCCCGCCTACAGCGAAACCCGTCCATGCTATGGACTTTGTGAGGCCCTTTCTGGAGCCGAATTTTGCACTGTTGGCGCTCGGAAGTTTCCTTACGTTCTTGGGTGAGTCGCACACAGCTTTCAGCTGACACCATCGCTCAAGCTCACACAACCCAACAGGTCTCTTCCTCCCCTTCACGTTCATCATCCTCGCCGCACGCGATCGTGGCGTCCCCGACAGTCTGGCCAAATACCTCGTCGCAGTCCTCAACGCGGGGTCCACATTCGGCCGGACGATCCCGCCGTTCTTCGCGGATCGACTCGGTCGCTTCACGGTCTTCCTGGCCATGGGTCTTGTCTGTTGTGTCATCGTCCTCGCACTCTGGCTTCCCTCATCCGGCACGGCCGCCACGGTCGTCTTTTGTCTCGTCTTCGGGTTTTCGAGTGGTGCCGTGGCCAGCATCTTGCCCAGCCTCGTCGCGACAATCAGCCACATCAGCCAGATCGGCGTGCGTACGGGGTGCAATTTCAGTGTCGTTGCAGTGGCGGTTTTGATTGGGAGTCCCATTGGGGGCCAGTTGATCCAGAATGACGGGTACAAGAGCATGCAGGGCTTCAGTGGTGCATTATTAGGTGGCGGGTTCATTGTGTACTCTGTGTTGTGGGTCAGGCTGGGAGGGCTGAAGGGAAAGAGGGTGTAAGTGGCAGAGGCACAAGTAGATATGCCGAGAACTGTAACTTGGTGGCTCGCGAGCTCCATGTAGAAATACAAGACGCCGTAAACTCCACGCACACACACGCACAGATGGCGCCTGCAATTCTTAGGTACAGTAGCGACGAGGTGGAGGCCGCACTTAGTTGTTCCTGCCTGCCGCATGAAACCTGTCGCATCGCGTTTTTTTCCCCTCCTCCACGCAGCTGTCTGTCAGTGACGCCTTGGGCGGAAGCCTGCCTCCTGTCTTGCTTGCATGCGCTTACCTACCATCTCCTGCCGACGGGATACGGAGCTCGGCCTGGTGGGAAATTTTCTGGACACGATATTCGTAGGCTTACCTGGGTTCTCGCTCCCCCAAGACCTAGCATATCGATGGCTTTCGCGAAGTCGATCCAGTGGAGGCGGATTGTGTGCATCTTGTGGTTCCCGTTGGGCACACAGCCCTGCGGTGCTGATGATAATAATGTCGCACTGAGTTTCAGTTTTCCTGCAAGCACCAGCCGACAAGCAACCGATAGTGATGGCCCTCCGATGGTCTGAATTTCTCCAGGCACCGGCCAACAATTGGAAGCAAAGGGCTTTGATGTCGCGCCGAACATCAGATTTCCTCCGAGCAGTGGTATATATGCAAACGGAGTTGACGGCGATGCCGCTCCGGAGTTCAGGATTCCTCCAAGCGCTGGTCAACAATTAGAAGCGAACGAAGTTGACGGTGATAGCGCCCCGAACTTCAAATTCCCTCCAGACACCTCCCAACAGGCAAAAGACGAGATGACCACAGCCCTGAAAGACGCCATGACGCTGGCGAGACTGGTGGCCATCACCTCGGTCCCTTGCGACGCGGTAAGAAGGGTCCATCCGGGGAGTTCTGTGGCTATTAACACAATCTTCAGGGCTTTCTGCGATACTTCCAACCACAAGACTACTTGTTCGTGCAGCGAGTCTTCCGCACCATTGCCAACATCCCCTTTGGTCAGCAGTTTGACCCCCGCAATATCGGCGGGCTTTTGACGTCGATGGACAAGGAGGCAATCCTGAACCCCAAATTCGAGGACTTGTCAATCTCTCTCGGAGACCACCCTGACGTGCGCGAGGAGGATCGCGGGAGGGGTTGCAAGGATGGCAAGCTCGGAGCGCAAACGACATACCTGCCTTCAATGTATGGTAACCGCGCGTTGATGGCGCTTTGCCAACCGTCATTTGAGTTCTACTACTCTCTGCAGGACATTGAGCATCCACCTGAGTGGGCCTTGACCGCGCCAGGCGGCAAGCCCGAGGGCGGATTCAGCTGTGACGGCTTGCTCGATAGAGACAGCAGCTACATGCTCAGTCCCGGCTCTGTCATCCTCCATGAGTTGATGCACTGGTGAGCTGCCGACGCACTTATGACAATGTTGTGTACCAGTTAGATCAATATGCTGACAAGCTTCCACCACCTAGGCCCTATCTGCTGCAGGATATCCCAGACTATGCGAGGCTCGCGCAGCCAACGACGGGAGATTACTCCAAGATCCTGGACTTCGCGGGGCCGAACCCGTCAGACGGCTATGGTAAGTCTTCGAGCTTCGGGTTTTTCGACACACCGGTCTTGCCGGGTTGTGATTGGCGTCGCGTCGTCAGTCTGAATGATTGACATGGGTATCGACTTCAGGTCCATTCAACTCCGCAAAGATCAGAGATCTCACTGCAAATCCCGTGACTGGATCATCACAAGCCATCCGGAATGCAGACAGTTATGTCTGGTATGCCATGGACAAATACTGGTCGTGAGTTTCCTGCCGGTGACAGGTGCTGATGTGGATTGAATGTGCTAACAGCTCTCAAGGTGGAGATGCAACAGGCCGTTCGGGCCGTCGACGTCTCCAAACGACAACAACTTGAGAAACTTTGTGTTTTCAGACGACACGAATGACAGCCCCTCTTGATGAAAGCATGGACAATGGAAAGAAGAGCAGACGAGGGAAAACCTTGCCTGCGGCCGGTCGCTGACGTCGCCGTCGCTTATGCTGGAGTCGGCGAGCTAGCCTGTTTCAGGAGATGCAGAAAGAGCTTCCTGGCCCTCTTGTCTATCATCAACGTACTCCGTACAGAGTTAATTACCTTCACCTCATGTTCGAGCCTTCCCGTTTCCCTCCCTCCCTGCCTCTTTGCAGCCACCCTGTCGCCATCATGGTGACTCATACGACGGCGGCGAGGTCACAGTCGTGGGTGTGTCTTCCCCGCTCTTAGGATCCGCCAGCTTCGCTATTTGTCGATTATTACTTGCTTGTCTGTTTTCTCAAGCATGCAGATTCCTTCACTGCCAAACAACAATCTCCAAGACTGTGCACTACAACTGGCATATTTACTCGGTCGGGGCAAACGCTCTGGTCTGACCTCCTCTTCTCCGGTAGCCTTGGTCGACGCCCACCCACCAAGTCGGATATTGAAGCGGGACACCACCCACCCAACTTCATCTCGCGAACAAGGCTCCCTTTGAGCACAACAAGAGCGGCGGCGCTGACCTCTCCACCCCCCTCTACTACCGTCGTCGTCCACATGTACACAGTACGTGTTCACGATCAACGTGCTCGGCATCTCTGGTGGATGGGTTAGATGGCGACTCCTGACGTCTTCACATGTGGGTGGCTGGTTTGGCCACCAAGATGTCGCCGGAGTGACACGTTTCGTCACCCCTTGTATTGCGTTCCGCGAAGCACATGGTCGCGGTTACACACGTCACCGCCGTCAGCCATATGGATACCCTCGGATGTCTGCGTCGTTGCGATCCGCTGTCACGCTGACGATAGCCACTGTCATGCCGACGCCAAGCGCTGTCACGGCGTGGGCTCAGCGTCGTGCCCAGGGGTACAAGAAGCTCTTCCCTCTCCACCTGCTCCTCTGATCATCTTCCTTCCCCAGTCACCTTCGCACCGTGGTCCTATCGCCGACCCTCTTTGGTTCCTGTCCATCTTCATGTCTCCGTCATCGTCGTCCTGGTCCCCAGGCTAGGAAGAGCCGAATTCTCAAGAGGTGATGCCTCTAAGATAGTGTACCTCATCTTCCAAGGACATGTTTGCGACAAGTTAACCAATATTGCATACAACTCGGCCTTGCCTTACATACTGGATTATAAGTCCCTGCTCTCTGGACCGACCTACTTCATCCTCTGGAAAAGAGAAGCCCTCTGCTCTGTTTCCATTGGCACCCTTACAATTCGTAACGTACCTGGCTGAGATAAACGAAAATTGTCATTGGCCGCCACTGGGAGAGATGTTGCAAACGAGTCCCGACATCGCAACTGTCTCCGTCAACAGCAGTGCCGATGCACGGATAATCTCCTGGTCCCGGCAGCGGAAGATGCATCTCGACTTACCATTGCGGGGCTTGGAGCCTCAGGTGCAAGCATCTCATCAATGCCTGGTCCTACTTGAGGGTGGCGGAGAACCTGGTCGATACTCCACTCGGTTCCTGACACGTCCATTGCTTCGCGTAAAACCAAGATACACACGCTGGACTCTAGTGGTGCTGCTATGGCAGGGTAAAGATGCCCGAACGGTCATGATACACGGCTGGTCAAGTCGAGGAGCAGTCGACGGTCCCGAGCACCTCTCGGTACCACAATGGCCTTCAACAAACGGATGGCCTGCTAGAGTACATCACCGGTGATCAGTTCTTCGACAAGACTGAAGGGTTTGCGGGCATGGCGAGAGGTCCTGTGAAGATCAGGCTGTCATATCATGGTGTGAAGGAGGCGTAGACTAGGAAATACTGATGGATTTACAAACATGAGGCTTCCTGCTTGGTGAAGAAGTGCGCATCTGTGTGTGGTTCTGCCGTCAACAACGCAAAGATCTTCAGGTTGACGAAACCTAAGAATTGTTTTGTCCCCCCCCAACGACCTCAGCGTCCGCTCTCGCATCCTCGTCTTTTACAACTTGCGACAATTCAGGCACCACCAATTGACTCCATTCCCTGGCTTCCGAATCCAGACAACAATCCTATATAACTACGAATCACCTTAAATATGGCGACATTCGGATCTGGAAGAGGCTTGACGCGGGAAGCCCAACAGGCCCCGGAAAAGACGTCTCGGAAACCCCAGCCACAAGTTCTTCAAGACGACAAGGACATCATTCACGCCCTAGGCCTCGACTGGACACCCGACGACACCATGCGCTACCTCGAGAAAGTGCCCAGATTCTATCTGCGGCGACTCCAAGTCAACGAATTGCCAGTCCCTGTCGGGGTATACTGCGCGGAGTCAGAGACCATCAAACAACACTGGGAAGAAGCCTGGGAAGATCTACCATACGCCGACAAGCGCATTGGAAAGACATCGGGCCGGCAGATCCAGGTGATCCACCGAAGCAGATTCGCACACATCATCCGGCGAGGCGAGAGCGGGCTCTTCTTTGACGAGGCCACTCAGGAACTAGTCTTTGCAAGACTGCCGCGGATAGTGCGCGATGACGCCATACTAAAGGCCATGGACGAGGTGTGCAAGGGTGCAGCGAGGGAGAGGAGGGGCGATCGCGTAGGTGCCCTTTGAGGCCGACTGTTCATATACTGATGTTTCTATCTCCATGCAGCGTGACGATCCTGGGATTTTGACCGGCATAGGTTATACCGGCGGCTCGCGAAAGGACCGCAAACCCACTCTTGCCGGAAGCTTCCTCAGACGGAACATGAAGCCGGAGGAGAAGGCCAGGATCCATCTGGAAGAATCCGGAGTGGCGACGCTGGCCTCGAATATCTTGAAGCCTCGCATCCCAGCAGAGGTCGTGGCAGATTATGACAGTGCTATTGCCAGGAGAGGATTCCGACGCATGGACGCCGGATTAGATGATGGCCTGTACTCCGTCTGGTCCAAGGACAGAGCCACCGAGTGGCGGTTCCGCTTCGACGAGGCCGCTCCCCCTCAAGGCGCCATGTCCATGAACTATGCTCGGTAAGCTCTGCGGGGGTTTATCCATCGTTCGATAGACGGCGCTGACTCCTGCCACAGGTTCACCCACCGCGAAGACGGCGTCAACGTCTACGGCCTCGCACTCACGACCGTCAGCACAGCCGATCCAAGCACCGGTGGAAACTTCTACGTGGCTCAGTACGGCATCCTCTCAGTAGCAGAGGGCAACACTGCCACCGTCTGGCGGGTCAACGACTACCACGGCACCTCCTTGTACGAGAGGATCCCACGCCAGAACTCGGGTGTTGCGCTCTTTGTGCCGACCTCGTTGATCCCCAACTCCGACCAACCCGCGCCCCACAACTTCACCCGTGCTGATCTTGCGGCGGTCGAGCGTCCGCCGCCTACCAAGAGAGGTGCAGCCATAAACTCCCGGCGGACCACTGAGGGAGTCAACGAGTATTATGTCCGCGGGGAGACGCCAGAGGAGGAGGGAGCGGAAGAGGGAGAAGAGCATCGCGCATGACGGCTCAACAGTTGCCGATCGAGAATCCCTGAAGGGGATGGCATATGCACTGGACGATCATTATGTCTCGGGCCAGGAGGGAGACTTGGGGGCCAAAGGAGAGACAGCATGCGAGGACGGCGGGCAGGACCAGACCGAACGACCCATGGAGCGACGCAAGCTTCACCGCGGTTGAGCCGCTGACACCCGTATCTTGGTGTGGAGCGGCATGATGTGGTGGCAGAAGCCAGCCACCCAGTCAGTGTGTGCCTACCACTTGAGGTTGCCGTGGCGGCAGGTGCTCGGCACGCACAGCCATATGCTGTCTTCAATAGCTACTGTACTGTAGGTGGTACTGTAGCTGCAATTCTAGACTTGTACTCCGTAATCAACCGTACATTCATCAGACTAGACACCCCCACCCCCAAGATGTGCTTCTAGCAAAATGAGAAATCGGAACCCCTGATCATTGTTTGTTGGACCAAAAGGCACAGGCTTGTGGAGGAGCAGATTAAGAGAGAGAGAGAGAGTGAAAAATTCCAAAGTTATTGTTGTTGTTGCAGCAAAACCATAGGCACAGACCCAGTCAGGCCCCAGACCAGCCCACCTCATTACATACCTCCCCCAATGCCCCCCTCAGAAACCTAAACATCACCATGCCGCCAACACTCTGATGGTTACAGGGTTTTTGGCAATACATACGTGGATCCAAGAATCACCTTGCCTCCAATACATCTGACACTTGGAAATACATGGATCGGACGCTCCCCTGGACTTGCCTTGTCGTTGGCACAGTTTTCAACTCGGAGGGAATGGATGATTACACCAAGTCTTTGTTCCATCTTCAGCCTGACTGACTGGCTGGCTGATGGACTGATTGACCGGCTGATGGACTGACTGACTGGCTGATGGACTGACTGACTGGCTGATTGACTGATTGGTCCTGGTCGACGCACATTTGTACCAGGTGCTCCGTGCTGCGAAAGGTAAAGGTAAGGCAAAGGCCCGCCGCCCTGCCATCCATGTTGAGAACCGAAATATGTTGCCTTGAGTCCTCTTTGAAAACAGCTGCTATTATCCATCGTTACACGTCTCTTTGACGGAGGATTAATCTTGCACACAGAACCAACACTTACTACGTACTACCCGGCTGACACCACGCTGACACCACGCTCGAAGCTTAAGGCTACCTATTGAACAACTAGAGACAGGGTACCGATTTACACATTTACATGCCCTACTACCGCTACATACCGGACACGCTTTCACGCTTCCCAACACCACATCATATAATACAGATCGTACTCTCATTCCGCTTACTCGAATTCGGCCCCCAATAATACTGCCCCGAGGCAGTCTCGTTATGCCCCGGCGGAGTCGTCAGATTATGCACAAGGTCCCTCGTCAGGGAAGTCACCCGCGTCAAACCCACGCGCTTGTACCGGATGCCGAACTCGCCGTCCGTGGCCTGCACGAGCAGACACGTGAGGTAGCGCTCGTCGCGCAGCACGGGCAGGCAAAACACCTGCGCCGAGGGACCAAAGACAGACGGCTCCGACGCGGGACTGTCTAGGAAGACGACCTGGTATTCACGGCCGACGGGCTGGCCGTAGCGCACAAGGCGCCAGGTGTACCGGTTTTCGTCTTCGGAGGGGATAGCGGCGGCGGCGGCGGCGGCAGCAGCAAAGTGCTGCTGGTGGGCGCGGAGGTGCCGCAGAGCCAGACAGATCAGACTGAGCATGCCATAGCAGGATGTCCAGATCAGGAGGCGGAGACGGTGGCGGATGAGGGTGTCGAGGCCGCAGAATTGGAGGACCGCCAAGAGAGGCGTCAGGCAGATGGCGAGTGAAATGACGAGGAGGATGTCCCAGTTGATGGTTCGGACCTGTCATGAGAAGGGAGAGGGTCATCAGCGACGGGGAAAGCAATCTTTTAAGTGGGCAAGCAATGTATGGGAAAAAACAACAACATGTGACTAGATAGGGACGGAAAATTCGCGCTGAACTTACAAAGATTTCAGTCCTCGAGAGGGATGGCGGCTTCGGGGCCGCCGCGTCGGTCAGTTCGATCTTCCTGAGCACGCCTTTCACGACAATGTACCCGTCTGTGATAAGGCCGAACAAGTCCTCGATGGTCCGGTAGCTGAGACGGACGACTTCGACTTCGATGAGCAGGCCCGTGTCGGTTGTTTCGGCGAATGTGATGCCCCGAGGTGTTTCGACCGAGGCCCACGAGAACGAAGGGGCGCGATACGCTGCTGGGCGAGTGTTCTCGAATGGTTGTCTGTTCTTGCCGGTCCCTTCGTTGACATACCACAGGAGCTGGCTGGCTATGTACTTCTGCCACATGCCGGCGATGTACTGATCCTCTGCGTAGCCTTCGTTCTTCATCCTGGACGCCAGCATCCGTGCAATCCCGGAGAGGGCAATCAGCTTGTCTTGCGGCATTGTGAGCTCCAGCTTGGTGTACACCTCGACCCAGTGCTTCCATAGCTCGTAGAGGTAGAATTTCTTGAGCTGGCCGTCGTTGCTCATCTTCTGGAGCTGGCTCGACAGCGTGGAGCCCTGGCTGCTCGCTTCGCGGATCGCGCGTAGCTGCTTCCCGGTGTCCAGATCCACGCTTTTCAGATGCAGATCCGGGATGAGGACACCGGACTTCATCCGGAAGTGAGGCATGCCTTCGGGGCGACATTCCGCGCGACTTACCTCACGACACTCGAACGCGATTTGGTCTTCGCACCAGTGCAGGACCCGTGGAGCGAGGAGTCGTTCCTGATAGACCCAGGACCGCCGATTAACGGGCGCGTTATCGACGTACTTCTCCCAGAAGGAGAGGTCCAAGATGGTGCATCCGACTTTGCCTTCGGCGTTGTTCTGGAGGTGCTGGGTGTTCAGTGTCACGGTCTCGATCCATTTCCAATCCATGTCCCTCTGACCGTACAGGCCTCTAGAGTTGTCCATCGCGGCTGTGGCCGAGATGTTGCAGTAGGAATTGGCATAGACTTGCTCCATGGTCGCAGACTCCTCTAGCCAATCCTTCAGGTCCTCATCTTCCTGGATGATGCACAAAGCATCGATCCAGAGCCATCGCTTGTCCAGCTCGCGCGTGACTTTGATGGCATCCTGGAACGTCTGAGGAAGATCTCTTAACGGTATGCCGTTGAGAAAGGCGGTGAGCTTCGCCCTTGTGAGCTTGAGAAACGGCACGTTGCCCCAGCGATGGCTCAGGGTGACGTAGGAGCCCTCCATCCGGGGTGCATTGGTATCAGTCTCGCCCGGCTTTCGGCTAACCAAGCGAATGATATCCGCTGACTTGTCCGGATCGAGCGCCATTTGCACGTCCAGGAGTCGGTTGGGGACCCATGCTGGGTCTGAGGCTACGCGACATTTGTCGTGAGCTCTTGTGCACTCGGCGATCCATTCTTTTGCTTTTTCTACCACCTTGGGATCTGACGTCGTGCTGCTGATAGGCTTGACTTGGACATTGGTGGTGCCTTGGGGTTCTTGAGATGGTTAGGTCTGCGGATCACCCTGGGTGGTTCAGTGTCATGGTGAATGAATGCCTTACCATTTTGCTTGAGCACGAAACTTGCGACTAGCACTTTGTTAGGCTCCAGGAAGAAATCCAGTGGGTACAGGCCGGTCTGGCGGCGGCGGCGAAACGGCTTGAGCCGGGCGGTAAGAAAAGGCTTCGAACCATCGTAGGCATCAAGGTTGCCGTTGACGCTTTCCAGCCTTTCCTGGATTAATCGGCACAGATAGCAGCCTTGCTGGACCGAGCCGATGAGGTTTTTGGTTTTCTTGTGGTGCTTGAAATTGAGCTCGAGTTGTGATCCACCGCTTGTCAGCCCTTCCCGACCTTTGTGATCATAAAGCATATCATGGCAGACTTTGCAAATCATGGTCGCAGCGTCGGATGCCCATCGTGAAGAGTGCTTGCAACGAAACCTTCGATGCTCTCGACAGCCTCAGCCTCAGCCTCAGCCCCCGGGCCAGGCACATTACTCAGCGGGTGTTTTAGTACCCCACGTTGCATCGCTTGTCCAGGGATGTCGCGCTCGCATTCGACCGCTTCGAGTGGAATATCATTGGTGGGCATGGCCTCGCCTGTCCAAAGCGTCAAACCATTCCGCCAGCATCTTCAGATCCGTTTATGAGAAATCAACGAGGGAACGCTCCGTGGCCTGTCTGGAGGCTGTCTCGTAAATCACAAGGGAGGATAAGAACATGGCCACCACATTTACTCTTCCGAGGGATCAGGGCGAGCCTCTCGTGGAAGTCAAATTACCAGCAAACATCACACGGCAGCAGTTCTTGGAGTTCAAGCCCTTCGAGCTCTGGTTGAAAACCCTCCGTCAGTCGCTTCGACTCCAGTCCAACCGGGATCACGTATTCCACGACCGGAAAGAGCGTCATACTCTGCGCTCCATCAACGTGCAGTCTGTGGATTGGTTTGGCAAACGGATAGGCTTCATCAAGATGGAGACCGTGGTGTCGGACGAGAATGGCTCGCCGTTACCGGGGATTGTCTTCCTCCGAGGTGGAAGCGTGGCAATTCTGATGATCCTACGACCACAGGTTGGCGATACGCACAGCGACGAGAGATTTGTTGTCATGACGCAGCAGCCACGCGTCCCGGCAGGGAGCCTCAGTTTCTTTGAGATCCCTGCGGGCATGATTGATGATGCTAAGACGTTCGTAGGCGCCGCTGCTAACGAGCTGTATGAAGAGACGGGCTTGACCATATCCCAGCACGAACTGAAAGACATGACGAAGCTCGCATTGAAGGATGCCAAGGGCTCGGAGAGCCATCTGCAGAAGGCAATGTATCCTAGCCCTGGCGGCTGCGATGAGTACATCGCTCTGTTTCTGTGGGAGAGGACGATGCCGCTGATTGAAATTATGGAATTGAAGGACAGACTTTCCGGGACCGATAAGGAGAAGATCACAGTCAAGCTCGTAAAGTATGAGGAATTGTGGAGGGAAGGTGCGAGGGATGCGAAGACTCTGGCAGCCTGGGCTCTCTACGAAGGGCTGACAAGAGAGGGCAGCTTGGAAGACGACGAGGATGACGAGGACGAGTGACTGGTTCGATGAGCTTTCGGACGTTTGCATACCCGCTTGGAATCCATTCTCGTAGAGGACTTGTCTGATGCCACGCAGTCACATCTGACACCGACGTGATGTGCCCTTCCGAATGCTATTCTGAGATTCATCTTAGCGTCAACAAATAAAACCATCCACATCTCCGCGACGGACACCCCAACCCGCATTCTTGGGGAGGAAGGACCCGGATGTTCCGCCTCCGTCAAGCACAATCAAGGGGGATTGACTCTTGGATATTTCTGTGACCCGAGCTAGACGTTATCGACATCTACTCATGTGCCGTTTCCAGCTGAAGCATCTTCGGGCGTGCCGGAATATCAACGACGCTCTCCAATCAAATGACGTAGTCGGGGTCTTTGACGACCACCACAACTTCTGCACTATGCGCGTGCCTAACTTCTGAGCGTGAAATCCTTTGTGCAACTACCACCTCCTGAGGGTTGACTCCAGAAACATGGCGATACGCGTCGTGCTCCTCATCTCACCATCCGGACGCTGCGCAGGCTGAATAACGGCTGATGGAGTTTTATCTGTGCTCTCACACGTCATGCGAGGACAGATGGCATAAAACCACCTCTTCAGCTCCATCTTGCAATCAAAGAATTGCACGCTTGTGACGGACGCCGCAACAAGGCGGGGGTTGCCATACTTCTCTATCTGAGCCACTGCCCTCGGAGGAATGGCCTTGGTTCCGAAGTACAGGGTCAGGAAGCGGCCTCGGCGAGAGTCAAGCGATGGCTTCTCTGTCGAGGAGATATCCCCGGATGACATGGGCTACGATGGAGATATCGAGGTCCTCCATCCTGATCAGTATGAAGAACCCGAATCCGAGTTCGAAGATGAAGCACTTAAGAAGCTATGGCCAGACACGGACGAAGAGCTTGCCAGCAGGTTGCGGCGGCTCTCATGCGAGCGTCAACCCAAGAGCGCTCATCGAGGGGATTACGATCGAGGGCAAAAACGCCGTTCAACAGAGATGGACGATGAGGACGAGAGCCCGACACTCAACCGTACAGAAATCGAAGTTTCTGAACTGGTCGACGGGCAGGCTGCACAGCCGCCAATGAAACGTAGGAGAAAGAGAAGCGAACGGACCCCTCTGGGGCAACGCGTTGTGAAGAAACAGGCACAAGAAGCATGGACGGACAGCTCTGAAAAGTCTGAGGATGCAGGCATAGAATCATCAAACTCCCCCAGCACGCCCGAGCGCACAACTACACCATGCAGATCTCGTGGGAAGGAGGAAGCCCGAGGAGACAGTGACGCGATGGAGATCGGATGATCCGGTTATTAGAGAGCTTTTGCGCCGGCGTTTACCGAGTAGCACCAGGACCCTTGTTCCTGACTAGCATGCACCATCACCAGAATGACTTTCTTCTTGTCTCACAGCTCTACCAGCGACCGTCCCCGTCTTACATCATTGTAACGCGGCTTTGGTGTGGAGTAGGAACTTTAGCTGCACCTCGTGCATCCAGCCATCGCGATGACAGGAATGCGCCAACCGCAGCTTCGTCAAATGCTTCCTGACTTCCTGCTCACCTTCCTCTCTCTCTCCCATCACCACCCACTTTAGCTGTTCCTCGTCTTCCCCGCATACCTGTCGGCCATCGCTAAACTACCTCCCACACACACTGACGCCATGACTGGGCGGCGCTCATCTGCACGCATTGCTGGTAAATCAAGCTCTCAGGGCTCTCAGAACTCATCCCCCCCTCATCCCAAATCGTCGCCCGCCAGCAAGAAACGCAAAAACGAGGCGACTGACTCTCCACCAAGCGCGAAGCGCGGCAAGAAGAATGGAGAACCAGCACAGAAGACGTTGGAAGAGACCATACAGAAGTATTACTTCCCCTCTCAGGGTGGCTGTTCAGTACTGACAAGTGGTTTCTAGTGGAACCTCCGAGCAACCTGCTCCGGAAAAGCCGGATGAAGAAATGAAAGACGCAGCGGAGGATAAACAGGAGGAGACCCAGCCCGAGCCCACCAACGGCCATGCGACCGAGTCCAAGGCGGAAGATGCGAAGTCCGAGGAAGAGAAGAGCGTTGAACCCAAGAAGGAAGCTGATGATAAGGAAGCCGAGACAGAGGCCACTGAGTCCAAAGAAGAGACCAAGCCAACTGAGACAAACGACAACGCGGTCGAGCCCGGGGCTCGGGACGACGACGATATTCCCTCAACCATCCTGGAAAAAGGTATCATATACTTCTTTTTCCGGCCCCGCGTCAATGTGGACGATCCACAGGATGTCAACGATGTTGCGCGCTCATTCCTCGTCATGCGACCCATCCCTCTCGATGCAAAGCTCGGAGATGGCCCCATTGGCGACGAGCAGAATTGCCGTCTTTTGGCCTTACCAAAGAAGGTACTCCCACAGAGCGGTAAGGACCGATTCATCACCTTTGTGGAGAAATACAAGACCAGCTTCGCCGAACTCAAGGAGACTTTCTTGACCGGCTCCGAATACCAGACCAAGACGCAGGGCACGAAGCACACCGCGCCAGTCACTCCACTTGCCGAGGGCATTTACGCGGTCACGTCTACTGGCCGCGAATCGCACCTCGCCTACATCATCAACATCCCTTCCGAGGTCGGCGAGGTCCAGAAGGACTTTGGCCTCAAGCAGCGCGGAAGCTTTGTGGTCAGTGTCAAGAACCCTGAACAGCCGCCTACGGGCCAGCAGAGCGTGCCTTCAGGACCAGAGTATCCGCCAGAAATCGTCGACGAGTTCCGCGGACTGCGCTGGAAGCCATTGGAGCCCAAGTATCTGAACTATGACCATGCCCAGTTCCTCATGATTGGAGAGGATTATGAAAAGGCCACTGAGCAACGGCCCAAGGATCAGCGTGAGGACAATGCCCCGCCTGAGCAGGAACTCGAGAAATTGGAGGGTGAAGACGAGATCCGAGTGAAGCATTTGAAAGGTATGTGCTCTGACAGCTTCCGCTGCTGATGTGGCTATGTTCTAACCCACTCACAGGCGATGATGCTATCTTCACAGATCTTCACGTCACAACCAAAGATATCCCCGAAGTGCGGACTACCTGGTGAATGTGAGGAGGATTTGTATGGTGGCTTCGACCTGTCTGCCGAGCCTCATGTACGAATAAAGGAGCTCAGTGTGTCGAACAGAAAAGCATTCCGTAGCTGTGTCCAACAGTATCACACAGATTGCCAATGATTGGTCTTTTCATGCAGTATTCTTTGGACGGGATTCTGGCCCACTTTCATTGCATCGCTCAGTGATACATACTCATTTGGATTTGTCGAATATTTTGACTCTGCTACTCGGGCCAGACTTTGTTCATCGTGTACTGTGTACGACTCCCTTGAGCGCGATTCCGTTCTGTCCATCCTACACCTACGCCGATGCTACTCATTTGATCCTCTCCCAGCTGAGAGGAGCTCTCCGCATAGCTCCGACCAGCCGAGAGATCGTTCTGTGAACGTCGTGTTGAGCACCAGTGGCAAAGAAGTGCAAGCTTGCCAGAAGAACGGTCGAGGGAAATCCAGGCGGTCAAGGCGGTCGAGGCGGTCGAGGCGGTCGATATGCATCCATTGATTGTCACCTAATTGTCATTAGATCTGGTTACTTATGTAATCCGACACTGCGCGGCCATCAGGGGAGCGGCTGGGGCGATAGGGGGATGGATGCACTGGCGGACCTGCCGTGCCTGCCTTGTCGCCGATATCCGTAGACCGCGACGCGATGCTCTTGATGACAAGGACTTTGCTGCTTGGATCAGACTTATTCCGGACGTCCTCTATGGACCAGCATGGACAACACACTTTCTTTTACAGTGTATTTCGTTCCGGGGAAGGGAAACGCCATGCGCGCTGCGGCTGCCCGAACGAACGGTCCAGAACCCCGCTTGAATACGAGACGGTTCTTGGACGTCGCGGGACAACAACGTCGGGCTCAGTAAGGCAGCAATCTGTCGTGCAGTCCGGTTTTCTGACCTTTCAGCCACAGTGCCATTGACCCAGCACCACTACCCAAGAACGCGACCTTTTGCTATATATAGTATGGCTGGGCTCGCAGAAGACGAGGCGCGAGTCGTGATGTGCCGGTTCGTTTCTGGCGCGCTCGTGCAGGAGGCAATCGACTTTCGCAGTACCGAGTATATCGCCTTCTCGCACGTGTGGGGCTCGCCAGGAGAATATGCCTGGAGAGATGTGGCGGGGATTCCATTCCAAATCATCGTCTCGGAGTCGAAGGCGCGTTTCCTGGAACGAAACCTTACCAACCTTGTCGGGGATGCCTATTTCTGGATGGACGTCATATGTGTTGACCAGGGCGAGGATCCGAAGAGCGTGGAGAACCGCGTGAAGATGACGACTCTATTTCCTGACATCTTCAACCGCGCGAAGAGAACCATGATAGTGAGAGACGGTCTCGGATTTAAGGCCTGTTGTGCTGGGGTCATCGGGCAGCTGCCAGACTGGAAGGCCTATAGATCCGCTCAGCAACGATGGGCAGATCATTGGAGAGATGACCATCGGTCTGAAGCCTTTTACGAAGGGATTCTGGAGCGACTTTGGCCTTTGCAAGAGGCTATATTGTCCAATAGCCTCCAATTCGTGACTTGCGAGGAAAGGGTGAAGAAGCAAAGGCGGAGCTTCGCAACCGCCTATCCGGAGATGCATCAAGCCGCAGCTTTTCTGGACCGCTTGTGGACATTGAGTCACGCATGGGCTTCATATGGAGGAGGCGGAGATAAGCTCCAGGAAGAACAGCTCTCCTTCGTGCGGGCTATGTTGAACAATGGCACGGTCGCGCGCCGCACTCTGGTCCGCTCCCCGTTCCCTTCTGAACTTGGTGCCGAGTTTGTGAGCCAGAGCAACAGCATCCGGGAAGCTTCTAAGGTGAGGGATTTCATCCTTTGCACCATGGCTCAATATGACTGGTACAAGCCCCCGCGACCGGAAGATGTGCGAAGGATGGACAATGAGCCGGGTGGCGCCTTCCCTCGCCTTTTCAAAGACTGCTTCATCCAAGCTCGCGAGGCCAACCGAGCAGTGCTCCCAAAGATCACGAGCGGCATGGTGGGCGAAAACACAGACACCCTAGCCACCTCCAACATGCCAATGCCTAAGTGCCTGGGAGATCTGGTAAAGTTGTTTGGGCTAGCGACAATGGGCGCTCCACGCCATGACTCGGACGTAGCAGCAGGACTTGATTTCGGACCCGTAGATATCCGCACAGTCCAGCCGGACTGTATGGCGGAAGTCCTTGATATCTTGGAGAGGGCCATCATCTTCTCACGACCGGCGTGGGGTTTCGCCATCAAAGGCGAACTGAGCCCTTTGGCGGCCTGGGCCGACGACAAGAAGTTTAAAACAGACATAGACGAAAACTCATGTTTTAACAACGCACTGCAATTCCTGCATCTTATGGCCATCGGGATTGTGAACAAAGGCGGGGCTCTCATGGATTACAATTCGTTCAAAGTTGACCTCATCAGAGCCAATCCCCTCAATTACGCGGAACCTTTGCTGCGCCTAGCGGCCCTCATCTGCTGCGGAATAGGTGTTAGTGCATACGCATGGTCGACGAAGGTCCTCGAGCCTGTCATTGTCGATGTTGGCGAGCATGAAGTCCTTGGACTTTTGTCCAAATCAGAAGTTCTGGATCTTGATTTCGTAAAGGTCGAAGAGTCTTGGAATAGTCTCTGGCTGGAGGAGCCAGTGCAGTGCAAGAGCCTCTTCCATATTGCGCATCCTCAACCATCCAACTTCCGCATCGAATTTCAACATGTGGTCATCACGAGACCCGGCGAAGGTCTGAAGCCCCGGCATCGTTGCGTAGGGCTGCTTTCTGCGTTCGGGAGCGAGCATGAGGATGGACACGTGCGAGCGGCCCGGCTCAGTGAGCTGGGACTTGGTCCGCGCTATGCCGGACTCAATGTGAACCTGATATGAGTCGTAACATAGTCGAGCATGGGGTTCCTCATTGAGCGAAGGTGTTCGGCCCCTTGAATATCGTGACTTCCTCCTCCGCGTGCGCGCTCTCAGTCTCGGGTGAGAGGTAGAGATTTTCACTACTCTCCCAGTTCTGCTCCAAATACGAGCTCGTAGTCGAACCAATCCGGGAAAGTGTCGAACATGTCGAGGGTCTGCTGATCAAGGGCGGAAGGACTGCCCAAGTTCACAGCCGTGAAGCCTCCAAGAACTCCAGGATTATACTGCAGCGTCGATGCCGTGGCTTGATTTCTCTGTCCGATCACGCCAGTATACAAGGCCTCGATGACTTCGCCGTACTTGTCTGTCGACCTTGTCCATGGCGCCATGTCTTTGAAGGTGCGTACAGCTCTCTCGACCTCCTCTTGGTAGCCGCTGATGAGGGCGTCCTCGAGCTTTGCCTCCGCAGGCAGTCTGTCGTTGAGGCTAACGGATAAGAGAGGAACCATGCAGGCCTGAAAAAGGTACCAGGATGTATGCCAAACAGATATTCTCGTGCGGAGCCGGTTAGTGGTGATACTGTTGATGAGCTCCGACGCTGCATCGCGGCATATGGAGACCACGTGCCAGTCTTCGTTGGTAAACCACTGACACGATGCCACGCTTTCAGCGAGCCGGAGGAGGTGAGGCCTGGACATGACGATACGTGCGATCTGAAAGCGATGATAGACAATATCACGGACATTCCGTACCCGTTCCGGACACGTAGTGCCGGACTTGAAGATACTCGGTCGTGATTTTTCCCATGCTAGCAGCTGACTCTCGAAGGCAAGGATTTCACGGGACGAGAGACGCGACAGTTGGGACAGCCTGTACTCGATCTTTGACGATATAATGCAGAATTGTGAGCTCAGTCTCAGTGAGGTACCCGACAGGTCCCCCTGCTTCGCTTGATACTGTCGGCCTATGTTCGCCTGCTGGCTAGGCTCGTCGCTTGGCATGCCTGTGTCCATGGTAAGAGGATCCCATCGAGTCATGGAAGGTCGACCAAGGAGTATACCACTCCAAGCATCGCTGCAAATCAGGCACCACCAAGTCCTCCGCCTCAACTCGGGTCGAGGTAAGGAGTAGCCAACTGGGAGGGTAGAACTTAGGTCAACAGAATGGTGTCGGAAATTTGAGGGAACCGCGGCAGGATCGCGGTGGAGAGCCATGGCTGTCGCCATGCGAAACGCCGTCCCTAATATCAAATATGCAGTATTGGGTGAGTTAATGTAGTGTAAGTACGAGCCTCCAAGCAGTATTAGTGCTTGAAGCATCTCCAGATGTCCAGAGGCAAAGACATTGTGCCCCGTGACTTGTTGTACAACAGCATAGTAGCTGGTATGCGATCGGTCATCTCCTGCGGCAATCGACCCAAGAGCCAGCACCATGCCTGAAAGAGCGACCCACGCGTCGTCCGTTCGTCCCCGAGTAGTAAACTCAGTACGGAACCAAGTCTCGTCGACCATGGGCAGCATTAGGTGCACGTTGTCAAAGTATGCATCAATCGCGAGCTGCTCCTGGGGAATCGGAAAAGAGGAAGGAAGTGGCGCAATATCTCGCGGGCTATGCGATAGTGCAGCAGCAACAGGCTCTTTACCCCTGGCGGCACTGCTTGATAAAGTGTTACTGAGCCGGAGAAAAGCTTGCTTCGCGGTCGGACAGAGCGCAAAAATGGACCGTAGAGCTATGCTGATAGACGAAGTGCCCAAATACGAACTGTTTCCGTGGCTCAAGGCTAAGCCATTGACGTCGTCGGCGATGGGCGAAGTGTAGTCCTGCTGTCTGGCAGACTCATCCCATTCGTGTTCATCGTCGTCGGCCGCGTTTCCGTCGGCAGAGTGAGAGTCTCGATAGCGATCCTGGTCCTGAGCTGGGGTGCCGTGATTGCTGTCCTGCTCACTGCTGAGGAGCTGGACGATATCATCGCGACGTAGATCTGGTAAGCTCTCAAAGTCAAGTGATGGCAATAGCTTCGCCAGTATCCGATTGCGAGCTTCGACAGCCTCTGTTAACTGTTCGACAAGTCTGAACTATCAGTCAGTCTAATAATAGTCGTGTTAATTGGCACGCACTTCCAGGAAGGGTTTGTTCTCTTATTCCTTTGCCGGTATGCGCATCGATCTTGAACACTATACCATTGGCAGTTGTTGCAAGGGAGAAATCCATCGCAACGGATCTTGCGGCGCATGCATTCGATACATGCACGGTTCAGCTTTCTCTTGCTTAGGACTGGCTTTGGGCCTGGGGGTGCCAGAGACATCCTGATGTGGGATCCGACACATGTACGGCCCAGTGAAGCCTTCAGGCGTTATCAACCACGTGAACCGTTTGACAAATTGATGCCGTCGAGAATAGACTGGCGGGAAATTAGGTAGATAAATTATATTTAGAAGAGTCGAACTTTAAGTGTAAACTCGCTATGAGCTAGGTGTGAGCAAGCTTTGAGGTAGGCGTGAGACAGGCGTGAGGGACACGTAAAGTAGCTTTATGTATTTCACCCTCGGCAGAGGCGAGTTCTAATTGAGCGTTAGCAAAGCGTACAATACTGTTACCAGCCACGAAGCTTGATGTCTATGACGCCTGTTACTTGCATGCAGCCTGGAGGAAGCAGAGTCCGTTACCTAGGTAGGTATCTATACTTAGGTACCTAGGTATATCCAAGCCCTATATTTTTGATTCCCTTCGCGCCCCCAGCACGCCGTCCTCACATCCAAGATACCGCCAAACCAGACTGTCAGCATTCACATCTCCCTGTTTGATCTCGATTGTCTGTTCGTCCCCTGGCACAACGTCCAAACAGTTGTCGCTAAATTTTACACCATCGATCTCCTCAACCACCAATGCCTTGACTGGCTTCTCGACGGAGATCCTCAGCTTCTTGCCGGCTTTCGTGATAACCAGCCCGCGATCCTCGAATGAGTGGTACTTCAGAGGCTGGGGCCAGTCGGTGTCACGGGCAATGCAGACTCCATCAACGACAACACGAGCCGCAAGGATATGAGGTTCCTCTTTCTCGTTTTGTGTCTCGCCATGGAGCAAAGCGGTAGTCCCGTTGTGGACGACTCTGCATGTCTTCCTCCACGCTGGCTTGATCTCTTTGCCTGTTTTGATAGACACGAACCGTAGCTCGACCTGTGCCTCGAACGATTCAAGCCGGCTGCTGGCCACCCAGAGCCTCCACTTCGTCGTCTTCGCAGGACGCGCGTGCATGACACTCCAATCGCGGTACTCGCGCTGCACCCCAACCGCGACAGGTGCGAGGCAGCGTGCGATCGTGTAAAAAGCAGGCTTCTTGCGGAGATGATAATCCACCAATGCCCACGATGTGCACGGCCAACAGTCGTTGATCTGCCAGACGAGTGCACCCCCACAATGTCGGCTCTCCCCGTATTGGCGTCGCCAGGGCTTATATGCGAAGTACATGGCTTCACTTTGGGAGACTTGGGTCAGGTACACGAAACTCTGAGCCGAAATTAGCTGTTGCTTCTTGTTGTATCATGGGTGGTGCGAGGCTTACCTCTAAGCTCGACACGGGCCGGAAATTCTCAGCTTGGTATAGGCCAATACGGCGCTCATGGCCTTCCGCCTTATTGTGAAAGTCCATGACTGCCGAACGCGGATGTAAGTCTGCTGAGTCGGAGATGAAGTCTTTGATAGTCTGCAATGCTGGGAAAGCCTCGAGGCCGAATTCGCTGTTGAAACGGCCACCGATCCGCTCGTACGCTTGATACTTCTCTTGGCTGCCGTGCCAGACTGCGAATAATCAGCGCTGCGCCGCCACAGAAAGGGCATGCTTACCGTTCCACTGGTGTACATCTCCGATTGTCAGGTCATTGCATGGGTCGCCTCTCGAGAAAGGCGAAGAAGGCCAGTAAGCGACGTCTGGTGCCTCTTCGGCCGCAACGTCAGGTAGAAGCTTCTCGTAGATATACCTCGCTGGGAAGGTCGACTCCAACCAAGATTGCGGGTCTTTATCCTCTTTGATGTAGTCAAGCTTCCACATCTCTTGCATCTGATAATCCTCGTTGTTACCAGCGTACAACACGATCGAGGGATGGTGTCGCAGGCGGCGGAGGTTGCATCGAGCTTCTTCCTCAATCGATGCCAGGATTTCGGGATAGGTAGGATAGCTGGCGCAGGCAAACATGAAATCTTGCCAGACCATAATGCCTAATTCATCGCAAACATCGTAGAATTTGTCGTCTTCATAGATGCCGCCACCCCAGATTCTACTTCAGTTAGTTCGTGTCGCAGAATGCACTCAAGTCGTCTCATACCTGACCATGTTCTGCCCGCCTTCAACTACAAGCTGCAGCCAGTCCCTGTACTTTTGTTCTGTTACGCGAGGCAAGAAGTTGTCTGCAGGGATCCAGTTCGAACCGCCTGCAAAGACGTCGACCCCATTCACCCTGAAATAGAAGCTTTCGCCAACCTCGTCTTTGTCCTGAATGAGCTCGGCTCGTCTGATGCCAGTCTGCTTAACGACTTCATCCAAGGGTCCGGCATCGTCGGAAAGTTGAGCCCGGACTTCATACAGCGGCTGGGACCCATAGCCGTTCGGGTACCAGAGTTTCGGATTCTCTGAGTAAGGATTAGCTTTGAATCATTGTGGCATTGAACATCCGAATTACCAAGTGTGATATCGACCATGCTTAGGCCGTCTGCTGTCGATTGCGCTTCTTGCTCGAACACAGGCGTTCCATCTTGTGTCACCTCAATCTTTACGCACTTTGAGCGACCCTCGCTCGAAACAAAAATCTTGCCCGAGGCCGATTGATTGTCTTTGCTGACTTGGATGTCAAACCACACATTCGAGATACGGGACTGATAGGTTTCGAGCCACACGGGTCGCCATGGTCCAGCAGTCATGAGCACTGGACCCCAGTCCCAGCCCTGAATTGCGCGTCAGCGGCCTAAACCTATAATCTCGACTCAGTTCACTCGCGTCTTACCCAATGGTATTGAGCCTTGCGTACACCGACACGTCCGTTCTCTCCTGGGATGGAGGCCACGCTCTTGAAGTGGTATTGCGGATGCTGTATCTCAATCTCCCGACCCTTCAGAAGCGCCGAGTCAAAGTCGATACACAATTCGTTGTCGACGTCGGGCTTCAGCAGGTCCGTCACGTCGCATCGATGGGAAAGGAACATGTTTTCCGAGTATAGAATACTCTGGCCATTCAGCTTGACGTCTGCAAAGGTGTCAAGACCTTCGAACAAAAGCGCGATTCGGGTCTCTTCTCGCACGTTCGGTCGTTTGATAGTGGTTCGGTAGGACCATTTTCTCTCGGCAACCCATTGGACGTCGAGCTCATTGAAACCAATAAAGGGATCAGGTATCCTACCAGCATTAGTGCGAGCAATTGAGCTGGGCTGGGAGACCGTAGGCACCGTTGCGCTTCGATCAGATCAAGATGCACCACAGACGGTACGCTCTTGACCGGAATCTCGTCCTTGGTTTGAGCGTCGGTTTCGAAAAGCGTCCACCCCGAGCTCAATGCAGTTCTGTTAAGTTTTCGAGTCATCTTCACTACTTCAATGGAAATGCAAAGCAAGGCTTGAAACGGAGCGCAAGCAACCTGCTCTAGTTCACGATACAGTGTCGTCCTGGAGGTGAAGCCATAGTGAGAGCCATGGCTCCCTTAAGTCGACCCGACTCACTCACCGTTTTGCTCGCCGTCACCTATCATACGTAATCCTCAACACCGGTACAACGAGCCCGCCGAGTTGTCCAAAGCGCTAGGAAGGGCGTATGAAAAGCCGTGTTCACCCTCAGATCTTCGAGCGCAAATGAAGTCGGGACTTGAGCATGATGGTCTTGCAAGGGGCCTTGAGCGACGCCAAGACGGACGTTCAAAAGACCGCACAAACATAATTGGCCGCTTTTGGCGTCTTGGCAAGTATCCTTCCTCATTCCCCCGCAAAATTGTCCTGCAAACTCGCCTCCCCAGTCGGTAAATGCTCCATTACGCACGATCGCTGGTGCGACCCCCCTGGTCTGGGACATGGGGATACATATCGCCGCATATGGTTGCATCCCCCCAGCTTCCCACCAACGTGTGCCGAGGCCGCAGACGAGCTGTTCGCGAATATCTTGGCCTATCCCCTGACGTGCGGGACGATGAAAACCCGTGCTAGCGGCACAATTCGTCGTCTATGCCTGGGGTGATCACAGGTCGAGAACCGCGTGGGGTATGGAGCAGCGGAGGTTTGCCACGCGAGGTGACAGCGGTCGCTCTCTGGGAGATGCTAGCCGTCGAATAGAGCCCCGAGTCTTTCGCAAAAGCCGAGCAGGCTTGGGAAAGAGTCAAGTCGAATCATCGTTAACGAGCCAGTCCCGAGTGTCAGACGGACATTGATCTCATGCGCCGCTTCCGAGCCACCCATGGACACATGGAGATGAACGAAAGATATATAGTTGATAGTCGGACGCCTGATCCACGTCGGGGAGAGCTCCCTTGCATCTACTACATTCTCGTTGCTAGTCCTCGTCCACTCGAGACATTCGCCATACCATCGATATGGAGGACCAGAAAGGCTCACCCACAGAGCACTTTGAGCCTCCCCGAAAAGGGTCAACAGGCTCAGACATCTTAACAGAGAAGACCATCCACGCCCACAATGCCACGCTCGCGGCCGCGTTGAGCGAGGATAAGCAAAGCCCTTGGAGTAGAGGCTACTTCAGACTCTATGCGATATGCATTCTCGTCTATCTCTGCTCGACCATGAATGGTGAGGAACCAAAGTCAACCCGGATGCGGCTCGAGGACCGACGCTGACTGCGACAGGATACGACGGCAGTCTGATGGGCTCCATCAATGCGATGCAAAGCTATATCGACTACTACAATCTGCCGCCTGAGGGAAACAGCGGCACCGGGATCGTGTTTGCCATCTTCCAGGTCGGGCAGATGGCAGCCGCGCCCTTCATCTGGCTGTCGGACTGGAAGGGCAGACGCCCTGCCATCTTTGTGGGATGCCTCGGTGTTTGCATCGGCTCCATCGTGACAGCCACGTCGCCTACGTTGGGTGGCTTCATCGCCGGCCGCTTTGTGCTGTCCTTCTTCTCGACCATCGCGCAGAGTGCTGCTCCTCTCTATCTCATCGAGCTGGCTCCTCCTCAGTACCGAGGCACCATTGCCGGCATGTACAATACACTGTACTATTTCGTGAGTTTATGCTCCTCGGCCTCTCTGGGCTGTACCTTGATGCACTCTGACTGACCGCGTCAGGGTTCCATCCTCGCGACCGTGACAGTCTACGCATCGAACCTCCACTTGACAGACAACGGCCTCATCGCCTGGCGCCTGGCACTATGGCTGCAGATGATCTGTCCCGGCATCGTGTGCATGGGGATCTGGTTCTGCCCTGAGTCTCCCAGATGGTGAGCCTATCCACACAACCAGCGTCTACCACAGGATGTAATCAAGCTAATATAAACCCCTTTCTTCCACTAGGCTCGTGGGCAAAGACCGCATCGATGAAGCCCGCAACGTCGTGGCCCGCCTCCATGCCAACGGCGACAAGGACCACCGCCTCGTCAACCTCCAGGTTGAGGAAATGACGGCCAGCCTCCGCGCCGAGGGCATGTTGACGTTCAAAAAAATGTTCGACCTGCGCGTGCTTTTCAAGTCGCGCGCCCGCCGGTACCGATTGGGCCTCAACGTCGCGTTTGCCTGGTTCGGCCAGTTCAGCGGCAACAACATCGCCTCGTACTACCTGCCCTACCTGGTCGCGAACGTCGGCATCACCGACACGAGCACCCAACTACTACTAAACATTATCTACGCCATCGGTGGGTGGATCCCCGCCGTGATCGGGGCGCGGCTGCACGACGTCGTCGGCCGCCGCAAGATGATGATGGGCGTCGCCGTCGGCATGGCCGTCTGCCTGTTCATCACAGCCGGGACTGCCGCCGGGTACGTGCAGACCGGAAGCAAGGCCTCGTCCTCGGCGTCCATCGCCTTCATCTACGTGTTTGGCTCCATCTTCGCCCTCGGGTACACGTCCATGCAGCCCATCTATCCGGGCGAGGTGCTCTCCAACGACATGCGCGCCAAAGGCATGGGCGTGCTGCAGTTGGTCGGCGGCTGTGCTGGCTTTGTCAACACCTTTGCCGCCCCCGTGGCTTTGAACAATGTAAGTTACTTATCATCTCCTCTCGCACCACAGGCACCACGCTAACATAAGTCCCACGCAGATCGGCTACTGGTTCTACGTCTTCTTCGCGTTTTTCGACCTCTTCGAATTCGTCGTCATCTACTTCTTCTTCGTCGAGACAAAGGGCCGCACGCTGGAGGAGCTGGATGAGATCTTCGAGGCCAAGAATCCTCGCAAGGCAAGCACCATGAAGACTACGCTGAGACAAAGAGTCGTTAGGGAGGAGGGCGGAGCGAGACGAGTCAGCGTCGAGGCCGTTTGAGATGACGCCAATATGTGCCGAGGTGGGACTCAATCTCATTCGGTTGTATGGTGGTACTTGACTTGAGCAGCACGTTGGCACGTCGCTTTGCATTTCGTTTCATTTCAGCGAGAGCCGTCTAGATCCGAAAACCCGTCTTCTTCTATCATCTTGTTCGGTCATCGTCTGGTATACCGATACTCTAGGTCCACGTACGGTTGGTTACTCGGAAAGGGCAGCGTTAAACTTTGAGCTAATGCACGATCATCTGTGGACAAGGATGAGCTGACCAACGAAGGTGCCTCAGGTTTGTTCTTGATGCAATACTGGCAACCAATACCAGCTGATATTTGACTGTAAGCAGTGATGACAGCCGGGACTGCGCTAACCGGGCGGAAGCAAACTGCAGATTCGCTGCCTGAAAGGTATTCCGGTGGTTCGAGTGCTTTCCCATCCACAATCGCTGATCATGAAACCTTCCATGAGAATCATCCGATCGTCCCTGCGTCTCAAAGCCCTTTGACCCATAGCCTCAGTCCACTAGCTGCTGCTCCAACCTCGCACACCTCACAGATCTTGCATACATGGCCCTTGTATTGGCTATGATACCTTGCACCGTCAAAAGGACACGACACGCTTGGCGTTCCACTGTAGATCGGTGTGAAAGAAGCCGCACATACATCAAAGTCTGCAAACTGGTCATACTCGATATCGATCTTGTCAGTAGAACCTGATCGCTCGGCTTGTTGCTTGATTTTCTTGGCCTATTGCCGTCAGCATGATATTCAACGCCCGGGAACATATTACTAACCTGCTCAATCAGTTTAGGTGCGCCGCCGTTGGCAAGGATACGGTTGGCGAACGACAGGGCACTTGAAAATTGTTTGTTCGAGAATGTCAATTTCATGGCAGCCATGAGAGCAAGTTGACGATGAGAGACTTCGAGTTTGGGCATGGTGAAGTATGCCGACAGCTCGAGCTGCCGCTTGAGGTGTTCTTCGGAGTCGTCACCGGAAGCAGCGAGTCGCCGTCGCTCAAGTTCGATGCTCATTGCAAGGGTATACTCCATCGATTTCGTGATAAGTGCCTTCGCTTCGTCAACCTGAGCTTGAGAACTGACCACGTTGACGAGCAGGGACCGCAACAGAGAGCGGAAAGTGACAATGCCGTTCTCCAGCTTGTTCGTCCTCATAGCCGTGTAGCCTTCTTGAAGATCTGCACTGGTCAGTACCTCAAGGTTCCTAGGGATCAGTGGGAGGAATTTCCTGCTGTCTGTCTCGTCAATGTTTCGCCGAACGTAGTTGACAATCGGGGGCAAACCAGCATTTGCTGGCAGGAAAGTCCTTGACGCTTGATAAATTTCAAGAAAACGCGACTTCAGAGGTTCGAAGTGGACAGCGCCCACTTGACGACTCAGTAACTGCATAGCACTGTCGAACGAGCCTGCGGCGACGTGGTCAGCTGCCAGAGGCGAGTTTCTCGACCACAGGTCTGCTTCCGAACTGCCTGGACCAGCAGCTTCAGTGGGAGCGTCAGGGTTGTCGACATTGACGAAGTCGGAGTCATTGCCCGTCGTGTCGAGTGCAACGTCGTCACCCATATCCCAGCCGTCACCGGCATCTGCATCCTCATCTGGGGCAAGCGCATCACCATCTGCAGCGGCAGGTACATCCTCGCCAAGAAGATCAGGGCCTGCTTCATCTTCGACGGCAACGCCCACCTCACCAAGTAGAGCTCTCTCGAAAGATGAGTGCGAGGCTTCTTTAACTGGCCAATTTGCTTTGTATGTAGGCACAACGGGTTTCGGAGGAGCGAGAGGCTCTCCCAACCCGGGCATCGAGATCTGGTCCTCAGTCAAGCCAGAAAGCTCGAGTATTGACTGACACTCTTCGGTTAAGCCATGAGACTTGGCGGTGAGATAAGCAAGAGGATATTGGTCAATCTCTTTGAACATTTGTATCCGGCTTTCAACATCGCCGAGATACAAGGCGTTCTGGAATCTCGATACAAAATCCCCACGATGCTCAGCGATTTTCGCCATTCTGCTCAGCTTCTCCTCGTCGCCTGTGCAAAGGTAGAGGAACGAGAGCTTGTCGAAATTTCGGAGTTTCTGATATGTCATCTCGACAGTTTGATGGTTGCCGTGAACGAGAGCTTCGGCACCGAGCCGTGTCCAGATTTTTGGTCTATCGAGCTCTTTAGCCATATCCGTAGCAACATCCAGGTTGCCACATTCAATGGCGAGCTCGAAGCGAGTCTGAGGATCTTGTACGAATTGCAGGGCAATCTCAGGGTATCCCTTCTTCTGCAGGTACGAGATGATGCTTTGTCCAACCAGAGTCGACGTCTTGATGATCTGGAGCATCTCATCGTAATTTCGTTTTACGAGTGCCAACTTGAAGCGGTACTCGGTGGGATCGATACTGAGGACTTTCGGTTTGGCAGCCCTGTCAAGGCAAAAGACGTTCCGGCCTTTGACTTTGACAAGGTAGACTGTCTGGTCAAGCGTTCTCACAATTCCGTTGTCACCGTTCAGGAGGGTGTACTTGATGTGGTTGAGTGTCGAATAGAGAAGGACACCAGAGTCGTCCCAGGTGGCGCTCTTGATTCTGATCGTCTCATGTAAGGTACTGACCTGCTCAAGCGATTTGTTGACGATCGTCACGTTGTGCTTGCTGAGCAAAGCAGCATAGAGACCATCATTTGACCAAGAGACATATTTGACTCCAGTAACGCTCAGGTCTGCCAGCTGCTTCTTCTGCTGGATGTCGTAGAGATAGATGTTTGTGGCCGTGATAAGAAGCAAGCAGCCGGTACCGCCGTATGTGATATCCGTCGTGCCTGGGGGAGCCTTGAAAGACTTGGTGCTGGAATTGCTGAGATCCTTAACTTCAACTAGCTGCGTGGCAGTGTTGAAGACAGCAAAGCGATTTCGGGCCACAAAAACTGCTGCATTGCCTGATCCACGCTTGATGTCTGTGGGATCTGTAGCTCCGGCAGCATCACGGGGCAATGCAATCAATTCGTAAGTCCCACTGTCCGTAGGCGAAGTAACAAGGACCGATCGCTCTGCAGGGTTGTAAGAGAGCGTCCGAGGAGGCACCCAGTTGCTGCCGAACTTCCTAAGTGAGAGTAATGAGGGCGACTCGACATTCTTGGTGAAGTCGTACGACCGAACTTGTTTGTCCTTGGTGATGTAGAAAAGTTGGTTCTGGTACACGGACGAGGCTGGTCGCTCCCGCTCGAGCTTGAACACCATGACACCATTGTCGTGGCCTGCAGCGAAGAGATTGATCTCAGGATGTGCGGCAATTACCCAGAAGCGGTCATTCTCACGCTTGAACGACTGTACAGATGTCCTCTTGTTCAAGTCCCAGACCCGAACAGTCTTGTCCTCACCCACCGAGAGGATCAGGTCTTGATGTGGGTGGAACAGACAGGCAGAAGCGTTCTGAAAGTGGCCACGACAGGTATCGACCTCCCATGCTTTCGTCTCACTCATTCTCCACAGTTTAACCAGTCGATCATCACCAGCCGAGATGATCAACGGCAATGTCGGATGGAAGGCGACCCAGTTGACGCCTCTATCGTGTCCTTCCAGTACGAACTTAACGACAGCATCCGTGTTCCCAAACATGTCCGCCTGTTGTTGGTTTGCACGTGCCATCTGATCTTCGAAGCTCATTGAAGTTGGAGCCGAGTGCTTTTTCCGTAGTCCTGAGATGTCCCACACCCGGACGGACTGATCTAGTGAGGCAGACACGATGAGGTCTTCTTTGGGGTGGAACTGCGCGCACATCGCATAGTGGTTGTGGCCGGTCATGGTGCAGACTGACAGTCGAGTTAGTACAGCCAGGGGATCAACCGCATTCGAGACATACTCAAGGATCTGTTCTGCCAATTCCAAATTCGGATTGTCTGATCGTCGGAAGCCGACAGAATCCATGGCAACTCATGGTGGAAGAATACGGTGCGAACATAGTCGAGATGCCCATTGAGCGTGAACAGGCATCTTCTGGTCTGGTACGACCACACTTTGATCTTATAGTCGTCTCCTCCGGAAACAAACAGTGGCTGTGTCTTGTGGAAGTCGATACCGCGGACTGGCCCGTCGTGCTCTTCGAATCTATCGATCAAAGTTCCCATGCGATAATCCCATAGCCTGGACCTCCAGTCAGCGTATGGTCGTTCACAATCACCCAGGGACTCCGCACTGGATTGTACTGCTATGCAAGCTGACAAGGATCCATGGCCGTTTCGGATGGAAAGCCAAACCCTTGGCACGACTGCTCTTGCTCTCGAACTGTGGTCTCAGTCAATACAAGTTGCTGAGCTGAGGCTTGGGGACAACGGGGCATCTTGCCTTGGTGAGCATTGAAGGGGATGCCATGGTGGCCGGTTCGTAGAATGTTTAGGGTTGTCGAGCGCAGGATAGGACCATTCTGCGCTTCGCAGAGCAGGACTCTTCTCAACTGTCGCAACCTAGAATCAAGGTGTGTGCACTGTATACACATATGTGGCTCTGGTAAGGGTGGTGGTGAATTGACAATTGTCCGCAGTCATAGCCAGGGAAGGTACGGCGAGGCTGTGAGTGCGCAACTGAGGACAGATGTGGGGACTTGGCCAGTTCCATCACCGCAATCCGTCAGTTGTCTATCGCCTGTAACTTGCCAGAGTGGCTCTGCGTTTTGCTAGGATTGCGCTCTGCTAGAACTGCTAAGTAGCCGACCCAAGGTTGCCTGCGAAAGAGAGCTTGAAGAACTGTCCTTCCTTCTCACTCTCTCCTACCTCATCCCGGACTCATCCTCACTCAGCATGTGTTTGTGAAAGTGCCCACGACATAATCTCTGAAAATGGACCAGGCGCAATACGATGCGATCAAGGACAACTGGGGCGAGGTGGAAGACAGAGACGGCGTCAGGCTCAGCTGGAATGTCTTCCCTTCCACGCGCATGGTATGGTTGTCTCTCCAAGCCTGGCCGACGCATCCCGCACTAATACTTGTCTACGCAGGAAGCAAACAGACTAGTTGTCCCTGTGAGCGTCCTGTTAACACCTCTGAAAGTGAGCGCCCCGAGTCACGGTCAATATCTTCTATGCTCACACTGTTCTAGGAGCTTGGCAAACCACCTCTGCTTTACGAGCCTGTCACTTGCAAAGCACCTTGTCGAGCTGTCCTGAACCCCTTCGCCAACGTCGATGTTCGCGCCAAAATATGGATCTGCCCTTTCTGCTTACAGCGCAACCAGCTACCCCGTCATTATGGAGATATAAGTGCCGAAAACATACCTCCAGAAATGCACCCTGGGAATACAACAGTTGAATACAGACTCGCGCGCCCTGCGCCTGCTCCACCCATTTTTGTGTACGTGGTTGATACTGCAATCGAGGAGGATGGCTTGCAGGCGCTGAAGGAGACGTTGGTCATGAGTCTATCGTTGCTCCCTGCCAATGCTCTCGTCGGTCTGGTCACATTCGGGACAAACGTGGCCGTGCACGAAATCGGCTACACCGAATGCCAAAAGTCATATGTCTTCAGAGGAAGCAAAGATTACGCTGCAAAACAAGTCCAGGAAATGCTTGGACTGGCTGCCCCAGGACTGAGACCCAATATGCCGCCTGTACAAGGACGTCCGCCACCACCCATGGGTCCCGCTGCTCGGTTCCTTCTCCCCGTCCAGCAGGCGGAATTCCAAATCACCAACGCCATTGAACAGCTGCAAAAAGACCCTTGGCCGGTAGCAAACGATCGACGGCCGCTTCGTTGCACTGGTGTCGCCATGAGCATTGCAGTCAGCTTACTTGAGACTTCGTTCCAGAACGCCGGAGCCAGAATTATGCTCTTTGCTGGTGGTCCCGCGACCGAAGGACCGGGCATGGTGGTCGCTCCCGAACTCCGTGAACCTATCCGGTCGCACCACGACATCGACCGAGATAACGTAAAGTACTTCAAGAAGGCAATCAAGTACTACGAGACGCTCGCAAAACGGACTGCGCACAACGGCCACATCATCGATCTGTATGTCGGCTGCCTCGATCAAGTCGGCCTGCTCGAAATGAAAGGATTGGCCAACTCTACTGGTGGCCATATGGTCTTGACCGACAGTTTCACTTCCTCGCAGTTCAAGCAGTCCTTCGTCCGTGTATTTGACAAGGATGAACAGGACCAACTCTACATGGGATTCAATGCCTCACTCGAAGTCGTAACCACGAAGGAGCTCAAGGTTACTGGGCTGATAGGTCATGCGGTCTCCCAGAACAAAAAGTCCAGCTCTGTGGGCGAGACGGAATGTGGTATTGGAAACACCTGCCTCTGGAAAATGTGCGGCATCGACCCTACATCCAGTTACGGTCTCTATTTTGAGATTGCCAATCAAGGCGGTCCGACGCCAATGCAGCAAGGTCCTCAACGGGGCATGATGCAGTTCTTGACCTATTACCAGCACTCTTCGGGGCAGTATCATCTTCGTGTGACCACTGTTGCTCGCAATCTGAGCGGGCCCACAGGCGACCAAGCTCTGGCACAGTCGTTTGACCAGGAAGCTGCGGCAGTGCTCATGGCAAGAATTGCAGTCTTCAAAGCGGAGGTCGATGACGGACCGGACGTGCTCAGATGGGTTGATCGAATGCTCATTCGACTGTGCTCCAGATTTGCGGACTACCGAAAAGACGATCCGACATCCTTCCGACTCGACAAGAATTTTACCCTATACCCTCAATTCATGTTCCATCTGCGGAGATCGCAATTCCTTCAGGTTTTCAACAACTCACCTGACGAGACTGCATTTTATCGACATGTACTGAATCACGAGTATGTGGGCGATTCGCTGATCATGATCCAACCTACACTCGACTCTTACGGCCTCGACCAAGAAGGTGGTCAACCTGTGCTCCTCGACTCCGCCTCCATCCAGCCGCAGACCATCCTTCTCCTTGACACTTTCTTCCAGATTCTCATTTTCCACGGTGAGACTATGGCTGAATGGCGTAAAGCTGGCTATCAGGACCAAGAGGGTTATGAGAATTTCCGCGCTGTCCTCGACGCTCCGAAAGAAGATGCTAGAGAATTGGTGCAAGACCGTTTCCCTCTGCCGCGATTTATCATTTGTGACGCTGGAGGCTCCCAGGCCCGTTTCCTGCTATCGAAGCTGAATCCATCGACCACTCATGCAACGGGTGGATATGGAGGTGTCGCTCAAACTGCCCAGACGATCTTCACGGACGATGTGTCGCTGCAGACTTTCATGGACCATCTCATGAAGTAAGTTTTCCCCAGTCTGAATGCTGTCTCGTACTAACCCCGTCTAGGCTTGCCGTCTCTGGCTCGAGTTGATCACTTGGGAGACGGAAAATCAGGGATACTGGGCGTATGTAGCCACCCACTTACGCTCTACGGCCGGGATTTCGTCAGTCCTTTCGACAACACCGTGGCTCAAATAGACTCCGTTATGACCAGATCTCTCTACAAGGAGGACGATGAGCAGATGTTGCATACAAAGCAAATGCCCATGACTGTATCGAATGAGTTTGAGATAACAGCCCGTGCCATATAGGATCCCGTCCATCGTGATACCGTGAGCCCCCTGTCTGTGCTGTCGATCCGCAATCGAAGGCAGCCATTCCCCTGGTCGGGCACTATTCCTCATCAGGACTAGAATTTCACCCACATTTGGAAAGTCTTGGCGGGCGCGCTCAAGAAAAGTTGCTCCCTGCACCATCGTAGAGCTCTTTCCTTTCCCATTCCGTTCACTCAACCACCACCTCAAGAAAGACCGACTACCTTTCGCACTCGCCATGCGTAAGTATCGTCTTCTTGAGCAGCATCAGCTCGGCGGCTAATATGCTCTTCTGTCTCCAGCTCCCAAGTTAGATCCCAATGAGGTGAAGATCATGTACGAAGTTTCCCGAATTCTCGTGCATGAGGTCTCATACTGATGTGAGCGTCCTACAGCCACCTTCGCGCCACTGGCGGTGAGGTCGGATCTTCTGCGACTCTCGCTCCCAAGATCGGTCCTCTCGGTCTTTCCCCCAAGAAGGTCGGTGAAGATATCGCGAAGGCCACCGGCGACTGGGTACGTTTACCGTTGCATTGTTTACCCGTCGGGCAAATCATTCGCTAAGCTTGTGTTTTTGTAGAAAGGTCTCCGCGTCACAGTCAAGTTGACCATCCAAAATCGACAAGCCGCCGTCAGCGTTGTTCCCTCCGCGTCCTCCCTAGTTATCCGTGCCCTGAAGGAGCCTCCCCGAGATCGGAAGAAGGAAAAGAACATCAAGCACTCCAAGTCGATCCCTCTCGATGAGGTCTTCGACATTGCACGTACGATGCGTGGTGCCAACAAATCCCTCGCTCGAGAGTTGAAGGGTACAGTGCTTGAGATCCTAGGTACCTGCTTCAGTGTTGGTTGCCAAGTCGATGGAAGAAGTCCCAAGGAGATCTCAGATGAGATCAAGGAAGGATCAATTGAAGGTATGTCTCCACATGTCGGCACCACCGTACCACGCGACGATATGCTGACGTGCCCCCTCTTAGTGCCTTCGGAGTAGAAGAGTGCCACAAAGCCGTGTCGTCCGGGGCACTCACTCCTGACCTGCCGAATGTTCATGACCATGATACAAAGATCAACCATGAGACAAATGAGCATGATATGATACCCTCGTTCCCACTGCGCTTTGTTTCTCCCGCCCTTTATCAGCACACACGTTTATATGCCTTCTCTATGCTCCCCATTCTCTTATCAACACACAAGTCTGGCACTCCTCATCTACGCTCCCCCACCTTTGCCAACACTCTGGCCTTTGTCATTACTCCATGATAACGTGCCTATTTTGATGCAAAGAAGATTGAACCATCCCTGACACGCTACTCACCACGGCATTCTTGACAACTTCCATGGTTGCAGTGGTCCATTCCATTTTGTGTCGACAGACCAGTCACCTCATAGACTAGTGTCTATCTCATGTCAAGTCCCGTCATGGGAAAGCATGCACTGTTGGAGTCCAGGCTGTCTAGCACAGATGTGCGCAGTATAGCTTACCGCCCAGGTAGGTCCTTTACAGACTGTCCTTTCTCGGGGTTTTAATGATGAATTTGATTCCTGTTCCCGTTCCTGCTGGTGCTGCCGCTGCTGTCATCCTCTTGCGCTGGTTCAGCATTCTGAGGTCTTATGCATTCATGCCCCCGTGTACGGATGACAGGCCGTTTTAATGCCGCTGCGCAGAAGATTGACAGACACTATCCGATTCCTGGGATTTCCCGGGACCACGGACCCCGAGACCTTGTGAATGTTCATGTTTCTTCACCACCAGCCTTGCTCTGAATCAAGAATTTGTCTCCGACAACTCGACTTCAGGTAATCCCCTGCATTCAGGACCAACAAGTCATTCCTTGGTACCGATACTTATCTATATATTGATGATTTGTTGGTCTAGTCAGAGTTAAGAAAATCAGATCGAGAGAATCACCGTACTTTACTCCGTAGTTTCGAATAGATTGAATGTATGTCAACCTATTCATGTGCCAATGTACTGTACCAAAGTCAATAGCAGAATGCCTCGGCGATATATCTCACCTTTGGTTCCATCCGTGTTATCTGAATTTTTGTACTTTACCAGTGGCCTATAAACCTCAGCCTGGTCTATATCACGGCATTACAGCGGATCTTTTTCTAACCATGCTAGATGCCGTCTTGGTGTTGGGATCGAACAATAGTACGCCATACAGTACAACCGCACATCTCACTGCAACATCTGTAGACCATGCACAAGAATGACCACAGAACGTTACCATAGAGGAGCACAGTCATTCAGCCAGTGCAAATCCAAGTTGGCCAGGCGGTGGAGTTGAAGACTTCCTTGAACACCCGTCTCCAGAAGACCCGAGAGAAAACACTCTGCTTTACTCTTGCAGTGCTATGCTCAATGTCATTGCAGGCGTTCGCGGCTCTCTTGGGGCTCTTGATCACGGTCGGGCTGGACTTTGTCGATTCTTGTGCGACTGTAGACTTTTCCCCGTGGGTTGATTGTTCTTGTGCCTGTTTCGGGACTTGATCTGCGATGCTATTCGTAGATAGGCCCAATCCTGTCGGTCGCCCGTCCAGACTAGCCATCAGAATAGTGTCTTCGAGGAGCCATTGTATCTAACAAACATGAGGCAATCCTACATGACCAAGCACTGTGACTTGTGAGGCTTTCGTTTCGGGTTTCCTCTGTCGGAGCTCAGCCGACCTCTTGTTCGCCGACCAGTTTGTGAAGTCTTCCTGGTCGTAGGAGAAGCATGGCCGATGTGGTTGAGATGCAGAGACTCCCAGAGCCTGTCGAGTGTCCTTGTCATGATTTGCGAGTCGTATATTGTGGCGGCCAACCCTGATAGTGCAATGGCAATAAAGGCGCCGACGATGAAGTTCCAATTCTGCGGCGGCCTCCCCAGAATCTCGACCGTGTTCATCCCGTAGATCGAGGAGACGGTGGAGATCGGTATGAAGATGAACGCGAGCAATTGAAGATTCTTTGAACGAACCGCCTGTTGGGTGGCTCGTTTGCTTTCCGACACGGCCAGGAGGCCAAGCAGCGATTGCGACACCTTCTCAAGCTGCATTGCCCAGCTCTCCAAGCTGGATTCGAACGACATCAACTCGACGAGGTCTGGCGAGGATTGCTGCACGCCAGGGATCCGCTTAACGGACGCGATCAGCGCCGAGAGAGTCCGCTTGAGCTTCTCGAAGTCGTGCTTACGTTGTAAGACCTCCGTAATGTCGTCAAGGTCTCCAGCCAAGGGAGCGTGCGACTCTGAGATGCTCTCTTGAGCCCGACGAATCATCAGCCTCCATTTCGCGCACAGCAAGCTTGTGATCGCCTGCCGGATCTCTGGCGTCGCGTTGATTTCCAGTTCGGGATTGTCTGGACCAATGTTCGCTTGATTCGCGACCCTCGAGCCCAGAAGCGCCTTTTCGAGCTGGTTGCGGAAGGTCTTCTGTGGTAGTGCCTCCGCTGGCCAGTCACCATGGACTTTCCAACTTTCAAAGCTCGGCAGACTGGAGACTACCTGGAATGTCGATCTATCCTTCGGTGATCGTAGTGAGTCCAGGAGAATAAGATGTACGTCTGTATTGGCACAGCCACCGGTTAGTTCTTCGGCTTTGCCAGAGCCGTAATCGACTTACATGTATTCGACTCTTTGTTGAAGACAACAACCCACACAACCCGTTGGAATAAAGCGTACACATCTCTCCACATCCTCAGCAGAGTGCAAGGCCTGGCGTGATCCGGCAGCCTTAGGAAGTCCTGTTCACTCTCGACTCGGGGCAGTTTCCCGCTGTGGTACGTCTCCGGGTAATCGAAGACGTGCGCCTGCACTGTTTGCGACTCGAAGGACACATCTCGGTTGATATAGTATTCGAGCACGAATGGTTGAAGGGAAAGAAATGCGCCTAGATACTGCGGGTGTTTCAGTTTTTGCGATCCTGGACGTGGTATTGGTTGGAGATTACCTGTGCGCCCGCCGGTTGAAGGTCTTCGCAGATGAGAATCTTACGCGGCGAAGGGGTCCTGAGAGCCTGACACAGTCCTTCTGTTTCTATCTCGAAAGCGTGCTGATCAAACTGCAGCCTGGAGTGAAGCTTGGACTGGAAGTCGACGCTCGGCCGTCCACCGACATCCATACTGACGAGTGTGCCATCGAGGAAGGTGCATGTTTGGCACTGCTCGTGAAGATGTCTCCTCTCCAAGTAATCGAATACTGATTGGAGCCTAGGATCAACTTCAGCTGACTGTTCAACATATAAAGAATATGCGTCCACATCGACAATACTGATGTTGAGGAAGATGTTGTTGATGTTGGCCCCCGAGTGGTTTGTCTGGATCCGTGAGAAAGAGCTGAACCCATGCGAACTGTGAAACTGACCTGTGAAAGGCCGGACGATACATCACTTCTGTCGCCCGAAGTGCCTCCATCCATGTCCAGATGCAGATCGCCGTTGGGGATTGAGGGAAAGCGGGCTCCTCGCTCACTTGAAACCGGACGCGAAGACATCTTCTGACTCGCAGATATGCCCGTACCGCTACGAAGTTGACGATACACCAGTTGCTTCTTGCAACTGTTTTCATACAGATTGCAAAACAAAACGCGATCTGAAGGTGTTGTGAGGCTGAGACCAATGTGCAGCCCCTGAAATTCAGCGTCACATTCAGCCAATGGGACGAAAACACAAGCTTCGTGGCGCAATCTGGCTTCGCCTGAAGGCGAAGTGCTGTCCACTGCGAATTGGAGTAAGCATGTCCTGGCATCAATCGAAAACAATGGCAGAATCAAGTATTCATTCAAGCGGATGGGAAACGGTTGGACCAAGCAACGGAATCTTTCAATGCCCTGTTATAGTAATTGACCGACCCTCGGACAGTTTTGCCATCTAATATCTCTGCATTTCCTCAGTCTTGGCACGTGGTTGAAGCCGGGTATGTGGGATAGTATCATCGTCCATAGACAGAAATGAAACGATCAGAGATAAACCGGATGCCTTCAGCACGGTAATAGTCGGGCTCAGCGTGCAGCAAGTTTGCGACGTTGGCGTCGAAGACGATATTCTGAGGATTATCCAGAGTATACACGGGCCAATGAATCGATGTAGCTGTTTCCGCGTGGTGAGCACCGGCAGACACAATTGTATCCGAGCGAAACGTACCTTTGTTCGTGTTCGGATCTCCATCAGCAATGAAGCCGATCCACATGCGGCTCATAATCGTTGCCAATCTCTGGTAGCTTTGCGGCTTGTTCTCGAACGGGTCCACAGCCACCGAGTTGTTGTATCCCAGGCCTTCTAAGTTCTGCAAATATTCCTTAGCTCGAACCCTAGAGGCAAGACCAACAGCTTTCCCGAATCTACAGGAGATAGTGTCGCAGACTGAGAAGACTTACGTGGAAGACAAAAGCAACCTCCTGGAAGTGCGCTGCGCCAGAGGCAGGCGCTTGACCATTGACCAAGACGTTGAAACGGTAGCTCCAACTGCTGACATTGTTGACTGCATAGACTTGCGAAATTAGGCGTCGCGACGCATGTTGACGCAGATCCCCAACATAGGCTGCTGAACGTTTCCACTGGACACCTAGCGATGCATTATTGGGCGGCGGACGACCTGATAACGTGGCGGGTATGCCAATCGCAGGGATATCGGGATACAGAGCTGCGATCGTTGCTGCAGTGGCATTGTCCGGTCCCGCTGACATCACGCTGGCCAGGAACTGTTCCGTGGTATTGATGCCCTTCGGGCTGAAGCTTGTTCCTTCGTCACTGTTCCTGCCGTGAAGCAAGGGGACCTTGACAAACTTGCCGTCGAGCAGTTGCCGAGTACCAGTGGCAATGGTAAAGTCATTGTCGACCACCATGCCCCAGTAAGGGACGGAAGCTGTTACGCTGCTGTTCAAAACAGTGTTAAGAGCGCCGATGGGCACCTTACGCAGGCATGCCAATGTGTCGGAGGCCCTACTACAGTTTGTGGCCCGAGTGATATTGTTGTAATACTTGTCCCAGGTCGAAGCGTTGGTCTGGCGAACAGAGTTGATGTGCCCGCCACTTTCTTGAATTGCACCGCGAAAGAGCTTGTCGTCTCTGCCACCGTAGGCAAGCAGTTGCGCGCCTACCGACCCAGCTCCAGCACTCTCACCCCAGATAGTGACTTTCGCAGGGTCTCCGCCAAAGGCCGCAATGTTCTCCTGAATCCAGTGCAGTGCTAATCGTTGGTCTCTGTACCCTATGTTAGTGACACCTTCCTTCAGAATGGCCGACCCAAAGAGGAATCCGAATGCTTGCAGGCGGTAATTTAAGCTGACTCCAATAAAGGGCTTGCCCATCTGGACAGACTGCTCCACAATGAAAGAGAGGTTGTAGCGCGGATCCAAGCTACTACCCATATATGCCCCGCCACCATAAATCCATACCCCAACTGGTAGCTGCGCATTGGGCTTCGTCCCAGTGGGACGGACAACATTGATGGTCAGGCAGTCCTCGCTCACAGGATTCCCAAGGACCCAATCGTCGGATCCGTATCCATAGCATGCATGGCCGTACTGAGTTGCATTCTTCGTGCCTGTCCAGGTCGTGTTTAAAGAGACTGGATTCCGGAAACGGAGGTCGCCAACCGGTGGTTGCGCGAAAGGCATTCCTAGGAAGAAATCTTGGCCATAGGTCGGGTTTTGAGTGCCATGATAGCTTCCGTTGTGCAAAGTCACGCTAGGAGGTCCAGCCTGGCGGGTGATCAAGAGACTGTAGGATGTGTCTGGGAAGGACAGAAGTACGAGAGGCAATATGAAGGAGACCTTGGCCAGAAACCAAGCCATCTTTGAAAGGCTCGTTCACCTCACGCCGAATCTGGTCAAATTTGCAGGAGGAGGGAAGGCAACGCAAAGGAGACAATAGTACTTATACCTGCTTCTCGGCTCTTCCCTCTTTCTGTCACTTCTCCGCCTTCTTGACTGAATGCTGAACCATGGAGACAATGTTACACCAGCCGAAGCAGTGGGCCATCGGTTGAAGGCAGATTGCGGCATGTCAATGAGCCGGGTAGATCAACCAAGGGTGCGGGGAAGAGAGATACAACTGTGCTACTCCGTACAGCCAGAGCAGCAGTGCACGTAGTGTAACGTGAAATTGTGGGGAAAGCTTCGAAAGCTTCGATGGCTCGCTACCCCCGGCGATCATGGTTGCTCAAAGACGGGCGCCACACGGGATGACTACCGCCCAACCGATAGACAATTAGGCGTGGGAGAGCATCAAGTCCATTGGGTACGCACGAGTGTGCTGAAATGTAGCTTCCGTGGTCGTATTGTGCATGAGGCGAGAATCAAAATCATCCAAAGACGAATTTCGATTTATCTGTGTTCGGCAGAGCTTCCCCATTAAGAAAAGGTGTGAACCGCGTCTGAGATGAAGATGAAGCCGAGCGCAGTTTGAGGTGAATCTCATGCCTGACAATGACATGATGGTTATAAGGTCTCCTCTGCAAGAAGGAAGTGAGCTTACACGGAAGACCCCGGGCCCCGTCATCACCGTCCTGGTGGCCCTGACAGCTTGATGACATATTCCACGCGATTGACAGGTGGGAATCGGCGAAAGACGCGTCAAGCGGGATACGGAAGCGAAAGAGATAACAATGGCTACACCGACCAGATCTCAGACCGCCTCTACTCCCAAACCACATCTTTCCACTCCCAATAGACCGATGGCGTCTCCGCGACCCGGCACCTCCGGCAACTCGAGCCGTCCTCTCGCCTACAAGTCTCCCGCTGTCAAGACGCCGGCCTCCCTTCATGGCCATCACGTCAGTGTCTCCTCACAACCCTCCTCTACCCCTCTAGCCGGCACCGCTGTCCATGACGATCTCCTAGCGCTCAACTCCCCTGCTGCTGCCCTGATGAACTCATTGGGCACGACAGGGTTGACACCGCTGGGCAGCGCCGCGGACGGCTTGGGCATTACAACCCATATACCCGGTGGGCCCGCGAGGACCACTGCTGCACCTGTGAACCCAGAAGCCGAACGCCTGCATCGGGCGCAGCTGGTGGTGGAAACTCTGAAACGTGGTGTCGGCGGCCATGGCGTTACTCGGGAAGGCGTGGAAAGAATTGCCCAGCTACAGGGCTTCACTACTCTCTGGGACGATGACAACCTGACGATTGCGGGCAATTGTGTGGACCTCGAGGTGAATTTCGAGGCAGGCGGCAGAGACACCGTTAGGGACGTCAGTCTCAAGCTCAACATTTCGGAAACTGCAACTGAAAGCGAGGAGCCTCAGTTCCAAGAACAAGGCACTCAGGTCATCAAGGACAACCTTCGCAGTGTGGCCGTGGTCGGTGGTGTATCGCAATGGAGAAGGCTCGATGCGTTCGCCTCCAATTTACAGTACCTCAGTCAACTCGATAGAATCGAAACAGGGTCGCCATGCTTCAATGCCGTGGGGAATCTGTACCATACGTTTCGGCAAATCTGGGATGCTGAAAAGGCGAGATTTCAAGGACGAAGCCCTCGGCAGCACCTGAGACAGAGCGCTGTGGGCAGGCCTGTCATGGACCGCAAGCCCAAATTGGGTTTGGCATTGGACTACTGGGCTTCCAGCCAAAGACCGGGCCAGCTTCCTGATGCAGCAGGACGCGATGAAGTCGATGAGGGTGCGCATCTATACACGGCATATATATCTTGCGAGGCTGGCTTACCCTCGACTGCTATTATGGAGAAATGGCTGTCCGACGGCGTTCTAGTTGAAGACACAAACTCGATGCTGAAATCGGATGGCGTGAAGCCAAGACCTGACTGGAGGATGCCTGCCCATGATCCGGAAGAGCTCCTAGCTAAACCAGACAATGATGGGACAGCAATGGAGAAACCAACAGACATCCCGCCCAATATCTTGGACTTGCACTTCTATTGTGACCTTGGCCCTGAAGTCTACCTCCCTCTCAATGTCGCGGCTAGCCTGAATGTGGAGATCACCATGGTCAACATTGATCAGGAGTCCACCCTGACCTATCAGGCAGCGCTGCATAAGCAAGCCCATGCTAAAGACGTCCATGGTAATGGCAGCGCCTCTGCGGAGCGGTGGTCGAGGTGTTTGCCTCTCCCGGACGCTACAAATCCAGACTGTCAGCGGAAGCATTCCTATGCTCTGCACTCCGCACAAAGCGCTACAGCTCTCTGGTGTTTTCCTGTCAGACATCTCAACTTTACCCATCCCAAGCAGATTGCCGCCGCCTTGCCGGTCCTCCGGCAGTACGTTGCCTTGTGGCGCATGCTGCAGAGCCTCGTTGAGTATGCAGGTCAGGGAGAGGCCATCGGCTCAGGCCAAAATGCGCCCAAACGCGGAAGTATAGACGCATATTCTCGTCCCCTGAAGCGCACGAACAACAAGACATCGAGCTTTCAGGTTGAGGACCTTCTTAGATCGACGAGCGTACCGAGCACTGAAGACTCATTGCCTATTGACTTGACGCTCGACGTTCTCTCGGACTTCTCAAAAGCCAGACTCGATCTTTACATTCCTTTGGTCAGATCATATTCACGACAGCAGAAGAGCGCTTTCATCTTTCTGAGCTTATGCATCTGTAAAGACGGGGTGATTGAAGTCCGCGATCTACGTGGATTACCCTCCTCCCTCGGCGATTCATCAAATGTCCGGTCGAAAGTGATTCGAATTCTGGAGGCGACGGACGATATTGGCTTGACAGTCGAGTGGCTACTGGAGCAAGCTTCTGCGCATTCATAAAGCCCTGGCTCTCGCGTCCCTGACCCTTGATCGAGTCAGTCCTCCGTTTCTGTTGTTCCCAGCGGAGGCGCGACTTCAGCGAGCGTATGTGTGCAACAGTCTCAGGTCATGGTGGGATCCATGAGCTTAAAGTAGACGCGGAACGCCGACCATGGATGCGACTTGCGTGAGGACACTTCCGCGATAGCATTCTAAGGGCCGGGGTAATAAGATAAGCCGTTGGCGTTCTCCTCGAGAAGGCAAACAATGACCGACGCACAGAAGTAGATGCGAACTCGGGCTTTCCTGTTAAGGACATCCGGCGCAAGTTTTTAGCTATAAGCCGGCTATTCCTCGTACATGGACCCGCCTTATGCGAGGTAGCAGCCTTGTCGAATTCTGGAACCTTACGGAGTACCCAGTCAAGGACCATCGGGGTAAACACGACGATCGTCGGGGTGGAATCCGTCCTCCGAACTTGCCCCGTACCAGACCGATTGGAGATTGGATGCAACAAAAGGACAGGCTCCGCTTCCGATATGGGCAGATGGCTCGGGCCAGAAAAGAAATGCCACCAGGCGCCGCGGCTCAGCTTACGTCTATGTCTAGCTAAGCGTCGTTCGTCTCTTGGTCTCGTCCCCAGCAATGGCTAGCAACCTATTGTCCGCACCCATCGCGTGCACAGCACTCGGATACAAGTGCTGAACTCGATAATTTCCGTGAGGACAACTGACTTGGGCGCTTCTCCGGATGATCGTCCTGGGGCATGCAGGGGACCAGCGCCACTATCGTCATGGGAAAGGCTCTTTTTGGTAATCCGAGCTGATAGTCTCTTCCACATGGATGGCAATGATGCGGCAAGTTTTTGAGGATTCTCCAGGTTCTTCTCCGCACTTTTGGTGTCATTATTGCTTCGATGCAACGGTGCAGTCACGAATTATGGAGCAATCCCGATCGATGCTTTTCTTCGGAGGATGTATGGTACCCACGGGCGCAAGACCGAACTGTGATTTTGAGAGCCACGATCTCGCTTCCTCGGGTCCTACCTCTACCATAAGTGACTGAAACATTTACTACAAAACGGTTACGTTCACCAACGACAATTCGTTGCTGTTCGACCTATACAGTCTCTACGATTCAGCTGCGGCCTGTCCGATATGAAGCTCTTCGGCAAGCGTTACCTGGGCCTCTCTGGCACCAAGCTCAACGTCGCTATCGGCATCATAGCTGGTATTGACTTTCTGTTAGTCATCTCATCCTCTGTGCCTCTTGTCGACGCTAACACTTACAAGACTATTCGGCTATGACCAAGGGGTCATGGGAGGACTGTTGACGCTGAAGCAATTCACTTCTGTCTTTCCCGAAATCGACACTACCGCAGAGGGGCTGAGAGGCCTTACTCCGAGTCAAGCAAACCACAGGTCCACTATCCAGGGCATCTCCATCGCTTCGTACAATCTTGGATGTTTCTCTGGCGCCATTGCCTGCATCTGGATAGGTGACTTACTCGGTCGGCGAAAAACGATTTTCCTGGGTTCTTCAACCATGATAGTGGGCGCTATCCTTCAAGCGAGCGCTTTCAGCTTACCGCATTTCATTGTCGGACGTATCATCACTGGCATGGGGAATGGATTGAACACTTCTACCGTCCCTACATGGCAATCAGAATGCTCAAAGTCGCACCGGAGAGGCCAACTGGTCATGGTTGAAGGCGCCCTGATCACTGGTGGAATCTGCATATCGTGAGTAGTCGTACGTGGTGTCTAGAATGCCGCAGTCCTGATCTTATCCGGGAAAATGTTTGAAGGGCTAACAATAGAGCAGATATTGGATCGATTTCGCTTGCTCGTTCATCGACAGTCAGGCGTCCTGGCGATTTCCAATCGCCTTTCAGATCGTCTTTGCTCTAATTATCCTGGCGTTCATTCTTGAGCTACCCGAGTCTCCAAGGTATAGCAGAACCAGGGTTTTGTCTTCCTGGGAGGCAGCTAACACTTAGCAGATGGCTGATCCTGAAGGGCCAGGAAGACGAAGCTCTTCAAGTTCTCGCAACACTCTCTGATAAGTCCAGTGATGACAAGTACATTCGCTCGGAATTCGCAGCCATCAAAGATACCGTCCTCGAACAAGAAAAGGCCACTTTCCGTGACTTGTTTACCATGGACGAAAATCGACATTTTCACCGGGTGCTTCTCGCATATGCCAACCAAGTCATGCAACAGATCAGCGGCATCAACCTAATAACCTATTATGCAGCTACTATCTACCAGAATGAGATCGGGCTTTCGGGTTTCATCTCTCGCATTCTCGCAGCTTGCAATGGCACCGAGTATTTCCTGGCCTCTTGGATAGCTGTCTTTATCATCGAGAAGGTTGGACGCCGGAAGCTCATGATTTTTGGCGCTATCGGCCAGTCAGCTTCAATGATCATCCTTGCGGTGATGACCAAGATTGGTGGTACGGGTCCTGGATGGGTGGCTGCCGTGTTCTTGTTCATCTTCAACTCGTTCTTTGCAATCGGATGGCTTGGTAAGTCGCCCTTGTCCTTCGAAATCTCTACACAAGATCTTTGCCCTGTGCGTAAACTGTGGGTTATCTCGGGGACAGATCCTAACTACTTCACAGGAATGACTTGGTTGTACCCCGCCGAGATCGTGCCTCTCAAGATCCGGGCTCCCAGCAACGCCTTGTCAACTAGTGCCAATTGGATCTTCAACTTTATGGTCGTGATGATCACGCCAGTCAGCTTTAGTTCCATCAAGTGGAAGACTTACCTCATCTTCGCGGTCATCAACGCAGCAATGATCCCGGTGGTCTACTTCTTCTATCCCGAAACGGCCATGCGCAGTTTGGAGGAAATGGATGGAATCTTCCACAAGACGAAGAATATCTTCACCGTGGTTTGGACAGCGAAACATGAACCTCATCGTTATGGCAAGCATGGCGAGGTTCTGATTGACTACGAAGAGACCGGTGAACATCAACGACGAGTGAGCCAGGCAGAGCGACGAGGAAGCGTTATGAGCCGCGGAAGTGCGACTGAGTATGGGTCAGAAAAGGTCGCGGGCGCTCTAAAGGAGGACGATCGTTGAGGAGAGACTGGAAAGGGCTCTCGTAGCCATCAAGACAACGCTGCGGGGAGGTTTTACATGCCCCAACCACCTCTGGCGCTGTGTTACAGTACCTATAGCTTCCTAGCAAGGGTCTAATTGTTTGACAGGCGAATGCGAAGCAGAATCCGTCATAAGGACACGCCTGATCATCTAACGAGCCCATAGCTTGTTGTTCAGGCGTGTGACCATTCACTAATTCAGGCAATTCCAGGGTGCGTCCGGACCGACGAAAGCAACCGCAACCCCGCAACAGGCGCAGCGGGAGGGGGATCTCAGGGTCGAAAACGTTGTCCATTAGTGATCAAATGCATTACTCCAGAGCGCGTATCGCTCGAGTCAGACACTTTGCTGCCGCTTTGACGGCCACCCACGGATTCCCAGCGTGATTACTGTTGATGCTGAACGCGGAACCCTAGCCCAGTTCCGGGAAATCTGAGGAGCGGGAAAGTATATCTTCCACCACAGAGCCTGTGATCGGTGCTTTGAAACGTCGTCTATCGAACACGTAGTATCGAACCATCAAACTATCTTCGCTCTGGCGCTTCCTTCTGTCGCCCGCCTGCAATCGACACGAAACCATATCTCGGCCATTACAGCCACTAGTCCTCGAAGGAAAATGTCCGAGTAAGTCTGATCTTGTCCGGTGGGTGTGACCTCTCTAAGAATATACACCCCAGCCTCGCAGAACTGGCATCCAAGCTGTTCAACGCCAACAAAGATTCCCAACCGAAGATTGTAGGGACAGAGAAGCGCGTCCGCGGCCTCCTCAATGGCCAATACATCTTTGACACCACGGCGGCGAAGCTAGTCTGGGAAAACGGATTCTACCCGAACTACTGGATCCCACGGTCGGACTTCCTCAGCACGGTCAAATTCGGCGAAGACAAACCCGTCTCGGGCATCGACTCTTCAACATCAACACTCAGCGTCGACAACAAGTCCGTCGCTTCATTGGTCGTCCCGGACTCGTTCAACTCCGAGCTGGCGGGCTACGTGAAGATCGACTTCAAAGCCCTGGACGCGTGGTACGAAGAACAAGCCCAGATTGTCTATCATCCGAAAGACCCCTTCCACCGCGTCGATATTCTCCCCACGGGTCGCCACGTGAAGGTGGAGATCGACGGGGTCGTCGTCGCGGACACGGGGTCCGAAGGCGGCGTCATGTCCCTGTGGGAGACCCGATTTCCCGCTCGGTGGTACTTGCCTCGCACGGCGATCAAGTGGGAATACTTGACACCCAGCGACACGCACACGGGATGTCCATACAAAGGTGAGGCGAGCTACTATAATGCCGTGATCAACGGGAAGGAAGTCAAGGACGTGGCTTGGTGGTATAAGAACCCGACGCTGGAGAGCGGCAACATTGTGGGCATGTTGTGTTTCTATCCCAACAAGGTTGATACGTTCGTCGATGGGAAGGCAATTGAGAAGTGAGTCTCCCCGTACACCTGTCGCGGTGTGCATCAAATTTGCCTGGACGGCGCTGGCACGGGTTCAGATCTACGAATACAGGTACTAACAGCCGGCAGAGTTGGGATGCCGATGAAGGAGAAGCCGAAGGGGGGGAAAAGTTGAAAAGTTTAAGAATAGGGCGTACTGCCATATCGGATGCCAGGAGGGAGATCCTAGCTGTAATGCAAAGCCTACGGCGTCTGGCCTCGAATGACATGCGACGGTCGAGATGGAAGCCACGCGTGCCACGCTCAAGTAAGGCTGAGAGACGAGGAAAATGCTGCGCCTGCGCGACAAGGCTGGATATTATGTAAGCGAGGACACTTTAGAAATGATGTCATTGACACGAGTTTCAATGCTTCCCTAAATCCTCGAGCAGCTCCTGACAAGCCGGGGGCCAACGATTTTCCTCCTTTATTGTCTGTCGATGGATTGAGCGGTCGTCCTTGATAACTGGGTCGTCGAGAGAACAAAGATGAATGCGGCTATTACAACGCGTCTCCTTCCACGAGCGTCGCGTCACTTCGCTCACTTGCGAGCCGTGTCAACACTGAGCAACAACCCGCACATTTATGTCTTCGCCAACCCTCAGAATCCCTCGTCTTACATCCTGTCCCTACTACCCACAGACCCTCCGTCTTCCTCATTAGCACTTGGCGCAACCACAAAACTACCACCTACACCTCAGTCCTTCACTGAAAATCCAAGGCTCCTTCCCATACTCCACTCCGTAATAAGCGAGAATGCCTCTTCCGACCCTCAAGTCCAATCCGAGGCAGCAGTTATGATATCCAACTCTGGCGTCTCTTTCTTTCAGACAGCCCGCCGGCAGCAGACAGGCTCTGCTGGCGCCTCTGATCAAGGCGGTTACGGCGGCGGCGGTCGAGGTGGTTGGGTGCATGTGGCTGATCAGCGACGGATACCCGACTTTGGACGTATCCCTGACCCTGAGGATATATTTGGAAGCGTGGAAGTCGATGGACAGGGCCAATTTGTCGATGGTCATGGAAGATATCAGCCTAGTGGGACATACCGGATTTGTACAAATGATGGTATTCTGGGACTGACGGATTTTATGAGACAGAGGCTTGTGCAGAGGCTGAAGTTGGAAGAGGCGGCTGAGAAGGATAAGGCATAAGCACGGAAGCCGCAGGCTGGGCATGAAAAGAACCGGGCACGACAAGGAGGAGATCAACAGCATACATTCCCCTTCTGAGCTTTGGTCCTTACCAAGGCCTCATCTGCCCGGCTTCTTTCAGCATATTTCGCAAGCTGCTTAAGCAGCGGCAAGTTATACAATGGTTTCTCCTGCTCTTTGCGAACAGCTGCACCTGAGAAGGAAGAGCAGTGAACACTTACAGCCAAGGTGAACATCAGCTGCCACTGCCACATCCCGGTAACGGCAAGGCCATACGCTTCGATATACAGAGGCTGTTCTGGTATATACCCTGGATTGTCCAGAAGTTGAGGCACACATGAGAATGGATCGTCTTTTTCGCGGAACCAGAACAGTATTCTGGTTTGCAGCCTCTGTCCCCCGACGACAGATCAGACTTGTTTGAAACGCAGATGCCTCGGCTGATATGTGCTCGGTTCTCGAGTCGCCGTATGCAGAACCCATGTGTGAGAAGAGGCGTCTGCCCATGGGATATGATTGTTGTTGAAATACACCACCACCCAGCTCCGAGCTGCATTGCAATGGCAAGCGGAAAACAAAACCTGAGTCGGTAAAGGCAGGCAGAGGGTGCCTTAGCCACTCGCGACCTGGAAATCAGCCCCATGGATGATTACGAGGCACGGCTGCGCAACCACCTCGTTCCGTTGGCAGAAGAGCACGACATCCAAACGATGTGTTGTAGCTGCCTTCTCAGCTCGAAGTATAGCTTCACTGCATACACGCCCGGCTTCAGCAGTAATTCCAGAATGGCGGTCCCTTCCAACGTCACCACGGCAGCACCGGGGGTCATTGCAGAGTCACGGGGCGTTCACACTGAAGAAGGCTATTCCAAAGTATCAGTTTACCGACTTCACCATAGCAGTGACAAGGGCGGAATGTGCGGCAGTCCGCACGGCTTTACTTCGGATTCAAGATCCTGTTACCGGAAGGACAATGCTACTTGCCAGATGAATAATCTGGTTGTAGAAAGTGATCAGTAGCCTGGGAAATAGTACAGGTGGGACAGGGAGTTGGCGAAGCCCGAGAACTGAACCTTGCGGCTCTTAACTAAAGAGTACAGAGTAACTCGTCCTCTACTCTGGAGCCAGTATTTTGCGAGTTCCACTCGTAGTCGTGACTTACCTAGCTCAGGTAGGGAGGTATGTACTTACGCGGCACGTACAGGAATGACCATAATCTGGCCGACTATTGAGTACATCTCACCGCCACCTCGGCCGAGGAGCCTATCTCCCCGACCCAGTGGGAGCCCAAGCCCTTTTCCGTGAAGTATCCAGCCTTATCTCCTGATCCCCCTGATCTTGCTACTGTGTACTCCGTATGTACCGTACCTTGCGTACACAGGAGATAGGTTGAATCTCCGGTCTCCGTCCGTCGTCCTTCCAGCTAATTATCACCTTGTCATCGTTTATCCTACCGTCATATCATCATCTCTTGCTTCTACTTGTAGCGCGAAGTCATCCCGTTGCCTCACCGTCCTTCCGTCTTGCATCTTGACTTGCACCTGCGTCTACTCCTGCCCCTACTCCTACTCCTGCTCTTGCTCCCCTCTTCCCCTGCACCAGTCCTTCAACCCCCCGATTTCGTTGCTCAGTAACTCACCATGACCATGATGGACACGATGCAGTTGCCAGCTTCGCACATTTCACTTCTCTAACACGTGCTTGTGCTTAACTGTTCGTCGGGCGAGATTCTCGTCGTGATTGAGATACGGCGATATCGCCTACTGGACGGAACACCCACTCAGCGCCGCATCCATATACCCACACGCTTACTGACTCGTTAACTCGGCTCCACGTCTGCTCTACTTGCCCGCTCGCACGTTCGTTCGACCAATCAACAATGCGCAAGGGAAAGAGATCCAAGAAGCGCAACGGGGTCGACACCATGACCGAGACCGAGCAACAACATCCTCGAGGCTCCGTTGGGCCCGTGATGCAGGATGGACGGGACGTAGCTAAGGTGAGCAGGACATCATCTGGAGATCCCATTTCGTCTTCTTTTCACTTCCCCTACACATTGATCTGTTCCAGCATGACTGGACCGGACCTGAGGTGGCTTGACACGAACTGGGCTGGCCCACGAGGGACAAAATACTGATGTACATCCATCGACTGTGTAGCAGAGGCCAGCGCCAGAACTCCAGGTACAAGTCGAGGTTGAAACTGAGAAACTGACTCTGAACGACGACCCCGTTGACCCGGCATTTCTTGTGCCGCTCCTCGAGGACGCCACCTCCAGCACCGATGCGAGCTCCACCACACCACCGCCCCAAGACACGCTCCTCAAGGTCGTCAGCACCCCCGACCGCGGCCTCGCCGTCTTCACCACCCGCAAAATCAAAGCCGGCACCCTCATCCTCGCGGAACGGCCGCTCGTCGCGCTCTCCAAGACCGAAGAAATTGACCCGCAATCCATTGAGCGCCACTTCGCCGCCCTGTACAGACCGGACCAAAAAGCGTACCTCTCCCTGTTTGACGCGCAGAAGTCGCGCATGTCCCGCGTCGTCTCGATCTACTACTCCAACTGCTACAACTGCGAGTGCCAGGGCGACGGCCGGGGCGAAGGGTCCTCCACCAGAGGTGGAGATGGCTCCGGCTCCGGCTCCGCCATCGGCGCGCTCTCAAGCCGGATCAACCACTCTTGCGTGCCGAACGTGCAGTTCTCGTACCATGTGGCCAAAGGGGAAATGCGGTTTTTTGCGGTGAGGGACATCCCGCGCGGGAGGGAGGTGTGTGGGAATTATGAGCGCGATGTGTGCCATCGCGTGGCGGAGCGGCAGAGGAGACAGCGCCTCCATTATGGCTTTGGGTGTGCTTGTGAGGCGTGCGTGCCTAGGACGGAGTTCTGGGCGAGGAGCGACGAGCGGAGGAGGGGGATGTATGATGCGTTGGGGAGGGTCAAGGGGTTGGAGAAGAGATGGGGACAGAAACAGGGACAGGGACAGGAGCAGGGCGAGGGACAGAGTGAGAACGAAAACGAGAAGGCTCTGATCGTGATGGAAGCTCTCGATACGCTGGCCAGGCTGGAAGGCCTGTTGATAAAGGAAGGCCTCGTCGGTGTGCCGTTGGCGAACGCGTATAGGCGGATGGCGAAATGGGCGGGGAGGGATGCCAAAACGGCCGCCACCACGCAAGAGGTTGTCAAGTGGAAGACGCGAGAACTGCAGGTCTGCGTCAATTGTTTTGGCGGCGATGGTCAGCGTACACAAGACATTAGGGCCGCATTGGACGATTTGAGTCCTCAGGAAGAGCGATATGTGATGTCTCATGCATGCCGAGTGTCTTCGCATGTCTCCTTATAGGCCTTGTGTACTCCGTACCATGGCGGCCATATTCTACTGTACGAGTTCCGTTAGTGGTCTAGAGGACGGGGAGCAATCCACGGACAGTTCAGTTGTCATGCAGAGCCGAACGACTCCTCCACTTCATGCCTCTTGGTCGATCCCCTTATTCTTCCCCTTTCTGCCCCTTCAACCGATACAGCGCGGCTTCCAGCTCCACCACCATCTCTCGGCAAAGCATATCACCAGCCGGAAGAATCTGCGTGAACAACGTGGCCGCCACGCCACCCTCCCGATCAATCAGCCACGCCAGATTGGGCAACCCGCCCCACGACACCGACCCCTTCTTCCGCCGGCCCTCGACATCCAGCATGTTGGATTGTCCGACAAGGGAGTGGCCCACAGGCATCAACTCGTCCTTTGTGGCTTCGTCGCCTGACTGGCGGAACAGGCGGTGTCCAACACCCATGAGCAAATGGTTGCGGAACGCCTGGGTGCTCGCCTCGCCGATTTGGGGACGGAAGAGCTCGTCCACGCTGCTGGCTTTTTCAAGTAAAGGTGCGCCGCCCTGGAGAAGGCAGGATAGTAGTTTGATGTAGTCGGTGGCGGAACCGTAGAGGCCCGCTCCGCCGATTGCGTCGCGCGCTTCGAGCGGCCACGGCGAAGTGCCGGGCTCCGGCGCGAGAGACGAGCCTGAACGCACGGCCGATTCGTGGAGAGGGGGCATCGGGTTCGGGGAGAAGTGTTTCGTCGGGTGGAAGGTCATGCGTGTGGCGTCGAGGGGGCGCCAGATGTTTTCTTGCATGTACGTGTCGAGGTCTTTCTTTGTGAGGGCTTCGACCTGTATTTGTGTATACGTCTGTTAGTTCGTAACGAATCCAATGGCACAGAAACAGGAGACGCCTCACAACTTGGCCGACCCAGTCAAGGCCCGGACCGTATGCCCATGAGGTCCCTGGCTGGAAGACCGGTGGGTGCGTTGAACCTCCCTGTGGCTCTCCATCAGCAAGACGTTCTCAGAGAAAGGTGCAGCTGAAGTTCTCACAATCGTTCCACTGAACATGTTCTCCTTCCGACCCCTCTGTGCTGACCACTTCAGGATCAGCGGATTGCCCACGTCGTAGCAGAAGCCTGACGTGTGCGACATCAGCTGCCTGAGAACCCATGTCAGTATCGGCCGTGTCACATTTCTCTCAGTAGCAGATTGCACCAACGAAGAAGAGGCACAAAGGACACCACTCACCGCAGGGTGATCTTCCCTTTGACATCCTCGTAGATGGGCTCTCCCTTGGGCTTGATCGTCTCGAAATCAACTTTTCCACCGGCTCTCAGCGTGGCAAGGAGATCCAGGTCGTCGGCCGTCTCGTTCTCGCCCTCGAAGCCAAGAAGGACTTTCACATCCTCGAGCGCGGGCACAACCTCGCGGACGTCATCGTCCAGACCGATCAGACCCTTTTCGACCATTTGCATCCCAGCCACCGAGGTGACCAGCTTACTCTGGCTGGCGATCCATGTCAACGTGTCCGGCGTCAGGGGCTCGGATCTGTCAACTGTTCTGCTGCCGAAGGAAGAGCAATAGAGATCGTTGCCTAGGTAGCGTAGCACCTGCTGTCAACCGCTTCGCCCGCGACGCAAGATCAGAAACGACGAAAGCCAAGGCAAGCGCAGCATCTAGATACACACCTTTGCTATCAACTGCAACAAACGTGGCGCCGTGCACAGGACCTGTGGCGGGGTCTGTGTACCGCTTGAGGATCTCGTCCAGCTCGGCCATTTTGGTACCTCGCCTTGAGTCAGGAGTAATGCCAGAGGCAACCAGTAGACTATCTGTGTACGGGCAACGATGTACTGTGGTAGCAATGTCGCATTCATACCCAAGTGCTCGGTATCACAGGTGGTACGGAGTATTCCGTCCAACCATGGCGTGGCCACCCAGCGGGGCCCCTGGCTCCCACCTGGTGAGATCCATTGTCTGCTGACTAATAGCCCAACCCCGCCTCCCGGGTGTCCTGCTCCGCTGTGGGCATTGGTAGGAAGCAGCAATATAAATACCACATGGGCACTTAGTGGATAAGCTGATGGCATGCCGACTCCATCACTGGTGCCACATCGTTGTCGAGGACAGGTCCATGGCCTGTAGGGTCGTTCCTGTGCTTGTCTCCCGCAGATGAGCTCAGAGCAAAGCGGACCTCAGAGCAAAGCGGACCTCAGAGCAAAGCGGACCTCAGAGCAAAGCGGACCTCAGAGCAAAGCGGAC